GCAATCTATGTCTTCCAGTATAAGGTACACATATGGTGCACATCCTATAGATCACACACACATTAAAACTATATCAATGTTCACCATCAAGACAATGTACCATTACATCTTAATATAACTACCTGTCTCGACATCAATTTCTTTATTCTTCCTATCTCTCTATCTCCTTTTCCTATCATCTATTCCTTCTAACAAAATTACCAATCTATTTATTCAACTCTCTCTCTATCTTTCTCACTCCTCTCTCTATCCTTCTCTCTTCTTACACTACTAAATAATTCAGACACACAATCTGTTAGAGATATTCAACTTCTGTGACATTCCACCTTCTTACTTGTCCTCTTTTATACATTTCTGACATCCCCTTTACCTAAGCTATCTATACATACCATCCCCATCCTCTAACTCTTCCTATTCATCCTTCCACCCAATGCCACTTCTACTTTGTAGTTTCTGCTTCACTTTGGGTGCTTTGCCTATTTTCTAATAAGGAGCTGTGTTCTCACGGCTTCACTTTTCTCTATACTTTGCTTTCCAGTATCTCTTTGCTACTTGCATTGAAGTACAGGTTAGTACTAAGTTCCTATACCAATATTTGCTGCTTACATAGAAGTACAGAACTTCTATTAGCTACCAGGTTGATCTATTCCCTGGTTTTAATAATAAGCAGCAAAGAGATGCTGAAAAGAAAAGTATAGGAAAAAGTGGAGCTGTGGAAATACAGCTCCTTATTAGAAAATATGCAAAGTGTTCAAAGGGAAGCAGAAACTATAAAGTCCAACTGGCATTGGGTGAAAGGATGAATACCAAGAGTCAGAGGATAGAGATGGTATATATGGATAGCTTAGGTAAAGAAAATGTCAGAAATATATAAAAGAAGAGAAGTAAGAAGGTGAAATGTCACAGAAGTTGAATATCTCTAATATTAATTTGATATAGAACTAAGTTTAATTGGAATAAATAAAGACAAATAGCTTTTGAAGATCTAAGAATAGCTGTCTCCACATCATCTATTCTAAAGTCCATCAACTATATTGCAGATAATTCAGTTATTCTGTCAGTGGACATCAGTTTTTATTGCTATTAGATTTATCCTATCACAGAATAATGAGAAAAAACACAGATATTCTATATGCTATAGATCAATACCACTTAATAAATGAGAAGCTCAATACTTACAATTCAAGCTTGAGCTATATGATCTCTTTCATACACTCTGAGCATATCAACTGTACTTTGTTAGTATAAAGAAACTTCAAGTAGAAGTGAATGCCAACTACATCAAAGAAATGTTAAATAAACTAGATCTACAATTCAATGCTTTAATTAACTGATGAATCTAAGATATATTACTATTTGACTTTGAACTCATTCATATACCAGCTGAATATTATCAGAAACTAGATACACTTTTTAGAAGAGAACTTATAGAAGAAGAATTAATAGAAGACTTTAATGATAAATGGCTTAATGAGATAGCACTCTTTTCAAGTAATTTTTAGATCACTAAAAAAAGCACTTTCTCTATTTATTACAATTTATTACAATTAATACCAGTATATCTGAATACAGACTCTCCCCAACATCAAGTTACACAAAATATCTATCACTTTCTAACCACACTAGAAATATCAAATTTTTCTTCAATTTAAGAAAAGAAGAGATTTATATTTAAAGCTAGTTAATTCTTTGTTAAAGATAGAATCTTTTATCAATAAAATAGTGTCAGACCACTTGCAAAGCTATTCTAAAAGCATCTCAGAGACTAGCATTATTAGAAGCAACTTATGAATTAGTTAGAACATAGAGGAGAATAAGTAGTTATATATATACTTGCAGAATGCTTCTACTGGTCAAGTTTATAGAATAATATCAGATATTATATTTATTTCTATTATCAATGTCAGTTTAGAAGTACTCACAAGATAGAGGTTCCACTCACTATATCTCATCCTGCCACTATATTTCTCAAAATATATATAAATGTCATAGTCATACCTAAAGCTAAAGAATATAGTTTTATAGTTGCAGCAAAAGATGGCCTATCATGAGCAGCAAAAGAAAGAGCACTTCAAAAAGCCAATGCAAATATACTAAGCAGATTTATATAAGAAGAAATATTCTACCAATAGAAAGCTATTGGTCAAGTTATTACAGATAATAAAAGTAAACTAGAAGATGCCTTCTTCAATCTTATAAATTGCTATAAAATATTTTATATATATCTTCTTATAACTTCAAAGCAAATAAAGTAGTTGAGAGAGAACACTTTACTATCTGAGAATTACTTATCAAAATCTATGAAGATAATATAAATGAATGACTCAACAATGTACATCATATATTCTTTATAGATAAAGTGACTGTAATTTGATCAACTAAATTCTCTGCATTTTATCTTCTTTACAAAGTCAATCCTGTACTTCTATGTAATTCACTTAAAAGTTCTTTTATAGTTGATGGATTTTATTCAGAAATATCAAGAGCAGAGTTAATTTCTCTACACATCAAGCAACTTTAGTATAAATCAGAAGACCTGACTAAAGCTTCAGAAGTTCTTATTTAGACTTAAACTAAGTCTAAAGAAGTATTTGAAAGAAGATTTTAGTACAGATTATACAAAGAGTCTTATCAGCTAGAAAACTTAGTCTTAGTTCATAATTCAGAAATTCAGAAATTCTTAGATCACAAATTTAAACTACAATATCTTAAACTATTTGAAGTTATTTAAAGAATATAAGAATGTTAGAGATATTCAACTTCTGTGATATTTCACCTTTTTACTTCTCTTTTTTTAATACATTTTTGCCATTCTCTTTATCTAAGCTTTCTATATATACTATTCTTATTCTCTACCTCTTTCTATTTATTCTTTCATCTAATGTCACTTCTACTTTATAGTTTCTACTTCACTTTGAGCACTTTGCCTGTTTTCTTATAAGGAGCTGTATTTCCATAGTTTTACTTTTCTCTATACTTCACTTTTCAGCATCTCTTTGCTGCTTATATCAAAGTACAGATTAGTACTAAGTTTCTATATTAATATATGCTGCTTATATTAAAGTACAGGACTTCTGTCAGCTATGAGGTTGATCTTTTTTCTAGTTTTAACAAAGAAGGTTCTTATATTCTCAAAGAACTAGATGGAATACTATGAAGGCAAAAAGTAGCTATATTTAGATTACTTCCTTATACCTCATGAGATAACTCAAGACTATAAGCACTATAATTTGAAGAATCAGATGATATACAGATAGAAGATAGAAATAAAGCTTTCATTATCTACTGTAATAAGAGTCAGCAAATGCATCCAAAAGAGATATAACTTCTGTATAGTGCTAGCCTTTATATTTAGACTCCATAAAGGTTATAAGACAAAGATTTACAAAAAAATATGAGATATATAATATATATATAAGAATACTATAAAATCATCTGAGTACAAAATTATAAGATAATATCTATGCAAGAGATATTATAAAGCAATATAAATACAAGTACTTATTATATACTATCAAGAATATTCTGCAAGTGATAAATATAACTAATCTATATTCAACCTCTGTCTTTCTACTTAATAGTCTATCACCAGTTTCTACTATCTTAATTCTATTTTCTTCTATATTATTATCAACTAAAAACAGTTAATTTCAAGTGATCCTCAGATATCATACACCAAAAGTATTTGGTGCAAGATAAAAAAGCAAGCACTTAGTTTATAAATTAAATAAGACTTGTTAAATAGACTTATAAAAGTTATTTATATAATTAATATTAATATTAACTGCTGTTCTTTTAAATCTTATCAATAACTTCTTAGTAAGCACTATTCTTAGTAAACATATTTCTTTCTTTTATCTTTATAATTATTCTAGATATTAACCTTTTATATCTCAGATATTAAACTCAAGTGTTTTAGAAATAACTTATTTGCACAGTCATACTTATAAATTAGATCTAGATAGTCTTAAAACTATGATCTAGAGCTCTAGGCCTATCTAGTCTTGCTATTTATAGTTATTTCAAGTATTAGACAAGTTCTAGACAAATTCTAGATTATAAAAGAGCTTACAAATTTAACTCTTAGTAATTAAAGAGTTAGAATGAGTCAGGCTCATTGCATTGTAATTGGCTAAAAGAAAAGAATTTTGATTATATAAATAAAAGCTGATTGGTTAGAGAAATAACTCAACAGATTATAGAAATAGTATATAAGAAGCTCTTAGATCACTTTCAAAGAAAAAGCCTGCTTCTGGAAAGAACAGTTCTCCTCTTGAAGAATATAGAATAGAGCTTTCTATATCTGTAGAAAAATGATATAACTGAGTCTTATTAGTGTTTATCTAGCCTATCTATAGTTTTGTCTTTGTAACTTATCTGAAGTTACTAACAAGCTTTAGCCTATATAATAACTCACCTATATCTAACTATAATATAACTAATTACTATTATATACTATCTGTTTTAATTGTGAGAATTAATTATATAAGATAATTGAGTTTTATCACTGCTTTATAAGTTATTCACATTTGCTTATAAAGTCCTGTTGTTAAATGTTTCATCTCTATATCTGACTACTCTTGAGATCTTAGATTCTAATAATCTCAGACTCATTGTTTTTCTTATCTTGGACTTGGCTTTAGATCAATTCTAAGCTGCTTATTAACTTCACTTGTGAATAAGTAACCTTATTATAACCTCCAAAGGTATAATGAATAATAGAGAATATTTGGTCTAATGACTGACCCAAGATTCCTCTATAGAAGTAGTGTTACCTCATACTTGAGTTTTTATTTTCTTAAGTACTGCAAATTAGTGTCCACACACTATATACTTCTTTCTGATATAACACTGGGTTTTTCTCACTCTGACTTTCTATACAAGGCAAGCAAGGTTTCTGTTGGTATACACAACCTTTCCAAGTATAAAGTCTTCAACAACTTTATACCATTCACAGTGACACAATGCTATATATGTCCTTTTCAGATTTGCTGATAAAATTTTGATTTAAAGTTTTATTGAAACAGAGAGATAGCATTTGAAAATTGTTATATACTAACTATCAAATCCTAAAAAATATCAGCACCTACTATTTGCAGTATTTTTGGCCATCACTACAGCATATATGTGTATGTAGATTTAACTGCACTGTGTGTTAATTACTATGTCAACCATCATTTACTTTGCCAATATTCAAAAATCATTGCATTCATAAAGGTCATAACAATAAACACACTCCATTATCAATATGCTGCCTGAAACTTGACATCTCTCCAGAAGTCATCCCAAGCAGAAAGTTTGGAAGCTTTGCCATGTGAAGACCCGTTATCCGAACCACTGTCAATGAAGCCATCTTTCCTCACATTGTCTCCAACAGCGGCATATTGATAGGAAACACCTGGCATGAGACCAGACCATGGCTCTTGCTTCAGAATGGTGACAGGCTTTTGAAGTTGAGATTGTATCTTCCTCTCTTCGCCCGAGAAGAATATCTTGATCTGCTCCCACCAGGATGGAGTTAGCCTGAAATCTCCTGCTCTATGATGATCATTGGGGAGGTTCAGAGTATAATCTGCCAAGTAATGATTCCATTTCTGAAGACAGGCAGTGTCAGTCTATCAAGTGAGCAGAATGCGAAATAGCATACGTCGTCAGGGTCTTCTCCATAGTATCGATGCAACGCCCAATCGCATGCGACACCTATGACAAAGATAAAGCAGTACGCAGCACTCAGACCCTTCTCCTTTACATTGCCCCACTCGATATCGTCGCGGACCCAGTATCTCTCCCATACATCCGTCCACGCAGGCAAATGTGTGAGAAGAGCGAGAGATAGTATGATTCCAAACGCGCCAGTAGCAGAAGCGGCAAGTCGTACGGGAACATGAGAGAACGCAGGAAATGGCAGTAGACAAGCGACGGTCCCTAGAATGGTGAATACGGCCGTAATGACTATGCGAGTGACCAGAGATGGGTGAACAATGACGGACACCGACAACGCGAGAGTGGAGCTGCAAGACGATGAGAAACATAGGGATGAATTACGAGCACTCATGTATCACTCACTATCCAGTCAGGCCAGCCGCGGTACGGGCAACGTACTTCCAGCGACCACAGCTAACAGCAGTAAATAAACAGGAGCATAACCACACAGCCAGGAATGCCGCCGGATGGAGAGGTGCAGCATTTGATATATTGGGTATCATCATGGAAAGGAAGGTAGCTAGATGAACTGAGACACACAGCAGTATTAGGATAATTTACTGCACCAAGTACTTGGTATTCACCTCCGAAAGCATAACCCAGTAGAATTCCGCCAACCCCACCTTCAAGGACGAACCACGAGTGTAATCGACGGGCGAGGGATCTGGGATCCAGCGCTTTCGGGGTGCGGGGGAGTGCTCTTGTGCGATCAAGAGTGAGGAACGAACCAGCGAAGGCAAGCAGAGTAGACAGCACAATCAGGGGAATAGTATAGACGAGATGATAAGCAGTAGAGGAAAGCAGAGCATTTGAGAGGTCGTTATGGTCGTAAGAGTCATTAGATGAAATGGAAGACATGTCGGGGAGGGGCAGACTAGTACTGAACGTGGTGTGTTGCAGCGCAAGGACCCGTGGATGCTGCCTGAACAAGAGCAACGCAAGGCCCACTTCAAGGGAGATAGCAAGCCTTGTCAACACCGCCAAAAAAGGCAATGGCTTCGGCGGAAATTCTCGAAGGCGCCTGTTGTTGGCTCTACTCGACTTGGTCTGAGGACTGTCTGAGGATCTACTTAGTGCACTGGACATGGACGATAACACTCGTTCCTCCCCCCTCTCTCAGCCCGGCTTCGACGACTATAATACTCAGCTCCAGGCAGCGGCTCTCAAGGCCACACGTCTGTCCGCAGCTCTTCCTTCCGACCTAGCTTTCTACCGCTCTGTAGACAAAGCCCTCGCCAGAGACGTTGACTCATGCAAAAGCAAAGTTCTCTCCCTCACGAACAAACTTTTACAATTGGCTTCAAGTGGTACTGGCTCCGATGGTCGCGCACGCAAAAGACCTCGTCTGGAGAACGAGGATGACGTCGTGGATGACTTCCACGGTACTATCGTAGACCTTATGGACCAGATGCTGGAACGAACGGTACGTATATCCTCATATCCTCTGTCTTCCCATCTGATTCGCGTTATTTGACCAGGACATGCGTCTGGATGACTTGCTTGGCGTTTCCAAAGTATCCGCCACCGTTGTGCAATCCAAGCAAGAAGTGAAAGTGAAAGTGAGTTATATTGGTCATACCCGTCACAATATACCGACATCTCTTTGTACATAGAAGAACAGGGTCCCGCAGGGGCGCCTGGACCCTGCATTGCAACACGCTTCCCGATTGCCTAAACCTCAGCTTTCATTCACTCGCCGAGTAGACAACAAGAATTCCGCATCTTGGCAATCTACTCTACGACACAAGTACAATGCTCAAGTGCCGTTAGGGTACAACTGGCAGAGTGAGCATGGTGACCCATCTTTGGCCAATTTGTGAGTGCTGGCCTGCATCAGGACTGGAATTCTATTGACCAGTTAACCAGGCTCCATCCCTACCACTACGAAATCAGACACATCGACTACCCACAACGTATGTTCCAGTCGATAGAACCAATCTCCCCCAAATCTTTCGAAGACACCCCCTTCGTGTGGGTGGATACGCCGGCTGTATTTTCGACTATGCTGGACAGCCTCAGAGGCGCGCAGGAACTTGCTATTGACTTGGAGTATCACAGCTATCGGACATTCGCAGGATTCGTTTGTCTGATGCAAATTAGTACCCGAGGTGGTGATTGGATTGTCGACACACTAGCACTGCGAGAAGAGCTCGAGGATCTTAATGAGGTGTTCACCGATCCGAACGTCGTGAAGGTCTGTTCTTAGTCCATCTACCTCCTTACTATTGTCTGAGTTGGTTTTCTCTCTGTGTTTGCAGGTCTTTCATGGTGCTGAGAGTGACATTGTTTGGCTTCAACAAGACTTCAACCTGTACATCGTGAATCTTTTCGACACCTATCATGCATCAAAGGTGCTAGGTGAGTTGCATTCAATACAACGTAAATAGTTTGCCTCATCAGTCTCCCCAGAATTCCCAAGACACGGTTTGGCTACCCTTTTAGAAATGTATTGTGACTTTACCCCGGACAAGCGCTTCCAGTTGGCTGATTGGAGAATACGGTACGTACTCGAACACTTCTTAATTTTGTCTCTGAAGTTGATGTGCAAGCTGCTATTATAGGCCCCTACCGCAAGAGATGCTCGACTACGCACGCTCCGACACCCACTATCTTCTCTTCATCTATGACAATTTACGCAATGCTCTATTAGACCGATCCCTGTCGCGTTCTCAATCCAGAATACAGAGTCCGGCCGGCCAAGACGTCATGCAGGATGACGGCGCAAGCCCTCGTCCTCCAGACTTCCTCCTCCGCGAGGTGCTTTCTCGTTCAGAGGAAACAGCTCTCCGTATCTATGAAAAAGAAGTCTATGATGCAGAAACCGGATCAGGACCTGGTGGCTGGGATACGCTTGCAAAGAAGTGGAACAAAGGCCCTATGTTGAGCGGGCAAGATGGTACCCCGCGTATGGAGATTTACAAACGGATGCATGCCTGGAGAGATCGAGTCGCTCGAGAAGAAGACGAGAGTACTCGGTACGTGATTATGACACGCCGATGCTTTTCCCTACTCACCAGCCTTCTAGATACGTGCTACCCAATCACTACTTGTTCTTGCTTGCGGAGCGTCCGCCAAATGACCTGGCTTCACTACTCGCCATGTTCTCATCTGTACCTCTCGTCATTCGAAGAAGGGCCAAGGAGCTCATGGATGAGATCCGGGCATCGACTCAAGTGCTAGTCGATACCTTAATGGACGTTGCTACGGAACCAGTACCTACTCTTGCTACAACACCCAGTGCTGCAGATGCGGTTACAGACACGACTGTCCTGTTCCAGTCGACGTCGGTTGGTGAGTATATCATCTAATTTGAGGTAGTAATATGTACTAACGCTTTACAGCCACGTCTACTTCACGGGTTTCTTCACTCTTTGGCGATTCGTTGGTAACAAGTCAAGTATCGAGCACTGTGAGCGGATATGCGACCGATCGCAGTGCTCTGTTTGCTCGGAGCTCCCATAGTGGCAAGTCACGTCAGGTATGTTTTGATCTCTTCATCTTGTTTAGGTGTTAACAATGTGGGTGTCGTAGCTCTCATCCTCGTCGCGCTTCCAAGACATCCTCGTTCGAATACACAAGGACCTAGTCATAGCGCCAACAGCTCCTGTCGCTGCAATAGACGCTGCCTCATCGAGACCAGCTACACATGCTAGTACAGACATCAAGGTGACTGTTGTTGAAGAGCAAGAAAATATCTCAGGGCAGGCAGAGGTCGCATTCGTTCCTACTGCTCTGAGGAAGAAAGAGCCCTCCGCAGCGCCGGATGAAATCATCACAGTTGGGCAAGCACAAAGGAAACGAAAACGAAAACAGGTCACGAGGAAGGTTGTGGCAGTCTCGTCAGACGCATCCCGCGCTACATCACAAGATGTTAATGTAGAGGAGTCTGAGGACACCATCAACATCCTGGATGCCGGATCTGATCATGAGCATGACATCGATGTTCGAAAAAAAAAGTTCAAGCCTCCAAGTGCGTTTTTATTCTATCGTTGTAGGAACCAATTGCTTATGAGCCTTCTTATACCAGCGAACTTCCATGGCGGATTCCGCGCCCCACCGAAGAGTCAGAGCTCTCTCAGATCAGGGAACCAGTCTCGTACATTCAGATGATACACTATGTCTACTGTATACTCCCGATGTAGTAGCACATTTGTTGTCTTCGGATATCACTCAGCCTTATAGGCAAGAAAATATGCTTGGCTCTGTCCAGACTACACTACAAATCTTTGACACTTGTAAGAAATCGCTCCACCACGGCCTGCCCCTTTTGTAAGTTGCACAGTGACATCCTTTCATTGGGAAGATGTGCTTGATCCTATTCATGGAATAAGTCCAATTACGTTGACATTATGAAATCAAGTAGCGCACCGTACTTTGCCCCATCGGAAGATGGAGCGCATGGCAAGAAAACTCCTTCTCGAGGTATGGCACTGACGGAATTGACTTTGGGTGCATTAGGGGAAGTTCGAACACGGATAGTAGTTTCACATACCCCTCCTTCTCGGATCCGCAGTGGCTCAACGCCCCACTCGTCCCTGATAGCACTCTCCAGCGCAGCGAACCATGGGTCATCCAAGTTACCTAGCCACCAATCGGCGGTATGAGAGATGTTGATCTAAATATGAATTAGCCACTGTAGAGACCCTTCATTCGAAGAGATATCACCTCGAGTGTATTCCGAGACTGCATATCTCCGAACTTGGATTTGAGATGATCTTGTAGCGATGCGCAGATCTCTTCGACGTCTTGATCCGGGACGATACGCAACGAAAGTCGTGCTTGCACTGTCGAAGGAATTACTGTAGAATCTATCCAAGCCATGAGTACAGTCAGTCTGTGTTCAAGGATCGTAAGGCCTACTTACTCTTGGGGCCAGAGACCTCAATTTCATGAATAGTTAGTGAGGGTTCTCTCCATTTGGCAGATAATGAAGACGCAGGAGTTTGTGTAACGCCAGAAAGAACTTTGAATAACTGCCGCTCTTCAGCAGTCAAAGGGCGAACATCGTCATCTGCGAGATAAAGGGTAAGGAGGTGAGAGAAACATATAAGGAGGACGTACAGAAGCTTGGTATTGTGACCTTTTGTTGATCATCGACCAATGTACCTAGTAATTTCATTCTAATTGATTTATGAATCAGCCGTTCACGAGGACAGGGCTATTAGCGCACATGTCCATCATAGGTTCCCGTGCTGCACCTCCATCAACTCCAGAGTGTAGATCTGGACCACCGCTAGATATCTGCCCAAAATAACGAATCGTCAGAGTGGGGAAAGAAGAACCTGACATACGGTCTGACCTTCACTTGACAGTGCACTACGCCTCGCAATCCATACGTGATACAGGGTGTACTCTCTGAAATCCACGTTGAATTGCTGTAAACAAGTTTAGTTCTTCTGGATGCCGGGACAAATAAGCACTACTTCACCTCACGAGTATCGCGTCGATTGGTCCGATGGTCTCCTAGAAACGTAGTCCGTGGTTGGGATATGACAAATGCGTTGATACGTATAGACTTACTTTATGTTGTTTTACTGTCTGTGCAAAGTGCTTGCTTCCCGCCTCCTCCTCGCCCTCTATCAACATCACAAGGTCGACATCCAATGCGCGCCGTCTCAGCAGAGCAGCAGCAGCACAGGCAATCGCCATAATAGGTCCCTTATTGTCAGTAACACCACGCCCATAGAGGTACCCATTCAAAGCATACAGGGTAAACGGATCTGAAGACCATCCCTTGGGAGAAGCTGGGATCACATCATAATGGCTGAAGATGGTAAATGCATTAGTCTCCGAATATAAGTTACTATTAACATACGCACCCGTAGACGAGCACTCTGCGGGCCTTCCGTTTATTCTGAGTACCACGGAATGTCGCCAAGACCAGCGGGTTTGTAGTGTCACCGGTAGGAAGCTGAATGTATAGAACAATTGTAGCAGCACCAATCAAACCTCACAATATACATACCAATGACGCCTCGGCTCCTAGCTGACTGAGACATTTGCGAAGCCAGATGGCAGCCTGTCTGCAATGCTCTCGGTAAGACAGACAGCCACTGACACTGGGAATGGAAATGAACTTTGACAAGGCGTAAACCAATATGTCTGTGTATATCATTATCAGTACCAATAACATAGAAACATATAGCGAGCTAATGTAATTCACCATCGCTCAAATCCGGCTGGGATTCAGGCCCTATGCGTTGAAGTTCTTCGATATCTGGTTGCTTTTTGGGGGGAGGATCGATATCCCATATCTAATGAACAAAATTCATATGGAAATTGCAGACTACGGCGCCATGCTTACTTTGATAAAGTCATCGTTCGCGCCAGTCACGAGTACGGCTTTACCACGTCCCCCCTTCCCTGAGGATAGTTTGACATGGGTAATGATAGAAGATAGTATGATGCCGCTATGCGCAGGCCAGGAAGCCGTGAGATCGAATGTGGCCGAGAAGCGCTATTGCCGAACATTAGGAGATGACCGCCGTAGTCGAAGGGGAAAGCAGCTCACTTGTACTTGACCGTTTGCAGAGCAAGTGTAGAGATCTGACTGAAGCATAGAAAGAGACAAGATGTCGATATTCTATGCGAAGTGTCAACGCAAATAATGGGGAGTTCTGTCTCACTACGGCCTACCTCATTGACGATGATGGTTCGCACCAACGTCCGCGTCTCAAGGTCTAAAACCTTGACATATCCATCTTGACACCCGGCGTATACAGTATCTCCCCGCACTACGACTGCCAATACAGCACCTTCTCCGCAATCAAAAGTATGCTGTAACGATGGGACAGCAGAATTCACGTCCCATACCTGAGGGAAATCGTGAGCGCTGTCATTCATGTGTTGATCTATTCGTTACATACTTTCACAGTAGCATCACCGCTTCCGGTTACTAACCGCAAGGAACTACCTATGCCGCCTTGATCATCGGATCCTTCACGTATACTGGGAGAAAGAGCCATGCAATAAACGTAGCCGTAATGAGCAGACCATATCACATTCTTTGGGGGAATCTGAATGATGGCAAGAGGGATCTGCACATTCGGCTGAAGCAAGCAGGTACCGCCAGTGGCGGGAGTGGTCAAGCCTGGAGATGGAGATGAAGAAGCAGTGGGATTGCGTGCTTCAAGATCGGCAGGTTTTCGAGTGTATTGAGGATAGGAATCGAAGAATTTGTGAACTCTACGTGGTGTAGCAGTACCACTGGCGATGCCTGCTTCCTGAAGTGCTTTGTCAAGGACCTGTTGATGAGTAGGAGCACCTTGTTGGTGTGGTGGGTGCCCAAGGTTTGGTAAGAAAGTGAACCATTGAAGAGAAGTATTCTGACAGCCAAAGTATAATGTAGATGAAGAAGATGACCAAGCCAACGAGAAGAGATCGCCGGCATCAGTATCAAAATGTGGATGCAAGATAAACAGAGGGGCGTGTGTCTCAGTAGACCAAACCTGTAATGGCTCGTGTTATTGTCGACGTCACCCAATTGGAGATACACGACTCACTCGAATAGTACTGTCGCCTAAGCACGAAATGAAATGTCAGTATTGCCAAAAGGACAAGGTGTAGAAACCAACCAGATGCACTGAAGAGCCACTTCCGCTCAGAGGCATACTCTAAAGCTAGAACACTGCCAGTATGCCCTCTGAGCGTTGTCTTCAATGAGAAGGTGGACTTGTCCCATACCTGTAGACGGCTCAGTATACTACAGATTCCGGTCATACACGTGACACTCACGAGAACATCGTCACCTTGACTTCCGCTATATACGTATTTCTCATCGGCAGATAAGCTCAGGACCGAGTTGGTCTTGTGATAAAGTGAATGAAATAGGTGTGGGTGACCATGCTGGTCAGCAAGCGGTCTGCTTAATGATGCTAGAATATTGAAAGTGTATCAGTACGTACTTGCACACCTATTATGCACATACGATGTGGTACATCCGCAGCCTGGGTCGACATTTGCACCAGTTGTGTTTCGGTGCTGGCAGCTCTAAGGCAAGTTCGTTCCTGCTTACGATTTCCGAACTTGGAAGCCACCGTGAATGATCGGCGGGCGCCACGCGGGCCGAGCCACAACAGCACGGTGTGACGCGTGACAATTCGCGTACTGTACTCGCGTTTCGCTCAGCGGCGTTCACCTCAGACCTTCCGCTTCCTGGGCCCGCCTTCATTATCTTTTCCCTCTCGCCGTCATGCAGAACGGTCACTGGGTGCCTCATATGCAGTCTCATGGCCGACGGAATAACTATCCTAATGGCGCAAACGCCCCTATGGCCGTCAGTTCACTGCAGGATGCTCAAGATCTGCTGTCCATGTACCCAATGGCGTCGGCCACTCCCTCAGCCCACGGTGAGTTGAATTAGTCAATGGTAGATCTAAAGGATGGTAATACTGACCCTCCACAGTGACCAGACATCTCAGCAATCTTTCCCTCACCGCCGCACCGCCATCGTATTATATACAGCCGGTGATGCAGAGAGCACATGTCCACACATATCCTCAAGCGTATCCCCAGTCTTATGGGGATTATTACAACGAGCTGCATCAACTCAACTCTCTATCTCAGTCTTCGAATGATTCTGTTTTCTTCGATACCTCCATGACGAACGCCGTCAGGTACCTAGGCGACCAGGGATCGTTCGTGCTCTCTTTCTGTTTTGCCACTTTGAATGTCTAATACTTAGCTTTTAAACAGTCACTATGCATCATATGATATTCCTCAGCAACAATGGTCGCCACAGGCCCAGTCTTCAACCTACCAATCGACTCCTTTCGCTCAGTCGGTCTTTCAGCATGTCACGCCGTCTTCTTTCTATCCTACTCCTCCGCCTCCTGGCATCAGCACTTCTTCATCTTCTCTTGCATCTGCTCTCGGCCCACCGCCGAAGCCTCAACAGAAGCCTCCTCAGAGGCCCCCACCCAAACCTCCAAAGCCGGTCTATCAGCCTTCGGAGTCTGCGGAGTTTTTCGACAATTTCCTAGCTGAACAAACTGCCAAGACCCAACGACGTGTGACACCTCCGCAGACTTTGCGTATGCTGCAGGATGATAGCCCGGATCCTTTAGCCTTCAGTCCAGTTACTGCACGGACATCCACCGCAACGCCACGGAAACGGAAAGCTGCTCAGGTATTGGAATCTCCAACAATTAAGCGCATACATACACCCAGTGGCTCTCTTCAGAGCTCATTATCCACCGACCGCCACGAGAAGACTCCAATTGCGAAACGGAAACAGGTGTTCGTTGAACTACCACCTGTACCACGATCAATACAAGGAATGTCGACCCCTAGGCGAGACCGCTCCTCATCGCAGACAGTCTCTCGCAATGGTATCGAATCAGATTCCGACGACCTAGGAGGGTACGGTACTGATTCGCCAACGCGGAATCGACTATTCGACCATGTCAAGTCCTCAGGTCGTCGCGCCACCGGAGAACGAGACGAAAGAGGTAATATTTCCTCTGATATCATTCCATGTCATTGCTCACAAGCTTTCCACAGCCCCGCTAGAGAAGCTAACAACTCTTCTAGAAGACATCTTCGAGGCAGAAGATTCATTGGCGCCCGACATAGATACTTCTGAGCTTCCGCTAGACTTTTTCTCGCCGCATACAACTGACTGTTCTCGTCCCCTTCTACATTCCGCCATTGTTCGGAAACTAACCAGTCACATTGGCAAAGCTATTCGCCCTAGCAAGAGACTCCGACTCTCTTCACGAGATGGTAATCCAAATGTCGGCGGAACTCCACGGTCCAGAGGTAGAATAGCAGACATCGAAACGAACGTGCTGTCCAGAATTTTAAGGATCCTGGAACGCAGCGTAAGAGTTGGTGAAGATCTTGATCCTTTCCAAACCGACAGGATAATTGCTACGCCGGCTGAGTCTTCGACTCCATCTAAGTCAAAGGGAAAGCGAAAGGCCGACCGTCCTCGGTCCAAGTCAAAAACGCCGAAACCTGGTGAAGCCGATGGAGACGGCGACGCAAACATGAACGATGATTCTATTCCTGAGGGCCCTGCAATAGACATCAACTTGATATCGAATACCTTGGAAATTGCTAGAGAAAGTATCTTGGCTGCTGACTGTTGCATTGCACTATTGAGTAGTGATAGACTCAACAAGCAGGTATGTGGTCTTTATCGAGAGTCACTGGTTTTGTTCCTGTTGTGCTCAATGTGGATTAGCTATACTCGGAAGAACTGATTACTGCTTGTTTGGCAACAATCAAGAATCAACTCATGAAAATGATTTATCCATTCGTGGAGGCGTCCTCCGACATCTTTGGCCATATCTCACCTATCCTTCAGCAGCTCGTTCGCATCCCTTCCCCGCAACACGAACCGCTTCGCCGACATTTGACGGAGATCTTCAATGCTATTTCCTCTGTGATCCCTCGAATCAACGATTTGATCTCTTCTGACTACACCGCAATGTCTGAGAGCATCATCATTCAAGCGGTGTATATCGCTATTGGGCCCTTTTTCATGGTTGAGTCCGGAGGCAATAGCAAGGACAAAGCCAGTGCTGTCGTACTGAGCACACTGAGTGTTAGTGCCGTGCGAGGTCTGAGACTTGAAGCACTTTCGCTCATCCGTAGTGTATGTTATGATTATGTCTCTCCTTCCTTAGTATTAACTTTCAGCAGATATTTGGCAACCACGAAGACCAACGCTCCTGGATTATCGAGGAGATCCTATCGTCTTTGATCAAGCATTCTGAGAGCAAACAAAAAGTTGGCCACTTCCGGTAAGCGCATTGAAGAATGCAATTAAACCATACCTAATTATCTGTAGACTTCGGGATGGACGCTCTATCCGAACAGTTTCCGCCCTTTTGCTACAACTCGTGCAAACCTCCGCCCACAGTGTTCGCCTTGAAGCTGAAGACATTCGCAGGTCTCGTACACAAGCCTCTACTCTGCGTCGCGAAGACAGCTTTAAGGACGCCTCAGACGGTCCTTTACTCGACAAGACGGACATGGAGGTAAACTTATATGCAGGATGTGGAGAAAGTGACCTCATACCTTCATTGCAGGAAATTCGACTGTACATATCCGGTTTGGAGTCGGCTACGAAGGCTGCAAAAACGATCATTTTATTCTTGACGCAAAGGTCTGGCAAGACGAAGACTACCAAAAATTCGAACGAAGCTGAATACCGAGCGATTTTCGACAATCTGATTTCGGACCTCCTCACAGTTCTCTTCTGGCCTGAATGGCCAGCTGCAGCTTTGCTTCTCAGTATCGCGTGCAAGTTCATGGTACGCATAGCGTAGTTTATCTGGATGTTGCTGGATTAAGATATGGCGTATTTTAGGTCGCGTCATTGGATGACATCAAGACGGCTAACGACAACAATGCTGCGAAGACGATGGCTCTAGATCATTTAGGAGTGATTGCTGCTCGGCTGAGGTCGTGCTCTGTCAAGAGTGCTTCTCAGAAGCCCTCATCAAATTCGATTAGGCTGCAGCCTCTCGACGAGGTATGAAAATGTTCCATTGACATTCAATGCCATGGCTGATATCCCAATTAAGATACTATCTGGTCTGAATTTGGAGAACCTCGGCTTGCTTGCCTCTGCGCATCAAGGGATCTGTTCGTTTTTGACGAGGCGTTCCTCGGAGGATCAGGCGTGTGCGGTAAGTATTTCCTCAGTACTGATGTATGCCCAACTCATTTGCCACAGAGTGCGAGAGAACTCAGTGCCGTAGTTTGGGGTCAAGAACTGGCCTTCGTTCTCAAGCAGTGTGGTGAACAGCTGGAAGATGCCGACGGCGATAGGCCCCTTTCCAAAGGTGACTACCGACAGCTACAGTCTTTCGGCGCAAGGGTTAAGCAGACCCTCCGAACCTTATGGAAGGATTCGACTCCAGATGTCTTTGACGCTGGGTAAGTGTTATCCTCTCAGTGATTCAAAGTATTCTTCATGGTTGCATAGTTCCGAGGAAGAGGCCATGAAAGTCGATCGTTTGTCCGAAGAAGTCGGCATGACCCAGAGTTTGAAGGGCTGCTTCAACCCCGTTTTAAATGTGGTGTTGTCGGCTCTGGACGCGCCTCCGGTATTCATGCGAACAAAGGCTCTAAAGGCGCTGGGACAGATTGTGATGAGCGATCCCAGCATTCTGTCGACGGTAAGTGATTACCTGACATGCGAGCTTAAAACTGACTTTGCCGTCTAGCACACCGTCCGTCAAGCAATCGAAAGTCATCTTCTGGACAGCTCACCAGCTGTTCGCGATGCTGCAGTTGAGCTGATAGGCAAATACATGATTGACACTCCTGAGGTTGCTGGCGATTACTATCCCAAGATTGCCGACCGTATAGCGGTAAGTAGGCACCATTCTTCCTATCATTTCAAATTCATCACATACGTTTACTAGGATACCGGGCTCGGAGTGCGCAAGCGTGTCATCAAACTACTGAAGTCGTTCTACAGTGTGACCGAAGACAGCAACCGCCGGATTGATATTTCTACACGTTTAGTCCTGCGAATGCTGGACGAAGATGACACGGTGAAAGATTTCGCTGTCAAGACGGTGGAAGAGATGTGGTTTCATGATGGCAATGCGACCATCGCAACTCACAAGGGGAAGTCGCCCGTTCGCCCTCATGAGAAGTCCGATCTACTGGCCAAGGTGACAGTGATCATGGGCGTTGCGGCAAACTTTAAGGATCGTCAATCTCCAGTAGAGGACCTACTCCACCAGATTATGGATGGAAAAGACGCGAACGAAATGAGCCTTTTGCACAGTCGATATGCTGAAATATGCCAGACTTTGATAGATGGTCTAGTGGATGCTTCTGATTTACCTGGCTTCGTGCGTTATTCGTTCGTCCTGACTCTGAGCATCGTATTGACTTGCCTTAGACTGTCCATAACTGCGTTAGGACCATTCACATCTTCGTGGCGGCATATCCGGCGGTTCTCAGCACCTCAAATGCATTGACGCTATTGCCGTACTTGAAGAATGCGACTAGCGTATGTGTTGTCTTTTGAATCAGGTGAAACCACACGACTGATTTAGATATCTATCAGCCCGAGGAACAAGCAATTACGGACTGTCTACTTCGTGTTTATCGAGCTTCGATCCCTTACTTACCGAAGACCGCGACCAAGTTTGGTCAAGAGCTGCAGCTTGCTCTGCAGCCTATGGTCTTGAAACCCCCATCTACCGCTGGAATCCTCGTATGTCGGCATGGTTATTCAGTGACAGACGTTATCTTACGGTGAACCTGCGTTCTCAGGGTCTGCAGGAAATTGTCGCGTGCATGTGTTCCGTCGTTCAGCATCTCACCCATGATTACGGCCGTCTCACTGCTCTACTCAAGTCGTGTAATGGTACGCCGCGTTATTTATAGTTGTGGGTGGTCGATCTGAGCTCCCTCTTCAGCCCGCTTGCAACAATCACTTGCCCAACCAACTCAAAAGCTATCTGCACCTCAAATTCGTACACTCTCTATACTCATTTTCATTGCTGCCTTGCTTTGTGAACATTGCAATTTCGACGATTTGAGAAATGGACCGCATGGCATGTGCTCTACTCATCTCATTTGTACCGATTTCTGACGCCCTTCATAGGTGCCGACATAGACGCTGTTTCCCCAGTATGTAATGCTTTAGTTACTTTCATATCTCATTCTAACGAATCACAGGGTTCCGTTACCGAACACGTTTACGGCGTGCTCTTGAAACTCTACGAGAAGTATCCTGACAAGGGTATGCGTAGTAGAGTGCTGCAATGCATGGGTTCGTTGGATATAGCAGACTTCTCCATGTTACCTATCTAATCACTCGTACCCAGGATTCCTGTTTCGCGCACAACCAACTCTGTTAACGGCAGAGCCTTCAACCATCATCATGGACTCCATCCTCGCTTCTACTGATGATGAAGCACGGGCTCGCTTGCTGCGCATTCTGCAGGAATTCCTGTCTGCTGAAGCTGAGAAGCATGCCGCGAAAGAGAAGGGTAAGTCTCAACATCTATTTACGCATCACGTCTTAGTCATTGCTTTCAGAAAAATCGAAGGGAAGGCTGCCTGCAGGGAATGTGAACATGGAAGAGCTCATTGGTAACACTGACGGGTTCGCTGAATCAGGGTATGTGCTACAATGCTTTCCCCACATCATGCGATATGTCGTTTATCTTGCAACCAGAATATCGTCTGCTATCGTGCAACGCTACCTCGATCCTATACTATCTGCGGCTACCTCTCCCAATCATCAGATTCAATCTCCTGCCGTAGACGTTATCGCCTACACCGTGAGACAAGGTCTCGCCCACCCTCTTCAGGTTGGTTTTTATTGGGGTAATTGAGATACTTTGCTGACATCAAGCTTAAGCTTTTCCCTGTCATTGTTGCATTGGAGACGAGTCCGTATCCTCCGCTGAGCGCACGGGCAACTGCTCTGCATTCGTTGCTGCACAGCAAGCATACGTCTCTTCTCAACTCACGCTTCGTTGTGAGCGCAAGAGCTTCATTTGACTACCAGAAGGTTTTGAATCCACCCGTACGAGGTGCGTCCTCTCAGCACTGTCTTTCCGTCCCATGCTCATTATTACGTAGGCTATCGGATGACTCCAGCTCCTACAGCTCTCATGCAACAATGGTATTCACTTGTACGAGAGAAACGTGCGCAAAGGCAGGACTTCTTGAAGGCTCTTGTGAAGGTTTTCGACATTGAATTGGCAACATCGTCGCAGGTCAGTTGCATTGTGGGGCTTATGTTTACATCGGATATGAACCCTTTTCACAGGATGATGTTGACTTTGCACGTTATATGGCGGAAAACTTTGCAACGTTCGACTACAAAACGCAGGAGGAGGTCTTGACTGTTATCAAATATCTCACAGCTGTACTATCAACAACGGGTATGCAGCTAGTAGGGGTGTTATCTCCACAACACTTGCTCGCTCAGTTACATGATGGGAACCCACCCCCTCAGGAAGGCTCGGTGAGCTCACTTCTTGCGAGCATGATGGTATTTCCAACTAATCTTGTGCATTCCCAGGTGAGCATTGCTGCACCATCTGAACCTCTGCAGGATGCGACGTCGAACATGTCCTATGCTCGGAGCTCTGTGATTGTCGCTATCATTATGATACTTAAAGCTTTCTTGAAGACCTTATATGGCGTTTCCGAAGAGTGAGCAGCGACGCCGTCCGTATAGATCTACATTCTGACGTGTTTGCTGTCTAGAAAATGCTCCAAGTTTGTGGTAGGGAAGAAGAGCGCTATTGGAGACAGACCCGCTACTCGACGACACGAAAGGCCCATAAGCTGGGAACGAATACCCTTTGCAACCGCTCATTTGCAGACCTCACAGGATGTGGAGGTACAAAAACAAACTGTACGTCTATTCAAGGCATATCTCTTCTATACTCATACTCTCGGCATCTACGTAGTTCTTGTCCGTATGGAGCGAGGATGGCCTGTCGGCAGAGCCGACGGATGATTAAACTTTAAAATGCTTTCGATGTCCCCTGCTTTCTTGTCGTTCTTGCTATGAACAATCTGCATATTATTATTCTATCAACGATTTTCCTTCGTTCTTGTGGGACTGTATGATTATCGCTAGGTATACACTCTAATGTATTACTCTAAACAAACCAAATGCTATACCTCCTTGTCACCTATTGTGGAAGTGTGCTTACTTTGGGCCTAGCGACCGTATTGTTCTCGAAAATTACAGGGCCCATGGATAAGTTCCCGATGAACTTCTTGGCATCGTCGTCTAAGGACGGCTCATCTTCGAACTTCCAGTCCAGTTCTCCGCCATATGCTTTCGGAAGATGAGCAGGGTCAATCAGTGCGTGCAGGGTTTGTCCTGGGTCCTTTCCGAGAACATGGACCTTGCGCCGTGTGCCCTCGTCGAACCATCCCTTCATACATCATCGACATCAGTCTGTGATAGAGATATTTATCAGAGAACTAACTTTGATCCAGCCCCAGATAGTCGGGAAGAATGAAGGAGAGTTCACAACAGCAATCGTGTTGAGAGTCTCAGGGTAGTTAGCAGTGGCAAGAGTAGAAGCCTCTGCCAGGTGTTGGCGAAGATTCCACATCGAGGGGAAACTAACTTCCTCTAGATCGATTATCGTGGTGACAGATGATATAGGTGTGGGTTCTGTTGCGTGGGGTAATGCTGTACAGAGGGGGAGGACGAAGCGGCACATGAGCTCGTAAAGTGTAACTCTAGCAAAAAGAAACATTTGTTGTAAGGAACCTCAACGAACATCTTGTTGGTCTAAATGGGACTAAAGACTGACATTCGCTGATATCTGCGTTCGGGTGGTATTGTTCCTAGTTCCTTCTGAAGCGGCCCTTGCAAAGATGCTAATCTATAGACATAGACGGGAAGCCCATGCTGGGCAGGGACATGAGAATTAGTATGGTCGCATACCATCATTGTTCTGCCACATACTCTGTCTCTTCTGCCAGTCCAACGAGGATAGAAGCGTTTTGCAGATTCAAATTCGTCAGGTGGAAAGAGAGCGTATAGCTCGTCAACATTATATTTAGTACGCCATGCCTCTGCATCAGCGAACTGCTTATGAGCTTTCAAGGGGTCGAAACGCCGTGCCCTTAGAAATCGACTAGCAAGATGGTAAGACGATCAGCTAACCATTGTTTGAAAGTGAACTGGATCCAGGATACCAACAGTAATGTAGGTTCGTCATGAGACGGAAGTTGATCGTCACTGGTGAATGAAGGGATATAAAGCTTCTGTTGAGCTAGCCTTTCCTTGAATGCTGCGAAAGCCTTCTGCTGTTCCTCAGTGAGGTGGCCTAAGTGACCTGCAAGGACATCGACATGGATCTCTTTGGTAAATGAAGGTCCTTGACTGAGTTGACTCATCCGTGCCTGTGGTAGAGTGTGGTACGGTATTGCAAACCTTTAGAACACTCCAAAGAGCAGGTATATTGGCGGCAAAAGTCACAGTCTCGAGAGATAGTTGTCGGCGTTCAAGTTTGTCACGTACACTGCTGATAGCGCCGGCAAAATTATGATCGATCGCCATTCACCGCGTAAACGTATTCTCAGCCGACGTTCATTTCTACATTGGTTTTTAGAAACTACTGTACCTCCAGGATATTACACGATGCTTCGAATCCCGTTGTCATATTCTGAAGTTAAGTGAACGGACAGAACGTAGCTACTAACTACGTACAGGTTTCAAATAGTTTCTGCGCCAAGTGAAACTGACGGACAGCGATCATTCAGTAAGTAGGACATGATGTGTTCGAAACAACGCCATTCTCCACGTGTGAAAGGAACAATGGGACGGTCTAGCGAAATGAATTTAGATCTAGAAGCGGCACTGGCTACCCCCTACTGTCCCGGCGAGTTGTCAGCCTCGTGTTGCGCAAGGACCCTGCGGATCACTTGGCTGACTATCAAATTCAACAAAGAGCCACTGTTCTTTGTCCTGGCGGGTATAAGTAGAGGCTTTCGTCCACATTCTAGCTTCCCTCATTCCTCTTCCCCCAACTTTCACCTGCCTCATCTGTGCCACACCCGTCCTCTTCCTCCGGCCACGGTCCACCACGGCCACAAACTTGTTCTTGTATATGAGGCCACACAACTGTATCAAAGCTCTCGGTCTAACGTTTCTCGTCAACTTTATGTGGCCGACAGGTCCCTCCACAAGGTGAATGGCCAAGTCTGGTTCCTTACGCTGATGCACCTCAAGACAAGATAAAGGGGACGAGTACCGGCTCCAAGAAATATGCAGCAAGCTATGGCATATCCGGTGGCGTAGTAGACCTGCAACCTGTACGCCTCCCCGACTCGCTCAGCAAGACACGAGCAAGTCGCGCAGTGGGTAGCTGGAGCGACGATGGTCGTCTCTTCAAGAAGGCATCAGGCCTCGCTAGCCTGTGACCCGCAGAGCGCATCCCGACTTAAGGTTGGGACCGCAAGACACCATTGTAGCCTCAAACACTCCATGGCCGTCAAGTTTATCTGGCCGCTTCTCTGCTGGTGGCCGGCTGTTTGGACCTGGTCTGGTCTGGTCCGGTTTGGTATTGCCGACTAACTTCTGTGGCGACAGTCTGTCTCTCATGGCCCTACATGGACAAGTCAATACAATGGGATGAGTGCCGGCTCCAAAACACATGTTAAGGTTCCGCATGTCCGGTGACGGACAAGACCTGCAACCTGTTCGTCTCCCCGACTCACTAGAGTCGCGCAGCGGGTAGCTGGAGCGACGATGGTCGTCTCTTCAAGAAGGCACCAGGCCTCGCTAGTCTGAGTCCCACAGAGCGCACCCCGGCCTATGGACGGGGCAGCAAGAATATTTTCCCTCAATCATCTCACCTTCCGAATTGGTTCCTTTTCTACTCGAGTCCTTCCTTTTTGTTTCTGGCGACGATCTCTTTCTTGCGATTAATCACTTCTCCTGGGCTGGCTCTTGAGGGTCTTTCCGGCGACGGTCTCTCTTCTTTGGCTAGCCGACGCGTCTCTAGGTCTGTCTTGTGGCGACATCTGCTCTAGTGGCTCTTCTAGGTGGCTTTGCATCTCTGGCGACGCCGATTGAAGTTCCACCATCGGCCCTCAAGATTCCCGTGGGGAGGGCGGTTGATGACCGTCGTGGCGTAGACCTTTCCGTGGTCCTCGGGATAAGTACTCATTCATTGACTTCGGTCTTTGAGTGAGGAAACTAACATGCGCCTAAATCAAGAAAAACATCGATGTAAGCCCGCCGGGTGACGTTTTGCACGCTCTATCTCTCCATCCGCGCAAGTCCATCAACAACACCCCAATTGGGGCGGAAACAACAGCCCACCGTGGCCACCCCCAGCCCGCACCTGGATTCTTGTCTGCAAGTAGCTCTTGTGCAGTCGTCAGGGCTTCTGAATTCTTCGCCCCGACCCTCTCTTCGTCGATCTGGCTCTAAAAGACCAGTGCTCTCCCCTTTTCAGATTCTTCTTCGAGTCTATGAACTTCCTATAGTGGACTTCTGGACACTTTGGCGGCTATGCCTGTTCTGACTTGCCATGCGGCATTCTGGGTCCTTTCTCAAGACTTCTGTCGGCCACATCGTTTAAAGTGATATTGTTCTGGTGCACCGGCAGACCCTTTGGCGTCAATTCATCGGACGCGATGTGCAAGGCACCAAATATTCTGCTTCAGTATGACTGCTTTAAGGATCACCTAGGTCTCTTGCTTCCCGAACCGACAAACCTTCTCGCTCTACGTCAGTCATTGGCCTTGCTAATCTTCTTTCAGAATCTAGGCTATGTTGTCTTATTCCTTTGGTTCCTGGGCTGACAATCGTCACGAGTACTTGCTGGCAGTTCTGGTTCTGTCTATGGTTTACTTGGTTGCTCCCTTGAAATGAGTCTAGTGTTCACTTGACAAAATGCTTGTGTTTTCAATTCCGCCCCCGTCCGAGAACCTCATCAAAACGGAGTCGTGGGACAACACGCCTCAAGGCTCAAGGTTCAAGGTTCCTCAAGATTCCTGAGGGAAGGGCGACTGCATTCCGTACAGATGTAGTCGTCCTGGCGCAGACCTTTCCGTGGTCCTCGGGATAAGTACTCACTTCAACGGCTTCGGCCAGAGTGAGGAAACCAGCATGCGCTTAAAATCAAGGTTGTACGTTGTTTCGGTAAATAACTACCTTGATACTTTATGCTAGCTTCATTAGAATCCCTTTCTTCCTATGTTGTTTTCAAATCCTAACACGATGTAATTACGATCGAGTATATGACATATACATGTAATGACATTTACGTTAAACCCCAAGCCTTCCGTGCGTTGGCATCCTCATCTCCAGAGATCGGAGACAAGTGATTCCAGATACCCGCAATCAACTTCTTCTCATCAGCACCCAAGAACAGAACAATAGTACTCCAACGAGGAACCCGCGCAAGGTTAGTCATATATTCTTTGATAAGAGTCGCATCTTCTGGCGTACTCGAATGTTTAATGACAGCGTTGAAGGTTTGGAGTATGGATACGAGAGTGGAAGGTTCGAGCGAGGATTTGAAGATTGCTGGAAGTGAGGCTGGTGCAATTTGCTGTATGTTGACGAAGAATAGATATATGGATCACGAATATAACATTCGGGAGAAAACCTTACCTGAATAAAAGCCCACCGTTGCTCTGGCAACTGGAAGGCATCCCAAATCTTCATAAAAGTGACCAGAGTTGTCGGCGTGGAGGCTTTATCATCTCTATTCTTCCCAAAAATAGTGTGTTTACCGCTTGGTCTGAAGATCCCACCACCAACCTTCGGCAGCGGCGCTATAGGAGGCGGAGAATGAGAGGTGGGCTGGGCCTTGGGTTCTCTTGCGGCTAATGGTGGAGAGGCAGCTGCTGGTATGGCAGGTTTTGGAGCAAGCATTTTCGGTGTAGTCTCGACAGAACTTGATGGCTGTGATGTGAGCGGACGTGAAGAAACTGGCTTCAAGAAATCGTCAGCAGTAGATACTGCAGAGGCAGGAGCAGCGACTGGTGTCTTCGATGAAGAGGATTCTGGTTCAACAATCGTAATGGGCACTCTTCTTCGCGCTGGGTGAGGAGGTGGATTAGGAACCGCAGCTTGTGACAATGCTGTCCGTCGAGCCGATTTCTAGTTCATGAATGAGGTCAAGGCTGAGACGTCACGAATGCAACAATAAACGGACTTCTCGCAGTTGCGCGTCCTTTTTCTTCAAAAGCTCTTCGGTCTTCACGATCTTCCTGTTGACATCTTGATTTATCGGGTCGAGCTTACTCGCTTGCTTTAGGTCTGCGCCAATGGGTGTCCTGTTTGATTCTAAACGTGCAATGACAGAGAAAGCATATCAAAGACATACCAGTCAGAGCTTCGCCATACTTCTCCAATGCTGCTCTCGCCTGTGCCCTCCTGAACCAAGCCTTCACATTGTTCTGGTTTAACCCGATAACTCGTGAGCAGTCTCGTTCGGCATCTTCGTTTCTGAACAATCCACAGTATGAGAACAAATCATGCAGCGGCGCACTTCACAGGTACATACTTGCCTAGTTTCAAATACGCAGCAGCTCGATTCAATGGTAACGTAGGGTTCTGTGCGTCCGCAACGATTGCGGCGGAATAATGACCAATAGCAGTAGGATAATCGCCTGCTTTGAAAGCGGTGTTCCCCTAAATAATAATGTTGATATCAATGTCTCAAGACTCTATAGCATGGCGTGCTACCTTGTCCTTTGAAATTTGGGCAGCTTCTGAGGTCATCGTCGTCAATATGCAAGTTCAATAGACAGGCGCCTAATACAGTCGATCATTCGCTCCAAAAGTCTACCTTCAACAAATTCCTGCTTTTCACCTTCAAATTTAGAGATCTCTCAGCGTTGATCGTGTACCTGCGATAATTGTAGCTTCACAGGGCGGGCATGAGCATTTATTCCTTTGAGCTATTTGAATCGATGTATAACAGTACTTGGTCTGCACTAAATGAAGCCAATTTTGGACACCGAATGGGGCTGTACGCCTTGAACTGCAGGATCAGTGTCGACCTTTGACATAGGCTCAATGTACTGTATAAGCCCTCCATGAGGTAAGTTATATCTCATATCTGAAAACTCTGTCCACGCAGAGAACGCCTTTTCTCCGTTTAGCTAAGTCACGTTTCACGATTCAATGATAGGCCGACCAACACTTGCGGCGTTCGAAAATATGTAGTAAGAAGCGAGTCTTGATTGACGTGCCATTCAACTCTTAAAAGGGATGATTGAGTGCATCAATGCAGAGCGAGAAACCATAGAGAATAAGGCTATTCGCTGAAATCATATCGGACGTGTCCGGCCGAAACGCCTCGTTCATCAAGTCCCTGCAGGCAGCTATAAAGGTCAAGATGAAGGTCCCATCTCAGACCCCTGCAATATTCAGCATGACTAACAATGGGAAAGACACCTGGTCTGCCGACACTTACAATCGAAATGCACCATTCGTGTATTCTGCCGCGTACACAACTCCGGTCTTATCATTGCTTGAAGCAAAACCTGGAGAGCGTGTCATTGACTTTGGATGTGGGAGCGGAGAACTTACGTTGCAGATCAACGAGGTCGTGAGTCAGCGTGAGGATGGAGTCGTAGTAGGGGTAGATGCCAGTGAGAACATGGTAATTGTCACATCTAAACAGGTGACTAACACTTTGTCAGGACTGACAGATGTTTCACAGGTCCAAAAAACGCGTTCAAATGGATTACGAAACGCGTTTGTGTCCGACATTCAAGACTTGATATTTCCCGTCGACTGGAACCTTTCATCACAAAAATGTTTCGACGCTGTTTTCTCTAATGCAACATTGCACTGGTGCAAGAAGAACCCGAACGGTGTGCTCGAAAGCGTGAAGAAAGTATTGAAGCCTGGAGGTCGATTCGCAGCAGAGATGGGCGGCTTCTTGAACTGCGTCGGTGTTCGTTCCGCTTTACATGAAGTATTGCGCAAGCATGACTACAATCCTACGGAGTTGGACCCGTGGTATTTTCCCACTGTAGAGGAGTACCGGGATGTAAGTGATGGCTTAGACCCGTGTATTGATGTCCAACTAACCGAATGTGCGTCCTAGCTCCTTGAAGCGGCTGGATTCATCGTGAGAGAGATCGGCCTCCATCCCCGTATAACGCCTCTTCCGGGTTCCCTCTACGATTGGTTGATAACCTTTTGTCGCTATTCCTGCTTGAAAGCGTTGTCAGACCAGGAAGCGGAGACGATCATGAGGGAAGTGGAGAAGATATGTGAGGTGGATTGCCGAAACGAGCAGGGAAAGTGGTCAATTATGTATGTTAGGCTGAGATTTGCGGCCGTTTTGAAATAGAGATACTACAGTAGTTCAAGTGGAGAAAATACGTCCGCGAATGAACGCGATCGAGATCATATCGATCATTCGCGTGACCTCGAGCAATCTGGCGTATTCCACTTGCAGTACTACTTGCCGATCCCAGCCGCATATTACGAACCTCGACCATGATACCCCTCTTTCCCATACCCTCCTACTTGTCTCCATCACTATGGCCGAGAAACCATTCACCCTAGCTGTGCCCGACGCAGACCTCGAGCTCTTGCGCAAGAAACTCGAACTTACACGACTCCCAGATGAGTTGGAAGGCTCAAAATGGGATTACGGTGTTCCCCTAGAGGACATAAAGCGGCTCGTCGCGAAATGGAAGGACGGATTTGACTGGCGTGCAGCTGAAGCGAAGATCAACGCCATACCCCAGTTCACTAGGGACATTGAAGTTGAGGGTCATGGGACACTGAACGTCCACTATGTTCACCAGAAGAGTGAACTGCAGAATGCTATTCCTCTCTTATTCGTGCATGGATGTAAGTCCATTATGGCGACTTTCGTGCGTAGAACTGCTGACCACTCTCTGGCAGGGCCCGGACACTTTATGGAGGTCGCGAAGCTTCTTCCTCTTCTTACTGCCGTAGCTCCAGACCAGCCCAGCTTCCATGTCGTCGCATTCAGCCTTCCTGGTTTTGGATTCTCAGAAGCTCCTAAGGAAAAGGGCTTTGCTATTAGTCAGTACGCCGAGGTACGTGACATTGCTGTTTGGCCGCATCCTTGAAAGGTAATTTACTGATTTGTGGTATTCCATAGGTTGGACACAAACTCATGCTTGCGCTTGGTTACAATGAATACGGTAAGCCTATCTGTTCATTCTCCGTCATTGTATTCTGATGGATTTGATTGACAGTGACTCAAGGTGGCGACTGGGGCTTCCTGGTGAAAGATTCTTGTAGTACTTAGACTTCCTAAGAACACTGACTGATATGCTGCCTTACAGATCACTCGTGTAATAGCTCAAAAATACGGCGGCAAGCATGCGAAGGCATGGCACACTAACTTCCCAGTGTGCGTTGACCCATGTCTAGTCTCATTCATGCACCACGCTGACATAATTCAATGGCACATAGTACTGGCCCTCCCTCCTTGACCTATTCTCCAGGTCTCTTCCTCCGATTCCTCGTGACCCCATTCAGCGCCGAAGAGAAAAAGGGTATCGAACGTACTATGTGGTTCCGGAGCAAAGGCCGCGGATATTTCGAAGAGCAATCAACCAACCCTCAGACGCTTGGCTACTCGTTGGCTGACTCACCTGCTGGACTACTTGCTTGGATTCATGAGAAACTTGTGACTTGGACAGATGGCTATCCTTGGACTGACGACGAAAGTGAGTACTTCTGTGTGGTCAAAGGTGATATGTCGTCGAAACCGGTGCTAACGCCTTCTCCCCTCATCGTTGAAGTATTAACTTGGATCTCGATTTATTGGTTCTCCCGGCCTGGTCCGGCAGCCTCAGTGAGGATTTACTACGAAGCGAGCACTGCAAAAGACTGGGACAAAACTCAATATGTCCCAATCCCATTCGGAATATCCCTCTTCCCCAAGGAGCTTGCGCGTGTACCAAAATTGTGAGCCTTTTCGCTCCTTCGTGAAGTGCTCTGAATGGCTGATTCCGACATGCGACACATAGGTGGACTCGGGCAATTGGTAAACTCGTGTTTGCATCTGAACATGAAAGCGGAGGCCATTTTGCTGCGCACGAGAAACCCGCGGAATTGGCGGATGATTTAAAGAAGATGTTTGGGGTAGGTGGACCTGCGTTTGGTATTGTGACTGGTAAAAGTGGGTACACCGCTGCCTAGGTAGACAATCAAGGTGTGTGCCAGTCAGAAGTCTAGTTATAAAGGATATTATCCGGGCCTTGTAACGTAGGCTTGTAATATTACTCAAGGGTAGGTAATACGCCGTATATGTTTTGTATGTCGCCCTTTTTTTTCTTCTTTATCGTGTAGGTTCTCTTGGAGGGATTGGCTACGATCGACAAGCATGTTGGATCACTGATCAATCGCGTGATCTCAATAATTCAAGAGTTAAAAACAGGCCCAACTCATCATTGCTGGCTCAACTTTCTATCTGCATTTAGATCCTAACCCCAACGACCCGGGCGTTGCAGAGGTAAGCATGAGACAGCCAATTGAAGGAACATCTGTGATTTCATTACTCGCAGTGTGATGGGAAATCCATGCATGCACTAAATGACTAGAAGTTCTAGCGAGTCGGAGCCACACATTTCCCATATCTTAGGAGTCACAATGCCAAACTTATCACTATATACCTCATAGTGTGGCCTGCAGGTCCTGGACCATGACTCTGGCGTTCCAGCTCTACGAGGTCATGAGTTGGCGTGAGGGTAGGCGTCGATGCTAGTGAGAACATGTTAATGAGTCACACGCGGGGCGCGGCATAGGGGCAGTCAACCACGAAGTCGGCAAGTTATCGTAGGCCCAATTGGAACATTAAAACTTGGTCCTGTTATAGTTTTCAGCTGCAAAACAGAATAGCGGAAACTGAGTTTTCATTTATGAATTGTAGCTCATGGGGCAGTGAGATAGAAATGTGATCGACCTGCAAGTCGTACCGATCAATCGCACGATCTCGAGTTCAGTTAACTACTGTAAGTACATAGAGGTTTCTAATTTGCTTACTTAAAGGCAAACATCTAATATGACATGTGGGAGTCACCCTATGCGCAAGTAGTGTGGCGAGAATCGCCATGAGCTGGCGAGTTTCTGATCAATCCTCATGATGACAAACTCAACTTGGTATCCCTCGGGATTGCGTTGTTAGCTCCTATATATCGTGAACCTCAGCAGTGCACCCTTTCTCTCAGGCTTCCAAACACAAATTACTCACCATGGCCGAGAAACCATTCACCCTCGCTGTTCCAGATGCAGATTTGGAGTTCTTGCACAAGAAACTGGAATTCACGCGACTCCCGGATGAGCTGGACGATGCCAAGTGGGACTACGGCGTACCCCTGGACGATATCAACAGGCTTGTTGCCAAGTGGAAAGATGGATTCGACTGGCGCGCCAGTGAAGCTGCAATTAATGTCATTCCCCAGTTTACTCGGGATATTGAAGTCGACGGACACGGCACGCTAAATATCCATTACGTTCACCAAAAGAGCAAATTGGAGAATGCTATACCTCTCCTCTTCGTGCATGGATGTATGTCTCATGTATTCTTTACCACCTACATCTGATTACATCGCTTAACATACAGGGCCCGGACACTTTATGGAGGTCGCGAAGCTCCTCCCTTTATTGACCGTTGTCGCTCCTGATCAGCCGAGTTTCCATGTCGTCGCTCTTAGCTTTCCAGGATTTGGTTTCTCTGAGGCACCCAAGAAAAAGGGATTTGCCATGACCCAATACGCTGAGGTGAGTAAAACCTTGTCCCCTACGCGGTCTCGAATTGACGACGCATTGTGATCCTACTATAAAGGTTGGTCACAAGCTGATGCTTGCCCTCGGATACAAGGAATACGGTAAGTTTACACTGAAAGTGACTGATGCAAAACCATAATGCTAACCTCATGAGTCCGTGACAGTTACTCAAGGTGGCGATTGGGGGCACGTGGTAAGTCGTTCGACAACACTGCGGAGTATCCTGTGATACTTATATTCCCGTTATAGGTCACTAAAACAATAGTCCAAACGTACGGAGGGAAACACGCCAAAGCCTGGCATAGCAACTGTGTAAAGTGTGTCGTGATCGTTTCTCCTTTGCTGTGACCATTTGCTGATCTGACATTCCAAATGTTAGTAACACGGGTCCACCGTCCTTGAAGTCAACCCCATGGTTATATCTCAAGTACCTTGTGACACCTTTCAGTGAGGATGACCGAAAAGGTTTCGAGCGGTCTGCTTGGTTCCAGATGAAAGGCACTGGTTACTTTCAAGAACAGTCAACGTACCCTCAGACGTTGGGGTACTCCTTGGCAGATTCACCTGTCGGTTTACTTGCGTGGATCTATGAGAAACTCGTCACTTGGACTGATAATTATCCGTGGACGGACGATGAAGGTTGGGAGCCTAATTACTTCATGCCATATTCTCTGGTTTTGATCATGCTTTCTTAAGTCTTGACGTGGATCTCGCTTTACTGGTTCTCTCGACCTGGGCCCGCAGCATCTGTGAGGATCTACTATGAGGTTGTGGCCGCTTCCGACTTCACGAGGCCGCAATGGATATCTGTTCCCATTGGATTTTCCTACTTCCCGAAGGAACTCATGATAGCTCCTAAGCTGTAAGCTTTCACGCATTCATTCACCTATGCCAAAGTCCTGAAGATCAGATTCTGACATAAACTTCTTCAGGTGGGGCCGTGCGCTCGGAAACGTCGTCTTCGAATCCGACCATAAGAGTGGCGGACATTTCGCTGCACATGAGAAACCCAGGGAGTTGGCGAAAGATTTGAGAAAGATGTTTGGGATCGGTGGACCTGCATTTGGCGTCGTTTCCGGTAAAAGTGGATATACAGTGGCTTAAGGCACTTTGAGCGTGGACTGGACCTCATCCAAATGGGACGATATTGCATTTTCCGTAGTTCCCGGCACTTGGACTTCATATGTTTCGTTTTCAAGCTTGTCATCGATGCAGAAATTGTAATTGCTCCTCTCAGTTGGATCAATGGATTACATGCAGAGCTTCCTTGATGCATGGATGTTATCAAGTCAATTTCTCGACACAGACTTTGGGAAAGCACGAAACTTACAAAACTCGAGCGCGCTGGTTGTGCAAATTCATCCAATTCATAATTAAAACAGGTTGGAGACCCTCAAACTTCAGTGATAGTCGATAGAGGATAAATAATCTCTTCTTGCTCTCCTCATCCAGACGAAGCAGGATTTCCAACTGCTCTAGAAACTAGGAAATAATAGTCAAAGTTGTCTGAAGGAGCTGAAAGAACAATGAGTCAGAATGACAGGATCTATCCTCAGTCGCCACGGATACTCCAAGTCAAGGATAAGCGTTTGGTGTAACCTCAGAAGGTATTCGCGTAAACTGTCGTTGAAAAGTCTCCTTTCATATACGGAGTTCGTGCATATCACGCATCGCAGCTAAACTCAATCACGAGCCGTCAATAACGCAAACCAATACTAATACAGAGAAGCAAGTTACGGTGAAGCTTATGCGACGCCCTTTTGGATGTAATCAGATGGACAGTGAGATCGCGTTCATCGCGGTTGCGAGGATATTTGCCTATATATTTCCATCAACGGTCATTCCTAAGCGTCCGGATCAGGGCCAACAAGGATGAACGTGCCCCCAATAGGGTTTCCCAGCCCAACCTCACTAGCGAATTGACTGATGTTGAAGTTTGCGATTGAAGTTGTAGCGTTCACTAATGTCTGTCTGTCAAAACCTTGGGGTTGATTAAACAAGAGGAACACATAGCTATAAAGCAACATCAACATCTGCATCATTAATCAAGCCGCCTCGCTGATTGACCGGTGAGGATCTGAGCCAGCAGGAGGGGTTGGTTGGAGGAAGTTTGATATCGCAGCTGTAGTATTGACCAGTCTTTCCGTGCGCGAGGTTGGTGCAACCTGAACGTGGAAATCGCCTCCCAAGAAATGTCTTATCTGGGCCTCTGTGGGAGTTTGGGGAGTGGGTGCGTCGGGGTCGACCGCAGCTACCACGAAGCTCTGGCTGGGAGTGAGGAAGCTATCGCGAACTGCGAAGATTGGGGGCCCGACGGTGGCTATACATGCATATGAAGATCACGAGTGCGAACACGGAAGGCTTACAGCGTTAAGAACATACCATTTCGTGGCAATTGAATACCAGCGTGAACTTGAACTGGAGGACCTGAGGCTTGAGGGAAAGCGACTTCAAAGAGTACGCTAGGGTTGAATGTGATTTGCACATCAGACGGGATCTACAATGAAGGTACGTGGATGCCGAATACAGATGAATTTGAAGATTCCCTTCTCACATTAGCAGTATTGAAGGCCCTCCGCACTGCAGCAAGACTAACATCTTGACCAGTAGTAAAAGTGACCAAAGACAGGAATAGTGTGCCGACCGTCATGAAGCGCATGTTGGACTCGAGTCGCGATGCAAAGAGAGAGGCTGATGCCGAGTGTAGACTTTATACCGCTGAAGGGTGATATCAGAGATGGCGAGGGTGGCGTAGCTCGATTGGCTGATTCGTTCTTTCGTGCGATCGGCATGGCTCTTGTGAGAGAGTATTACGGAGATGAAGAGAACATTAGTATTTCCGGTCATCGCCTTTGCTTGCAAAGGCAAGAAACTCCACGGCGCAATATTGCCAGGCAAAAATAGGGAGTATGGGATCGGTACATGAAAGCTACTCCATTATGCCGTGGTGAAGAAGGTCGCCTTGATTCATTCAAGCGGAACTGACGGCTTCGCGAGGCGTGGCAGAACCAAAGCTGTGTGAATGGACAAACGATGCTTGGGACACTGAGAGATTCCTCAGTGATATTTTCACAGAGTCCATGAATACATGTGAACCACAATCGGGAGTGCCGTCGCTGTGCAGTGTGCACGTTCCTACGTGGCATCACAGAAGCGCTCCGAGCTTATAGTCCAGTTTTCTGTAAACAGGGAGACAGTCATTCATACGCAGCTAGTTTGGTAGTCTCCGGGAGGTACATCAAGCTTGCAAGATACAGGGAGGTTGGGTCGAGATCAAAAAGCGATCAAAAAACATTCAACTGTAAGCAGCTCTAAGCGCCGAATCTTTCCGCTTGGGACTACTAGCTTTACTAGTTAGTGTTTTCGGACTAGGTCATCTCGCCACCATGGCTCTGGCGGCGAGAACAGGCTCAGTGGCCATTCGACCAACGAGGTATTCGTCTGTGACTTTGATGTTGCTCGATTCTGGCTGTCCCAATCAAGCCTTGTCAGTTGAACGGTGTGAATTATCGCTTTCATTCTCTTTGTCAATGGAGAACTTATTCCGATGCTCAGCTTTCCTTGTCCTTCCTTGTAGGTCAAAGCATGACACTACTCCTCCTAATTCATCGAACTGAAAGTGTTGGCTATCGGCTAGCTGGAGGAGCAATGTTTCAAAGTGTTTTCTGTCTCGATCTCGCAGAATCGAACATGTTCTGCGCACGGCTTCGTGAAAGGCTGAAATGTCAATCACGATCGTTAAATGTGGTATGGACCGTCAGATATCGGAATAAATGAAGATGAATTCCCAGAAACTTATACCAGTCGCTGACGACATTGATCATCGGTGTCATACGATTTTCCCACTCCGAGTCATAAACAGGATCAATCCACTTTGAGAAAAGGAGCTGTCGGACCCGGTCGCTTATATCTCGCCAGACGCACCGCAACACTCCTTTGTACGTCCTCACTTCAACCTTTTCAACGACTCACAGTCACGAGCATGACAACTCCAGAACAACCGTTCACCTTAACTATTCCGGATGCAGAGCTAGAATTACTTCACAAGAAACTCGAGCTTACGCGATTCCCAGACGAATTAGAAGGTGCCGGGTGGGACTATGGTGTACCATTGGCGCACGTGAAGAGACTTGTGGCTAGATGGACAGATGGCTTCGACTGGCGTGCCAGCGAAGCAGCCATCAACACTGTACCACAGTTCACGAGAGACATCAACGTTGAAGGGTTCGGCACATTGAATATACATTACGTGCACCAGAAAAGTGATCTTGACAGCGCGATTCCCTTGCTGTTCGTCCATGGCTGTAAGTATCCTCCAATTTCGCTCTCGTCTATGCTCTCTTGACACGGTGACAGGGCCTGGACACTTCTTAGAGGTCACAAAGCTACTTCCGTTGTTGACGACTGTGTCTCCGGAATTTCCAAGCTTCCATGTCGTCACGTACAGTCTTCCTGGTTTTGGATTTTCAGAAGCACCAAAATCAAAGGGTTTCACCTCCAAACAATACGCAGAGGTGGGCTTTAGATAAGGTCAATCCTGACTAACAGCATGCTGAGCGAACAACGCTGTGCAGGTAGGACACAAATTGATGCTCACGCTTGGATACAATGAATATGGTCTGCCTCATATTCAATCTCAGAGCGTATTCTCACATCATCTGTGACAGTGACACAAGGTGGAGACTGGGGTTTCCTGGTAAGAATACACCTGAGAGTATTAGAGTCCTGATGCTAGCTATGTTCTGATACCAGATCACTCGACGAATAGCGCAGCTATACGGAGGATCCTACTGTAAGGCCTGCCATACCAACTTCCTACCGTAATCGAGCCTTCCCTATCAAAACAATGAATGTTCAGATTAAAATTTTCCTCCCAGGTTGATTGCGCCTCCACCTTTCAAGTCTAACCCTGGCTTGTTTCTCAAGTACTTGACAACTCCATACACGCCTCTCGAGCGTGAAGGCCTGAAGCGCACTGAATGGTTCCTCACTAAGGGACGTGGATATGAGGCGGGACAGTCCACCTATCCCCAGACAATAGGCTACTCCTTAGCTGACTCTCCTATTGGTTTGTTGGCGTGGATATATGAAAAACTTGTCCTTTGGTCTGATGATTATTCTTGGACTGATGACGAAAGTAGGCTGCTGCTCTGCCTGTTGAGACCTCGACTCATACTTTGAACTAGTCTTGACATGGGTGTCGATCTATTGGTTCTCCCGTTCTGGACCAGCTGCCTCCTTGAGGATCTACTACGAGGCAACACCTGAATACTTCAAGCCAACACCATGGTCAGCAACCCCCTACGGTATATCCCTATTTCCAAAGGACTTGATTCGAGTCCCAAAGCTGTGAGCTTCATTTCTCCTTATTCAAGCTCTCTTCATACTGATCCACGGGGGCGATTATGCAGATGGGCACATAGCGTCGGAAACTTAGTCTTTGCAGCTGAGCATGAAAAGGGTGGGCATTTCGCCTCTCACGAAACGCCAGAGGTCTTGGCTGGTGATTTGAGGAAGATGTTTGGTAAGGGTGGGCCTGCGTATGGTGTTGTTCCAGGCAAGAGCGGTTACATTGCGTAGATAACCCATATCAGAGGTTAGTCAAAGTTCTAATAACCGCGGCGTTGTTTGCTGTAGATTGCTTAAGACTCCTGTCCAGGTCAGAGGCAGGGTTTATTACTATCTGATACGTGTATCTAAAGGAACGCCTTCCTCTAACAAGGGTTGCGTCGAAGGATAGTCCGATAGATATCGTTGAGACGAAACTTCATCCAGGAGTACGGACGCTTACGGGTATACGTCCCGATGACAGCGACAAGAAGAATGCCGCCGAGCAGTGATACCATTGACTTTTGGCAGCTCTGGAACTCTAATCACTTATCGTTCTTGCTTGAGCAATGTTATCATACCCGGGATTCTTTCATTTTTTTTTGTTTGGTGGGGCGCGGTGATATACACCATGGCTTCCAGCAGCTACACTCACGTAGTTCCGGTTGCCCGCCGGGATTCTTTCATTCCATTTCCGGTACGTTTGAATTTCCTATCAGAAATACATCTGATTCTGACCATCGGTGGCGGAGTGTGGTAGAAATATTGCGCTCCGAGACCACAAACGTTCCCATTGTCTCCGTGTGGAATACAGCGTCATTGCCTCATAAAAGCTGGCGTCCTCGGGGATACACATCGCTGAAATCTAACATCAGGATTCGCGGCTTCCGATGTAATTCAAATTCCTTGAAGAGTACCAACTTCAACTTCGCTGTAGTCTCGGGCCCCGGTCGTCGATCATTGGCCGAAGCTGCGTTCGATAGTATCCTCAGTCTACCCTCGAACGATGACACGGTCTGCCAAATCGTCGATAGGTGAACACTATCTGTCAATTTCGACTATTCTGCTGTTTACCTATGATCTCTTCATGAATAGGCCCGATGGTTGCTCGGTGAACGAATCTTGGATCTGCACAGCGTCGGTCTTCAATGTGTAGCGGTCATCTCGGCTACACAAACATACGGTAAGGGCGGTTTTCTCTTGCGATATGTGGGCGAGATTTTGTTGTTGATCCGAATCTTTCATTCTATTGGTACAATCTCTAGACTCTCAAGCTTGCTCTCTTTCTTATGAAATGTTTCATACGGGGCTGTAAACCTGTAGCCAATGAACAATGTAGAGACGGTGAGAGCGGGTATGAACTCACATGTGGAATGGCGTCGAACACGGATAATGCTCTTTTACTCCCACAGATCATACAACACAGCAAAGATGTCCCGGTTGTCCATATCATTTCCAGTTCAATTTTGCCGTTTGCTCAGGGCGTCAATAGGGCCACTCACTGGTTCGCAAGCGACGAAACCATTATACGAGAGACAGCATCCATCGTTGAAATCTCCGCCATACAACCTCTCAAACAAAAGTCTACCGCGCAGCTAGGATGCCACTGGCCTTTGACACTACTGAAATTCTCTCCGCAAGTCTGTTTCGCAATGTTCTGAGAACGGTGATTCGTCGACGAAAATAGTGCTCATATTCTCTCATCACGTCCATTGATTTAGATTTGGTACTCACAAAAGCCAAGAAGTGATCTTTTCCGCGCGTATCCTTTTGTTCATCGCCTTTCTCTAACAGTGACTAGGCATTCACCATCCAACGTTTACATTTGCGGTTCAGAAGCCTTGGGGGGCGGCTATCACATCAGATGGGCCATGGTGTGTGTGGCATGAGGTAACGACGACTATCAACACGCCTCATGTGTACGTTTCCCTCGTATCTGGTAGTGCATTTGAAGGTGCCCGAAAGGGGTTGCGATTTCTCCCGTAGAATGCATCAGTGTATCTCTGGTCGCTACACCAAACCTTGTCCTCCCGAAACCGAATACAAGGGAAGACCTATCGAATACTTGCAATCAGTAACACTTGATAGACGCAATATCCTATACTACACTCCATCTCCTCCACCCCTGCATGCACAACAACTCCCAGACCATCCGGTGATCCACGGAAAACGAGGCAAAGCTGTTCATGCATCCCCGAAGCCAAATGCGTATACATCATACCTGGCTCTATCTGTTTGATGTTCAGCCCTCATACATGTTTTTCCGGAAACTACCTTTAACTGCATGATCTGTCGCTTCTTTCCCAATAGCTTGGCGGCTAATGGGGCCTGACGTATAGACTTTTCACCGGATTCTTCAATTCGCTTTCACTCCTTCGGTCAGAAGGTCTCCCGCATTGTGCAGACGCGCACTGCTCGCTTTGCTCTGGGAAACTACTTCGACAAAGTAAGTGCGCACGACCATCCCAAATTTGTACGCGGGTTCTTGATAGTGTGGGCAATGAAGGGGGCCAAGGCAACCGAGGGAGAGTAATAAATTGAACCTAATACAAGGTAGCATCGCCCGTTTCCGAGTCTACATGACCGAACAATGAAATTGTATGTGAGTTTTTCCTCTTTCCCGAAATACCGTGATATGAGCCAGGCGTACGTACACGATAATGAACAAGCATCTTTCCGTTGCGTTCACCATTGAGCGAGGTCATATCTGACTCACAGCCGGAACGCACGTCCGGCGACTAAAGGAGTAAGCTCTGGGAGAGCGATGCAGAACCCAACCCTGACCGTGGCATAGTTAGACAGAAACTGACATCTTCAAGGCACCATCTACGATTGGAGAAATCCCGAGACAGCCCCGTCCAGCCTTTGGGCTACACTGGCTCGAAGATGGGATTGAAAAGTTTCCTTTTAGTGTTCGGGGTGTCATGTAGCCCGCCGGTAACGTTGGAACGATCAGAACTTGGCATTGATTATTGACGATTGAGAGGTACGTGAAATGGGGCTAAGCAGTGGCGACGCGATGCATTGTATCTGAGCGTCCGCGTCTCTTCACTTACGAAAATAATGTAACAACTTCTAGAGGCTGGGCCCTTGATGCCATTCATCTCGTGGATCACACATGAGGTAACGTGAAAACCCCATAGCGTCAACGTTAGAGCCATCTGAACAATACCCCACCCTCTCTCAAATTCGCAAGAGGGTCCTGGCCCCGGATCCTGTACCCTGTGTAATTTCGCCGGTGTGGGTATAAAGCACGAAACATTCGGTAACCGTTATCCTGAAGAGCGTAAGTCCAAGGGACCTTTGGAAATCACCTTGGTCTGCTGATCTAGTAGTGAATGGTACTCGACAGAAAAGGCTAAGTTGCCTACCGGGTATCTGTAGAGTTAGGTAAAGGGAGGTACATGAATTGAAGTTTCCCCGCCTCGTTTTTCATCCAAGCACCTCATACCAAGTGAAATGCTGCGCAGTATCGCGCGGAGGTGGGGATCTAGGACCCGGAGTTCTATCATGGAAGCTCAGGACAATGAATCGCGCAGCCTGCAGCCTATGTGGTTGTTCGAATAGCCATCGTTAGTGTGCGTGGCGATAACGTACACTAGTACAAGGTAACTGGGTCCAGTCTCGCGGAGCGCGGAGTGTTTTTCCCTAGGAAGTTCCGACTGAATCTATAGGCGCAGATAGTACGTTTCCAAAACACATCTTCTGACCGTGACTGGTTTTGGCCTCACTGGAAGAATGACGATCGATTCGCGCATAGCTTTATTTAAAGTAGAATCCCCGGTGCGATCGGAAACAATGGGGACTAAGTAGGTTTTTCGCACATGGTGCATAGGGCGGCGATGATACAGTACTTCCACACAGGCACTCTCTCCCCCTTCCCCACTTCTAGCACTACGAACGAGGAACAGATACTAGTACGTGCTGTAAGAGGTGGCAAAGGGGTGGGAGGGAGAAAGACCCATAAAGCCGCATAACGTTCACGAATACGTTCTCTTCATCCTGAGAAGACTTCTGACTGAATCAAGCAAACGAAGAGGACCCGTGAGAGTTCCACGACTCGAATGTTCACTGGGAAGACCGTTGGCCGAGGGCACTGTATCTTATACGATATGCATACTAAAGCGTGATCCACGAATGGATGCGAACTTTTCCTTATGCAACGCAGTAAAGTAAGGTGGGGGGGAAATTGCAAATCGGCACCCGGTCGTATGATGATGGATATGATTGAAATCATTGAAGCCTCTCAGAGGGGTGTTCCTATCGATGGGAGAGTGCGTGTGTTTCTCCATCACGCTCGTGTTCTCATTTACTACACAGATGATGGCTGACAAAATTAATACTAGTACAAGCTTGCAGGGAAGTGTTCCTCCTCAGTGCGAAACTTAAGGCAAGGAAAACGGCCCCGAGGTGGATTAAAAAAGCTTGCAATGATGTAGAGCCAAGCCTTGGGAGCCGAGGATCTTGACTGAGTATCGCAACGCGCTCACAACTAAATTGCGAATAGACTGTTCTGTTGCTTGTGGAAAACGAGAGAAGAGTCGAAGGCTTCCAAGAATGATAGGTACGTGCAGCTTCGTGATAGAACAAGGAATCCCGGAGCTGAACGCGATCCGCCCCGGAGAGGTTGCAAAAGGAAAGGAACATGCTACAAAGCCTGTATATTGGAATTACTAATAATCACAGAGCAGAGCGACGACAAGAAAGAGAAGGAGAGAGGTCTAGTGGCGTGGACGAGAGAGAGGAAACGGATTACTTATCATACAGTAAGGTACGTAATACAGATAGAGTGGAAGTCCTTCGCGACCGAGCAAGTAGTACAAGATGACTGGAGACAAGAGAAAGGGTGAATAACAAGGGCACGGGATAGCAAAGATGATGCCAAGAGCAAGAAGGGATGACGTTAGCCTCACGGTAGCGAGGTACTAGGGATGGCTTCGTATGTTACGACGTTGTCCACACAAGTCCAATAGAAAAGAGGCAAGACAGTAGCAACGAAGAGCCGGAAACCAAAAAATTTTAACACTTTTCCGACGTTTGAACGATGAATCCCCTTTTCAGGACAAGCAAATACAGGAAGAGAACAACTTGAGCCAGCAAGTAGACGATGGCGATGAGAATGCAAGAGACGTGCGGGAGTCCATTCTACTGAGGGGTCCCGAATCCCGATCCAGGCTGAGGAGATGACGAATGCTCAGGGAAAGAATACCTCGACGATCCATGATACTCTCTCTCCTCGTGCGGAGTCAAGACTCTTCCACCGCCGCTGGACCCGGAAGGCGAATGATGACCGTGACTAGAGCTATGCATATAAGGACTGTTGCCGCTGCTGTTGTGATGGTTGTTGTTCGAAGGGGTCGAATTGGAATACAGGGATTGCTGTTGATGCGGCTGTGAGCCCAAGAACGGGTTGGGGTTCGAAATGGCAGGCGCACTCATCGGGACGCTCAGATATCCAGCAGATCCTCCATTGCTATGGGATCCACTTGAGCTGTGGGACTGGGCATGAGGATGTAAAGTGGAGACTCCGCTTGGGTAGGATAAACGGTTGCTTGCATAGGAAGAATCATACGGATGATGGTGGCTGGCGGTGGCAGAGAGGCTACCGACGCTAGAATGGCTGCTGAGACTGCGAGTCATGCCTACCATTTGACGAGTGGAAGACATGCCATGCTCAAAGGGCTGAAGGGTCATGGGGTAATACAACTGAAGGGTATCAGTAGGCATGGAAGCCCTGCGACCGGTGTCGATGAGAGGCCCGGAACGCGAAGAGAAGGGCGTGGTGGTAGTGGGGCCCTGAGCTGCACGGTGAGCAGGAGCGAGAATACGTCTGCGAGCCTGTTTGGACGGTGAGAAAGGACAGAAAGATAATCAAAAAAAGAAACTAACATTGATCATCCAGTTTGAGACCTGAGACATGCTCAAGCCAGTGGCGTGGCAGAGCTGCTTCTTCTCCTCCTCGGACGGATATGGATGGTCTGAATGTCTGTGCAGCCAGTCCTTCAAGAAGTCTGTCACCGGCTTTGGCAGCTTCCCACGCTTCCGGGGCTGCCGCTCAACCAAGGATGGGGCCGGCGCCTGCGGAGAGCGCGTTGGAGAAGAGCCCACTGACATGGCCGGGGCCGTAGACGTCGCCGACGCGAGACCAGAAGATGTGGTCGAGGAGGCACTCATGGGATAGTCCGCGTTGGGGAAATTCCAGTCTGACTCCGTTTTAATACCAGGCATGCTCCCAAGGCCGTTGCGAGCGGAATTAACGCGATCGGAATGGTGATGTTGTCCCGAAATACGTGTGACCCCTCCAAACAATTGTTGTTGCGAGCCTGGACCACTCAGTGACGAATGCCGGAGACTGTCCTCGTATTTTATCGACGGCGAAAGCGCTCCGGCTAAATGACCCGGAGTCGAGTTGGGTCGGACGATGCCTGCAGACGCCCAATGATCGTCGGCCACACTCAGACCCGACGACGGTGTTTTGTAGTCTGCGGAGGAGAGGGGAGACTGCGAGGGGAACGAAAACGAGGGGGAACTCGAGAGTGTGTAGTCACTATATAGACCGCTGCTGATCTCGAGGCGTGGGCGCGAAGATAGTTTGTCCTCCTCGGGAGGTGGGAATTGATATGCAGAAAGACCAGACGCCGACTGCGAGGGACGGTGATTTGGCTGAGGGAGACGAAGACGGTTCGACTCGGGATAAAGAGTCGGGAGCGACGCGCGACGCGTTTCGTGGCGGTCCTGGAAGGTGGAAGCAATAGAAGGGAGTTGGACACGAGGACTACTCAAAGCAGAATGGTCTTCGAGTGGCTGAGGCGAGGGCGTGTTGGTGTTGGACCAAGCACTGGGATCGAGGGAAGGGCGGAGCTTTTTCGGGTTGGGGGAATCTGACGGGGACGGACCACGCTTATCTGGACGTGACTGAAAGCTGCTGTCAGACGCGGCCGAGCTTGACATGCGCCGTGAGTAGTAGTCGATCTCGGCGTCTGGGGTATGCCTGCAGCGGGTGTCAGTGGATGTGTTTGAGCATCAGACAAGAAAGCACTGACACAGAGACTACCGCGGGAGAAGCCTCGCCAGAGAGGTGGTCGAGGAGACGAACGTCAAACGCGAGCGGGTCGATCTGGGCGTTCTTGGAGTCTTCGCTGTTTAGAGGGAAGGAGGACTGTCAGTGGCTGTCGATCTAAAGCAGACTTTAAAAAGGCAGGAGCAGGCAGGAGCAGAAAGGCGTGGGGAGACAGGTGACAGGCGGGCGTGACAGGAAGGGGGGAAGGTTAAAACTCGTACGTACAGAGCAAACTGGAGCTGGGCAACGTTATAGCTATTGAGCGGTTGCGCGTCAGCGTTGGTCGGCTGTACGTCGATCATGGAACTGAAGCCGGGGAGTGGGAGCTTGGAAAGGGCTAGCGTGGAGGAAAAGGAGCGCAGATAGAGCTGGCAGGAGGCAGGGTAGCCAGAAGAGGATATGTGCGCCTGTACCTGTAGAATATCTCTGGAAGCAAAGACGGACGGCAAACTGATCAAATTGGTGAGTGGACACGCGCAGCCCTCGTATTTATCCTATTCGCCCGAAGATGCATGGGAAGACTGTTGGTTGAGGATATCACTGCCACATCAGCTCCTTGTTGCAATTCCGTCCTGGGCGTTTCCTCTTGAACAAGAGGGGGGCGTGTGGATTGGGGAATAGCAGCGCATCTCTGCGCATCTGGACGCCTTGCCCATCGCTATGGCCGCCATCTTTGCCTGCCAGTGCCAGTCGCTGGCTGATGGGTACCGTCCACATGTATGCTCCAGATCTCTGCAAAGATCCATGCGCCGTTCTCCTGCACTGGATTGTCTCCGTGTCCCGACAGGTACCAGACCTAACAATGCAGTGCTTTCAATTAATCACCAAACCATATCTCCTGCCAAACACCTCTAAACAAAACGACCCCCTTGCCGTACCTGCCTTTTCTGGTACTTTTAATTGCCGTCCCCAGCCCCCCGGTTCCGCGGCCGCATTGCTGTCGTCGATCTGCACTGCGACCGACGCCCGCCACCGACGTCTGCAATCGAGTATGCAGCCCGTACGGCATCTGCGAGCCCGCCGGGTCCGCGCGCATGTCCTCAGCTCTCCTCGTCTGCAACCTCGTCCTAGGTCAATAGTTGCCGCGTATGGCTATATTACTCAATGCCTTTTGATTCCACATATCCAGCAATCGCCAGTCCTCTCCGTGCTCGCTGCTCGATATTCAGGCACCTTTCTCCAGTCACCTGCGTTTTCGCAGCTTACATACAACTCTGCGATTCATGAGTCCTCCCCCAAGCTGCGCAGGCACAAACTATCATACAAACAACTCCATCCATGTCCATCACTTCGGGCTCGGGCCTCTCAATACCTATTGCACTCCTCCTCTCGGAATCTTTCGTCCAACTCCACCGATGTGCTTGATGTGCAGCTTAGCTGAGAGTATAGATCCCCCCAGATCATGCGAACAATCCAATCATGCCATCATACTATCACTACAGATCATGCAGACACGCCTATCGATACATGTCCCCCTTGTTCAGCCGCATCAGGGCTCTCAAGCATTGTCACAACCCTTCTCTTTGCATTGACGAAATACACAGGGCTGTGTTTTAATGAACCTTTGTTGCCGTTGCAACGTTCTTGTCCACTTGTCTGCCTTGCGTTTGGGCGAACACTTTCTCTCGCTAATATACTCGATACAATTCATGCAATTCATATATGTCTCCTTCGTCGGGGCTCCTTCTGACCGTTTCGATCTCGATGTCACGTTCTCACGACGCAATGTGTCCCCATACGTCTGTCCCAGCTCTTCCCTCTCGCCTTCCCTCTCTTCCCTGTCACTCTCTGTCTTCTCCCGGCGCCACCATACCAGTAAAATTAAATCTCGAATTGACAAATACGTATTTTGCATCAACCTTCAGATGTACCACATCATCGGTCCTTCCCCTACCACCACCGCTGAGTTCTGAGTCTCGAGTCTTGAGTCTGAGATTTCCACTGTTGTAGAACCTTGTAACTTACCCAGCCAACTCGTGATCGGACTCAAACTCCAGCTCGCCATCTGTTTGGGCCACCTCCGTACCTTGAACTTCTTTGATAAATCCCCTACCTCGGCACTCTAAATACACTTCATAACACACCAATTCCTTCCCAATTCGCTCCACACATCAAGCTTTGAGCCTCAAGGCCTGATCTTCGCTGTCCAACAGATGATACGCGATCTACCTACACACACTCTCTCCTCTCTCTACTCCCTGTCCCCCTGCCTTCCTGTCAGTGCAATGCCCTGCGAGCTTAGATTCATCAACGCATCAAGTATCACGCCTTTTTCTGTTGCTAATCCTGTTTACTCATCCCGTTCGCCCGACGAGCCCTTGACCTCGAACTTCCTTTCCCTCCATACTAGATAATCATCAAACAAGATGTGCTTCCCTTCCTTCATTATACAGGTCGCGCCCTTCCTCGGAGCGGAGGTTTAGGTAAGTTTCTCGCTCAACGGAGCTTTCTTTGTTTTGTTTGCTCTTTCCTCTTTCGGTTTCCCCCTTCCTCCGTGTGGTTGGCTATAGGACTCGGGAGTGTATCCGCGTTACTGCTGTTACAGGCTGCACATCGGGGACTAGAAGCTCAAAGCGGCACTCGCAACAATCCGTGCTCTTGAGACAAATTAATCGGACGACGCGGAAAGAATTCGAAAAGCCAATGACGAGGGAAGCAAACCTAGATATGCAAACTTAATACGCAGATAAAGTTTATATATACATTCAAATAATAAATACCATATGTAATGATTGACGAAAATGCAGTTCCAATTAAATGCCTGATCCTTTGTCGGAATGAACACCACATGGCGTGAAAAGAGCCACTACGCACTACCATTACGACCACAGATCCCTAGCTAACGTTACTCGGCCAAGGGATAAAAATCATTGAAATAAGTATTCATCGCGCCCGAGCCATGATACATGACCACTTGACTGTACACACCTGGATGCCAATTACCTTCTTCGTGTAGGCAGTGAATAGAACGAGGTATTTGAAACTGCCGGCAACCGCGGAAAGCCCAATCATTATCATCCTCGTGACAGTACGAGCACACAACTGGCCTCTTACGCAAATGCATTCCAACACGCAGTGTTTATTCTCCCACCGGCCAAAAGGAAGAACAGGCGCGAGCACGAGTTCTCCCGCGAGAGGCTCCAGAGAGACGCAGTACCCACAGTATCCAAATTACGCAAATCGACAGAGTCCAGAACCCAAAAAACTATGCCCCCGAGCTCCCGAGCCTTCCTATTCAGTCCGAGCCTCCGATCACTCTCGCATATCAAATTTCCTCCCCTGGCTTTACCAAACCTGAATGAGGACCAGGTTATCGTCCCTCGGAGTCCAGTGCCAACACGGACGCTTTCTCTTGTTCCCCGCCCCCCTTGACCTTGGAGTCTTTGGCGCCAGGGTCGCGAGAGGTGGCACCCATGACTTCCTTGAGAATCCGTTCAGCCTTGTCCTTCTCTTTATCGCTCACTTCAATCCCATCCAACATGCGGATACCAGGGCACGAGCGCATGACCAGGCCTCGGTAAACCATCCGGCCTACATATGCATCGTCCGGCAAGTCCCGTCGGAATTTACTGTCAAGATCTTTCCAAGCCGTACTCTGTACATGGTTCAAAGAAGGCTTGGCAAGTTGTCCATAGGCTGTAGACGTTGATTGAGTAGCAGCAGCTCGGGCCAAATGTTTTGAAGAGCTTGGAGAGTGTAACTGCGATCCTGCAATGTCGAGAGCGTCAGGTTTGGAGTTCGCACCCCTGGATTTCATTCCGTTTCGTCCGGCGAGTGCCTGCGCCCCACTGCCATCATCAAGCTTTGGGGAAGCGCCAAGATGTGGGTACAGACCGGTCGATGGCCCTGGCTTGCGACGATCGCCGTCCGAAGGTTGAAGTGCACCCGGCACATCCTTGACCAACAACGGCAGATACCATCCTAACGTGCATGGATTCATCCTGGAAGTTCGAAGCGCAGAAGGCAAAGAAGGGAGAAAAAAAAGTCAGCGAGCATGTACCAAAACAAGGTTAGGTTAGGCAGAATCAGTCATGGCGAACAGATAGAATAGATAAGAAGAATGGAAGAGAATAAGCATCAGCATTCGTAGCTTAGTGTGTATCACACCGGTCCTACAACATTAGATGCGCCTCAAGTGTGGGGATCCCAAACTTCCGATGATGACATAAGAGATATGGCAACACAAGGTCGACCCTCGCAGTTCGAGCAAGGAATGCGCACAGCACCGTTCTTTCCATGGGCCCGGGGAACCGCGAAGGGCGCTTCTCGGGCGCCAAAGACAAAGAGAAAATCGACGAATGGAAGAAACTCCAGTGGTTCTGTGCTTCGCATTACAGAGGGGGGAAAAAATTCCCCCAACGCCACCGCAGTATGGAGAACATTGAGATCAACAGAAAAACATACCTGAAATCTAGCATCTCGATGTCCTGTTTGCCCCTCAATACACGAATGAGGTGTTTGCTTGCATTAATCCTCGAGCCTATTATCGTCAACTTCCGCAGACGCGTAAGGCCATCCAGAGGCCACGTTTCCTCCAAGAAGTTGTAGTTGAGGTTAAGCACTCGTAAATTCGGAGCCATGCGCGAGAAATCTTGAGGCAAGACAGTGAGCCGACATGCGGCAAGCTCAAGATAAATGAGATTGTAGCATGGTTCCGAGATGAACCCGGATTTCAATGGGTTTCCTAAATGACACATGAAGGGGTGAGCACAGCCCGAAGTTTACGCGCGAAGCCCATACAACCCAATGGTGTCGCAATACGAAACACAATGCATATAGTGCGTTGCGCACAGCTCCAAAGAATCACTACTCACCGGAGAGATAGAGGCGCTTCACATCGCGTACATCACTTACGCAAAGCGTTCTGGAGGAGAAGCGGAATTAGTATCAGCAGGTATCCGAATAACTCCACACCAAGCAATCTGAGCATAAGTGTGCCGGGGGCAAAGAAGTGCTTCGGGCATGTGAAAGCGCTACCATGCTCAAAATAGAGTGGCGCATTCGAGGGAAACGTTCGAGGCACTCACAGTCCACCCCGCCCGCCCTGATTCCGCAGACTCAGGTTTTCCAACTTGGTCAGGCGATACGCCTTGATGATAGGTCCCAGGGAGTTGTTATCTGCATAAAGCGTGCGGAGATTGGGAAAAGGCGACGCGTTCAGTTGCTGCAGGCGATTCCCGCTCACACGCAGTATCCTCAGCCGAGGCATGCTCCCATTGGGATCAAGTTCTCCCAAGAGGTTGTTATCTGCAACAGGAACGACAGAGTGAGCACAAGGCGGTCCAGTGTAGAACAAAAACACCCTCCGGTGATCACGAGCAAAGATATCATCGTTTACGACATCGAACAGGGGTTAAGCGAGGCGTCTCCAGATGATTTGATGGGAAGTTGTGACAGGAGAGATGCACTCACCCAAATTCAGTGCTACTAACGCCGGCAGAGATGAGAGTCCATGGATGGTGCTTAGCCTGTTTTGGCTGAGGTTTAACATCTCTAAGCGAGTCCTGTCAAAAATGGCGTCAAGATGTGCCGTGAGCGAAAATGATTAATGCGAGCTGGTGGGAGTTCCGTGTCCCCCTCCCCCCAGAAGAGGAGAAATTGCAAGCCAGAAAAAGGACTGACCAGCGACAAGCCGTCAGGTCAATAGTTCGAATGTTGTTCCGTTGCAAACTGAGCTTGACCAAGCCGTCCATCTTCTGCAGGCCGTCGATGTTGTCAACATTGTTACCATCAGCTCGCAGCTCGCGCAGGTGCCGAAGGCATTCCAGCTCTAATTCCACAGTCTTTATCAGCGGCAGAAGAATGGATAAAACGAGGTAACCTACGGCGGAGAGAATCAATGCCGTTATCACTGATGTCGAGGCTCTCAAGATTGAGTAGATGGCTAAACGATGTAACGCCAGTCAGACTGTAAAATAAACATTCCGGCGAATAAGATTAATCTAGCCAAGCCTGGCCGCATAAGAATTTGCCGTACCAGTTGAAAGCGACGGAAAGTGTCCGCACTCCTCCAGGAACGCCGCTCAGCCACAACAGTTGATTTGAGTTGCTGTAAACAACATGTCAGCGTCGCCGCCGGCACGTTGGACATGCGGCGGAGATAAAAAGTTTTGATCACAGGAATCCAAACTCACAGGAACAGCGAATCTAAGCGGGGCAGCAATTCTTTGAGTCTCACAACACTGTCCAGATTTTTCTTGCTGAGGTCGATACTGGATAGTTGTTCCCAATGGGGTTCGAATGGCTGAACATCAGTTATCACTTGCACGAGCCGATCGTGGGCCACACCGAATGAACATTCGGTCAAGAATGTTGCATTCCTGCTCGGCGCTCTTGAAGACCGGAAAGACTCTGTCTTTGAAAACACCCGCCGAGAGAGATCCCGGCTAGGACTGCCAACGACAGCCCTTGTGCTGCTGGGCTTCCTAGGTTTGATCGGCTGAAGTTCATCGGTCGGCGGTCTGCCTGAACTGTTTTTAGAAGGGGAATCATCGACAAATGCTGCAATCTCCGGTAAGCCAGGAGAATGTACGCATTGCAAATATGCTCACCGTCATCGTCCAAGCCTTCTAGCATATCTGCAATTCGTTTCGACCTTGCCGAGGGCAGTAAAGATCGCGTACTCGGCTCCGTAGCATCAAGCTCATCCTCAAGCTCAGAGTCAGAGCCCGAGACTGCTTCGGAAGATGGAGCATTACGACCAATTCCTTCTATCGGACCATCCCGCCTTCCGTCTGAGAAACTGACTGATCGACGGCGTGACACACAGTTAATAGGTGTTTGCTTCATGGCAGAAAGTGGTGTGACACTACTACTCTTCATCGCCGAGCGAATGATGGGCGTGGGCACACTTGCATTAGACCGTGACACAGGAACTGGAGTCGACAGAAGGGCTGGAGACGATGTTGGCGCAAGACGGTTAGGCGGCGTATCTTCCAGCGCAGCTTCAGGAGCTACCTGAATAGTCGGCTTTTGTTCCTGCTCACCATCGGCAGCTTCGGAGGAATACGAATTCAAAAGTAATGAATCAGACTGCTGCGATGTCGCAGTATCCTCCTCACGATCATCCAATAAGTCATGATCGTCATCAGAGTCGCTCTCTTCCAAGTCTCCGTAATGCGCGGAGCCATTTGTTGGCGCTACCTCCACGGAGAGTCCATCGAAGGAAAACGAGGTGAGTTCTGCCTCTTCTTCATCAATGCCCTCCGCGTCAGAAGGCACGTCTTCTACCCGACTCTTCTCCAGTTCCGCGGTCAAGACACTGTGATCCTCTTCATCGCCGGACCCAGGCTTTCCCTCTGAAGAATCCTCGCGCAAACTCTCTATGTCTCTGAAGGGATCTTCACTATCGTTAGAGCCTTCCGGTGTGCCACCTTGTTCATCAGATATAGCTTGTGACGTGACCTTCACCCATTTCATCGTGATCCTGTCGTATACCATCTTCCCTACGCGATCTGGAAGAGCGGGAACATCGCTGGGTGCGATATGGGTAATCTGTTTAGGTCCAGCATGTTTGACAAAGGATGCTGCACTACCAGCGGTGATAGTAGTACCTGAGGCCGTACTTGACGACACGAAACGGGTGAGATCATCATTCCTACGAAGGGAACTTGTAGGGTAAACAGGCGGTGTAATTGCGGGGGGTGCGAGGTGCGTGCCGTTAGCTTGTGACTCATGATTGGTGTGAGCGACAGGTGAAGAGGGAATTGAAGAGGCAGACGTGACAAGGACCTGTATCGGAGGATCCGGAAATTGATCAAGAAGTCCGTCAGAGTTGAGTGATACTTGAGACATCCTCAGGGAGAGTTCACTCTCAGCATTCTGCTGAGCACTGATCTTGCGTAGCACTTTCCGTGGGCTGACTATAGGACGGGTATAAGATGCAGTGGAAGATGCCACGGAGACGTTGAGATTATTTCCGTTCTCATTTGCCTCGTCGTCAATGATCTCGGTATCGCCACTGTATGAGTGGTCGTCGGCAGCACCTTCAGCAGCGACCATGCCTGCGTTATGCTCGCTTCGTTCCACATGTGAAAGCTCTGTTTCGGCAGAGAACAGGCGCTTTGAGCCTTTTACGTCGTTTCGTATTTGAGCCATTAGGTTTGCAGCTTGTTCACGATAGGCTAGAGAAGAGTAGATGGATCGTTTCGAGGACGTTGTACGATCGGAGGAATGGTCTGGCTCTGGGACCGCAAGGAAATCTGAACGAATGTACATTGTGAGTCATTCAGAGTTCGGGAAATATTCAAGCCTTACTATTTGGACTGTGAGGCAAGCTGTCATGCGAGGATCCTATCTTACGACTGGTAGGAGACTGTGCACTCGTGGTGGTCGAAATAGTGGAGAAATCACGGTTCTGTCTTATCTTCTCCATGAGTGACTTGGATTCTCCTACATAGTCTTTTCGACCAGTTTGAGGTCGCATAATGAGAGCGGTGCCATCACCAACAGGAGAATAATCACTGGCTGGACTCAGCTTGATACGTTTCGCGCTGCGAAGCCGTGAGATGCTGTGTTCAGATATATCACCAGAAGACGAGCCATTTAGTTCTGTTTGAGGGGTACCAACACTTCCACCGGAGGGTGTGTTAACAGCAATAGAGTCTACCATCGCAGACAAATGGTCACGAGTGAAGGTGTCGTAGTTGAACTGAAATAGACGCAAGCGAGGGTCTGTCGGGGGAGCATGAAGCGACCGGGTAGCGTAATGAGACGGACCAGGGGTACTCTGTGCCATAGGGTCGAATGGGCTCGGGCGGGGAGCAGCAAAGGTAAACTGGTAATTAGGACCGCGATCTTCATTGCCAGAATTGAGCTGGTCGCATTCTCTGCTTACATTGACTCTTCCGTCTGTTTCTTCTGCAGAACCTGGATCTATCTCAGAAACTTCCTGAGTAGAGTCGGGCTCAGGCAAGTGAACCTGGGAAAGCCGAGATGGAATGATTGGCGCAGAGGCCGGTACGTTTGAAGGTTTTGCCTGGGGAGGAGAGGGAGGTTCAAACATTCTTTCCAACGGCAGAGGGCTGAAGAAGTCCTTGACTAGATTCTTCCTGTTTCCACCAGGAGTCTTTGGTAAGATTGGAGCAGCGGGTACATCTTCACGAACAAGGACGGTCCCAACAGTGTTGGCACTTGACACAGAAGAAGACCGGTCATGCTCCTTCGTTATGAGCAGAGACCCTATAGCCTGCGTTAGAGAGATGTCGGAATTGCTATGCACTGGGTTGAAAGCGGATTCGGAGGGTTCGTCTTGATCGATCCACTCGTCTTCTAGCTCGTCAGTTTGCCATGCTGGTCTGTTCTGCGCATGATTGTCGGTCATTTGGCATGTATAGGTTGGATGTAGTCTGTAGAGGTCGCTTGCGGAGGTGTAGGTATCCCGTACGACCTCTGCGGTCGGTCTGGAGAAGGAGATGGTGGTCGCGTCGAAACATGTTTACCTCCCACGTGATCGTGGTCCCAATCCAACTGTGGGTCCGTATTTGGTTTCTCTTTGTTCTCAGCGCTAACTCATCGCCGGGGAAGAAATTCTTGGCGACAAGTTGCAAGTTCAACAGTTCACAAAGGGTTGTCTCTACTTAACTTATCGAAACTGACCCTAGATACTCACATTATTGCGAAACTTTTCCTGGAAACAATAACAGCGGCGTTGTGCGTAGGTTTGGTCACATACTCAACTCATCACCATGCGTGATCATGGGATCTACCTTGATTGCCCTGTCTATCGGTGAGTTGTTCGTTGCTAGGACTGCTCATTCTGCTGGGCAGCATCAATGCCGCAGAAATTAGGGGTTGATCTTCTCTTACACATCGTGGTGCCAGAAGCGATCTGCAGATCAGGCTGTGGTCTCCGTAACCTGCATCTTGTTAGTTTAACAACAAATGCTGATATGTAACACTTGAGCATCATCACGCCGATCATTACTTATGGTATGGACTGTATCTGAACTCTTCGATATCCAGTCACCGAAGCCGACTTTCTCTTCTAGGGTATTCGACCTTTCCAGACCGGCATGGCCTTAAGTCATTGATGTTATTAACTATAACAAGTCACATAATGTCAGTGGTATGACATATGTTGTCCGCCATATTAATTTTGGTTGATAGGTTTCTCCCAATATGACGCTTTTCATGGTACAGGATTACTCGTGGGACGACCCTTTTTATTGCTATGGTGTTCGTATTGACCTTATGGTTCTTAGACTAGCCCCGGGATTATGGGGGCCCTTAACCCTGGTCTTAATGCGCCAACCATTAAACACCCCTGACTACTCGTCGAAAATATACAAATACTTCCACAGACTCGGCCCAACGGTTTGGTCACTAGCCCGCCTGTCTGTGGTGACCTGCACACCCTTAGAATCAAGCCGATGGTAACTTCTATGCTGGTATATGAGTTTTGATTCATTGAAGGAAGTTATCTTCTGCTATCTTGAATGATCATGCCACTGATGTGGTTTCTCACAAACAGTATTTCACTCTCCACGCTCTTCTCGCACTTCTTAGAATGTCCCCATGACTCCAAACACAACGAGAAATGTCTTCATCTCTTCCCATACCTCGTTCGCGCCCGCATGTAGTGCAAACCTTGTATGACAACGGCTATGCTCATAGACCCTTCTCTGGACAAAAACGAGAGCTCTCCACATCCACACGCACAGGAAGACTCCATCTTCTGATACATACGGTCAACACTCGGTTAATGCATCTCCCTTACTAGTTCCACCGTACCAACGGTGCAGCTTGATATTTCCCTTCATAGGTTCGTCTGTCGATCTATCGTTAATCCGCCGCATCTACACTATTTTTACCACTTCATCCGCCGGTAAAGTACAGTGAGTCCTAGGTCTCCAGCCTTCCCTCATAGCATCAACTTCTGTAGGCTCAATGTCAGTTTCAGTACCAGGGGGACAAATGCGACATCCAGAAAGGCCCCGCCCATCTCGCAAACTTTGTAAGAAATTTCTACGAAATCTCGGTTATCACGATTGACCTCGAACTTGAAGTCTCCGCCATGGCCGAGGACGTGAGGAGGTTGTCAAACAGCCGTCGAGGTTAACTTTCACCTTGTTAGAGCGAAGGGCGAGTCAAATACGGACCAGGCTTCCCAGAGTGTCCACTCGAGTTCCCTGAACCTTGCTGCGCTTCCCATGATATGCAAGGCATCGACTCCGTTGAAGGAGGATCAGAAGAAATCGTCTTGCGTTACTCTTCCCATACATCGATAATTTGAATATACAAGTATTAGCACGGTGTTTTCGCCCCACTTCTGCACCTATCATATCACGGACGAAGTCTAAGGCATTGATTCCGTTCTTCCTACAGATACAACTCTATTGCACTGCAAAGTCAATATCAGCGGCATATAAAATTCCTCCCACGGACGTCGAGCCTCAAGATAATTAGTTGCATAACATGAGGAGAGCGTTGACGTCTCGGAACTATCATCGGATTAGACGTATAGGCACACAGCTGCCTGTGAACTTTATATTATAACACCTAAAAACCGATATATTTTGTGCTGACATTGCTCAAAGGCGGTGTGTGCCGCTGTACTCTACTTTCGATCTACTACGACTTGAATTGGTTAAATCTGCGAAGGAGGTCTACCATTAGGAACACTGTGATGCGTGAAATGAAATAAAATAATGATGCAAGGTTGCTGAATTGTTGACGATGGATGGTGAGAATTGCGAATATGTATGATGAGAGGTATGATGCTTCCAAAATGGTGAACTGAGACGAGAAAGGAATGAATGAGTGGACAATGCTGAGGCAATGATGACAGAAGGTGGATTGCTTGGGATATGTAGAACGAATGAATACGGTGAAATCATGAAACGCAGGAAGATCGACTGCACAGAAAATCGTAGCGAATGCGAACATGGCACAGAACGAAAAAATGCTGCTAACGGACATGAACATTGAACAAAGCAGAGAGCGGTGAGTTGTCCGTGCGTGAGAAGAGATGCATGCAAATCCGAAAAGAAAAAGCTAGAGAAACGAAAGCGACCAAGCCAGATGCAGATGAAGACGTAAGAAACGATGCGATGAGAGTCCATTTGAACAGAAGGGGAATAATAAAGGAAATCATGAAACTGCATGCAGGGTCGTAAATTTTTGCCTGCAGAAAAATAGAGGTCAGTGAACCTCCACGAAGAACGGAGAATGACAAAGAACTCACTGAGCGTCATAAGGTGCATACTGGTGAACGCCGAAAACGTTCTTTTCAACCGCGCAAACCACCACGAGCTCGACTCCTCGTGCGGCCCCTCTCTCTCTCCTCTACCAAAAGCCCAGTGGCAGTATTCTCATCCTTAACGATGCGATGAGGGAACGCTGTTGGGAGGTATTTCTCCAGACCAAATTTGGACCCATCATACTTGAGTGATCTACTCAATTCCTCGTCGCTCAATCGCAAACCGCGCTCTCGACGTATTGAGCTCTTCCTTCCCCGAACAACTTGATAAGGAGAACCTGGCCTCGCGGGTGGCGACTTGTGCCTTGTCACCCGCGTCGACTCCCTAACGCACACGCCATCGGTAGAGAGACCGTTCAACTCCACATGCGCGAAAGAAAGGACGGGAGCAGCAGCAGTGGTTTGCATGATACTATTTGGATATCTTCCACTACCTAAGCTTTTGTCTTGCTCGGCCGGAAACCCTCGAGCAGATCGAATGATACCCCGTCGCTTCTGCGAGCTTTCGGACAATGGCATTTTGGGAGGCCCCATGTCATGATCCACATACGAAGAAGGTGACAGATATCCGCCAGACGAGATGGAGCTTTGAAACGCGGATGTAAGGATATTTTTGTTATCCAAACGTACAGACGCATCAGAGAAGTGATGAACGGGGTGGTGACCTACGGATACTGATGTCGACAGTGATGAACACGATGCAGAACGTGATGGGCTACGCTTCGGATTGTACGATGTATCCTTTGCCAATGTTCCCATCGGTGATATCGAATTCGACTGTAGAGGGGAGGAAACTTCCAATTGCGAACAACCATGTGAATTGGGTAAACGAAGGGGTATCCTAGGAATCGAGTACAAGAATGGCTCATGGCTATATGGAAGCCGAGTCTCTGAGGAATCAGCGTCCCTTTCAACGGCAAGCGGAAGGAGTGTATTGAGTCTGCGTTGAGACAAGTTCCCGGATGCTTGGTGCAAAGAGGTGAAGCGAGATAGCGGCGCGTTCTCGGGTGATAGAGGAGACATCTCGAAAAGAAGGTCTGACGAGGAATGCTTCCGTTCGGGAGAACGGGGTGGGGGATCTGCAGCCTTTCGCCGGACAGGAATAGGTATTGGAACGGAAGGAATCTGTAGTTCTTGCAGAAAAGGCGTATGGCGAGACGGTGTGGGTGCGCTCATCACTTCCATCAGGCCTTGTTGGGATCACTGACCTGTGTACCGCTGGAGATTAGAAAATAATTTGGAAATACGAAGTCGAAGAACTCAACGAATTTGGAACGTCAAGCTGAATTCTGGTCAGAAGCTTTCTCACGAGGAAGGAGTGGCAAACGTCCCAAGGATGTCCAATGTCGCTGTATTGCTGGGCTCGTCGACCGCCACGTAGGCAACCCGACGGTGTGTGGCGTTTTGCAAGGTTTAGAGTGTCTCGTCCGGGGCGATGGGCGGGAAAACAGTTTGCAGAAGTGCAGCAGGTGTACTGCAGCTTTTGTAGAAATCTTTCTAGAGCGCTTGGGTCAAGACGACCAGAGGGCTATGTCCGGCGTGCAACAAAAACAATAACGCTGTAGGACAAGGGCCGATGAAAGGCTTCTCAGTCAAAACAAGAGCAGTGGCCTTGCAATGTAACGTACGAACCTCTTGTCTTTGTTCTCTCGGACACGCCTGTACAGGGCAGGTTCAGGAACGACCTAATGAGCTCTTGCAAACGAAAAGATAGTATATGTAGAGTATAACGATGCTATGAGCGAGAGAGAAAAGCTGAATGCGGGGTCTGGAGAAGAAAGAAATTGCAAACTCGAGGATGGAGAAAGACTGTTCCAGGCTAAGCGAAAATAAAAACCCATAAGTGTCGGTCACGTGTACGGGCGCTTGACGGAGATCCGGTGAATTAATCTTCGGATTTTCACGTTGCTCAAGCCCAAGCTGTTCCAAGCTTGACTCGCTTCAGACGTCCTCAAACTCAAGCGTTGAGAATATTTCTGAGGTGTTCAAACTGCGTCGAATAGTTTGAACAACAGAACGTACCTGCCCGCGAAAACTTGTATCATGGTGACATCGTTATGTCGACATCATGTAGCATTCTTGCAGATGGCCTTTGGGGATATTTTCAGCTCACATGATTCAGGTTTCACCTTCAAGAACTCCGGTTCTAGGTGAGTTCGGGGTCATTTTCGGTGTGATGCGCAAGTCGTGAGCTCTTCGACTGAACTTGCCATCCGACATGTTCTCTTGATTATCATATCGGACGGTTCCAGTTTGTAGCCTGCTGTGCTATTGCAGGGATAATTACCTGTGTACAGCACACACATCTATTGTTTTAGAGCTCTGGAAACAAAGTATTCCCTCAATGAGACGGCTGTGGTGGTCAGTCGAGATCCATGGTAATCTACCCAATTCATGGGTCGAACGCCTTGTCATCAACACATTGTGGTTTGCTCAACCTTGAAGCAGCTATTGCTGCCATGTAATTTCATGTCCTTGGAACATAATATTAGCTCGTCGCAAATAAATACATGCTCGCTTTTAGCTCATGGAAACTCGTATAATGTCCTGCTTCACATTAGGCCCTGCCAGTTCTGTTGACTCGTTGTCGTTGTCGCTTGAACTGCAGGATGCTTGAGCGCTTCCTAGTGTCAACCTGGACGCCGATCTCCGAGAATCTCGGAATAGCCCATTGTGAAGCGACCACCGACTCAGCAGCTGATTGTCATTAATGATGGGAAATGCTTCCTGCAATACTCGCGGGATGGACGATCTGTTCTTTTCACCCTACCATACATCAACAAAGGTGAGCATTTCTGCTCGATTTGCGATGTTAAACGTTTCTCTGAGACCCAATGCTGGTTCTCACAGGAACCGTTGATACAATCGACCTCTGTCGTTCATAATGAGACGAGGTTTCCTTGTGCGCAAGAAATCCCCTCTTCCCCCAACCATACTGACGTGTCCCGATCTCAAAGTCCCTAGTCTTCCTCCCGAGATTACAGATCGAATAATTGACCATTTACATGGCGATCTACAATCCCTTCGCCAGTGCAGTCTCGTGTGCAAAGTCTGGTTACCTCGGTCGCGTTACCACTATTTTCATAGTATCATCCTAGGAAACCAGTCGACTTGTCGTCGCTTCGTCAGATTGCTTGATGACAACCCGAATGTCGGTTACTGCGTGAAGGAACTGAAGATCTTCATATATTTCGAACAACCTTCATGGCTGGCGAGCATTTTGCCTTATATAGCCCAAAGGCTACCCTCCGTTGCCCGTCTTCATCTAGGCGGAAATGGTCTATACCAAGCCCTATGGTTCCGCCATTTCAATTCGGTACAAGAGCTTTACATGTCAAGCTGCACATTCGAAACGATCAACGAATTCGTCGCCTTGTTATGTTACCTTCCTTCCTTGAAGGACATGTATTGTTCAAACGTCCTCGTTGGGGACGCTGCATCTCTCAAGGCACCGCCAATTACCACTACACATCCCCGGCCCGCCCTTAGGAAACTGGAAGTCCTATCCACCCGATTGGACTCAAAGATGTTTACGGAATGGCTTATGGAGGAAGGGATGCATCGGAGTGTGGAAGAGATCGTGCTTCGTCCGCTTCAGAAGTACCATCTTGTGAACGTCGGTCGTTTTGTGAAGGCAATAGGTCCAAGCCTGAAGCGATTTGAGATCGCACTCATTGCTCTAAGGAGTCAGGGAGGTTTTGATGGTAAGCTTCAAGCTGTTGTTTATTTAATGTCGATTCTGAAATTCGATCAAGACGTCTTTTCGACATCGTTCTCCTTTGCACCATGTACCCAACTCCGTTCCCTCGCCTTCGGCTCTCCAGGCGGGTACTCGACGAAATATAGCACCGACGATCCATCAAGCAGGTGGATTTCAAGCATGCTATCACAAGTAACTTCCCCATTTATCCAAGACATTACATTCTGGATTGAGGATAGTGACATCATTTGTATTCGGTCGGAAGAATGGGCTCCCGTATTTTCGATACTGGAGTCGGAGAAGTTTAGGACCTTGAAGAAGGTGTACTTGAAGCTGTGGGGAGAAAGCAAGATGCTTACGGATGCACTGGCGATGTTCATCAGGGAGAAGTTGCCGAGGCTAGATAGGGAAGGCGTGCTTGTGTTTGTAAGGGATGAACGACCTCCACTCATTTAAGCATAGGCTTCTTGTTGCTATTTTGACGGACTGGATCCACCTCCATGTCGAATATATAGATTTCGTAATTTTTCGGATTAGAGTGTAGCAAACGGAGAATAACTCTCACTGTAACAGGTGACGAATACGTGGTTCTTTAAGCTTGAAACAAATGACGATCATTCTTAACCAGTGACCACTTACCGCCATCTTCGACCACGATTTCTCAATCGATTTTCGTCTCACTTTGACTTATGTTTTCAAGAGTGTACTAGCCCCTGGCTAGCTAAGATGAAACGTGTGGCCCCTTTGGTTGAATATGCCAGCTCTTCAGAAGACGATGCGGAATCCGACGGTACACCCAGGCCTGACATGCGTAAATCCGAACCACCTCCCAAACGGCGGTGCGCATATCATGCTTTTCTTCTCCTTGATTACAGGACTGAATGTCTGGATAACTTTTAGGAAACTACCAACGCTATCGTCCGCGTTAGTTGGCCCAGCCCATATCGACAACCCCGCACTTCATGAGGGACGTGTCCGGACGGCACCACACGTCGAAGGACAGTATGCTGCATATGTCTACGTCCCAGTCAAACTTGAACGGAACTCACGGTTACTCGAATTCGTGCGGGAGACCTTCACTCGTTCCAAGGACTTTGTACCTACGCTACACCCCATACCTAAGCACTTGCTAGACCTTGATGCACACACGGAGGAGCCCGCGGAGCTGCATATCTCGATTTCAAGACCGATCTACGTACGCTCTCATCAACGCGAGGAATTAAAGCAGGCTGTTCGTAGGATAGCAAGATCTTCTTCACCGTAAGTCGCACCTATTCCGTACGCCTGCATATCGTTTCACAACGTTTTCTGAGAAGTTGTAACGTGGGGTGATGTATATGTGAAGGTTCAACGCATCATTTGCCACCTTTTCTGAGTTGCAGAATGATGAGAAGACGAGGACGTTCTTAACATTGGAAGTCGGCGCAGGTCATAATGAGGTACGTTACCTGCGCGTTTCTCAGATGACCTTGGGTTCTGATTATTGCCGAATACTAGCTGCGGACTATATCCGAAGCGTTGATCCCAACGCTCCGTGCCATTCGTCAGAAAGAGTTCTACAGCGAACCTCGTTTCCATGCGTCATTTGGCTGGGCACTTATGTCTTGCCCTTCGACGCCAGTCACAAGACCTACATCTGAAGCAACCACTCCAGAAGAGACTTCCTTGTCTGACGAATTGAGGTCTGGTAACGAGGACTCTTTCTCGACTATCGAACGATTTCCAGAAGAGCTCGTGCCGACGCTGAAGAGGGAATTCGGTCCTACGTTGCTCACACCAATTGTGGGTATATTTGAGGTGGACTCACTCTGTGTGAGGATTGGGAAGGATATCAATCGTTGGAAGCTGACGGCCTCATGATCAGTTTATGTGTAGGTACAGTATAATATCCAATACGTAGCACATGATATGATACAAACGGTGTCCTAGTGGTTGGTCTGTCTATGATTGCAGGAATGTCCGTCTATGCGTGCAAGCACAGGACTTGGGGATTGTCATTGATAAAGACTGCTTTAATTCATGCATGAGATTGTAAATCGACATCTAGACGGTTGAAAAGCTTTGTCCTCACCGTGGAGTAGTAGTAGTAAGCCCAGGAAAGTACCGCTCCTTTGAAGGGTTCAGGTCAAACTTCAACAACTCCCTGTTCTTCAAACCTGATAGCCTGTATTCTAAAATCGAAACCATCTTTTCTTTCTCTTCATCATTCGCCAGAATATGGAACTCGACACCTTGAAGACTTCTAAACTGCTCGGAAGAGAGCAAAGCCGTGATCTTATCCCAATCGTCGGACGATTGTATTTGATCAAGATCGCCCTGCCATAACGCGAAAGAAACCGTTCGAATGCGAGGGGAAGTAATCTGCTCGAGCATAGTAGCGATCCAAGTGAATGATTGATCGTCCGCTTGGTATTGTCTCGCGAAAGCGGCCGGAGACCCAAATTCAATTGTTTCCAAACCGACGAGGGGCGCAAGAGAGAACTCGGATATACACTCGTCTGGAACGATGGGTGTATTATTGATTACAGTGCACAATAGAGGACTGATACAAAACGTACCAGAGATACCTCCTTGTGAAAGCAGAAGCACCAAGCAAAGCCGTAGATGCTTGATAGATGCCCCAGCAGACTTGAAATAGCGTCCGACCGGTATCAACGCCTGCTTTTGCATGGGTGCCAAGGTGATTCTTTCGGCGTGTTGTTGTACAGACTGGGAAATGAGCCAGTCCACGAACATTGTGGGATCCACTTTGCAATTGACGAACTCTAAAGCCCGTAACGGTGGGGCGTCTTGAACGGCGTCGTTGATATGTACGCTTTTGCCTACCATGACGTCCACGTTCATGAAGGACTCCAGGGATGGGAAGGAGCTCATGAGGTCCGTGTACTCATGCATGGAGAAACATGAACACTGGCGTAGGACGAGTTCTTTCACCGACGTGAAGGCTTTGAAAGGTGCCGCCTTCAGGGTATTATATTTTCGGATCTCGAGCTTCTGAATGGAGCGAAATCTGGGAGCCAGCTTCAGTAGATGTTTCTCAACCCATAGTTCGTTGTCGTAAGTGCTGAAGAACGCATTGGTTTGCTGAACCACTATCGTGAGATTCCTGACGCATAACGCTATGTCTGGACTCGCGTCCAGGAGTTGTAGGAATCGTTCAAAGGTATATTGTCCTAGCTTCACTGAAAAGAACCGGTGGAACCGAGCTCGAGGAAGGAGGGCATGGCAAGTTAAGGCGCATTGCTTCAAACTGGCATGGTCATCGTGCAGATAGCCAATGATATGGTCAATCAATTCGGGGGGTAAGAAAGATGCCCGTGGTGGATGGTATTCCTTGTTACGACATGTATGCAAGCAAGTCGTTGGCATAGTGGGTTGGAGGCTGGATGGACATAAGTAGTAAGCTTCTACATGTCTACATGGGCAACAAGAGATGCTACAACCTGCAGGAGTTGTGCAGGAGTATTCCCGAGTTCTTGTGGCGGGCAAAAGTTGACAGCACTTGGATTGCAATGTTACATGGTCAAGGGGCATTATAAACTCGTGTCCGGTGTCTAAAATATTGCTGCAATGCTTCCGAAAGAGGCGAAATCACCGATGCCGGTAGATCCCGGCCACCATATATGGCAACTTCCCGCTAAGGTTGCCGAACCAGATTGATTGATTCTAGCAGTGGAATCCGAGTCCCTTTGCTATTGACCTCTAAACCTTTTTCATGCTTATTATCCAACTGTCAAGTTTTATTGCATATGCTGTTGATGGCTGATCGCTTGGACCAGGTCACCAGTTTCCTGCGTCGTCCAGATGTGAACCTCTGCTTTCAGATCCATCCGAATCAATTGACCATACCTACCTTCAATCCTCCGGCAGAATGGAACTACTGGTGGCAGTGGTCGGGAGAGCCTATGAATGCATCTTTTACAAGCAACGTGCTATGGTCGCAATCAAAATGGCAGCTTTTATGGTTTTATTATGTTCGCGATTCCACTCCAGACTGGATACGCGAACATCCAGACGAAGACACTTTCAAACTCATCCCGATTCAGCTTCGCAAATTGATAGATGAAGCCCGCACGCTTCAGCTTTCAAGAGCGTGAGTGACCCATATATCATTTTGCTTGATTGTCTAACTTATGCTATCGACAGCGTAGATACCTTCGGTCGACAGTCTACACGTCGGAAGTTCACAGGCATGTCGCCCAAGAAAGCTCATGAAGTAGAGCGAATGACGCAATATGTCTCAAATGTCCTCGCGGAGGATTCGCCAGAATCTCGACCACAGCATGCGGCCGACATAGGTGCGGGACAAGTCAGTGATATGTCAGAATGTCAATGTAGATGCTCATCAACTTTCATTGATGTCTCGTAGGCATATCTGTCACGAAGCCTGCGTGATGAACTTGGCCTTCATGTCCTTGCACTTGACTTCAGTCAAGTTCAATCTCACGGTGCAGCGAGAAGAGAACAAGCAAGCAAGTCGTCTGACAATGAAACTCAAGCGGGGTCTCTGGACTACGAGATGATTGCTGTCGATTCTAATAGCCTCATCTCTGCTACGGAACACTGGATACAGAGAAGAGTTCATGGGTGCTGTCTGAACCCATGCCCTACACCCATTCTTTGGGTTGCCCTCCACGCCTGTGGCTCTTTGACTCTAGATATTCTGCGTGCATTCATTCTGCGCCGCCGGCAGAATGACCAGGATGTTTGCTGGAGACCAAGTGCTGCGGTAATCGTAGGATGCTGCTACAATATGGTACGATCAGAGGGTAAGTTCTCATGTCTTCTGAGGCGCCATGACATGATTCGCAACCGTTCTCTGGTTAGATCGTGTTCTTACACGGGATGATATCGTGCTGTCTCCTAATCATTTACAACTGGCCGCACAAACACCCGATCAATGGGGTACTTCGCCCCTCAAGTTCGACGAAACAGTATTGGCCATTAGGAAGATCGTCTGGAGAGCTCTGTTGGAAGGCATAATGGCTCGGTCGGAGGTCACACAAACCGACCCTGCAGCAAAACTAGAGATAAGACGGCTTGGGCGACTGAACAATGATGCATACACCGACCGGGACCAGTTCATACGCCGTGCGCAGACGAGGATGGGCGTCGATCTTTCCTCACAGTGTTCGCTCTCAGAAAGAGATGAGAACCTAGAAAGACGTCTCGAAGTATTTCATGTTTTGCGCTGCATATTGGGACCCGTCGCAGAGACTTTCATACTGTTGGATCGTGAGCGATGGTTAAATGAACAACTAGAGGTATGTCATTTGGATGTCATCCTCGCCAAGATGGTTGATGTGTCATTTGCCAAGGGTACCAATACGAATGTGCAACTAGTTAACTTGTTCGACCAAAATTCGGGCAGTGCAAGGAATGTAGCTATTGTAGCTATGACATCGTAGCGTAGATCCATTTGTTATAATACTTTCTGACAAAACGGACGAGTTAGAGAGAGAAAAGCTGCAAGTTCGAGAAAGCGATGCCAGATATGGCAGTGAGGGTGAAGTCGCTGTGGCGCCTTACTCACCTCTGCTCACAACGTCGACCATCCTTTCCTCATCGTCGCCTTCGTTGACGACGACCTCTTGTGCATAACCTCAGGCAGTACTCTACATCTTATCTCACTTAATTACTGACATTCTTTATGGGTCAGTCAAATTCTCGTGCCCGAACTTCGAGGCCATTATCTACTGCTTCAACCCAAGGCCGGGACAGCTCTGCTGTCGACGGCACCCCTTCCAACGACATCGAACGCAGCGTCTCTCATGATAGTCAGCGTGCGGTGACTAAGCGACGATCCCGACGTTTGTCTCTGCGGAGGAGTGTCTTGGGCCTTGTCTCTCGCTCATCATCATCAACCTCCCTTCCTCATCCCAAGGATTCCTCTCCTTCCCGGCGGCCACACCACTCGATACGTAAACGATGGCGTTCATCCAAACGTCTATCACATCCTCCAGATGTCCCTCAGCCTGAGGAAGTACCTACAGCGGCGGACGTGCCGAACCCTCCAGAGGTAGTTGAAAGGACGCTTGACTCAGAACCTGCATCTAAAGCGGGTCCTTCATCCACATCTTCATCGCATAATACGCCATTACGTGGCAGTCGTCCTTCAACGCCGTTCCCGATCTCACGTCCGACGACCCCAATCGCCGAGTTGCCTGTAGACGCTTCAACGGAAGGCTTATCGGAGCAGGAGCGACAGTTAAGTCAGAACATCGGGGCATGGCTCAGCGGGGCTACTCCTCAACCCTCTCCATCGCCAACGCCAGTACCGGTGCCCCCACATAACGAGGACATCGAACAAGAGATCAACCAGTTCCTAAACGCCGACGTACACGCCAATGGGGAAGCTACCAGTTCGCCCCCAGTGGTCCCATCCCAATCAACACCTGCTGCTACAGAGCCAAACTCGCAACCATCGCAGGTGCCACGCCATTTCCCTCCACCAGGAACCCTTGTTGTTGTACAAGGTGTTGTTAATACAACAGACGCGCCTCAACCCTCAAATACCTCAAACCCTTCTTCATCTCGTCCTTCCGAAGGCAACTCTACCTCTGCGCCTGTTCGTCAGCGATCTGCTTCCCTTCCTCGTTCCCACCATCGGTTAGACGAGCGACCGAGAAGTAGCCTTGCGTCTTTGCTTCCCCGACCCCATAGTATGATTAGCAGCAGACCTCCCTCCGATGTCAATCTTTCACAAGGTCCAGCCACAGTGTCATCGGATGCATCATCCAATGACAACCCTTCACCCAGCAGCGAAGATTCTTCCAGAACCGGCGATACTCAGGACACCACTCCAAATACGTCCGAAACGGGGCACCGGGCCTTGTCACCAGGTAGTATCGACGTACTGGGTACACTCTTAAGGTATGTATAATCCAGAAGCATATCTTGTACATCCACCCTATCTCACTGATTTCCTTTCCCTTAGTGTCGCGGCTACGGCCACCGCTGCGTCTCTGTTCTCACCAGGTCTTGCTCAAGCCTCCAATGGTAGCAGCTCTGCCTCACAAACTATCTCGGGCACAGACCGACCCACGTCTCCCACACCCACCGCAGGATTGGGTGCATTAGGCGGCCTTAACGGTCTCTCCGGACTTAACTTTAACCCACCAGGATCGACACCAGGCGACAGAGACGCTCGTGAACGTATACGCAATGTATGGGAGAGTTTCCGCGAACGTCTGGGTCTTAACGCTCGACCAACACCTGGTACTGGTCCGGTTGGCAATACTGATGCAGCATCAACCAGTAACGCAAGAATGCGCCCCGGCGAACTCATGTTGGCGGAGATGGCAAGGGCGTTGAATGCGGGTTTGGGCCTTGCAGGCCAGGGGGGACAGAATGAGCGCCAGTCAGGCGAGCAGAGCTCTGAGAATGCTAATGCGAACAGCGATGCCCCTACCGCTCCCACTGATAACGAGAGCAACCGGCCTGTCTCGCCTGAGGCTGGTTTCGAAAGGTTCTTGCTGAACCTCCAGGCCGATCTTAGGACAATACTCTCAAATGACGGCGTAACCTCTTCAAATTCAGATTCTACGGTAGAGGCGACATCTCCTGCCGAAAGCACCGCCGTGAGAGAGGATGCAGACCAGCCACGACCGGAAGATATCCCAGTCGCCTCAAGTAGCTCCGATTCACAAGTACAGGACAGTGCTTGTAATGGCGAGGATGATGAAGACATACCCGCCCTGCAGACCGAATCAGAGGATGAATCAGAGGATGAGGATTCCGAGGACGGCGAAGAGATCACTGAGGCTGTCCCTCCTCACCCTCGTACTCCTACGCCAATACCAACAAGTCGTCTACAGCAACAAGCACGGCCATCTGGAGATGACGCTTGGGGCACTGACGATCGCGGTCGACCTACTATCAATCTCTGGCGTATCTATCGATTCCAACCTATTCCAGCTCCGCCTAACCCTATTACACATGCTGCACGCACGACCCCCATACCTGTACCTACTGAACAGGAGTCGACCCCTCTCCCTCAGCCCTCTCCATCTGAAGCTGAAGCTGACCTCTCGGCTCAAACTTCAACGTCCTCAAATACGGAGGATATGCCTTCCGCTCCATCAGAGCCAGAGCCCAACGTCGTCGTTCCTGTTATCGTAGTTGGCCTTCAATCTGTCGACACGGGCCACGATCGTGAGCATGACGACGATTGGCCTGCACATGAAGCCACCCGTAATACTGCATCTACTGATGATGGACCTTCGTTGTCTGCACCAGGCGCAAGACCTCCTACACCTCGAGGTCGAACGTGGCAGTCAAGGGCTGCGAATGCGCTACGTACTTTGAGACCTGGTCGCAGGAATGGGTCAACGCGGAGGGCAGCGGATGTGACGGGCTCTCGGACGTTCTTGATATATGTCATTGGCGGTGAGTTTGTTTTCTCTCTAATTTCTAGGATCGTGCTCATTTGTTTGGCTATAGGCTATTACCCACCAAATCACCATATGGTCACCGGATCCGATAGTCTAGATTCCTATGAGGCACTCTGGTCAGTTTTGAAATAAGTTCATATATGAGTGTCTAACTAATGACATACTATGATGCAGGGAACTTGCTGAGCTGTTGGGTCAAGTGAAGCCACCAGTGGCAACGAAGGAAGACATTGAGAAGTCGGGTCTTCAGATCATCAAAGCTTCCGCGATGAAGCGGTATGAAGGCGAAGGCAAGATCTCCTCAAATTGCATGGATCGAGTACGTTTTCGATGCTGTTGCGTATACCTTGTTTACTGACCCGCTATCCTCAGTGCCTTGTCTGTTTGGATGACTTCGACGATGAAGACGATGTCCGTGTGATGACATGCAAACACGCTTTCCACAGGGAATGTGTGGACAGGTGGCTACAAGTCGGTCGGAATAACTGCCCTGCTTGTCGAACAAAAGTGGGTCTATCTCTAATGTCTATATATGCGCTTGCTAACCTGCGTCTTAGGGCGTTTCCACTCCAACGGACTCGACGCCAACCCCAGTATCATAGGCTTCTTAAACCCTCATCATGACATGCATGCCAGTCCTCGGACGATGGATTCTTTTCTACATTGCTTTCTCTGCTTTTCTCTGAACGTACACGCTCGCTTGTTGATTGATGTAATCGCAGATTCCGTTCCTCTTTGACGTATGTAGCAGTTTTTCTCACATCCTCATTATCAATATCCGTCTTTCCCGTCATTCTCTCGTTCTCAAGTCGGTTCCAAAGAGTGCTTTTGGCTTTGTACTAAGTGTACATTATATTAACGTGTCTCAGTAGAATCTCCGTCAATCCGGGGTAATATCGTTTAGGCTTCATGCGTCGTCTCCGACCGGACCTGGTTGACCTGGACTGTCTGCCGCTCTCCAACTTGCAAGAATAAGTTCTACGACATCATCTACACCCAATCCCTGTTTCACGCTGGTGAATATCGTCGGGCCATCTCCTCTCATCATCCTCGAATCGCGTTCCATAACTTCCAGTGATGCCCCGACGTACGGCGCGAGATCGATCTAGTTGAAGATAACCTCCGTTCGGTGATCTTCGAGGTTTTCAACGAGTTTCGGATCGACGTACCTTGTTTATCACTAGTAGATCCGACTGTGAGATTCCGGGACCGCCTTTTCTCGGAATCTTGTCTCCTCCCTGCGCATTTGAACATCCCTCAGTATCGAACTCAATCGTATAGCACTCCAGCTGCGACTCACCGAAACGTCAATCACATAGATGATATAATCGGCTAACTCCCTTGAATAGTTCGCAGCAAGGTTATCACCTCCACTCTCCACGAACAATAACTGACAGCCGTATTTTGCCTGAAGGGTCTCGAGAGCACCCATATTCGCACTGATATCTTCTCGAATAGCAGCGTGGGGACATCCTCCGGTTTCGATGGCAAGGATGCGGGAGGAAGGTAGGGCTTTGTTGCGGATCAGAAATTCTTGGTCTTCGCGGGTGAATATGTCATTTGTTACGGTTGCTGAAAGTGCGAGATGATTAGATTATTTGAGAACGGTGACAAGGATGCATATACCAATGTTGTACTCCTTCCGGAGTCTCTGGCAAAGGGCCAAGGTCAAAGCAGTCTTTCCGGAGCCAACAGGTCTGCATGAGGAGATTTAATTCAGACAGGATGAGATGTAAGCATATAGAGACATACCCCCCAATTCCAACCGTGAAGCCTCTCTCCTCGAAATTACGAGAACTGTAGTCAGGCAGGTCTCGCTCGGCATATTTGCCTACATAATTAACCCCGTTTATACGTCGCTACTCATTAACATGGAAACGGGCAAACGAACCAGGAGTTTCCAGGTGCTCATGTGTATGTCCATGGTCTCCCAGTCCGTGGTCGTGAGAATGCGAAACACCATCATGAGAGTGAGCTTGCGGTGGCTGACTTGCGACCGCCGCTGAGAGATTGTTGATGAACTGCACTGTTTCGTTATTCATATTTCAAGTACTTTCAAGTATCCTGTAAAAGGGAGAGTAGAAGAGCAAGAAGAGCTTTAAACATTGTGGCTTGACGTTGAGCGTAGATAGAGAGATAGCTTAGATCCGTCGATCCGATCACATTGAGTGGTGAAAATGTAGATTAGATTAGATGTATCATTGTGTAAAGAATCTAACGATAACGAGAGGTTTGGGAGAGGTGCTTTGAATCTTTACCAGTTTCGCTGGATCGAACTCTTTGGTTTCTTATTTTTCTTCTTCGGCTTCTTCAATACCGGTAACCCCCCGGTCGTAGGATCGAATCCCAAACCGAGGTAACCTTGCGGGACTGGTGCTTTCCAAGGTCTTTCCTTCGCCCCGTTCTTATCCACCCGACTGACGATGAAGCTGTGTTCCGACGCTGCGACGAACATTCCATCGAAGTGTATATAATCCTCACCGGCATGAGGGATTCTGCTGACACCGATTGAGAGCGGTGTGAGAAGTGTTGGTGGTGGTTCAGAGGGTACCGTGAGGAAGTTCATGTTTACTCGGCAGTTTGGACGATTGAGGACTGGCAATCTCGAATCAAGGTAGTTTTCTGGAAGGTGGAGCATCTGGAAAGGGCGTCATTTCGAGAGAAAAAAGCGAGAAAGAGTTGGGCATGCCTACCTGGACTCTCGATCCCACTGGGGGAGCCAAATCACCCTCGAGCGCAATTGTACCTCTGCTAGGATCGCCCGAGTTGATGCGGAAAACTTGTTCAGGACTTTTCTAATGTGGTATGTCAATTCAACAGCGCAGAGTACACCAAGAAAACTCACATCTTCTTGCGCAACCCAAAGGTAAAACTGAGACTCTCGGAATGCCAGGTTAACATCCTTGTTGACCATAAGCTTATGTCTTTCAATTCCATGCAGGAGGATCTCAGTAGGGTTCTTATTGTCCAAAGTGTGCACCAGATTCCCCTCTGAGCTACCTTTGGGATGTATCTTCAACTCGCGTTAGGAATGAGGAGGGAAGGAATACGTACGAGGTAACCATGCAGGCTCGCGTTATTGCCTTTAGTGCAGGAAACACTACATTGTGCCTAGGCGGTGTGAACCCATTGATACACATGCCTACAGCTCCCGATGAATGAATATCTTTGTTGTGAAATAACGTAAATGGACGTCCTGTCACGAAAGGGGTTGAGGTGGCAATCATCCCCACCTGGAGAGAAAATCGTTCAGAACGCGATAGATATCTTGTTTGTTTTTACGTACCGCCGAAGCATTGTGGAACGATCTGAGCGACTCAGTGATACCCTCATGAGAATTGTCAGAAAAGTATACAACGGCGTTCACGTCTTCGGGGCTGTCCCAGGGAAGCGATGAGTTGCCGAGTCGAATAATGAGAGCAGTAGCGATCGCACCTCAAATCTTCGAGTTCCGTGGGAAGCGCATGGGTAGGCGTAGAACGTGGCCAAGTCTCACCGTTCAAGGTGGGAGGAGGGATATCACTCAATGCATCGTGCTGAGGCTTCCTCGCAGCGTGCCATCGTCCTACTTGCGCAGCAGCTCTTCCAGGAATTGTACTCCGGAATATCCTGGCCCTGGACATGTCAAATTCCGCCCACGAGCATATGGTAGCTTGAGGTATTGGCTGCACGTGGTCACATGTTAGATTAGTGTGGGCAGAGAGACATCCAATTGAATTGGGAATAGACGTGAACTGCGAGACGAGATTGGATAGGTCGGTGTCTTGAAGGTCTGGGCCTGGGGACAATGAATAAATGATTCCACGACCTGGATTGGGTGCAGCAGCTAGGGCTGAGACCTGCTCAAGTATTGGAGTGACCGAACGTGAAATGAGTGTTCTCGCTGCCAGTGCCATGGTGGCAAGACGAAAGTTCAAAACAAGCGAAAACAGAATGTTATGATCGACGCGTTCAGCGCTTGCCCTCGAGCTTTGTCTTTTGACTTCGATCCGGAAACCGTGGAACCAAATGACATCTCTTATACGGCTATACTTTCAAATTAAGAGCAACACGGTTTACGCTCTTGGCTTATACCCGGAATACAATGCATGAGCATATATAGGTCCAGATGGCGCATGCGTTCTCGATGTCAGTTCACATGTATTGCTGGACTCTGTGTGTGTGAAAGTGAGTACTGGAGAGCTACTCGTTCCACCGTCCATTCACACAGCTCGAGGTCGGCAGTGCCTTCCGACGTCTTTGCCTTTGCTTGGACAAACAAACATGTTCATCTCCCATCCCGCCATAGCTTCGAGTACCCACGTTAATCCTATTTGGCTTGGCGGCCTCGCATCGTGGAGCTTTTTGCCCTCTCAAATGAACATGATGTCCGGAAATACTAGTCCTTTCTTGCTTCGATACCGGTCTCTCACAAGAGCCATGCTGGTTGCGCGAGAGACCGGATGAGCAACTGAGTTACAGTATCCTCGCCATCTCTGACATCACCCGGCTCTGTGGATCTTATATATTCTCGGCTTGTGGTGGACTTCTTACCTATTCGCACAGTGACTATTTTTCAGCATGCGCTTCCTCTCGCTCAGTACGCTGTTGTTGTCTCTTGTCACTCTCGCAAGCAGTCAGGACACCAGCCTTGCTGCTGTGCGGAGAGCTTTCAATACTGCTAATGTATGTGGGCAGCGTTTGAATTAATGTTTATTCAACATGCTAATGCCTTCGCCGCAGATTCCAGCTGATGCAGCCATTACGTTTGACCCGAGCATTCTTTTTGAGCTCGCCTTCCCGCAAACCTCAGGTCCTCCAGTAGAGGTTCATGCCGGGATTCAGCTCCCACGAAACGGTAAGGTGTTCGCATATATAACGCGATATCCAGACTACACATTTCTCTGCAGCGACTGCTGGCCCACCGACCTTCTCAGTCCGAGACACCGTCGTCTCGCCTAGACAGAGCTTCGTGGTTGCCGCAGTCGACCTGGACGCACCTACCCCTCAAAACCCTACCAGTGCTCAAATTAGACATTTTCTGGGAGGTGACTTCCATCCTCGAGCGGCAGTGACCTTACGTACCCAAACATTGGCCAATGCGACTGCTGCAATTTCGGAATTCAGGCAGCCAACCCCTCCTGCTGGTTCGGACCCTCATCGGTAACTTCATTTGAAACTTTGATTTGAATGTCGAAGCTGATACAAAGTTCGGGGTTTTCATTAGCTATGTATTCTTGCTCTTCAATCAGCCTCGAGGTTTCGGCAGACAGACACTAGTGAACTCTACAACTCCGATCCAAAACTTCAACATCAGTCAGTTTGCCAGTGAGATCGGGCTCGGCAACCCTATCGGTGGTACATTTATCCTCGTCGGCCCCGATCCAACAGCGTAGGAGTGAAATGGCGTTTCCTAAGTAGCTGGGTCTGCGTCGAGAGGTTTCTCTTTCGTTCGGCGACCTGACCCACGCCAATAGATTAGCATTTTCGTATAGCATGAATATTATGGTACTTTCATCGTCTCGACTACGCCAATAAAAGTATCTACGAAATTTTACGATGCATAACCATCCTTGCCACGGATGACACCGAGCGCAGGACCATCTCTTCCAAACATCCTCCTTAAATCACCCGCTAGACGTTCGGGTTGTTCATATGCGGCGAAGTGACCGCCCTCACTATGATTTGCCTTGAATACGAGGTACCCGAGTTCACTCGCCCAACTAGGGCATAATTTTCTCTCATGAATCATGAATCGTCAAAAAGGCGAAATTCACTTACAAATCACGAACGGCGATGTGATCTGCAGGGAAGAGGGAGACTCCAAATGGAATTGGGGATATCTTGGTATCCGCCCAATCCGCTTGGCCCTCATCTGTTTGGAATTCGAAGTAAATTCGAAGGGAAGCTGCAGGTCCCGCTCGAGAGAACCAATAGATGGAGATCCAGGTTAAAACTATAATGATGCAAAACTTCAGTGAAACACAGAGAGCCATTGGTGAAGCGCCGTCACCTTCATCGTCAGTCCAGGGATAGTGATCAGTCCAGAGAATGAGTTTCTCGTATATCCACGCCAAAAGACCCACAGGAGAATCTGCCAGTGAGTAACCAATCGTTTGGGGAGTCGTAGATTGTTCAACATAATAACCCGTTCCTCGTTTGTTGAAGTCGGCTGCGTGCTGGAAGCGTTCCCGTTCCTGTGCAGTCAACGGCGTGATTTGGTCTTTGAGCCACAATACCGGATAATTGGTGAGGGTGGGCTTGTCAGCGCTGGAAGATTGTTCGTGAAGCAACAGAACATTCCCACACAGAGTGACAGACGTACACAGGAAAGTTGGTATGCCATGCCTTCACATGTTTTACTCCATACAGAGCTGCCAGCTTTCGAGAAATCTAGGCCAGAAATAAGTGTATCATTCAGACAAATGCAACCGGACTTTACGCGAAACCCCCAATCTCCGCCCTGAGCAACTGATGTATATCACCTGTATCAACCCTGTATTCCATGAAGATGTCATCGGAGACACACCATATTCGTTGTATCCTAGCGCAAGCATGAGTTTATGAGCAATCTGTCATCGTTTTCAGCATTTTAGCCACATTGGGATCTTGCCTGAGATGTACCTCAGCATATTGGTTGAGCCCGAAGCCTTTCTTCTTTGGTGCATCAGAAAGTCCGAATCCAGGGAGACTGTACGCAACGACATGGAAGCTTGGACAGCCCTCCCCAGCAGCGATCAGCAAAGGAAGCATTTTCGACACTTCCAAGAAGTGTCCTGACCCTAGTAAACGATGATTGTACTCAACGTCGTCAATGAGAATCCCTGCTGACTTACAACCATGAGAAAAGAATAATGGAATGGCGTTCTTCACCTTACTCTTCTGGTGGATATAGTGGATATTGAGTGTGCCGAACCTATCGACTTCAATGTCTCTGGTGAATTGAGGAATAGTGTTGGTCTTTTCCTCAGCTGCACGCCAATCGAAGCCGTCCTTCCACCTCGCGAGCAACCTCTTGATATCAGCAAGTGGGGCCCCGTAGAGCCATTCAGCACCTTCGAGTTCATCTGGAAGTCGTGCTTCATCGAGCTTGGTATGCAAAACCTGCAAATCGATATCAGACACCGAGAGGACAAATGGTGTTTCTGCCATGCAGAAGGATATACCAATGATACTGGTGTAAGACCGAGCCTTTGGTCTTGTTCAACCTATATATATGCCCGGGGGAACTAAGTCATGCTTCAATTCAAATGCCTTATTCAACCTCGTACTACACCCGAGGGATGACAACTTCATCAAAGCTGAATAGAGCTGAGTAGACATTTGAGAGCCTGACAAGTGGCCGATATTCATGTGCCCTCTGGGCATTTCAAGTAACCTACCAGAGGCATGAAGTTAGACGCCCGTTCAAAAAGCTTCAAAAAGGTCCCCGGTCCAGAGCGCTATAAAATCGCGGCATACAAGTGAATCTCACGATGCTGCACAACGTTTGCTCAGTATGACGACTGCTCAGGCACATAAGTATGCAGACACTTACCAAGCTATGCATATCATGTAGTCTGAAGTAATACTGGACGCATTACTGAGGCCACTACACCCGTGCCGTCAAAGACATCGGACCAAAAAATTACATCTCACTAGACAGTTGAGCGGGCTCGAAGGACGGACAAACATGAACCACGTCATACGAGACATTACCAAATAACAAATCTCGTGCAAATCATACTAAGGCGGAGCGTATCCACTTTTCCCTGGAACAACACCAAATGCGGGACCGCCAATACCGAACATCTTCCTCAAGTCGTCCACAAGGGCCTCGGGTTTCTCGTGCGCAGCGAAGTGACCACCGCTCTCATGTACTGATTCGCACACGAGGTTGCCAATAGAACGAGCCCAACTATACAGCATGAGGCCCCGATAACCCAGGCGGTGGATGTCAGAGGTCGAACTCACTATGTAGGAACGCAGACGAGTTCCTTCGGGAAGAAAGAGGCACCGAATGGAATAGCAGTCCATCGGTATTTAGTTGACTCTGACGCAGCATTGAATTCATAGTAAATTCTGGTGGAAGCCGCGGGTCCAGCACGAGAGAACCAGTAGATACAGACCCATGTTAAGACTAGACAAGTATGAAAGTCAGAATAATCAAAACAGTCGAAAATCCATCAAACACGCCTTCGTCGTCCGACCAGGGATAGCCGTCAGTCCAGAGGACTAATTTCTCGTATATCCACGCCAGAAGTCCAGAAGGCGAATCAGCCAAGGAATAACCAAGGGTCTGAGGGTTAGTCGATTGTTCCGTGTAATATCCTCGGCCATTCTTGTAGAACCATGCAGTACGATCGAAGCCTTGACGTTCTCGCTTACTGTATGGCGTTACAAGACCTTTGATATACAATCCTGGGCTTGTGGTGAGGGCCGGTTTTTCTGCACTGAGGAATTTGGGACAGTTAGTATTGAACGCACGCAGGTGTAAGGTCAAGGTACCGAGGATAGTTGGTATGCCATGCCTTCAGGTGGACGCCGCCGTAAAGTTGTGCCATCCTGCGGGTGATCTATGACGGGATTAGATATATTGAGGCGAATTATAGGGACGGAAGCATACGTGGAAACCCCAATCTCCGCCTTGTGTTACTTGGTGCCAGAGGCATGTTAAACTTGGCACAAGAGACTCGTTTAGAATACTAACGCACCATACTCCTTGTAACCAAGGGCGATCATTAGTTTGTGTCCAACCTAGAAAGAGACTTGATGAGCAATGCGAAAGGCGTGGCCATTGGACGAGACAATAACCTCAGCATACTGGTTTATGGAGAAACCTTTCTTCTGTGGTGCTTCAGAGAATCCGAATCCTGGCAGACTGAATGCAACTACATGGAAACTTGGTCGATCTGTAGTGGTAGTTGTTAGCAGAGGAAGTAGCTTCGACACTTCCATAAAGTGACCGGGCCCTATAATTCGGAAATGAATGCGTTAGAAAAGACAATGTGCAAGATTAAGATAACCTCACTAACACCCATGAACAAAAAGCACGGGAATCGCTGCATCGAGCTGGCTCTTCTGGTGGACGTAGTGGATGCTAAGTGTTCCAAAACCGTCTACTTCGATGTTCCGCGTGAATTGTGGCAGCACATTAATGGAGGCCTCGGCCGCACGCCAGTCAAAACCGTCTTTCCATCTAGCAAGGAGTCTCTTGACGTCTTCGAGAGGTACACCATAATTCCATTTGGCGTCTACCAGTTCATCTGGAAGTCGAACAAGGTCCAACTTCTTACGCAAGAGCTCCAAGTCCGCGTCTTGGATCGCAAGAGTGAATGGAACTTCTGCCATGTCAGCTCAGCCAGTGGACGATCCCGCAAGCTCAGTAAACATAAAAGTCAACCTGGTTCTCGAGTTCCGTCCCATCGCATTTATAACGCAACTAAAGCTTGCTTGCTGATCATGGCAGGTGATATATGGGATCGGCAAGTACCGAAACTGGGGAAGTTGAAAGGAGCATCGTATTTTCTCTACGAGTACCTAGTCCCGATTTCCAGTAACATAGAAGAGAGGAAGAACAAGATGATTCCGCTGCATTGTCGAAGGACATCATAGGTTGAATATTCCAGTCTTCACCGCTTCCACTTCTGTCCGTGTGGCCACGTCGTGAACTCGGGGTGATCCGATCTCTTCCCAAGCTCGATCTTTGGAATATGTACGTCGCGAAGGTAATGACAGACTCTCTTTTAGAAACAGGGTAGTACAGACGAAACAGAAGCGCCTGAAGCATGAATCCATGCCATTACAATGAGGCTCCAAAGTGACCTCGATTAAGCCGTCGTATACCCACTTTTACCTGCAACTACACCAAAGGCAGGTCCACCAATGCCGAACATCTTTTTCAAATCATCCGCCAACTCTTTCGGTCTCTCGTGCGCAGCGAAATGTCCACCGCTCTCGTGCTCAGACTCTAACACGACATTGCCAACTGCACGGCACCACCTGTAGAAAATTGTGATCGATTTCAAACAGATCCTTTGGTATACAGAAGCGTAAATGACTTACAGCTTCGGAACACAGATAAGTTCCTTCGGGAAATAAGAAAATCCAACAGGGACAGACACCCACTGGGTATTCATGAAGTCGCCCGCCGCAGCGACCTCATAATAGATCCTTACGGATGCAGCGGGCCCGGGTCGAGAGAACCAGTAGAGCGAGATCCAAGTCAAGACTGTGAGGAGATCAGGATGAACAACTATGAAATACGGCATAACTCAATTGGGCTACTTACCTTCATCATCGGTCCATGGATAATTATCAGTCCAAGTGACGAGTTGTTCATAGATCCACGCAAGCAAACCGACTGGTGAATCAGCCAAGGAGTAGCCCAACGTCTGAGGGCACGTCGTCTGTTCTTCGAAGTAGCCGCTACCTTTACTACGGAACAAGGCAGCACGCTCAAGGTCCTTTCGCTCCCTCTCACTGAAAGGAGTCACGAGGAACTTGAGAAATTGTCCTGGAGTCGAAGTAAAAGACGGTGGACCCGTACTACGACATGTTCGGAAGGTAGAATCAGCGAACAGCCCTAGTATGCCAAACATTGCCACAACGCACAATACGCAGTTGCTGTGCCAAGCTTTGGCATGTTCTCCTCCGTAATGCTGGACTATTCTTTTAGTCACCTGTCATGAGAATAAACGTGAGATAATACATTGCAGTACTAAGGAACATCATACCACATGCCCCAAATCTTCACCTTCAGCAACTGTGCAGTTAAGCAGATACATGGTCAGCGCTACCCAACAAAATGAGAGCCTGTGAAGCAGATCTACCATATTCATTGTATCCAAGGGCGAGCATCAACTTGTGACCAACCTTCGTGACGGAGATAAAAATGAGTCGTTAATTCGAAGCTGGGTGAGACGATATATTATTTACCTCCGCATGTTGAGTGATAGCAAAACCTTTCTTTTTAGGTGCCTCCGAAAACCCAAATCCCGGAAGACTGATCGCGACGACGTGAAAACTCGGATGATCAGGAGAAACAGCCGTCAATAAAGGGAGGAGCTTGGAAACCTCCATAAAGTGTCCAGGCCCTACATTGTAGGCAACGTAATCAGTTCTATATAGTACAAGATATGTGGAACACTTACATCCATGGACGAAGAGGAGAGGAATTGCATTATCCAGTGCGCTCCTCTGGTGAATATAGTGGATGTTCAGCGTGTCATGACCCTCGACGTCGATATCTCGCGTGAACTGAGGTATGGCGTTGATCGCGGCTTCACTGGCGCGCCAGTCGAACCCATCCTTCCACCTCGCGACGAGCCTCTTGATATCATCCAGGGGTACACCATAATCCCATCTCGCATCCTCTAACTCATCTGGAAGTCGAGTTACCTCCAGTTTCTTATGGAGGATGTCCAGATCCGCGTCTGGGATGGCGAGGGCGAACGGTACCTCGGTCATCGTGAATGACTCCTGAGATATTGGTGGGAGATCTGTGCGGCTCCGACTCGCTGGAAGTTCAACTAGTCATTTAGTCCATACGTGGAAGTACTTCCCAATGCACTGAAATCACAATTCCAAAAGCGCCTTCAATCGGCTGTCTCATGCTTACCTTCGCAACCCCCGCATCCTTAGTGTTTAGGATCCAGATGCAGACTGAACACAGCGATGCCCTACAGGCGCCTATGATCGATATGATCTCGATCGCGTCCATTCGCGGTTGTATTTTCCTTTCACCTCCCATTTGACAGGAAGCTACAGGAAGATAAATACACACCAATCTTGGCTAGTACTTGTGTCTGTTTCCGAACGGCTGCAAACCTTAGCCTGACATTGGCATAATCGACTACTTTATCTGCTCACCTTGGCAATCCAGCTCACATATCTTGTTCACTTCCCTCATGATCGTCTCTACTTCCCGGTCTGACAATGCTTTCAAGCAGGGACAGCGACAAAACGTTATCAACCAGTCGTAGCGTGAACTCGGAAGAGACGTTATACGGGGATGGAGGCCGATCTCTGTTACAATGAATTCAGCCGCTCTAAGGAGCTAGGAAGCGACATTTGGTTAATTGGGCATCAAAATATGGGTCTAAACTATCATTTACATCTCGGTACCCTTTCACAGTGGGAAGATGTCAGGAATTCAACTCTGTAGGATTGTAGTCATGCTTGCGCAATATTGCATGTGAAGCGGAACGAACCCCGACGCAGTTCAGGAAGCACCCATCTCTGTCGCGAATCGACCTCCAGGCTTTAGTACGTTCTCCACGTTTTCGAACACGCGTTTGGGTTTTTCTTGCACCAGTGCAATGTTGCATTGGAGAATACTGCGTCGAAACCATTTTGTAGTGAAAAATTCCAGTCGAAGGGAAATCTCAAGTCTTATATCAGACACAAACGCGTTTCGTGATCTATTGCAACGTGAGCTGTCCGCTCCCACATCCAAAGTCAATGATACGCTTCCCAGGTTTCGCGTCAAGCAATGATAGGACCGGAGTTGTGTACGCGGCAGACTACCCGAATGATGTATTTCGATTGTAAGCGTCGGCAGACCCAGTGTCTGTCCCATTGTTAACCATGTTGAATGTCGCAGGGGTCTGAGATGAGACTTTCAACAACACTTCGACCTATATAACTACCTGCAGGAACTTGTCGACCCTGATGAATGAGGCATTTCGGCTGAACACGTCCGATATGATTGCAGTGAATATCCTCTTGCTATGTTGGAATGCCGTGAGTTTTGGTCAGCCCATCGTTGAGCCCGACGGTGACACCTAACATTGAATTACTTATGATCAGAAACTCGAAACCTGACTCAGCCATAAGACACGCATAAATATACCTGTCATTCTAATGACTGTTGTGCACCATTTTCACGATGGCCGAAATTCCGTTCACCCTCTCAGTCCCCGACACTGAGCTAGAGCTGTTGCGCACCAAGCTCGAGCTTACTCAACTTCCAGATGAACTCGAGGACGCGAAATGGGACTATGGCGTACCACTTGGAGATACCAGGCGGCTGCTTGCAAGGTGGAAAGACGGCTTTGACTGGCGTGCGGCTGAGGCAAAGATCAACGCTATACCTCAGTTCACTAGAGACATCGAGGTTGACGGATTCGGCACGTTGAACATTCATTATATCCATCAGAAAAGTCAGGTGAAGAATGCTATCCCGCTGTTCTTCTCTCATGGTTGTAAGTTTCACCGGCTCTCCGTCACCCGTATCAGGTGCATCTAAGCTACTCACGGACATTTGTCTAGGGCCCGGCCATTTTATGGAAGTATCGAAGCTACTTCCTCTGTTGACAGCCGAATCTGCAGACCATCCAAGCTTCCATGTTGTCGCATTCAGCCTTCCTGGGTACGGCTTTTCCGAGGCACCAAAGAAACGGGGCTTTGGTCTCCGCCAGTATGCTGAGGTACGTTGCTCGCAGTGCTTCATTTGTACGCCTTCTCATAAAGATACCCGTTCAGGTCGGCCATAAGCTGATGGTAGCCCTTGGGTATGATGAGTACAGTGAGCACTTGGCAGCGACCTATTCCAGTGCTTGAACTGACTGACGAATGACATGTAGTTGCTCAAGGAGGAGACTGGGGGTTCGGAGTAAGACATCCCTTCTTCCCTCTTTGATATCTATGTTGACCTATATGATAGATTGTTCGCACTATGGCCTCTTTGTACGGCGAAAGGCACGTAAAAGCGTGGCATACCAACTTTCCTTTGTACGTTGACTCGTCCATTGCCTTTCTCCGTCAACAAAGGCAAACATTGATGATGTTCTACATCAGCATGTACAAACCAAGCTTGAGTGCTCACCCTTTGATATGGCTTAGAGATCTTGTGACGCCCTACACTGCGGAAGAACGTCAACACTCGGAACGAGCCGCATGGTTCGTGAAGAAATCATACGGGTATTGGGCGGAGCATGCCACTATGCCTCAAACAGTTGGTTACTCTCTTGCTGACTCTCCTGTGGGATTGTTGGCTTGGATATACGAGAAGCTCGTTATTTGGTCTGACGACTACCCTTGGACCGATGATGAAGGTAAGTATACCTTAGACATTAGAGATGTGTTTCGAAGCCTCTTATGTCTAAACTTCCCATTTTCAGTCTTGACCTGGATTTCGATCTACTGGTTTTCCCGCGCTGGCCCAGCAGCTTCCCTCAGGATATACTACGAATTCGGTACTGAAGAGGGCCAGGCGGATTGGGCCAAGCTCAAATCGCCTACTATTCCATTCGGTTTATCATATTTCGCTAAGGAGCTTCCTTTCGTTCGTTTATTGTAAGAGCGCTTCATACTTATTTGTCTGGACGGCATCATTGACTGCCTCATCTTTTCTGTTTCAAGTTGGACGCGCGTTCTGGGCAACCTCGTGTTCCAATCTACCCACGACAGCGGAGGACATTTTGTTGCTCATGAAAAGCCCGAGCTTCTTGTGGGTGATATCAGGAAAATGTTTGGTTCTGGTGGTCCTGCGTTCGGTGTTATACCAGGACGAGACGGATACGCAGGCAAGTAACATGCTGATAGAAGAAAGCGAATGTTGCTATTGGTGTCCAGTACTCAACCATGGGTTCAATCCGCATTTTCCATGTTCTATAAATGTGATATCTTAAAAACAATGAGATTAGTTGAAGAAGACCTGAATAGTGCTGAAGAGCTTGAGTCGATTGAGGTGAATCTGGAGGTATGGTCAGAACTTGCCAAGTTCGAATTCGGGCTGAAGCGCGTAACGATGAGCCTATTTGTGCCTAAGAAGCCCTGTTCATGGGCTGTCAGATATATGGACATGGGGGACATACCAACATGGAGAAAAGGAAACCAGCTGGAAAATGTGAAACAACATTGAAAGCACCTGTATCGTTCAAGGTACTAGGAATAATAAAACGTATGGTACATATCTTACATCGAATAGTAGCTACAACGACGGGTAAGCATATAAATACACTAGACGACATACAGCATATGAATGTTGTCGTAATAAGTAGCAGATACAAATTATACCAGAGGATTCGGAGCTCGATTCACGTTTTGCATCTTCTGCCACTCCACTTTCTTGCTTTGTTGACCGATAGTACCTGGACGATCACTGATATTCACAGATCCATCGTCGTGAGTGACGAGTTCTTCAATAGTGACCGTAACTTCAGGATTGATAGCGTTGGTGACACCGTGATGCGAACGAGTGAAACGAAGCATATTAGAAGGTCCGACAGAGGGTGCAGAAATTCCCTTGAACTCTGCTATTGGTCTGTTTATTCGGCTTTGTTTCTTGAGGTGGAGCGTAATACGTGACATCATCGCGACTGTCAATCTAAGGACGGCTTTTGGCATTCGGGCCAATATCTTTAATATAATTGGGGTAAGACAAATAGTCGAGAAGACGCACAGTTGTTCCAACCTGCGATCGAAGTAATACAACATCAAAATCAGTGGTGCTCCGCAGTTTCGAACGATTGATGGAAGTGACTTACTACGCTGTGATATTTTGTATGCCAGGAGGCGCGAGGACTATCATGAGCGTGAGAACGAGATTGACAGAGAAGATAACGCTGTGGCCATATGCCAGTGTTAACACATAGGAAAAACAAGTGATGGATCTTCAGCCTGCACACCTATAATATAACACACCGTCTCGGAGCAGAACTTTGATTATTTTGCCAGCAGCATGTCGGCGGACAGGTTGTAATGTGCGTTTGACAATGAGAATGAAGACGATGGTATCGTAGAGCAGGGGTAACCAGGCAGACGCAGACGCAATGGCCCCGCTGTTGATTACTATCAAGATGGGGGTGATTCATCTAAAAATGACAAATACGCACATTGAGGGATCAAATACCATAGTGCAAGCTGCTGGAAATCGTTAGTAGAGAGTTGGGTAACAGAAACGTGTTTAACACGCACCATGGATTTGAGAGTTGTGGACTACGGCTATCCGACCCATGACACGTTAGAGATGCTGATGATACAAATTAATATGACACACCTTGCCCGTGTGAGGTTAGCCAGGCATTGACTGCCAGTTCAGCACAGAATACTATACCCACGACAGCCAATACGACATAACGAGTAGGATAGAGAGCATACACGCTAACACAAGCTCCGTCAATTGACACGAATACCTGGTAGTAGATTGTCAACACACCGAAGAAACATCATGAGGGCTGTTATATTCAGTCCAACCACAATCATAGCACCCTCATATTGAACGAATCTCTCGCATCTAGTTGTATATAAAAAATGTTAGACTTTCGCTGCCAGTGGTCAGGACAGATCTGGTGACCAACCTCTGAGAACAAAGAATATGAGATGATGTGAAATGTAATGATGATGTTCCGACGTACCTCTTGGGTCCATGACGGAGACAGGTAGGCTGTGAGGCTGCATAAGTTTACTGACAAACACAGAGGGAAATATGCAAACTATACTACCAAAAAGATTGATGATGAAACCCAGAGGCGTGAGGTAACGATTCTAAGTTGTTGCTAGTCTTACATCAGTTTGCGACATGTTATGTTGGGACCTACGAGGAAGAATAGCCAAACAACTTTGACTGCGGCTCAGTATGTGATGGTTCAATGTAAAAGAGCGACACTAACTGGGGCCCTTCCTGCCCTTCCAAATGTACTCGACCTCATCGTTCAGTTAGTAATATGATGATAGGGAACCCAAACACAGACTCACTTCATCTCCAAATGTGATGATGTGTTCCCAAATGAGAATCATAAAACTCATGAAACCTATATACTACAAAGGATGTTCATGAGTTGGAAGATAGCTCGAGTGAGAGCGACAAGAACACGAACCACTGTCACCCGACTGCGGGAAGGAGGGACAGGCAGTCAGATAAAGGAAGAGATTGATGGAAGGATGCTCACGTCTGGCCGACATCCTCCACGAGGGTTGGAGGTGTGTTACTAGCGATCATACCGACGAGGTGCCTAAACATCCACTGCACACTTGAGGGGTTTCATGAAGATATTGTTACGCCGCCAAAAACATAAACGCCTTCATCCATGGGCGGATGGCGACTGAAAATGCAGGATATTGTAAATAAATGGTCGTCTTTGTGAACATGACGTTCAAAAGGCTGTTCTGAAGCGACGCCCCAAAACTTTGTAACACAGGACTTGGTTCCAACCAAACACACGCTGCTTCCTCGTGTTCTTACCCGACGAAATCAAAAAATTATGATCAATGACGCTGTTCACTTATAATAATTGGACACCGCCGATGTCGCAGTCCTGATCAAGGGAGTCACACGGGGTGGTTGCGGGGAAAATGAGTAGGCGCCCCATTCCTTGGAACCATGGGCAAGCCCGGACCCTTTCTGGGAGTACTATGCAAGGGCTCCTTCTGGAAGGATACACGTTCTGCGTTGTTGGACGCAATGCCGTCTGGAAGGTGAACAATAGTCCGTTTATCTCGACCACCAGAAATTCGTAATTGGGCGAGTAACGCGCCTCAGAAGGCTCATGAGAATCACCAAGCAGCTCTAAATGGATTAGTCCGAAAGATCACATATGATAAATGCCATAAACATACACATAGTATACACACAGTCCGGTCTTCTTCAGAGAACCTATGCCAAATCTAACCCCCAAACCCAAGGAATGCTGCGCTCAGGGTTCATGACAGAATCTAGATTGATGAACAGTCAACAAATCATAGATATCCCTGTCAAACAAGGAGCTACAGTATAATGAACAGAATATGTACTGCCAAGAGGTCCGCCGCAATGACGATCACAAGAACGGTCATCAGTCGTCCTGCTTTTGACTGGCAATGGTAGGCAGTAGTAAGCCCTAGCTCCTAGGCGGCACCAGCAGTGTTACCAAGAGATGTGGATTTGATATTGTCTGTGAGGCTACAAGTCAGAGACGTTTTATGGAGCTACGCTTATTTCGTGTGACATACCCAGCATTCCTCCCTGCTCCCGCACTAGTGTCCCCAGATCACGGGAATTTATTGACAGCTTGTGAATGCCAGTCTCAATTTCCCGCATTTCCTCTTCCAGTTCTTGGATAAGGGATGTATGCGAGACCCTGAGGCCATAGCTGTATCTGTAACATCTGTGCTTCTCGTTGCGGCGGAATTGGCCTCGACGGCCGCTTCTCCCTATGGCCGACTCATCACTGGAAAGCCTGAACCTTCCTTAGGTCCATCACGGTGGATTTACTCCTCTTCCACAGCGATCTTGACGCCCTTTACGACGTTCTGAAGCGATGCCTTATGGCGGTTCCTTTATGTTATACTCTGACCTGCATAGGGTGGGCACGACCGGACGTACCAATGCTGTTGCTTGGAGGACTGCCAGCTTCTTCAAGTCATGAGAACGGTGTTTCATCATCGCTCGGATTATGGAGAGTAACGGAGACAAAACCGTTGGATGAGTACGTACAGTACGTTCTCGACAATCCATGGACAGCACGCAGCGACTTTTCCAGATTGGCAGAGTCCCTGATCGTTCCCTATTAATCCACATACTTCAGCATTATCAGTACGTTAGAATTGATCTTGAAGACTTAGAGTGATAGTGGCAAGTTATGACAACTCGCCATATGTTTCGTCTTTCGCAGCGAAAGACGAATTACGAAAGTTTCGCAAGCTAGCGAGATCGATCACGGAGTTTCTCACGGAGCCGCTTTCACTTCTAAACCGCAATCCGCGTCAATGGTGTACTTCAGAGTTCATGATACATATCTTTGTCCGGTCGGACCATTTGTTGGGAAAGCCTCCTTCCTAGCGAGCCAATGCACGACGCCATCGCTTTTCTCAACTTGAGTATCCTAATCACCATCTGCACTCTCTTTCACAGGCACCTCACCTTTCCCCATGCAAGCATCGAGGTTCCGCCTAGTCTACAACTGGTCTACCGGGGTAAAGAGTCTGAACAATTGAAGTTGGTATGTAGGTATCATTATGGTGAATAGCAATGGATTGGCAGATGCAACACTCTTCGCCTTTATCGCGTACACTTTTTCTCGAACGCTGTAAATCGAATGCAAATGCCCGGCGCTTCAAATCGTCTAGTGCTGCTTGCCTTCAGCACAGACGTGCGTAGAAGAGAAGGCTTCTGATGTCTGCCAATACGCTTGATGACGTAGCAGGTTGCACGTCAGGCAGTGTGCCCCGTAATTGACGCTCTGGCTGAGTTCTCGCTCGCTTGAAAGCGAGAAAATGGACGTACGAGCTATCTGGAGGTATGCTACTTTCAGATTCATTTCGTGTCACGAATAATAATATATTCAGTAATAGAGGCAGCTAGAGAGCACTTTTATGGCCATACTCAGGTTCTCACTGTTACCATGCAGATAGGTATCAGAAACGCATGCGCACGTAGGTGCGATCAGTGTGTTTCTTTTTCTCTGAATTCTTCTTCATGTGAGTCTTGCACATACGTCAATGCCAATGCCGGCGGTCGCAATGGCTGTTAATTGCGCGTTCAGAGGTCTGGGCGGGTTTCTTTCCACTGACGTATCTTCAACGCCAGTTACTGATACTCACTTCTCGTCTTCATGTCAGCAATTGGCGACAGCGATCTATGCTAGCTGTGGACTGATGGTTATAGCCGAGCTCCTCGTGCCCCTTGTCTGGTTGGAAGGTTGCAAGTTGGAGAGAAAACATGGAAAGCAAAGAACATCTTGGCAGTCTGAAGTGACATGTCCTTCGCTGGTTGATACGCCTTTTCTCACTCTAGGCTTCATAGCACTATATCCTCATAGAATGTATGGCAGACGAGATTGAACCCTTTGGGATCTCTACCGCTTTCGTTGCTAAAGGACTGGCCATAAATGACTTGGTAGGTGTTGACGTTCAAAACAATGACTCTGAATAATGTGGCGCTCACCGCAGAAACCCTCCTAGAGTTCACTTGAAAGTAACACAGATCTGCAAGAGGTGGGTATCTATCCAAATATCTTATTCGTGATGAATCGTGTTACAGGTGAACTGACACGGCTCATCATACAAATGAAGACGTCAATCACACTCCCTGTACCATTGCGGCCTCTTCATTACGCCCAGAATCTGTTGCAACCGTTTAACACCACCCACGTAGGACGCGGCCACCTGACGCGTTCGTCACTAGTGGCCACAGCGATGATCATGCGCTCTTCGTGTTTGTAGTTCACGTAGCCAAACCTGCCAGATGCACCCAGCCCGGCTTGGTAGATGACATGTTTCAACGCGTTCTTCATCGCCTCCGCTCGGCGCCAGTCGTCCTCAGGATCGTCAGAGAATTCTCCGAGCTTCTGCTCTTTTGCTATGTCGAGCAACCACTGCTCTTCTGGAATATAGCCGCATAGCATAGTACGGTGGCGCATGGCAGAATCGATCGCTGGCACAATCTAGCCGGTCAGGTCAAGACATGGTAAAAGGAGGGGCGCGAGGAATCACTCACATGCAAATGTAAAGTTTTGGAAGGTATGAAGGATTGGGGAGGTTATACGCAGAGGGTTTAGGTGAACAAAGTCCAACCGTGTTATATATATGGAACCTTTGGCGAGGATTCGATCCGGGCCGAGAATGAGGTTCGTCTTTCGGCACCTGTTGTTAAGTTTATGGATCGGCTACGATGGGGTTTGAGGTTGGGAGATGCTCACTCCAGGGTCACTCACAAAGAATGGAAAACATGGGCGAAGATAGTGCTGGAAACTTGACCGGTGCTAAACATCCATCCGACTAGGTAGAATGAATTTCAATGAAAGGTGATTGTCATTCTGTAATTGAATGGACTTCTTTTCCTTGAGAGAAATCGTTGTTTAGGACTGTTGGGAATTTAAGGTTTAGCAGTGAGTATCATGTACCGAAGTTCGGCCAAGTGGCTCACGAAAGGTCATCATCCTCGCCCTTCGTAATTGAACTGCAATTGGATATTATGTTGGATATCTGCTCCACGATCCTCACACAATGCGATATTCTACTTCAAAGCTTGAAGATCATCCCTTCCTGAGTGACTCAGTCTGAAAGCACTTCTCGCTCTGCCGAAGTACTACTTGTTCATCACATACAGTGGATCTAAACGATGAAAAAAAACTCTGTTCCTTCACGCTATACCCTCTGCTCAGCTGTCGGATAACTACGAACACCGTAATTCATTGTCTTTCCAAATCGCAACTTGGCAATGTACTATGTAGGAGGAACTTATGATAATTTTCTTCGTCTTGATGGAATCAACAGGCACCGTTAAAACGAGGGATTGGACTATAATGGCGTGTCGGAGAGATCAATCAGAGCACATCTTGTACCACTTGGGTCTCTCCGTTACTCCTAAAATCTCTTGCAACCGTTTAACGCCATCCACAGTAGGTCGCAACCACCTAGCGTGTTCCTCAGTGGTGGCTAGAGCAATGATCATGCGATCTTCGTGTTTGTATCTCACAAAGCGGAATTTGGCGTATAGACCCATCCTGGCTTGGTGAATGACATAGTGCAACGCGTTCTTCTTCGCTTCTGCACGATGCCAAGCATCCTCGCGATCGCCAGAGAATTTTCCCAGATCATGCTCTCTTGCGATGTCGAGCAACCATTGCTCATCTGGGATATATCCGTACAGCAAGTGGACCATGGCAGAATTGCTAGCACAATCTAAGTACCAGTCAGTTGGGTTAAGACACAGTGGAGGGAAATTACTCACACGCAAATGCAAAGTTCTTGGAAGGTGTGAAGGATTGGGAGGGGCTATACGTAGAGGATGTGAGTGGTTTTGAATAAAGTCCAACCGTATCACTCGTTATTTATGTGGAGCCTCTTGGCGAGACTGTGGCCGCGGGTGTCCAAAGTGAGACATGTGACATTGCGAAACCATAATTCTCTCCGGACCAGGGGCATAGTACCGTTCTCCTTTAATTGGATGATGCGGAAATTAGGCACGTCCTGAGTTAATCACTTTAATAGTGGTGAGTTAGTGACAATGTTTGAGAGAAAGGGCCAACTGTGGTACGAAGCAATGTGACACTGCAATCGTATCGGCACAATGTCAGTAGCACATATTCTATTCGCGATTAATCACATAGCTCATCATACCAAGGGAGACATCAATCACACTCCTTGTACCACTGCGGTCTCTCCATTACCCCCAGGATTTCTTGCAACCTTTTGACACCACCCACAGTAGGACGCGGCCACCTGACGTGTTCCTTAGTAGTAGCCAGAGCGATAATCATGCGATCCCTGTGTTCGTATTTTACGTAGCCGAATCTACCGGATACACCCAGCTTGGCTTGGCGAATGACATGTTTCAACGCGTCTTTCATGGCTTCCGCTCGAGACCAGTTGTCCTCAGGAGCATCAGAGAAATCTCCGAAATTCAGCTCTTTCGCTACGTCGAGCAAGAATTGCTCTTCGGGAATGTAGCCGTATAGCATAGTTCGGTGGCGCATGGCAGAATCGCTAGCACAATCTAGTCAGTCAGGTCAGTATGCAGTGAAGGAAGGACGCGCAAAATCACTCACTATCGTCTTAGAAGAAAAGAAAAGATGGGTTTCCGACAGAATGAAGGAGGGATCAAGAGGTCACTTTCCGGGATCGCGCCAAATGTCACGGCACATGACTGTGACATGCCACCGGCCTATTAGATCTCCGGGTGCATGCTCTGGGAGCACATTCTCTCCAAAGAATAAGCATTGCTCTGGATAGTCAAGGTATGTCTCTTGGCCTGACGATTTCCTCCATTTGCAATAGAAGGTCCGCGAGTGCCAACAGAGAACGGCCTCGAGCGCGCGAGCCTAATCCATCCGGAGGAAACAGCGTATTAGTAAAACCCGTCTGTTGACCAGAATCCCGATGCGAGAAGGCTATGAATCCTGAAAGTGGCGCAAAGCCTTGGAGTCGGAAATGGTGAGGAACCCGTGCATTGCATAGAATAAAGGCAATTTGTCAATTTTAATCACTCTTTGCAGTCGAATTGTCGGAGGGGAACAACTGTATCCCAGATATGGAACGAGATGGGTGGATGCATGGTATAGGCGGCCGTCGGGCCCTCAGGATGAAGCGAGAGGGCTTGAAGCGAAGCGAACCGAGAGGAGACGGTTGAGAGATAGCGAGCCCGGACTTGAATAGTAGGTCTACGTACTTTAATGAGGGCTATTGAAGGACCGGCCTTCTGAGCAACAACTGCGTGCCTAGAGCTCTTGCTTGGTTCACGTGTCAGAAAGCGGGCAGGTCAGAATAGAAGTTATTGGCGTCGACAGCAAACCTTTCAAAGCGAGCAACCAGATTTCGCACTTAGAAGATTAAAATCGGAATGAAGATGAAGACATGTCAGGACAAAGGCATATAACAGCAATAGAACATACCGACGAAATTGTGAGCTCTTTGGTCATCCACCTGTGCCCACGTTGCCAATAATCATTTTGTACGGCCCACGGCTTGCTTGACGATTCTGAAAAGTGCATCAATCTATCATGTAAAACGGAGTAGCATTCACCAGGAGGCATCATAGAGCTAGAGCGACAAGTGCATAAAGCGACAAACGAAGCAGCGAAAATCCGTCGGATTGAAAGAAGAACAAGATTGTGACTCTACAAACTTTCGCAACGGCGTAGTATTGACCAGCCGGTCACGAATATGAGCAGAACCCAACAAACACACATGTATATCGCTCTCCCAGGCTGATACAACTTCAACAAATTGGAAGAGAGTAGCACTTTGGTGAAGTTGATCATCCTGGTGTGTGGTTTTGCGAAAGGGGGAAAGAGCAGCGAAGCAGGAAATTCAAATATCGCATGTGACATCAAGTTGCATTGACAATCGCGACGCGACTTCGATGAGCGTGAAGCCCTGGTGAAGCCTATGCAGGGTTGGCGAACTTTGGCGATTAGGGCCAGCCTATGTAAGAGTAAACAGGATATGGATAAGTGAGAGTATTAACGATCAAGCAACCCTGGTCGGAATTTGCGTATACACCGTATATCCCCACCTACACGTCGACTGAGCGGGCTTCAGCTTCCTGTCGGTGACGTCGCAGTGCGATAAGATGGTTGCATACATTCTAGATGAAGAAATGTCACCTAGGCTCCCGTGCGCGCAAGACCTCTCAGTGATGAACCAAAGGATTCGGCACGATTCAGCAGGAATAGAAGCAACGTAATCCTTGAAGCTTGAAGAAGCAGTTCTCGAGATCTAGAGAAGGGTGCATAGAAGGAACATGTCAAGGGAGACACACCAAGTAAGAACGCGATCACTGTGTAAGACGATGAATTTCGAGTTTCATCGAAAGAAGAGTACGTGATGTGGGATCGTGCGACATCTATAGAGTACCAGCGGTGCTGGTGGGAAGCTTCATGGTTGTCTGGCAGCTGCGCAGCGCAGGAACGCACATGGAACGTCGCATTTTCACCACAAGGAAAACCTGGGAACTGTGTATGTACGTCCACAACAAATGGGAGTGTGTTTGGGGAGTGTTGATAGAGCGGAATGGGCGAGAGGCGAGCTGAAATGTTGAACAAGAGGATGGTCGGTCAGAAGTCCTATAATATGTTGATCGACGAAATCAGGTGGTGATGATCCTGGTTGTATAACGTAGAATAGCTGGGATTCTACCAAATGTCTGGAATCCGGGACCTGTTGACCTTGATAAATGCATGCTAAAGGAAGCAAGAAGCGCATGACGTGTACATTTTATTTCAATAAAGAGGGCGGAATATTGTCGCATGCAGTACTCAGGGTGCTTGGAAGAGACTAGAAGCTAGCATGCTGGAAAATCGAAACCTCGGCCTTGAATTACGCGGTCCGATTCTTCTTAATCATGAAAGGTTTAATCATCAGGTAGATCTAGCGCAAAGTAGTTCTAGAATAGAAGGGGAGCCGCCACAGCTGGCCGGCGAGGAGAGAAGAGGAAGATCGATAAAGTCATGAGTGGACCGAACAGACCGGGGGTACCCAATGGGAAGGGAGCAATTGAGAACGCGGAGATGTCACGCAGGAAGATAATCATGCAAGCCCCAGGCACGCGATCCACGCTTGTGTCCCAATGCGGGGGGGAAGAGTCCAGAAATGGCAATAATGTTTCCTGAAAAGGACAAAGGCATCCGGGGATGTCGGTGGTCTCGGGGTTGATCGAGAGAAGATCGGGGAAAGTGGATCGCACGGTCATGGCAGAGAGTCGACAAATATGCTTTAACCACAAGCTGTATGCTTCCCTTTCCCTGCCATCTCCCAGGTCTCCTCCCTGGTCTATAATCCAGGTCAAGGTCAGAGTCAGCGTTCCCCGCGATGCTTTCTCTCCTCCTCCTCGCCCTGCCCGCGTTCGCGACCGTCTACATCCTGTACACCTTTCTGCTCCTGCTTATTCGTCAACATCTCTCTCCCCTGCGCTCTCTCCCTGGCCCTCCCTCGCACTCTTTCTTTATGGGAAACTTGCGAGAGATGCACGATCAGGAGAACAACAACCTCGTCGCTCGCTGGACGGCGGCTTATGGTCACACATTCGTCTACCGAGGATTCGTGGGCGGGTATAGACTCATGACAACTGACCCTCTCGCCGTGTCCCACATACTAGGACACGCATATGACTTTCCAAAACCTGACTTTATCAGGGATGCCTTGGCAGAAATGGCTGCCGGTCACGATGGCCTTCTGACCGTAGAGGGAGATGACCATCGCAGACAAGTGAGTTCTTGCTGTACCTCTGATGGCACCTCTACTGAACCATCCTTCCCCTCAGCGGAAGATCCTTGTACGTAGCCATCCTCCCTCTCCCTGTATGCGTCAGTGCTGTACACGTCCACGTGACGACGATCTGTCAAATATCTCACTGTCGTGACGCATCGCCCACTGTCACCCGTCTACACGCACCTCGCAACAACTCCACCCATACTTTCTTCTGCCCGACTATCGTGTCCTTGTTTCTGCGTTTCTACCTTCACCGCATCCTAGCATCATAAATTGTTATGATCATACTTCCGCTCTGATTCCCGGGATGTGCACCATCTCAATCTCTGTTCTCTGTTCGCCGATCTCTTGGTGCGAAATTCCCTGCAAATTTGGCTTGTGGATCATCAGGTACACCCTGTTGCACGTTGCCAGCGGGTCTTCCCGTGGGGATCAGATTCTGCACAGCAGAACAATTATGTTCTGTGTGTAGAAGGTGAATCTGAACTCAGTCTTTTCCCCGATTTCAGGATATGCACGGCGTACTATCTCAGGGCACCCAGGAAGGCTTTTGCGCTTTGTAAACATGTGCCGCAAGGTGGTGGAGATCTTGGCACGGTTGATGCGCTAACTACATTACAGAATTTATCTCTGCCTGCATACCTTTTTTTCTACCGTTTCCCATTTGTGCTCTTTTTTACTTGTGATTCTGTTGTCTAATACCTGCCCGCATTTTCGCAGACTCCCGCATTCAGTGCATCCCACATCAAGACCCTCTCACCCATATTCTACAAGAAAGCGTCCCAAGTACGTCTCCTTTTCCTTTCTCGCGAGTGCTCCCACCATGATGGTCATGAACAATTCTATCGGACGCTAAGTTATCTCCTAGCTGAGGGACATCTGGCTTGACATCATCAACACTCAACCTCCCGATACCCTCACCACAAATCCCTCATCATCACCATCATCTACATGTTCAATTGGCTCCCCGCCATCCTCACCTTCGGACCCTCTTGTTGTCCAACCGTCATCGCCGATACAATCACAACCATGTGGTTCCCCTGTGAGGACCACTTTGCCACTGGGTACCTCTTCTTTCCTCCCGAATCCATTTTCAGGGTTTAAACCGTCTAAGAGCGTCCCTACTCCGCCGTCACCGTCTTCTTCATCGAGACATTCGGCATCGGGGGTGCTCTTGACTAACGGAGCTGGTCTCCGTCCTCGAAAGGCGAAAGCTGGGACAAAAGTGAAGGTGGTGGATCTCGAAAACGCGCTTGCTACTTCCGATACTACTTTATCTTTGTCTTCAAGTTTTCCTACGCAAGCGACTTCGGATTCGGATCTTTCGTATTCGAAGGAGGTATCGACGGCCACGGCTGAACCAAAGCTACAATCAAGAGGACCGAGAGTGGATGTTCTGGCATGGTTAGCAAGGGCGACGTTGGATGTCATTGGTGAAGCCGGTACGTTTTCCTTCCTCTTCTTCTCTATGTAGCCTCTTAGTCTCTTCATTTTCTACCTCCCCTCACAACTCTGATGTACTCGATGATAAAAACCATTATGCATTGTCACCTCGGTTTTTTGCGCGAATACTTGTTCTCGGCTAACGCATGCGTCATATAGGATTTGGATACACTTTTGATTCGCTAGGTATCGCTTCAAGGTCTCTCCGACGCGGGAGACGCATACGAAGATCGCACCCCAAGTCGATTGCTCGGGTCGCTTATCCGTCACCCTTATCACATTCATCGGCGTCCTCTTCACCCGCAGTCTCACCGAGTACTGACACAACCATTGAGACGCCGGTGGATCAACAGGCGGGGGAAAGTGAAGACCAGAGTGATAGTGATGACGATGACGATGGTCCCCAATGGGAAGGAGAAGAAGAGGAAAATGAATTGGCGAGAGCGTTCGGGATCATTTTCAGTACTGCGAGGCAATTTCGGGTGTTCACGATCTTACAAGTGTGGTTTCCTATCTTACGGCGGTTTGTGAGTCCTCCCCTTTCTCTCTCATCCATTATCCTTTTTTTCTCGTCCTTTTCTCCACCTGAAATGTCGTTGACTGTTTTTCTTTCTATACGCAGAAACGGAATAATGCAACGATGCAACACGCACAGGCGACTATGCGACGAATAGGATTAGACCTTATTACCAAGCGACAAGAAGACGTTATTGCTTCCTCCTTTCCTTCTTCATTAAAGGAGGGAAAACTGGATAAAGAAGAAGAGTTGGACGAGAGGACAAAAGGGAGGGACTTGCTCAGTGTCCTAAGTACGTGCCACCTTTCTATTCCATCCCTTTTTTTAACCAAGCGAAAATATCTAATCTGATCGACAATATCGACTTTGTAGTTTGTTCAAATGCATCTCCTACGCTTCCCCCAACCCACCGCCTAACTCTCCCCGAAACGCTCTCGCAGATAAGCACTTTCCTAGCAGCAGGCCATGAAACGACTTCAAGCGCTTTGACGTGGACGTTATATGCGCTCGCGAAGGATGAGAAGGGGCGAGAGGTCCAGAGGGAGTTGAGGAGAGTTTTACGAACGATAGATATCCCCGACTGTTTCGACCCAACCAAAAGCACCGGCACCACTGCAGATTGTGAGGGAGAAGATCACTTTGCGGGTGTGCTGGGGAATGCGTATCTGGATGCGGTGGTTAGGGAGAGTTTGAGGATACATGCGCCTGTGACTTCGACTATGAGGGTTGCCTTGAGGGATAGCGTGATCCCGCTGTCTTCACCTGTACTGTTTTCATCTCCACCTCCTTCGCATCGATCATCAATCGCACATTCCCCTCCTCCCCCTTTGTCCTCGTCATCACCGCTTTCTTCTTCTACGGCTTCGTCATCTCCACCCTCTTCAATACATTCATTCGCGCCACCTCCACCTGCCCTTTCCAACAGCACACCAAGACCGGGACCACACTTCATCCAGCTCAACAAAGGCGATATCATCAGTATCCCCATCCAAGCGATAAACAAGAGTCAAGCCGTGTGGGGAGAAGATGCAGACGAGTTCAGACCCGAACGATGGTTCACACCTTTTTCATCACACGGAAAGGACAACTCTACTTATACCTCATGCGGTGGTTCAGCCTCGTCTTCGTCTTCTTCGTTTTCGGGGAGCAAAGGCGTACACGTACAAGGACTTTGGGGCAACCTGCTTACGTTCCTGAATGGGAACCCGATTAACGGGAATAGGGCGTGTATTGGGTATCGCTTCGCCATCAACGAGTATGTGCCAGTTTATCTATTATTCGCGTTTCTTTTGATGTCATCGGTTGACGTTTTCTTTTTCTGCGTGCTGACTTGTGTAGGATCAAGATTTTCTTGTACGTCCTGCTACGTGATATTGAGTTCTCATTGGATGAAGAAGTCGAGATCGAGAAGAAAGTCAAGTGCGTCGTTTTCGCCTTTTCGCCGTCAAACGTCGAATCACATTTGTTATCGTTGGAGATGGTAACATGCTCATTTTCAATCTTTTTTTTTCCCAGCGTCGTCACTCGTCCTTGTGTCAAGTCTGAACCCCAGCTTGGAAATCAAATGCCTTTGCGGATGCGATATGTCCCTCTAGACGAGCACTAACACACGCTCTCTCACGAGCCTGCCCTAATGACCCTCTTGTCGTCCTCTCCCGTCCCGTCTCACCCTTCATTCCTCCGTTTTATCATTTTGACTCGGAGCACACGCCACGTCATGAACATCGCTCACACCTCGTGTCTCCTCTCTGCTCTCCTCCTTCGGATCCCTCTGTAGTACCTCAGAACTCAGTAATTATCACATCATCTTATCTTCACTGCATTGGTTTTTGTCCACCAGCTTCTATACCTCGCTTTCTTTGTTTTGCGTATCTAGCCTCATTTAGTACCTGGACACCCGCCATATACACGTTGTACAGTATCACCACCATAGACGCAAAAAATGATACCTGTATCACTCAATCGCCACAGCACGCAAGAGACCCTCTGCTGCTCATATAGAAGAGGGGCGGAGAGGCGAACGTTTTGGCACCATGTCCTAGATTGACATCTTTCCGGCAGATTTCTGATGTATACTTACGGCACGTTTCCGGATGTCGTTAGGCCTTCTGTATGGACTCTGCCTCGAAGGCAGACACACATGTGTGTTTCCCGTGTGACTGGGATTTCAATAGAGGATCGCATCTTTATTGACGTAGATGAAATTTCTTAGACACCTCTCATTGAGTACTCTGTAGAAACCTCTATCTAGACACAGGAACACCATAGTCTGTATCCATCGATATCCTCAATCACCCAATCACCTATGCAACCCTTAGGTCCTCTAGCTCCAATAGGTCGTTTTCGCGGACAATTGCAACGGCGATAGCTCTCGGAATCTTTTCTAGAAATATTATCTGGGTGCTGTCCTGTAGTCCTCTAATGGTCCCCGAGGTCGGCCGCGAAACCTGCCAGGCGTCGAAGCGCTTTGGATCAGGCATCTCGACACAGAAGAATGTCAATGACGGCATATTGGCAGCAATTGTTCGCCCGAGAGTGGCGAAGTAGAATTCCTCTAATACATATTCGTGTGTTTCTTTCAAGTGAGAAGATCTGATACCCATTAGTCTCAGAGCTAGGTGGGTAACGTGTTGATGTTTCAAAAATCGAGTAACACCTTCCTATAGGGACCGATCTTTAAGCACGAACGTCCGGAAGTGTTCCCAACTAAAAATGGGCGAACTTACGAAGATAGTGCTGACGCCTAGCCCGCCCATGTTCCGGACTTCTAAGGTCAACCTCTGTAGTTGCTTCATACTTTCCACGTCCAGCGTAGGCGGCATGCCAGTTGCGCTCCAGATGTGATTGCGGGCGAACTGCATGCATTCCATGTTAATGGTGAGTTGTACTGGACGCGTATCTTCAAATATTGGATAGAGGACGCTCGTCCTCTGATCGATAATGGGGGTGACATTTAGGTGAGGGATGCGGAACTGCGGTGCAAATGCTGCTACAGAGTAAACGTCTCCCCATAGGCTATCGAAGTGGGTCCAAGGACGATCTCCACCCCCTGACGCATTCTTCAAATTCCGCTGAATCTGGCGACGTTTGTTTTGTTCGTAAAGGTGGAGAACTAGATCGTAGTCTTCTCGATCAAAATCGAACTGAATCTTGCAGACAGAGAGGTTTGGGAAAGCTGGAATCAGGGACACTGTGTCTATGTGGAGAGACCCAAAGATTTCAAGTGTATGAACACGAGGATAAATCGGGATTTCCGTGACCGTAGTGCTTGTTTCAGTTAAGCCTGCAAGCATCCAGCCGAGATAGAGCTCCTCGAGGGTGGAAGAGAACTTTTTGCCAATCAGCAAAGCATCAGGAAGATCAGCGACTGGATGTTCGGTTTGTAGGATCTTCAGCTTGGGCGCAATTATAACCTCCAATAGCTTCGAGCCGAAATCATCCGAGGTGCTATGCAGAATGAGCTCCGTGATGCTGGTTGGCTCTTTGAAGGCATCAATAAAAAACTGTGATGGTTCTCCGGGAGTGTCGGTCGAGCGGAAAGCATCGACGGATGCAAAGGATAGTATATGAAGGTGTTTCGCACGACTTATGACCTTGACGAACATCTGCTCTGTGAAGGTCTCCCACCGGAACAGACCAATACGAAGCACTTCAAGATACTGGAAGCGGTCGTCTACATCTTTGTCTTCTGACTCCGATTGGAGCATGAAATTGCAGAACGACCTGAAGGAAGCTTCACTTTTGAAAACGACAGTGGGGAGGACGTGCTTGAGTAGATGAGGAACACCATGGATGTAGAACAACCTTGAAGTCCGCATGAAGTGGAGTATAGAGGATGACGGGATAACAGTGTAGATAGTGTACAGGATGTCGTAGTTGAGATCGGTGATTGGCATCGTGCACTGGCTCGCCGACTGGGGCTCTTGTTGACAAAGGGGTTATTCAATTCAAGAATGGGGTACTTGGAAATATACCTACCTATACGCTGTATATTGTTGTGGGCTACTGGTCTGTGTTCAATCACCAGTGTTTAGAATGGTATTCCAGATGCTGCACCACGATGCGTGCAGAGGCCAGGCTATAGGTATCCGAGATACCGTATCGAGAAGACGGAGGTGAGAGCACAATGACAATACTAGCATCTACGGAAACTAACTAGTATCGATTCTTTCGTATGAAGCGCGCATTCGCATTTGGAGGGCTGAACCGATATAGAAACTGCACCCTAGACGTGATGCGTGCCGGATAACATGAGTAACGTGAGTTTCGTTCTGTACAACAGGTTGCTTACCTGCGTAATTGCATTTCAAGCTCGTAATATTACTAGAATGTCGATTCCTACAAGCTACGGGTCGTGTCTAGTCAATGTCTAGTACACATTCGCCGTTGAACGGTGAGAAACCGACGGAGAATTTGGAAGTTCATTTTTCTAGTTGCCTAACGAGTTGTGTGAGCTATGTGAAAGAGTGGACGGCATGTATATTTTGGGGTTATGGAGGTGAGAGCATGGCCGAAATATGGTGATCTGGCTATTGGAAAGATCATCCGGACGTGCGCTTAAGTATTCACTGCCTACTTATGCTCGTCAACGACCAGTCAACCGTCTGGTTACAACAGACAATGTCTGAATATATACTATGTAGGACATGACGTCTCAGCTAAGGAGACATCTAAGTTACGGCTGAAGTCTAATACTTTGTCCCAAATTTAAAACAAGCAATGACGAAATCTATGGAAAAACGCGCGACTTCAAACCTCTATGACTCGGAAGCACGTTGTGCCTCCTTTCTCTCTGCTTCCTCTCTCCAACTCGCGCCCTTCCACCAGACAAGGAGTAAGAGAAGTTCAGCTATGATCATGAGACCCGCCCACAGCGAATATAGACCACCGTCACCAATTGCTAACTTCAAGAGGCGAGACCGAACATAAGCAACTAGAAGCTAAAAGGCGAAAGTAACACTTGAAAACGTACTTGAAGAGGGACTGCCACTTCGGTGGCAACAAATGCTGATATACCTCTGAACGAGCTGTTAGCAGCCACCGCAGGCGATGACCGGCCGGCATTCGCATCGACGATGTATGCGAGAGTACTTGCATACATCGCTCTGTAGAACCAAAAGAACTTAGCATCTTACTAAAGTAAATGTGAAATCAAACTTTACTTACATAGAGAAGAATCCAGCGAAAAATAGGAACACGCATATTGCAGCTACGTGTACATGCTTTTCCGCCACCCATCCGAAACCTAACGACGACAATGGTAGGAAAAGCATTGACACAAATGTACTCTCTAGGCGCATCTACGACCCCGCCTGTCAACGTGTAATTTCAACAAAAGCTCTGTGAAGACATACCTCCGGACGGCTCACGCCACCATTCTTTGCTTTCAGGCGAGTGAAGACTCGATCAGACCAGCGACCACCGAGGATACTGCCCAGCATGCTGCCTGTGAAGATGTACGTCAGCCTCATCGCATAAACATTGTTCTATTCATACCCATGCCAAAGGCTAGTAACACTAGGCCGATTTGAAGTGCATCGTAGCCATACTTTATTGAGAGAGTGCGAGAACAAGTGTATGCCAGGCAGTAGCTGAAGGCAAAGAGCAATCCTGCGGTACAATGTAAGCATTGGATGACGATGATGGAAGACGACTGACCGGAAGCAAATAGGATAGCAACATTATTAGGTCTTGATAGGACGAGAAACACTGGACCTATTGGGTTTACATCCCTGAAGGAAAGTCGAATCTCCTTCAATTCCTTCGTTACTACCCCAGTAGAATCACCGCTCCCTAGGGTGGTCTGACCTTCCAGGTCTTTCGCAAAGACCTCGGAGATCAAAGCTCCCGAGTCGTGGGTTATGCCCGCCGAAGGCGAGGTTTCCAGTTTGTCTTCTTTGGTTATCTTTGTTTCGGCCGATACTACTGTTTCATGACTAATACTTGATCTTCCTGAAGAATTCGTTTCTTTTAAAGCCCGTTCTTTCAGTCGTCGTTTCAGAACTGCTTGGTAAGTCAGACTTCGTTCGCGCCTGAATGTGTCTTTGAAGAATATGAAGGCAACGAAACAGAGACCTGTGAAGATGACGATGAACCAAAAGGTCGCACGCCAGTTGAAAGCCTGAGTGAGGGCACCCCCAATGATAGGGCCGAGGGCCGGTCCGAGAAGAGGTGCCCTTGAGAGTCTTATCTCAGAAACAGAAGACAAAGTAACGCTTTGTACGTACGAGTAAAACACGCCCATCATAGTGCCCCGAATGTGAGGATCATATATGTCAGCAAGCGTGGCCGCCCCCATAGCGAGCACCGAACTTGACCTATCAGTGCAGTGGTCAGCGAATGGGAAAGAAACGGGCAAGTTGTGCGTCTTTACCCAGCTGCTTGTACACAACGCATCCCTATGAGTACTCCGATCGACTTGGCAGTGGCAGCAACCACACAACCCACTATGCCGAATCCGAATGAGGCAATATAGACGACCTTCGGAATACGAAGGTCATTAGAGGCGCGAATCCTGGGGATGTGCAGGCTTACCTTGCGCCCGTAGATCTCACTGATAGCGCTCCATACCAGCGGAAAACATCCTTGAATGAGGATAAACAGCGAGATGCTCCAGCTAATATCGCCACTGGAAGCGTGTAATTGAGACTCTACTTGTTCGATAGCAGCTATATAATAGAGGGGTGAATTACAGACCAGGTGAGGCGTGAAGGAACTTACGGTTATATAAGTTGGCACCTAGACCAACAATTATAGCTGCACCGGATACTGTTACCAAAATTGCATTCTACGAGCATTTGTAAAGGAATTATTAGTGAAATGCAACTCAAGACTACCTACTTTCCGCGCTGGAGACCATTGGCGGGGATCGTCAGCGACTACAGCATGTTCAATATCCACTATCTTTCCGACTGATGTTCCCGCATTCGGCCTGGATGGTATGGTCGGGACGTCCGCGTCAGGGTTGGCCATGATCTAGAAGTTCAGCAGACTGCTCGAACGAAATGGACTGCAGCTCGTTGGTTGGGAGAGGGCATTTGTATACCCGCTGTGATGAGATTTTATAAACATCGAATTTTCCATGCCGCACCCCTCCCGGACGAGGGGAGCCGTACATGCATGGAGGATATTTTCGTCATTCAACATATGAACGAGGCTTCTAAAGTTCTAGAGTCATTTTTTGTGCGGAGTGTTCGGCCGATATGTTACCGGCCCTGCCACGCCGGTCGACAATCGACTTACCCATAAAGGCAAGCGAGTAAGTACTCAAGGTTGCGCATGACTCCAATATCCACAGTACTTGCGAAGCTCCAGCAGGTGTTCCGGTATAAAGCATAGTAGACAATGTTCATCTCCACCTCGATGGCACAGCACAAGTAATGCGACCTGTAGTCCATCTGCAGAGTTGAGATGCTGTTAGCGAGGTTCGTATTGTGATGTTGTCTGCATACCATAGAACTGTCCCGTCTTGGAGTGTAATGATTTTTCCAAGCATATCATATATCAAGTTCTCCGAATGCACAGACAATGCACAGACAATAGCTGGTCTTTGGACGTCAAGACACAGAACGTCCACCGTGGCAAAGAGGCGCGTATAGATATCAGAGACCCTGATCATCAGACGGATAATGTTACAGCCCAATGCACTGTATACAATGCCAGCCTTTCCACAACTAATGAGGTAGCAGACAACTGCGAACGCATCTAAACAGAAAAGATGGCATGATACATGTCGAGCTTCAGTGTTGGAGATGCAATTGTCGCGAAGTGATGCTCAGTAATACTTATTGAAATGAGCGGTCAAAATCACAGAGCATTAGTACACCAGGAATTTCGAAGAGTTGTCACAATGAAAAGGCTCACGGATATCTGCTCAATGGACTGGTAAGTAAGAATCGCGAGACATAGCGCAAGTAGCAAAGGAAGATTGAACCCTCATGTGCTTGTCTCCTTTGAAGGGTTCGCACGTAAACGTTTGCTACTGATTAGGGTGAAGATGGAAAATAACGCAAGTTGAACAGGAGGACTTGGGAGTCTGCAGAGTCGGAAGGGATGAGCCTCTGACGTGAAAAGACGATAAGATAAGATCTACCGATAATCATCCCAGGCTTTTATTGACGGATTCCCAAGTTGGAAGAGCTGATGCTGGCCACCGCCAGTAAGTTCACCACCCACCTGTTGAGCTGGTATTCATCCACTAAAAATTTCAAGCATCGAAGGTGGTTTTCCGAAATATTTCTAAGGAGTCGGTGGGATACGAGCCATGCGACGTTCCGGTTTTTCTCTTCCTGCACGTTTCACGGACGACTTGCCTTGAAAAACACTGTACAATCTTGTATAATGTAAGTACTTCAAGTTCGGCCAAATGTTCGCCCTCTTTGCCTTCGAGATCTGGATGAGTAATTATGTCCTAAGTTAACATAATCGTGGGGTTTATGTCGGGCTCGTCATACTAAAAACTGCCATCATGTCATTCCGTCAGGGCATAGCTAGTACGCGTAGGTTTTTTATTCTAACGGACCTTACAAGATGCTATTTCGAGTCAAACCGTTTGAATTACTAGATATAAAACCGCTGGCTGGTCGAATAACTAGGAGCTTCCTCCATACCGAAGGCACCCATGAGGCGGCATCACGATCCGTGTACTATGAAGGCAGATGCCAGTATCTTGAATTCACTGACAACTCGATTTTGGAGGTATGGCTCGACCACCGGAACCGTGTGGATGTGGCGCTACTTGTGGCAATTGCGGCTTCCTCAAAGATACAACTTCGCTCAGCCTTTGGTCGTTCCCGTCAGCTTTATTATTGAATTCTGGCGTGGAATTTTGACCAAAATGTTCCACACATAGGCTATAGGGCATCTTATTAAGGTATGGTCTGCCTGAAAGCGACCGCGGAGGAATATCCGCGGAGATCGGGGCATGTTGCTTCTTTGCATGACATTGACATCTTCATCAAGGGCGAACATTCAAGTCAAGCTCTGAGCTTGTGCCCCAGATGATCGGCAGCTTTACAACTACACTTAAAGGTGTGTTTTATTCTCATAAGTATTGGACAAGTCTTGAATGATATGGGTTTCTCCAAAGTTGCATCCTTCCAGGCACAATGTTGTTCTGTAGGAAGGTCATGCGGAACGTTCCACATCGCACCTGTCCAATTAGGTTCAATAGCGATCTCTTGCTTTAACCTCAAAAGGGTGTTTTCATTACCCGTTTTGTTGCATGAGATCTTCCTCGCATCATGCGGACCTTGCATCTGTTCAACGTTCAACTCTTGACAGCATTAATATGTAATTCTGCCCCAAGACGAAGGTTATAAGTCACAGACATGGGGTGAAGGTGTCCCTGTCCAAATTCGCTCTTTTGCGTCTCCCCCCGGCCATTGCAGTCAACATGTCGAACGATACCGTCATCGGAATCGTTTTACTTGCTCGTCACGGAGACCGTGAAGGATTCTACCAAGATCCTCATACTTACACGGCTTCTGCGACTGCGATTACGCCACTTGGAACAGTGAATACTCCTCAAAGACACGTCATTTTCTTCATTAACGTCTTTGTCCGTTTAGGAACAAGAGTTCCAACTGGGCTCACTCCTGCGTTCTCTTTACCTTGACCCCTCTTCCCCGACATTCATACAGGGCATCAACAACTCGACGTCATTATTCAACCAATCTCAAGTTCAAGTCCGCGCTGATGCTGGAGGAGAGGGCGGTGTCATTTTCGACAGTTCGGTCGCTCTTCTTCAGGGATTGTGGCCTCCTACTCCCTTGTCTAATACGACTTTGGCCAATGGCACAACTGTCACTAGTCCCCTCGGTGGTTATCAATATGTTCCCAGTACGGATCTACTCCATCTTGGAAGTTAATATCGTTAATGACACTTTTGTTAAGTCGAGTCCGTTGAACCCAATCAAGATGTGTCTCTCGAAGGATTCACCTCCTGTCCGGTCAGTTTGTAAATCGGCGATCCGTGTACTGCTTCACTGATCTGAATATTATACAAGGCCCTCGATGACAAGATTGCGGCATTCTACAATTCTATAGAGTTTCAAGAAAAGGCCAATGAGAGCGCAGCTTTTTTGTCGCAACTCCCGCCATTTTTGGACGGTAGGCCGGTCACCCTGGTGAACATGGTACGTTCGAAACCTCAGCGAACTGTCCTCTAATTTCGCTAATTATTTTTATCAGTGGAATGTAAGTCTGTCGACATCTGAAGTAAGGGACGCGCATAATGCGTCTTGTCGACTATAGATTTTCGATTTCATGAATGTCCAGTCCATCCACAACGCTACCTTTGCTGATCGCCTTCCTCCTACTTTCCTCGAACAAGCACATGATCTGGCCAATTTCCACGAGAACGGCATATTCAGTGATCAACAATTCGACGGAATTGGTAACAGTGAGTAGTTCTAAGCGAACATTCAGATTGCTTCGGCGTAGCAAACAACTTTATCCACAGTCGCCGCTCGTACGATGCTTCCTTCTCTTCTCACTGCCCTCAACCGAATTGCGAATGCATCCGACCCGCTCAAACTCCACTATTCGGCAATCTCATATAAACCGTTCCTGAGCTTCTTCAACATGACCGGCGTCGCCAAGCTCGGGGAAGTTGATGCTGGAATTGGTATGCATCACATGCGACGTATGTCAAACATGACATCCTGATATGTGTTACAGTGAACTACGCCGCAGCTGTGATCGTTGAGGTCCTTCAACCTGCTGCAGGCGGTGAACCCTCGCTTCGCTTCAAATTCAAGAACGGTACAGATGACGCTAGCTTCTTTACCGGAATCCTCCAATTCCCGGGGTGGAACAATATATCGGTCGAGACGGTTCCTCTGACAACCTTCATCGAGGCATTCGAACCCGCAGCGATCAATACCACCTTGGAGTGGTGCAAGATCTGTCATCAAACTACCGAAAGAGGATGTGCAGCAGTACTCAACCCGTCTCTAGCAAATGCGGTGGGGGAGTCAGTTGCTATGCCAGAGTCAGGACACCATGATACAATCAGTCCTGTGGGTGCAGGGTTCCTTGGTGCAGGTTTGACTATAGCTGTCATGCTCGTTGCGTTTGGTGTGTTGGTCTTTCTTGGAGTGTTGTCTATTGGGAGGGGCAGGCGAAGTGGAAAGAAGCTCGTGTACTGAATGTGGTGAGATTGACTTTCTGGTTTCAAACTGTATGCAAACAGCTGCTGCTGCTGTATGGTGTCTGCATGCACTCATACTCGTGATAGCAGCATCGAATGCATCCTGAATCTTGGGATTGTACCATGTACGCAGAGCTGTATGGATTGTATATATCTGTGCCACTGTTATTTGGAAGGCCAATGTCCAAGTGTTCGTCTGGAACAGCAAGTGTGAACGTTTTGTCTTTGGCCATTGCCAAAAGCTACTCAGATAGCAGTGAGTGAGCCTACGATCTCGGATCTCGTACGATCGATGTGATCTACTTGGGTCGATCACATTCTTTCGCGGAATCATTTTTATCTTTCACCCTTACGCAAATCATGCATAAACTCAAACTCAAATTCTACTTCTTTCTACTCAATGCTGCTTTAGGTCCGCTGAAAACCTTCGCCTGGCACTCGTAATGGACTATTTTTCTGACAAATATTTTCATTCTACTCTTGGCTTCTTCATTTGACAAGCTCCGTAGGACGCCCTGAGGCGGTCATAGAGGTCCCATAAGAGAAGTCCCATAAGAGACGTTATGCGTGGATTCAGACGCAGCTCTTACAAAGCAGAGTGAATTTCAACGCTTGACGGGAGATTTCACGCCTTACATGTCGGTCACAAACGCGTTTCGCAACCCATTGGGACGCGCCGTTTGGACCTAATCAGTCCCTCCATCCGTGACAAATCGGAGTACGGTATACGTGGTAGAACACACGGAGGACACGTTGCCAATGGTAAGTGTCGGTAGAGCAAGCATCTTTCTCGATGGTGGCCATACTGAACGGACATGATAGATTGCAATGGGTTCGAATACGTACCGCCTTCGGTGTCTTGACCCTTGAAGACGAAGTCCGCTGATTGTAGCGTTGAGACCAAAACGCGTTTGATACGACCGTAGTGAGTCCATGCGAAATCTTTATTCTCAGTGGTGTCTCATTTTGAATGAATCCATGTAGTCATTCCCCTTGAAATATTCAACGATGCGTCAATCAATGCTTGTGTTTTGACCTCGCACAATGCCCGAAGCAGTTGGTCAGCCCGGCGCCGACATTTAACATTGAATTCAGTTCTTTACTAAGATTCTAAGCCTGACTCAGCTACAAAACCTGCATAAATACAGTACTTCAATCCAGTCGTGTACTTCACTATTGCACAGTTCCGTCCACGATGGCTGAAGCACCATTCACACTCTCAGTCCCAGACGCCGACTTGGAGCTACTGCGTACCAAACTCAAGAGCACCCGACTCCCCGATGAGCTCGTGAACGCGAAATGGGCCTATGGTGCACCACTTGGAGATATCAAGCAGCTCCTCGAAAGGTGGAAAGATGGGTTCGACTGGCGTGCGGCTGAGGCAAAGATCAACGACATACCTCAGTTCACTAGAGATATCGAGGTCGAGGGGTTCGGCACGTTGAACATTCATTATATCCACCAGAAGAGTCAAGTGAAGAATGCTATCCCACTATTCTTCTCTCATGGTTGTAAGTTCCAACGACCCCCGCCCCTTCCCTTAATTGTTTATTCACGGACGTTTGTCTAGGGCCCGGTCATTTTCTGGAAGTTTCAAAGCTACTTCCTTTGTTGACAGCTGAATCTCCGGACCATCCGAGCTTCCATGTGGTTGCGTTCAGCTTACCTGGATTCGGCTTCTCTGAAGCTCCGAAGAAAAGGGGCTTTCGTCTTAAACAGTATGCCGAGGTACATTATTTGATTACCCTTTTGAAGCAGCTTTCATGATGCTTGATGTTCGTTCAGGTCGGTCACAAGCTTATGATCGCCCTTGGATATAACGAATACGGTGTGTACCTCCCAGTCATCTGCGCAAAGTGCTGGACTGAATTATGTTATCTAGTTGTTCAAGGAGGAGACTGGGGGTTCGGCGTAAGAGCCTTCTTCCACTTTTATTGAATATTGTACTCATACGCACTGTGACAGATCGTTCGCAACATGGCTTCTTTGTACGGTGGGAAGCACATAAAGGCTTGGCATACCAATTTCCCTATGTATGTTGACTCGGCCCACAATCTTCACAACCTAACTGACGCATACATTGTTTCCTTGCGTTAGGATGGATAAACCATCTTTCAGTTCCCACCCACTGTTATGGCTTAGAGACCTTTTCACGCCCTACACTGCGCAAGACCGTCTACACATTGAACGGGCAATATACTATCGGACGAAATCGTATGGTTATTTTGTAGAACAATCCACTATGCCTCAGACAATCGGATACTCTCTTGCTGATTCTCCCGTTGGACTCTTGGCTTGGGTGTATGAGAAGCTCGTCAACTGGACTGACAACTATCCTTGGACTGATGATGAAGGTAAGTTCGGTTCGACTGTTATAAATGTTTGTGCTCAAACATTTGTTTGCAGTCTTAACCTGGGTATCGATCTATTGGTTCTCTCGAGCAGGTCCTGCAGCCTCGGTCAGAATCTACTACGAGTTTCAAACCAAGGAAGGGCAAGCCGATTGGGAAAATATCAAAGCACCTACCATCCCATTCGGTGTATCCTACTTCCCTAAGGAGGTGATATTTGTTCGCTTCTTGTAAGGGCAGTTCATACTTATTATCGGTGTGGTGTCACTTACTGCTTTACGCGTCCTCCTCCTCCAAGCTGGACCCGCCTTCTGGGCAATCTCGTCTTCAAATCTACCCCTGACAGAGGAGGACATTTCGCTGCTCATGAGAAGCCCGAACTTCTTTCCCGCGATATTCGGGCGATGTTCGGCTCTGGTGGTCCTGCATTCGGTGTTGTACCAGGCAAGGATGGATACAGTGGCAAGTGGCAAGACTGATGGGATGCAGGCGTGCACATTTAGATCTGTCTGTTGAAGTGTGTTTTCTGCAATGGCAATGATGACTTCAGTGATGTATATGTACACTTTCGCATTTCGCTCTTGACCTCTTGTTACATCCACATACGAAAGTGCCAGATAAATAACACACCGAAGAAATACCACATGAATCCAGTCTGTGCGGGACAGTCTATATACGGGCGGTAGCAGATTTTGCACAGAACAGATCCAAGTTCCGTGAAGATTGAGCCCTCGAATGGTCATCAAAGGTCGTCAGAGGGAATAGCTAGCCGAAGGTATGAAGGGTATGAAAGGATTAAACAGGCATTTAACGAGATGTCAAGTTTCTGATGCTGGTCATCTCGCATAGAGCCTCTGCGACATGCAGGTCCCGTGTCATGAACACATCAGAATTGCCTATAGATAACGTCTTCGGAGAATGGGCCGGGTGTATACTCGTAAATTTAGGCCGTGCAAACTAACGTTAAACTAGTTGGCGAAGTAGGAGTGCATGAACGTCCCCCAGACATATTGTCAGAAACATACAAGAGCGGGACGTGTAGACTGCAAGCAGGGTATGAGATCCACGAAGTCCTAGGTGGTAATATTAGAAACTGAAAAAGGCAAGAAACAGCGTGGAAAACAGAAACACCACAGACTGGGTACTAAAGTCTGAACTCAAAGGAAAGTTCGTTGTCAGTCATCACCTGCTGAGCAACGTCTCGCGGCAAGTCCTCCAATGTAATCTGCTTTAGCTCTGACCGTGAAAGTTTCCAAGACCATCTAGACACCCCTTCACCAATGCTCACGAAAACGTAATGGAGGGAGGGACATCGCCGCCCAGCCTCTATGACAAAAGCGGGCATGTCAAAGTAAACTAGGTCCCCCGCAGTGCCAAAAAGTGAGGACGGTCGAGGTTTGTTGAGTCTGACGATGTCAAACCGTAGTACCAGGAAGACGACTGGGATTGTTCTAATACAATCCACCAAAGCCGTCCTTATCAGCTGAAAGGAAGGTCAGAATCATGTATGCTACCTGTATATGGATGAGTTCGCACCGTCATTTCGAAAGAGTCCAGTGGCGCGTTAGGTTGCGCTTCAAGTTCCATGCAAATGGAGAGATGTGTTATGGAGGCAGGAGACAAGTTAACCACTCTGTCCATACCAAACACCCGCTTGGTATTGACCAATTCCAGGTGCGTCGGGCGATGATCCCCAACGACGGTGCGCAGCAGAAGTAGCTGACCTGGCTCGATATCGTAAATTTTGAGACGACGAAAGCGACAGCGTGGAGCAAGATTATATAAAGACCAAAGTATGCCACCAAATTCCGCCAACTGGGGCCAGACGCCACTTGGAACTTGTCTGAGCAAATTCTCTTCGCGGAGTACGCCAGGAGGGTCTATATTCACGCAGATGATGTTCTTGAGATTTGGGAAAGACGTGAATACTTGATCTATGCCAACGTGAGGACAATGCCAAAGATGTACAGTATGAACATGAGGGAAAATGTAAGGTGCAGGGGGCAGCTCGAAGTCCTTGAGCGCCGCGTAGTGCACAAGGGGTTGTTGGAGAGAACCAGCGAGGTCCATGATGTCGGGACGGACGTCATTGTATTCGAAGTGGCATGATCGGACCGACAAAGTTTCAATGGGGGATTTCAAGGCACCCAAAGCCCTCATTCCCATCCTGGATGCATTGTAAACGTGTAAAGTGCGAAGGGTCGTCATGTCGCACAGAGCATACATCATATGAGGATCCCAGATCACAAACCTCTCATCGAAGTTCGCAATAACGAGCGTGGTTAGAGAATGGGCCTGACGCAAGAGCTTTGTCAATGCCCTTGATGCCTCGTACGTCGAAAACCCATTGAAAAGTACACTGAGTTCCTTAAGGTAGCTCAAGCGATTCGGATCGCGTCCCATAAACATGAGCAGAGACTGGCCGAATCTTGCCTACGGAGTGTAAATGGTCGGCGTAAGATGATTGGAATCGCAGCGTCATGCAGAGTGTGACACGTCCGCATGAGTGCCGGTAAGTCTTCGCTGCGCATGTAAACAGAGACTGCGAGGATTACGTCCGTATTGAGCCTCATAATGGTCGGAGGCACTATGAGTATTCACATTCAAAGCTTATCGTCAGCGATGTGATGGTGAGTTAACAGCTCAGACATACCGCGAACTGCAGGCTGTTACTTCTAAATGAAGCGTTGAAGCTTGACGCCAGAAAGTTCAACAAGGAACGCGTCGAGGGCTGTGCATGATAAGATAAGATGAAGGAGATCTCATGTGATTATGGGCTACGCGTGACGTCAGATGGGACGAGGTGGCTCTGGTCTCTTTCCTCCGAAACAGGCCTGAGCATATAAAGATCGATACCCGCGCGGAAGGTCCCCATCCAGATTCCTAAATACCCCTCTCACCCTCAAGTTCACATCCTTACTCTTTACCCACTTACCACGTTATAACAACAGCCAACATGACAAGTTATACCGTTCACGTATGTGTTCGCCCCTTGGATCGTATTGCTTGAACTGAACAGTTGATTTGTCCATGAACGCACACAGGTGTCTAATCTCTCACCCGCAACCACGGAACAACACCTTCATGATTTTTTCACGTTCTGCGGAAAGATTCATTCGGTCGAGTTCGATCCAGCAACTCATTCCGCTACTATCAACTTCGAGAAACCTCAAGCCGCGAAGACTGCGCTTATGCTGAACGGTGGTACCCTCGATGGTTCACATATCAGTGTAACGAGCGATACTGTACACTTGGAAACGGAGGAGAAACCCGAAGGCGAAGGAGAAGCTTACCGTCAAGAGTATAAGCCGAAAGCAGGAAGTACGCTTCACACTCCAAAATCTACGTCATGGCGACATTTAGCTCATCATTCTATTCAGTTTTTGCCGAAATACTCGCAAAGGGGTATAAACTCTCGGACCAAATTCTCCACCGAGCGATCGACTACGATTCGCAGCAAGGCATCTCCACCCGATTCCTCGCATATTTCCACTCACTTGACACCAAACTCGGTGAGAAGGCCCTCGGACCTGAGAAGACTATCTCTGGCAAGCTCCAGGAATCGTTGGCTGAGGCACAAGCCCGTGCAAAGGCCATCGACGAGGAGAAAGGTCTGAGCAAGCAAGCCGCAGACGTAAGTCACTCCTATTTCTGAAGTTACGACGCAACGTCTTGATTTAACTCCCTTCTCGTGCTAGTACTACACCAAGGCGCTTTCATCGCCTTTTGGCCAGAAGGTCAAGCAATTCTATACTACCACTTCGAAGCAAGTCCTCGACATCCACGAGGAAGCCCTTCGTATTGCCAACCTCCATCCCAAGCCCGCCGAGGAAGCACCCACCGGTGCTGCAGGTACGGCCTCACCTCCAGTCGAACCAGCACCTCAGACCACTGACACACCAAAAGCTGCACCAGGATCCGCTGGAGCAGGCATCACTGGTGGCCCTGACGTTGCTGGTGTGGAGAAGGGTAAGGGTACGGAAGCTCCTACCGTATTCTGAGTGGATACGTTACTATCGACACGGAAAGGCGAGGACTCTGCTATTTCCTCTGAACTCATAGTATAAGAACGTGTTGTACTTTTATGGATAATCTATGGATATCTTTATGACGTGCTCGTAACCGCACTTTGCGTACGAAGGGATCAGCCGAGCCCAATGTACGGACGTTCCAAAGGAAGTGTTCCGCCTTCCATATGCGGCGACGCACCATATAAGCGCCATGGTTTGCGTTCAATAGAGTACTTATCCCGGCCGCCTCGGAGTCTCTTCTTTATACGCGTTGGGCGGAATACTCATCGCGAGCGTTACTATGTTTCTCCGGAAGGTCTTGAAAATGTTCGTGAAGGACGTTTTATCAAATATCGTCTCTTTGTGCCACCCGCTGAAACCGCCAGTGGCAGTCAAAGGATATTACGCGTACGATGTCAAAGAAGGGTCCATGCTCTTTTCTCTGATAAATAAGGAGAGATTTTTCTGTGTGCCACTTCATTTTCTTTCCCCTTTTTCTGCTCCCACAGCCCAACCGGTTCCGCTGAATTCGCATCCCCTCGTCTAATGGAGTAAGTCCAAGGCTTTCTCTTCCGGAAACCCATATTGACTGTTGTTCAATCCAATACTCAACCAGTAACCCCACCGTGGACCCGCTCTTGTTCTTATGCTTCATCCCCTCAGAACCATGGCTTCTCGAACGAGCTATCAACAAGAACCTCTGTGAAGTCTGTCCAGGCGACTTCGAGTCCGAATATATGGCTAAAAGAGAAGCCATTCTGGACATTATAAAAGAAGCTCAGATTCGTATCGCTCAATTGAAGATCGTGAAGAACAACGGTGAACTCTCTATGGCTATTGCAGTGGGCACGAATAACCCGAGGTTGGTGAAGGTCGGCCCTAAGGGTATGGATCGTTTGAAGAATATTTTGGGGACGAAGAGGGCGCCGAGGTTTTATGCTCCCGGTTCTTTCTAGGTATGCCACTCGCCTGCGGAAGTTTGTGTTACTTTGAACTCATTCCTGGTGGGCTGCAGGCCCCGCTCTAAACTAAACTGTGCTAGCTGGCACCAATGTTCTAGGCCATGCCCAAGCGTCAGATGAGTTACATCCTTTGTTTTCAATGAATCGGTTGTCCGTGTTTCTGTAATATATTCGAGTTGTATGTCGAACTCGCTCATTGTCTCTGATTGAAAAAGAAGTGATACTAGGATCTCGATACATAACCTGTCCCACTCAGACGACGAGGAGAGCTTCACTTCCGGTGACACTCCGTACGCATCCTGAAAATTGAATGACAAATTGAGAGTTGCAGCAATGATGTCCTTGCCGATCCCTTTTGACGATCGAAAGGTAAGCACGTGGATCATTGGCCTAAAAGCTCAACAAAGGATCTCCTTTGTTCCCCACTTACGCCCTCTTATCGCTCTCCTCACACTCACAGAACGTATGTTTTGCATGTACTGTGTATCCACATTAGACCTTGACTTCCAGCTTCACAGTAAATCTTTCAACATGGCCCGTCACCGTCACCGTCAACGAAAGTTGCTCCTAGCAATGCTTCCAACAGAAGAATGGCTCAAACACCGTGCCGAAACAAAGAATCTCGGGACATTCGAGGACGCCTATTCCTCAACGCACGCCATGGCTTGCGCCATACGGGATCTCATAACGGAAGCCCATCTCTTTGGCATTGCAGAGTGGGTTCTCGTATTATATCAAGGCAAACCGAGGCAGGCGGTAGGATTGGCCAGTAATAGGCCGAAAGATAGATGGCCAAGGTTTCTGGATGAAGATATTGACCGTTTGAAGCGAATTCTGGGCACGGATGATGAACCTATGTGGTATCCGGAGTACGACTACTAGTAATGGATAATTCATGAGTATTATTACGGCTGTACTTGATTGTTGGGCATACTCTTATGCCGACTTTATCAGTACAAGAACACAAATGGAATTTTACAAATCTGAACTGTCATCTTGATGTAGTGTCCTTGTTGCCCCTCGTTGTCTTACAGATGCCTTTTTATTGTCTATGTCCGAGAGACACTTACTGAGTACTGAAAATTTACCATCAAGGTAATCTGCAGAGCAACTTACGTAGCAAGGTGAATACACGCATAAGACACGCGCACAAGAAATATTCATGTGGCGAGACCACTGTGGCGGATTAACGGATTTGATTGAAATGGGCGCCTCATACCGATCCGATCGTTTAGGTTCTTGCATATCAGGTAACCCAATGTTGAACTTTCGGAGTGTCAACGAGCTTCTTCCTCTGTCCTTTAACATCATCTCCTCACCACCCGCTAGGCCTCGTATAGAAGCAGCTTTTTTTTTTGGTCTCTGACCTACATCTTTATAGCGACCCTTCTTAACATGACTCGTCGAATGATCTTGGCTATGCTTCCATCGGAGAAGTGGCTCAGGGAACGCGCGGACGAGAAACAACTCGGAGCCTGCGTGAGATCCTGGTCTACTACACGGGTATTGGCCTATGCAGTGCAGGATCTTATAGACGAAGCTCTTCTCAGAGACATCGCACAGTTCGTCGTTGTACTGCACAAAGGCATCCCAAGAGTAGGCGTTGGATTGGCCAGCAACAAGCGCAGAGACAGGTGGCCGAAGTTCCTCGAAGAAGACGTTGTTCGACTGCAGAAGATTATTGGCACTGATGAGGGACCTATGTGGTATCCAGAGTACGCGTGAAGGATCACTGGTTGGCACTATCTTTTGATGGACAAAGTTAATGAAGACTGACTTTGCGTAACGTAGGTACGCCCTCGCGAGATCGATGTGCAACCGCTTGCGGTGTCCTTTCATGATGCCAGTCGAGATTATAATGCTGTCACTAGTGCTCGTTGGTCCATAGTATTTATGGCTGGTGCTGGGCATGCCCACGTAGCCAGGTTACGCGTGTCGGCCACTCAATAGGCCACAAAGGATAGAATTGCTAGTATACTTAATGCATGGATGTGGTCCCGCGTTCTGATGAAACTAGCTGACTTAGAAGTGGAAAGGGATGCCCGCTATTCATCCAGCAGGAACAAGAATCGTACAAGGGACTTTTTTTTGTTTTTGAAACGGTCAATCCGCGAATACACGTGAGGGAAATTGTTGCCGTCGGCCACTCACGCCAGCTCCGATCACCTAACGGCAGGTACATATATTGCAGTTTATCTTGAACTTGAGTAGAACATCGGGCCAACCACCTGGTTATCACCAATTGTCATCACCCCTCCTCACACGCCTCTCCAACTTAATCCACAGATGTAGGTCTACTCTATCATTAACTCGGAATACTATCTAACATAGAGCCCATAGTATATCTTTTCAACATGACTCGCCGGTTGATCTTGGCTATGCTCCCTGACGAGGACTGGCTCAACAAACGTGCAGAGACGAAACAACTAGGAACCTTTGAAGATGACCAGGCCTCAACCCGGTCCTTGCTCTATGCCGTGCAAGACGTAATAGAAGAAGCGCTCCTCGGCGGTATCGCGGAGTCGTTGCGGTGGTATATAAGGGCGAGCCAAGAATCGGTGTAGGGTTGGCCAGTAACAAACGCAAGGATAGGTGGCCGAAGTTCCTTGAAGAAGATGTTGTTCGTCTAAAGAAGATTATTGGAACGGACGAAGAACCCAAGTGGTATCCTGAATTTGGGTGAAGACTCATTAGTGAGGGCCACTTATGTTCAAGGCAGTCAATGGATACTAACTCGGCGCGATACTAGGTTGGCCTCCGTGACATTGACATAGAACCAACCATGCATTGACAGTGCTGTTTTCTCTCTCCTTCTCTCTCCGTCTCCGCTTACTTTCTGAATGGGTTTCGTCCATTGCAAGGTTATAACCGTGCCCCTTAGTTGTATCTACAATCGGCTTCTGTAAATCCTATGTAGTCCTGCTAGCTCTTCAGCGCGGCTCGCAAGGGTCATCTTTTCTGTTGTATTTTATGGACAATTAGACCATTTGTTGAATGAGTGTCAAATTCTCGCGTCCCTGTATTGGACCATGTTTTGTCCCGTGTGAAGTACAAAGAACGGATTAGCAATCAGTATATCCTCCAGACGGTGGCCAAGGTGAGTGGCCGAGAGATCTCGCATATATGTTAGAGACCCCTGGTTCACCGAAGACGAACCCGCCATGATTTATTACTACGAAACGGTATCATCTTCACCCCAGGTTCAACAACGCTTTCATTCTCGCCTTTTCACAGTGCATCGCTGTGGCCAATAGTACTCAGGACCATGAGGGTCTCGGTCACTGATCGATGTACTACCAACTGTCCCATTCTATATACGAAGGAACATTTGCCTTCCGAGGATACTAATTGCCGGCACTGAAGGGTAGCCAGGGATGCGTTAATTTCAATGGTTATATTCCTAACCAAATGGTACTGGTAGTCACAATTGCAGTACAGACAACATTATCGCGAAATACGTAGATAGAAATTGCTATGGATGAACGTCTCACCAATCCAAGCAGATATCGAAAGAGCTCAGGCCTTACTAGCCTGTCCTTTCTTGTTGTCTTGTGGTCGTTTGATGTTGACATCGAACATTCTCTTCGCGATGGCCCACGCTAGATTCTCAATCACGAGGTGGATTGACTGCATCTCAGCGCGAGACTGCGGGGTACCTAACAGTAAGTCTTTGGTCCAACATGCCTTAACAATGGGTCCACGAATGGCGGGATCCCAGCGAATTCCATAATGCGTGATCTGATGCATTTGTCGCTCGACATGGATCCTCTCAAGCTTGGAATGAGTCCAATACGGTCCTACCGATGCAATGGCGTGGACAACATCTTGATGAGGATAGCTGAGAAAGACATGAGCTGCTTGCACCAGTAGATCTCGCTGGGCGGGAATCATCTTGTTTTCAATGGCCCTCCTGAAGGCAACGGAGTCAACGGAGTCGGACACCTTCGTATGTCGACGGATGTATCGCTTGTTTTCGACAAGGAGGCCAACGGTAACTTGCAAAATCTTGAAGTCTACAAATTCTTCCGCAAACTCGTTGGTTTCCTCGCCATCGACTACGAGAACGCAGTAGTCAGGAGAACGAGTTGAGGTATTCTTAACCACTTCAGTGCGAGCGGATAGTATAGGACCTATATTTGAGAGAGAGGCTGAGCCGCCAGAGGTTCTCGAGATGTTTGAGATGGACTCTTGCGGGGAAATAGATGCAACGGAAGCCGAAGAATCAGCAAGGTCGTATTTGTCGAGCAATGTTTTCATGCTTCTAGCCTTATTGTCTTGGTCAACATCCTCGTTATCGCTATCCGGTTCACTTAAAGTGTCATCCTGCTTTCCAGAAGTCCCGTCATTCCTTCCAGCTCTTGTCCGAATGGTCCAGAGAGGAAATTGGGGAGCCAAGAGAGCATTTGGAATGTCCGAAGTGGCCTCGTGGAGTGTTGAGTACCATGGTATGTACCAAGGGGGTTCGATGTTTCGGGCATTGCTCTGTCGGGAATGAGCGAGAGCACAGCCAAGAGAAGATTTAGTAGGGCACCAACCGCCATCTTTGACGAAAGGAAGGCGGAAGTGATCTACAACGTCTGACATGATGAGGTAAAGGAAAGGTCTTGACAGGCCACTGGACATATCCCGGCCCTTTTATCCACGGAAACCAGCACAAAAACCTGGCGGGGTCTGAATGTGGTCTGTGGTTGTACGGTTGAAAGTACAATGGGGTTGTGTGTGGGTAAACCACACTCGGCTAATCTGCCTCTATCTGACCAAGCGACTAATCGCAAAATGCTACGACATTCCCTTGTGAAGCAGCACCTGTCAATAAACATGTGATCTGTGCGGTTAAAGATGACATCCGAACATGAATGAAATACAGTAGGTTAGTACAGCATACTGGGATCCTGGTTGGTTGAATGGCGAACAGGAAACATTAGCATAAAAGATTGATCAGGAGGAGAACGTGAACGATGCTTTAGCCGAAGGCCCGAACGTAAGAACCACAGTGCGACAACCACTGATCAGATCAGATCTGATCGCCTAAATGCAGGTACATATAAGGCAGTCGACTTGAACATTTGGTCAACTTGCATCAATCAACATCACCCCTCCTCACACTCCTCCCCAGAATCAGTTCGCAAATGTACGTCTTGTCTATTATTATTATCTCGGATCACTGTCTAACGGACAGTTCAGAGTAGATCTTTAGGCATGACTCGTTTAATCTTGGCTATGCTCCCTGACGAGGAGTGGCTCAAGAAACGTGCGGAGACGAAACAACTAGGAACCTTTGAAGATGCCTGGGCTGAAACCCGGTCCTTGGCCTATGCCGTGCAAGATGTAATAGAAGAAGCTCTCCTCAGCGGTATCGCGGAGTTCGTTGTCGTACTATATAAGGGCGAGCCAAGAATCGGTGTAGGGTTGGCCAGTAACAAGCTCAAGGATAGGTGGCCGGAGTTCCTTGAAGAAGATGTTGTTCGTCTAAAGAAGATTATTGGAACGGACGAAGAACCTAAGTGGTATCCTGATTTTGATTGAAGACTCATTGGTGAGAGCCATGATTTACGTTCAAGGCAGTCAATGGATGCTAACTCGGTGCGATACTAGGTTGGCCTTCTTGACATTGACATAAACCAACTATGCATTGACAGTGCTGTTTTCTCTCTCCGTCTCCGTTTACTTTCTGGCCGTTGCAAGGCTATAGCCATGCTCCGTAATATTTATTGACTATCGGCTTGTATACATCCTACAGTATGTAGTCCCGCGAGCTCCTCGCAAGGGTCGTCTTTTCTGTTGTACTTTACGGACTATTAGACCATTTGTTGAGTGGTTGAATTTCCAAGCGAGCGTCAAGTTCTCGCGTCTCTGTATTACAACATGTTTTGTCACGTGTGAAGAACAAAGAACGGCTGAGCAATCAGTACATCCTCCAGACGGTGGCCAAGGTGAGTGGCCGAGAGGTCGCGCATATATATAAGAGACCCCTGGTTCGCCGAAGACGAACCCGCCATAATTTATTACTGCAGAACTGTATCACCTTCACCCCAGATTCAACAACGCTTTCGTTCTCGCCTTGTCATAGCATTTGTCACTCATGGTCATACCTTCTTATACAGTGGTTTGCAAGTTTAATACAGCCTAAGAGGATCCTTTGAACGCTTCACGGAGAAGAGCGTTCAACCATGACCTGTGTGCCGCAAAATCTCAGCCATATGGATAGCATGAAGACATGAGCAGGCTGGCCATCTCAAGAAGGTTTTTGGCACGACCTACAATAGATCCTAGGTCATACTTAACAGCCCAACTGAACTGAACACCAAACTTGGTCTATTCGAGTTCGAAAAATGATGCATGGTGCCCCCAGTGCGCTACGAAGAAAAAACAGACAGCATGTACTACACTACTTTCATTAGATGCAATTTTAAGAAAAGGGGCACTGCCCACCAAGCATGGTGGTCACCACCATAAATAAAGACGAAAAATAAAGCAACTGGAGTGAATACCAGGTAGGGTATATACTGCTGCATCCAGGGCTCTATACACGGGGAAGAAAGTAAAAAATGATGGCAAAGTGGTGATAAAACAAACAGACGACGAACGTAAATACCTGTACGCATGCGAAAAGGAACGCAGGAGGAAGGAAGGGTAGCGATGGCATTGTGGGTGAGTAAGTCATAAGATTTGTCCATCGAGGGGTACACCCACCAATAAATACATAGCATCATCCCATGCACGAACGCCCCAGATACAAACAATCAACGAAGAGTCAACACAATCGACGAAACCAAAAACAACCCAAAAACAAACGAAAAGCCGCGCTCCCCAGGGATGGAAGCACAATGAAAGCAGGCCAACCACAATGGTCTTACGAGCGCTGCTATAATCACCAGTTCATCGTGTTGTCCCTCAGGATAGGCGTAGAGATCATGCCCGCATTCACAGGCCTCCGTTCTCTCATCCCAGCTTCGCTCACAACATGATCATACGTATCCGCGGCAGGAGCTTCACCAAATCCGCGCAACGAGTCCTCCGCATAATAGAAACTGCGCCGACGCGGACCGCCAACACTATCTCTGTCAAAGTCCTGGTTCTCGGGACGCGAGCCCATAACCTCACCACCAGTGGGAGGATCAGAGAGACGACGATGAGCAAGCTCCCTACGCTGCTTGATAGCTCGAACGACCAGGAACGCCAGCACGAGCAACGTAATGCCACCAAGCGAACTGACGACACCAATGATCACGTTCTCGCGAGTCTTGGACGAGTTTGACGAAGCACCGCTGTTCCCAGAGTTATCGGAGACCGTTCCGCCGTCAGCAGTAGTTCCCGGCGCACTCACGGCATTGATAGGGAATGCCGGATTGACGTGGGTGGCGAGGGTGATGTAGGGTTGACCAGCTGCAGTATAGAAATCCGAGGTCTTGACTAACAGCTGTTGTGCGAGGTCATCGACCGTACCCTGAGGAATATATCCCATCCACATAGTCAACAGTTTATCCCTATCGTTTGGACCCTTGTAATCAGTACCCTTCCAAACTTGCAGTGCATAAGTCTTGACTTGATCAGCTGTACGGACCAGGGATGAGCATTAAGAAAAATCGGATATGATCAGAGCAAAGCACATACCAGGAATCTTCAGCGCGTTTCGAATCAAAACCGACGTGTAGGCAAAGATCTGACTGGCAGATTCCGTATGAGTTGCGACGAAGTCCCAACGCAACTGGTTATCGAACAAGATGGAGATGAACTCGAAACCGTCCATATTGTCTACACCGGGCGTCACACCCTGAGCAGGGAAGACCCTAGCAGGTATATCGGAAGGCAAAGCAATGATTGAAGGACTAGCCGTGGGAGGAGCACTAGTTTCTAAATCCAAGGTGGTAGTGGGCGCATCCGGATCACTCAACGACAGACTGCTCGAGACCACAGTGGGAGCAACCAACAAAGAAGTGGCGGTAGACAGGAAAGTAAACTGCGACTCCAGGGGCGGTTCACTTGTAACTGAATCCGGCATCGCGCTCGACACCGCAGAAAGTGAAGAGAACGAGTTGGAGGCCGTGGTACTAAGTCCGGTAGGGAAGCTGATGACGACAGAGCTAGCACCTGAAGAAACACCTGAAAAAACACCTGAAGAAACACCCGAAGGCACCTGCACACTACAAATGACGTATTCAGCACGAATGAGCAGCATCACGCAAATGGGAGACCTACCCAGATGAAATCGATCCAGATGGAGCATCGGTCGTAACAACACCTGAAGAAATGGCGGAACTAGGATCGGAAGTAATCACGGGCTTTGAAGTAACCTCAGGCACCGAAGTAACCTCCCCAGAGCTGATGGGCTGGGATGCCCCAGAAGTAATAACTGGCTGCGACGTGATACCAGGCTCTGAAGTAATAACTGGCTGCGACGAGATGCCAGGCTCTGAAGTAATGACCGGATTCGACGTGATGGGTGGTTCCGAAGTAATGACCGGCTTCGACGTGATGACAGGTTCCGAAGTAATGGCAGGCTCCGAGGTAATGACCGGGTTCGAGGTGATAACGGGTTGCGAGATCGTCGTAATAGGGTCGGAAATCGTAACAGGACTCGAAGGGACACTAACTGGGTTCGAAATCGTAATCGGGCTCGAGGGAATCGTGATCGGATTCGAAGGGCTGCTAATAGGGTCAGAGATGGTAATCGGGCTAGAGGGAATAGTGATCGGGTTTGAGGGAACGGTAACCGGGTTCGAGGGAACAGTAATCGGGTCTGAGGGAATGGTAATCGGGTTCGACGGGATAGTGATTGGGTTCGACGGGATGGTAATTGGGTTCGACGGGATGGTAATTGGGTTCGACGGGATGGTAATTGGGTCTGAAGGAATGGTGATCGGGTTCGAGGGGATAGTGATCGGATTCGACGGAATAGTGATCGGGTCCGAAGGAATAGTAATCGGATTCGAGATCGTAACAGGATTCGAGGGAATAATGGTGATACCAGTCGGCGGGCTACTGACAGTCGTATGCTGGTCCGGCGACGACGTAGGTTGGGTTGTCACCTCGTCAGGGGAACTCGTCGGGGTCTCACTGGGCGTCGAGAAAGGATTTGGAATGGTGATTGACGGCAGACTGATTGACGGGAAACTGATTGACGGGAACGAGAAAGTGTGGTGCTGCTTGGTTGTCTCCTGTTCAGGGGACGAAGTATCGCCCGAGGAAGTCACTGGAGGTGGCGTCACCTGGGTCGTCGGCGCGTCCGTAACACTGTCCGGAGAGGAAACAGGTGGACTTGCGATGACAGTGGGACTATCACTGGGCGTCGTCGACGGTACCTCGGTTGGCGAATCTGATGAGACAGTCGTTGGAGCGTCCGTAGTAGTCGGTGGCGGAGTAGGGGGAGGCAGTATTTCGCTAGTCAGCGAAGAAATGACACTCCCAGCAATGGACGTAACGTCTCCAAGGCCTGAGGTGACATCTCCAACCACCGATGTCAGAATGTCACCCAAGCCTCCTCCACCTGTACTGGAGCCATCATCCGAAGGAGTAGACACAGGAGGATCTGTGGGTGTCGGCGTTGGCGTATCCGTTGGTACATCAGAAACAGCCGACGTCGGATCGTCAGTGGATGGCGAGGTCACAGGAGTATCTGTTGGCGTAGAGGTTGGAGTATCCGTTGGGGTGACTGTCGGCGAGTCTGTCGGCGTGTCCGTTGGTGTGTCCGTTGGAGTGTCCGTTGGAGTGACTGTCGGTGTGTCCGCCGGAGTGACTGTCGGCGTGTCGGTAGGAATATCCGTAGGCGTCACTGGAGAGGTGTCTGTAGGAGTGACTGGAGGTACGTCCGTTGGACTTGCCGTAGGTGTATCAGTTGGTGTCTCAGGCGGAACATCCGTTGGACTCGCAGGCGCAGTGTCTGTCGGTGGGGGATCATCAACCACCGTTGATGTCGGTGGTACAACTTCAGTTGTACCAGCCGTATTATCGTCGCCTTCATGGAAGACTTTTCCCAAGCCCAAGGTGTCCGTAAGATCGTTCACGGGCGGACCCAGCACGTCTGTATGGATACAACCGGTCAGTACACGTTGTCAAAATGAGGTGAGTGAAGCGCCAAAATGACAGAATGGATCTGCAGTCACAGTGAACGATCGAACAGGGCACTAAATTTCATTCAACGCAGACACGATGTCTCATCGTGATGACTGGTAACCAGAAGCACCACGGCGACTTCTCTCAGTCTGCGGTGGATTAGATAGTCGTCTGCTTGGCGACGAGCTATGCGGACGCGCAAAGTAAATCAGCGTAAGGTATACTCACCAATAAGAGGGTCTAGGAGTCCATCCCGACGCTCAAGCGTCCCCAAAACCCGTCGGGACTGTTTACTTCGAATCTCAAGCGAGCGGCGGGCGTGCGAATGCGTTAGAGATGAATGCGAAGCATCGACAGCGGTAAGCTGGAAGAAGACAACAGAGAGAAGAGCAAAGTAGAGGCCCGTCGTAGGGAGATACATGAAGGATGAAAGGAAAGCAGGGGCCCTTGACCGACTAAAATCAAAGATTGGGTCGGTTGCCAGAGAAGATGAGACTTATTTGTTATACTCTGATGGTCGAATGCTGAAAAGCCAGGACGGCGAGAGAGCTGTAGAGCACGATACTCGCCAGGGAAGAGAAGGAGCGTGGTACTGCTATGGTGGGCAGGGGAGGGCGCGGACGAAGAGGAAGGTCGACAAGGGCCGTAGAGAGAGCCAGCGTCGACGGGCGAGGGACAGCTGCTAGGTGACGCCCGTTACACCGAAACAGTCACAGTGATCCAGGCTTGATCCCCTTGTTCCTGCTCATTTTCTCGACATTTTGTTCATCAATTCTGTCACTCTTACTTCCGTGCTCTCCGCCCCGAAAGGCTAGAGAGACTTCAAAGCAATTCAAAAAAGAACAGACAGCATGCAATGGAATCTGCCAGCCAGCTTGCTCAAGTTCACTAAAAGAGAAACTTCGCGTTGCCACCATGGTGACAGAACATGCATCGAGTTTGTCCCGCACTTCGTTCCCACATAGATATGTCCCAGCATTCGGACGCCAGCTGTCATTCTTTGCAGGGCCAACGTTCATGAAATTTCACCTCACTCTCCACAAGGTCGTAAACGCTACCACTGAGTTGAATTGTGTCGTAACACCGCTGAAAGTTCCCACATGCGTACAGCGGTACCCAGAAAGCATAGCTTGCTTGATATCTTAGGGCATGGAAGTACGCATACAGATCGTGAGGTAATGCAGTGTGAAAGAACATGATACGATAGGTGCAGGTCATGGAACGGGCGACCCAAGGCAGGACAGTGAACAAACAAAAGCGACAATTTTAGATGAAACCAATCTAACGAACAAAAAGACATCAGCACATTGGAGCCCTTCCATTCCAGTTGGACAGAAGCCTTACCTTGTTTGCCACATCCAGGGCATCATGATCAGCCGTCAATCGCACATATGCCTTTTTCTTGCCATCGGGGCTGTGGAAGCAGATCTTCTTCAGAACCCAAGGGATATGATACACATTATGTTCCGAGTTAACTCACCGAATAAGGGTGTTGACCTTCGCGGCCTGAACATCATAGAGCTTCTTGACAGCATCCTTGATCTGACGCTTGTTCGCCTTAAGATCCACGATGAAAACAAGGGTGTTGTGTTCTTCGATCTTCTTCATCGCCGACTCAGTGTTCAGGGGCCTACAAATTCACAAAGAAAGAATCACCGCCCATGTTAGATCCCATCTTTCAGAATCGCAAATTTTTTCAGGGATACTCACGAGACAATCGTCCTGAACTGGTCCATCCGGGGTGCATGAGGAATCGACTTGCGGGGGTACTTGGGGTCACGGGCAAGGCGCAGGGTCTTGGGGCGGTGGAAGGAGACAGAGTATCGCACTTTGCGTGCAGCATGTTGGTGGGTACCCGCAAGTGCGGCCTTTTTGGCGGCCTTTGCCTTAGCGTCCTTGGAACCAGGTTTTGCTGGAAACATAGAACGACGTTATGTCAATATATCAAGGACGTATTTGAGGACATGTTGAACGCACACTTGGAGGCCGCAGCCTTACCCTTCGTGGTCTTCGTGGGGGCCATTTGTATACCTTGGTCTACAGAGGGTCAAAGTTTCGTCAATACCTGTGTGAACTCAAATGGGCCAAAGCTGCAGTTTGCGTCCGAACACCAAGTCAACCGTCCAACCACCCAAACTTTCCGCCAAAGCCATCCTATCCAACAGAGCCATTCAACACATCCAATCCAAGGCCGCCCAGTCCACCCTCATCCAGAACTTCCACATGCAATCCACCCTGTTCCACCATACTTTCTCCCTCCAAACGACCTCCAAACGCACGCCTAGAACCCTGGGACGCAAAACTGGCAGCATAACAACACAGGAAACTCACCTTGAGGGATGCCGGCCTTCGTTAGGGAGCGTGCTGCTGGACTTTGGTAGATTTCCCCTGCACTTCGGAGGTTGCCGCATTAGGTTGGCGACACGTGGGAAGGCGATCGAGATTTGATCGAACGGTGTTGGCGCTGATTAGTTGCTTCACAAAGTCTTTGTTAACTTCCGAATTGAACGTTGAACCATGACGTCCTTCGTTGTGCTCTTCAGCTTGGATTAGACGTTGCGCAAGAGCTGCGGAAACTAGAAACTACGTCTCAGTTCTCACTAGTTTGTCAAAACAACCTGAGCGTCCAACACCTTATGTCTTTACCACCAGCTGTTGATGGCAACGTCGTTCAGATGCAGCCTAATTCAAGAGAGAATCTTGAGGCTGCATCCCAAGGCACCTCATCTGAGCGGCGTTGCATAATCACGAACGACTCGATTCCCTCCAAGGGCATTGTAGCTCACCAGGTAGTGCCTACTGGGACAGAGGTAAGACCAAGCGATAAGAATTTATTCATGATCTTTCGGCTGATTTTGGACTGTATAGTTCTCGCGATTGCGTGTGAGATGGCATCTACCTAGGGGCCCGTATAATACTGTACTGGAAGGAATTGGGGGCAATACTATATACCGTAGGTCTCGTCTGACAATGTGCAAGAGAATGACTGTACCTCTACTGCATTTAGTACGTGCAGACTGGGCTATCACGTTCAAAGAAGGCTGTTGGGCTCTGATACCTGATGACGATGTTCTGCTAGAGATAACTCGCAAGTTAATTAGCATGAAAACTAGAGAGAAGAACGCTAATCCACGCAAGGTACGTTTTATATTTTATTGAAAGCTTTGTTCACAGACTCGACAGACACCTTCGTCAGGTTATACATAGAGACGCTTATTCATACACGTTTGTCGCACTGGATCTCGAAGGGGTTAAGATATCCAGGACCAATGGTCCATCTTCACCGTCCACCATATACGACTCACCCTACGATACATTCCCCAAATTGTCTCTTCCTCTTCATCCCTACCTCGCCATTCATCACGCGCTCGCTGCATTCAACAAGTATGATGATTTTCTCACAAGCGAAGAAGATATTCAGTTACATAACAGTCTCCAACGCATCTCGACGCTTTGGGATCAAACGTCAAACCCATTCACGTAGCAACTATATTGGAAGGAAAAAGAAGAATTGGATAGCAAGCCGTTGATGAGTTAGTCTTCTTTGGGTCTGTCCGGTATGTACGTTTATGGAAACGCCGTAACTCGGATACAAAAACAAATGTTCTATCCTGATTTTCTCTCAGCCGAGTCCTGTTCAGGGTTGCTGAATTTCATGCATTTGTGCAGGCCATCCTTACAGCGTTTTTCTACACTACCGTCCCATCAATCTAGGTCAATACGATCCTAAATCGCTCAAGTTAAAATGTATAAATGAAACTGTCCTCTCGGACGATAAGTAAACCGTCATTGAATATCTCCCGTCACTTAAAGTCCAAAATTTGCATGCTTCCCGCACTCATCCCGTGTGGTTCTTGACTGTGTACATTCCGAAATGAAGACCTGTAGAGATTGGCTCGAAATAAAACAGAAACCCGATTCGACCTCATCTGCACCAGCCTCAACCCACCTCAATGTCTTACATATCTACAATATTCCGTTTCCCCTCTCATTATCGTAGATAGAGATATGCCTCTGGTACGGAGATCGGCTCCATGAAAATGATTCGAGGTTACCCTGCATGCTAGATCTTCTTGCAGGCTTGGCACTACATGATGCCCTATGAATTTCGTAGTGATCATTCACAACTTTAGGGTACTATAATTACATGTACTCTACATGTAGGTTGTTCCATGGTATACTATATAATCTACAAATGCAGAAGTACCGAAAAATAAAGCAGTGGCTGAACGAAAAGAGGTTGACAGGAATCTTGATGCTGTCTAGATAGCTCCCAATCCGAACATCTGCCCCATTTCATCCTGAACACCCTCCTGTAGGCCCACGAGATTGTGCGCTCCCCAATGTGTTTCAACATAAGTGATCTTGTGCCCACGAACCTCGAACTCTTCTACGAAGCCAAATTTCTCGACCTCCTTCTTCTTGACTAGGAGCGCCCGAGCCTCATGTCGTTTGGCCATGGATTCTTTGTAAGCCTTAAATGCTTCTTCGCTCAACGTATTGCCTGGAGCAGAAGGAATATTGAGAGAAGGCGGAAGGATGGGATTCAATAGATGTTCAATAAGTGTCTGAGAGTGCCAATGAGGAATCTCAACGTCGGACGTAGCATGGGCGACGAAAATAGGCATATTCAATTCCTGGACCTATATCAGAATGGGGGAGAGGAAAGAAATGAAATAGAAGACGCACTTGCAGAATAGACAAGGTGTTAAATTCTTCACGTATAAGACGTTTCATCAATTCTTGTCGAACTGTCAGTAAGCAACACATGTTTGAACGAACAAGTATACATACTGCGACCGAGAGAGAAACTCTGAAGGGGCTGCAAGATGGGTACACCGAACAACGGATAGGTCTCGACTACGACGGAAAGACTAGAGAAAGGCGCAAGTAAGGAAAGACCTCTCGGTTTGATGTTTTCTTGTACTAGTCGCTTCGCCAAGTTACTAGCGACTGCCGTTCCCAAACTGTGACCAACGATAAGGATATCCATAGGCAAAGATCCATGGTCAACCAACCACTGGAATGCAGTGTAAGCATCCAGCTCTAAGCCGGCTTCGTCTGGCTGACCGCCACTGTCTCCAAAGCCCCGGTAGTCAACAGCCAAAACATTGACCTGCAAACGCGACGTCCATCGAGAGTAATGATGGATACGCGAAGGTGTCGCACGGTTTCCAGCAGTGCCATGAAGATATAATATAGTAGGTCGTTTCCGCAGTGCATTGGCAGCAACATCTAGAGTGATTGGAGGGACATCTGGGCCGTTAGCGTGGAAGTTCCTTTGGTAATATCCATCGGAGAGTATGAACCATGCCCCCAAAGTGATGTTGTCAGACGTCGACAGTTTCAGGTTCAAAGTCTTTCCCGCTGTTTTCAATGGTTAGCATGCGAGTAGCTGCATGCCTCGGGGATGACGCACGCGCAAGACCAGAGCTTTCCGGGATATTGAAATCCGTAAAGAGCGGCCAGCGGAATATATGCTGGTACAATACACTACGGAGACATATGAGGACCCACTGAAAGCTTGTCTAACGTCAGAACGCTCACTATCGTTGTATGGTGGGTATACCCAGTAGCAGAATTCCGACGGCATAAAAAACTCCTAGATAAGTGAAAAACCGATGTGCCTTTGATAAAAAGCCGTTCGTGAGAGTCGCCATCTCCGTTGACGTTGGGTAACGGAATATATGGCTAGGCGAATTTCCTATACAAGCAAGGCAATGGTAGTGTCTGCAAGTCGCATGCGGCCCACCGTTCGAGGCTGTGGCCTGCGCGGCGCGTATCAAGACGCGATCACGTGTAAGCAACTTCGACCCGTCACGTCAAGTCGCGTCCACAGACAGAATGATCTGCGAATACGTAAGGCTTTGACAAAATTCGCGGGTTGAGATGCTTCCTCGCATCCACCTGTATTTCAAAGCTTCATGTCCAGCTAATGACCCAGTTGAAGATTCATTGCAAATATGCGACTCTAAGTACATTTACAACAAAACTCCACGGTTCTTATTCATAGCAGAAAGTTAGTGCCACGGATCAACTTTTGTGCCACGTCACTATCTAAGGGACTAACATCTACCCCTCCAGTACCTCCTCCTCCAGAAAGCTCAAAATCTATGAGAGGGTGATCCACGAAGTCAAAAAGGACGTGGTGCATCGATGTTACATCGTCACGAATTTGACGAGCAAACACTCCGAGATCTGTGCTGTTAACGTAGGCATGCAGGAGCTCAAGGTCATCTGGATTGATCCCCAAATCTGACAATCCATAATGTCGTTCTTCAATAGTCGGGACATACTTCTGAACACGAAGCAAGAGCACTTGCACGGTGGACGATGTCCTGACGCAAGCGCGAATACCGTCCTAGGTGCACCGTAAAAAATAAGCAGCAAGGGGAGTCATGCAACGGCGTACCATCATTGTAGGCATATCCGAGGGTGCGTAATTCGTACACAGAGCGCGGTAAGTCCCGGACAGCGAGACAAGTTAACAGCGGGCGACTTGTTCAGTAGTGCCTCCTCGTAGGTGTCAAGCAGGACATTTTGCGGACGAACGGATCCAATGATAGCGCGAACTCTATGGCAGTTCTCATTGTCGATCTTTGTTATTGCAACATGATCGACCTGACATTGTGCGGCGAGCAAGTACAAGGAACCAACATCACCCGAGAGCTTGCGTAATGACTTCCATGTTGCCCGTCCCTCGAGCTTGTTAGACATACGCACTGCATGCGCGTCGTCGTCAGTCGACTTATCTTCGTTACAAACAACCGAGAGATCTCGCAGGTTGGGGAAATAGTGTAGCAGCACATCGATGTCGACATGGTTGTATCCATCAATCTGCACAGTGTGCACCCTGGGACAGACTGCACCGAGCATATCAAATGCCCAGTTTTTCACCCGCAGGACCTCCAAACTATCGGCAAAAGACTCGAGGTACGGAGCAGGGTCGGGAAATATGTGATCATCATATTCGTCTTGTTCTTCAACCTCTAGGAAGCCGATATCTAAGGTGGAAAGAGGGACAGTCAAGGCTTCCAACATTTTCATGCTTCGCACGTCAACCTTGCGAATGGTGAACTCCCGTAGCTTTGGAAGGGAGCAAAAGACTGCTTGGAACCGTTCGTCATTCGCAAGAAACTCCTCGCAATCAAGAAGACTGAGTTTCTTTAAGTTGTTTGCCTTGGTGAGGATTGTTATGAGACTGGACACTACGTGCTCCCAATTGCTGTCAATCTCTCCGATGTCGAGATGAAGCTCACGGAGGCGAGGAATGCGATAAATTGGGTCCATAAGAATGAAATCGCAAAACCAATCCAGATATTCGATGTAGTCGAAAACTGGTTGTGGACCTCCGAGAAGGAGAGGGAGGCCGGCTTTGTACAAGGTCTTGCACGTGTGCATGAATGCCAGAAGGTCATTCCGCGAGTGAAGGAATGTCAATAACTCGAGTAAAACGTCGAAATTGAAGCGTGGAGCCAAATGCTCATTCTGAAGACGTTTCAGCAAGATATTAGTTTCGGACGTCGTGTCCAAAGAAAGTCAATGAGGCATGCCTTTCGATTCATATCCTGTCTTCAATCTCTACGAATATCTAATTCGACTACAATCCGATGTTTATCCTGTTAAATACACTTCTTTTTTTTCAATCGAACAATTTGTTGAATATGGGGAGAGTCAAGGCTTGGTAAGTCAACGAGGTAGTCTGAGGCAAGAAAACCGCTGATGACGGCCTCGTTTGCGGCACTGCTTAATTGGGCAAGTATCCTGACTAGAATTCTTCGTGATGTGCATCGTCCTTTGAAATTTCCCGTCAATAGCGAGGTCTTTCACCTCCCTAGTTGCGAAACGTGTGGACCACTTCGCCATGATGCTTCATTAGCTTAAGTTGGTACTTTCGGGTACAACTACTAAACGAATTCTCACTGGCGTCTGACTTAGACGATGACAACGGCAAAAGGCTCCATATTAGAGTATACAAGGACCAGTTTCAGGCATATCATTGTGTCGAAGTACATCGTTCGCTGTTTCCGCATCCACCGTTTGCAAAAACGCATCACCACAGCCAGTGCGTGTCACCGACCAGAGTTGGAAAGGACCCTCGTAGCACCGTGCCAGACCAACAAAAACATACTTCAACGACAGGATACTAGTCGCAAGTCGAGTAGCGAAGGCGAACATGTCAATTGCTTCAAAATCCCTGTCCAGGTCATCCGGCTTCATACATTCACGCGCGAAAAGCTTGAAAATATCTGAGTCCAAGTCAGAATCAGAGCCAGGGCCAGGGTCAGAGTCGGATACTTGTTCCTGTTCTTGAACTGGCCTGAATTTGCAAGGTCTGGGAGCGTGGTGCACAACTGAAAGTCGAAGTGTAACTAAAGACTGTGCCGTCTCCAGACATGCAGCAACTCTCGTCTGCAGACAATTACATTTAGTAGATAAACAAAATACGCTTCAAGGACGAAAGGTCACACACCATCAACAAGGACAAATCAGCCGATTCTCGATGAATCTCAACTTCCAACGAAAGCGAAGTCAACTCCGTGGCGGGCGAAAGATCCAATAGCGCCCCAGGGACGGCTGCTTCTGGTTCCAAAACCCTGAGTGTGAGGCGCGTGGGGTGAATATCGCCGAGGACGATAGGTAGTTTGCGCCAATCCCAATGACAAATGTGTTCTGCATTCCACAGAGATACGCGACAGTTCAACGCGAGCAGAAAGGCGGTATTGACATCGGCATCAAGTCTATCTAGACTAGTCCAAGACTGCGTGGATGCCAATTCAGTCTTGTTCTGAACTCGAAATGCATCCGTTTCGGCTCGGTTAAGGCGCTCCTCGGTGAGGACGTTCAGACGTTTGAGGTTTGGAAAACAAAGGACCAAGTGACGTGTGGGAAGGGTCCAATATTGCTGAATCTTGAACGTATGTACCTTCGGACACACGACAATTCCCGATATGCCCTCCATGTTGGGGTTATCGAAGTCGATCATCTCCAGCGTATTCGAAACACTTGCCAGAAAAGGGGTGGGCTCTGGCGGATCCTCATTGCTGTTCATGGCTCCAAAACGCACGGTTAAGTGTGTGAGTGGAGCTCTTAACGTACGCAAACTTTCCAGTCCCTGTTCCTCTATACCACTGAGAACGAGGCAGCGTAAATCCAACAGGGAGGAAACAACACGGGCAAAATGTTCGTCATAGACAAGGAACTCTTCAGCATCGTTTAGTTCCAGTTCCTGTAAACGTGTAGCATATTGCAGGGTCTTTAGAATTGCTCTGAAAAGGTGAGGATTGTCGTAGGGGAAATGCCAGATTGTGAGTTTACGGAGGAATCGAAACCGGTATGACGTATCAGTAGACAAGAACCGACAAAAAGAGACAGCGTGCTTCTCAGGCCAGATGTAGACTCCATGTTCCAATAACATCGGAATGCCCGTCCTGTAGAGGAATTTGCATGTGCGCATCATCGAGAGAAGATTGGGTCCCCAAAGGAAGGACATGACCACCAGGAGAACATCGAAGTTCAGTACACTGTGACCAGAGACATAAGTATATGCACAGTTTTTCATCGTCATAATGCGAAGTGACGATACCATTTTCCATTGAAGTCATATGCCTGAGTCATGTTTGAGGTAGTTCTACACGTTCAATTTCGAGGAACTGTAGTCGAGTATCATTCCAAGAGCCAATTTATCAATATGCAAGTAGATGTCCTGACCTTCACCGTGTTGAGCTACTTACCTCTCGACTGAACGGGCTCAAGGAAGTTTGCAGCAAGTACGAGCGCCGCGGCAGATTCGGCAAAGACATCAAAAAGCTTTCGGACTAAATATGGCAAGTATTCGGGTTCAATGCGGCAGTGGCACACTGCCAGTGATGCACAAAGCACTCCATGTTTCTCAAGCGTAGCGGAGCTGAATAGGTTGCGTACCGATCTTTTCCCGCTGGTCTGGACTCTAATCGTCTTGAAACATGACGCACAACCGAAAGTCGAAGCAGGGCCAGTGAATGTGCAGTTTCAAAACAGTCGGATAGCTTCATCTACTCGGGCTGGTAACTTTAGCGTGACAAGTCTCACATCGAGAAAATTGTTCAAGCTGGCCGAACGGTGGGCATCTCTCTTGAAGCTTGCGGACGGATTCTTCCAAGCCAACCATTTTTGGAAGGTGTCTAGGAACACCCAAAGAATCAGAATTGAACATTAACTGACTCCCTCCGTACAACCATATCTGGTCCAACCATGATACACTCGTTCTTATTTATCAGCTCCCATTCAGAGCTCTTGAACGTGGTCGGCTCACTGCACACGATGACATGATCGCCGTGCTCATGAGCTGCCTTCAGATTCTGCACTCCATTATCGCCATCTCGGTCAGGATGTCCTGGGAACTTCCTGTTCAATGTGACACCTGCCGTGGTAGAGAAGTATAACGAAGGTGGTTGCTGAGTTGGATGGTTGCGAAAGCGGATGGTGATCAGTTGAGTCCCGTCAGTGATGGCGATATTTAGGCTGGACGCTTCTAAAGGTAACCCGCGCTTTGGTACGACCTTCTTCTGGATTTCAAAGACGGTTGAGATTGCACGCTCTAGAGCATCCTTCACCTCATCTAACGGATGCGTAGCTTCCCAGGCCTCGGGGCCCTTCGTAGCCTCCAGATACGTGAAGATCAGAGCAGCTAGATGTTCGGAGTCCGTTGTGCCCTTGATCAACTGGAACGCATCATGCGAGAGCTCCGCACAAAATTCTCGCTTGATGATACTGAAATGAGCAACAACGCCGTTGTGCATAAACAACCAACGGCCAAACTGGAAAGGGTGATTGTTGTATTCCGTGATCGCTGTTTCTCCGCTGGCTGCACGAATGTGTGCGAACAGTGCGAGAGTTGACGTATGAGCACAGATGGATCGGAAGTGGGGGTCCGTCAATGGTTGACGAAGGATCCTATACATGGCTGGACGAGGTCCTTCGCATTCCCCATAGTCCGCCCTGGTCGTTGTATACCTGAATTGAATATCACAAATGAGACTCAAGGTAGTCCAAGAGCACAATCCAACACATACCACGCAACGCCAAGCCCATCAGCATTGAAGAGCTTGTTACGCAAAGCGACCTCCCTCTCTGTCTCCCGGCGATCCTCCCCAAGTTCATGATGAATCAGCTTAGGAAGATAATGGTCGTGCACTTGCTTCGCAATGGAATGACCAGGATCGATAAGGACATCCTCGAGCAGACAACGTTCAGAGTTCGAAATATACGCAAACCATCTACACATTGCAATCCAGATTGGGATACGATAGGTACGACTTAGCTAGGGTGGGTCACAACAGCGAAACGCGACCTCAAGGTGGCTTATAGAAGTGGAGATTATGGCGCCTTTTCTCCGCTTCACATGCGGTACCGGCGTGGCCCAACGTCATGTAGGAAACATGGCCGAAGTTAGCGGATACAGTGTGATTGAAATAGCAGAGTGAAGCATGTCAATTGGAGCGCTGGTAGTTGCCTATTTATACTACAAACGGTGTGAATGTGAGTGCTTGCTTGAATTACGACATATGGAGAGCATAACGGAATCGTGCATAAACATACGAGAGATCTAGTAATGTAGTGTGTTATTAGCATTATATGCGAGCATAAGAGGTTAAAAGAAGATTGATTGGAAAGAGATCACGTATGACTTGCAACCATTGTGCAAGTCGTGGCATATTTTCCCACTTCCGGGAGGGTTCCCGCGTCGAAGAACCCAAGTCCGTGCGATCTGAAGAGGACATAGCCTCGTCATTGTTCTGTTCATCCTCCATATCACTCTCGTCCGAAGAGGTAGTGAAGTCATCCTCAGAGACTCCCAAGTCTGCCCGTTCGAGTTCGGGTCGAGGATCAACTTCCTCCGTGCCGGAGGCCACAACTTCAGTGTCTGCTCCAAGTGCCACTTCCAGCAGTTCCTGAAAATGGTCCACTTCAGCACGAGGAGAGTGACTGGACTTCGCTCGTTTTGGCTTGGGAGGAGTGCAGATCGTATCATCGCTGTCCCATTCAGGACTAGCGAAGGGCGTCCGCGTGGTTCCCGTATCATGGTCGGAGGCATCGCGACATCTTTTGCGTGAAACGGAAAGTGACATTTCGTGGGCAGGAGTTGAGCGTGAAGGGGTTAACTGATTTTCGTGAACACCTTTCCCAGGAGTAGTATCATGAATGCGGGAAGAAAAGGCGAAAGTCTCCGGGGCCAAGCCCGAACCTTCAGGAAACGAAAGCCAGGTGAAGTCAGATACAGCAGGAAGATTTTCGTGGTGTGTTGAGCTAGTGGTGGAGACAAATACTGGCAGCGGCGATAGACGACGAGCATCTTCAACCTTCATAGCTCGTTCGTGAATGCAGTCGATGGCCACCTTCAAATCGTCCTTCGAGGTGACAGGCGTACAATGCTCTGTCAACCATCTACCCTCAGATGACTGCAAAGCGGCTTCCGCTTCAGCCAATTCTCGAGATAACCGAGAAGCTTCATCGGTGCGGGACCAATGATCCAAAGACAAGCCGATAATCCGAGCATTTATTAGCACCGCGCAGCATTCCCGAACCTCGGTTAAGGAGAGGATGTAACCTGAAGAATCGTGTGACGTGTGCAACAATCTGTATTGCCGCCTTGCAATCTCGATCTGTGAGGGGAGAGAAACGATGAGCATTGCGGCCACATTAAAAGACCGCTAATAACTCACAATCTCAATGAGATGTTCATTATCCTGCTCTGAAAGAAGGGTGTAGAATCGCGGGAGGTTTCTGTCGACAGCGTCTGCACATTGTAGAAGGAAGTCAAGTATCAAATCGAACTCGTCACTTTCATGTGAAGGTAAAGATCGAATTGATACAGGTCGATCGGCTGTGTCGATCATGTTGAGCTTGTGTGACTAGGATGGAGGTCCAAGCGGGCACTCACATTGCTTGTAATAAGCCCGCTTCTCCCGGATAAACGTGCCAGCATCTGAGTATTTGCGTCTACAACTCCAAGCCTCAAGGAAGTAATTAGAAGACATCTAAGAGGGGATTATGTCGAAGCCAGCGACAGGAGACCGTAGTATGGTGGACCGAAGTTTAAGATCGGGAATCTGCTCTGGCGGGCCCAAGCATTCTTTTATGTATGCATTGTCCCTGAGAACCAAAGTTCTCTAAGATCGCCATAAGTGGTACGGACCAGTACTGTCTAAGCAATGGAGAAACCAGCGGCTGACGGGTCGACAAAAGAGTTGTTTGACAGTATGGATGCCATACCAACAGATGCGGCCGTCGTGATTAAGGAAGTCAAAGTTACAATTGTCCTGCAAAGCAAGAAGCGTCATCTGGGCTTTGATGTTCGTCAGGTCTTATTGTCACGTCCGGATTTGGGAATTTCCTCAGCCTACAAACCGACACTAAACTCACACACCTTGATATTTATACTTCTCGTACTTCATTCATAGACATACATAGCAATGTAGGAAAGATGGAGGTGCTTGTTTGTCAAATCAGTGGGGTTCATGGTAGTACTGAGAATTGATCGAGTGCCATAGCAGTCGAGCTACAAGCCCAAGTTGTAAGCGTGAAAGGGAAGGGAGAGTAGGTTCAAAGCTGATTAGAGCTGTTGCTGTTTTAACCTTATTAGAAATCAAGATATCCAGACAATTTACTGCGTTGCAAGAGATGACTTGGGGATGTTGTGAACAAGAACCAAGTCGGAGGCGCTGTACATGTCACATAGACGCCCTGTCCAAGAGAAGACCGGCAAGCCCCGCCATAACTAAACAGCTTTGCGCATGGTACGCGACGGTCCCGAAACCCAGCCTCTACCAGCCTTTGACCAGCCTAGCAGGTTGCATCACACCAGCGAAGGTGGCATTCGAGTCAAGAAATATTCCAGTGGATTTATCGAGTCTTTCTCGATGCTTTCTTACACGCAGAATTATTCTCTGTTCGAGACGAGGGGAGTGGAATGCAAGTTAGTGAAGCATTCGCGTGGACAACTCATGAGAGCATCTTTGGCAAGGTGTGAAGAACTCGCTCTAGGTGACTCCAATACATTTTGTGTGCCATTCTCACAGATTCCCGGACTAATGTGTCAAGACTCAGACTGAATACTAATGGCTTACAGGGATTGAATATTGCTCTCCCGAGCATCGTGGGACGCTCTGTACTTATTGACCAAGCTTCGTTCTGATTATCCGAAACTCTTTCTGCCGTAAGAGGCTATAATAACAAGCCTGCAACTGACCTTTCTCAGTGACTCGAGATTGCCTCTGCCGTTTGCCACTCTTATCAATTCAAAAGCTGCTTCTTGCTTCTTCCAGCTTCCTGGGAACTATTCTCCCACCCGAAACGTTGCATCGGGCCATCACGACGTATGGAAGCAGGTGGAAGACTGATGATTTTCCTTTCGTTAGACTCCGCAGTGAGTGAACCTCGAGGAGCATCGAGGTGAATAATATTCCATCCGTTATCTTCTCGGTCGCTATGAAATTGACACAACATCTCGTGAAGAAAAGTCCTTGCTAGGAAAGTCATGTACCGGAGATTTGCCAAGCATCCATTATGCTGGTCGTCAAACGTACCAACCTGCCCTTGATGGCATTTTAGTCTCAGTCCGGTATGCGGGACTGGGTCACAGGTTGAAAGAACCATAGTCGGCCGAAACTCGTGGGCGAGAGTTCATGAAACGGTCGAACGGTTTTTTCCCGCTGGAACGGCTGTCATGTTATGCCGTCAATGTTACAAGCTCCATGGTCCGCAGAAGATCTCATAATAACATGCACATAATGTTTATCTGTTCTACTCCGACTTTCTCCGCTTTTTCACTTGTGTTATATACACGGTTGAGGGTGCTGGCTAGAAACCGGACACCCGACCATGGCCACTCCAGTTGTTGGAGCGAATCTTGTCCCTCCCACTTTGGAGCCACCAGCAGAAGAGAAACTCGATATCGAGCATGCGGTGGTAACCGACGACCCCCGTAAATGGTCTCCGGCAAGAAAGGTCCGTAATATGTTCCTCAAAAATATTTCCTGTACAACTGATGCGATGTTTTAGACATCCATCTTGATCGCTGTCTCCGGAGCAGCCGTTATCTGTGGCCTCGGTGCTAACCTGTACAATCGTAAGCCTCATTAGCAACACTATATAGATGGATGACACTGACCCTTCTTTCAGCTGCCATTGCACAGATCGAGTCTGATCTCCATGCATCCAGTGGCGATATCAGCTGGAGTATATCGCTGTATATTCTCATTCTAGGCGACTTTCCCTTGGTCTGGAGCGCCTTCAGTGAGATATACGGACGCAAGGTAAGTGAGAATGTTTTCGAACAATAATTTGTTTTAACGACTCAACCATTAGAAAGTCTACATTACATCCTTCGGACTTGGTTTGATTGGCTGCATCGTCGCTGCGCTTGCCAAAACTACCGGCGTTCTCATAGGCATGCGTGTTATACAAGCGGCGGGGTACGTGACAATTAAACTATTAAGTCCGGTTCTACTCAATGGGTGCTCCTTAGAGCCAGTGCAGTTTTCGCTATCGGGGCAGCAACACTTGCAGATATCTATGACCCTCATGTACGGGGAACGATGATGGGTATCTATTACTCGTATGTGCAACTGCTCCCTATAACCATATGTTCCACGGTTTCGGTGTCTGTTTCTGATTAGCGATTCATCCTCCAGCGCACCTCTCCTCGGACCGGCTCTCGGACCTATCATCGGCGGTGCGCTCACTCAAGCGTTCGACTGGCGTGCGACTTTATGGTTCATCGTCATCTTCACTGGACTATGCTTTGTTGCGTTCATCTTCTTCCAAGATACCTTCCGACGGGAACGAAGTCTGACGTATCAAAATGTCCTTAGAAGACGACTCAAAGAACGTGCAGCGAAAGGGGATAATAGCCGATCTGGGATCTCAATCCTCAGTCATCAGACAACGGTCTCGACCGAAGCCAAATTGAACGACAACGAGAAGGTGGTTGCGGCCTTTCCGGATGCTAGCACTCGAGGGTCGTCCAACGTTGACGTGTCCACTCGAGGCCTGGAACGTCAGTCCGTGCCATCAACTCAAACGGCTGCTGTTGTTGCAAAAGAAATAAAGCAAATCAAGTTGTCTCTGAGAGACGTTAACCCGGTTGGACCTGTCATATCCGTTGTCTCAAGACCCAACAACGTGTGTGTCCTTCTGACGTCAGGTCAGTCTCCTCCTCTTTCCCGAAGAATCACCCACTCATAGGCCATCTTTGCGTTGTAGCACTCATATTCTCCTTCGGCTATTCGGTGAATTACACTTGCTCTCGCACATTGGCAGACAAGTATGGTTATGATGCACTCAAGATAGGCCTCGTACTCCTCTCGTACGGTATGGGTAAGTATCAATGTCTCAGTCTCATCTTCATTCGCGTTGACGTGGGTTATATAGGCAGCATGTTCGGAAGCGTTCTAGGAGGTCGATGGTCTGATTACGTCTTCCGCCGTTCGAAAGCCAGGAACGGAGGAGTGAGCTATGCTGAAGTATGTCTCAGTCACCTACCTCTGGTCCTAATCCTTAATCATATAATGATTTATGTCCTCTTTAGATGCGTTTAGAAAGCACGTTCATCATGATGGTTTTCTTACCACCGTCGTCCATCGCATTCGGGTGGCTTTGTCAGAAGCATGTACACATCGCTGCAATCTGCGTGTTCCTATTTTTCTCTGGGTTCTTTGCCATGTAAGTCGTGTCCTCAACGTGTATGCACGTCCGTACTGAGAGTTCCGTTGTAGCTCAATCTATGCGAGTACTTTGGCATACATTGTGGATGCGAACACGGGACGCTCTGCCCCTGCAGTAGCTACTAACAGTGCATTTCGAGGGACTTTAGCATTTATCGCCACTGAAGTGGCAGTTCCGCTCCAAGTATGTTCTCGTCCATCGGTATGGAAAATGAGGCTGACGAGCGTTCATTAATTAGCTCGCTATTGGAGACGGCGGGCTGTACACTCTTTGGGCATGTCTCTTAATCTTAGCTGACTTCCTTGTTCTTCTGGCGTGGTGGAAAGGTGGAAACTGGAGAGAAAAGGCTGAGCAGAAAGAAGCGCAAAACGATTCATAGGTCATTCGCGACTCGAGCCTAATTTGTCTCTTCCAGCGCTTCACATGCATTCGTAAAGAATAGTAGGCAATCATAATATTTCGACAGCCCAAATCATTCGCGGTATAAGCCTGGCGGTGTACAGAAGGGAACTAGAATTCTGTGTCTGCGAATGGTGAGATAACTTCGGCGTCGGCATGTCCTTCTTTGGCAATTAGGCAGTAGCCTCAGTCAGCTCCCGCAGAAATATCTCCCGGATTTGACCAGAATACGTACTTCCTGTTGGAGAATAAGTCTCCCTCTCGTCACCGCGCTTTGCCAATGGTAGGTCATCGGGGTCAGCTCGCTCCTTCGTCATCGGCTCAGCGCTCAAGTCACTCTGTACGAGGTCAATTTGCAACGGCGCACCTTGGGTAAATTTATACCAACCCCCATATGCTCCTTTGTCTTTGGTACTGGACCAGCTGGAACCGCAACGGCAGTGGAAGTAAGGTAGGAGAAAATTCCGGCGAGTAGGATAATGGTATACGTTCTGAAGGAGTACATTTTGGGGTATTTAAGATAGGCTGATGTCCTCAACAGCGAATTGGGTACGACAGTTGATAGGAAAGAAGAGTAGTGCGGCTTACAGTTACCACCGCCGACATTTGTGTCTTTCCTGCAGTGGGCTGACCAGAGAGCTAGAGGCTGACAATTTTAGTTTCTGGCGCATGGCCAGTTGAATGATTAATACGGAAGTCGACCTCCCAAATGGGGATTCGACTTCCAAAGAAGTGAAGTGTGAGTAGGGCGAACAAGATGTATTGATGTGCGAGCACTCGTGTATATGCACTCGTCACTGGTACAAGAAAGCAAACGGCAATAGAGCAATCCTCGTGAATCATGCGCTAGGCTACAAAACATATGCAAAATACAAGCTATGGTATCAAGAAACCGGAATATCAGTACAGTATATTATGAAAAAAGGGAATGCAGGTAACAAGCCCAATGATCGTGGAGGGATTATGATAAATGGTAAACGCGAAAGCATACCGAACATTACGAATAGTTTTCATGAGGCAGCCCTGGCTTCGTCAACCAGCCGCCGATTTCCCAATTGCACCCGGATCTATAGACGTCTTTCTCCCGCTGCGTAAGATCCGTCACACCTTTTAGAATGATACGAAGTCGTTTGAAATCAATTGGCTTAAGGATCCAACCATCAATACCAAGTTTGTACATCTCCTCGCGATGCTCTTCGAATAGAGATGCAGAGACGGCGAAGATAGGTAATCGGCCGTTTAGCCTTTGAGATAATCGTCGAGAGGAGAACGAGGATTCCGATTCTAGAGCGCGAATTCGTTCGGTAGCCTCATAACCGTTCAAGAGCGGCATCCTAATGAACACTTGGTCAGGATGTCAGTAAAAAGCTTAGAGACGGATGACTGACTGTATATCCATGAGAACACAGTCGAAGTCCCGATCCGACTTCACCATCTCTAATCCTTCTTGACCGTTTGTCGTGTTCACGACCACATGCCCGTCAAGTGTGAGGCGCTTAGCAAGTATAGTACGGTTTATGTCATTGTCCTAAAAGGAATAAATATGCATATAACGAGCGACACAAAGTATAACTCACTTCAACTATCAGAATTCGCAATTGCGTCGAAGAGCTTGGATCTTCCCGCACATTCGAGGATGGGCCGATCTTATGGGATATCGTAATCTTCGGCTTCCCAACCTTCTGTGCGACTTCCTGCTCATTTCCTGCATCGGGTACCAAGCTCACAAAGACTCTCTTCGGTGAGTAGTATGCTGGGCTATCGGTGAGTGGCGAGTTAGTCTCTCGAGAGGGACTATGGATAGCAAGGCTTGGTTGTCGAGCAGACTGGATATCTATGTGACTAGACGACAATGCTTGAACAAGGTTATCGATCTGGTCGTCTCTTGTGCTATGGCTGTGAGCTCGAGAACGTGGAAGGGAGCTTGTCTGCGAGAAATTTGAAGGAGATGTGGTGGAACCTAGATCATCTTCGGTAGCGAAAGGAATAAGGAAGGAAAATCGACTTCCTATGTCCAATTTGGAATCGACGCGTAACTGTCCTCCAAGCTGTTCTACGATTCGTGCAACAATAGCGAGACCCAGACCTAGACGAAGAAAGACGTCAATGCATGTCGATGTAATATTGCTGAATATGCGTACCTAGGCCCTGAGTTTGTACCTTCGCGGGTTGTGATACTTCCACTTGCTCAAATTCTCGGAATATACTCTCTAACTTGTCGGTAGGTATGCCACAGCCTGTGTCCTCCACAACGATTTCGACAGCGACATTAGTAGGGTCCCTAAGGCCGGCGGGTTCTTCGAAAGCATGGCATTCCACTTTGACACCACCAGTCGTTGTATATTTCACTGTAAGATGATTGAGTAATCTCTACACTACCATAGGGCAAATGGAGGCACATACCGGCATTTGCTGTGAGATTCGCGACCACCGTCCGTATTTTCTTAGCGTCTCCGACGACTGTTTTGGGGCACTGAGATAAGTCTAGGTCAAAGCCTAAGCCTCTCCTCGCGGCTTCATTGCGATACAACATCGTAGCCTCATCAATGGCCTGCCGGAGATTAAACGGTTCGTTGAAAGAAGTCTCGTTCCCACTCTCCAGGCGTGTAAGGTCCTGGGGCGACCGGCATGAGAAAATGATAACAACTGTGGCGTCAGCAAACTCACAAGAAGGTCGTTTATCGTGAATAGAAGGCTCTGCCAGTATCATTAGTAGTGAAAAAATCAACAGCAGGGATCCAACCAACCTTGCTCGCCGCATGAGACTGGCTCAGGTTTTCTCTGGTTTCACCATCCAGATGACCGTTCAATGCAAGTTCAAGATAGCTGGAAAGAGCGCCCATCAGTACAACATCACAAGAAAGCGAGAAACACTATACTTGATGATATGGTTCAATGGCGTGCGGACTACACAAAATTGCATAAGACATCAGAGCAAGAGGTAACGCGAAGAAAACATACCTTCATGGCTGGCGTTAGAAAGAAGGATATTAGTGAGCTTCGTGGCTTGCAAAGCAGTTTCTTTCTGTCTCCAAACTTCGATGAACTGCATGACGAGCCCCTATGAGTTAACACCATGCGCGACCAGAGGATCCACTCGCCTTTCCATATACAAGCGCAAGAACTCCCGCTGTTTCCAGATGCTCATCACTCCATGCCCGACACCGTCCAGCAACGGTTTCAGACCACAGCCTGAACGATTTACGAGGTTCTAATGATGCATTGAAATCGCCCTGGCGATACGGCCGACCAGCCCACTTCACTTGACGCGGCTGACCCTTGCGAAGGAAAGCAATAAAGTCGCCACCACCTACTGACAAAGGAACGTAGAGCAGTCCTGCAATCACTTCTAGGCCATTTGAAAGCTGTAGGTCGGGGTAATCTACTGTGACAGCTTGCGAAACTTGCATCGCACTAGAAAAGATACTGATTAAAAAAATGTAACAAGAATGTCAAAGCACATACTCGAATTGTTTCAACCGAAGGTATTCCGCCACGATCAGGATTTCTTGACTATGCATGTTGGGACCGAGGATCTTGGCGCCTTCACCAATAACGAGAACACCATAGTCAGCGTCGAAGAGACCCAAGAGGTCGTCAGCATTCGAAACAATGTAACCCGTCGGATGTTGTTCGGACGATAAGGTGTTGATCTGCAAATCAGCGTGTGAGAGGCATTGCATACGCTCAACGTTGCGATATACCAATTTACGAGTATGGAGACGCTGAGCATAGCTTAAGCGTTCCACGTTTCGCGAAATCGATTGGCTGAGCAGTCTGAGCATTTGTCGAACAGGAAATGATACGCGCATCCCGTGCGGGCCATAAGAATGACAGGCAACCAGACCCCACAAAGAACCGAATGCAATAATCGACTACAGAACGATGTAAGGCGAGTGCATTGTGGATGTTTATACAACTTACCACAGACATAGAAGCTCGTACACCCATGTTACCGAGGTCTGAAGATCAACGTCAGTTGTCTAATGTTGCCACCGGAAAAAAGGCAACGTACACTTGAGATGAATGGGACTCATTGCACGAAGGTAGCAGTGAGTCATATCCTATCAATATTCATACAGATAAGAGGAGAAAGAATCAAAAAAAAAACGCACAAGCGGTGTTTCAAGATCCTTCCTACTTCTCACTAACAACCTTGCCGTAGCCTGTCCACGGTCGTATAGAAGCCGTACCTTGTCTAATAGTTATGATACAGTGAACAGCTGAAGTGCGAACAAATATTAGAGAACTTACTGAGAACATACAAACTTCGAGCTTGAGCTGGAATATCAGAAGCAGGGAAGTGTAAACCCTTGAACAGGTCATGGGTTTGATCCCAATCCACCAATTCTGCCATGACTTTGCCATTCCACGCTTCGTCAAATTGATACGCAAGCACACGGTGGAATTGCGTGAGGTCTTTGATGACACCAACAACGACGCTCAAGAAACTCTCCAGGTCAGGCGCAGCACCGAGCTGTTCATTGATCTGAGCCATGACATCAAACACGTCCATCATACCAACCGCGCCACCACCACGTCGAGTCCGAGCGGTTCTCCGTGTTCTTGAACCCATTCCAGATGAGAACGACGCAGGCGTGGCAGGTGTTTCTGCGATGATTCTTCTCGAACGGCGCAGACGCTCCAAGGCAAGGAGTGGCTTTGCACGGCTTGTAGTACTCTCTAAAATAGCTTCCTGACTTGGCAACCACTCTTCGTCGCCTTCACCTGTAGCGTCAGTTTCATTCCCTTCGCTGTTGACGCGAGTCTGATCGACACTGAAAGGATGTTCAACAGGTGGAGTGCTGCGATGGGACGAAGGCTCGGGGGAATTTGAATTTGCCGTGACACTGCCTGGAGGAACAGAGCTGGTGCCGGAACGTGCTGGAGGGGAAGGCGTACCGCCGTTAATCGGACTTGGCGCAGTGCCTTCGTTTGAAGAGACCATTGTAACGGCGATTCCGCCTGAATCTGTTGAAACTAGTGTACGGCCCGAGCTATCAGATGCAGAACCACCAGAACCAGAAAGACGTGTTGAAGAAGCATCCGTCAACGGAGAACTAATACCAGATTGATAATTACTATCGTCGAGTCCACTAGGCGGATAGAGTGGGTTGAAGGGGTCCCGTTCCAACTCAAACTCCAGGATGATCAAATTTGAGTCTAACGCGGCATCAGTACTCGAGCCAGAAGCGTCCAGGTTTGCGGGGGCAGTCATCTGTGGTCTATGTGCAGCACACCAGCAAGTCCATGATCGTCGCTGCTGAGGATCTGCGTTGACCTCTTCGGGCAGGGCACTCCCAGGCTCACCCCATCCTGAAAGCATGAAGACATGGAGATTTTCGGCTTGTTCTTCGGGTGTCAGGGCCGTATCACTAAGGTATTGGATGTTGTCAAACAGCAAATCGGCTTGCGAATCCGGGAATGCCTCTGAGAAACAGGGGAGGGAGAAAAGATATCGGGGGGAAAGACCAAGAAGCTCTGTACAATTCTGAAAAGAATAACAAAATTAAATAATAAACAGCTGAGTGCAGCAGTATGCATCCAGTGAAATTGTCCACATACCTCCGATACTTGGCGAACAACCAGATTTCCAGTCTCGTCTTCCTCCTGAATGGCAACAAGAACACCGAAACCTTGAACAGCGCCCGGCGTGCGAATGGGCTAAGCTAACGTGAGGGAGGCCTTTCAACATGGTGACAACAGACATACCTCGTCCTCACATTTCGTTAAAGTACCTTCACGGCCGACGATCAAGTGGTGACCATTCTCGTCTTCAACGTGCTGGTAGCGGAAAGTGATGTGAGGTCCATCCGTGGTATTTGTTCCCGACGTCGAAGATGCATGGGACCCATGACCCGACACCGGCGAATGAGGTCGCGACGCGTGTGTGGATGGCATTTGGACGACATCGAAGTCAGCTTGGTGGGAGCAACCAGATCCACCGCCAGACCCTCCACTGGTACCTCCACTACCTCCCCTGGAAGCCGATCCTGATGAACGTGCACACGAGCTAGGTGAGTCTCCTCTAGGTTCAACCGGGGCGAGATGCACAATTCCAGATTGGGAGATATTGGAGATGAATGGTGCAGGACTAGCAGGAATATCTACAATTTGAGCAGCATTGGCGAAGGCTTCTGCAGCCACTTCAGAAAGTTGGGCAGGATGGCGGGCGTCGAATGTATCCATGTCCTCGAATATCTGGCCTGGATCGAATGCTAAGGGCTCTCCGGCCGGACCTGTCAAAAGACCGCTTGACGAATGAGACCCTGTGCTGTGAGAGTGAGACATGAGACCGGTTGAGAAGACCCTTGGAGCTAAAGGGTCTTGGTCGCGAGCATAATCAATGAAATTGGGCGTTCTATGTTTGCGCGAGCCGTCCATGTCTGATTTGCAACATTAAAGATGAATGCCACGGAGGTCCATGCATCCTTGAGTCCCGTGGACACACGATGGTAAAGGCTTGGCGACTCACCGCTTGAAGATGCAACCTGCTGACTGCTGGGTCCTGCCTCCGTCAAGGGCTTTGAAGAGATGCTAGGACTGATCCTGTGAGCTGTATCGGAAGCAGTAGATGGTTCATCTCCACAGCGTCCGGAAGTAGACTCGGAGGTACATTTCTGAATGCCAGAGAGTAAAGACCGAGCAGGAAAGACATACGCTTGAGGCATGGCTTTCAAATGTTCACCATCGCTCGTCGCAACGTCGCCCTGAGACATGGACAACGTCAAAGACGATGAAAAAGCCACATCTCTTAAGTTCTCCGTTGTTTCGTGGAGTGCGGCAGACGGATATTCGATCCGGCGCAGTGAGAGCTGAATACATTGATCATTGAAATTATTCAATGGGTGCATATAGAACATTACATCTCCGCAGGTACAAAGTTTTTCGGACATTAAATTATTCTAATCCAATATTCGGTCCCCGACACATCGAGTCTAGTCGGAGTTCAATCATGCACTACTGGAACCTTGCAGCTTAACTTCAAACTACCATCCAGGCTAATCTGTGCACCCCTTAATCATTATTTCTTATACTATGGAGACCCAACAACGACAGGATACTCAATCGGAATCTTACACCATTGTACGCATCAAGCGCAAACGAAACGAAGAACCATTAGATGCACTTGGTACGTCATGTGTTCATGTTCATGCTTTGATATCAACGTTGAATGTGTTTTGCAACCTCAGTTGTCGACCAGGGTCCGAGAAAGAAACGATCTAAGGCTGGTTTGAATGTGTTCCGGTTTGCTGAAACAGTAGAGGTGGAGGCTTGGGAAGATGAACGCAAGAAGAAGGACCTCGAGGTAAGCACGCTACACTCAGTATTGGCTATAGAACACTTTGCATACGCTTCCTTCTAGGAACGCATTACTGCCCTTGCACGCGAAAGTTCGAAAAAGAAACAGACGATCCCCGAAACGTCAGTCATTCCCGCGGAACCAATACAACCTCCAGTCCGTCAGCCGCAAGTGGACCCAAGTCGATCGTATACTGTTATTCCTAGTGAATCCAAGGATCTTTCAAAGCGACGAATTCCCACTTCGCCGTACGTACTTATCACTTTGATGCACGTGCGCATGAGTTGAGTAGTACGTTCTAGTCCAAAGATCTTGACAAGCAAAGACTACGAGCAACAGCGACAACCCTCTGTGACAATTTATGAAGCTATTCCATCCTCAACGTCGCTTGCATCTGCCCCGTCCATGAATATTGACCCAGAGGTCGAAAAGTTCTTGCCCTTACTGCAAGAGTATCTTAAAGGTGAGACAAGGTGCTTCTTTGACCTACGTACAACTTACGATATCGTCTCTCTTCTATGCAGTCTCCGATACTGTCCCGTCTTTTCCGCAAGAGGGTCCATCTAGTTCTCAGCCCTCCAAAGAGGACGACTACGTCTGGGACGTCTTCTACTCCCACCCTGCATCGTACAAGCAGTTATTTGATTCCTTAAACGTTGGGATGGTGTAAGTATTCGTTTCGTACTCCAAGTGATAGCTTTGCTGACCTCTTGCTTGTAGGTCTGGACTTCCACATTCCGCAAGCGGATACATTGATTCAGATACCGATTCAGACATGGGTGAGGAAGATGAAGATTCCAATGGTAAGTTTCGAATCTGAATATAGGCACATTGCTCATTGTTCAATTTGTTCAGCGGAAGACTCCTACAAGAACGATTATCCGGAGGACGAAAGCGACTGGGATACGACGTCAAGCAAACATACAGATGACAGCGGTACGTACTCCCTTGTGCTGACACTCTTTTGGCAGAATATATGAACTGACAAATACCTCAAGATATCTTCCACGAGCGTTCTGATCATGAATCGCTGTTCCGAGCCGAAGAAGTGAACGACGATTACCAATGGCCATAATACATCTAATCCTCTTAATATGGCGCACTGTTAATACAGCAGATACTGGAGAGAACCGTATGTACTCCTTTAGTTTGTGCACTTTCAACATGTGAAACTTCCCGAGCTTCATTCAGGATACATTTGTCGTAAATTTCGTACAACTTCATCAAGTCATTTCGCAATCATTCACTCGGATAGGAACATCTAACCTTCATGCGGCCTTGCCGATCGAGTTCGACTATCCATGCAACATCATCAGTGGCTCGTTGCATCAAGAATGAGAAGCAAATACCTCAGAACCGGCATCGGAATGAACCCTTGCATGAGAATCCTTCGCGTTACGTCTGCCTCTACCAAAGGTCAAGAACCCAAGGAAGAGCAATACCCCTAAAGCAGCCAACATGACAGCGGCAGTCAAGCCTGCACCTAGGAAACCGGCACCAACAGGACTAATCCTATCATGGTGTGAACCAAAAGAAGATGCACCGAGGAGTGCAGCACAACCTCTATCAGTAGTCTGTCCGCAGACATTGCACCAATCCAAGGTGGTGTTAACAGCTACAGGTTGGAACGCGTTAATGAAGGTTGCAAGAGGGACGTCTCCATCTCCGTTCCAGCCAGAGAAATGGAGGTCATGACTATGGAAAGAGGTATCGTCGGATCCGTTCTTGAAGTTAAAGCGGAGAACTGGTTCATCGCCTGACGCCGGTTGGCGAACTTCGAAGACAACAGCAGCTACGTAGTTGACTGCAAATGAAATATACTTTAAGTAAGACTTGAGGACAGTGGTGGGGGTGCGAGCATGTACCAATTCCAGCTTCGACTTCCCCAGATTGAACGAGGCCAGTCATGTTGAATAAGCTCAAGAATGGCTTGTAAGAGATGGAAGAGTAGTGCAACCTCAGTGGGTCAGAAGCATTGGCAATACGCTGGAAGGCGGTGAGGATGGAGGGCAGCATTGTACGGGCCGCGACTGGTAATTATAAAATTGGTGAAGGATCAATCCTGAGGCTCCCTTATGGTCAGGCACTCACTGTTTCCGATCCCGTTGGCCTGGCTGTCGCTGAACACGCCGTACTCATGGAAGTTCGCCAAATCACGAGCTCGAGCGAGGAAGGTTGGAGGAAGACGGCTAGCGAAATTGGCGTCATGGATGGATTGCACATTCATATAGTCGTAGATCTATTGAGTTAAGACATGTTTAGAAACAAAATCCATACGTTAGGTGTATGATCACTGACATTCCACTAGGTAAACAAATATGTATATTAGCAAACCTACCATGAGGTGAAATCCGAGAGCAGTGGACACACCATGTTCTCCAATGTAACTGCCCTACCGTCCAAGTATGAATGAAGCTGCGACAGGAAGGACGCGCTCTGATTTGCTTTCTCAAGGAATGCCGGGGAATCATAGAACGCGGCAATGTGATCGTTCAAAGTCTATTGAAATTGATATCAAGTTGAAAGCAACAGAAAATGAAACAGACAAACGTTGCAAGAGGTGAAACCCTCTAATGAAACGTCCTCATTTGGCTCAACACTTTCAACTGAATAAAGGAGGGGATTTCATCGCTAAATCAGAACTGATCGTTTCAGAGGGACCTACTCGGAACAAACTGATATCCGTTCAAAGGACTGGTGATGTTGTTTCCATTGGCAAGAATCGTGCTCGATAATGGCGTAGGAGGCCACAATCCTTGAAGCAAGGCAACAGCACTGTCGAATATGACTCCTCCCTCTCCTCCAGCATCAGCACGGACTGCAACCTGAGATTGTTGGAACAATGAAGTCGAATTGCTAATCCCCTGGATGTACGTAGGAGAAGATGCGTCCAAATACAGTGAACGCAAGAGTGAGCCTAACTGAGACTCTTGTTTCTAGGTATCTCGGGTTGTGTGTAAGTACTATGATCATAATTGGTTCATCTACGGGCTCACCTCCCCCAAAGGAGTGATCGACGTCGCGGAAGCAGTGTAAGAGTCAGGATCCTGATAGAATCCTTGGCGATCGCCATGTCGAGCGATTACGACGATCCCGAGAATCTTATCGTTTGACATTAATGCTACAATGCCAGCGGTTAGCACAAAGATTCGCTACTAACGGAGGAGGGGGAGAAAACGGGTTCAAGTGAGAACAGTTCAGCTAGATCATTGTTTGACGTCCTTATATATGGGACGTCGATGAATGTCAACGTCAAAGTCTACGTCTCTACCGCATTGTCGTCGCTGAAGATAACTGATTTTACCCAGGATAAGGCTATAAGCATGTTCCATGTGTAAAAGGCTGGGAACACCATGGCCGGAAACGGAATACAAGGTTCACAAGAAGGGATTGGGTGAGATTTGCCATTCAAACTATTGCGATTAGGACGGATGTCGGTCTCTTTACTTCATGCAACTGTAGAGAAAAAGTTGTGCATAACATAATATATACTACGAGACGTTCCGACGCCCGTATCAGCAAATGTTAGCCTGGGGTATAATAATGTGGAGGAGAGCACAGTGAATGTACAGCGTTCGTGGACTTACTCGTAATTGAAGACCGGAGCATCTAGCGTTAGAAGCATGGCATTTCATTATGCACTGACATCTATCGACCTGCAGCCATTTTCATGAAAGATTCTCCACACACCTGTGGTCAATCTGGATCCCGACATATCAAGGAACAAAAACAAGCCTGAAAGTGCAACAACTACTGCAATAGTCACGCCGACGATCCAAAGGCCTGTACCAACTTAGCTGACCTTACGAGACAACATTGCCATTTCACGAATGACAAGAGGGTCCGTCCAAATATTTCGTTTTACTTCTAGCGCCACGTCGCAGTATCGTTGACTGATTGATAGTCTTGTTCGATCTAGTCAAATTGAGAGCTGTGAGGTTGCTGATGATTTAATGAATACAGAAAGTGGTATGTCCGAGGCACACGGCCACCATGGGAAAGTGATATAGCACAGTCTGGGGAGTTGATCGTATGTCGTGCATTCTTGAAATTGAATTGAACGGCAAATTTGTCACCAGCGGCACTCTGTCGCACTTCGGACAATAGCGCAGTAGCGTAATACACTGTTGAGGGTCAGTATATAGTATGTAAATCTCTCCACACACTAGTGGTCGCAGAGATTTACCAGATAGAGCCAAACATGTTAAACAAACTCAAGAAGGCTTCGTGTGAGACAACAAAGAAGTGAGGGCTAAAGGCACCGAAGACAGATGGAAGTAGGGTGGAGCACTGACTGGGAGAGAGGAGGGAGGCGAGGGAAGGAGAGAGAGATCAGTTAAAGGGGAGACGGTTCTGAAGATCTAAGCCTACTCAATTTGTGCCGTACCGTGAAACGTGTGGTCGCTGAGAACATCATACTTATGGAATCCGACCAAATTACGAGTTTGCCCCAGAAAGATATGTGGCTCGTAGATGGTGAACTCAATGCACGAAATAGGAAGCGCCATAAAACAACTTGCAATATTCTTCAATGATGTATTTAAACCGTTGACGTACCAAAGAATTTGCGATTGACGAGCCTTGATTATCCACGAATACGGTTGACTGGTAACTGAGCTACACGGCCAGTGAGAGTCTTGCGAAAGCAACCTATTAATTGAGTCAGAAATACTGACCTTGCACGCTATAAACCGTTGAAGGGTATTTTGTCACTCGGCATGATTGCCTCTACTGGAGGTTGAGAGATGATCGAGTCAGCATGAGAAATAAGTGTTAATAGATACACTGCGACTTACGGGACACATACTATATACTAGTAACCATCCAGAGAACTTGTGATGTTTGTACCGTCAGCCGGAGAGGCCTTAATCCTTGCAAGGCCGCCATGGTGCTTGCGACAATTGAGCTCGTCCAACGTCAGCGCCGCTTATCCCCTACATATAGCTGGGCGACGGATTGTTCGGGGGGATGAATCACAGTAGTGACCCTAGCTGAAACGATTGCATCTGAAGTGGAGATTGAAAAGGGCAAGACAAAAAAGCAGGTGAATGTAACTTATGCAAGGATCCTACCTGGCCCAAGATCGTGGCAAAATTACTTAGGGTGGCAACCGTGTACGGATCTTGTTGCAAGTGCTTACGATCGCCTATCCGAGTCAGCATCATGATTCCAAACACCTTATCGAGCGCCGCAGTACAAGAGCGTAACGACACTACCGACACGTTGGTGGGTGGAGGAGATACCAACGGTAGCAATGAAGCTGGAGGACCTCGCCTTGCAGGCGTAAGATCAGTGCAGGCGGAATACACCGTACGATCGCAAAACACGGGGTTCTCCGACTTCAAAGATGCCAAGAAGCGCGATGAGGATACCTCCGTTCTCTTGCGCAGTATCACGAGTACCCCGATATCACTCGAACAGTGCGGCCTAAATATTCAGAATCGTCAGGATGTGAATGGTACGTAAGAAACGCAATGTATCAGAGGTTTGTCTATATACTGCCTCCAACAGACTCCATGGTCTATGAGAAAATTAGCCATCAGCGTATCGACTGTGATAAACTCATAAAGGGACTTACAAAAGGAGATGCCGTTGGCCCGTCGAGAATACTCAGTTCCTCCTCAGTAAAGGGAAGGCGAGGGACTACAAACGTTCTGAGTGGTACCAAAAGTAGGATGATGATAGGGAAACCGATGGCAGCTAGGACACAAGTATCAGTAAACGACCATACAGTTTGATAAACATGCTTACCGATTGTCTGTGTGACTGCCATAGTAGCCCCGAAGCCAGCAAGTTGGACGGCCACAAATAGAAGGATTCGAGACCTGCGAACCTTACGCAGAGGCTCATCCGCTGGTGTAAGCGCTTTGTCACGTAGGAAGTACAATAGCTTGCGAGTGATACCGTTGCCCTCCAGAGCATCTGCACCCATATACCAGCTACGTATGACTCAGTCGCCAATCCATATGCAGATATCAAATGCGACGTGTAGACTCACAAGAGGCCAGCTAACACTCCTCTGGGGATGAGGCTGAGGACATGTAAGAACGGTCCAGTAAGCAACACAAGGCATAGAGAGCCTTGCGCTAAGTTTGACACTCGTTGCTCTACCACCGCGACTGGAACTTCATGTCTCCGTTCATCCCCTTGACCATCATGGGACTGAGTTGGATCTGGCTCCAGCTTCTCTGCTATATGGGGCATATGAAGGTGCGATCGGCGCGTGTGGATTCGAGAGATACCGTCGGGATTATCCTCGACTGACGTGGTCACCTTGATACTACCTGAGCCTTGTGGATCAGTAGCAGAGTTAGATGCGAGAGCCAACGCCCTTTCAATGTCTTTCTTCGATGTCTTCCCCATCACAAGCAGTGAGGTCGTATGTATCGGTGCTTGAGGAATTAGGCCGTTGGGAGCAGGAATACCCAGAAGTCCAGCGATGAACGTAGTGATCCCGAGGAGGAAGAAGTCATAATGAAACCCTGGTGGTTTTCGTAGAGGAAAATCGGAGCCTTGTGCCATGAGGGACTATGATAGATGATAATCCGAATTTCATTTTTAAACTTACAATTTACTCACCGAAACGTTATGGTCGAAGAAAAACAGCACCCAGAGGGCAAAACCGAACGGAAATGCGATACCAACCCACTTCCCATCCAACTGCCAAAACTTTACTAGCCAGCTTCGACCGCCAGCCGGTTGGAATGCACGGCCTACAGGCAACGTGTTAGGATTGGCATGATTGAAACGTCCCCAATATGCCATGGCAGACGAAGCTATCAATGAGATTGGCATGCCGTAGTCCGCAAGAAACCGGCGAACATGTCGATGGAACAATGACGAACGGGACGCCGTCCTGAAAAGGTAGGAAGTTACTAGCATGAGCAAGGCTAAGATAATCCCCACAAAGGCACCATCAAGCGTCTGAGAAGATGCGGAGGATGAGGGTCCAGGGAATTGGCGTGTGATGACTTGGACGCCATATTGAAGGTACACCCATGAGACATAGAACCCAAATGTATCGCATGAGAAAAGCGTAACGTATCTAAGAAAATTGCACCCTGTCATGATGATCGTCAGCATGGTAGTTGATAAATCCGAAAATCAAATACTTGCAGTTCAAGGCGGCCGTAATCCAATGAAGAATCGCTCCCCAAAGGTACACCCAGCCTATGAACTGTAGGTAATCAGGTGCGTCTGATTGACCCTCTATGATATCGAATATAGTCTTGTTGAGGACCGTGATGGGACCTGTGACGCCGGCGATGCAAAGTGGCTGAGCGCCGAAGATTGAGAATATGAAGGCAGCCATAAATGATGACAGGAGGACTTCAGCCACACCATATTGTTGTGTGGTCTCGATAAGGTCTAAGGAGAAGGCAATACCAGGAAGGACACTGCACCCGCATAGTTTAAAAACTAGGGGTTGGTATATGCATGGCGGGGAGACTCACTTTGCAAAGAAGATTAATACAATGGCAGGTATCACTCTATAGTTCCATGCATCTATCCAATCGCTGAGGTAGTATGGCGCTCTGGCTCGTATGTCGTTATAGATTCCTGAGAATGGTCTAAACCTGAACGTAACATTCCCCTCCAATGTGGCAGAAGGTGTTCGGGAGAGGGCTTCCTGAGGGATGGATACATCCTTCGATTCGTCTCGGATGGGAGGTGTGGAGGCCACATCCATTATTTAAGTTGAAAAGAAAGTAAACAGGCACGGGTTTTGCACTTCTCGTTTTACAGAGGAAGCGTAAAGCTTCATAGAAACCGAGTGTGACAGTGGTCAACGTTCAACTACAAGAGACCTGGCAAGGCAAAACTTCGAACGTTGCCCATGTCCACGACGTAGGCGCTCCCACCGATCGATCGTACTTCTAGAGTGAACTTGAATCTCAGGAAAAGCACGAAATGCCACGATTTGAGCAGTCTTTAGAAGCAAAAATTCCCCCAAATCGACAGCAAAACTTTCCACATCCATCATCGATACATCTGGCGACCTCATATATTACTCGCGGCTAGACGGACTATCAGTTGCCAATCATGTACCAATAACGAAATTTGCGACTGGCATAAACCTGTCGTCGAGTTCGTCTGCCACACTATAAACCATCCGAGTTACCTACCGCCTTACATCCGGCCGTTATTATCAGATGTTGACGGTAGTTGAATACTGGCTGTCGTTTGCTCCGACTACTCGGATCACGAATCAGACCACCTCACCATGCATTTCCGTATTTCACAGGTGAAGCCTGATTGCGTAGCAGTGTAATAAAGTTACGACCTTACTACGAAGCCGATCTGTTCAATCAAGGCAAGTACCAAGCTATTTAAAATCATCCGATTGATCAGCTTCTGAGGATCAAATATTTCGATGTACTTGTTGGCCAAGCAAAGAGAAGCCAATGCACAAGAACTAGCCGCGTCCAACGAACGGCATTGTGGTAGCCCTAAAACCTGGGTGATCAATGGAACCATATCGACGAAATTGTGAATATAACGTACATAATGGTGAAATTTAGAACGGTGACCTCGAGCGGCAAGCCTGCAATGTGGACGATAGCGTCGGCAACATGCTTTGGGTCAAACGTTGCTTCCGGAACTATGCGGCCATCTGGTTGCAAAACCCCTTTTCCCTGTGCCGCCGCCATGGGCGTGGTAGCATTGCCTGTGGAAAATGTATTCAATATTCGCCCGAACAAATACTCAAGGATCTTACCGATGTCAATTTGAGTACAGCTGATGTTAAATGCCCTGCCGTCCAAGGCTATCGACTTAGTAAAACCTGTCACGGCGTGTTTGGTTGCGGTGTACGCAAGTGCATGCGGACGTGGAGCATGGGCTGCGATTGAACCGTTGTTGATGATGCGACCTAAACCATACACCATGAATTCAAATAATAGGTAAACTTCGTGCTTGGTGTTAACACTCGCCTCCCGTAGGTGATTGTGTCTTGAAGATCTTGAATGCTTCTCGAGTGCACAGGAATGTTCCGACCAGATTAACATTCGTCACCTGGAGGAACAGTGACAAGGATAAATCCTCCGTGGGGATGGCCGGGGTGCTCATTCCGGCATTCTAACAAATGCGGAGTCAGTGTCCTCAAGCGCATGTCAAGATTGCGTGAACGTCGGTACCAACATTGAATAGCAAATCCAAGCGACCTATGACACGGTACATTCAATGAGTTTCAGTGTAGGAAAGAAGGACTCCAGACATCAGTTACCTAAGTTGTTGATGGTGAAACGGAAGAGTTCTTGCACCGACTTCTCATCGGTGACATCTCCTTCGAAGCATAAGGATCGTGAGGGATCAGCACACAGGTCCCGCGTCTCGCGGAGCTGGTCCATTCTCCGAGCAAACAGGACGATGGACCACCCTGCTTGTGAGAGAGCGATGGCAGTTGCGCGTCCGATCCCTGATATATGCGGTGGTCGTGAGTATTCTTCACTTCGAATCGTCCACTTGAATAGCTAGGATCACTCACCGGACGATGCCCCCGTGATGATAGCGACCTTCGTATCCGACATTGTTGTTATCGACAGTTCGAATATCGTCTCTGGGTGCCACTGTGGGTGAAAATGATCAGAGAAAGATGGTCCTCAAGTGATGTTCTGACGAGTCTGCCAACATTGGAGCAATATTGTGATGGTTCACGGACAGCGGACCGGCGGTCACTTCAAGGTCAAGTGGTGAGTTCCGGACGCAAACTGGCACCTAACGTCCGGAGACACTGAACTTCCCGAATCATAATCTATGACAGAATCTCTAACCAACACATTTGCCCTAGTGGTACCGTCACTTACTGGTCGCAGTGTCCATGAACGTTTGAACTTCGGATTCCAAATTTCACCCCAGTGGCAATAGACGCCAAGGATTTCAGTCAGTCCCAAACTTGGAAACGTACATTCAAGTTTGTACATGGGCCAGAGTAGATGATGCGCAGCTTGACTTGGTGCCAAACATAATGGGTATGTGACTATGCTAGAGACCAAACATATGACTCGGGGTCCGAGGAGGTTAGCCGCTCTTCGGACTCTGGACTGATGTCATCCGTAGTAGCATAACACACCAAGCCGCCTCGTGTTGGAGAATGCTTACTTCACGTTATATTGTTGCCAAGATTTTCGCTATCAGTGCACCAAGCTCAGTTTCGTAACTCTGCTATATTTCCACGATGTCCTCGCTATCGGAAAAAATCATGTTATTATTCCAAACACCTCTGGTTACTCCAGAGGCACCTCCCCAACCGGCGGCTTTCCAGCTGAAACAGCTGCAAACTCGCACTTCCACAACAGAGCACCCACGACCAGCCTCAAGTGTAAGCCTTCCTATCCATACGAACCACCATGAGCGCCGTTGATCCACCTGTCAGCGAGGTAGCACGGATAGTGCCACTTTAACAAACAGAAGCAGCCTCGACCCTGCAGTCCATACTACTCCCATCTCTTCTAGAGAAGAATCAGGAGATAGTCTGCGACCACACTACTCCGCTGATTAAAAATAATGATTCGGGTGAGCGTCTGAGGCTCAAATAGTAGGTGAACGACAAGTTTATCCCACAATCTAGCTTAAGTCATGCTGCAACAGAAACCCCAGAGATTTCAAACACTTCTATCTTATACCGTACTCATTGCATATATCAAACAGTGTATCTGATGTCCATACTCGATCCTAATCCTAATGATTCTGCGCTCATCTTCTCCCTTTCTGAATTCTCCGCCTCCTCGTCTTGCACCTGTCAGATTGCAACCGAGGTAGAAGCCTGGCAAAGTGCCACCGATGTCCTGGGCGGTAACAAAATGTCATGACACGCAGTTGAGCTTCGACACGACAAACATATTGTCGGCCGACAGCTCGTCGGGAGAGAACAGTGTCGGTCGCAGGTGGCGACACATTCTGCATATGATAGCCGTGCTTGACGCAAAGAATTTCAAACCTGCAAAGGATGTCAGAGAGGAAAAGAGAGTCTCTGTAGGCTGTGACATACGTTTATGAAACGATAGCCCATCTGTCAAGTCCGCAGCACGATCAATCCGGCGTATTCGTGTTCAGAAGAACACGACGCCCACGGAGCCGGCTGTCGATCGAATGACGCCTTGTGACGAAGAACCTGTTGGACGAACAGGGGGCTTCTCGGAGGATGTACCCTTGTTGGAAGATGTCATGACAACGTAAGAAGACTGCATGCTTGATGAGGATGAAATTTGCGTTGCGACTTATCGGTCTATCGAAAGTTGTGGAGTGGAACGTCTGAGGTGAGCGTTGCCCGTCAAACCGAGTATCTTTTATACGATATCCTGAGGGTCGAACCGACACAGCCGACCACCGTTTAGAACGCAATTCCACAGGCAACGGATGCTAAGGATGCTAAACCCTGAAACCCTGACAAGGAATGACTCGAGTGAGGTACCAAGAAGACAAAGGCAGTCCATGTAGTCATTAGCCGCAGAGGTATGCTGCATAAAGGCAGTGTAGCGTGATTGGGCACTTGCGGTGTAGCAGGTCTTAGGGACCGACTGGTAGTATGACTCGTCGGTAGACCTGGCAGGCGCCGGTTGACATCACTGTAGTCGGTATCAGGCAGTCTGTGTAGGCCATGACAATTGCATTCAAAGGACCGTTAAGTGGCGTAGATGGGGGTTTAGAGGCTATGAGCAGTGTTTTAGAGAGCCAGGAGTCCCAGTATTTGGACGCCACAAAGGCGGAGTTCCTGAAAAGGAGACCGCCATCACTGCGGACTTAGTGGTTTCAATTCCCCGGATACCCAGCTTGTTCATCGATCGTCTTCATAACTTGACAGAACGGAGCTTGTGCGCGAGGATTTCTCAGTCCTTGTTGCTGATATGGTTCCTGCTTACATGTGCCTACTCATTACGTTTCTTTTGAATTGCACACCCAATCCACATGATCGCAGTATGTCTTGTCTTCTGTATGAACCCGATCTAGGAAAACGGTATCCGGAACTGGTAGCATTTGACTGCGTAAGGGGTCGGAATCGAATGACTGTCCATGAGCCAGTCGGAATCGAATGACTGTCCATGAGCCATGTTCATCGTAGATATCTTCCCAGTAAGTGCAAATACATCGATCATGTCGTACTCAGCCCTCCATCAAGTTTCTAGTACAGATCCTTTGTCATGCCATTTGTTGGACTTGTGACATGCACTTATAATCAACTGCGCAACTCGTCTATAAATATTAATCCACACTGACATACCCGAATGTGCAGAATCCTATTCCACTGGCGGGAGAATGCCTCAAGTTGTGAATGTTGCAATGCATTTTGCCAAGGGCCCACTATTATCTAGACATACCTTGGCATATCTACGACAGGTATTCCCTGTGACCTGGCGCTTCACCTATGGTCACAATGGTATGTTCACACCTATCATTCATTGTCAAGGAACTCAGCAATTCGTACAATCTTGAGATCGCCCAGTACTTGACCCGTGCCTTCATGCGAAGCCGCCGAATGTCAGGCACCATCCAAGATGATCACCGCTTCTCCTTATTCTATTGGTACCTGGAAATCTCGGCCATGACGGAGGCAAGCATCGATCATGGAATGTTGCGCCGCAGTTAGAACGTATGGGTGAGCGGGAGAGGACTGATGTTGTTTTCGCTGGGATCTCTGGTCTTCGCCGCTTCTTTCCGCCTTCGGAATCATAGGCCACTGGTTCACCGATCAACTGATCGTTGTGGCCCCGTCAGTAGGATAGCGCAATCATTCGGCAGTTTCACGCCGCTCGCAGTTCAAATCGTTGAGAATAAAAGGTACGAATTATTCAGCACAATGGGCTGCAAGTTCCAAATACTGTTCGCTGGTACATAAGTTAACGTTCAGTCCATTAGGTGATGCATTATTAAAGTATGACGCTTCAACACTGCCCCTTCCCCCTTCTACCACCTTCAAAGTCAGCAAAACACCTCGCATTATCAATCCGCTGCCCGAACCCTCTGCCGCAGGTAATTGGATATGTTCCTAGGGTACGCATGCGTCTTTCAAACGAAAGTAGTGAGAAAATGCTGATCGCTAATCAGCAAGATAGTCGCCGGGTAGGATAAGGATTGTGGCGAAAATAGAGAACACAAGAAATGAATGGTATGTCTTGCGGTATGCAACCGTGTTGGTAAATGGCCCTATATAATTGAGGTGAGCACGGTCTCTAAATGACTGTGGAGCCTAAACGAACCTGTCGTAGGACAGAGTAATGGTACCGGCGAGTTTCAAAAGAACACCGGTCCTGTTGTACTCGCTCCGGTCTTGATTGATGTTGTCGAGGAAGAAGAACCGGACGGGCGTGCAGGCGGGTTAGACTCGGGCTTGCTGAAGGAGACAAACGTCTGCGACTGCGCTTGCATGGTGAAGGTATGTATGAATGGGGTATGAGGATGCAAGCTTATAAGGGAGTAGGTCGAGGCTTCGAAGATAATATTGAATTGCTTGAGACGGTGGGGATGGAGGGGCGGGTGTGAGCAACTTGGTGTAGGAAGAGAACATCAGTACGCTCTCCCTTTATAGACCATGAAGACGCGAATTGATAGGTTCGATTCCGGAAACAGCTCGTTTTGTTTGTGGAAAGCAGGACAAACTGCGCCCCCCGAGGTAATTACATTTACCAGATCGTTGGACATGGTACAGAGATTGCCTCAAGGTTGATTCGAATTTACAGTGCGATGCCAGTGAGAAAGGAATACTGGTGCGAATAGATCGAGATTATGATCGGGCCTTGCCGAGTCGATTCATTGACGGCTCGCCACGTGGAGTCCGCTGAAGCGATATCTCCTCAACTTGGGCAACTTGGGCGGGTTTCACGATTTTAATCCGTCTGCTGATCGCCACACAGGTAAGCTGTACTATACGGAAACATATGTTTATCTTTCTCGGACAACAGTTGTTATTGAACCTATGCAGCCGCTCTAAAGTCGAAACACGGCATGTGAAACTTGCCAGCACTAGGTACGTTATCCCTATTTGAAACGTTCTGAGTTGTGCCTCCCCCCCACCCCCAAAGTGTCCACATCATTCCTTGTAGTTCGCCAGGCGGGAGATTATAAATCTCCTTCCTTCAGGGAAAGTTGATCTTCAGTCCATCGTTTTAGCTTGTGTTGCAATCCACGATCACCCGCGACCCTTTTCCTCAAACGTTTCTTTTTATTGCAACATGTCGAGAAAATCTCAGTCATCAACTATGCGCGGCGGATTTTCTCAACCTAGTCTTTCCCTCCGAAGATTTACGGTCTCACAGCACCCGTGTTCGATCTTGGACATTCTGGCAGCGGACTTTGCCGCACGAGGACGAGATGCTCTTCTCTCCGCCAGGTGAAATATGCATAGAATTCGGTCTGGCTTCATAGCAGTTCCTGAAGGCTAGTATGGAGTGGATCATTGCTTGTCCTTCCTCCTTCCGGTTTCGTCTTATCCATCCTTGTCTCAAGAAGCACGGGGACACTAACCCACGAGCTGTCGTAGGTTATCTCGTGGGAGGACCGGACGCAAGATCAAGGGTCTTCCTTTGAATAGAATGACTTGGCACAGAAACTTGGGATCCCTTGGAATAGCGCGCGGATGATCGATACTGTCTTTTATTGCTGGTCCGATCCGAACCCGTATGTTCCTTCCTGCTGGCGTATTTTACAGTTCTTGTTCCAAATATGTACATCGTCTTTGGTTGTACCATACGGCTCGTCCTCAAGTGGAACTGTGTAGGACGAAGCTTCACACAACTTCTGCTATAATCTTCCCGCTATAGGTTATTAGGGTTAAGAGATGGCCATACATCTGACGGTGGTAGCGGGGCAGACATACCTATTCTTATTCGCCTCCATTTCACGGTGTGCTTCCTGTATCTCCGTCCAGGGGTAAACCTTCGGAAGTAGGATGTATTCATTGACCAGCTCAACAAACAAGATCCGATTTCGGACGAACCTTATGGATGTAAGTGCGAACTTTCCCTGCACCCTCGCTGCCTGTAATGTGAGGGAGAATGTTCTCTTCGAACCTACGTGACCCGCGTGAGTTCCAATTCTATAAGAGAGGCGAAGGAACTAGAACAGGCCAAGTGCCAAGGAAATTTACTTCTTAATGAGATCCGCCTGGTATTGTTTAGAGCGACTGCGTAAGGTAGACCCTTGTATACGGAGTCTTTTGAACAGAATTGGAAGCAAATTGAAGGAAGGAACCTCGGCACCTAGATTGGTCACCATTGGTTTTAAAAAAAGTATTTCTGGTACAGTACACGCTCACTTACCGCTCAGAAAGGCAAGTAGCGTCATTCTGCCATCTACGGCAAGAGAATCGATGTTCTTGTGCCAGTGGCTTTGGCCGACGAAATCAATGACTACGTCCACACCTTTGCCCTCGGTAACTTTCTTGACTTCTGCCGCGAAATCTTGAGTCTTATAGTTAGCTGTGTGCGTAGCTCCGCTTGGAAGTGATCGGAGCCAATTGAGCTTGTCGCTAGTGGATGCCGTCGCAATGACATGTTTCCTGCATGAGATAATCTATAAGCTGAAGCGCACACAGAAAGCTTTCGTCAGTCCACTTACGCGTGATGGAGCCGAGCAAGCTGTATTGCAGCTACACCAACTCCAGACGCCCCAGCGTGAACAAGGACATCTTCGCCCTCCTTCATTTCACCCACGAGAATAAGAGCCTGGTATGCTACATGGTAGATGAGTATGTATAACGTCACTTTCATCGGCGGCGCTCAATCAACCGACCGGTCAAGAAATTCTCAGGAAGGCTAGCGGCTTCAACCCATGATAGGTGACCTGGTTTCTTCAAGACATTTGTCTCGGGGACAACTATGAATTCTGCATATGCCCCCTTTGTGACCGCAAATGTCATAAATACACAAGAACGGTCGAAGAGAGAAATGCAACATACCCCGCCAGCGAGGCCGAAGACTTCGTCGCCGATCGTCCACCGTTCTACACTGTTGCCAATGTCGACAACATGTCCGGAGAACTCCACACCCAGAATGTCCGAAATCCCAGGGGGAGGAGGGTAACGACCCTCACGTTGACTTACATCCATTCGGTTCAGGCCGAATGCCTTGATCTTAGAGATATGGTGTCAGATCCACGCAGGATCAAAGCAATGTATCAAAGTCACCTTGACCAACACCTCATCTGCCTTGGGAGTCGGCTTGTCGGCCTCACCGATGTACAAGTTCTCAATGGGCCCTTTACCATCTTTGATTAGGACAGCTTGCATAGATGACATTGTTATTGATGCCTTGCAGTACAGTATATGGGCGCGCCAAGAAGCAGTGAGGGGAAATCCAAGCTGAAAACACAACGTACCTGGAGAATTCAAATACTGATCAACGGTAGTCGACGGTTTTACATGATTAGAAAGCTGATTAGACATCGGGAACGATCGAGAAGGAATGGCGTCATCTCTACAGACTGTACATGAACAGGTTGTCCATTTGCGGGCACTCATGTCACGATAATTAAGGAATATCCTGCCATACAGGGATCGACGCGCGCGTACGAAGGTCTGCTGGACAAGCATATCCTTTGATTTCTCTATGGATTAAAATAAAGAAAATCATGTCCAGGAATTCGACAGTGATCTGCCATGATGTGGATGACGATATCTCCGCATCCTTATCCATAGTAGAACAGTATGTTGCAGATGTACCTCTTCATAACTGTGAAAAGCACGCGTGTGCGCCAAGCTTTGACATGGTAAGCAGCGATGGAACTAAGGTGGCAAAAAGCGGAGAAATGGTGGCTGCAATGTTGCTGTACAATTGAATAGGAATATAACTGAAACATAAGCAGTGCATCGTGGCGTACCTGGAGCGCAGACAGATCGATCGTGTCTATCAGTCACACCTCATCAAACAAAGGGATATTTGTCGTTTGAGGGGTGAAACTTTCGTTGGTTGATGAGCCCGTTCGGGCACACAATTACTGTAGGTGTACACATCTTCACATCCTTTCATTAGTGTGGCCTTTAACCACGGAGGTAAAGATGAGTGGTGATCGGACTACAAATGATATGGCAAATGGAAACCCACTAGATAAACAAGCCCGAAAAGTCTTCAGCAGATCTTTGACTGCGACTACATCGGAGTCTGTTCAGCATGGAGGTTGCGTAGGAACCGCGCGTCCATGGGCTAGCATCAGGATCGACGGTTGCAGATATCTCCGGTAGGAATAGCAGAAACGTGTGATGAGATAGGATGAGTTCAGTGTGAGTGACGGCGTCATCCTGGATGGTATTGTGAATCTGCGTCAACATATTGAGGCTCATTAACGCTCCGAGACATCTAGATATCCTCGGTCGCTTCATAAGAAACACGACAGCTCCGGCGCTCTGAGACACTTTGTTGGCCTTGCCAAGGAGGAAATGAGCTTCTGCCAGAGCAAGTGAGAGGGTCAATGGAGGGATAGCTCAAGAGCTGTACTCACCAATGTCACTTCTTGAACATCTGTTCCGAAATACTGAGGAAGAAGCTTTATTTACGCCTCCGAGATGTCGGGTTGGAGTCGACTTCCTCCCTCGAACTCATCGTCAGCGCCATAGGAACTTCCGCCACAACATATATGTACAGGTTCTGAAGTTCTGAGCAGGAGCTCATCATCGAGTGACGGCACCATTGAACCGGCCCTTCCCGAGAACGTGGATCAATTCACAGGCTCGATTCGTTGCATTAATTGGACCGTCTATCGCAGGCTTTACAACTTCAATGACAAGGCTTGCTTCCAGCTATATACGGTACTTCTGGCATACCTTCTGACGTGGGTGTATGCCGATACTGACGATGAGTGCATCTGACTATACGGCGTTTCCATACCAGTAACGCTGAGGATATTGATGCCGTTCGACATGGGCATTACCTCTCCCATGGGTCGGTACGCTTCTCCGAATAGCTTGACGGATCCCCTCTTGGAAGCGTTTGGGTGGCATAGTGCCCACGATTGCCGCTCATTAACACATTGTCTGACAGGGCAAAGCGTCAGTTCGAAGGCATCAAAGCAGATGATGGCTCTGCATGGGTCGCCAATGCTCGGAGGTTACTTATAGACTGACTCCATGCTATAAAGCATACTTGACAGGACGTGGATCAACACCTTTGCATTGCCGACTTTCCCCCACTGTCTCTCATTCAGGTCTTTTTATCTAGGATATCTATCTTATTCATTCTCATTATTCTCCTGCCTATCACTAATCCAATCAGCCAATCCATCTTACACCACGCTACTGCATCCTCGCAATATAGAATATGAGCCCATACGCCAACCATACCTCCATCATCTCTACCACCATATTCCACAACCATTCCACCCTGAGTGCAGCGAAGAGCAACTACACTCAAGCCGTTACCTTCACCCATGCGTCTTCCACTATCGCACCCGCTGCTTCGCGCTCTCGCCGTCAGTCAATGACTCGATCGGCTGCACGTAACAATGTAATAAAAGCGAACGCTCTCGCTGCGTCGCCAATCTTCTTCTAATTTGCGGTATTCATACTTGGTATGTGTCTCAATGTGTGCTGTCTTTGATTGCGATTCACTAAGACTTGTTTCGATTGATTCGTTAGGATATCAATTCTCATTTGAAGCTAGTCATTCCAGCACTGGCATGCCGGCCAGAGCCCTCTGGTTGATATTTTCTGGATGCTTGCATGTTATTGGAGGCCAATGATTGGTCCCCCATTGGGCTCTCACTCGAGACCTGACCTATTTGGGAGAATTGTACAAAAACAAAGAGTGGTTCCTAGTCCCACCGACCACTCTCGTGATGCGATTCAAAGTTTCGCGTTCGTAACTTATTCTGTCTGTCATCTTTAATGCTTCCTAGTCTGTACTTCTAATTCAAGTCATGGCACTATGACTAGCCACTGATATCCCCTTGTAATCTCCATTTCGTTTAGTTCTCCTCTCGTTCTAGTGTCTACTTTCGTTCTGCAGTGCTCGAGTACCGAGTACCGATCATATGCATAGTCACCAACGCGATCGGTCACACAGTGACAAAACAGCAACACGCGTCAGATGGTACTAAGTACTTAGTGGTAGCCAACGGCTACTGTCCAAACACGCACTCACTGCTCAGCAGCCTCATGTCTTGCAACGTCTGCTCGAAGAATGGAACATTTACTTGTTCGGTGTGCAAGATAACGCGGTACTGCTCGTAAGTCCGGACCCTCCTTATTTGAAATCCTATTCGTGGCTGCTGCTTGACCATAATTGGACTAAAGGCACGAATGTCAAAGAGCTGACTGGATGAACCATAAGATTGAATGCAAAGAAAACCTGGTCAACGTGATAAACGTGATGGCGAACCTCAGACAGCCTACAGGCCGTGGGACCGGATCTGCCACAGAATGCAGCGGCTGCAGTCGGCGATTCGACGCCAGCGATTCACGTCAGGGCCAGGTCTGCAAGGACTGTGGTTATCGAGCATGCGAAAGTTGCTCTGTACATCATTCTCGGGGTATGCCATACGTTTCTCTTCTCATATACGATTGGACCGATTACTGAGGACGTTGTAGGTACTTGTCGGTGTTACAAGGCTAATTTCGGTCAACCGTATTGCACCATGGAACCGCGAACGTACCAGGGGAGCAAGAGCTCAATGTACAGAGGCGACCGACATCCTAAAGGGGTTTATCCAGAAGACGCATATGAATCCAAGTCAAGGGTCTGCCAGAATTGTGGCCAGGCCAAGAAGATGGTCAAGAAAGAATACCTGTACCCCGGGTTTGATTTTTCGAAGAAATCACCGTCTCGCTTGCCCTTGTTGGGTATATGTGTGATGGTACTTATCGTCTGGTATTTCTTTGTATGAAAGCGTTTGCAAACATAATCATGCATGAGAACACTGAACCTGCTTATTTACTCATTATGTGGGTACATGGTCAGATAATGCTGAATATGAGACATGAACATAATTTGAGTAGTGCTTGATGATTTCTTCTCTTCTTCTTGGATCTCTGCTAAAACACACCAACGGTGCTAATATGAAATCTTCGGATCCCGCAACGAGCCTACCGCTGTAGGCCGGAGATGGGTTACAGTTCGATAGAGGGAAAGGAACATGGAAGGGGAGAGTTTCCATGTCACCGCGCTCCGATGTGGAATGAAAAGAGGATCTTGTCTCCACGATCATTTCGGAATGCTAAGTTTAGAATCGCGACAAAACAACGGAAGAAGGCGAGATGGTTGAATGTAGCCCAGTTCCAGATACAAGGTCATGCTGTATCATGCAAGCATTTCAAGAGGGAACATGCGCCGGAGTAGTGCCACGCGAGGGGATAAGCAATCTGGAGGCGAGACGGCGATAATATGGGATTTCATAGTACGCTCAAAGGTGTACGGACCTGGAAAGAACGATGTGATGGGTCAAAACCAGTGTGTACATGCATCAAGCCAATGCATTCTCGCTCATCAATCTGACGAGCTCCAGGGATATCATGTTGCGCTAGATGTTGAAAAAAGGGTTGGAAATCAGACCAGAATCAACATGATGGTACACACATAGTATTACTGTTTCGGGCTTTCAGGGTCTTGCTGCTGACATCGCAAACTGGAGGATGGGAGATGAATATAGATTGGGCTACCGTGATTTCCAGACCCAGTGCTCAAGCAACCATCAGATAGAGACATCCTGAGGTACGAAAGTTGAACCTCTGTCTACGCTGCACGTGGGAGACTAAAGCAACCGTGACTTTGAATTGATCTGTGGCTATCAATAGGGTTGCTCAAAGTGCTAAGTGTTCGGTAAGTACTTGCCCCTCGATAGGTAATAATAGCTAGGATGGTCTTGCCGTCATTGGGTGTCTCAATTGTACTGTAGATGGCCTCCGAACGGCAAGGACTCAAGCTTGAGTCCTTACTTATTTTGTGCATATGCTATCTGCGATAAGAAATCGACGTTTGAGTCTTGACATACTCGTCCAACGCTTACTGTTCAATTGTTAGTGCAAGGAGCCGAGGAAGAGGCCGAAGGTAAACCAAGTATTAAAGGGAGTGACAGCATGTATACAAAGCATATAAAGGTTTGTAACAGACCTGTAGGAGACGTACAAAGGAGACTACAAAGGTTACTTGCAGAGTTTGTATTGGTGTGACGGGACTGTGACAGCACTGTGCGCCTTGGCACGCTACCGCCATCTCCTCCAACTTCCGCCTTTCGTTTACCTCATAATCAGCACCGTTTCGTCTTTCTTAATCATTCGTTCTGGCTGCCTATAGTTTGGCAGTCGTTTATGGCCCTTACTGCCACTGTTCAGTCCGTTTATCCCCCGGAACGCACTTGGGATGAAGTTATCGTGCCTACTCTCCGGAAACGTATGGAATCCTGTGTCATTGACATTGATCAATTGACCTATTGTGCATGTAGGCCTGGAAGATGAGAGCCATGTGCTGTCAAAACGGATGTCTGCCGCATCCATGGCATCTCTCGAGGACAGGCATCCGTTAGACTCATATCAAGCCAATATGGTGTATGTCTCCCGAGAGAAGACTGTATCTCCCGTATCCCAATACCCTAAACCAAGTGCAATACCGAGACCTAGCCTCTCACACTCTAGGACGGACACCTCAAGCTCAAGTTTCGAACGATCGTCTCGGTCGGGATCCTTCAACCGAGCCCGTACGATTTCTCAACCCCAGCCGTTTGAACCTTCTGCACCGACCACTAGTTCTCCTTTACTTCCACCAGTTAGACCGCCTTCGTCGAGATCGAATTCACCTATGAATTCTATGAAGGCAACCCGTATCCCGATTTCACGCGGTCGTACGGGTAGCACATCAAGCTACCAGCCCTCTATCAACGGTAACATGGCAAAGTCCGAAAGCAGGACGACTCTTTCAAAGTATAACGGGCACAATGCAGAGCCTTCCGCCGAGCTCTGGCCCGTAGATGAAAGACAGCCGCACTCGTCGGTGAACTCACGTTCTACCTTGCGAACTCCTCGCTCTCAGCATTCGCAAATTGCCAATGAAAATGCACCCTTTAGCCAAAGTTCCTTGTCCTCTCGTAGCGGTTACGATTACGACGTGACACCGGCACGTCCGTCAATAGATTCTGAAGAGGCTCCGTTCGAACATTGGTATCGGGGAGACATCTCAAGGAATGGCGGCGTTGGCGAGCTGCGTGTTGCACGGAAGCAGGAGATGCTGGACATTGCAAACTATGGACACACTCTTCGTCAAGCAAGTCCTCGAGTCATCATTGGTTCATCTTCTAGGTCACGGTCGACTTCCAGAGGACGTGAGAATCACCAAAGAACGAGAGCACGGACAGGTAGTTTTGATGGTAACAGAGAGAGCATCTACATTAGTGATGAGCATACAAGGGTCGGCACGATGGTACTTGACGAGCAGCCATTGACGGACATAGATACGGACGTGGATGCAAGTATGGAGATGACGGACGAGGATGCGAACGAACGACTACAGTATACTCCGCGGACAAATGGCACATATTCACCTCCCATGCGCAGTGAGACTCCGACAAGTACGAGGGATCTTTCGAACTTCAGGAGTCGAATACCTACGCCTACGCCAAAAGTCATTTCAGAACCTCCTCGAACTCCCACCCCTACCCAAGCTCTCCGCGGTGCATCTGAACCTCCACCTTCCACGTCCACGTCCTCCCCTCCTACACCCCGCAAGTCTGCTATGTCGCAGTCTCAGTCTCAGCCAGGCACGACCTCACAGGGACAGTCGAACAAACGGAGGGGGAAGAGTCCGGGTCCTGCCCTGAATGGAACTGCAGCAAAGAAGACGAAGACGTCGAAATCTCCTGCAAGGTCGCCACCGAAGAAGACGCAGCGAGACATGGATGTCCGGCGATCGATATCCCAATATCCAAACCCTGAAGGCGATGATGTGGTAGATGCTATACCCTCATGGACCCAACCTATACCTGCTTCTGGGAATTGGGATGACGTATGTCAATGAATTACTCTCTTCTCAATTTTATGCTGACACGTGTTTTTGTAGGTTGTGCTCCCGGTGGTAGCGCGCAAAAAGGGTTTGGATGGACATTATGCCCATGCTGATGGCAGCCCGAAACCGAAACCGCCTACAGAAACGGTCTACGAGCCTGTGCGTCCTTTTCCTCCTCAGACTTGTTTCACATGTTTAGTTTAATGATGATATTTCGTACCAGGCGCCTGGTACATTCGGCTTTGACTACTCGAAGTACAGACCACCGAGAACCGATACCAGTCCCAACGAGATCCCTATGGATGAATTTGGTCAACGGAAGGAACCTGTACAGGAACAACCTTCTGAACAACTGCGGATGGCGCTCTCCCCTTCTCCCATATCTCCCGCATCCGCTGCTGGTGTGGATCGTAGTCGCTCAAGAGCCGAATCTCCCGCTCCGTTCTCGCATTACGCTGCTCCGGAGAAGCCTGATGGTATTCCTCGACTCGAGGCATCCCGATCTCCCGCAGAGCAGCCGGCAAACTTTCCGGTCGAAGAAGAGACTAGTGGAGGTTGCTGCAAGTGTATTATTATGTGACGATCGCTGCACCCATTCTTCGGCGCATTTCCCTCTGGTATTTCTGTGGTTGGTTGTACGTTATGCTTTTTTGGATGTTTACATCTTTGTCCCGTTCTAACTTCTCCCCTGCACACGCGAAGTCCCTTGGATTTCCGTTCCCCCTCACCCTACGTTGCTAGGGCCCTCACTCTCATTTTGAGCTTGTTTGCGTTCGTCGCTCTCCTCCCTCACCGGCCATTTGATCCCTTCTTCATTTCACTTCAAACCATACCTTACTGTACCATTCTCGATTATTATAGCTGGATCGCTTTCCTTTCCTCTCACGCTCGCCCACTTATCATTCGGTTTCAGCACCCGTTTTCATGGCTGACTCGCGCTATTACCCTCTCATACCCGACACCTGGCATTATTCCCAACGGTTTTTAACTCCATACCCTCAGTATAGCATTGCATTTGAATTTCCGCTGCTTGTAATGGTGACTTGGTTTCATGGGGCTGCATGATCAATCAGTCATGACGCTCTCTTTGTCGCCTTCCATAACCGCTTGTATTCGCATCTGCATCGAGCCTTGTGTTGTAGCATGTCCTGATCCGCAGACTGCGACGCTAGACGCATTGAACTCCATACTAAACGTTACATAAACACTTGATAGATATATTGCCAGGACATTGTACTAGGGTTGGAACCGAACCGAATATAGGATGTCGTTTAGCTAATTCATGTACGTCCAGTACATCCGGATGGCAGCATTGCATGTTTCACCCGACCAAGCATCATTGCAACAATATCGCCTGTGTCTATCTTGAGGTCTACAATGGCGGCGGTGTGCTTGAACCTGGAACGGGAGGCTCTCTGAGGGCAAATCTTGTCGTGAATTATCTAAATGCTTGCGATAGTAAGATCGATATAGTGGGATGACTTTAATCTCCGTCAAATTCCTTGCTTGCGAACGTCTTTAGAATGAAGCTTGTCCTACAGCGAGGTGTCCAAGCAAAATGTCATTGCATGCGAACATGGGCAAGACATAAGCGAAGTACGTCTGTAGCATAAATATCGAATCCACGTTCACCATGGTAAGAAGCAACCACCCGCAATGACCTCGAACAACAGCCCCGGCAGCGACCATGCTATCTCACAAGCGTCCGTTGACGTCTACTTGAGGTTTCTTCTTGGATCCACGTTGTGGTACTTCACAGAGCGTTCCATCCACGTATTTCTCAAGCGATTTTATCCAGAGGCATATCAGCACATAGTCACCCATAGCAAGATCGTGGTCTTCGTGGCGTTGTGTATGGCGAGTATAGTCACCACGATAACGGCACCGATCTGCTTGACGGCATTTCTGACATCCTCCGGGCCTCTAAACTTCGCGTCCCCAGGTGCGGCGGAGTACTGCTTGGGTAGTCGTGGGCTATTATGGACGCAGGAGCTCTTCCGTCTTGGGAACAGTAGTGAGGTGCTCAAGCATCATACGCTCGCACTGCTCTCATTAGGTTACGTGTTGAAGAACAAAATCCCTGCGAAAGGATTATACGGATTGTACGCCAGCCTGATTACAGAGGTGGGGTTTAAGGTGGTTTGGATATTTGGCGCTCTAGGAAACACCATCGAGACTTCACTTTGGGCCAGAAGGATAGAAACGATGGCTGTGGCGCTGCTGTTGCCAGTCCGATGGCCCACTGTCCTAGCAGCGATGTGGGAGGTCGTGATGATGCCAGCGGGGGCGGCAACGTTCGCCCAGAAGGTCGTCTGTTTGGCTTCCATAGCCGTGTATGCGACGTATTTCACAACATCGTTTGTGCGGAGGGTGAAGAAACTTGGCCTGATATCAGGCAGCTGGTTCAAGCCTGGGTTCATCGGAGTGGGTAGATTGCGCATGTCAATCTACGGACTATGTGTCAGCCTTGGATTCCTTCCTTCCTTCGCAGGGGTGGTCTACCTGCATGACCATTTCTCATCCCAATCCAAGCTCGCACAAGATCTCCTCCACTACGATGTCCTTGGGAATATCCTCCTTCGCGGTACCATTGCATCCATCGTCGGATCGTGGTCAATGGCTTTGATATGTGACGCAGTGTCCAAGCACGATAGCGTCGAACTATCCATTTCGAGTCTGCTCTTGCGACGGTTCTATGTCCAAGGTGCTGTCATTGGGGGCGGGCTAGCAGTATGGATTAGTCCGGAATTAGGACAACACACCAAAGTCGACTTGTTGGCCTCGATCGCAGTCGTATTGCCACTCTATGAGGCGATAGGGCGTATAGGTTGCCACTTTGCAGGATGCTGCCATGGGATCCTTTGGTCGAATTTCGAGAATACACATCCACGAATCGCCCGAATCATCAAGCCCTACACGCCCACGGTGACCTACATAGCCGCTGACAATACTGCGACTCGAAAAACACCCCTGCTGAAGGGTCAATCGCTGATCGCCGTGCAGTTGGCTATGGCCATAGCATATGCCGCATCTGCAGTCATCGTTATGGTTTTGCTGGGCAGCCACGTCGTTGGACTGGTTGAGGCCGGAACCATATCTATGCTGCTACATGGAAGCGTGCGCATTTTGGCGGAATGTGTGCGAGGAGACGATCGCGCGTTGATGTCTACGAGGATAGCAGGTGGAGGAAAGGGGCACCCGAAGGGGATTACCGTCTCCCTGCCCATGCTCTTTAGCCTCATGGAGGTGGGGCTTGCAACAGCATTGCTGCTAAGTGGATGTGAAATGAAGGGAGGGGAAGAAGCAACTGTTAGCGTCATTTTCGCAAACAAACCCGAGGGACTTGGTTTTTTGGTCAATGTGGCCCTGTCCATCGTCAGTTTATGCATCTGCTACGGATTGAGCTATTCATCACCTTGATTCTGTCCGTTGAGGACGTAAGATACCTATTATATACACCGCATCTAATGCGCCTCGGCTTGTCATTTAATTTTACGATACAATTAATTTCAGGATACAAAACTTGACATACAAAGCTTTGCTGTCTCATGGATAACGATCAGTGCACATATCCAACAGATACGGAGGAGACCTAAAACGTACCCGAGGAGCACATATTCTGCATATCAGAGTGAGTGACAAAAACGAAAACGTTCGTCCGCACCCATTAGGAATGAGTAGCAGAGAGTAGAAGATACACAGCTCCTCAATTGCCAAGGACAAAGGTGACAAAGGGATACCTTCCTGGGAAGCCTGTCAACAGAGTCATGTTTATAGCCTGCGGAGATATATCAACGTCTCAGTAAAGATCAGGTCTAAATATACAATCAAGCAAAGGATCCGCATCTGTCCACGACATTGTAATCCCCACCGGTCGATAACAACCCATCAGGATCCACACGAACTTCATCCGTCTTGAACGTCACCTCCACGGTATATACCCCAACACCATTACCGTCCGCATCATCTATTTCAACATGTGTCTTATCCTTGAAATCATCAAGGATGGCGCCATTCTTGAACCAAACAATTGAATAGCTTTCGTGTAGCTTCTCCGCCAGAAATGATTCGCCCGGATTACGGAATTGAGCGAGAGGGACAAGTCTGAGGTCAAGGGTACGTTTCCATGATGTAGGGTAGCCTGGAATGATTTCACAGCCGGAAACGACGTCATCGATGAAGTCGACTCTACGGAGGAGTGAAAGCCAGAGACCTTCGAGGCAGGCTTTGCATAAGTTGGGAGTGGTGACAATGCGCATCAAACAATCCTCGTTCGTCGGACGATATGTCGTAGTGTTTGTTTCCGAAAAGCTGGTGAAAAATAATGTAAGTCCCAATATCAGATACTGTCCATATCAGCCTTACGTTGGGAATATGCCATAATATCCGGGAGTTGCAACAAACCTAAACAGAATGGACAGTCAGATCTTCACCCGTGCCTGCGATGCTATTTATATTCACTCGTCATCGGTACCAAACTCAAGCACTTCAGTGCTACAGAGCTGCGCTGTGCCTTCCCTGTCTTGATTCTTCAACTCGAATTTCACTTCGTGTTCGCCATCATTTAGAGTGATGTTCCTGTGTACGTCATAATGCCAGCGATCCACGCCAATGTCCTGCCTAGGCGTCCATCCAAGATTCTTTCCGTCGATGGTGACAATGAGATCAGAAGCGTTTGGCAATCCTGAAAGCGAGAATCGAACGAGGTGTCTGGCGTATTGGCCTGAGGAATTGAACTTGATACTCCAGGCAGCACTAGTATTGAGCATGGTCCAAGGGTATGCTTGCATTGGCATGATCGAACGTTCAACGCGAACGTCTTCGTGCGAATGGGACGAGTGTGTGTCGGGGTTACTGAGCCAATGAGCCCATGGAACGGGTTCAGACGGGTCATGAGCGGCATTTACACCGTAGTAGGCGAAACCACCGTCGTACTCCTCGCCTACATTGATGATGGAATGACCTAATTCGTGTCTAAGAAAGCAGCGAGATTCCTAAATGGAACGCTTCGCAATGTTTATCAGGACATACCTTAATACCAAAGCGCCGTTGGCTAGGGAAGGCGTAATGACACTGCGTGATAAGAAAAATTAACTGTTGATATGGTGCACACTGGAGACATAACCTACGTGAATTCTCCTCCAAGCCCTGACACGGCGGGTTTTAGAAGGGACGGAGCCGAGAAATAGGGATTGACGCACCTCCGTACAGGGGGTCATTCCCTAACCGTTAAGGAGTCAGTCAGCCAAATGATGACCGAATAGATGGCTGAGCATACCCATCAAAATTGGATAATCGCACTGATCACCCATAGACAAACATGCAGCTGTGGGGCAAATAAATACACGTGCAGTATTATAGCACAACAGCCGAAGCTTGCCTCGTGCCACCTCAGGTTTGCTGTAGTAAACACCACGAAGCTCGGTTCCATCACGGTAGAGGCCGTATGTCGTGCTAGAAATACTTGTTAGACAGCGTGTCCCCCAGTAGAACCATAGCATGATATACTTCTTGGGCTTGCCACCCACCCCGATCCCACTCTACAAGTCCCGGGTCAGAAGAGCTCGGACATTCTACACCTGCACGCACCTGGTTACTAGGCGTGAAAGCAGCCCAAAAATTGAGCAACGGTTTGACAGTGTTGAACGTTTGATTATTGGAAATGTCGTCAGCAAGCCGTTTTGCATCATTTATGAATTTTGCCTTCTCCTCGATGGTATCTATTACATTAGAGTATATATTTGACGGACATCTAGAAACACGTCAAACTCACAGCCGTCAGAGAAGAAAACCAGGTCCACACGATTGCTTTCGGAGCCGGACTGCAGAAGCGGCTCTATGTCGAGTTTGGGTGTCGGAGAGGGCAGAGCTTGGTCTGACTTAGAAGGAGTAGCGAGAATATTTTGTGCAGACGTCTCAATAAAATGAGCCGACAAATCGTCCACATTAATAGGTATGTCCGGGTCGACGAAGCCTTCACATAGCATGTACGCTTGTGACCAGATATTCTCCCTGTCGGAAGCTATAATGCTTAGTACCTGGTCTCCAAAAACGGCAGGAAGTTTGGAAACACGACTGGATTCCCCCGTAAGACCTCGGTAGACCTGAGTGTGCCTTAAGGCAAGGACTGAACACGTTCCCCCTTCGATACGTCGCTTGAGGAGAAGCTCAACAGGTCTTTCATTGGAAGGCAGAAAATCAGCATTTGAGAGAAGAGAAACATAAAGACACAACAAGATGATAGAGAAAGTGCGCGTCATGGTGGTCGTTTGCTATGAAGCATGGGAACCTCCTCCCTTTGAGCACATGTCCGTGTATGCTCAGCAGAAGTTCAGGAAGCACTCCACGCAGCGGACCGCATAGCTATATCTCATGATCGAAAGCATATATGGTCGTAGATAGAAATAAGACGAAAATCTGAGCGGTGAACCTGACCGAATTTCTTGCAGCCGGACTTTGCATCGCTCAGGCTCAGAGCGCGAAGAGAACCAATTCGGTAGATGCCGAAGCAAACCGATCCGATCCTCCAAGAAATTTCGCTGGTGAGGTGAAGTTAAGCCTGAGCTACATTGTCCTCTGCTTCGCTGCCTTCCCGTTCATAACCGTTGTTGCACTAATGGCAGTAACAGAGCTCATAGATGAGCATGTCTCAACAAAACAGTGCGATCTTGCCGTCAATGCACTCCTCAAACACGCGCAGAAGGCGCAGGAGAAAATGCAGGATTCAGAGCTTCTAGGCGGGAGAGAACAACACGTATGGCTAGTCGTAACGGTCAAGAAAATGCAGCAAGAGAAAAAGCTCAAGCCACGCAGGATGTATGCATCAGTCCTTTTCTCAGACGTGGGACTTTGCTCAGGAATGATATTTTCATACAGACCAATCGTTCATCCGTTGGTCGATCCGCGAACTTCGCCCATTTGCCTTATCACGAAAGACCCCCAGCGCGAGTACAAGAACTTGCTCGAGGAGAACAAAATTCGTTTCATCTCACGTGTCGTTGGTATTTCGAAACTGAAGGGCAAATTCAAGCCCTTCGAAGCTCGCAGACTGCTTCTGAAAGAGAACGGCCTCTTTCTGGCTGATGAGCGAGTAATACCGTTGCTCCCCGGTTTGTTAGGGAAGAAATTCTTCGATGCTAAAAAGTACGCCAATCATTGATGTTGACCCGTTGCTTGTTAACTGAGCATGTGCTCGTTAGGCAACCTATACCCGTCAAGCTCACTGCGAAGGATTTGAAAAGCGAGTTGGAGCGTGCTATCACGTCTACATACTTCCACCAAAATCAGGGTACCTGCGCGTACGTTTCGCTCACGACAATTTCAATTGCTACCTTTCTCATTACGACCTTTTGCTCACTTTAGCTCTGTTAAAATCGGCACCCTTGAACAAGAACCTGAACATGTCCTTGCCAACCTAAAAGCTGCTCTTCCCCATGTCATCAAAGCCGTTAAGGACGGTTGGGACAATATCCAAAGTCTGCACATCAAGACGAGTTCTTCCACCAGCCTGCCACTATGGTCATGCACACTTGGAGACGTTGAAGGTGGACGATGGGATGGCTTGACCGCTCCCGATGATGTTGTAATGAGCGAGGATGAGGAGAGTGATGGAGAAAGTGAGGATGAGATGGACGTTGAGGAAGAGAAGCCTGCGAAAAAGACCTTGGCAAAGGCGAAAGCGTCTGCGGAGGTGAAAGGAAAGAAACGAAGCGCCGACGACGAGGCCGTGGAAGACAAACCGAAGAAGAAGGTGAAAGCCGATGTTGTCAGTGTGAAGGAAGTCAAACCTGCTGCATCCGCGGAAGCTCCGTCAACAACGAGGAAACGCAAAGGTACAGTTTCTAAGCCTTCAGAATCTGTAGAGAAGTCGGGCGCTGCGGCTGCGGTTTCATCACCTGCTGAAGTGGCCGGAAAGAAGAAGCGAAAACAAAAGGCTACAACTGAGCCATCAGAAGCCTCTACTTCTTCGGTTCCTCCCCCTTCTGCACCTGTTGTAGCGGCTTCTGCACCTCTCACTGAACCCTCAGCTGCACCTGCGGACGGCCCTGCCAAGAAGAAGCGACGAAAGTCGCAAAACGCACCTTCCGATACACCTCCTGCCGACGCGATAGCATCAATAGAACCTGCAGCTGTTGTCAGTACTCCGGTCGCCGAAGTTGCCGCTCCGGAGAAGAAAAAGAGGAGAAAAGCAAAGGCACACTCCGAGGGTGCAGCTGGGGCAGCGCCTGCCCCAACGGAGCCCGCCTCAGAGCCCGCGACTACAGCTGTACCGGCTATTCCCACTGCGGTCAAGCAGAAAAAGCCACGAGTATCTGCAGTGGACTTCTTCGATGAGACGCAGGGAACGCCCGCTCAACCTCCCACCGTTGCGCCTCCACCTAATACTCCCGCAGATGGCCTTACCGCTGCTCCCACTGCTGCTCCCAACAAGAAGCGGCGAAAGTCCAAGGCGGGCGTTGAGAGCACACCTCTCACAACTGCCCTCAATAAGATCGCAGATGAAGCTGTGACGAAACCGGTCGAAGATGAGACGCCTGCAAAGAAACAGAGACGTAAAAAGCGCGCTTCTACTACCGCCAAACAAGCCGATGGAGAGGCCACAATACCTGCTGTTATTTCCGCGTCGCTGCCTTCCGCTGTGGAGACACCGTCAGAAGATGTGGCTGCTCCTGCTTCCTCCGATGTTAAGGAAAAGAAGAAGCGAAAGCACAAGAAGGCTGAAGCTGACGGTGCTACTCCGCCTGCCGACACTGTATCTGACACTCCCACCGCACAAGACGTCAAGCAGAAACGCAGTGCATCGGGCGCTGGGAAGAAGAAAGAGAAAGTAGCAAAGGGCAAACGTGGTGGTGGTGAGACTGCGAAGGAGAGTTTACTTGGAGTGAAGGGCTTAACAGCTTAGGTTTTCATTGTGTTCGTACCATATTGATCGTGATCCGTTATTCATGCCTTGTTCTTCACAATTACCGCGTTGTTACCGCCAGCAGTCGAAAGTAATAGAGTGACTGTCAAACGGACATGGTACGATATGGTAGAAGCGTTTCGTTTCATTATTTATTGCGAGCACTCAAAGTATTTAACATCACTGAGAAATGTCTCTATCCCATCGAATTCCTTCAAGGTCGAATAGACCGATACCAAGTGCTTTCAGAGTCTGCATGCGGTGTAGCCAGAAAGTTCGCTTCGCTAAATGCCTATAGTACCAGTGTTGAATCGGTCAGCACAATCCAACGGACTTTGCAAAAGGACTAACTCAGTCGACGGCCACTCCACATCAACATGAACTTCCTCTAAAGCGGGGAAGTTGGTTCGTCGGAGGTTTGATACAAACGAGTCCCATTGCAGGTCTGGTTTCTTAGCTGCAGGTCTTATATGTTAACGGCCCGTTAGATTGACATGATCTAAACCAATTATGTTGCCGATGAACGTACCGCACGAAATGGCATTCCGTGAGGATAATACATCTCAATGATGGGCAGCATCCATCCTCAGACATCAGTCTGTCCAACTGAGGCTGTCAATATGGTCAGTACGTTTGAAGCATCGCATGGCAGACAATCGTGACTTACTACACCATAAGCGCACTTCAACGTCTCCAGATTCGGAAGCAGATCAAGGATGCTTTTCGAACCATATTGGAGAGCTGGTGAGGAACGACTTCCATCCAGCTGGGCGGTCTTGATAGTACGGCCCCGAAAGTAAAGAAACCGCATAGCCTCTTCCGCCGCGTTCCTTTCATAGGTAATGTAGTGAAGATCAAGATGCACTTCCTCCAAGCAAGGCAAGCTGTCAAAGTAGTCAGAATCTCGGAAAGCTTACACAGGCCCATGCAATATACTCTGTGATTGCAAAGACGTCGAATGCCTGAGCTCCGAAGTTTCTGGTACCCAGCCTGCGCAATCGCGGGAACGATGATAGGACGGGTTTGACCATCAGTTCGACTTCCTTGTGCCCCTCCGAATCATAGCAACTAAGCTCCAGAGAACGTACGTTCTGAAACGACTCCCAGGCATCCGCTGGCAGTTGTGCCTGTTGACCTTCGTACGCATAAATTCTGCAAGGCAGAAAAAACAGATTCGATAACCTACCTTTTCTGACAGGTGCTGAAATGCAAGCCTTTATATGCTCGAGATTCAATGAGGATAACACAGGTATTATAGTCGCCGTCGATAGTACGTGTGGCGCATGGAAGACTCGCATTCGTCTAGAGAATTGGGGGTTTGATTGAAGGAGCCCACAGTACTTCTCAACCGACGATGGGGATCGAAAAATAGGCTTATCGAGAAGGAAAGGTTGCGCGAGTGTCTGTAAGGAATTTTAATGCATGATGACCCGAGGTGAATAGAAAGACCCTACCTTGAACTTCTTAGAAACAAGACACAGCGACGTACGAGTGACGTTGACTTTGTTCTTGATGGAGGCCTGCCACAATTCCGAGTTGAAATTTAGATCGTCAGGATGTTGCAAATGAGTTGCAAAAGCGAGGATTCGAGATAGCACCGAGTCTGGAAGCGCATCAGCAATACCTTCTGGAAAAGGGGGTGTACTGTTTTGCAGAAGGTATCAAGTATTGTACAATAACGAGGAGCAAAATTCCTCCATACTCTGGGATCTGATCAACTTGTAGTAAATCCAATGTCTTAACAGACACAGGGACATTGAAGTTCATTCCTTGATACCTTGACCCATCGAGTTCCCCTCTGAAACAGATAGAAACCAGGCTCTTTGACTGAGATGCAAATTTGTCGATATTCTCAATGACCGAGGCGAAATGAGACCAACGTTTCGGAGTTTTCAAAGATATGTTTCTTAGCGATTTTGACTTCCCCAACGACGACATAACACCTGAACGAAGGTAAAACGGATCATAGTCGCGGAAATGGACGGAGATCTGTTCATAAAGCAGGATTAATGAACTGAATGGCTGTCCACAACATTCACCCACCAGATTTGACCAAGTTGAAATACAGCTTCCAAGAGTCTGGTCAAGTTTGACAGCAGCTTTGCAGTTCGAGCGTCCATCACCAAACAACACAATCTGATTCGGATTGATGGAGGGTAACAGATGGAGGAGTCCGTCCACATTATCTCCTGCGAGTACCCCAACGTACAGATATAAGACTTGAATGCTTGAACCACATGCAGAAACAATAGTTTTCATGGCCAGCTGAAGGCCAAAGCCACTCTCCAGTCTAAGCTTGCGAACGTGTCTCCCAAGCGATGGGTCCTTCTTGAATGTAGCCGCAAAAGCCTTGACTTGTGCAGCAGTTCGCAAGGTCACAGTTTCGAAAAGTAGCGGGGTACCAACTTGCCACCAACGCTTTGCCACCAGTAACACATCAGATGCTGTTGAGTGTGGGCTGGTTACAAAGGAAAATTTGTCCTCATATGAGCAGAATTCTTCAATTGGAACAGAAAGTAATTCTCGCAAGATCTGCTGCAATAGTTCATCTGGGATGCGACGAGACATGGTGGGCCTGGGTGGCGTCGGAGGTTACCAAGTGAGCAAGGCCTGTCTCCTAGCAGAATGATCCTTGAGCTCACCCCCAAAAAAATCGGCAAGCCTAGCAGGACGAATAGAGCCTCAGGAGTCTTTCTAAGAGTCTTCAAACAGTACTTCGAGTACCCAATCGATAGTTGATGGCTACGGAGAACATAAAGAAGTTATAAGCGCCTAATCAATATTGAATGTACTAAGTAATACAGTGCCACTGGCAAGAGTTGCCGCTCGGATGTGGCATGGTTGGCTATACCGTCAAAACATGCCTGTATCGAACCAGGCTTAACCGCAGGTCGCTAGGTATATCAAAAGAAACGCGGGCGAAACATCAACATGGAGAGAAGGAAACCAACCAGTTGGAACGTGTGAACGGAAGCCCTGGAAGAACGCCATTGAAAGCGCACCCGGGTTTATGATACGGGTTACTACTGAGGAATAACAGAACGTACTGTACGTATCTTACATCGAATAGTAAGTAGTACAGCGACAGATAAGGGTATAAGTACACTAGACGAAGCGAATGGTCTGATAGCGAATAGCAAATACAAATTATACCACAGGATTCGGACCTCGATTCATGTTTTCCATCTCATGCCACTCTACTCTCTTGCTTTGCTGACCAATACTGCCTGGACGATCGCTATTATCTAGAGACGCAGAGCCATCGTCGTGAGTGACAAGTTCTTCAATAGTGACCGTAACTTCAGGATTGACAGTGCTGGTGACACCGTGATGCGAACGAGCGAAACGGAGATGCGAGTGATGCACATTAGAGGGTACAGAGTTTCTCTTGACGTCTGATATCATTCCGTTCATTCGACCCTGTTTCTTGAGGTGGAGCGTAATACGCGACATCATCGCCACTGTCAATCTATAGACAGAGTTTGTTATTCGGGTGAGTAGCTGTGGCATGAGGAAAGGTGAGAAGACGTACAAATATTCTAACCTGTGATCGATGTATACATGACATCAAAATCAGTACTCCGTAATCATGAGCGGTTGATGGAAGTGACTTACTGGGCCGTGATATTTTGAATGCCAGGAGGCGCAAGGGCGATCATGAGCGTGAGGACGAGATTAATAGAGAAGATAACACTACGGAGGCCATATAACAGTGTGGGCACATAGAGGACAGGTGACAGAGGTTGGGACTGCGCACCTGTAATATAACAAGCCGTCTCGAAGTAGAACTGTCATTATTTTTCCCGCAGCACGCCGGCGCACGGGTTGCAAGGTGCGTTTGAGAATGAAAGCAAGGACAATGGTATCGTAGAGCAAGGGTAACCAGGCAGACGCGGATGCAATGTCACCGCTGTCGATAACCATTATATGAGCGTGATTCAACCGAATATGACGCATACGCACAGTGAGGGGTCAAATATCATAGTGCAAGCTGCCGGAAATCGTTAGTAGGGAGTTGGGTAGTAGGAACGTGTTTAACATGCACCATGGATTCGAGAGTCGTGGATTACAGCTATCCGACCCATGACACGTTAGAGACGCCGATGGTATATTAGGTACGACATACCTTGCCCGTGTGAGAGCAGCCAGGCGTTGACGGCCAGTTCAGCGCAGAACACTATACCCACGATAGCTAGTACGACATAACGAGTAGGGTAGAGGGCATACACGCTAATACATGATCCGGCCATGAGTATGAATGACTGGTAGTAAATTATCAACGCACCGAAGGAACATCATGATAGCGGTTGTATTCAATCCGATTACAGTCATACTACCCTCATATCGGACGAATCTCTCGCATCTAGTTGCATGTCAAAGGGTGTTAGGCTTCCACAACCAATGATTGGGAGAGATGTGACGACTAACCTCTGACAAAATAGGACATGAGATGGTGTAAAACGTCAGAATGATGTCCTGACGTACCTCTTGGGTCCATGACGGTGAGAGATAAGCTGAAAGCGGCGTAAATTTACAGACAGATACAACGGAAGAATGAATATCACACCGAAGAGGTTAATGATAAAGCCCAGAGGCGTGAGGTAACGATTCTAAGTCGGTGTCAATCGACCGTCAATTTGAAATAGAAGTGAGTTGCGTGCAGACTTACGAGGAAGAATAGCCAAACAACTTTCGACCGGGACTCAGCATGTGATGAACGATCAGACAGAAGGATGACACGCACTGAAACTTTTCCTGCCCTTCCAAATGTACTCGACCTGGCTATCCACTTAATAATTATGTATGGCAGGGAACCGAGAACACTCACTTCATCTCCAAACGTAATGATATGTTCCCAAATGAGAATCATGAAGCTCACGAAACCCATATACTACAAAGGACGTGCATGAGATAGACTATAGCATAAATCAGAAGCACATAAGCACGAACCACTGTAACCCGACTGCGAGAAAAAGGGACAGAGTGTCAGATAGAAGAACGGTGCAATGAAATGATGCTCACGTCTCTCCGGTATCCACCACGAAGTTTGGAGCTGTGTCGCTGTGAGCCATATCGATAAAGTATCTAAACATCCACCGCACACTCGAGGGGGTTTTATGAGGATGTTCTTATGCCGCCAAGAATATTAATGTCTTCATCTGTGAATGAACAGTAACCGAGGATGGGGATCTTGGAAAAGGTGATGGTGACGGAGGACGTCTTTATGAACATGGCGTTCATAAGTGTGTTCTGAAGCGAAGCCCTCGAACTTTGTAACACAGGACTTAGCTCCAACCAGGCGCACGCCGGTTCCTCGCATTTTTCCTCCGAGAACATGAAATTTACGATCAGTAACGCCGTCATTCGTTGGACGCCACCGACGGAGCGGTCCTGATCAGGGGAGTCACGCGGGGTGGTTGTGGGGAAACAGGGTAGGCGCCCTTTATCCCTCGGAGCCCAAACCTTTCTGGGTGTGATATCCATCCTATACAACAACCCGTTTGAGCAGATTACATGTTCTGCGTCGCTGGACGCAACGCTATCTCTCAAGGTGAAGAATAGGCCATTCATGAGTCCGATAGATTGCATAGCGTAAATACCATAAACATACACATAATGTACACACAGTCCGGCCTTCTTCAGAGTAACCATGCCAAATATACTGTCCAGACCCAAGGAACCCCAGTTGCGGCGCTCAGGGTTCATGACAGAATCTAAACCAACGAACAGTCAACAAATCATAGGTATTCCAGTCGAACAACGAGCTATAATGAACAGGATACGTACTGCCAAGAGGACTACCGCAATGACGATCACAAGAACGACCATCAGACACAACGCTCTTCGTCCTGCCTTTCGCTGATATTCGTGGGCAGTGGTAAGCTCTTCGGCAGCACCGGCAGTGTCAACCGCTATTGATGAGATGTTGGACTCGATATTGTCTGTGAAGCTACGAGTCAGGGACATTCTATGGAGCTACGTTCATTTCGCGCCACGTACCCAGCATTCCTCCCTGCTCCTGCACTAGTGTCCCCAAATCGCGGAAAATTTCCGACAGCTCGTGAATGCCAGTCTCAATTTCCCGGATTTCCTCTTCCCGTTCTTGGATAAGAGATTCCTGGTATGCAAGCTCTTGAGGCGACAGCTGTGTCTGTAAAATCTGTGCCTGTCGTTGCGACGGCGTTGGACTTGACGGCCGCTCCTCCCTATGATGGATTCATCATTCAAAAAATCAAAACCTTCCTTAGCTCTGCACAGAGGATACTCACGGTGCTTGTTCCTCTTCTACTGCGATCTTCACGCCCTCTACAACAGTTCGTTGCCTCTCAGCGCTTACCTGTTGAGCGCGTTGAAAGGCAACCAGTGAGAGTTGGAAGTCATGCGACGTCTTCTGAAGTGATGTCTTATGGCGCGGCTGGGTTTTCTACATTATACTCTGATCCGCGCAAGATGAGCGCAATCGGACGTACCAATGTTGCTTGAAGGGCTGCTAGCTTCTTCAAGTCATCGGAACCGCGTTTTGCCATCGCTCGGGTCGTCTCTGTCAAGTCATGACTGCGGAGGACAACAAACATAGAAAAGTTGTATGAGTACGTTTTCCAGAATTCGGAATGTATGAATAACACACAGCGACTTTCTCAAATTCGCGGAGTCCCTGCTCGTCCCCAGTTGATCCACCAACTTCAAGATTCCCTGTACATTGGAATTGATCTTGAAGACTTGAAGTGACAGTGAGGATTGGAGCTGCAGGAAGGCAGCCTCTTCTTGTGATTGGGGCGCAATACCTGCCGGTGATTGCGAGCGAAGTGCCATGCCTGACTCTATGTCTTGGAAACTCATCGTAGAGAATAGAAAGGTATATAGATATGGAGGGAATCAAGTGTAAGTACACAGTACGCGGATGGCGTGGTACCGAAACAGACAATGACAACAGCTTACGTAACCGTCGGTGTAGCCATCAATGGTGATCGAGTGCTTCAGACCTCAGCTCACCGTAAACCTTGCCGTAAACGTCCACAAGTCGTCAACGTTCTCATTCACACTCACATTCACTACGGCGGGCTTGGGAACGGATCCTGCTGTATCATGAGGGTGAGTTTTTCCAATCACGCAAGCGTTGACCAAGCAAGAGCTTATCACTGCTGTCAACTTCCTGCCAGTCCAAACATTGTCAGTCATCATGGCAAACATGATGCTTGCTTAGGTAGGCTGCCCATGCAGAGCACGGTTCTGTTTCCTAATAGCAGAATTACTATTGCGCTACTATTTATCTAGCAAGTTCGAATTATGGAGGATAAGTACTTATTGTTCAATGAAGCAATGCAAGTTATTGCAACCGAATCAGATCTATATGAAGTCCTCCATTCAGTACGATAGACGAAGCTTCAGCCATGGAGAAGCTGTACGATGGTCCCGTCGCCTTTTGCTCTCTAACATCGTATCTTTTATGATGCTTCAAGCTCACTGAAATTCAAGATACCTTGCAATGCACTAGAAGAACTTCCCGTTGGATGTTACACGTCCTGTGCCCGCACTTCGACGTTTCTGACGTGTCTTCGGAATGGGTTATGTCGACCACGGCAACGAGATCTTCATCTGCCATACAGTCCGGGAGGTAATCCTCTGACACCACTTCGCTGACACTTCCAACAGGACTTAATGCAATAACCTTTTGAATTTCCTCCTTACGCTTACATGCCACGATTCCAGTCAACTTCCACTGGAACGATGTCTTTGCGCCTTCTGACCGACCTGACATGTATGACCGCGTGACCGTTGAGGGCGGGCCTACAGTGAATGTCAGATGCTCATAGGCGGCCCGCATCGTGTCCTATGCATATATACTGCAGTACTCTACTGACAGCGACATCGGACGCTAAAACTCGCGATGTTGCTCTGGACCACTGTGGGATTTTTATTTAACTACGTTTTAGAGGTACCTGCGCTGTCTCCTCGGTTTCTACCCTGCCAGCTCCAGAAACACGCGAACATTTCTCCATTGACAGGGTGCCCTTCTGGGACGGTCTTCGTGTCGCCCAATGACGGTCGGGCGCATTTCACGGGCATTCAGGAGGCAGTGCTGTCACTGTGCGTCCAATAGACCCTAGGGGTGCCTTTGATCATTATTGATGAAGGTCACCGAACAGACCGGACACAGGACATGCAATGATTCTCATAGGCGAAGGAGAATATCATGAAACAGTCAATGTCACCCGAAGCGCACCTCTGACTCTACTCGTTTGTACCCCAAACCCTGTTCCATTGCAAATCTCATACTTCTTTTGTTATCCCCATTCAACAGGGACAGCTCCGGAGAGAGTCTGCCTTTGCACCCGGAGGAAATGCCTCGACTCGGAATCTAGTCCAAATATGGAACAACCAGTTTGTGCAGACGGACATGGATGACGCTCAGTCCGCGATGCTCATCGTGGCGCCGTCATTCAGTGCGTCTTTAATTGGCGCAGGGCCTACGGGGGCACCACTGCAACCACTATTCGGTAATATGGACTTCAAGGCGTACAACGTTGACTTTCAGAATAGAGCAGTTCGTGTCTCATGTAGTTATGATTGAGTCTGTCTAGGTTCCTGATTGTGGCTTGATCTTGGCATCAGGCGAACTTTTCTATATCTCAAGCTCTAGTGACAGATATCTCTTATGCGAATGCATCGTTTTATGGCTGTACTTTCGCAAGCTACCAAGACACATGGTACACAGGCCGTAATGCAAGTACGTATGTCGTGGAGAGCATTATTTTTGGACAGACAGATTGTATGTACCTTGAACAGAACAACGAACCTTCTTCCTGATACTGATGTGCACTTATGGCAGATCTTTTCGGGTTTGGGACCGCGTGCGAGAACAACCCTGATTGAGTTCTGTGGGCGACACTCAAATACATATTCTGACAGGTGGTTTCAAAACGTTGTCCTAGCAAACCGCGCCTGCGGTGGCGGTATCGTTGTCTGGAAGGGTACAAATTTCACGGATGCACCAGGGAACAGGTATGGGGCGTATATCTCAAACTCAAAAATTATACGCGTGAGTACGACGACGGCCTACGAATATTTGAGTCTGTCTGCTCACTTGTCATTATTTCCATGCCAGTCGCCCGATGCCAACGCCACCACTATCACTAGTGGAAAGTGTTTCCTCGGTACATCCTTATCCGACTATCCTCATCCCACAGAATATAACATAGTTGGTCGTCTAGGCCGCCCATGGAACGATCTCGCAACAACTGTGTTCTTACGAACCTTCATGGATGACAGTGTACAGCCTGCGGGATGGACGCCTTTCAATAGCGACAGGTAAGCCGACATTATGGTATGTAGTTATCGTTAAGTTTACATTTTGCAACACAGGCCGGTCATTATGAATACTAATTTCTACGCGGAGTATCATTCCACTGGTAACCGAAATCAATCGTTTGTGATATTGTGCTTCTGGCATTTTGACTGATACCTACGACAGGCCCAGGAGGTAACACGTCAGCTCGCGTACCCATTGAGCACGTCTTGACAGATACTGAGGCTAGGGAGTTCACTGTTGAAAAGGTATTTATGGAGACACCCAAGTGGATTGATTTTGACTATCAATATCCGTGACCGGAAATATATCCTGCTTTAATTTCTCACATAATGCGAGACAGACCGCATGGATCGGTCCCCTGGGGTATGCAGTAGACTTCGATCTGTCTAGGTTGGTCCCAGCAGCCATGGAGTTCTCACCAAAAGGCATCGCGCGTAAGTGGGCTATGACTTTGTTGGCGGACTTTGGACGAATGAGCTCTGACTTGACGTTCGCCAGCTTTGTTTTTGACAAAGGTTTTGTCTTGGTGGAAGTAGGCACGATGCCATGGAGTCTAGCAATGAGTGTACGAACGATGACGGCAGACCCACGTGCACGTTTCTCTGAACGAGGCAGGTTCATTTCGTACTTCTCAAAGTCGTCATGGGCGCGACGTTTGCTATCGTGCTCTGCTACAGCAGATACTAAGTAGTACTGTATCGTAGGCTTTCGAGCCTCGTGCCGAGCACTCCCACTGAGAAAAGGAAGTCGCCACGAAAACCGTCTGCTGCTATGGCCACTATAGGCGTGATCACAGTAATGATAATCCTCGAGATAGCTGGAATGGGCCCTACCTGCGTTCTTCGTCGACGTCTAGCAACGGTCAAGAGTTCCAATAGGTCCAAAAGCGGCAATTGCTTCTGCGATCGCGTTCAGATTGGGCAACCTCTCAAGCTCAACTTGAAGGCTCAGATCTGCCCAGATTCTATGGTGCTGGCCCAATTGATTGGTACGGCTGAGAGTCACAACAGGAGTCGATTGGAAATCACGCAGTAGGTACATGGTATGTGTGACTTTTGTACGCGTGAAACACCGAACCCAAAGTTTGAAACACAACACAACCAGCAAGGACATTCAATTGAATTGCATGGATTCGGTGCCGCTTTACCGCGTGTCCATTAGACTACCGTATGATATGCCGTAGATTCATACTGAGGAGGTTCCAACTCCTCAGCATGACCAGCCCCAGAAGGAGGTAGCCGCGTCATAGCTCGATTCAGTCGTTGGACAAGGTCAGGAATGGATTCTTCCACGGACGGTGGTCGAAGCGGCGAAGCTGAGCGATGAACATCCGGTCCGTCCATGGCATTGTTACTTGTTGACGCATAGCTGAGAACTACGGCAGACCTGCGCTTCTCTGATGAAGGCATCATAGTCGAAGTCTCGGACGATCCAACTTGAGACGAGGGCAGCTGGTACATCGCACTTACAGGGAGAAATCTCGGTATGTCGGTAACATAGTACTGCTCTTCACCATCGAGGGGTTGTGGAGGAGCTGGCTCAGTTGGTGGCTGAGAGACAGTTCTGTTCCGTTTAGATCTCTGCCACAAAGCGACCAGTGAAGTCACGACGATCAACGTTACAACCGCAATGCCTCCAACGATTATACCGACGATGCCCTTGATGCTCAGATGGGTCCCAGACGAATCCCCTGAAACAGAGGATGAAGGATCTATGCCACTAAATGTTGGACTTGGTAGTGGCAAAGTGGAAGTGTTCGTGCTGTGATTACATTAGTCAGTTTTCCGTCGTACACCACCATGATGAAGCGTACTTCGGTGTGGGTCTAGGTGTCATGCTTAAACCTGCATTTAACACGTCTAGCGCCAACAATTGTCCCCAAGGCAGCACGCGATCGGTCATCGGAGGACCACGCCAATTTGACGAAAAAAGGGTGCTGTTCGGCGGCCGAGCAAGATCAAGTACAGCGTTGAACTAACGCCATCAGTTGAGTAAGGAGGCCTATATCTAGAAGGAAATTCTTACTTGTACCGCCAAAAAGCTCTGAACCAGCTTTGCCAGCTCCGAACTAGCATCAATCCTGGACAAAATCTCATACAACCCTCGTACAAGCACGCCTAAAGATTCGTATATAAAGCTGCAGGTGATCACCCAATGTCATGATGAGCGTACCTCCAACGTAGAGGGTGCCTGTGTTGGCTAAAGGTGTGTCACCAATGTCTAGCCGTCATTGTGCATGAGAAAAGTACGGGCCTGAATGCAGGGATTCAATCACCTTGATCAAAGATCCCGTCGCCATTGACAAATTTGCCAATCACACCGAGAATCAGGGTTTGCATTCTATTGAGAGCAGAATTGGATCCATCAGGAGCAGCAACGCACATTCAAATTAACTGACTGAGATGCCAAATCCGGATTCTTCAGCCTAGCTGCGTATACACCGAGTCCTTCGATAGCGGGTCCCACACTCTGCGAGATTGGAACTGAGGTATGTAAAGTATCACACGAGCTCATATTTATGAGCCCGAGATCCAGGTGATTCTCCAGGAAAGCCATGAAGTGTGAAGTGGTATCCGCTGCAGTGGAGTAGCGTCCGTCGTGGGTGGCTTCGTACATATATACAGATAGCCTATGAGTCCATCATCATAATGTTCCGTGTTACAACATGAGGTACGAACGATAAGAAGGCCCTGCACGGTTGGATGAATGAGTAAAACCAACAGCAGCGCGGTAATGAGCGTAACGAACCCAACCGAATAAAGATCCACATCTTCAACGTCCTTGTTTTCCATATCCTATACCAACAGTTTCAGAAACTGAATAAATTGTATTCGTCGCTATGCTTACGACAAACACACTGCCCTCGACAGAAGCTATAAGACATTTCACAACTCAATTGAGTCTTGTACAGAAAATAGGTGGAGGAAGGACGTACATCCATCACATTCGGGTACTAGAGTGAGCCCAGGCTTCAAGGTAGAAAAGTGCGAGTGGCCGCCATCAAGTGTATCGTCAAAGGTGATCATGTAAATGCTTGTCTTGTTCCAAATTGAAGTCGCCAGATCGAGAAGATACTGATCGCCATATGCGCGATAAGCAGACACAGCTGCTAGTGCCCATGTTCTGAAAATATATAAGGGGACGACATGGCAAAGCCAATGTGGTACATACAACGAATAAGTGGTTCGCAGCTGGCCTTCCTGATGTCCCATTGAAGATTGTACGACATTGATAAATGATTGCTCAAGACACGTGGAAAACCTGGACTCACTCTGCAGGCAATCGAAATCGGTATGAGTAACGGCGAGCTGCGGCAGACTTACGATGGACCATAGTACTCAAATCGCTGCTGTCCAACAGTCACTAAATGCGTCGTGACGAGAGCTTCGTTCGCTTTGTTGCCAACGAGTCTGTCGTAATTGGCGATGGCGGCAAACAGGCTAGCATTCTGTTCGAAGTCCAAAGCTTCATTTTAGGTTAGTGAATGGTCAGGACAGATATGCGACACACTGACCATCCACTTGTCCAGTAGAGGCATCGATTTGTGGCGCGATGGCATCGATCAATGCTTGGGAAAGTGTGGCGGTGTCCTGCCATGGGATATTGGAAGTAGGTTTCTACAAGTTCAAGGTTCAGGAAATGACCATTCGTACACAAGTTGTATTCACTCAACTCGCCATCCCGATGGTATTGAGAAAATTTGAGCGAATGTAGAACAGGTTAGGGAACAAAGGACAAGCCAATCAAGGAACATGACACTGCTGCGTGCAAAATGAAGGTCGAAAGGGAGGTTGAGTCCTAGTGGGTGTAGAGTGGAATATATATACACGACTTCGTGCTCTCATATGTACACTGAAGTGAGAGGGTCTCGTACCCAGCTACTCCTGTCGTATCCTAACGCACCGGAGACCATGATGCATCAGTGATTAATCATGGGTCGTTTTTGATGATCACTCACCTCACCCTTCATAGCGGTGAATTATCTGTTCAGCATGAGCCAAATCCACGTCCCAGGTCTCTCTTACCCATTGACGTCCGAAGATCTGGTAAAACGGTGGGATGAGACCTGATGAAAGTGTCTCGGTCATTAACACTTCCACGATAGACAAGAAGAAGCCTCAGGGTCTCGGTCAGGTTCTGCCGCTCTGCATGCGACCATGTGTGAACACCGAGGCCTCAGGACTAGGGTATCGCAGTGTACTGCCTATCGTCATGATGTAGCCGTCCACTCGCCGGTACTGTAAGAAAGTAAGGATTACAGAGACTAGTGTTCGAGTGGCTGTCAACGACGAAAGTACTTAGAGGAGACAGAGTGCTAGAAGGTTTCCAAGGCCAAGACATGCATATGTTGGGACTTCAAATTTGTTACACTCATTTTGAGTTTCGCAACATGACCTAAGGATATACGTTCCCCTCCACGTCCCTAAGTTTTGCCATGCTAAAGGTATGTCATCGGCAATTAGCGACGGAAACTTTCCATTTCTGATCATGGCGTCTAATCAATATCTGGCTGTCTGGTGCGTTCGACTCTGCTGCCACCGTTCACAAGTTGTTGCAGTCAAGTAAGTATGTTTCTTATCTGGAATTATAGTTGTGAGTGACAGTTTTCTTTAAGATGAGTGCTGCTGCAGCTACTGCAACACGTGCCGTTGCACAAACAACTCGCGGACGCATAAAACTCATCAAAAAGCCTCTTAGAAGAGACCGCTATGGACTTCCTATTCCCCATGTCGACATCATAGTCCGAGACACACATCTATCTCGACTTCAAGATCACTACCATAATACCCTGCGAGATGATCTGATGTATATGACTTACAAACACGAGCCCGCTTCTCGAAAACCCCAAAAGCAGGCGAAACTCAGATTTGACCCAGAGGATCCGTACACGAAGCATCGTTTCAACCCTCCAAAGGGTGGAAACACTTGGTTCAAACAACTCCCTCCGCCAACAACCTCTGAAAATGTTGTTCAACTCGAACGGATACAGCTCCATACGATGCTGGAAAGCGCTGTCGCAAGTCGGGCCAACTTGTTAACAGCGATCATGGCGTTCCGTACACTGTCTGGAGAGTCAAGAGAGGCTGGAGGTCGGCATACGGCTGAAGGCGTGCAGATTGTCACTGCAAGGACATTGGGCGGGAAAGGATGGGCTCGTCGTGGCCAGCCAATCGGTGTGAAGGTCGATTTGAAAGGTCCTAAAATGTACGATTTCCTCGGGACCCTTGTCGACTTTGTTCTGCCAAAGCTTCGAGACTATAATGGCCTCCCCATGGAGGGACCAAGTCGGCCACTTGATTCGCCGAGCGCTGCGACCGGTGTGGTGTCCTTCGGTCTGCCACCCTATGCCTTGCAGTTCTTCCCTCAAATCGAGGTCAACCCCGATATGTACCCGGAGCATTTCGGCATGCACATTCACTTCATTACCAACGCAACGGGAGTCGGTGCTCAGAATAAGGCGAGGGCATTAATCTCGGGCTTCCAAGTTCCCTTCTCTCGGGCATAATACATAGTAAGTAAACTTCAGAATTTGCTTGATGGTGGCTGAACCGACAGTTCCTTTTGTAGGACTACTCTATATCGTGTAATATTATGCTTTCCGGAATGCCTCCTTCCCTTCCGCATGAGGCGTTATCACTAAGCTATAGGTCGTGCATCAAGCCACATCCTGTTGAGCGTTAATTGCCAATATCCTCAACGAAATGGCTGACTGTAGAGGAATGATTCATCCATTCTCATTAACCATCTTCACGTAAGACATTCCATACTTTTACTGCTCGTCCAGATTTCTGCGGGCTTCGGTTCGTTTGCCAGTCTTGTGGCCATACAGTGACAAAACGCAGGTTACTGTCGTCATCGTCAACTTTGACAGTGCATACATGCACTAACCGGAGCAGACCGTACATGTCTTGGATGTCACAGATGATCGGCTGAAGGAACAGAATGTGGATATAAACGCTTCCTGTAAATTTCCCATTCAGAGTATATGCTGGCATACATCGTAAGCCCCATGACTTTCATGATTTGATGTTGACCAAATAGTGTTAGCAAGTCTGACATTTGAAAGCATGGGAATTCATCCACATACGCTCCGAATCACCCCGGAACACTTGGAATCTCGTTCTCTCACAGCAGGATCGCGTCGGCCCAGGGAATTCACCTATGCAGGTTGACGGAATATATGTCTTCTTTCTTTGACAACTCTTGAATGACGATAGGCTGCAAGCTATCGCGTGTTCGTTTATGGGTAGATCAAAACCGACTAATGCCTTCCCATGGATTTAAAATTTACTTGGCTGTGAAGGCGCATGTAATGGATTCCCCGATTTCTCCAGAAGGGATAAAAGGCTCAACGATAGCTCGTCTTCTTTCTCAACAACTCTCATTTCATCTATCAAGATGTCTCTTTCAACAACTTACAAAGCCTACGCCTTCCTCCAGGCACATGGGAACCTGCAGCCCATTTCTATCCCCTGGAAGGACCCTCAAGCGAATCAAGTTGTTGTGAAGGTTCTGGCGTGTGGTGTTTGCGCAGGGTAAGTAAAGACGTGTGATTTGGAAAACGCTATTGACCGCCCTCGTTAGTGATGAAGTCGTGCAACACCAAAGCTTTCCAACTGGCCTTCCTCGCATTCCTGGGCACGAACTGGTTGGCGATATAGTGGCAGTCGGACCTGACGTGAGAGCGTACAAGGTCGGCGATACAGTCGGCGGCGGGTGGCACGGTGGACATTGTTTCACTTGCACCCAGTGTATTTCTGGCCATTTCAACTTGTGTGACCAACAGGCTATAAACGGTAAGTTGAATTGATTCAGTCCTACAGAGTACATCTGACCGGCTTTTCCCCGTATGTGAGGCATTCTGAGGGATGGTGGTTATGCAGAATATGCTACTCTGCGGACTGAGTCCGTTGTGCGAATTCCTGAAGGTATGGATCCAGCGGAGGCCGCGCCGCTCATGTGCGCTGGAGTTACAACCTTCAGTACGTAGTTCAGAATAAATGAATTTATTTGTGTTCACTCATGTTTGTCCACAGACTCACTGCGCAACATGGGGCTCAAGCAAGGAGAAATCGTCGCGGTGCAGGGTATTGGGTACGCACTCCAGGACTTCATAGATGTACTTTGCTGGTTGTTGATATCCCCATTCTAGCGGTCTTGGCCACCTTGGAATTCAATTCGCGGACAAAATGGGGTACCATGTTGTCGCTCTTTCTTCCTCACCGAGCAAGCGTGATCTCGCGTTGCGATTGGGCGCCACTGACTACTTGGATGCATCTCAAGTAGATCAGGTCGCTGAATTGCAGAAGATTGGGGGCGCGAAAGTCATCATGTGTTGTGCTCCCGATGCAAAGAGTATCTCTGCGTTATTGGGTGGGTTGACCAAGGATGGCACTCTGCTCTTGCTCGCTGCCACAGAAGAACCATTGCAAATCCCTACTCGTAAGCCATTCAGATGTTCGAGATGCAACATACCGAGCTGATACTACGAAATCTTACTCGTAGTTCCGATGTTGAACAGGCGGCTCTCTGTTCGCGGGTGGCCTTGTGGGACGGCGAAGGACTGTGAAGACACGTTGCTATTTGCGAAACGCAAGAACGTGAAGGCCCTGGTTGAGACTTTCCCCCTCGATAAAGCTCAAGACGCCTACGACCATCGCAGCTCTGCTAGGTTCCGCGCAGTAATCGTGCCTTAAATGGTTTGTATAATTATGCAATGGATGAGTCCCGTGTATTCAATGAACTCGCGGCCCAGAACAGAACATGTACAAGTTTCAGTAGGCATCAACTCGCACAGACGAAGTTTACTATAAGGACCGCGTCTCCACTGTATTGGAGAAAGGTCGAGCACGTACTAACAGCATTGTAACTATGCAACTGTAGAAATTTATGTATTATACTCGTTTGTCTGTATCTACTACGTGTTAGGTCGAACGGGACTCAACGTAGAGTCCTACAGAATAGAGTCAAGCCAACAACAACCCAAATAATGTACTAGCACAGCTAGAGCTGAATCAACCATTATGAATGAAGCCGATAACATTAATGGTGCCCAAATAACGTTTATACGTGGATATCAATGCAGATGAAAAGATGACAGGGATAGTGATGCGATGCGATGAACGAATGTATGCAAAAGAAGTATGCGAGGAGAGCCCAAAAAGTGAATGTGAGGAAGTGCAGAGTAAAACACCAGTAAAAGGAAAGTAACAAGGTCATCGGGGACCATTCCAACATAATCATACAAAGGACCAGTATCAACCGAAAGCTCATCCCTTTCGCTCTCCAGGTTGCCATGGGATATCATCCAACTTCTGCTTCCCCAATGCAGAACCCCGAGTGATACGTTGTCCACTAAGGCCAGGCAGACCGGTAATCGGTGTTTGACTACCTGCCTGCGACTCGGACGCCGCCCTGCGAATTTTCTTCTTCGGAGCTATGGCGCGATTGGGTGTTTCTTGACCCTTGCCGAGTCTACTGGAGACTGGCTTGAGGGCAGGAGCGAGACTCGGGACGATCTCCCTAGCCAATTCTCGTACAAGAACAGCTCCATCCTCCTTGCTCAGCTTCACGACGATATCGTATAGACCAAAGCGTTCAACCAATACGGCACGATTTGGATGAACGTCACAAAGCGCTCGTAGGATACGCAGAAGGTTCAGTCGGACAACAGCCTTGTTGTGGCCCAATTTCTCGATGATGCGGTTGATAAATTGGGACTTCGCAATACCTATTGTGATAAGGTTGGAGATACGAGTAATTTTGAGGAACGGATCCAAAAGATTCTCGAAAGAGTTGGCTTTCGCTGAAACGAAGCAACGCAACAGAGCATCCAAAGCGGCCGGCTTGCGGAGTTCGTCCTCAACACGTGCCGTCTCATCTTGCAGCCTGTTCTTGGGGTCAGGAATGACATGGAGGTAGATACTGAACACCGCTCACCAGGATAGTATAGCTTCCAGCGCGCTAACCTGGAAGTAAGGGTCATCCAGCAACCGCAGGTACATTTGAAGACCGTCATGCTGCCATAGCAAGATGCGACAGCTCTTTCCGGCACTGGCGAGATCGCAAAAGATTGGAAGTGCGAACTGCTTCAGCGGTGAAGGCGAGTCAATAACTCGCTTCAAGCTAGGTATGATACCAGCTTGAGCGGCCTCTTCCTGCCTGGACTTGTTCAGCCGGCAGAGATTATAGCACGTCTGGAAGACGTGATTTGAGATTTCCTATAATTGTACAGTTATTAAGTGAGGAATCACGTAGGACAAAATTTGAACCTACAGCGCTGTGAGGTCCCGAACTCTGTTCGTCTAAAATCTTGACGAGGATCTCAATCGCATTAGCGTTTTGTAGGACCTCCAATAGTGTAGCATTCATGGAAAGGTGCTTGACTGCCTTCAGCATGTGCACCACATATTGGGGCTCAAGCAACTCGCACGCCCTAAGCAAACCTATGGCGAAATGATTTAGTTGAGTTGACAAATTATTGAAAGGTAGATCACTCACGTCGCACAACTTTCCTAGTACCAAGAGCCTGGCGGACATGGATATCCGACTGTGAAACTTGACAGAATACAAGTATGATCTGAATAATCTTCTGGTTCATTTCAGCAGCTGATTCGCCACGGCTAGTCATGATGTTGAGCAGTGCAGACGATAACGGATCCAAGAGGCCCTCTCGAATGAACATCCTACAGAAATCATTCTTGGTAGTTGGGCTCTGTAGTTCAAACACGCTGCCGATCCCGTTGAGGGCATGTACGACAAGTTCGGTTTGTTCCGCGTAGTCTTCGTCCAGCAAATCAACCAATACCTTCAAGCCTCGACACCTGCACCATTGTCAATATTCAATCAGTATGCAGAGGGGAAACGACATACGAAATGAACATCTGCAACGTGAGTACAGATGCATGACACAGGAGCTGAATGAACTTTGAAGCTTCCAAACGACATTCCGAAGGATACTTTTTGGACGTGAACCCCATGATCACCGGAATCCCGCTTTGAACCTGTCTCAATACTGGAAGATTTGAGAAATGAGTATACGTACCCAATTAGGCAGAAACTCTCCAAAAAGGCCATATCCTCCGTGACCAGCTATTACAAGGGAATGAGGTCAATTCGAAAACCAATCCGAACACAACTTACCACATTGATGATTTGGAGAAGCTTGTAGTTCACCTCCCGAGACGACCTGCCTTCCAAAACTTCCAGAATGGCTAGCATCCCATGTGCGGAGACCAGCTGTGACTGCATTTCTGGGGTGTCCATGATGATATTGAGCTGGACATACTCAGTTTCAGCGATACATGACGAAAACTCGGATAATATAATACGAGAGATACCAATTGATCACAGGCTTCACGAAGTTGGAAGTCTGGTGCTGATGGTGTTAACTCGTCGATGAGTGTATTGACAGTGTTACAGAGGCGAGCATATTTGTCTCGCTGAAGGTTGGATTCCAGATCCTCTTCGGCGAAGCCTTCGTCAATCTTCACATACAAAAGTCACTTTCCACATGCCGTGAATGAATCATCTATCACGAACCTCCGCAAATGGATCTTCTTCATCGTCCTCGTCGCCAAGCTATTTGACCCTTGAATCAGTACGTAAATCATGGCACCCTCCACCGACGTACCCATGATTTGTTTGACAAGCGGGTATTGAGCTGTAGTGTTTGCATGGGTTGGGAGCCTGACGACCCAGCGAATTCAGTATTAACATTCGATTTCCGGACACCATCGACGTACTTGTTCCACTCGGAGGCTTCCCGAAGATATCATCGTAATCCTCATCATCTTCATCCTCAGCATACTTACCAAACTCAGGTTGGCTATGCAATCGTCTAGCCTCAGACCGCCCATACGAACCATTGGTCGGACCTGTGTACGACGACGTTCGAGCATGTCCAGAACTCGGTCCTGGTGACGACGAAATATGGTTGAGTGAAGGTCGTGACTTTCTGCGTGTGAGAGCTGGAAGAGGCGCGGTTTTTGGACCTGGCGACGCAGGAGCAAGGCCAATCGTCTTGATGTCGTCAGGGTGGAAGAGCCCTCGGCGGAAGGAATTCTTCAACTGATGGAGGTATTTAGTCCACAAAGTCATGAGATTCATAGGGCGGGGAGAGTGTACCTTGAAGTCAGCAACCTTCTCCTGTAATTTATCATCGTCCTCGTCAAACGCGAGATCAGAATAGTCTTCGACAATAGGTGAAATACTAGGAGACGGGGCCTTGGCCACAGGAAGGGGTACGTTCTTCCCCGGATTAACAGGACTTCGCGATGGACGAATGGTCTGAGCGTTGTTATCATCAACCTCCAATTTGTCATCTTCTGCTGACGTCTTCTCCAACGCTGAAATTATGAAAATCTTGATCAGAATGAAGCGAGTAGGAAATACGGGATAAGCAGATACCCTGTAACTTTGAGAATGAAATCCCCTCTTCGAAGTCATCGTCCCAGTTATCAGTCTGTTCTTCAGGTGGCTGTAAGATGAATGGCATAGGGAGGGTCTCCCGAATATGCGTAAGAGGAGCTGAAGGGGCTGAAACCTTCACATGTGGAGCAGAAACAGGCTTCCATGCCGAAGTGGAAGCTATCGAGGTCTGTGACGGTTGCGAGGGAAGAGACGAAGGTGGTACCGGTGAGCCAAAGTCAAGCGGTTGAAGAGCTGGGGAGCTCGGGCGTTTAGAATTGGATTCCCGGTTTCGTTGAGGATGCTTAGAAGGTTTAGACGGAGCTGTTTCTCCGTCAATTGTGGAAACATTGGCAAAATCAACGCAAATAGACCTACACTTCAGGGCTTCATTCCACTCTTGTACCCTCTGCACTGCCTCGTCGTAGTTATAGTTACTCAATGGACGTCCATTGGCAGCTTCACCTCTTGACGTCACAGGTCCTTGACTCGGAGGCTGTACCATTTGCTTTCTTGCAGATACCATCCACGGATGTTTCAAAAGCTTCTTGGCTGATATCCGGAGGTTACAGTCTTTCTGGAAACAGTGATACAAGAAGTCTTTGACGATTGGAGAAGCACCTTCCGGTATTGGTGGATTGTCATCCTGAACGATTCGAAAGAGGGCGGGCATAGGATCAAGGAAATGGTATGGAGGTTTGCCTTCCAACAGTTCAATGACCGTACAGCCAACACTCCTACGATGTGCAGTCAATCAGTGATGATCTATCGTGTGATAGAAGAAGGCCTGCAAACCAGATATCGGATGCGGTTGTCGCTCCCGATTGTTCAATGACCTCCGGAGCCACTGCGCAAATGAGTCAACATGACGTGAAACCTAATAGGAATACACGCACTCCAGTATGGACTTCCCACGACAGCATCATCGCGAACGGCACCTGCAGCGGTGCTACTTGCGACACCAAAGTCCGCAAGCTTGACACAGCCGTCCTTGTTCGTGAGGATGTTAGCACCTTTGATATCGCGGTGAATGACACCCTGGTCATGCAAGTATACGAGTCCTTCAAGGACTTGTGAAATGTACACTGCAACGAGTTGCTCTGGGAATTTGCCAAACCTCTTGCAAATGTTGTGTAACGATCCATTCTCGCAGAATTCCAAAATGATATAGAGGTATTCTCGCGTCTTCTCGAAACCCTTGTACTTTACGATATTCGGATGCTGATGCGAAAGTTAGTATAATTCGTACATTTCGATCAGTAAGACGTACAATCAGGTTCTTGAGCAGATCGATTTCGGACTGAGGATGATTTAGCTACCAAAGGATATACAGCGGAGTTAGACATACTCACCATTATTTGCCCAATCTCACTCTTAGGAATGTTGCTCAATTGTATCTCCTTAATCGCAACTGTTTCTCCCGTGGCCCAATTGAGAGCACCTGTGCGCCGGCGGTCAGACAACACCAGAAGCATGGGTGTATGCCACTCACGATAGACTTGACCAAACGCGCCCTTCCCGAGGCAGTCGCCCAGTTGCTAACTCGCATAATCAGCATTCCGAACACTGAATGAACGGTATTACTCACATATGCATTGAGCAGTTTGTTGGAGGGTGAGCTTTTCGATCTTGGAGATGACGTCGAAGCCATAGCTAGAAACGAGAATGAAGGATCAATCGGAAAGAGTGTGAGTAGTCGTTTTCATGGGCATCGCCCTTGTTGAGCCTATTTGAATGATGACAATGACTGTCAGTGGCCAAGAATATGCTGTATCCGTGCAAATGGGCACGGGTGCGTGTTACACCCGGCCTGAAGGTGGAAGTAAAAGGCAAGCGTGACGAAATTGAATGGGGAAGCGTCCGAGACTACATCAACTGAACTCCCACGCTTAGAATCTTGTCAAAGGGCATGTGAATACTTTATTACTTCGATATACTCTTTACAGTCTCTCGTGACAGTTTTTGAGATTCATTCAGCGTTTTGTGACAACACGTCTTCGTGCTGGAAAGAGATTTGGCGTGACAGAGCCGGTTAGTTTAGCGCATGCCCTAGCTAGCTACTAGCCGAGTCCATTTTCAATTGAACATTGCAACGAGGCACGTAAAGAAGTATAGTGTGGTTCCAGAGAATCTCCTAGTTTCCATGTCTTAACGAGTTTTATGGTACCCGCCGCAACCATCGAAGCACAGTCCGAGTCGAACATGACGCAGTGCCAGACTTACGACTCTACTATGTTTTGAACATTATAGCTTCCAGAACTAACCCAAAATTCTATTCTTGCTGAGCTTGACAGACTAGAACTTGGAGAGTACAAAAAGATGATGCCAACCTCCGACTTTTGGCGTATGCTTGAAGGCAGATCGGAGGCTCTGGAGACTCAAGAGTGAGAGCTTGAGGGATTGCCAGATCGAGAGCCAATTCCAAGATCGGAAAGTTATACCGATTACCAGATCGATCACGGTCTTGAAGTACTAGGTCCTCTTGGCTCACTTTTTTCTACCGGCCAGTCCTCAGCCGGGTTGTGGCTCTCATTCGCAGGCTCGACGTCGAAGACGACGAGGGAACATAGCGTATGGACCAGTCAACTTTGCCCGCATCCTGGCGCTCCCGATCAGCGGCAGTCCTTCCTCTTGCGTTCCTCCAATCACTTGCATTCGGTTTTATCGAGCTCCCGGCAATCTATCTCTTCCGTGAGTTAGAATGTGAACGGTATGCTTCAGGGCTGCCTCCACATCTACCGGAAGACGATATTTGTAGGGATCCTGCCGTGCAAAAGGCATATTCTATTGATGTCGCTATCTACCTTGCCCTCTCCACTATCTGCAGCATAGCTGTATCGGGGCCTTTCGGTAGACTCTCGGACATGAGAGGCAGAAAAATCGTCATGTCGAGCGCTGCTTGCTTGAATGCAATCGGCGACTTCTGGCTTTTCTTATCAGGTAAGCGATACGTCCTCTAAGCCTACACGATAGTGCTCATACCCGTTTCGATAAGCTTTATTGCCAGCCATTCGTAACCCGTACTCATTGATGTTATCCGCATTCATCAAAGGGATGGGAGGGAGTTTCTCAGTCGTCCAGGCCGCCCAATCTGCTTTTGTTGCGGACACATCCTCGAGCACAACGCGATCATTCTATCTGGGCCTCGCATTGGTCATGTTCTGGATCGCGAGCGCAATCGCACCTCTTGGGGTTTCTTTCCTTCTCCGTGAGGATCATTACGCCGCATGCTTCGGAATAGCTTCCGGCTGCTGGATCATTTACTTGCTGTATTCCGTATTTATCATACAGGAAACCCGGGTACCGTCCGGTCAGAAGAATGATCAAGCAAATCAAACAGCTACACCTACTTCACAGAATGAAAACATTTCTCAACCAGAGCCACGAAGAGCATTCTTCCAATCTCTGACCGAGCCTTTGGTCTTTATCTTCAGAGATCCCACTCTCAGATGGCTAGCACTTACCACGCTTTCTATGCTGATTGCGATTGGGGCTTTCAGTGTCTTGGTGGTGTACTGTGACTTCATGTTTGGCATGCGTGCAAGCGAGGTACGAGTCGTATTTTATACAATTGCAATTACTAGGCAGCTGAGGAGAGTTATAGGCCGGGATTATTGCATCAATTATGTCTATGGCACGCGCGTTCTCCGTCTTATGCGTTCTACCAGCATTCCTCGCATTATACCGCAAATTATATGCCAACAGGGTGTACAAACTCAATAATACCACACATTCCAACGGGGCTTCTGAGACTTCTCCCCTTTTGGCAGAGCACGATACCCAAGCCTCCCAAAACAATACCCCTTCGACCGATCAAACCTCAGCTTCAGCCGCTCAAGAACTCCTCGTCGCCCGTGTATGTTTCCTGATCGACGCTGTGGGCATGATTCTCATTTCGCTTAGTCGCAACCCGGCGGAAATCATGATCTGTAAGGTTTCTTTTTATCTTTTCAAACTGCTTTCAAAAATTGATATCCTCCTTCAGCAACGACATTGGGAGCATTAGGTGCACCCGCTGCACCATCCGTACAAGCCCTAGTCACGCTCGCCGCGTCGCCTTCAGAAGTCGGACGGGTTCTTGCCGGATTCTCCATCATCGAATCCGCGGGTGTGGCTCTCCGCAACCCCATCCTATTTGGTACCTATGGTGCAACCTTGGAAGTCGCACCGAAAGCTATTTGGTATTTCGCATCCGTGAGTTTCCCTTCGTGTCATCTAGACATGGTGATTCGGGCCTGAGAATGCTAATATTGGATATCCTAATTCTCCAGGGTTTATTCGTGTTCTGCGCTTTCACAGTGATGTGGTTAAAACCTGCTAGATTCATCAAGAAAAAGGTGACGGATGGAGATGTTGCCGACAATCATCAATAAAAATGTAATAGTATGGAAACTTGGTGAAATAGAGTGCTGAGATTGTAATTCATTGACGCCATTGCTATCAAACTCGTCAATGGTCTTAGGCACAGCTACGTGGCCCTTAAATTTCTGATCCTTCAAGTGAGGCACGGAGAGGTGGGTGATAATGGTCGTCTTTGACGTGTCCGGTTTGAAGGCCTTTTGCCTCGACCAACTTCCGTCACTGATGTAATTTGCGAGAGCATGCGGTTGGATATAATGTGCAAACTTCGAAGGTTGAGGACAACAATGAAAAACCATACTGAATAGTTGGCCCTCGAAAGTTAGCGTAGTCATTTCTACACGAGACCCCAACATTCCAGACATACAATGGGCACAGTGAGTGGGGCAATGAGGGTGACGAGGAACATGGTACCTGGCCCATTTGCACGGTTCCCATATCTACCGCTTCCTATGCGCACGTTCGATGCTTCGCTATTCTACAAGCGTCATGTCTTTTGACACACCTCGCTAAGCGTATTTGCGATGGATTGCAAAGAGTACTTGCCAACCGCCTGTATAACTTTCACATTTATTCCGAGTAAACATCGAGGTTCCGACGCCCTCATACTTCGTTCCGAAGTGCCATGACTATATCACTTTCTGAGAATAAGTAGTACACGAATTTCCAATCGCCAAATATTGCAAGTACCTGCTGTTGGTCGTCCTAGTAACTAGGATCGCTTGGAAGACCGGTGCAGCTGTCCAACAGGCACCCACAAACAATGGCCAGTCATGACGCTCTGAATTGTCACGAAGAGAATTGTCTCAGCTTTTCGATATCCCTCACCCCTCCTCACTGACATCTGGTGCTGAAGAAGTACGAGCTCGATATCGGCTACCTCAAGATCTCGCTAGCAAGTATCCGCTCACCACCTGAGCCATTAATATACACGGGCTGGATACAGAGCGGCGCACGAAGCCGTAACACGAGATTGTGGAGAAACAAAAGAGGTATCGCAGGAGAGTCAGTATGATGTAAGTCCGCTCAATGAATCTAATCAAAAGAAATGTGAATGTCCCAATACGGTCATGAGGTCTTGGAAAGAGAATCGCCTTTCGAGCGATGCTTGACGATCCAAGGGTGTTTCCGGACCTCGGACAACGCAAGACGCTTCTCGGGGTCATATTGCAATAACTATATCATCAAGTGAGATCAGCTGCAAGGTCATGGATAGGAGGAAGAGTCCGTACCCTAGTGATGACATCGCGGGCCTCAGGTGAGACGGTATTGGGTATCCTCAAGTCCACCTTGGCAATCCGTTTATATGTTGCTGTTAAAGCAGAAGGGTAAAACCTCACAATTAACAGTAAATAAAATTATGCAGCGTACCATTATATCCACTCATGTCTTCAAACGGCGGATTACCAACGATAAACTCGTACGTGAGAACACCAAGAGCCCAGAGGTCAACCTTCTCTGAATGATCACGGCCCTCCACCATTTCCGGTGGGAGATAATCCAACGTTCCACACAACGTTGTCCGCCGATTTCCAGGAGCATGCACACTCCACCCAAAGTCTCCAATCTTCAGCTCTCCATTAATGCCTAATAACAAGTTCTCCGGTTTGATATCCCGATGAATGACGTGCTTCGCATGCAGGTAACCCAGAGCATCTGCCATCTGATCAATATACCTTGAACTCCTCTTCTCCGAGAACCGGCCGTATTTCGTAAGTTGTTTATAAAGCTCGCCCTTTCCGGCGAACTCGAGCATGAGGAATATACGTTGTTCATCATGGAAGTATCCGTACAGACGGAGGACATGCGGGTGTCGGAGGTTTTGCTGAATCTCAATCTCACGTCGAATTTGCTTTTCGACCCGGGATTCGACGATTTCCTTCTTGTAGAGACATTTGAGAGCAAGAATGAAGTGAGGTTCGACCTTCGTGCGAACCATGTAAACACGGCCGAATTTACCCTTTCCGAGCGGTCGACCCATGTCAAAGTCAGTAAGATGCCATTCGCGTGTTGGATGTGGCCTATCTACGGGTTAGTGATAGTGCTTGACTATTAGGAGACGAAACGTATACATACCCTGACACCGAAGAATCCAGCGCGAGCTCTTTCGCAGCGTCACCATACACCTTCCCTCCTCTACTCTCCTGATCAAGCTCAAATCCACCATCATATTTGCCGATGTCAAACGAAGGTTGTGCGGGTGCTGCTGGCTTCGATTTCTGTTGAGGCTTGGTGGGTGAGGGTGGCCGTGAAACCTGTTGTTTCACAGTCGCAACTGAGCTGACCGACGACGACGACTTGGTGTGTGTAGGGACGAATGGATTCGGAGCGGCATATTTGTTTAGAAGTTTAATCTTGCTTGCGTCTTGACTGGATTTTTTCTGGTGATTGGTGGTCGTAGGTCGCGTCGTATTCGGCTTTGAGGAGATCTCGAGTGCAGCAATTTGCCGTGTTACAGAGTTGATGGAAGCCATTTCCGTGTCGTAAAGAGGAGGCACCGGGCTTGGATGTTCCGCTCGTCGCTGGTGGGAGGAGGTAACGCGTTGACGTTGACCTATGGGATGCAGTGCAACAGCAGTTTACGCGTGGCTCAAGTTGAACATTGAACTTGGCAACTTCAAACTCCGATCGCGACTCTGCATGTGACCGCGTTTGCTTGAAAGTTTGTACGTTTCTACCGCAACCTCAAGCTCAAAATTCAATTCTGCAGAAAATAGGTATAGCGCGACGTCGTTTGCACCTTCTCTACTACTAATATTCAACACGAATTATCATCTAGGAAGCCACTCAGGACTGTGTGCATTGAGGACCACTGGTGCGCCGTCCTCCTTCACAGGCGTCCTATCCAGTATTGCGGCATGTCTGATTGCCGAGACCATCTTTCTGTGTGAGTTATGCCCGTCAAGCTCTTCTCCGGATTGTCTGTACTGTCGCAATATACTCGCAATCTCAGCACTCGGCGGTATGCCTTGTCCAGGCAACGGACATCCTTGTCCAAATGCTACACTAGGGTCTAGTTGACCCAGGGAACGGACCCAGCGACCCACTGCAGCAAGGGAGACGCGAACCTCCCAAGACCCGCCTTCCTGTTGTGGCAGGACTGTCTAGTAACTCAGGACATAAGCCAGAATGGCAGATCCACTCACTGTGATGGTCCTGGCTAGAGCAGCGTGAATACCAAAAGCAAGAAAATATGCTGCAGCGTGATCCAAAGCCTGCATCGGAAGAGGCCTGGGTGGTTGACGACCTTGGATGTGTTTACCTTGGTATGTTGCGAATGCCTCTGCTTCGGCACAATTAAACCCGGTGGTAGTCTGTACCAAGGAGTCAAACTAGTGCGATAATCATAAGGAACTTATGTCAGTGCATATATCCGCGAATCCATGAATGCCTTACCCCACGAAGGTCCTTCCATGGACCCTCCCAACCATATGCGGTCAAACTTGCATACACGATCCCAGGTCTTGCACGGACAACATCTTGTACTCCAAATGCTTTATCCTGTAAGCCACCTGGTCGATAGGCTTGAAGAAATACATCTGCATCTTTGACAAGAGATGCCAATGTATGTCTATCTTGCTCCACGGTGAGATCAAGCTGCGTTGTCCGTTTACCACGTGAAGTATCCACATCTATGGATGGGAGAGCAGGTAACCTTGGTGATGTAATCCACAGAACGTCAGCGCCATGAGCTGCAATAAACTTGAGCCCTGGTTCAAGTCCACAAGCTCGAAAATCCTACCTGCTAGCGTGCGTCCACAAATAGGACCTGCAAGTACACGCGTCAAATCGAGCACTCGAATTCCCTCAAGAGGATGCTGATTCCCTTCCTTTAGTTCTCGTTTCGGAGCGTCTCCCACCTTGAGTAAGACGACAGGGGGTGTACCTGTCAACGCCTTACCCTGTGGGTGTTCGTCCCATTCATCAAACGTCCTCATCGCTGTAGCTACCATCTTCCGCCTCGCTACTTCCATTTCAAACTCCCGGGAGTTCCACTGAAGAAGGGCGTGCGCAACGCTTTGCTTGGTTGATCTGCATTGAAGAATATCTAGGATCCCTTGGCGATGACTTAACGAAAGGGCCGCCTCCAATTAATGACTTACTTCTGCGAGGGATAACGACAAAGAGATTACTGTGGAAAATTTGTGTGTATCCGTACATAGTTGTTGTCCTTGGTCTTGTAAGTCCCTGCCAACTCGTTCCATACCTCACCGGGAGGCTGGCCATCGACACTATAATACGCCTCGCTCTCTGTTGAATATATTATCGATGCATACTATCAACAAACCTCTCAAATTTTGTCAGGGAGATTGAACTCACTGAACTCCACCACGGCATGCTTCGCATCAACTGACACATTTTGCTTCTGTCCAGTTCGGAGCTCATGTACATGAGCAGCAGATAATCCTGCAAGACCGATGACTGTCTGCGCGACTGTACCCAACCTGAACGAAGAGTTAACAGCTGGGTCCGGATTCTCGGATAAATGTAGTCGAGAAAGTGCTTCTCGTGGTAAGTTCAGAGACTCCCAGAGTCTCTCGGCGTGCACCTTGCTACTAGCTACATTGACTGCCATCATCGAGAGTCTGCGAAGCATACGCTGATAATTCGGCTTGAAATGAAAACGAGTAGTGACTCGACCGATGGCGACATCGGAGTACGGACAAAGGTACGGACGTAAGATGTTCAAGCATATGAAATCCGCATTTAGAACCTTGAGTTTAAAGCTAATTTTAGATCTGCCAGTACGAGACAAGGGGGGTTGAATTGAGGATGCAAACTTCCTTTTCAAGGACGTGTATTCTACCTTTTACCTCCAGTACGATGCTGCAGGATTATGCATTGAGTATTCATACGAATGTACAAACACCATATCACGCTTTCACGGCGGTGATACCAGCTTCCTTCAGTTTCTCGATGAGCTGATCGACATTCTCGACCTGGAAAATCAAAAATATCTTGCATGAGCACTGAAAACTGACTACGGACTCATGGACTCACCTTTCCACCGCCTACACGCTTTGGTGGCTCTGCCACCTTCAAAGTCTCCAGACGTGGGGCGAGGTCAACGCCGAGGTCAGCTGGTGTAATTTTCTCAATGGGTTTCTTCTTTGCCTTCATGATGTTTGGAAGGGAGGCGTAACGTGGCTCTGGGACACAATTAACCTGAGAATACGTATGATGAAGCATATTTGAGCTTACCGTTGAGCCTATGACCCCATAAGTCAGTAGATAATTGCGCAATAAGAAATGCGTTACGTACCGAAGGTCTGTAGTCACCACAAGTGGCAATCGACACTTCAATTCCTCAAGACCCCCATCAATCTCCCTCGTCACATTCGCTTCCTTCTTCTCCGCATCCACGACGAGCTTACTTGCGAACGTGGCCTGAGGCCAATTCAACAAGCCCGCCAACATTTGTCCAGTCTGACTCGAGTCATCATCAATAGCCTGTTTGCCCAAAATTACCAGGTCCACGGGAGTCTTCGCCTTCTCCCTCTCAATCACGGCTCGAAGTGCTTTTGCAACGCCAAGGGGTTCTGGTGTTGGATCAGAGTCTGCAAGACTGACATGAATGCCCGAGTCGGCACCCATGGCAAGTGCAGTTCGGAGTGTCTCCTGCGACTTAGTTCCGCCTATTGTGACGACTTTGATAGACTTGACAGCATCCTTGAGCTTCTCTCGAAGTCTAACGGCCTCCTCAACAGCTGACGAGCGAAGACCGTAAGACATACTGAATGTTACACATATGAGAGCATAACCACGTTATGCTGTTCACGTACCAATCTCATCGAACGGGTTCTACTGGTCTACGCGTCAGAATTGCACGTTCTCTTTTACCAAGCAAAGCAAATAAACTTGCCATCGAATGTTTGACATTGAGGTCCACACCCTTCTGGTCGGGGTTCACCCGGATCTTGACTGCATAGTCAATCGTCCTGCATGCACCGGGTTCACGTTAGCATTGTTATTCCTTGTGTAAGCCTCACTAAAAGTCTATCAGACCGTTTGACAGGAACAAGGATATTGAGTAGACGGGAAGCAGTGGGCCTCATCGTGGTCGGACGAGAGTGAAGTTCCAGTGAATGGTCGGCACTAAATGGAATTCAGTGTATGACGGCTTCCGGCACACATTACCCGGGCACTGGTGGGTGACATCTATTCTCGTTTATTGAATCCTTCATTGTCGGTTTGTTCACAACTCTGTGTTCGTACATTGGATGGCTCGTAAGATCGTATGTGAAACTATTTAACATTCATCTCGCGGCGCTGTTACAATGCATACAGTTATAATGGGGGTGCGATCCTTCCTTACAAATGCTACGCAGTCTATACTTGCCAAATAATCCCATCGGACCTGTACCCGAATGCAGTTCTACAACCAGCTGCACAAGGATCTTTTAAAAAAATGCTAGAAGCAAGAAGCTACCAGTCAAGATCGTGAGGGTCCTTGATCATGTTTGGAAAAGGTTAATAAATGACTTGACCAACGTTCCGGTCAAACGTGCAATCCGAAGGTCACTTTACGTATCTACCCAACGATTGCAAGGGATAAGGTCATACTGACTGTTCACTAGTCAGCAAGGCATCGTCTGTCGCGCACGCACGTTTAAATCGCGTCTTCTTGACACTTCTCGCCAACTCGACGCAACAGCCACCAAAAACGTCAAACTAGTACCCAACCAGTCGCGTAGTTGGCTTTGCATCCGATGGCCTCTTGAAACCGGCAAACAGTCTAGATCCTTCACTGCTCTGGTGTGAACCACAACATTTAGACGAGGAAACGTTCACCTGATCAAAAAAAGTCGCAGCGCGTGCATGTGCAAACATATTTTGTTGGGGCGTTGCGCTCGTTACGAGACATTTTGCCAATCAGGTGTTGTTCCGGTTGACCAGCCACCATTCAGCCCCGCAACGGGATGATCTTGATACGAACCCCTGCCGTCTGGAATGTTAGAACCGGCCGCTTTGACAGTCGAATTGGTGGTGTAAGGCGGTCGGATCTTCAGGTGTTGCACTAGGCTTCCTAAGTGGGATAGAGAAACGACTACTCGCACAAGTAATGAAATTAGTTCTGCAATAACTAACATGTTCATTGGCCATATTTTAGGTTCAGTATACTGCGGTGGTCGAAGAACGGAGGATGGAACGCGAATGGAAACGTCCATTCCAAAGTCCGACGCCGAAAAAGGCTATTCCCCCCGGAGAGCAGTCCGATATTATTGGGCGCCCACGGAATGGACCTTGGATTGCGAGTCTGACGTATAAAAATGGCGACCCAGACCGCAGCGACTTTTCATATCGTCTCTTTAAGTCCAGGCTTAACATTAGCAGGGTTCAACAATCCAGGCACCTTGCTCATCGTTCCCAACGACCACCATGTCGACACCGTCAGCATCCACCCCCGACGGCGGCACGCCAACTGAATTTCCACCGATCCCCAATAACGGCGACTCGTCGTTACAACGTCTTAAGAATGTACCGGGTTACTCTACTCCCGTGTTCAAGGGAAAAGAGGAGCAGCGTGCCAAAGTACAAGCAACTGTAGTTCAGAAGGTCAGTTCACCGTTCCGCCTGTGCACTTTGTCACTTTCCTGCGCGACGATGGTTGGGGTTTCCCTGAACGTATGCACCTGTGAGCGCATCCTGCACTATAACGCGCATATATGCATTTGATTTACGATGCCTGTTGTTATCGAGGAGCATCCCTCGCTATTCCGATCCCCATCTGCTGTTTCCATGTTTTCTGATTCTCCGAGTTATGTCTAATCATATCTGTCCTAACTCGCCTCTTACAGGGTTTCATCCCACGTGAACTTGTATCAAACGAGGTCAACTGGTTCTACACTTTCCTCGGCATCGACGACACCTATTTCCACTCGGAGACCGTTGAAGTCATCGCCGACCATATCATCGCGCTCTACGGCGCCAAAGTGCTTGCATATACCAAGCGCGATCCATCCAAGCTAGTCATCGACCTCGAAAATATCGATCCGAAGAGTAATGGCGCGACATTCATCCATACCAGTTCTCCGGGCAAGACCGTCACAGAAGGTCCGGGTTCGGTTTGCGAGAATAGAATTGATGCACTGTATTTGGACAAGTCAACACCTGAGCATGCTTACAGGTTGGAGACCTATCGTTCGCTTGGCTCCGTTTCTGCTACAGCATCTCAACAATTGAGATGTTACTTCATTACGAAGTGCAAGTTCCCTGTGAAACCGCCTGCGTCAGCTCGCAGCGACGGGTAAGTTTCTTCTGGTTTCCTATAACATCAGCTCTTATTCATGTCTCCGTTTGCTATTAGCAAAACGGACATCCGAACTGTATCAGATCCAGTATTTCTCGAGAAGGCGAGCGCAAACACCATCGAGATCTACCAAAGTGTCATGTGGAATGTCGAGAAGCGCTACGGCCCCGTCATAGAAGTATTCGAGGTCGAAGGTAGCAGAGAACGCAGGCTCGTGATTGGTTACAAGATGGGCGGCACCACCAAGTTCTTCAGCGCGCTATCCAATTTGTACCACTTCTACTCCCTCTATTCTACCCGGAAGTATGTCGGTATGTCTTCAGTCTTTTCTATCTCTATAACGACTCTGACACGTTCCTCGTTGTAGAACAATTCAGCAATGGCATTACGATCATATCATTGTATCTGAACCCCTTGCCGAACGCAAACGCTCCTCCAATCGAGCACTCTATTTTCCAAGTCATGAAAGAGGCGTCTTTGCTCTACACTCTTCCTGACAACCCCTTCTTTTATGCCGGTTCTGGTGCTTCAAGTGGACACGCTGTCCAAGAAGCCGTATACGCATGTAGGTTGACTTCAACCGTTCGGATCTATTTCGTGGTTCTAATTTCGCTGTTTTCGTAGATTGCGGATGGGTATTCGCGCAACATTTCTGTAACCGACTTGGTCAGGCGTACTTGAGCCTGAAAAACATCTTGGACGAGAACAACCCCACACACGCTGAAGTTCTCAACGATATCAAGAGGAGGTTCAGGGAGGAGACGTTCACTCGAGAGAGTATCGCTCAAGTTATTCACGCACATCCCCACTTGGTACGTCGACAACACTTTGTGTAGGATCCTTTGACACTGAAGTGAGTTGATTACAGATTAACCTGCTCTACGTGAACTTCGCTATGGTTCATTATCCTGAAGTGGATGAAGCACAACTCATGTAAGGCTTTCGTCCCTAGCCTGTCTTTCACTCATTTAATCTCCATTATTTAATCTTTAGGCCAACCCTCTCTTATCAACGTCTCCACCTGTCCCAACCTCTCTCAGACCAAGAACTCTATGAGAAGATCCGAAAGACTGCTGCTAATAAGCACGAATTTCAGGTTCTCGAGGCCTTCCTGATCTTCAACAAACATGTTCTCAAGACTAACTTCTACCAACCGACCAAAGTCGCGCTGTCGTTCCGGTTAGCACCAGAGTTCTTGCCTGAGGTCGAGTACCCCAAAAAGCCATTCGGGATGTTCCTCGTAATCGGCAATGAATTCCGTGGGTTCCACATCAGGTTTAGGGATGTTGCCAGGGGTGGTATTCGAATTGTCATGTCGCGAAACAGGGAGTATGTTTTTTTTTCTTCCACGCATTTCTCGCTCTAAATTGTTGACATGTTTTGTCTCTAGATCGTACTCGATCAACCAGCGGATGCTGTATGTAATCTATCTGCTAGTTCTGGGCATCTTTGTTGAACTTGTTTTGCAGGTTTGACGAGAACTATGGACTCGCTTCGACACAGAACCTTAAGAACAAGGATATTCCAGAAGGTGGTGCCAAAGGTACCATTCTGCCTGCGTAAGTCTCATGCTTCCCACCTTTTCCCTTTTTCACAATGTCCATAAAATGACCATGTTCAGTCTGGGTGCCTCTCCCCTCCTGTGCTTCGAGAAGTACGTCGATGTAAGTGCCGTCTTTGCATAGTACGGAAGAAGCGACAGACTCACTGCTTCCGACTGACAGGCCATCATCGATCTTCTTATCCCGGGACAAAGTCCAGGCATCAAGGAACGTCTGGTTGACTTGTACGGAAAACCAGAACTTCTTTTCTTCGGTCCCGATGGTTGGTGTGCCCTCATCGTAATCGTATAACAATTCTAATGACGCATTGTCTTGCAGAGGGTACTGCAGATATGATGGACTGGGCAGCACGTAAGTTGGTCTAGTTATTCATGCTTGACCATCACGTTTATATTTTGACTGTGTAGTCCATGCCCGTCACCGTGGTGCCGATGCTTGGTGGAAGTCCTTCACCACCGGCAAGAGCGCAGAGACTCTCGGTGGTGTGCCTCATGATACCTACGGAATGACGTCGCTCTCTATTAGGCAATACGTTCTTGGTATCTACAAGCAGCTTGGCCTCAGGGAGAAGGATATCACAAAGGTGCAGACTGGTGGCCCTGACGGGGACCTCGGTTCCAGTAAGTCACAACGTGTACCTTTTGCTTACTTGAACGAGACTGACACACATCTCCAGATGAGATCAAGCTTAGCTCAGATAAGACCATCGCTGTCATTGACGGAAGTGGTGTGCTCGCTGACCCTCACGGTATCAACCGAGAAGAGCTCATTCGACTTGCGACACTTCGTGTTCCAATTTCGCATTTCGACCGCTCGAAGCTTAGTAAGGACGGATATGTCGTACTTGTTGAAGACCAGGACGTCAAATTGCCTTCTGGCGAAGTTGTTCTGGATGGTACCGACTTCCGTAATGGCGCTCATCTCAGGTTTAAGGCGGATCTCCTTGTACCTTGTGGTGGACGGTACGTTTCTTCTACCACCGGTTCATGACGTGTCTCTTACAGATGTGGCCTTAGTCCGGAAGCTGTAAACATCTCGAATGTCGCTGCACTGGTTGACTCGGAAGGCAAGCCCCACTTCAAGTACATCGTTGAGGGTGCGAACCTCTTCATCACTCAACAAGCTCGCCTGTACCTCGAGAAACGCAAGGTCATCCTCTACAAGGACTCTAGCGCCAATAAGGGTAATTTGCTCAAAATGTTTTGCTCCACATACTCTCGGTTCTGACATTCTTCTGTATAGGCGGTGTTACGAGTTCATCGCTTGAAGTCCTTGCTGGGCTTTCTCTCTCGTCGGAGGAGTACACCAGACTCATGATCTTCAAAGATGGAAAACCATCAGAGTTCTACCAGAACTACGTCAAAGATATCCAACAAAAGATCACCGAGAACGCGGCTGCCGAGTTCCACTGTATCTGGAAGGAACACGCTCGTCTGCAAGGCTCCAAACCCCGTACACTCATCTCCGATGAGCTCTCCGGCAAGTTGAACGCACTGCAAGAAGAGCTTGAGGCTTCGGATCTTTTCGATGACGTGCCGAGCAAGAGGGGTGTCATGAACCGGGCGATCCCCAAAACATTGATTAACGAACTCGGTCTGGATACATTTTTGGACAGGCTACCAGAGGCGTACCAGCGTGCTTTGTTCTCCAGTTGGGTCGCTTCTCACTTCGTACGTTCTCATCTTTGCTTCCCCATGTTGAGCTAAAGACTAATGTTATGATTGTAGATTTACAAGTACGGAGTCAACGGTTCTTCTGTCGACTTCTTCCACTTTGCTAGAGACCTTGCTGTATGATGATCCGCTTTGCTTTCTTCGCCTGATTGTCGCTATTGTCGTTTTGTTTGCATGGACATTCATGTTCTTTTAAGAGCTCCTCACTACATTCAAGTAATACCAAGTCAAAACGCACCTTGTCGCATTAACTAGAATGTCGATTGTAATTGTATTTCCCAACATTTTACGCCTGCTCAATGTCTCAGCTGGATACTGCTAAGTTAGCCACGGTTGAATTATTCCGTTCCCACCCACATAGCTCTGCGTAGTTCAGCTTTGCACGCGCGTGTAATTATGAGGAGTAGCAGGCATGTTATTGTTTGCAGAGTCATCCCTGCCCAGGTGTCAAGAGACACTGAGTGAAATATGTAAACACCAAGAGCTCCATGTCAAGGGCAAGTTGAGTAGCAAGAACAATATAGCAAACAAACAAATTCTAAGCAAAACCAATCATCGAGTAATCATACAAATTCTTCTTTCTTCTAGTTGTCATTCTGTATCGCCCAATCATCTCCTTCTTCTTTCCCTCTCCACTCCGTATCAGAGTACAAACGATCAACATCTCAGTCAAGCTGAGCCAACCCATCCCGAATATACTCCTCAAACAAGGCCTTGTAATCCTTGTGCCAACGACTAAGAGCAGGACGGCCTTCTGCAACGTCTCCCGCGGTCCACATGATACGCAATTGATCGAGCTCCTTGCGAGTCTCATTATCCGGGACGAGGATGTAGAATTTGCCTTCACGGAACTTATCGATCTAGTGAAAAAAAAAACAGGTTTGGTCAGGGGCCAATACGAAAGTGAACCAAAATGAGCATGTACCATGTATAAGACGGTTTCTTGAGCGGTCCAAGCCCCAGCGGGTTTCTCTCCGCCTTTACCTGCGCCAGTCAAACCAGTCCAAGTCCATCCGGGGCTGAGCGAGATCATTCATTCATCCCATCAATCAATGGATCGGAAAGGTGTCATGGGGGACTCACATGAACAAATGGGCGGTAGTGTTATTCCCTGCTGGGTGTTCTCGCAATTCATGGGCGAGACTCTCGGTCAGGGACTTGACGGCTGCCTTGGAAGCATTGTAGGCTGCGTTACCGCTGTATGATAATCGCACTGTTGAGAAACAGCAAGCAAATAAAACTTTGGAAAGCGTACGGAGGGTTGGTGATGCCTTGCTTGGATCCGGTATTGATAATTGCGGCTGCGTTCTCTTGGTAAATCATGGACTGCACGAACGTTTGTTGCACGTTCAATACCCTAAGCAGAACCAATCATCACACACTTGCTCAAATCAAGATATTTGTAGTGGACGTACCCAAATAGATTTACGTCAAAGACCTTGTGCCAGGCATCAAGTCCATCCCAAGACGTGCCCTTCGAGCTAATGCCGGCATTGTTCATCAAAACAGCGACCTGGGAAGATGAGAGCACATCACAAATCGTGAGGTTACATGTCCAGCACGATGCAGATCGAGGTATAGGATGGGGAAAGGGGATAGAAGATATGTAGGAGGGACTCAAGGAGGGAATTATCGGCATGCACGATATAGAATGGTGACGTGATGATAGAGGAAAAGAGTAGAGTAGCACAGGTGGCTAAGCCGAGACGACGGCTGAGCGCTGTAAGCTCACCTCGCCCCAAGCCTCGTACACCCTGTCACGAAAACGGACGACGTCTTCGATCTTGCTGACGTCTGTTGGCACAACGAGCACATTGCTGGGGTCGCCTGAAACTTTGGCGACTTCCTCTCCAGCAGCACGCAGTTGATCTTCGTTCACGTCTGCCAATGCGACTTTCATGCCGAGTCTGCAAACATGATGGAGGCGTCAGAATTAACGTTCACAGTCAAATCGGAGGGATTAGCGATATGGTGATCGACTGACTTTGCGAATTCAACCGCTGCGGCTGCACCGATCCCACTGGCAGCACCAGTGATGACTGCCACCCGACCAGAGTGTAGAATAGGGTGCACAGCAGCATCATCGACTGGTGCTATTGGGTTCTCGAAAGCAAACGACGAGTTTGGCCTGAGAGGAGAGGGTCGACGACTACCGTTGGTACTGACGGAGATGGTGGTCATTTTGGGTGAAGCAGGAAGATATGGAGACAGAGAATGGTTGCAGGGGTAGATAAATAGCAGAACAAGAGGTTGAGAGAAATGGTTCTATGGAGAGTCTAGAATGGCAGCGCCTTTATATATGACCTTCCGGTGCACTGCAGTGACGTTTGGGGATACATTTCATGCGAATGCCGATATGCACCGATATTATCCTTCCATCTCAACAGTACCATTGTTCTATTGTAGTGATCAGGAGAATGGTGTCAAATGGTCCCGTATGTGCGTTGACATCGCGTTGCGCAATATGCTTGCAGAATTTTATCAGACATAACGTGCAAAAAAGAACAATGTCTCCTATACAGCGCTTGACAAGAAAGGACCCTGTAAGTACAATTCGCACCGTGACCGCAACTACGCAACGATGACCGCTGTCGATATACGGAGCGCGGTAGACTCTCATGATCTCTCGGCATCCGTTGCAAACAACGCGTCCTGGGCCTAGTGAAATCCACCTGACTAGGGGCGTGCCCGACTCAGGGCGCACGACTTTCCAATGCAGCCAGGAAGGATCGCAGTTATAGCAAATACTGCGTCTGAAGTAATTGCAACGTTGGTTGCAGCGAGCACGTCTTAGTTGACTCCACCATAGCAAGAATCCGTTTAAGAAATCCACCTGTACGAACCTGCCAGTTTGCTAGGGGCTCCGAGCAAGACAAGGCGACATGAAAGACTCGTGGTGAACCTCATGTACCTAATGTCACTTTAGCTGATTGGAGCCTATTGAACTCAGATCAATTGCTTTACTTTCAAGGTATCATGTACTCACATCATTCATCATGTTGAAGTGATTTTTACATACAGCCCGTGACACTTCAAGTGAAATCGCTGAGATGGAACTCGGGACTCTCCAACTCTGCCGGCAAAGATCAGACGCAGTCCACTGAACACCCTTAGCAATAGAATAGTAGAAATCGAGTAGCGAACATCACTGATGTTCGTTCAATGTACCTTCATCGTTCAGATGTTCGAATGTTAACGTTCACCGTTCAGTAACGTTCCATATTCAATTGTCGCGTCCCAATTGGTCCGCGGTCACATGTATCACGCTACGTCACACGACGTGTCACATTATCGTGACAGCATTGAAGTGACCGAAATTTCCCGAGGATACGTCTTCAACGTTCTCAACGACGACCTCTATGGTTTCTCGGACACTCTCTGCCTCGCTCGGGCGTGCTCTGCGCACCGCTGCGCGCAAGCCTGTGAGTACGCTCGATATCTCCGCAATGAAAAGAAAGATGATTCAAGCACTTCTCGGTGATGACATGTTCTCAACCGCGAATTGCTTGAGTGGAATTCAGGCTTCCTTCCATACTATAAAACATAGACTGATGTCGTATCACAGCAGCGGCCTCTGCGGTCCTTTGCGACGGCAGCTAATGTTTCGACGCCGATCACTCAAACTACGACCCTCCCGAACGGCTTGACTGTCGCAACGGAATCACATCCTCATGCGCAAACGGCCACTGTTGGTGTCTGGATAGACGCAGGGTCGAGAGCAGAGACGGACAAGACAAACGGTACTGCACATTTCTTGGAGCATATGGCCTTCAAAGGTACCAACCGCCGAAGTCAACACGCACTGGAGATTGAGGTTGAGAACCTCGGCGCCCACCTGAATGCATACACTTCTCGCGAGCAGACGGTCTACTACGCCAAGAGCTTCCGCAAGGATGTTGGTTCTGCTGTGGATATCATCTCTGACATCTTGCAAAACTCGAAGTTGGACAATTCTGCGATTGAGCGGGAGCGTGATGTCATCTTGAGGGAGCAGCAGGAGGTGGACAAGCAGTTGGAGGAGGTTGTCTTCGATCACTTGCACTCAGTTGCTTTCCAACGCCAGCCCCTTGGCAGAACCATCCTCGGACCCAAAGAGAACATTCTTTCCATCACCCGGAATGACCTCGACTCGTACATCAAGACAAACTACACCGCTGACCGCATGGTCCTCGTAGGATCTGGTGGTGTCGACCACGATGAGCTCGTCAAGCTCGCAGAGAAGCACTTCTCTACCCTTCCCGTCTCCCCTAACCCCATCCCTCTCGGTCGTCTCGCACACCCCAAGACGCAATTCGTCGGCTCGGAAGTCCGCATCCGCGACGATACCTTGCCCACCGCTCACATCGCCGTCGCCGTCGAGGGTGTCGGCTGGAGCTCACCCGACTACTTCCCAATGTTGGTTATGCAATCTATCTTCGGCAACTGGGATCGTTCGCTCGGCTCAGCGAGCTTGATGTCCTCGCGTCTGTCACACATCATCTCTTCCAACAATCTTGCGAACAGCTTCATGTCCTTCTCCACATCTTACTCAGATACCGGTCTATGGGGTATCTACCTTGTCACGGAGAACTTGATGAACCTGGATGATTTAACTCACTTCACCTTGCGTGAATGGACCCGCATGTCGGTTGCCCCTACCGAGACTGAGGTCGAGCGTGCGAAGAGTCAGCTCAAGGCCAGCTTGCTCTTGTCTCTGGATGGTACCACTGCTATTGCAGAGGATATTGGTCGTCAGCTCGTTACCAGCGGCCGTAGGTTATCTCCTGCGCAGCTCGAGAACGCTGTCGACGCCGTGACTCCTGCTGAGATCAAGCGTGTTGCGCAGAAGTATCTGTGGGATCAGGATGTGAGTATTTCAGAGGTTTTAAGTGAAATTGCAAGTCTGACATGATTTTAGATTGCCATTGCTGCTCTCGGTCCTGTTGAGGGTCTTCTCGATTACAACCGTATTCGTGCAGACATGTCATCTTTGCTGTACTAGAGGAAGGTTCGTGGGTTCTTCCACGTTCTCGCCCATATATCTAATCGCTGTACTTATTAGGATGTTGGACCAAAATATTTACAGCATAGCTACTTCTACTGTTATTGCGTTAGACGATAATGAAGTGTCTTTGTGCCTTTAATTCATCTGGACCCTTCTCCTGCAAACACTCTAGGGATATGAGCGGGATTCAAGCCTTGAAATTCAAATATCACCGAATTCATCTACTACGTACATTCACAGGCTAAGAACGATGTATGTTTGTCAGTCTATAAATATCGCGCCAAGGGTCATTATAATGCACCTCAGGCAACTGAATTGTGTCCCACAACTCCCTTTCCCTTTCAGACTCGGTAATATGCTCTGCATCTCTTTCATTGTCTCCATTAATATCATGCAAGTCGTGCAATTCATATGTTTCATTAACTGGGATATCAGGGACGTTTGACTCTCTTCTTTCTTGCTCCTGTTGTATACTTTCCGCACGCATGGAGGAAGGTATATGTGCGGCATCTGACGTGCGACGTTTGGGAAGCAAAGAACGCCAATGGCTCACTTCGAATGCTTTATCAACCTCTTCCAAGGACGCACCACGAGTCTCGGGTAGGTATACGAGACATGCGACGGTGGTTATGAGGGAACATGCGCCAAAGAGGAAGTAAGGACCAGAAGACGAATGCGCCAGGAACAAAGGTGTTGAGAATGCGATCACCCAGTTTATAGCCTACCAAACCAGTGGTAGATCAGCCCTAGCCGACTTAATAAACGTTGACGCAGAGAAATAACGACGAACCCAGTTAGCACATTGTCCTAAGCTAGTAGCCGCTGCTCTAGTCCTCATAGGTTGGATCTCGCTACAAATGATTCGAGTCACGATGGCCCAAGTGCAGCTGAAGCCAATGACGAATATGTAGATGAGTGCAATGATGGCCCAGCGGCCTGCTGAAGTATCCGAGGCGTTGCTTGCGTAGAGAGTACCGATAACCAACATAGAGCCTGCAATGACGGTTCCACCACTGATCATGGATGCACGACGGCCCCCTATACGTGACATTGTGAGTGAGTGAATTAGGTGTAGAGATGACAAAAGGCTGACAAGAATCCGCAAAGAATTGGGCGACGATTGTACAAGCGATGTTTACGAGTCCGGAAACACCTGAAGCAATGAACGAGGCTGTGGTGCCGGGAAGGCCTGCTTGAGAGAACAAAACGGGGGCATACTGAGGATAGCGGATCAGCAGAAGACATTACTAGCATAAGGACTCGGAACTCACGTAGAGTACACCATCGATACCAGAAGCCTATAAAGCATAGTTAGTACCGCAGCTTAATCTAGAAGGAACAGGATGAGAGTCTAAGACGAAGTCCAAGGACTGACATTCTGCATTCCCATAAGGAAGACACCCAAACCAGTGCGTTTCCGGACGTCCTTCTTCCACAACTGTCTGGCCTCTTGCCACCAATTACCTCGTGGAGATCGTTCACGTTCACGCTCACGCTCTGCATTTTCTTCAGTTTTCTCAGCGTCGGCGGCGCTGACACCTAAACGGACCCAAGCAATGTCGGCTTCAGCGCTACGACCGACATGGCGTAGCCATCGAGGAGAATGAGGCAAGAAAGGGCAGCCCGCGGCGAGAACTACGGACACGGCTGCTTGCATTCCAAGGGGGAATCGCCATGAGAACGAAGACGCGATGCGTGAAGTTCCGTAGCACACGAAGTAACCTGATGAGGATAATGAAGAGTCAAGGACAGCCCGAGCAGAAAAAGAATATACAAGAATGAGTACCAGAAGCAATCCCAATAGTGATGAGAAGCTGCACTACGCTTCCGAGTCTACCCCTGCTGGATGCCGGTGCGATCTCGATGGCGTACACGGTCACTACGGAAAGGAATAGTCCTTCACCAACACCAGCCACGCTTCGACCAACGAACACCTGTGCCAGTGTATTTGCAGAGCATGCGATAGAGCTCCCAACTGCAAATACAATACCACCGATTGCGATCGTTCGCGTCCGGGAGATTCGGTCGGACAATGGTCCAGAGACCAACGACGCCAGAGACGCTGTTAACAGGATACATGAAACGATGAGTCCTTGAGTCGTAGGAGAGATGACTCCGGTCTCGGTATTCGCGAATTGAGCTCGGAACTTGGGCATGATAGTTATGGGACCGATACTTCCGGTGTCAAACCCAAAAATGAACCCTCCAATGGCGGTGAAGAGAGTACACCAGATGTAGTTGGGAACATGAATAGGTTTTGGCAGAGCTTCGACTGCAACAGAACGCGCTCTGTGCAAGAGACCTCGCGACCCTGAAGGTGTACGAAAACATGCCTCTGAGGAAACGTTCCCTGGCAAGATGTCAGTGGTCGACATGGTCAGTACCCAGCTTACGGTTAGGAAGGAAACGTCTTCCAAGAGCTTTTTCCACGATAAGTGACCAAGCAATCCCCCTCTACCCACGATAATAAGGTTTCCGTAATTGAGAACTTCCACATTGGGGGTCAGCACAGTAAGGGAGTCAGCAGATGACCAGCGGTAATGAGAACGCGAATAATGATATGCACTCCCCATCAATGATCCGGCCGACTTCACCTCAACAAACGCATCTCAAACGTTTGACAAAACCATTGTGGCCAAGTTGAATTTGCCTTCTCGCCGTTTGACATTGAAGGCTACTCATCGGGCAGGAGCATACCAGCGATGACTTTCAAGTTATGAGTTCATGCCAGCGAATAAGAATGTATCATGCTTTTTCTTTATGTTACTAAACATCCCATATATCCTCAAGAATCTCCATCGCAGAGGCCTGGGCGTAAAGCGCACCAAAGTGGTTGAAGAGCGATTGCTGACACGCCTCTCTGTATTAATCGGAACCTGAAATCGTGAAGCCGAGCTAAAGCAGACTTCACATTGCGCGGCGAACCATCAGGCAGGGTGGCACCAGTCCAGAAAACTTCTGCTGAACTGGCTGCTCGAGGCCAAACAATGGAATCGAGATTGGATGGATCTGACTGCTCAGTCCAAAGGAGTTGTTGACCTAAGCTCAAAGGGGTAAATAGGTTATGTTAATCAATATTAATTAGAAACTTGGACGTACCTCCAAGGACGAGATGGCTTTGCTCAGGTGTGATATTGGCGAGAGGGTCGAAAGTATACGACTGTATGATATAGTTTTGTTCGGTTCACCTTGATTCACCTTGACAGTAGTTGGAAACATGATCTTACCTTTTGCCAGGACTTGAAGGGATCACACCAGCTATTCCTGTAAGGCCATTGGAGATGTTCAGTACATCTACGCTATAGATGAGACGGCAAGCATACCCGGAAACATCATTACCAAGCCATTCGCCTGCACCACAGTCCTATAGGCCGAACATCGTTAGCGAGTCGGAATCAACCTGCCAGGAAAATCATACAAGGTAGAAGAAGTCGGAAGGACCGTGAACAATTCTGAAGTTCTTTGCGGCTACAGCGGCAGCATGCTGCGAGGATATCCACACCCTATTAAGGTTTATGATGAATTCCGAATGACTACAGGTATAGATAATGGAACATACATGACCACGGTCTCGTTCGAGAGTGTCACGTTATGCTCCAATACCATCTCTATTCAAATTCAGGACGTTAGATACCTTGCCCTTGACCGAACTCGGTTTACGAACCTTCCCAAACAACCGGCGTCTTGCCAGCCTTTTCCAGAGCACCCTGAGTCGTCTGCATGAATCCGCTCAAAGCTTGTTCGAAAGTCTGTCCTGTCGATTGAAGTATCGACTGTGTCTGAGAATCGTTAGCATAACACTCTGTATTGACTTCATCGCCTCCGGTACTAAAGAATTTGGAGGGAAAGAGTTTGGCTGCGGCAGTCAGCAGGTTTGCAGTGAAGTTTGCTGTTGCGGATGATGCAAAGCGAAGCTGTCCGGCAGGAGGCTCTGAGACAAGACGTCGTCCTCAGGACGATGACGGTGTGGAGGCATATAAACAAACGGACCTCCAGCAACCTGAGACCAAGGAGAGGCATGAGAACAGGCAATATGTTCAGGATGGGACTCCGTTATGGCAGCAGTATGACCTGGGGTGTCGATTTCCTATGATTATCATAAGTCCAGGAAGTCACGTCGTATATAATCCAACCCACTACGAGAACGTCAATGCCACGCTGAACGGACTATGAATACATCATCATGAGCCTAAAATGAGGCATGGACTCACCGCGCCAGCGTATGACACAATATCTTGAATATCCTTTGAGCTGTATGACATCAAAGAAGAGTAGGCGCCCTTGGCAGCCACTTCCGTAAACCCAGGGATAACGAGGGGGAAACTTTGACTGTCGGTAGCGTGCCAGTGAAATTGACTCATCTATATGAAAGAACACATCGGAGTTACACAAACAATGATGATGGACAGAATTGCTTTCAAACCTTCGCCAAACTCATTGCATCGAGAGTTCGTTTGATATCAGTGACAGGGAAACTATCGATCACAGATGTAAGACAAAATTCCAGAAGTGCAACAAAAAAACTGACAAGTTACGCGATGTATCAAGCATGAGACCTCTGTAGGGCTGGTAGCGTTCTGTAAATCAGCATTCATCTTGAGACTACAACCTAGATGCCTACGAACGTAAGCAGGAGAGTCCGTGATAGAAACAGGTGCTTCCAACGTGTAGACTTGGCCGTCGAAGAAATACCACAGTTGTTCGAAAGTGGTCAATCCCCTAAGGAGACCCAGAGTTGAATTAGCTTCTATGGAAGCTGCAGAGCCGTCCGACGGGATATGAAGGGTGTATTCCTCCGACCGGGATTCGATGGGCAGGATTGCCTCATCTGAGATGCTTCGAACAGGAGACCCAGGTGCTAGAGCTAGAGTCAAAGACTTCAATTCTCTTGCATGTTGTATCGTTTCACTATCGGCAGAGCCACGACCAACAACCAGCCTTTCGAATTTGTCGGTCCTGAGGTGACCAACAGTACGAGATATAGCGTCTGAGAGGTCAGACGGTGGATGAGGTACATTGGCCGTAATCCTGAATGAGTTTGCGAGTTTGAGTGCGACAGAACCGGTCTCGAGAGACCTTGGAATAGGCCACAAGCCATAGATGTGCGGAACCCAGGCAAAGAGGACGAAAACGCTGAAGAGATACCCACCCATGGTGTACGTACGTGGTTGATGTTGGTCTTGCCATCCTTTTATATAATGTCAATACAGTAGCGGGACAGCATCATGCGATCCAGGTTCGAGCTCAATGGCACACATGATCGAGAAGCGGTCTGCTAGAGATAGAAGGCACATCATATGCCTCTCTGACCATACGCCTGCTTCAATTTGCTATCAGGAGTCCATAGAAATAGATTCGAAAAATGTTATGCGGGATTCCTTCTTCCGATGACTAACGGACAAAAGCTGCTATCGGAGACCAGGGTGAGGTGGGTATCGAGCTATGGGTGCAATCAGCGGGTTAGGTTCGGCATTGCCTGGTCTCGCTTACCACTTGATACAATTCAAAGCCATGTAGAGAAGCAACTGGACGAGAGTCAGAACCAAGTACAGGGCCGTTGTGATCGAATGATCAAAGTCATAGCGTTTCGTGTAAGTCACAACTTGAAATGACGACAACGAGTCCAAGCAGGTTCAATCGGCAATATCCGATGTTCTTCGTATGGAAGGTTTAACACTTTGCAGAGACCACTCCAGCAGGTTTTAAAGTACTCTGCACCTCCACCGTCGAATTTCTGACTAGCTTGCAAGAACTGGGTTGGTCATGGACCGCGATCAAGGAGAGGCTATTTTCATGGCATCCACAAAGAGTCCTTGCCTCGTTTGCAAAGGTTCGTTCGGTTCCTTCTACCGGCAATGTCACTGAGATTCTATAGACGGGACAATTTATTGAGATAGTTTTTGAGGCCACGGATGAGTTCCTGAATGATCGCTTATAACTTGTATTCACTTGCAATGCGCCACAAGTTGAGATATGAGACCTCACCATTGATAAACTTGAAACAGACCAACGGCGACATAAAGTGAATCACTGAACGGCGGTGAGAATTGATGGTATATGTTTCGATGTGTGTAAGGAAGATCTTCAGAACTACATTTCCACCAGATGCGGCTGAGTATGAAATATCCTGTCCGATGCTTCGTCCGCGTCCCTGAGGGGGGGGTCGACCGTCTAGCGCGACGAAGCAAATGGTAAGCGGGGTATGCACTTGTTCATTACACTGTGATACTGACTCCACTGATCTTTCTAGCAGCTGTGGGTAGTTTCGAAGAGGCATCACCGAGATCATGGCAGTCGTAACTTCGAATTCACTGGTGAACCACAGTTAGTGCGTGATTGTGGATGAATAGGACAGTCTGCGTCAATATACTCACGCATGCATAGAAGAAGAGTTGCTTCAACTTCATTTTCGTCACATCTGCCGGCATGCCTGAACGCATACGCTCAGCTGTAGTTACTGCATACAGACTCGTTATGAGCTCCTCCTGTGTGGGGGGCGGGGTGCGATATGAAAAGAAGGGGATCCATTCGTCTTTGAAGCATGCGCGCTGCATACACGCATGAGGTGCCAATGATTGCTCGCAACATGTCCATTATCAGACAACTTTGATCACTTCGCCGGGTCGTAGGGGGTATTAGAGGGTACAATGGTATCTAAATTGCAGTCGGGTGAGCGATGTTGATAGTAACAAAAGATGAAAACCAATCTTACATGGCCACAGATTGGGAGAATTCATCCTCGAGTTAGTCCCTGACAGCTAGCAAAATGCCGAAGAGTACCACGATGATTGCCAACAGTGCGAGTGATAGTAGTAACGGGCTGATTCGAGCAGCGGGAAAGTTCCCTTCCACGAGAGCTCGCTGGATGACGAAGTACCGGAAGACTCCGATTGCAAGGGTAATCAGCCCAAGTATGATGATAATGCCGCCTAACGGACGTGAGTATTTTTCAATATTCTCCTGAGACGTCGCCGCGATGGTGAACAGTTGAACGAGTGCTGAAGAAGGATTAAAATCAGATCACGTATAGGTCAACTGTTCGTCTGGAAAGCGCACCAACACCCATTGAGGTAATTGTGAGGCTGGTTCGGACGTAGGCCAGAAAGGTCCGCTCTGATGCAAGATGGTCTCTGGCGACACTTCCGGAGTTCTGAAGAGTAAGACCCGGGTTGTACTTTTCCAACACGGGAGACGCAAACGAAAATATTCTCCGCTTGGGTATGATCGGTTGATGCGACTGCAATGAATGATCATCGGCATGAGGTGGCGAACGCGGCGAGAACATATCGTGCGCTTGCTGTGAATTCTCTACCTCGTTGGTTGGTGGTGATTGAGTGACACAAGACCCCCGCGGGGTATGCGGTTGTGGAGGTGATACTTGTAGAGCAGACATTGGAATTATCTGCGCGGAAAAAGTGGCTGGTAAATTCTGCCCAGTCGCCATCGCATCCTCGTGTACAGTTACGAGCTCCTCGAGGCGAGGCATCAGACGAATGCGATAAAGAACAAGGCACACGACCGTTTAGACGTCCTTGACGTCAAATTATGTACGGTGCACCGTTTGCATTATCATAACTTGTCTACAGAAGTGAAGTTGAGAAGTTCTAAAGAGTTTGAAGACATGTAAGAGGCAAGACTTACACAATAAAACTTGAGGTCGCTTGAAAACCCTCGAGTTGTTCAACGGAAGCAATCAACCCAAGCTGTAAGAGCCGGCGCTTTTTCTCAACCGATATGACGGTGGGCGTCTAATAAGGCGCTAACGATCGGGAATCTGTGAATATTCAGAGTATCTGCTGTTGATCTGCTGTACAGTGTATGCCAAACCATGCGGGAAAGCTTTTGTCAATACCTAAATTTGCAAGAGCACATTGCACTCAGCTTGCAGAAAACCTGGCCGTGGACCGAGATAATAGAATAAAGGGTGTCGCACGCTTACAAGTATGTTCCCACGATTTTAAGCTAGGATTGGAGCGCCTGGTTCCGCTGGTCCGAAAATGAGTTTATCAGCTTGTCCGCTTCGCTGACGGTTTTCGTGTTTTTCTGGGGGTTGTCCCGTCGCATAGACTTTTTGACCCTCGTTTCTTTGCATAGAACTCCCCACGGAATATGGTAAAATCTCCTAAACCCTTCTCGCTACCGTGAATAATTTGCAGTACATCTGATCAGCAAATCTTGCCACTCGCTCCTAAATCATTTGTGCCATTGATCGTCGCATACAAAACCCCTCTCCTGAAGCTTGTGCAACGCTGCCGGACTTCCCAATCTCTGCGCCAGTGTGTGGCCTGTGTTGACGACAAACGACGTCTCTCTCAAGTCTTGCAGTAATGTCGCCCGTCGCGTCGCCAGAGTACGTACCCAATATGGGCCAGTGCGACTTCATGATTCCTCCATGCGACATCAGCTTCCTTTATCCTGACAAGGAACCAGGCGACGTCACAGTCTCGCTTTGGGTCAAGTATGTCGACGAGCCCGTCGAACCCACTGCACGCCACTGGGCGATAGTTTGGGATGTTCCTCATAGCCCTCACAGTGTACCGACTTCTACTCAGGCATTCCGACACCTCCACATCACGCGCGAACGAGACAAGAAAGGCATTCCCTGTGATCATCTCACCAATTGGGGACCTATGACCAAAGCCGTCACGCCAGATGATTTGACACGGTCGCGCTTGATCCCGCTTGGGGATATTCCACTTGCGGGAAGGCAGAGGTTAGAGGAGATTGCGAGTGCCACCCCAATTCGCGTGCCTGATGGCGCATGGAATAATCAGGATTGGGTCCTGACTGTCCTCGAAACTGCCCTGGACGAGGGAGTGCTACCGGCAGATTTCGATCTTGAAGAGATCAAGGTCTGCGCGCTGTCGTTTTAGCCGACTATCCTTAACCTTTTTATCCCGAGTACGTTCTTTAATCTGCTGTATCCGCCGACGACTCACCATGTTACAGCCCTCATTTGCCTACGACCGTCATCTCATGGACATGATTCCGTATCACTTTACCCTCGTTTGTTTATACCGGACAGTTTCTCTTTTTGTCCTCACACACATTCCTTTTGTCGCATTGCTCTCGGAATTTTTTTGCTTTTCCTGCCTCACTGCTCCCACGACGTTCCTTACCGCCTCTCATTACTATCCTCTCTCTCCAAAATCCTTAAATTGCCCACTCGACATTGGTTCTCCCATCCATTCCTGTAGATCACCACCTCGTTGTAGCCATTGTCAATACGGACCACCTTACTTATCCTTATCTTATGTATAGCTCACTTCTGTGAGTCCTCCCCACATCTCCCGCCCAATTCTCACCACAATGTCCGCGTCCATGGTCAGAAATGCGCGTATGACGTATTGCAAACAACATGATTAGAGGTAAGGAGCAGAGCCTATGAGTAAGAAATACCAATACATAACACATGCACGGAACGCTGGGAGTGACTTTGCTTTTTACAGCTATGAACACGGTATCCTCTCAGCAATGTCCTGAGACCCGAATATACAACATATAAACAATGGTGACTCGAACGAATGAGAGTCAGTGTCCTAATGAACGTGATGGAAAGAGAGCGAGTGGGTTATGTAACAGTGCGAGGTAGACCTCGAGATAGTCCAATAGTGGGAGGGCGGATTACTATCGGTAAAGCGAAGCTCAAGGTACAGCCGGTGATGTGAGGCGAGGAAGTCCTAGTAAGCAGCGAGGCTTCGGATTACCTTGGGACGAATATGGCGACGAGGATAATGAAGGGTATATAGGTTAGGAAGGAGATGCCGGACATGATTCTACAGCGAAACCGCCATGACCGAGCATCTGCAAACACACATTTAGCATGATTGCAAGATGAATTCTCTACACAAGTAAAGTGAGTATTCAAACTGACCATGTTCGACCCGAGGGTCATCTAGAGTGACAGCTTTCTCAGTATCAGTACCTCCAACTTGCCTGGTCCGTGGTATCGGTGCGAATGAGGCAATCCACCATATTGGAAATAAAACAAACCCAATGAAGAAGCACCACGCATGAAACGGCGAGGCATCTTCGTCTTCGGATTTCAAGTGCAGCGTCCACGAAGTCGGTCTCGTGGGTGGGGGACGACGAGGATCACGCATATGATATGTGCTTGACCGACTAACAGATGGTGCATGGGGAGCTATGAGGGCACTGATTGGAATAGACATCTCAGACATGCTGCGGCGTCTCTCAGGCCGTCTATGTTCATTGAGTTGAGATTGAGATTGAGTCTGGGAGTGAGTCTGAGGATGGGTGGCAGCGGAAAGTGTAGAAGGTGGGGCAGAACGAATGGATGCAGCATGAGAAGCTGCGCGACCTAAAGCCGGTGGTGGACCACTGGTACGACTTGACCAGGAACCAGTATCAGTCGCATTTTGAGATGTATCAGGACGAGAGTGACCAGGACTGGGACCAGGAGATGGTGTCGAAAGACGGACTCGCTTTCTTTGGTACGATGAAGGTGCTCTAGAAGGTGCCAGTGAAGATTCGGACTGGCGATGATTGCCTATGATGTGCAGGCTCACTCAGTCATAAAGATGACGATGCCATCAAGCGAACACTCACGTCTATCGTTCTCTGGGATGACAAAAGTAGCACGGTGTCCGTTCTTCTGATCGGGAGGAGTGATGTCGACCTCTTCAGCTTTACGCTTGCCTTTAGAATTATTGGTCGGTGTTTCCAAAACAGACGTCAAGCCTGGTTCACTCGAAGAACGTTTGGGTCGCGTAGGTGGAGTCTTCGGTGTATGCGGTAAAGGAAGACCAGTTGGACGATCTGGAGTTGAGGGACCTGCCTCTGCCTGCAGGGGGTGATTTGTCGGGATATTAAGAATGCTTTTGCGTGTGGTACGATTTGCCGACGAGCTTCTTGGGATCGTCGCCGTCTCGCGTATAGTCAATTCGCCACTAGCCCTCGAGCTTAATCTACGATTGCGTTCAGCCATAATCCCAGTATCACCTTCACCTTCCACCTCACTCCCAAGCGTAATCAGACTGCTACCGCCACGAGGAATAGTCGCGCCAAAATCGGGATCTAACAGTAAAAGTTCAGATTTAGTGAGAAGCCGAGGTTGATCATGAGGTTGCAACGTACCCTCTGGTGAGGTGGGCGACGTGAAGGGTCCAGAGAGAAGATGAGGAGGTGAAGGGAGATTGGAGGGTGGAGAACAAGGCAGCAAGCTGTTGCTTGCAGGTGCAGGCACGTGTATCCCACGCTGTAAGCGGCGGCGCTCGGTGCCATTCTGGGAGCCGCGGCCGGACATTTCACCCAATGAAAGTCTTAATATTTCTCGAGAAACCTCAGCAGGCCAACCAAACTCATGTGGATGTTCTGAAGTTACACCTACAGCCGCTTGGTGTGAAATGAGCTCGGCGCTAACGCGTCGTCTGCTTGAAGTTGAATGTGACCGACGCCGCGAAGACGCTGCGCGTTCTCGTCTCCGACCCTGAGGAAATATTTCTTGAATACGAGGAAGACTGGCAGAACCGCGCAGTGATCGGGCAGGGTAGGAAATAGGCGTATTCTCGTCCCGATGGATAAGTTCGCGAGTTGTTTGGCGAAGAGGGTACGTCCGACCCCGCATGGCGGGATTCAGTTGAGGTTGTGGGCCTGTAGGGAATGCATGAATACTTGTGGTAACTAGAGTAGATATTGCAGAGCGTGTCGACAAAGAACTGATGAGGTCCGGATGTCGAAAGGGAGGTAATGCTGGAGGCGTCGCAGAAGGAGGATGATAGTCAGCGCCTTGCGGAGGTGTCGCATCGCCAAACGTTCCGGGGGAGTCCATTATAAATGAGTGAAATTCATCGTTGGAACTAGTTGTGTTTCCTTGGTTTGAACGTGAGGAAGGAGAAGAAGGTGCTACCGAATTGATCGTGGAGTTTTGACGTGAGGAGTTCGTGAGAGGGGGTGAAGGTGACTGTGGCGCGTGTTGTTCTTGGATGTATCTTGCAGACGAAGATTTACTGACTGTAGATGATGGTGAATGAGATGGGGCAACGATGGAGGAGACGAGCGAGGGATTTCCGAGTCTATTCACGGAAGTCGTAGAACTCAGTTTGCTACTTCGCTGGGTCCTACGACTGGCCGGTCGTTGTTGGGCTGTCGAGTCCATACTTCCCATGCGCGAATGCCTTGCTGATGGGGGAGGTGTAAAGCGAGCTGCCTTTGATGCGTCACCTTTGGGACGACCGAACGTAGACCATTTCGCCGGCGTTGACAGGTGCTGAGGCAAGCATGATAGAGATAGTCGATGAGATGAGCCACGGACGTTTTCTTCGTGAGACCTTCTAGATGAGCTTGGTCTTCCTCCAGTAAATGAAAAACGAGACGGCAGTTCATGAAGATCATCGCGGGTCCCTGACCTCGAACGGCTTGGCGACGTTCGTTCGGGTGTCTTACTGACCATGACATCGGATCGTTTGCGTGCACGACGAGGTTTCAGACCAGAACCGGACTCAGGTTCGGAGGCATAACTGTCGAATAATGCATTGATATCCGGATGGATCTGGCGGGGGGTCAGGAAACCTTGAACATTGGTCGAGCGCTGCTCTGACGACGGGAACGAGGTCGGACTAGCCGCCTCAACTGGTGTATGAGGTTCCGCCGTATGTTGGGAACCAACTGTAGATTGGCTGATAGCCCTCTGTCGAAAACGACCGAGGAAAGATGTCATCTCAAATATACACATAGACTTTAGTGGTACAAGACATATAAGAAGTGCGTACACTGACCGTGCATAAAGGTTCGTGACGTCGTGATGGAAATCGTTACTACCTATTTAATAAGGCGGTGTATGTTGCCCCGGGCAGGCGGACTGATTGTAGTATCCTGCAGTCAGTTGTCGTTAGCAGTTCATTGGCGTGGACCGGGTTCAAACATTTGTAGCCGGAGTATCCGAGGACAAATCCAGCGGAGAACATCAGAACCACCACAACTTAGGCTTCTTCTGGCCAGATGAACGAGACATCCCAAATCGGGAACGACACCGGCATCGCACGAGTGATGTTATGAAGAGGTTCTCAACGAAAATACCTGTTTGTTTTGTAAGTTCACAGGCAATGGGGATAAGAAACCGATAGTGATTCTCAGTTGAGCGTAGGTTAAGCGCACTGGGGCAAAGAACGTGCACCACAAGGTCCCTTAAGAAAATTCAACGAAGAACGTCGACGCAATGAGAATCTACAGTAACGTCAGCATCGGCAGACTGCGCCGGTTAGCTTGCCATGGTATTCTTTCCCAGATCGAACCTTAATAACTAAAGCAAGTCAGCGGAAGTATATATAGTCGAAGTCTTCTCAATGAACATACTAGATCGGTATACTTCATATTGCACATCTGAACAAATAGGACCGTGACATGCCGTATAAATTAACCTAGAGGTCAACAACGAAACCTATCCGCGATCGGTAATTGTACCACAATACGGAATGAGGTTTAACGTTGCTAGAGAGTGAACTTTTGAAGAGACTGATAGCAAAAGATCGTCTTTGGAGCGCATACATGGGACCAGGGACTAACTAGATAATGTCGTGAATGGGGGAGATAGATCAAGGTACGGTAAGAAGTTCGGAGCAGTTTCGGAGGGAGTGTCGCAAGACCCTATAATAGGGTTTTACAAATGAGGCAGTCACGCTGTGACAGTGTAAGTGATAAGCGCCGCTACCTGTGAAGCAGTTGCAACTCTGTGGTGATCTCACCATCTCCGCTTGCGAAAAGCCATTCATTCAGCCCACCATGGACCGCTTGGAGTCGCTTGGAAGTACTCTTTCGCAGATTACACTGTATGACATCAAGAGCATGTACAATCAGGCGAGTTTCCTGGAAGTCAGCCGTTCAATTGTCAGACTGACGACGGATGTTAGGCCAAGAATGTCGTACTAAACGTTAGTGAGATGGAAGCCAAGGTCCGGGATGCGACCAATGACGAGCCTTGGTGAGTTGCCTGGAGATTGAGGAAGCGGACTGTTAGTAATACCTGGTCGTAGGGGTGCAAGTTCCACGTTGATGCAAGAGATCGCCCAAGGGTACGTTCCGTCATACTTATAGCGAGCTGGAAGCTTATGTATAGACTATTCTCGATCAGAACGTTCAACTTGTGAGTACCATGAGCAGCTTCCGATAATTGTGTCACATATCATTCTCGCCACGTAGCCAAAACTTCAATGAAATCATGCCTTGTATCTATGCTCGATTCATGGAGAAGGAAGCCAAACAATGGAGGCAGATTTATAAGGTACACTCTTGGTGTTGTCTGCGCTGAATCACTTTACTAACTCTATGTATAGGCACTCCAACTGCTCGAGTACCTTGTGAAGAATGGCAGCGAACGAGTGGTCGATGATGCTCGTTCACACATTGCCACCATTAAAATGCTCCGTAACTTCTACTATGTTGACGAGAAGGGTAAAGATCAGGGTCTTAACGGTGCGTCTTGGATACCAGATTCCTCGACCGAACGTGTATTCATCACTGAATTCCATGATAGTGCGAAACCGTTCTCGCGAATTGGTAGAACTTCTCGCGGATGTCGAGAAAATTCGCGCTGAGCGACGGAAGGCAAAGGCTAACAAGCACAAGTACATCGGCACCGGAAACGATGCTTTGAGTTTCAGCTCCGGAGGCAGTCGATATGGTGGATTCGGCAGTGACAGTGTGGGCTATGGTGGTTCAAGCAGTGGCTATGGCGGTGGAGGGGACTATGGTAGCCGAGGTAAAAATCCGTGAATCCGGCAACATCATACTTTTGCTAACTCAATCTCCATTCAGACTTTGATAGCTACTCCGGTGGAGGAAGCAGTGGTGGTTTCAGGGATTCGACTTCAAGGAGATTTGAAGAATACGACGCAGGTGATGACGATGTCGTCGCTGCCCGCCGGTCAAACTCCTTGTCTACCCCGACGAGATCTACAAGTACACCAGTCCGATCGAACACGAACCCTGCTGCAACTGCCAAGGCTCCAGAGCCTACTCCCGTTGTTGATCTCCTCGGAATGGATGATGACTTTTCCGGCTCAAGCGTTTCGCAACCGCCTGCATCGAACAAAGCTCTGCCTTCTGTCGCACCAATATCTTTGGACAGTAAGTTTACGTCCAGACATGTGAAATCATTTGACTAATTGTATTGTGTATGCAGATGACGATGATTTTGGTGGCTTCGAAGCGGCTCCCTCGCCGCCCCCCGCTACTGCTGGTTTCTTTGGTGCAACTCCTGCTCCGGCTGCTGTACCTCTTGTTGCGCCCACGCAACCGGTTTCGCCACCTCTTGTCCAACCACAGGCACCTTTATTCCAACAGCAAGCACCCCTACAACCGAATAACCTTTTCAACGTGCTTGCGCCCGCTACCGCTTCACCTCCACCGATGAACTTGGCGGCCCAACGGACTTCTTCCTTCATGACACCCACCGCAGCTCCAACTCAACATCACCTTTTTTCCTCGCCTGCTTTACAACCTACACGATCAGCACCCGGCGCCACGGCTACTCCGAGCACACCATCTGTTTCCGCCAAACCATCATCTTCCGGTGGAGGATTTGATGATATTTGGAAGATGTCGTTGGGCGCTACTGGGGGCTCCTCTGCTGCTAAGACATCGACACCTCCACCTTCCCAGTCGAAGTCTATCAAAGACCTTGAGAGGGAAAAGGCGCAGGCTGGCATATGGGGTGGTCAGGGACAGAACAGACCTCCGGTGGGGGCTAATTTCGGGTCGTTTGGCGGGTCGACCGCTGGGGCCTCGTCGAGTGCTGCGCCTCCTTCCTCAGGTAACGGGATAGATGATCTTTTGTTCTAGGTTTAGACGGCCTTTTTTGTGTGGATGAACAACGTTGCTTGGTGTGATCGATGGTCCACCCTCCTGTTTCTCTTCTAACTTAGCGCTTGTAGGATTGTGCATATATCATTTGTTGTCTCGTTATGTAGTCCACAAGGCACTTATACCGCATCTCTGTTGACGTTGACGTGATAAATTATCCACAAGAGTTTGTGTCTTCATTAGCTTTGTGGCATTGGGGATTTTCGGAGGCGATCGGAAAATATGATCCAAAATAATATGTACGGTACGGACAAAATATGCTATCGACAGAAACAGCCAAGATTGCTTCATTTTCTGAAATGCATTCTTCCCTCACAAACCCGGCTATAATACCTGTATAAGCGAATCACAAGAGCATATGCCCTTACTGTCACGATGACAATTCGATGGATTGTGAATGGTTTCAGGCTGCTCAACAAAAAAAACAAAAAGAACAAACAAAAACCACAGTCCGGTAGCTAACGAGAATCACAATGGGTGTGTCCACCGCCATACCCAGGACATCAGCGTCGCGTGAAACAATCGCCTCGATAGCCTCAGGACCAAGGAAAGGGGGCGCAAGCAAACAGACGAGATAGCAGCTTGTAAACGCCGCGATCATATGGGAGTATTTGCGATATGACTGTGCAGCATATTTTTACAATCGCCTGGCGACCACCTGGTCTTTCCTCAATGTCAAAATACAGACAGAAGCCGCCGAGGTAGGAAGAGAATCAGGAGAGGATTCCATTCGGTGGTCCTTCGAGTCTCAGTCATGTGCAGCCTATTGTGTTCTGTATGCACAGGTATGCACGCGGTTGCGGTGTCTTTGAATTGTTTGTATTTTGATGCATGCTTCCGATTTCCTACAAGAACCCTGCAGTCAAGAATGAGCGTCCTCCATATACCCCACTTGACATAATACCCCACCTTGCTACCCATGAGGACCTTCTCGTCATTACTATTGGCCGTCGTGCTCGCGACGCTACCCCCAGCCCATGCGCTATGGCCTCAGCCACGTAACCTACGAACCGGTTCGGACAAGTTAAAGCTTTCCGATGACTTTAAGATCCACTTGGAAGCCCATGTCCCTCAGGACATGCTCGATGCGATCTCACGTACAGAAGATTTTCTCAAGAAGGATCACCTCCAACGTCTTATCGTTGGCCGAGGATCCTCCGACACGAATGCTCTGACAAATGCCAAGTCACTCTCCGAATTGGATCTATACCTCGAATCCGGCGCAGATGCGAACTCCATTACCACTGAGGCTCAGAAACCTATCGAGTCTCGAGATGAGGCGTACACCTTGAACGTCCCTAATGACGGCTCTCCAGCGAATATCACCGCTAGTTCCACTCTTGGTCTCCTTCGAGGATTGACTACGTTCACCCAGCTATGGTATGAGGTTGACGGAACGATTTATGCTGCGGATGTGCCCATTTACACTCACGATTCCCCGGCCTATGTACGTGAATCCTTTCTGTCTCTATGGGTAGTAACTCAAGCGACACTTGGTTCAGCCTTACCGTGGTTTCATGCTCGATACCGCGAGAAACTTGTGAGTATGGTCTTTCGATCAAGAGACAATCATGATTAATGTCGTATTGCAGCTTTCCTGTCAGTGACATCAAGCGCACGCTGGACGCTATGAGCTTGGTCAAGGTGAGCGCCTTCGAGATCTGCACAATGTTAGGGGACTAACATTAGGCTATGAAGATGAATCAATTCCATTGGCATGTCGTGGACAGTCAGAGCTTCCCATTGCAAATTCCAGAGTTCATGGATCTTTCGATAAAGGGCGCATACTCTTCCTCGTCGGTTTATACTCCCGATGACGTCAAGGACATCGTTGCCTACGCTGGTGCAGTACGCCTCTTCTCTTCGTATCCTGCATTAATACTAGCATATTCACTTTGCTCTGACATAGCGTGGCATTGATGTATTGGTTGAGATTGACACCCCTGGACATACCTCGGTTATCTCGAAAGCATATCCTGGGCACATTGCCTGTCCAGAGGCAACTCCGTGGGACATTTTTGCTAACGGTAAGCTTCAAGTTTCATTCAAAAGTTGCGCGGTGTGTCGACTTTATATTCAGAACCTCCTGCTGGTCAACTTCGTTTGGCCTCCAACGAAACCACCAATTTCGCTGCGAATCTCCTTGCGGCTGTTGCCAGGATGTTCCCATCGACGATCTTCAGCACGGGCGGTGACGAACTGAACGCGAATTGTTATGATCAAGATCCTGACACCCAGAAAAGCTTGAACGAGACCGGTCGAACGCTTGAGCAGGCCCTGGATGTGTTCATAAAAACAACCCATAAAGCTATTGAGGATCTCGGAAAGACTCCTGTTGTCTGGGAAGAGATGGTCCTGAAGCACAACGTCACCCTAAACCCCAACACTACCGTACTGTATGTATCATCATCTCGTCTCAACGTGGTTTGATACTGACTTTCTTAACAGTGTTTGGGAGAAGTCTGAGAATGCGAAAACTGTTGCGCAGAAAGGTTACAAGCTGATCCACGCTGCTTCAGACTTCTTCTACCTTGTATGTCTCAAGACTATTTATTTTCAAAGTAGGGATCTAATCGTCTCTGTAGGATTGTGGTGCTGGAAGCTGGCTTGGAGCTAGCCCTGATTCGTACGTATCAAGATGCATCTTCCCTGAGCTACCACCTGACCAGTCTATTATATCTACAGTCCTAACTGGTGCGACCCGTTCAAGACATGGCAACACTCATATACCTTCAACCCGACGGCAAACCTGACAGATGATGAAGCCAAACTTGTCCTCGGTGGTAAGTTCCTATTCCTATTCAACGAACTCGACCTCTCTGAGTATTAATACTAAAATAAACCAGGCCAACACCTTCTGTGGACTGAACAATCTGGACCTTCAAACCTCGACTCTATCGTGTGGCCTCGAGCAGCTTCTTCTGCTGAGCTCTTCTGGTCTGGCCCTGGTGGAAACGTCTCTCACGCTCTTGAGCGTTTGCACGATTTATCATTCAGGTTACAACAACGTGGTGTGAAAAGTATTCCCTTACAACCGCTTTGGTGTGCTCTGAGACCGGGCGTATGCGATGCGGTGCCGCACACGTCGTAAGCCTAGTTGGCTATCTTTTAGGTTGTCGGATTGCTGACTCGGATGTGGATGTTCGGTATCTAATGGGATTTTTGGTCTTGATATTTATTGTGCAAATGAACGAATGAAATTATTGTAGTGTGGATGGTGTGGTCCAGAGTACCTCCTTTGCATACCACGATGATCAAGTATTGGATGCTGGTATCCCTCGTCATGATGAACTATGAACTTCGTTAGAACATGAGTCTTACTTACGTAAGACTGCTTGCTTTCTATATTACTGAACGCGAACATCTATTTGTATACTACATCGCATCATCGCGATATACTTACCATCGCGTTCGGACAAGCTCTTGCACTTTCAGTTCTACGTAGCTGGTAGCTATCCTGCGAACCTCAGAACTGTCATGGACTCTGGTAAGATTTACTTCCATGTCGCAAGCGTTTTCGAATGAAGGAAATTATTGCAATAGCGATTCACCCCGACATGACCTTAAACTTGGATGTTCTCACTCACATCATGCTCTTCCTCGAAGGGCGCCATCTGCGTTCAATAATGAACACGTGCAAGGTGCTTCACAGTATGGGTGTCCCCTTACTTCTTGGATCTCAAGTCATATGGCGGAAAAAGACCATGCCATCCTTCGTCCTCTTCATGGCCCGCGATTGGACCTATCGTTCACAATTTTTGCAACACGTTACCGTTCAATTTGGGACGAGTCCAGGTCCGGACATTGGAAAATCTGTCACAATGGTCATGGAGAGGTCGGCCGATATACGTAGACTCGCGATACATGACTGCGAGGACTTCCTCCGAAGCGACCTTAAAGTCCTCACTTCAATTACGTCACTGCAAAAATTGGAATGCCTGGAGCTGTATGATATCGAAAATCTCGGTGAAACGCTCTTACAGCACCTCAAAGCTCCCCTCACTTCGCTTGAGGTGCATTGCTGTCGGGGTAGTTTCTCGACGGACGAAGAGGATCCTTATGAACCAGGAGATGTTACTGCGCTACTTTCCAACTTTTCCAGTAGCCTGGAACGGTTGGATGTAACGTGGGGTGTGTTCGATGACACACTCACCTTACCGTGTCCCAATGTTCGCCAAGTGTCCATCCATCAGTGCAGCATCGTCGACACGTATCATCTTGCCCGGACATTTCCAAATCTTCAAGAACTCCACATACTCATAGACACATTGGAAGCATATCCCGTAACGGGCTGGATGGCACGGTTTTGTAGGCAGCAATAAAATGCGCAACAAGCCACCGGCACCTGGAAATTTTTGAAGAAGACATCTGGGGGCGTGGACGCTCTGCACCATCTTGCTTTTGATTGTCACGTCCAGATGATGCATATTTTCAATCTAAACGAAGAGAATTGTTGTAAACTGACCGATATCCTTGGTGACGCTCACCCGGAACACTTGATTGCCTCAATCGATGCTCCCGAAACATCCTTCGATCCATTCTTGGACTTATCCCCCGCTTCCGAGCTGACGAGTGTCTTTCTAAGAATCGCTATTTCTAAAGAGCTGACTGTAATGGACGATCTGCTAGTTCGTAACACCTCAATGTCTCCACAGTTACAAGCTAACTTTGTGTAGGAGCATCTTTGTGCCGGTTTAGGAACCTCAAATTCCATGCGCTTTCTGAGGCTCGAAGTCAAGGACCAAACTTCAGGCATTAGGGACATAGACGACTACTACGATTCAGACGGGGTATATCATAGTTGCCTTTACCAGTCTGATTCATCTGCCATTGCTGTATACTTGCAATCCATGGATGTGGCCGACGTTGCAAGCCGGATTGTGGATGCAGTTCCTACTTTGGAATCAATATCAATTCGCCACTGCGGACATCCCGGTTCCATACCCTGGATGTTCTGGAAAGTGACTCGGCCTGCCAACGGTGATCCGCGCCTGGAGACAGTTTCATTCGAGAGCTACATTGAATCCTTGCGGAGGATCGACCTGCCATCCCAGTGGTATACAAACGACTGAGGGTGTGTGGTGTACCATTTCTTTCAAGAATCATGCTGAGGTTGTCTTTCCTTGATTCAGGATGACAAAAATAGACTGGGGGTTGGAAATCCATTAGTCGATCGTCTCGAACTACGTTACAGACGCTGCAAGTTCGCGTTCTATTACTCCTGCATTCATAGATCCGGCATCTTCACCTACGTAGAAAATGGCATTATAGCTACATTCAGAGCATTAGGTCCTCCGTCTCGTTCACGTCAAAAGCCCTGGTTCATAGCCTCTACTAGTGTGTTAGGCGTAGCCCAAGCCTTCGACGTGCTTTCACGTTCGCGCCTCAGTCCAGGATCCGTAGTCCGACACAACGTGCACTCCTTTCGATCCTACCCGCGGCTGGTTCAGGTCAACAGAACAACGAACACTCAAGTATTTGGAAGCAGCGCGTTGTACACTTGCAGGGACGGCTCACCGCTCGACTACCCGACGATTAGTAGCAAGTGCATTTATACCTCTTTACACCGATATGCCTTCCCGTGTCGCAAATCTACAGGCCGTTTGTGTGTGCATTATAGGCAGTTGAGGGTGCCGATACAGGTTGTATATTGTGCACCTGCCAGTGGACTGAATTGCAACTGTTATCAAACCCAGTATCGAATGCTAATCCTCTTCACAGTGCACACATAAACATTGACAACCGGGAAAAAGATGACCTTAGCACCCATTAATTGACAACACATTACAACAACACAGCAGTATCGAAAAGAATATAACCTTGTACGAGTACTTGGTAGCGATAACCCAAATCCTTTCATCCGCTTTTACGGGGATCTAGTAAACTGCTGAGGACTACGTAACTTGAGCGGACTTAGTCCGAGCGAGCAGATCGAACAGATCGCTTAAGAGCCTTCTGCTGTGCGAGGAGGGTCGTTGAGACGGCAGGGCAACCCTTGCCAGGTCCGTTCAAATTCTGAAGGGTGATCAACGCAGCAGTGATACGTGCAGACTTGGCGGCGTTTGAGTCATCAGTCGGGAAAGAGACATTGACATCAGGGCTATGACACGGAAAGCCAAGATCAGTGATAGAGACATAGGCGGGATCATGATATCGACTAACTTGTTGATGGCGTGGCCGGCTTCAACGTTAGCTTGCAAAGCACTGATGTACTGATCCTGTGGGGGAGGGCAAGCGCAAGGGATCTTGATAGGCTTGCCGTCAGCACCTACAGCAGTCACAGTCAGCAAGGATTGGTGATGAAACCGAATATCCGGCTCTTACCATTGACAGCACCGTCACAATCACCAGTACCAGTCGGGTTCAAACCGGATTGGAAGCCAAGCGCAGGAGCCAACCTTGCAACATCAGCCGCTGAGGGAGCACCGCCAGCTGCGTTGTTGACAGGTGCAGGTGCAGGCGCAGGTGGGGCAGGAGCTGGTGCGGCATTGTTAGCCGGAGGAGGCGTATCAGGAAGAGCGTCGATAGCCTTTTGCTGAGCTTGGAAAGTGGTACCGGCAACGGGACAGCCCTTTCCAGGTCCATTAAGGTTCTGAAGAGTGACAGCGGCGGCATTCAAACGTGCGCTCTGAGACGCCTTGGAGCTATCGGTGGGGAAAGAGAGCTTGACGGACGGGTTGTTGACAACAAAGCCAGCAGCGAGATTGGTGTTGAGGGACTGCGAATAGAAGCGAGGTTAGCACCGTAACGGGAGACTTACGGACTAAATGCATACCTGGATGAATTGATCGCGGGGAGGAGGACAGGCGCAAGGAATCTTGATGGCCTTGCCATCAGGTCCTGCGATACCGTCACAATCACTGTGATTCTACGTTAAGTACGGGTACTCCGATTCGAATGAGAAAACGTACCCAGTGCCGGTAGGGTTCTGGCCAGACTGAACACCGAACTCGGGAACAAGAGCAGGGTCGACATCTCTACGAATAGGCGCGGACATGGAAGACGCAGCGAACAAAGCAGCAGCAGACAAGGCAAAGGTAGAGAACTTCATTTTCGTTACTGAGGGCGTTTGCAAAAGTTGTAAAGTGAGAGTGGGTGCGGTTCGGTCGGGAACTCGTGAAAGAAGGAGTGTCAAGGTTTGTTGATGTTGCTGCGTCAACGCAAAAAAGATGCGGAAGTACCCAGTACTGTCCGGCCTAAAGAAAGTAGAAAGGAGGGAGGAAGGGCTGTCAAAGGTGAGGGAATGGGGGCAAGCCGAGTTGAACAAACAAGCTCTTATATATTGCCATTTCCCCCGCGTTTAGCGTAATAAGATCCCGGCACATAGACGCTAAGATATTGATTACCATAACTATGGAGGATGATGAAGATGAAGAAGGCGATCTTGATCCTTCTTGATCGTTCATTTCTGTGTGATGAAGCTGCGAACTCATTGAGACGATTCAAAAGTTCAGCGAGGCAGCACAACTTGACTGCAATAAGAGTTCAAGTTGAACAGTTCGGAGGTGCCAAGGTGAAAACGGCCTCTATACAAAGATAGCTCCATCTGTCGTTTGACCTGTCCATCTATTTTCGTATAGAAACCTTGTGCCGTGTCGGGATTGGCATACTTGGGGTCAACGAAATGCCGGTCGTATCCTCTCAATTGTTGGCCTGAATGGTGTGCATCAGCAGCTGAACTGGTCTCATCTGAATTGTCAATGGATGGGCCAAGATTGAGCACTCACATGGATCAAATGCGAAAGCGTCTCGCCTGACTGACAGGAGATTCTGTCGTTAGCCCAGCCTCGTGATTAACAAGGAGGCAGTAGAAAATTTCACCACATAGGCGAGCTTTACATCTGCTCCTTCCAAGATGTATTCCCATGAAGCAGAGTTTCGATGTAGACATCGACATGAATGCAATCTGGATGAACAGCCTTCTCATTGCACAAAGATGAAAGCTCTGATTTATATTGATGTAGCGGTTCTCACCTATACAACATCAGTCCCTAGTCTTCATCTATATCCAAATCACCTTCCACTCCTGCGCCTTCACCATTATCTTCAAAGACAATCTCGTTCGCATCGTATTCCCAAGTTTCTGCTTCCTGGTATACTGCTTGCACCGGCTCCTGATAGAAACCCACCTCTGCAGGAGCATGTGTAGGCTCCGCAGAAGAAACAGCTTCTATCAACGATGCCCGGACAGTTGAAAGTATGTCCTGCATATGGTCACCTAGCCGATCTTCTAGTTCTTCGACAATCTGCAATGCATGCATTGTTAGCGACAGGAAATAAGTTATTGCAAGCATCAAAGCATACCTGAAGAGAGATTGCTGTGAATTTTAAACAGAAAATATACATTTCGCCACAGCCTACTGTATCCCTCACTAGTGCATGTGATGCAAGGGGAAATGAAGCAAAAGGCAATCTCTCCCCAGGTCATGGAAACATTATATCTATGAGCACACGTACCACATACAACTCAACGGCTTCAGTTGGCGCAAGGTTGACGATCTGAAGCTTCTCAGCCTTCGTCAAATCGAATCGGGAAAGGCTGCGAGTCAGTTGCGAGATGCTGGCATCTGTCTGCTTCAATGATGGCTGATGGTCCGCCGAGAGGTACTGAATAGCCTATATAATCGAGCAGCGCTATAGAAAGATTGTTCAAAGTCTGAGATGGCAGGCGTACCTCGACCTCAATTGTTCTCAGATTTTCTAGCACTTCCTCCTGAGGAACGTGATTACGAGGAAGTCCCGCAGCCTCTTCCTCTTTTTTGATACGCAGAGCAGTTCTTGTTCGGGCGAGATGATCACTCTCAAGCTCTTTAAGTAAGGTCAAGACTTCATAATTAGACAGCAGCGCCGATCGCTGATTGACGACCTAATAGAACACAAGGGTGAGCGTGCTTATTGTATGCAACGAATACTTGAGACAAACCTCCATTTACTTGTACATGGAAGTAAGCACGCAATGCTAGGCGAGTCAGACTGGGAGTACGCACCAGATCTAGCGCAGATCGAATTTTTGCAGCTCCGCTATTTCCATTTTCGTAGTCATAGGGGACTGGCAATCTTGGGTCTGGCACACTGAGCCAGCCACTTCGAACTCATACCGTTTTATATTGCCAAACTGCTCACCGTCGTACTCTTGTCTTGCGAGCATCGTTATCGTCCAGGAACACAATGAATCGAGCAGGTGCGTATTGTCGACGTTTGCCCAGGATTTCACCCGATGTACAAGCTGACACCCATCATTTATTGTACCAGGTCAACCCCCACAGCGTCCGCCGAGTCTCGGGCCCAATCCTGCACTCGGAGCTCCTTTTCGTAACCAATATCCAAACTACGGGATGCCTCCTCGAAATGCGCTACCAGGATTTCACCAACTGGGGAATCACCGGACGGCACAGACCATTGCTCCTCAGCCATCACCGAACTACCTGCAGCAGCAAAGAGCACAAAGTAACTTCCCCTTCGCAGGCTCTCTCCCGCCACAACAACAACAGTCGCATGCACCGATACAGCATACCCCGCAAACCCCTCTACCACATACACCGCTGCAGCCGACACAACCACAGAATCAGCCATCGTCAAATGCAAACACGAATCTTCCTCCACATCTGGCACAAAACGCTCTTCCGAGTCTTGGAACGGCGCCTTCGGTGTCGTCTGCGAGTGAAGTGGGCTTGGACCCAAACGATTTCCCGGCACTAGGGTCGACGCCGGCGAATAGTCTAAGTACCCCTTCAACAACGAACGCGACGAGTTATGCGTCTCAAGCTGGTACAGGTGTTGGGGCGACAGGGAGTGGCGCATTGGGAGGAACTGGGGGAGGGACTCAGCAAAGAGACTTTACGCCAGACGATTTTCCGGCGCTAGGAGGACAATCGCAGAGTTCGCAAGGGGCGCAACAGCAGACGCAGACGACGGACGGACATCCGCCGGGACTGAATGGCTTTCAACAGAGTGACCAGCAGCATCGGCAGAACTTGTTGGGCTCGTTAGGATCGGGGCAGCCACAGCCAGGACTGCTGAATTTGGGACAGGGCAGGAACGTGAACTTCCAGACTGACGTAGAGAAACGGGTATGTGTATTCTTTGTTTCTTGTGAAACTGACGATGTGTATTCACGCTCTCTTAGAATTACGCGCTAAAGCTAAACCAAAGCAATCTTGCAGCGGCTGCAGCAGCGTGGAACTCACCCAACGCGAATCCAAGTGCACAACCGACAGGTACGTTCCCTGCAGTATCGAACGGCGCACACGCACCATCGTCGCAAATGCCATCGTCACAACCTCAAGGGCAGACGCAGTTAGGCGCTCCACCTGGTGTACCACCACCAAGTTACTCGTCTCTGCCGCAACAGCAACAAACGCCTACACCGTACGTTGGGAATGGAACTGTGGCGGCGGACACGGCACAGCATCCCTCGCAAGGGTCTGCACAACCATCGGCGGCGGTACCGACAACACCAGCGCAACAAGTGCTAATGTCACCTGCGGACAAGTGGGGTCTTCTGGGCCTGCTGGCGATCATCAAGAGCACGGATTTGGACACGAATCTGCTTTCGGTGGGTACTGATCTTGGGACTATGGGACTTGATATGCAGACATCTGGGTACGTGCCTCAACTCCGAAGTAAACTTGTCGTGGCACACTGACGCATCGATAGAAGCTTGTACTCCACGTTCATTACGCCATGGGCAGACTCGTCAGCCGCACATACCGTCGAGCCCGACTTTCACCTACCCGCGTGTTACAGCGTTCAACCGCCTCCGCCGGGTCCAGGCAAAGCACAAGCGTTCAGTGACGAGACACTGTTCTTCATGTTCTATGCATCGCCGAGGGACGCACTCCAGGAAGTAGCTGCTCAAGAACTGTAGGTATCCTTTCACGTTCTGATTTATATGGGCTTTAAGGGACTGATATGGCATATGGCACATTGCCTGCTCTTCCTCCTCAGATATAACCGGAATTGGCGGTACCACAAGGACATGAGACTGTGGATTACGAAGGAGACAGGCACGTCGCCTTCGCAAAAAGTCTTGGGCGGGGAGCGGGGGAGTTACTCATACTGGGATCCAGAGAATTGGGAAAAGAACCGCAAGGAGATGACGGTGCTTTATTCTGATCTCGAGGAGAAGAGTCATCCGGTGTTTGTGCATAGCCAAACTTTGCAGTTGGCCAATGCTGCCACGACGACCACACCTGGTGGTGCTGCGGCGAGTGCGCAACAGTCTCAGCCTCAGCAAATGGTTGGTGCACGAGTGGGTGGGTTCTCGCAAATGGGGATCGCGGCGATGTAAACTCGAAGCCGTTGTTGTTGTTGTTGTTGTGTCCTAGTAGGCGGGGCGGGGAGAACTGGACTTGACGCATCATTTTCCCCGTATCGCCACTTTTGACTTTCGCATATATTCGTATTTTTTTTCTGTTCTTCATGCTGCTGCTGCTGCGTTCCTTTCGTTTTTTTTTTCTCGTGTCTCATTGTGTCTCACCTACCCCATTATTGCGGCGCCGGCCCCCTCATTGAGCTATCATACGCTTGTATCTCTACAGCACGCTGTTTAAATCACATTTTTTCTGTCTAGTGCCTATGTGTGTTAAGCAAAAATGAACTGGTATGAGGCCATTTCGTCATTCAAATGCTCATTTGTTTTGTTGTCGAACAAGGATTATGGTGCTGATATGCTATGGTACTTTACTTAATGGTGGAGACATGCAGAGTAACCTAAAGTCCTTCATCATACAGTTTCTTGCACAACGCCACATAGAACCGCTCCAAATCAGCCTTGGAAGACAAATCACTCTTCTCCGTCCGACGCGCCGTAGCAGCACGTTCAGAAACAACCTCCTCCGACGGAGATGGAGCTGCTGCTGCAGAAGACACAATCCTAGATGGAACTTGTTCGACGATCCAATCGAAGACGGCGGATACTTTGTCTGTCGACGCTTTGACCACTTCGTCGCCCATGTCTTTACCATTCCCTTTCATTTTCATCGCGGCTTCGCCTATCTCCTTCATCCTCTCTTCAATCTCACCACCACCGCCACCAGCAGCTTCTCGACTATGAGCTTGACGTTCACTGAGGTCTGCACCAGCACTTTTCATACTCTTCTCCTCCCGCTTCCACGCTCTTACGTACCGACTCCAATCCCCAATACTCCAAGCCTCACCCTCCTTCTTCCCATTCCCAATCCCAGCAACAACCCCATTCAACGCAGACTTACCGCCTCTCAGCCCAGGCACACTTATACTCGGCAGCTCCACGCCCAACTCCAATCCCCTCGCTCCCCGTAAAGCCCAATGATCAGCTTCTTCAAGCGTGCCAAGGTACTCTCCCCACCGTGCACTTTGCACAGTCACCAGCCCGTCGTTTCCCCACTTTTCGTGTTCAGGTATGTTCGGGCTTACGAGTCTTCCCATCTCGCGTTCCTTTTCTTCGAACCCGTCCAAGACCATCTTTGGGAGCCAGAGCGGGTGCCAGACGCTGAGTGAGGACACTCGACCGGCGACGCTGAAGTATTTGACGTAGGGAGAGTCGGGGGTTTGGGGGTTGAAGATGGAGTTGAGGTAGGTGGAGGTTAGGTTTGCGTAGGCGGGGGAGTCGAGGAGGGAGAGGAGGAGGGTTGTGAATGAGGATGGGAGAGAGGTTAGGGCGGCGAGTGCGAAGCTGGATTTGGAGGATTTTGATTGTTCGAGATCGGGAGTTGGGGATGGGGTTTGGTGTTGTCGAAGTTTACCTAGGCCGATGTTTTCCTGCGCAGCCGCAACATGAGCATGAGCATGAGTATGAGACTAAATGGAAGCGATGAGCGGGGCGGAGGCAAGTGACGTACCATGCACCAGTCCATGAAGGGACTGCCCCTGTGAGGTGTACCGATAGTGGTCAAAGAGACTGGGGTATAGTTCTCTGGCTGGACATGGGAGATCAAATGGCGACAGTCTAGTCCACCCATCGAATGTGCCAGGAAGTTGACACCACGTCCGTGAACTTTGTCGCTGAGGAGTTTATCCATCTTTTCCGCGCGGGAAGCGATAGACCCAGTCCTATGCATACTTGGTCAGTCCACGAATCGATCATGTGGAAGTAGACGAGTACACACCCAGGTACGCCTGTGACGATGACTTCTGCACCAACCCGTCTACGCAAGACGTGAAGTACGTTAGCCCAATAGTGGGTCCTGAGAATGGGAAACGAAGAGGGACCTCGGACGTCGAAGCCATACAAGCCTGAACAGAGTAAATTTACTCCCTGAGTGACTGTAACATACGGAAAGACGTACCATGACAGAGTACAATGGGGTATCTTGGCTTGCGTATTGGATCGAATAGCACTGGGTTGTTTAGAAGGGTATGTAACGGGTCGACTGGACGAGGAGTCGTGTATTGTGGTCTATGTCCCTCAGGAGGTCTATTGGACGGCTCAGGTCCGCCAAAGTCCTCTCCTTCTCCTTGCAATGCGAGAGAGAATTCCGAGCGCTGGCTAACATTTCCGAGAACTGAGGACACCCAGGCAAGTGTCCTGAAAGTTCTCCAGGACCTTGGGGGCTCTGCGTCGGGATTGGAGATGGGACGCTGCCTGAGGTAGTGGTGAGAGATGGAAAAGGTAGAGACGACGTTCACGAGGCGTCGAAAGAGAACAACGACGGGTGCTGGGAACCAGATTGTGTGCATGGTGAAGGCATGTCAGTGTATCAACTCTGCTTTCGGGAACGGCGCTGCCCTGTGTGGGGTGCTGTGACAGGCGTGACAATGGTTTACCCACTCAACCCCTTGCACGGTGCACATTCAAATTGACCAATGAACGTCTCAACGTTGCACGTTGACCATTGAACTTATAAACGTGAAGTCGTGAACGACAACCCCGTGCCTTAGATAGCCCGCATATCGAGTGATAACGTCGATGACTGACTTCTGCAAGCCTAGGAGCTAGCGAATATTACAGGTACCATTGCGTCACAATGTGACATCCGAGTTTCGCCGGCAGGGGCCTGTTGATCAAAGCGGATTGCCTGACATCCCACTCTTCACCACCAACGACAACGACAAGCTGTAGCACAGAGCTCGATTTCGTCAATTCGTTGCTCAATACTGCAGCAGAATGGCTCAGTCGTATTTTCCGTCCTCTTCGCGTGTAGCTTCACCTTTACCAGTGCAAATGCCGCAATCCGAGGACATCCATTCGAAGATGGAGGACGTGCAGGAAAAGTATCTTGAGCAGAAGGAGAGGTACGTTCTGTAGCATTAAATGATACTACAGAGCTTACAGTTACCTCAGGCTCCTGGGAGCTATCGACTCTGCCAAGACAATCCTCAGCGACCTCCGAATTTTCAACCGTGACTCGTGGGTGGTCAGATATCCGCAACTTCGAGACCAATCGGCAGAGGAGTCTACTCCCGTCGAAGTCTCCACTTCAAAAGCACCGAAGCGAAAGAGTATTCGTCGTTCGCTGTCTTTCGCAGATGATCCTACCTTCCAGACCGACGTTGTCTTGACTCCAGCGCGTAAGGGCATGGCGCGTTCCATGACCCTTGCCTCCATTGCGGACGAGACGGCTGAAGAGCAATCCAACGAAGAAGATGAAGATAGATTGGTCGCTCCCTCTGATGCTGCCGATTTTCACGTCTTCCGTCTCGACCTCAAGCTTGGTTCACACGGTTCCTCATCCTCCCCCGCCGCGCTCGTGTCTCAACTGGAGAAGGCGTCCATCGCCAATCTGTTGGACGACAGGATTGGCGCTTCCATGAATCATATCAACAAGCTCCGACAGCGTGTGGAGGATAAGTCTTCCAAGGTACTCGTTACTGGTGACCTCAATGCCGGAAAATCAACATTCGTGAACGCTTTGCTCAAGCGCGAGGTGATGCCGGTCGACCAACAACCTTGCACCACTGCATTCTGCGAGGTACATGACGCAGCAGATAATGATGGCAAAGAGGAACTGCACATCCTCAAGGAAGGTATCCCCTATTCCCGGGAGGACGAGTCCACTTACACTCGTGCCGATCTTTCGGAGCTCGAGTCGATCGTCTCCGAGAACGAGAACGTCCAGCAGATGCTCAAGGTGTACCTCAGGGATGCCCGTTCACCCACAGAATCGTTGCTAAGCAACGGTATCGTCGATATTTCGCTGATCGATGCCCCAGGTCTTAACAGAGACAGCATGAAGACTACCGCCGTCTTTGCTCGTCAGGAGGAGATCGACGTTGTCGTCTTTGTGGTCTCTGCCGAGAATCATTTCACTCTTTCTGCGAAAGAGTTCTTGTGGAACGCAAGCAACGAGAAGGCATATCTTTTCATCGTAGTAAACAAGTACGAACAGATCAGGGACAAGGCCAAGTGCCGCCGACTCGTGCTTGAGCAGATCAAGCAACTCAGCCCCAGGACTTTCGAGGACGCCGAAGACTTAGTTCACTTCGTCGACTCTGCTTCCGCCTTTCAAAAGGACAGTCAATCCTTCGAGAACCTCGAATCTTCCCTCCGATCCTTCGTCCTCGTCAAACGCGCTAAATCAAAGCTCACCCCCGCATCCACTTACCTCACTCACTTGCTATCAGACGTTGACCTCCTCGTTGGCGCAAACGCCATCGTCGCTGAGACCGAGCTTGAACGCGCCCTTGAGGACCTCAACAGGTCCAGGCCCGTCCTTGAAAAGATGAAGAACGGTCGTGAGGCGCTTGATGAGAGTCTGGAACATGTTGAGGAGGCTGGATCCAGCCGTAGCCGTATGCGTACCAAGGAGATCCTCAACGATGCTTTGGTTCGTGTTGGCCAGGGCAAACTCGGCGTCGAGGTTTCTGGTCTTAACATGCCTTCGTACCCCGGCTTCCTCGGTATTTGGGAGTACGCGAGGGAAGTGCGTAAGACTCTGTTGACGAGCGTTGATATTGCTGTGAAGTTGGCAGAAGACGAGGCTAGGAAGATTACTTCGACTGGCGTCGACAAGGTCTTCCAGCTCGGCGAGGATCACTTGCCTGAGGGCGTTGAGAGGTCACGCAGGGTATTCATGCCCGAGGCCATGTTCTCTACCGACAAGCTTGCACGTAAGAAAGCACGAAGACAATCAGGTGCCCTTCTCGCAGGTGGTGTCTACACTCTCGGTATAAGCCTTGGACAACGCCCTGATATGCTCGAGACCACATTCTTCGACATCTTCGACGTTCAACACCAGTTCCGTATTCACTTCAGCGACAAGTCCAGTGAAGAGGAAGACCCGAGTCTTACCGCTCTAAGCGTCGCCTCTGTCGGTCTTGGTGCTCTCACCATGGTCGGCGGGAAAGCACTCGGTGTCCGTGGCGTCATCGAAGGCATCGTTCGGCTCACCGACCTCCTAGGTAACCAAACCGCGCGCAAGTGGGCCGCCCCAGTCCTCGGCGCACTCACCATCGGCGCCGCAGTCTACTTCGTCCTCGAGCTCCCCAGCTCTATCCCACGAACAGTCGGGCGACGCATCCAGGCGACGCTTGTGAAAGAGAATGAGGAGCGGGTTGAGGATGCGAGTTTTGTGGAGGCGCATGCGGGGAGAGTGGGGAGGGAGAGTAGGAAGGTGCTTAGGCTTGCTTCTTGGGATCTTAGGGAGCGGTTTAGGAACGCGATGGAGGAGAGGGGGAGGGAGGTTAGGGGTGCGGAGGATATGGAGAGGAAGGCGAGGAAGGCTGTTGAGTGGTTTAGGGAGGTGGAGCAGAGGGCTGGTGGGGTGAGATGTGCTGTGGAATCGATTGCTGAGGCTTGAATTGACTTGCGGTCGAATCTTGCAATGTGACCAATGTGAAAATTCTCTAGTATGATCTGTTTTTTTTTTTTGCCTTTCTTGATGAGTTTGTAGTTGACGTTGAACAGTTAATTGACCTTCTCTCACCTCTACTCAGGTTCTTGTTTAAGGGTTGAGGCAACAATTAGATGCACAACTTCTTCCCTCCGCCTCCCCCACTCCAAGCCACAGTCTACTTGCTACATTTCGACCTTCGATAATTTCTTCAGCTCTTTATCGCCTGAAGTCCACTACGCTCTTTGTTTTTTTTCCCCCTCTTTCTGCGTTTCATTTTTTTCATCATGCCCTCCCTTATGATCGACGTTACTTTATGCGTTTGGAATGTAGTACTTTGTACGAATAGTTCAAGAATCGAGACGAATGGTCTCTTCAATGCATGTTTTCTTCTATACATTAAACCTGACGTGACGTACAATAACACGCTTTCAGTGAAAATGTAATAAAAGCCTTAGAACGCCCATACAAGCACGATCATTACTCGATCACTTATAGACTTGCCGCATACGATACCGTACCTTTACTTTCACCACAGTTCCATTTGACTCTTTACTTGCAGTAAGTACGAAATTCCCCCGAGCTGACCACATCCCTACCAGCAGCTAGATACAAAGTAGAAGAATCTGGACGACCCCCTTTAAACGATCCATCATGTCCCATTTGTATCGCTCCGCCATCCACGCCAAAGTAGCCAAGCTCCCAGCAATGCCGCCACCACAGATCGGCTCGGTGGAGGAGGAGGATGAAGAAAATGAAGCTGCAGATGGCCTCGGTAGTCTGCCTTCTTCGTTGGGTTCTGGTTCTCGTTCAGGCTCGTGAGTGTCACTAGCATTGCAATATTTTGAGTCTAGTTTCTGTCAAGGTGCGTTTATCGTGACAATGACTTTCAATACGAATCATGTGCTGAGGTTTCATTTGATACACATCACAGACCATCTCTTTCCTTTCCCTTACCTAACTAACTAACCTACCCTTTTTCTCTCTTTCACCACAGGACATCCGTAAGACGTCAACACCATCAACACCCTCCCAACCCCGCATACTCCCCAGTCTCCGCATCCTCCTACTTCGAACACGCCATCCAAGTCTCAGTCCCACCCTCCAACCTCGACGTCCGTGTCTACTACACTGCTCCAAAGACTGGAGATGGGGCTGTTATGGTGTGTCATCATGGCGCGGGGTATTCGGGTTTGAGCTTTGCTTGTCTTGCGAGAGAGGTTGGGTTGTTGAGTAGAGGTGAATGTGGGGTTTTGGCGATTGATTGTCGTGGGCATGGCAAGACGACGAGGATTTCAGATGATGATGATAATGGTGCTGAGATTGAGACGGAAGATCTGGCTATTGGGATTTTGACGGATGATCTTGTGAACTTGATATCCACTGTATACCCGGACCCTAACTCTGCTCCAAGTTTACTGGTACGCTTTGATACCTGATAACTTTTTGGGGGGGACAACTGCTGATACTATCGCCTCTTGACAGCTTGTTGGACATAGCTTAGGAGGTTCTGTATCCGTCCGAGCGTGTCCACTTCTGCAAGAACGCAAATACAGAATTACAGGTGTCGGCGTCCTAGACGTCGTCGAAGGTCCGAGCCAATTCCCATGTGTGCACTACCTAGTCATTGACATGCATTCTCGTCTGCTCTGGTTTTGTAGAATTCACTTTGGAGGCGCTTCCGATGATGCATAGCCTATTGGACGCTCGCCCAGACGGGTTCAATAGTCCAGAAGAAGCCGTTGAATGGCAGTAAGCAGCACCTCTCATTATCACCATGATTCCCATTCATCCAGGAGTAACGTTGTGTTGTGTTTGTTGATCTCAGTGTTATGACACATGCGATCCGCAACGTCGAATCAGCAAGAGTCTCCATCCCCGGTATCATTATCCCCAATCCGGACCCTTCATCCGGGCCAGCGTATCTATGGCGTACCCCCCTAAGGCTTACAGCACCTTATTGGTCGAGTAAATCAACTCTATCTTCTTCGTTTATATCAGTGAGCATTGACTATTTTTGACCAGGCTGGTTCACTGGGTTATCCAGCAAATTCCTGTTGACCCGTACAGCGCGGCTATTGGTACTCGCGGGCGCGGAAAGACTTGACAAAGAACTCATGATTGGACAAATGCAGGGCAAGTTCCAGTTGGTGGTCTTGGCGAATGTCGGACATATGGTTCACGAAGTGCGTGGTTGTCCGCTTTTCTGTTCAATATAATATAAGTCCTAAGTCCTTTGTTGTACTAATTAATGGTCGTACTTAGGATGACCCTGGCCGACTTGCAGAAGTACTGGTCGAGTTCTGGAGACGGAATGAACGTGTTGTCATTGGTGTCAAGAAAGTTGGAGAGCTCTGAGTGGGCGAGCTACCGTGTAGCATTTGGAATCAATTTTTGCATCAGTAGGGCTCAACAACATATACCTGTTACTCTTTCACAAACGAAGCCTGTACTTATAATATGAATGCGATTATCCAAAGCACAATGGAATAAGCTAAAAATACAGATGCCATAATGATACACATCGTCTGTTTGACTTCATCCCCCTCCTCACCATCATAGCGCTTGTTCAAAGAGAAGTTTCCGAGGCTTGCTGATCGGTGGTGCTGGAATGATAAGCGCAGGCCTATTGCGCGAATGAGTCGGTATAAGTATAACATGCCCAAACTACAGACAAAGACGTACATTGAAGTGCCAGTGTTTGCTGCTGGATTGCCCATGATAATACTCTCGGAGACACCAGCAATAGAGTCTGTCTTGCCGTACGCAGAAGCGTCGAACAAGTGATCTGTCGTCTTCTCGAACGATGCCAACATCAGAACGCTGTCCTTCATTTTGGCTACACCGAATCGGGTGATACCGAGCACTTCACCCTGTTTCTATCATCAGACCACTGGAAAGGTGATGAGAACATTCGTTCTTACCTTGTATGTCATGACGTCTCCGAGTAACATGACGTGTCGAGGGTCAATACTCATACCGTGACTCTGCATAGTGAACTGGATTTCGTTAATGATAGTTCGTCTGGCGGCCTCAATGCCCAACACTTGGGCGGTCTCGATAACGTGGTTGGACGATGTGTGTTCACCAACGATACCTACAAATAATGTCGTCAGTGTATGATGCAGTCTACAGAATTGTTGTTCACGAACCTTGTGTGACCATGACCTTCTGAAGACCATATCCTTCGACTAGTAGCTCCTTGTCACCTTTCTTACCGCGCCAATCATCTTTCTCCTTGATATTGATGATAGCTCGATGAATAGTAGGGACACCCTGGAGAATGCCATTATAAATTCAACGTGAATACACCAGCATGAAAAATATATACCTTCACGACGACGCCCGGCAAAAGACGTTTGAGATCCATCAAACGGTAGTACTTGTCGGCTCCGTCGATATATACACGCAAGCGGTTCTTGCGAGGGATCACGGTGATAGACTGAAAAGAAACATATTGAGCATACGATACAAAAGAAGGTCAATTTTAGAGATACCTCTTGCTTGATTTTGAGTTTCCTCGCAGCTACAATTGCCCACTTGATGTCATCCAGAGTCAACTCAAGCTGCACAGAGAAACCAGTGAGATAGTGTCAGCGCAACTATTAAGGATATTACCTGTAAATCCTGAATAGTCTTCGTGTCGACAATGATACCAATGTAAGTGTATTCCGCAGCCCAAGCTTCCTCGATGAAAGAGGCGATCTTAAAACAAAGTCAACGGTCATGGCACGCAATTGACGAAGTAGTAATTACTCACGTCACCCAAATGAGTCTTTTCCAAACGACCCTTCACGATACGGGCAGAAGCTTCACTATCGCTAGTGACCAGCTTGCAACTAATGATCGGTGTACTGATAAGCTTCGCGGCATTGATGATTTCTTTTATACGGGGTACACCAAGGGTGACGTTCATGGATGCGACACCGGCAAAATGGAAAGTCTTCAGCGTCATCTGCGTACCAGGTTCACCAATGGATTGGGCGCCAACAGCACCGACAGTGGATCCTGGTTCGATCTTTGCTTTGACATATTTCGTCCAGCAGACGTCGAGGAATGTCCTTAGCTGCTCCTCTGTTACCTTGGACTTGTTGTCAACGATTGCACGATCGGCCACTGTACGAGGGTATGTGAGCCAAGTTTGATGATACAATGAAAGTCAACGTACAGGATGCGCCCATTGAAAGGTCGGTATCGGCATCCCACTCTTCTTCACGCTCCAGAGCGTCGAACATACCATGACTCTTACGGATCTCCGCAAGTCTATGAGCGACACGTTCCGTGACGAAACCGCGAATTGTTGCTATATATGCAGCGGTACACTCGCTTGTGAATCTTCGTTGTGCCAACTCACGATCGACATATTCCAAGATCTCAAAGGGTAGAAGACCACGGGAAGACCTCGGTGCGATGGACTGTCGAACAAAAGTCTAGGCTTATCATACAAGAGATATAAAGAAGAGCTTACCGATGCATGTCGCCATGCTCTTTCGTACTCGACCGGTTGAGCATCGCCTTCAAGGCAAGCAGGATCCAATCCGTCGTCACCATACCGGAATTGCACAACACCACCAGTTGCGTTTCGAACAGACGAGTCATAGTGAGTCACCAAATCCTCCAATGCTTTCATGAGACGACGTTGCATGTAACCAGTCTCGGCTGTCTTGACAGCTGTATCGACCAGACCTTCACGACCCGAAATAGCATGGAACAAGAATTCCGTGGGGGATAGCCCAGAGTAGAAACTGTTCCGTACGAAACCCTTTGAAGGTGGTTCTCTTGACTTCTTGGGAAAGTGCGGTAGCGAACGGTCTTGAAAACCATCCGGTACACGATGTCCGGCTATGATTTGTTGACCTACACAAGCAACCATTTGCGAGACATTGATGACGGAACCTGGAGTGTGGATCAGACCGAGTAGCAGCTATGTAGGCAATAATGTCGCCCACCTTTAGAACCACAGGTGGCCATGATAAGCGGTGCGTTATGCCGACTGAGCTCCCTCATGCAAATCTCTCCGACTTTATCACGGACGTTGGACAAGACAGAAGAAATCATGGCCTCCAGTGTTTGTTCTTGGTTACAACCGGCCTTGTTCTCCAACAGACCTTTCTTTGCACGAGCAATTAGGTCGTCACATTCTGCATATGCCCTAGCAACCATAGACTCTTTTTCCCTCGAGAGGATTGGACCCGGTATGACGTCGTTGATACCCAAAGAGAACCCATAGTTGGCTGTATTCATACTCAGTCCATGACTCGGTCATGATAGTTGGGATAAACGAAGACTCACCAAGATAACGAGCGCAAAGCTTGGCTAGTCTACCCATGGCTGCCGCCGCTTCATAGTTCCCATAGTCTCGCATGATCACGCCGAATACGGACTTCTTCTTACCGCTTCCAACCGTCGCCTTATCCATAACACCGCACATGATTTCGCTGTTGACAATAACGAGCCAGCCATCGTTCGGCGACAGATCAGGCGCGGGATTCGTCATCCTAGGATAACAGTCCGCTTTCGGTTTCTCCTCCTTATTGCACTTGCTTTCGACATTGACACGAACTTTTGATCGAGCATTGGGTCGCATTAGGACGTTGAAGATCTGTTTTCCAGTCCACAAGCGGACAGGTTTCCAGATGGTGGGTGGAGGGATGTCAATGTCCAGGTCGGCATCTGCGAGGTAGGAACATATCTGGGTGAATTGTCGTCTATCAAAGAACCGGTCCCGACGAGAGAGGAGGAAGGATGCAGTGATGAAATCTTGAATGGCGGCAATGACGGGCTCTCCGTTTCGAGGCGTGACGAGATTGTGATTTACGCTCATCAGCTCGAGTGCCTCCGTTCGAGCTTCTTCTGTCTGCGGTACGTCTGCGCAAGGCAATCAGAAAAAAGGAATGTTAGATCAAAAAAAAAAAGACTAACGTAAGTTCATCTCGTCCCCATCGAAGTCAGCATTATAGGGGCCGCAAACACACTCATTCAAACGGAATGAACGCCACGGTCGTACTTTCACCTAGTAGGTCGTTAGTCATGATCATGTCATCAACAGAGGCGCACTTACCCTATGGCACATGATAGACAACTAAAAGGGTTATTAATAAATTGATCCACGGTAAGAAATTGGCGAATGCACCTTGTGCAAACTAGGTTGTCGGTTGAAGAGAACAATATCCCCATCAATGATATGCCTCTCGACGACATCTCCAATCCTGAGGCCATCCGCAATGGCGCTCCTGTTGCCAAATTTGAGGTATTTCTTGAACCCACTACTACCTGCAGTCACGTAGTTCGCACCCGGATGTAAGTCGCAACCGTTTCGGATCGCCTTCTTCAACCCCTCCATGTTATGCGAAGTGACTCGCTCAGGATACGTCAGAATCTTGGCGACTCTTTCCGGTACAGCAACCTCGTCAATGCGAAGGTTTGGGTCGGGTGAAATGACGGTACGACCAGAGAAATCGACACGCTTTCCCGACAGATTACCTCGGAAACGGCCCTGTTTGCCCTTCAGTCGTTGACAGAATCCACGTATTGGTTTCTGGCCCATCTGCGGCGGCACACCAGGGAGCTCCGAATTGATGTACATTGCGACAGAGAGTTGCATAAAGTCCCATTGTTCCTGTGAACACACAACAGGTGAACCAAGCTGACAAGGAACGAAAGTGTGAGCAAAAGCTGACCATGAACTGCGCAGTTGGAGCACCTTTTGCTAGACCCTGCTTTATGAGAGCGTTCGTAAAGACAATCTCCGTCAATTTCACCGTTAGATCATCCTCGTTCGATGCTCCGTCTTGGGCAACGGACGGTCGAATGCATACAGGAGGGACAGAGATATACTGCCACAAGTACTCTTCTGGTCGACCTGATTCCGGTTTTAGACCTAGAAGCTCGCAATCCTGTGTGATGTCAGGAACGCCGTTGAGATACGTACTGTACTGCACTTACTTCGTCAGATATACGTTTGAAGAGATCCAAGACCTTCAACGGATTCAGCTCTTCGTAGACCGCTCTGTTGAGGTACACAGCAAGATCCTTCTGCGTTTCAACGGCATTTGTGAATGTCTTCTTCCATTGCTCCATCTCATCTGCAGTCTTCTTGGCGCGGAACTTGTCGTGAATGATCTTCAGCGCTCCAGCCTTCTTGACCGCGCCATTGGTAGCTGCACAGTACGGGCAATAAACGGCTTTGCGAGCAAGCGTGTTTACAGCCTTGATGAGAGCCTGTCTCTGAATGTTTTCTAGATTTGGTCGACGGAAACGCTTCAGATACGCTCGACGGTCGGGTTCTTCTAGTAGCACTCGAGCGCAAGTCTGCATTAGAGGTAAATTCATGCGTTGTAATATACAAAGTAAAGATACACACCTTACAAATACACTGCAAGATACTGATCGTGTGCTTGAAGTAGCCAATGTGGAACACCGGTACACACAGCTTGATATATGCATAGTGTCCGACGCAATCTACTGAGTTCAAGCCACATGTCTCGCAGAACGCGTTTTTCTCCGTTGTGCCCTGCAATGCAAATGAGAAAGGGAACTGCACGACGACATATGTTACATACCAATCGTCGATCGAGAACACCATTCTTTACGGGTTGTCGGTCCACAGGGGTATACAGGTCGCGGTGGGTAACTTCAAACTCGGATATCTTGACAGTATCCTGGTTATTCAAAAGACTGAACTGGATCTTTTTGCTATTCTGTGTGGTTAATTACATACAACCTCAATGCGGAATCGCAAACATACATGACTTTTGGGGCGCGATGAGCGACTGGTTCCTTCATAATGGTGTAATCGCCCGGAGGACTCGACCTCCCCCCTTCAGCACCTATTAAACTGAAAGATCCCTCGTTAAAGTCGTGAAATTGGGCGTGAACAGTAATAAGTGTGGTAAAGAGAGCGGTACCCAACTTTTTGGCTAACTTTCTAAGTTAATCATGGCCGGCCCGGAGGATGCGCGCTCTGTAGTCTCACGCGAAACGCGACGCGCAAGTCTCGAAAGCTTGACCTCAAACTATTAACGTCCAACTCTTCATCCTTCACAATGTCTCGCACTTCTTACGATAGGTAGCGTGTTACGAATCACTCTATAGCTTTGGAGAATACTCAAATCAATGCTAGATATTTGACCGTTTTCTCTCCTGAAGGACGTCTATATCAAGTCGGTACGTACGAGTGCGCCTGCTAATGAAAGTATCAAGGTGTTCACCCTTGTTCAATATCAGAATATGCCTTCAAAGCAATTACAGGGTCGGGCCATACAGCCATTGCGGTGCGTGGCAAGGATAGTGCTGTCGTGATCACCCAGAAGAAGGTCCCTGTACGTTGCCTCTCGATCACACATTTGTTCTGTATGGCTGAACTTCATTTCTTCGTAGGACAAACTCCTCGACGCCTCCACCATTACCCACCTCTTCAGCATAACACCTACTATTGGATGCGTTATGACAGGTCTTATTGGTGGGTGATGATAGATCAACCTTTGTTTTGCTGCTGACCATTCCCCAGCCGATGCACAGGCTCAAGTTACGAGAGCACGTTCAGAAGCTGCTGAATTCCGATACAAATACGGATACGAGATCACGCCTGACGCCCTTGCACGACGTATGGCAAATATCAATCAAGTGTATACTCAGAGGGCCGCTATGAGACCGCTTGGCATCTGTATGTTACACGTTCCCTTCTTCATGCTACCCGCTAACATATGAACTAGCCATGATCGTCATCGGTATGGACCCAGAATACGGCCCTCAATGCTTCAAACTCGATCCTGCTGGATACTTCGTTGGCTTCCACGCGACCGCCGCAGGTCAGAAGCAACAAGAAGCAATGAACCATCTGGAGAAGAAGTGGAAGAAACTCAATTCAGGTCGAGGTGCTGACGATGCTGTCTCGGCGGGCAAGTCTCTTAGCAGGTCCGAAGTGATCGAGGTGCGTATCGCTGAAATTATGCGTTGCTTGAGAAGCCTGGATACTAATCTCATTCAAAGATGGCGATCGAAGCAATCTCAACCGTGCATGCGACGGACTTCAAGCCTGGAGAAGTTGAGGTTGGTGTCGTATCACTAGGTGATGATGAGGACCCGAAGACCAGAGGACAATGGCGAGTCATGCCTGAAGATGAGGTGGAGAGATATCTCCTGGCGTACGCGGAGAAGGATTGACATGTATACGTATACTTTGAATGGACTTTCGCTCTAGTTGAGATCATACCAACGGCTTATCATACCTTGTATAAGAGGGAGGTCTTTAACGTTATTGTGTCATCATTCAGGTAAGATAGACGTTATTGAATAATTCGGTGTACAGTACGTTAGAGCGGAACGGTTCAGTATCTTGAAGCACCGCCGCTCTGACCCCTTATTGAGTAAACCGTGCACGACCAACTGAAAAGAACATGACATACCATCGCCAGCTCGACCTCTTCCTCGCTCAGGTCAGATTTCCACAGCCTTTCTGGTGCTTGCCAGAATTCTTGGTAAACATGTACGTTCGGGCCCGACTTAGGCTGCGACGTCGCAGGTTGAGTACTGCTCAACCCAGCTTGTGCCCCAGAACTCTGGAACTTTGACACAAAGTCCGAGAATGCCTTCTTCAGCTCAGCAGGTGCGAAGGGGTGAGGATGTTGTGGCTCTGGCTCTGAAAAGCGAGATATGGGCCGAATCAAGTGCCTGAAGTTACAAAAGCATACATATACTTACTCGAAGGCCATTGTCGCTTGCCAATGAAGCGAATGAGTGGTTTGTGCACACCGAGTCGAAAGGTAGGATGCATGATTTGGATGAGTTACCTTTGGAACCAGATTAGGGTTGCATATCTCGGGGAAGTAAGATATTACTTATGAGCCGGTGATAACAAGTGTTCTTGGTCAAGTTAAGGTCATGACAAAGTTACAACAAAATCCGTATACTGTAATTGCTTAGAATCACTGTTGCATAGCGAGCTCATAAGTAACATTTATTTGCCCGACATATTGATCAAGAATGCCACGTGGTGGAGTACTTGAGTACGACGTTGTATTTCGATGAATACTTGATCTCCAAGAGTCAAAGCAGAACTATCACGTCTTATAATAGAGCCTAACGTCTCTCACCAAGGACGTTCCATCATATAGCCCACCATAATGGAGAGCGGACATATTGCGGCACGTCCTGTTGTATTTGCAAACCATCGAACTGAAAGCACGTTTGAACAGATACCTATCATGTACGCCGGAACGCTTCGAGATACCGCCCTCCTGATGAATTCATTAGCCATCCAATAAACTTACGCTCGTTTCTAGCGATCTACAGAATATGTTTTCAACGGATCCCTCTGTAAGGCGTACTCTTGCCGACGACATTCGAGATGCTTGTATCAACGTTGGCTTCTTCTACAGTGCGTCAGACGAACACACTACAACTCTGTTGATTGATGTTTTTGATAATTCGTCTGATCCTAGTCAAGAATCATTCAATACCAACAGAATGCATCGAGAAGGCTGTAGCAGCTGCCAAGCGGTTCTTCTCACTACCGATCGCTGATAAGTCGGCCCTTGACATCCACAAGTCTCCTAACTTCAAAGGATACACGGCCCTCCTCGGAGAGAATACGAACCCTGAGAATCGCGGGGATTTGCATGAGGGCTTTGACATTGGTTGGGAAGAAATGTCAGGCTCTTCTCGTTCCGACGATGGTGCCATGACAGGCGACAATGTGTGGCCAGAAAAGTTGCCCGGCTTTCGAGAGGCCGTCCTTGACTATTAGTGGGGTCTCCAAAGCTAACAGATTTTATCGCGTCTTTGGCTGACCTGACTGCTTTTATGACAGCCATGCAGCTGTAAGATTTAGTAGAGCGTTGTTCCCACTCTTCGCCCTTGCACTGGATCTACCAGAGGATTTTTTTGACGATAAAGTCATGATATCAGTTATTTGTTAGCGGTCAATTGCATCCTGACCCTTACCATAGATAACGAAACCGGCTGCCATCATGCGACTACTATACTACCCTCCACAAAGTGGTGAAGTCGACGATCGCATTGAAGGGATTGGAGCACACACTGAGTACGTGGCATCGTTATTATTTATCATGATTTTGAGCGTCTGAATGCTTTGGTGCTAGTTACGAGGTCAGTACATTTCAATTCATCGAATGTACCGAATTGACTGTTATGTTGAGTGCTTCACCATCCTCTGGCAAGATGAAATACCCGCACTTCAGGTGTTGAACAACGATGGGAAATGGATAAATGCGGTGCCTATTCCAGGCACGCTAGTTGTGAAGTACGTCTTGTAGCTTCGCTATCAAGGAGAGGCTGGACATGCTCACGGCCGCCGCAGTCTTGGTGACCAATTCGCTCGTTGGACGAGTACGTATACATCTGCAGCCTGCCGACACTAGATCTTATTATTGGGGACAGATGATGTATTCAAATCTACCGTCCACCGTGCAGTCAACCGTGGTGGGGTAGAGCGGTACTCGATCCCACTTTTCTTCGGTACGGACTATGATGTGAAGCTTGAGGTGAGTATTTTATTTCCTTAAGCTGCTTAGGCTGCGGGTTAACGAACGCAAGGCCCTGCCGAGCTGCGTTTCTGAGGATATGCCGGCGAAGTACGAAGTTGTGACAGCAGGCGACTACGTGAAGTCTAGATTGGAGGCTACATATGCCCATTCGAAGTGATTCATGCTTCGCATCTGTTCAGACGATGACCGATTGGCTTCCGATCGACGTGATCGACCTGTACAATAAACTTGGAGTGACTTGATGAATGAAGGATTTCCACATACCCACAAAAGACCCCGAGGACAATCGAAAGTTTATTCCTGGGATCGTATCCGGTTCTGTGGTTCTATTCCATCTTTATATCTATGATACCAATGCTGATTTTCCTAGGGTGCTTGCTCCTAATGTGACTCCCCGCGATTCTAGTATGTTGAGGGAAACAGGGTAAGTCTCCCTCCATCTATCAAGTGTACAGTTCCGTTGACGTAGGATCCAGCCTGGAGAGTCCGTGAGTGCATGTTTACCCTTGTAGCAGGTACACTGACCTTGCTAGCCAAGAATAGGATAAGTCCACCCATGTCGTCGATGTTTCCGGCACGTTGCAGAGGTACACCATCCCTGACATGAGCGTCTGTGACTACGCCTTCGGTCATAACTGGGTATATGAGTTAGGAACGTCCATGACTATTGCAAATGCTACCGCTCACGGGAAGGGAAGACTCCAGGTGCAATGACGTTGCTCCGTATATTCCAGTCCTTGAGAAAATGAGCCAGCATCTTCCCGAGGTGTGTTGCAGCTGTCTTGCTGAGCGTGTATGACACACTGAATACTTTGTCGTCTTTTCGATAGCCGCCACCACTGGTTACTGAAATCACTTGGCTAGTCGCTCCCTGCATGTCACCGCGCTTATTCCCAGCGTCGAGCAGTTCAAGAAACGCTACGGTTGTATACCATATGGCCGTGGTGTTAATCTCAAATGTCTTGGCAAAGTTCTCTGGCGATCCTGTATTCCATAGGGCCTCCTGGTACGTTTTGATGTCCGAACTATCCGGTGTTGGCAGCTTCGGTAATAGATTTAGGGCGACTCCTGCGTTGTTGACTAACAAGTTGATGAATCCATGACGGGCCTTGACCGTCTCCACGAGGCTGAGGATGGAGTCTCTACTGGACACATCGCATGCAACCGGAATCAGCTTTCCATGTCGCTAACAACGTAAGTCGCCGCATGGTCAGTAAATGAGGCCCGAAACGGCATACGTGAGCATACGTTGTTTTTGCGGGCAGCTTCCTCCAGGACATGGAGTGTCTTCGAGACAATATACACAACGGCGCCGTTGTTCTCGAGAGCAGTCGCGATCATTAGGCCAATACCTGGAGAGGGGCATGTTTCAGTGTGGACTGTCTTAGATTCTACTATTGGCCTACCCGTCCCTCCTCCTGTTACGACGGCGACTAAGCCATCCACGGAGAATAATGTGGTAATCGGACTAAGCTGTTCCGCCATGGTAGAAAACCGGGATACCAAGAAGATAGGGGCCAACCTAAGTTGTGGGTCTTGCGTGTTGCAGATTCATTTGGTATGCGGGTTCCTTCAAATACTAAAACGTCTGGAGGCTGACAGTCGCTTGCACAGGCTATCAAGCGACAACACATGGCGGCGGTCTATAGGAATTACGAATAGATCCGCTTCATTGGACGCTTCCCGCCCAACGCAAGGTACAGATGCGGATAAGATGGATACTGATTAACAGGAGTTTGTACGACGGACACGACAGAGTGTATGCTGTCGCCTAATTCGAGTTGAATTTGCGTCCAGCCTCGTGGTGAACAATGTTACGATGTGGACTACGGGAAGCAGTCGTGGAGCCAAGCAGAAATGATTTGATGTCAGCCCTGGTCCAATCGGCATTGGGACAAAGTATGTAGTAATAAGGCGCTCCGACCATCATAACCCTCTACTTAGTGGCAAATATAGCAGAGACAGAGTACCCTTGAACTCATAGACGTGTTGCAGCATTTCAGATGACTTGTCGCGCTTTCCAAATTGCCGACACATCGCAGTCCGAGCATGTCTTCGCAACGCTATTGCAATTGCAAGAAGGACCCTCATAGGTACGAATACTCGTATGGCCGTCCGTGGAAGTATGCTACAACTGTAAATCAATAAGATTGGCTGCATTCCTCGCTCGGAATGTGGTGGAAAGCGGAACTCATTTCAACTGCTTATTCCCTGCATTCATGTCTCGACGGATGACGTTGTGCAAATATCGACATTGGAAATTCTGTACGACAGATGTATTGCATGACGCGAATAAGGAAATGTATATATCTCCACCAGGTATACAAACAACAAGTAGTCCGAGGTTTTATGATAAAGTAAGTCTACGGTATGATGTGAGTGTGAAAGCAGCGAGGGGAACGGAAAGATCAACATAACCCTAACAAGTACAGACAAGATTTTTCCAGGACGTCCAACCATACCCAACAATAGCGTTCATTCCATTCAACGAGTCCAAATTCCAGGGTCAAACTTCTGTCAAAAGTCAGAACTCAGCAGACCAACATCACCAATAATGTCATCAGTCCAGCCAGGATCGATAACACTCGAACGGCGTCCGCGGTGTGCGAAGGAGAAGCATCCGAGGAGATGACCGTGAGCTCTCCAGGTTCTCCATACACACGGACATAGTTGACCTCAAAGTAGGCGTTGTCGTAGTTGGAGGGAGTGCCAAGAACCCAATCTTGGTAACAGACACCAGTGCAAGTTTGATAGAATGAATTTGAGTTTCCGGCATAGTCTGGAACGCGAGGAGATAAAGTGGATTAGAATGGGAAAGTTTGACAGGGAAATGCCGGCATGCGATGGGGACGCACCTCCACAGAGTGTGATATCGAATATAAGGTATTGAGGCTCGAAGAAGTCAGGTGGTGAACACCCATCAGCCGGCCAGTTAGCTACGGGGATCCCTAAGGTTGACGTGTCGATAGTGCTGGCGTTGCTTTGGAGCGAGTCCGGTATCGAGGAACGCTACACCAAAGTCAGAGGCCAGGGGCATTTACCATCAGGTTAAAACTCACTGTGAAGAACCAGATGCTGCAAAAAGTCAGATGAGTGGTCAGGACAAATGATACACAAACGTTGAAACTCACGAAATACCCTTTACAGCAAATTCCGTGACCCAGACACCTCCTCCAGCATTTGCGAAGCCGGCACCGTACGATTTGGTTGTTGGGTTTGTGACGGTGCATCCCTCGTTCGCATTTGCGAGGATGGAGCAATCGGTGGAGTTAATGAGTGTACTCGACTGAACAGACGTGTTTGAGTGCGTACAACCCTGATAAGATGCAAAACGGTGAATGATGAATACACTAAGAGCTCAAAATTGATCATTTACCGGTGCTGAGTGAAGGCCCATCTGGTTCATTGTCACTTGGTTCACGCCCTCAAATGTATCTGTAACCATCAATCATTCAACAAATTGACCCTGCTGACAATGGACGCTACGAACCGATCTCCCCACCATCGGGCCAGGTCGGCGAAGACGACCACCAAGCAGGCCATACAGAGCACTATCGACCCAATGTCAGCACCACATGCACCAATGTCAAACTACTCAGAGAATATTTACACCGAACGGTACGTGCGTCATATCCGCGACCCACAACGACCCGATGGTAAATTGGGCCTGAGTAGCGATTCGAATTGAATTTCGTTTGGACGGAAACTTGAGAGTCGACGAGTTGTCGACTTTCATGACTGCACGACCGGCGTCATTGATGAACGCCAGGTTTTGAGTTTGCGCATCCTTCGCACTGAGGTAACTGGAAAGGCAATGTGAGTAGGAATGGGAAGAAATAAGAGAACGCGGGTAGAGAACGTACTTGACGTCGCCGTTGGTTAGGTTATCGACTACAGCAAAGAGGCAGCTTCGAGTTAGTAAATGAGTTCTGCCAAAATGGGAACAAATATAATCGTCTTTTTGCCGAAGCCAAGTTCATTCTAGAACCTGTACGGATTTAACGAGGCAGCAGCAGCATGTTTTGTGAGGGATGATTCGAAGGAACAGCGTCACATAGAAAGATCAGAAAACCAGTCCGTTCGCTGTTCCCTTCAAACTTTGACACTCCAGCGCCTGTTATTTTCGCTCCAATGCCGATTAAGCACAGCGATTGAACTGTGCAAATCGCGCATGAGAGGACAACACTCCGGCACAATAGTATTGCAAATCCCAAGGGTCCGTTCGTGGAATACACAAATCTGGAAGTAAGAATTCGGAAAAACGACAAGGACTCACAATTATCATAGAAAGTCCATTCGTCAAAGAACGTCGAACCCTCGTAACTCTTGACTATCTGGTACTGCGCAGCGACAAGAGTAGGCAGAAGGCAAGCGCACGCAACAAGTGTAGGAATCATAGTGGTGCGTTACAGGGATACCGAGAAAAAAAGAGCGTGAAGGTGGTAGAAACTAGTCAAGCAAGGTGACCCAGGTAGCCAGAGTGAAGGTGAATGAACACCTGGAAGCTCGGGGGAGGAGAGAGCAAGCAAGTCGGTACTGGACCGACACGGGGCAGATATATAACGACCGCAATGATCGCTTGGTCAGGAGAATCTGACAGGCAACGTCCGGAGATATGACAGTTAACTCGAAGACACGAGAGACGCAGATAGACAGGCACAGAGCACACGGCTGAAAGGGAGACAAAGTTCCTGATCGAGGAGAATAGCGGCCTGCATATAGGTTGTGTACCTTTTCTCGATTGCTCAGTATCGGAGGAGCGGAGAAAGAGCTGCAGAACAAGGAAGAAAAAAAGAAAGATGCTGATACGTAAAGCCACCGCTGCCGACAGGTCCGAGCATGATTTACAATCTCCGCAGGATATTTAATATAAAGCAACTTAAACCTTTGCAAAGGAGAACAGGTCGTGAAGATTGAAGGAAAAGGCTTTCGGGGCTTGAAGCCAACTTGAAGCAGAAGGGTACCCTGCTGCGTTAACCTTGGTGGCGTATATCTTCATTCAGTCGGGTGAAAGTTCCCACGATATGTCAAGTTCTACGATGATGTGGATCCGGAAGCGTGACAGGCCTGTCTGCTGTCCAAGTACGTCGAAGTGATACAAAGATGAAGAATGGACAGCATCCAGACAATCAGCATTCAACGGTCATCGACAAAAGTATCGCATAGTAAAACCTGCTTGGTAAGTACATACATAGCAGTTGAATTAGGAACAGGAGAGAGCACAAGAAGAGTTACTTGAAGTCCTTGAGCAATAAGTACTGAGCGGACCAGAGGTGGACTCGAAGTTCGCCGATAGAATAGGGAGAAGCAAGCAGAGTTGAGCGGCGTTACTAGAACTACGATGGCAGAGAAAGTGCGGACGAAACTCATTCGGTAGCAAACGAACCGATATAGAACAGGACCCCGGTGGTTCTCCAAGGTGCCTGTACACGCGAGGGCGCGCCATGTACTGTATACTCAAGCAAGGAGGACAGACGAAGTGCCTGCGCCGTCTTGTCGCCGAAGTTCCTGCTTATCAACCCTACGTGTTGATTGCTGCCAACGTTGAAAGGCAATGACGTAGGAGGGAAGAGTAAAGTCCATTGGTATTTCAACGATTTCGATTTTCATTCGGGTGAAGACTGCATGAAGCAGAAAACCTTTCTGGCGGTATTCACACCAGATAGGTGACGATGTGTTCTACGGTGGCTGCCGGGGTCCCTCTTGTCTTGACCACTGACTGGTCATCACCAGCGTCCGATGGGTCCGGGACTCATCAATCAGAGGTGGCCAATTGAGCGGAGGCAGAATGCGAACGTCAGAATGAACTGCCCGCGGGTCCCACACCCTTCAAGTTCAAAGGTACGAACTGGCTTGTTATTCAGAAGGGTGTGATGGCACCCACGAAACCTCAGACCCTGGAAGGGAACATTGTGCATGGTACCTTCCACTGATCCAAAAGATGGTAGAGGCGACAAGGATAGCCTCACGGTCTCAAGCAGCGCATTGATGACCGTCAGGAACAAGGTGGCATCCAGGAAGAAATGTCAGATTCATAGTCCAACGAAGAAGGCAATGCGTTGGGCCATAAAGGCATGATGAAGCTGGCCAATTAGATCGATTTAGAGCACTGGCTGATGCCCACAGGGGCCAAGGTAATGGGCATGTACGAGGACAGACGAAACATGATTGAAAATCAAGGATGTGATTGTGATTGAGGGGCGGAGATGCTTGGTTGACGACATGGAAGGAAGACGACAGCGGCGGGGTAGGTCAAAAGAGAGAAACAATTCGGTGGACAACATAATAGAGAGCTGTCGACGAGTTGAGTGGATGAGCCGTTGAAAGGAACCCACCGAACACTGAACACTGAACAGAACAAAGGCGTCGGGCGAATGTTTGTGCATGTTTGTTCAAGTGGCGGTAGCGGCGTTGTTGTTGGAAACAGTGAATAGACGCCTGAGCAGGACCTTTTTGATCAGCGTGCTGGCTGGGTTTGCGAAACTCCATCTCTTGTCCTTGTCGGCCTACCGTCGTCGCTACAAGTTCTGCGCAAGAACACCTTCTACCAGTCGTCTTCGTCGACTATAGTCTTTCGCTAGACCGGCAGGCTCCGCTGGTCTCGTCTAGACACATCCGTCGCACCAGTTTCCACTTGGAGAGTGCTCCGTTTGCTTCTAGCCACCACCAACGACTCGACGTCGATTCATTTCTCCTTTGCTTCGCCTTTCCTTTCCATACAGACATCAAAGATCATGTCGTCTCTTCACCCACCCAGTCCAAGCCCTTCTCCCGGCCCTCCTGGCAACGCCAACGGACGGTCACCCAATTTCCGTGCTTCAATGGGCCCTGGTGCTGCACGCCCGCCTGTAGCCCAGGGACTCCCCCAAGCTTCTCCTCGCCCTGGTGCGATCTCGGGTTCTGGCAGGCCTACCAGCGAGCTGCTCGGTAGTGCTACCATGTTCCAGACCCCTGAAGGTGTGTGTCTCGATATCCCTTTCTCTGTTCTTCTAATTCATTTATTCTGACAGCGGAGGCTATTGACCAATGGTTCGAAAACCTCCAAAATTACGAGGCTACACTGGTGAGTGTTCTGGTGGCTATTTTTAGATCATTGTGCTGATGGACGGAATAGGAGGAAATGGCTGCCGCCTCGCTGGATGTCAACTTCAAAGAGGAACTCAGCGCCATTGAGCAATGTGAGTCATTTAGGCCTATTTTCAGTTGTCATGGATCTCTCCGGCAGTTGTGGAGTTCAGTGGAGAAACCTGCATCTTGTCTGTTCAGCAGCAGCGGGTATGATGGAATGATACCATCCACATTCATTCATTTGTAATCTTGTGTTTTCACGATCAACTGTCCCGGAGGCTAAAGATGTTATGTTTTGTCTATCTGTTACTGACTGATTCATCCAGGGTTCAAGGTTCTTTCCGAAGCCGAGCGCACAGCCGCTCTTTACAGTCTTTTGCAACATTCTACCCAAGTACAAATTCGGTTCTTCATCACAGTCCTGCAGCAGATGGCCAGGGCTGATCCCATGACCGCTTTGCTTAGTCCCGCTGTCGGCGGTAAGTTGATCCGCACAAAGTCTACGTTCATTCTTTTTTCTAATAGTATCTTATTACAGGTTCGATGCAGAGCCAAATGGAGGCTAAATTGGCCAGCATGAATCTTAAATCGCCCGGATTGAAGTCCACGTTGCCCTCCTCCCCGACGGCGCGCAACTTTTCCGGCGCGCGCGCGAGCATGGGGTTGGACGGTATCAATGCTTACCTGTCCCCCGACTCTGCCAATAATCTGAGTGCTTCCGCTGGTGACCCTGCTGCGACTCTCGCTCAGCAGAGGGCTAAGCTTAAGGCAAGCAACGCCGCCCATAGGATCTCAGCTCCGGCTTTGTCATCTCAGGTTGGTGCCGACGGACGCCCCTCCTGGGGGAACGCCAACCAGCTAGGCCAAGTCGATGAGAGCTCTACCGCGCAGGAGATCATCATGCCGTCCCCTAACGGCAGCGCTTCTCGTCCCAAGAGCACCGACTTCTCCGGCGCGGCGAACGCTTTCAAGTCTTCCCGCGAGGCTGATGGTCTGTCGCCCATGGTTGGCGATAGCTGGGCGAGCAACGTCAACACGCCTTTGATTCCTATGTTTAACAAGAACAGCCAGAGCCAGAGTCTCGATGCTGCCGCGGCCAAGCTCAACGATTGGACTACGACAGGCGGCGCCGGTGTCCCGCTCATATCCGATCCGCCCAAGAGGCTTAACCGGTTGTCGAAGGGCAACATTAGTAACAACGGTGAAGAGGGCCCTGGCTCTCAACAAGCTGGTGGCCATCAACAACAGCACAACCATCATAACCAACCACAACACAATCAGCAACAACAACGCAATGCTTCTGGCGGCTATAGGAACGTCAGCGGGGGTGGCAATGCAAATGCATTCGGCGGCCAAGGTGGCGGCTGGAATGGGGCGCGGAGCCCGGCGCTCTCTAATGCTTCAGGCCGGTTCAGCGACGACGGTAGTATGAACGGGCTTGGAATGGGCGGTTTCATGGGTAACAACGGGTTGGGGATGGGTATGCCTGGAGCCGGGGGACTGAATATGGCTGCTTTCGCTGGCATGGCACCGATCAGTCCCTTCAACAATATGTTCAACATGCCCAATCTCGCCGCTATGGGTCTTTCTCCTGAGCAGATCTTGGCGATGCAGATGGCGGCAGCAGCAGGACAACTTGGCCAACCTGGTTTGGGTGCGTTCGGAATGGCCGGCTTGCAGCCGCCCCAGCACTCCCCCGCTAGTGTTCGTAGCGGACGGAGCAGTGTGCGTTCACCTGGTAGCGTCAAGAGCCCGAACTCGAGGGACAAAAAGGACGAGGAGGATGTGGATCCGAAGGTGTTGGAGGATGTGCCTGCGTGGTTGAGGAGCTTGAGGTTGCACAAGTACACGCCTAATTTCGAGGGGATGAATTGGAGGGATATGGTTGCTATGGACGAGGCCGCGCTTGAGGCGAAGGGCGTCGCTGCCCTGGGGGCGAGGAGGAAGATGCTCAAGACGTTCGAAATCGTGCGCAAGAAGATGGGCATCGATGCACCCGCAAGTGCTGGAGCCCCCTCCTCTTAAATATTTGAAGATGCAAGATGCAAGATATTGTGCGCAATGGGGTTGTCGACTTTCTTGTCCAAATTACACCACAGTGAACAATCGTCGACTTACCCCCACACCGCCACTGATTCACGCATTCATCTGAACAGCCGACGGAGCTGAATTGTTTTCGTGTATATTCTATCTTATATTGGTTTTTGTTTTGTCTTTCCTCTCCTATCTCTCCTTTTTTTCTTGTTTCTCTCGCGACGACGACACCCTCTCCCACCCACTTATTCGTGCATATACCTCGCTTTCACTCACACCACACTCCTTCAGGCGATCTCTCCAGTTTTTTCTCTAACACTCAAATTATCTCCACGTCTTGACCAAAGTGTTCGTAGATGAATAATCTCTGTATCTCGCACCTAGGTTTTCTCTCCCTCCTACTTCTATCTTGTAGGATGTAATTTATATTGCGGATCGAATTGCATGTCTTCCTTTTGCTCTGAAATAGGTTTGTTGGAGACTCAAGGCAGAGAGAAAATACCAACTCCGCTGCGGGCTTTGGAATACTGGTGCAGGTCAATTTGTGTTCTTTTTGGTCGCCATCGTCCATGTTGTTGCTCAATGTTGCTGCTGCTGGAGTATCAACCGGAAGGGCGTGGGCTACGCTCTTCCCGTTGATGCTCGATCGAGAGCATTCGTCATTCTGTCAACCCGAGTCCATATGCGATACTTCGTGATAGAGGGGTACGACATTAGAGGATATATAGTAGCTGCAACACTGTTTTCTAGCTGGGTATACACGACATATATGCGTACGGTAACAAAAATAATCTGTGGATGAGGGAAAGAAGTTGCAGAATGCTATCTGCAATCATACTTGGGAACTCGGGCTTGTAGCGACTTTAACATACTTCGCGACACGCGGCCGCCGGACGTGACAGCCAAAGTCTATACCTTCCTTGGAGAGAAAGTCCTACATACAGGAATAGAATTCAGCGGGAATTGACAAATAACACCAATAGGTCACTCACTTCGACTTTCGCTTCGAGAGTCTGCGCGTCACCCATCAACTTGGACACCTTCTTTTCTAGGCGATATACGGCTCGGAGTTTGTCCATCGGTTTGGACCACGAGGTGCGGTCAAGATGCCTAACCGCTCCTTCGCCAAGTTTGTAATGATCCTCAAGACTGCATAGGTTCCGCCAGAGATGAGTTACTTCATACTTTCACATTGACCATTTGAGAACCAAAAGTCACCTATAGTATATATCCTGGAATGAAGCAAGCACCGCCTCGTTCAAGTCGGGGTTCTTTTCATCCAATGTGACGAGATTGGGGGTAACCAACGGAAATAGGTCAAGCCACAGACGGTCCAAGGCGCGACGAGTCTCTTTCAAGCAGGAGTGTCGTTTCTTCCATCGCATATTGATACCGATGATAATCCAAAAGAGACAATGATAAAGGAACTGAGCAAAAACACCAAAATATATGATCTGTGTCCACAAGTCCAACTTGAGTACGGTGGTTTCTGTGATGCAAGACATTATGGAAGAGAATAGGTCTGCTGCGGTGTGCTGGTAGGAAAGTAAGACTGTGGGCGTATTTGTTTCCGCGTATGGGTCTATTTAAGTATATTCCAGCGGTCAGCCTCAGGGAGTGGTTTCACGACTGAGTCAGCTTCAACTGACATGTACTTGACTAACATACACAGACGAGCGGAATACGCCTAGGATCTGGTCTCGCGCTACCCGCCACTCCTCTCGCACGCCGGAAGACCCCAAGCTCGGTACGAGACCACAAGCATCTGACCTGCGGGACAGGTACCTGCGACAGAATGACGAGTCGTCATACAGCGGATGCCTCAATTGCGTTCCGGGTCTGCCGCCGCCGTTCGGACTATAGTATATATAAGACCGCACTTGCAGTCTCCTGTGCACGTACCTCCTACCCATCTCAATTCGCCGGAAAATGTCTATCTCCTATAACGCTGCCAATCGTGGATCCGAAGACCTCTATCATCTCCTCGCCGCCGAGATTCCTTGGCGGAATCGACAGAAGTTCCTTGCGTCCAAAGGCTACATGCTTCGGCCAAGATACCATCCAGGTCGAATTCCTTCGTGGATGAGACCATTTCGCCGACCCGCCGATCTTCTTGACGACCTTTTCTGCGAAGACAGAAGATGCTCTATGGTATGTTCATTTTTGCCTTAATATCTTACCCTGCGTTCTTAACTGCGATGACGGCCAGATGGTTGGATACCATTCAATGGATGCGACGCGAATGTCGGATGGTACATTGGTTTGCCTGAAGACAGTTAAAACTGATAGCGAGCGGCTTCGCATCCCTATCTTCTTTTCATCCAAGGAGCTGCGTGACGATCCTCGTAATCATTGTGTACCGATTCTGGACGTACTACCAGATAGCGAGAATGAAGACCAGTCGATCCTGGTTATGCCTTTCCTTCGGAAATATAACTGTCCTGAGTTCGAGACCGTATATAATGTCACTGACTACGTGGACCAAATGCTGGAGGTGCGCTTTGTCTCTGTTGTCATCATAACTTCATATATACCTTCCATTTCATAGGGTCTAGCTTTCTTTCACGAACATGGGGTTGTATTAGGGTAAGATGAGTCTAATCATATCTATCACTGCCTAGTCTAAACTTATCTTCTTTCAGGAGCTTCTTATCAATGGATGACAATGTTCTCGATGCTAGCGAGCTTTATCCGAGTGGATTCCATCCCGAGTTTCAAGACTCTCCACGAGATGGACCATGTTACAAGACGTGCCCACGCAAGTCTCGCATCACCACGCCAGTGAAGTATTATTGGTCTGATTTTATGTCCGCCGCACGGATTGTCCCCAAGGACAACACGGAATATGGACGTGGCGAGAAGGATGATGTCATCAGGGCCCCCCGAAAGATGGTCAAGAATTGGAATCTATGTGGGATTACAGATCCATTCAAGCATGACGTATTTGTATTCGGAATCACTCTGAAATATGGTTTATCCCAGGTTTGTTTCCTATCGTATTGGTGCATTCTTGGCGGCTTAATTTCACTTATAGCAATACTTGAACCTCGGCTTTTTACGCTCACTTGTCAAAATCATGACCAACAATCATCGCCGTTCTCGAGGGACCAAGGTCAACGAACGTATGTTGCCGGACAACGCAACAGTAGCTTTGCAGCGATGGCGCAGAAGCCGTGCCTGGATATTTCCACTCCATGCCATCTGGAGGCCATGGCCTTGGCACTCCGAAAATCCTTTTGAGACCTTGCTCAAGGAACCGATATATCTCGTTAGGAATACGTGTCTGCATATGAATCTCATTTGTCAGACAGGAGCCAATGTCACATCGCGTCTAGCAAGGACCGTTCGTCAAAGAACGAAAAGATAATGGAACAAAGGAAGAAGATTCAATCTCACAAGAAGGTACTGCCGTGTAATACTCAGGAGGGGGAGGGGGGTCACGGGAGAAAATAGATACGTATCTAATACTTATTTACTCGGAGCTCCTCAATACTGTATGTAACGTCAACGCAGACACATTCTTTTAGTACCAGTGGAGATGGATCAATATTTACAGCAACATAGTTAAATTGCCAGCTAATTTATGATGGTGAAGTAACATTTGAGTTGCGCACTCATGTTGTATACTACATTTAGACGCTCCCGATATTGTGAATGCTTTGCGCCACCACGTCGTTTGAATCCTCTGCTCAACGTGTCTGCCGGTTTCTGGATATGCTTGGACGTGCGCATCCTTCTAACGCCATATTATAGGTTTCATATGCTTACAAGAAGTTCTGTGGGAATGGAACGAGTTCGGAGAACAAAAGGGATGCAGAGGTGTGCATTGTATTTGGTCCGTCTTCTTGTAACCTACCAACGAATATGCCTTCGCTTTTGTTCACTGCAGAATATGTGCATGGGAGGGTGTAGAGCCGTGCATGGGAAAGGTCAAAGATGCAGTGGGTCAAAGGATAGGCTTCCGCTCGGGTAACCTGTCCCTTTGACCTCCTTTTTTGTTTATAAAGGACAAGGTGCGTGTGCCTCTCGCCAGTCTCACTTCTTAACTTTCAACCAACTGCTGTACCCACTCAACCCACTCATCATTATGTCCTCTCAACTCAATGGCAATGCCGCTCCCTTTGCTCCTCGGGCAAGACACCCTCAAGGTAATAGCCCGATGCCAGTGGCCACACCCTCAACGACACCGGGATTGACAAACAACGTCTCGGTGGCCTCATCCTCCACATGCACAACACCTGAACGACTGTTGAGGGACTCTGTGGCCGCTCGTCAGCCCGGCTCTGGCAACAATATGTCTATCTTTTCACCAGAGTATTGGGATCCTCTGTTATACGGGCCGGTCCCTGTGGTGACTAAAGTTGCCACTCGTACCACGTTTACTCCAAGTGAATCAGCGTCTACGTTCATCCCTACCATTATTCGTCAACGTGCACTTGCGGAAGGGCAGACCGTCGAGGACGGAGAAAATCCGTGGCTCAATCATACGCCATGGATATCTATCTTCCGTGTAGGTACCGCTGCAGAAGTTATCCGCAAAGAACCGCGACGCGTGGAGAGTATAGAAAATCTTGTCATGTGCACCAACTGGGACTTCGCCAATGTTTCGCAACTGGCTGGCCTGTTCGTTGATCGTGTCGTGGAAGCGTCCGCCGTAGAGCAACTGGAGGATTTCTCGTTGCAACTGACTCGGTACGCTCAGGAATTGTATAATGAGTTTAACGCAAAAGTCGATCCTAGGGCTGCGGAGTACTTTGCTGCTATGCTAAAGTATTGTACTCTGGCCGAATTCAGAGCGTGGTGGCTCACGGTACGTTCTGGTGATGCTCTTTCGTTGAATCAGAACTCATACCCTCACACCAGAAATACCCTTCATGTGTGGTAAAACTGCGCCAGAACACCCCCAGTCCTTCTCATGCGCAACTTGAACGCAATCTGAATGCGGCACTTGCTGTGGCTACCTTTGTCGGAGACTTGTATGCTTGGCAGTGTCTGACGCCGCCCATCGTCAAACTTTGTCTGGATATCGTTGCTCATGATGACCTCTCAGTAGTGGAAGAGTTGGAGGCCATACTGCGAATAATCAGTCGAGGTGATGAAAAACTGTACCAAAAAACCCTTCTCATTGATTTCCTTGAACTGGTCGAAGATTGTGCCGCTCGGATGACCGATTCCTCTGCTGCGGTGTATCAAGGTCCTGTTAAGGCTCAAATTGAGCATCTAGTTCAGGTATGTGGTTTCCTCTGGTACTTTCACTTCGGCTCAACTCACCCATCATGATTCAGTGTATTTCCGGACAAATTAATACCTGGGCTTCTACTACCAAGGAGCCAAAGCCGGTCGACGTGTCACCTTTGGGGGACGACTATGCAGTGTTCTTACCTGATGCGGAAGAAAGAGAGGCCGCAGCAAAGACGAAGGCCAGGCAAGAAGAAAGGACTCCTATTTCGTTCCAACCACCTCCGTCAGCTCTTCAGCTACCACCTACTTCCCAGATGCAGCCCCCGCTGTACACGGCTCAACCAGCCATTCATACATCAACTCCTAAGACCATTAGCTATCACGCTCCTCCTAGTCATATTCCATTCGACCCATTCGCCTTAGCCCAACAAGCTTACTTACGACAATTGGCACGAGGAAACATCGCACCACTTGCACAGAAACCTCACTCGCTTTTTCCAATGACTGTTCAACAGGCTCAGTTCCCAATCAGCGGGACCCATAATCTTCCGCTATGATATTCGTTCCCGAATCATTGAAGACGCGTTGCGCGGACGTGGACAGTTCTTCATTCCTCATAGAGGTTACGTTTTCTTATTTGTAGACTTTCAAATCGTAGATGCAGCTGATTGTTCAGCTTTGCCACATCACTGTTGTTAGATTTCTTGCGCTTTTTCTTCCAGCGTGAGATGTAAACGTAAACACGCTCTGTCTTCTTTACCTACCATTGTACAGCAATAAAATACCTTCAGTCATATGGCTTGTCGCAACGTTGTCACCGAGAATCCGTATCTCCTAAGGCTTCTTTTGCCCTCATAGTACTAATGATTTCTATGAAACCCTTCATGCAGGTACTTGCTCGACGTTCTCTCATACTATGAACACGCTACTGTAGTACAAAGAACCTTATTCGCAAGTCCATGGTACGATACACGGCGCGAAAAATGTGAGAGGTTCGTAGACTGAACTACGATATTCTCCACCGAACTTCAGACTACAGGCGAACAACAGGCGAAAACGGAGCCAAAACCAAATAGTGCGCTCGTTCAATCTCCATCGCCCGGTCGGCAAGCCCAGCGTTTTTCATCAGGCGTGGACGCTGCAATAGGCATCCTATTATGGAGTCAAGTGAGTACAATCCAGTCAAGATGGAATTTCATGAGATACTGACTGATTTCCAGTACAGGTCACGGATGCTCCTCCCTTATAACCTCCTCCACACGGTCCACCATCGTCCTCATTGTTGGAAGAGTTAGTTCCACATTTGTTAGAAACAATTTCGCCATAAATGTTGCCGCAATGCGAACCCGCCGGCGGGCTACCCAAGTTACAGGACTTGGAGTATGAATGAGCGAGGACGAATCGGGGAAAGAGGGGGAATATAAACTTCCCTGGTTTCTTGTTATACCAATATCGCTGTCCGGACAGAAAGCAGACACCATGATGTAAGAAGAGGTAAACGGCGTAGGGAGTACTTAACGCGAAAGAGAGAGGAAACTTCAATCCGATACTGTGGTACTTTGGAGAAGGTACGGATCCGACTGTGGCAAACAGTGCTCCTCTAAGTGCTCCAAAAACTTGAACGCTGAACTGACTGTTGTCGCCATGCGCTTTGAAGGTCAACGACGCTGCTCTGCTTGGCGCACCTTTCTCAGGAAAAGGAAGAGATTCGTGCCGACGAGACATAGTGGCTGTCAGCGTACAACGTGAACTCGTTAATACGAGACCACTTAACGGATAACTAGCTGTTGTCTGTCAATAACTAACTGTGTCTGGACTCTGCAGAAAGTTGTGACCATTGGAAGCGGCGTACACTTGAACATATTTGCCTAAGGGAAGTTTACAGTTAAGGCAGCGAAATTCAGCAGCCAACTGCAAGCGGAAATGACTCTGTTCGGAGAGGACATCCGTACGTGAGAGAACGCTGGACGGTCAACGGAGCAATTTCCCCTTTTGGCTGAGGCGTCCTCTATTAGGCAAAGCCTTCGCCACCAACTTGCAGACCTAGCCTGGTGAAAGTCAACGCCATCTCTGGCGCCGCTGAGGCGGCGTGCCTTATCCTTAGCGTCGACGAGACCGTCCGCAATCCTCAGAGCAAACAGGTACACTGATTCCTCATGCTCTAAAGTATGTTGCAATGCTCACGGAAACAATCCGCTATAACGCCATCCTCCGAGCGAACACGCAATAGTCGCCATCATTTGCGACTCCAAGCGTGGAGGTTATGAAGTGTTTTTGCATTTCTTGGAAGATGGATATACCGTTCCGAAGATCTATCAGATCCACTATCTAGTCTTTCGTCAGTATAAGAAGCTCGCCATGAGAAATGAGGAAGATCGAAGGACCAGCCACCTGCACCTCCCCCGTCGTTCAGACAGAACTCGGTCCCTTTGTGTTCTCGCTTCTTTTGGGACACACTGATGTCTACCGTCCTCGCGCGCGTAGATCCTCAAGGGCGCTCTGCCTTGGACGACGTTGATCCCGACCAGAAGGACCTGCAGGATTTCAGCCCCTCTTCCAGCACTGCTGACATCCCTGCCTTGGGTGCTCCCTTTGAGTACAAACGGTCATTCTTCTCTTGGGTAGGAGAGAAGAGAGACCTTGATGCAATCGCAACACAAGCTTCGGTCTTCGACGATCCCCTCACGCTTGAGACATACCGTCCTCCCAAGGAGTACGAAAATTCTCACCGGTTCGACCCAAATGCGCGATGGACATGGCGAGAAGAGGCGGTAAGCTTCTCTACCATGTGACTAATCATACTGTACTTAACTATTCACCTCATAGCGTATTGTCCGCAAGATAGACTGGCGTATCATGGTTTGGGCCTTTATCATGTTCTTCAGCTTAGACTTGGACCGTTCCAACATTTCGCAAGCCAATACCGACAACTTCCTGGAGGATTTGAATCTCACCACTGATGATTTCAATTTGGGGAACACCCTCTTTAAGGTACCTCTTTTGTTCCAATGTCGTTACTCTTCAGCTGAGATTTCTTTATGCAGTTGTGCTTCTTGTCAGCTGAGCTTCCGTCTCAACTTCTTTCCAAAAGAGTCGGTCCGGACATGTGGATTCCCAGTCAGGTAACTGTCTTTCGCTTTCGTGCTGTTGCACTAGACTTATCAGCTGTTAGATGGTCCTGTGGAGTTTCGTCTCCGCTGGTCAATTTTGGCTGAAAGGCAGAGGTTCCTTCTTGGCTACGAGGTACGACTTGTTTTTCTGGCCCGATGACATGATATATTGATGTCGTGCGTAGATGTTTGCTAGGATTCATGCAAGGTGGATTCATACCCGACGTCATCTTATATTTGTCCTATTTCTATACCAAGAACGAATGTGAGTATATTTTTGAGCTGAGCCTACAGTCGTATACCTAATGATTGGAAATAGTGCCCATTCGCCTTGCGTATTTCTGGATATCCAACTACATGTCACACATCATTGGTGCCTTCATAGCAACTGGTATTCTTCGTATGCGAGGGGTCGGAGGTCATGCTGGCTGGAGGTACCTGTTCCTCATAGAAGGCATTTTGACCCTGTTGGTTGGCCTGTTGTCTTTCGTTCTAATGCCACCCGGTCCAACTCAAACGAAGGCTTGGTATCGACCCAAGGGGTGGTTTACTGATCGGTGCGCCCCATGCTTTTGAAAACCTCCGTCGGAGTACTGACCAAATTGTATCACAGGGAAGAGACTATTATGGTCAACAGGGTTTTGCGTGATGATCCATCTAAATCCGATATGCACAATCGTGAAGGTCTGCAAATCAAGAAAATCTGGCAGGTTATCCGGGACTGGAGGATATGGCCCATTTACATCCTCGGTCTAGTTCACTTGAGTACGTTCGTCCTTAATTGACCCCTACCCCCTCATGAGTCTGATCTGTCACCAGTTCCCGTCAGCCCTCCACAGACCTACCTGACGTTGTCCCTTCGAAATCTCGGATTTGATACCACACAGGCCAACTTGCTCAGTATACCATCCACCGTACTGGGCATCATCACCCTCCTCATATTCTGCTATCTTAGCGAGATTGCTGACAGCCGTGTCGGAATTTGCGTTCTTCTTCAATTCTGGGCTTTGCCGCTGCTCATTGCCCTGTACACATTCGACGAGACTACGTCACAATGGGTTTACTTCGCTGTGGTGACACTTATTACCGCTTTCCCATATATACACCCACTGCAAGTCGCTTGGGCCTCCACGAACTCGTACAGCGTTGGCACGAGAACGGTCTCTGCGTCTCTCTACAACATGTTCGTCCAAACGGGTGGTATCATCTCCTCGAACATCTACCGGAATGACGATAAGCCGCTATGTACGTCCCCAGAATAATGTTCCGAATGACTTCGACTGACTTACGATGCTTAGACAAACGCGGCAATCGTATTTTGATTGGGATTTGTGTTGGAAATATCTTCATCTACCTCTTGACGTACTTGTTCTACCGCACAGTCAACCAGCGGAGGGAGAGGATCTGGGACGCCATGACGCCGAAGGTACGAACTCATTCACTTCCTTGGTCGCTTGGAGCTAATCCAACACACCCTTAGGAACGCCAAGAATACTTAGACACCGCCAAGGACACGGGAAATCAGCGATTGAACTTTAGGTTCTCTTACTAATGAATAGACATGGCTGCAATGAACCCTCCGATACCTCCTTACTAGTTAAGGCTGGCGAATTTTATCTGTACCTATCTGCGTTTATTTTTTAAACTCGAAAACACATTTTATATGCCTCATTCTACATCGGGAGTTGCGAGAACAGGATCGGCGGCTCGTCTAAGATCACTGTGTTTGTCTTCACCATCGCAATGCGCCATAAGACCACGTACGCTAAATTGGGCATGGCACCCCGGGACGTTGGACAACAAGCGCAAACTTCTATATAAGAGCTTTTCATCGTCGAGTATCTCACCAAAAAGATGTCTAACGGGTCACAGCGGTAAATCCCGGAAGCACGATAGCCAAACTCGATTATGCAAAGTGTAGAGCTACCATCCGACAGGTAATATAACTTGGATCTCCAGCATCAGCAGCCTTCACCTCCTGCTCCTTCGGCTCTCTCCTCTTCGCCTTGATCCGCGGCCTACAGTCAGTATAGAAAGAATAGGTGTGCTAGAGGAGAAATGTGATTCACCTCTTGTAAACGAGGTTCAGCTCGTTCGACAAGTCTTCTCGGTCGCCTTCGACCTCGATCTCTTCGATGTCACCGACAATTTCAGTCTTGACTACATTCTTCCCTTCATTCGCTCTCGATGGCTGGGTTAAAAGGGACAGGTCTTCTGTCTCCCGCTGGCCATTTCGATGTTTGAGTGGAAGTCACGCCCGTCTCGGCCAGATGAAACGTCCTGTGGAATTCGGCCAAATTCTGACAGTAAACGGGTAAGAATACCATAAAGTAATGACTAATCCGTGCCCACCGAAATCAGCCTTATTGGTCAATCCCACAACGGTGTCTTCTAGCTCTTCCTGGCCGTCTCAGCCTGAGCATAGTTGCTATAGATAATTGCTTTTTGCCGCCTTTCATCTTGGTATCCTTGAGTTTGGCTTTTGATCACCTTTCAAAGACAAAGACCGTCTTCCGTCTCGGACGACCCTGATTTCATCGCCAGACTTGATATAACCTTTTCCACGAACATTGCTCCATGCGTTGCCAACAAGGAACGAGCCAAGATACGCTGACTTGGGTTCCTTGGAGTATGGCGCACCGTCTGGAGATAGCTTTCGTTTCTTCGCTGGGGTTTCTTCGCTGGGACCCTCCGGTGCAGGAGAAGAACGCGATGGTACTCGCGAATTGGGGGGTGATTTGGATGAAGAGCTAGAAACACTAGAGGCTCGACCGCCGACGATCTCTTCAGTTTTTCCATCTACTTCCATAGGAACCTCCTCATTGTGTGCGACCGATTTCTCAGCCTGAGTAGATGACTCATCATCATCACTATCCGCAAAGAATAGTCTACGTCCGTTGTCAGATGAATACGCGCTAGGTTCAAGCGACGAAGTACAGGTAGTGCCTGCACGTCCTCATCATCCGAGTCCGGAAAGAAAAGAGGTTTGACCTGCTCTTCAACTACTGTATATCAAGTCAGTAAAGTCAATAGCAACCTGCTGCTTACGTACGAGAACTCGTTCCTGTCTGATCCTGACAAACGCACGCGTCATGATTCGCGCAGATGAATCTTTCTGCACACCTTCGCAAGCACGCACTTTCGATACCGGGCAAGTTCCAGCTCGTTATGATTGCGTTTGCGAAGTCATTCGAGATCATTCCGCGACAAATCTGTGATAACGCTGGAAAAGACTTTACCGATACTTATTTTGGACAAGTTGCGTATGAAGCACGCAAACGGAGCCCGGTGGTTCGGCGCAGATGTCGACGGACCGGAAGGCGTACTACGGGTAACCGGATAACATAGATGCCTTTGTTTGGGAGAGGTCGACTCAGGTACTATGAAGCCATAGGTTACATTGCAGAGACACCCATTCGTACGTCCATGCGACTTATCATGTATCCCATACTGCACTTCACTGTACAGGAACGCAGCATGCGAAGGCGAAGCTAAAGCCGAAAGGCGCGGAATTGCAATCTCCGCTTCCTGGACGGCACGCCCAACGTTTTCCATCAGGAGTCAGTGCAGCAATAGGTTCGCTAAATAGAACGGTGTAGGTGTGTATCTGATGAAGCATTACTGACTCATTGCCGGTGCAAGTTACTGACGCTCATCTTCGTTATTGGAGGCTATTGTTCCACAGTTGTTGGCAACAATGCTACCATGTATGTTTCCACATTGAGGGCCCGTCTGAGGTGATCCTGAGCTGCAGAGCTGCTGGTGTCGTCATTAGAAGGATGTCATGAACATGATCAGTGCGGGTGTACTTGGTTTCGGGTGATACCGATATTTCCAGCAGAACAAACTGCCCAGACGAAGGTCGGGGTGAGTATAGTAACAAGAACCACGAGCGAGAGGAGAAGTTTCATTCTATCAGGATAAGCTCTCAGAGTGTCTAGGCTTCTAATCTTACCAATGAACGCGGTGCTCCTTTAAATATTCGAAAGCATTTTCTTGCAAAGAAATATGCCAGGGCCGTAGGTGACTGGCGCGAGGGTGCAAATGTATTGTCTTCGCAGGGATGTCCGACTTTCCGAGTGAAGACATGATTGAAAATCCTGAAATACTATGCGCAACCCGCCCAGAGCCCTCAGCAGACACAATACAATATCATTTCATCAATTCAGCTGCGCTCCAGGCCACTCGTCACTTCAGTACCTTACGGAACGCAAGGCATCACGTTGTACACCTCGACGCAATGGTGAGATTGACCGGAAACAATGACCGGACATGGGAGCGCCAAACGGATAAGATCGACCTCCCAGTAGAGAACAATGATAAGGTACGGGTGGGCCTCAGCACTACCTGCTGCAGGCACTGCTGAGTTGTGAAGTTAGAACAGACAAACATGGTTTACAGAGGTTGATGGAGGTTCACTCTATAGCAAAGCATTGGAATTGCTTGCTTGAGTGTAATGATACGGGTAGATTGCGATACATTGCTCCCGACTGTTACTTCCTAACTGGCGATTGTGCTTTCACTGTATACAGAGGGACATGTTGTCGGATCCAGTCAGCAGTGTCTTCGGTCGTATTCCACAGCGCGTTAAGTCTTGGAAGTTTCCAACTGGGATCTGCATCCTCCAAAGGGAAGAGAGCCAACGCGGCAAGTGAAAGGTAGGTGTGATATGGATCTACAAAGGAATTGAGCTCAGTATCCGAAGCTCAAGGTAAAAACAAAATGGTGATACAGACCCGGACGATCTTCGGGGGCTTTGCCAATACCCCCAAATTTGAATTGACAACTGGCGAGATACGAGAGGAAGGCGGTCCTGTCCACAAGGTCTCCGACACCTAGAATCTGCGTTTCAACCTATTAGCTGAACGAAATCGGAACAGACAAGTGCAAAGCATACATGAAGCGAAGCCCCGCACCAGAAGCAATAACAGGCATCCGCATCCTTGTTCGTTCGGCCAGAGAAGCCACCGGAGGAAGCCTGGTTCTGGAGTAACCATCGAATTGTGCGCCTTCGCTCGTCGGTAGTAACATGAGGATTTGGCGCATGCAAGTCGGAGACGGACGGTGCAAGATACAACGATGCGAGAGCACAATAGGTAGTTCCACCTGCAAGAGGTCAAGCTGAATTCGTGCTATAGGCTGTGACGATTAAATAAAGTTGACGATACCTAACGCTTCGCCTGTTGGTTGTTGACCATATCCACCTTCATGGCTCTGCAACAATCATGAATATGTGTATCGTTTTGAGAAGGAGACTGATACTGACGGAGCATTGCTGAATAAACGAGACTGCGCGATCGACGTCTACGCCTGACCAGTCATCTAGCATACTACTGATGGCGAAGGCGCAATACACTTGACGAAGGTCCGATTCACCGCCGTTCGGAAAGGACGTGAAGCTGGAGGGATGGTATCAGTGGAGGCCAAAAGTGACTTCAATTATCACGAACCTACCATCCTCGCGTTGGCATGCTTGTAGAAAGCGTACGATACCGTTCCGATCAAGCTGCTCGAAGTCATCTCGGAGGATCGCTAATGAGAGTATAGCCGTATACGTCATAATCAGGTGAGGGGTATCATATTCAGAGTACTCTTCAGGATCCTGATGAATAAATATCAGAGCATGATACTGCTGATCATGGTAGAGGTAGTACTGTGCCATATGGTCTGTCTTGTGTCATATAAGAGCTAGGTTTGAAACCCGTGCCATGTATGCCACCTGTTTCAGCCAAGTCAGAACATCGAAGGGTGACACAGAAGATGAACCGGACAGACAGACTTGTTTGCTGATGCCAGAGCCATTCTCGCCACCCTTCTCGCTCTATCTCCTTCGTCTTTTCGTAAATCGAACCCAGTAGATCTAGCGTCCCGAAGCAGTAAAATCCGATCGCAAGCCTTCAGAGGCAGAACATTTATCAGAAAATTCGCGGGACCCAATGTACCGCATACCTCGACGCGTCGATCTGAATATGTGAAGACGGCAGGGCAGAGAGACAACGATTACAATGTCCGGCGTGCGCCACCCTCGCGAGCTTTGGCAACTCGGATCCTGACATAGACGAATGTTTTGTTTGTTTTACAGCTGAACGGGAAGAAAAGGTTCAATGTATCCAGCGTAATGAGGAGTAAAGCTTCAAGATTGGAGTGAAGCATTAGGCGCTTAAGGTCCCGCATACTCATTCGAGGAGCGCTCTTTAGACAAGTTTCGATCTCTGGTTGCGCTCTACGTTTTACGTATTCTCTCAGGGCCTGTGTTGTATGGAAACCTCAACTACAGGGAGGCAGGGAATCATAGAAATACTATATTGGGGCCTTCACACGTAGAGCGCGTGGTGCAGTCGCATACTGGCAGCGGCTCTTGTACCCTGAGCTGCAATCGTAAGTACCCTGTTAATCCCGTGCTCGGAGTTGGAAAAGGGGTAATAAATGCAGGCGATGAATATCTGAATGCTTCTCCCGTGCTTTATCAAGCTTCTAGGTTGTATCTGTGTTCCTATTACGCGGTCCTTACACTCACGTACTGTTGAGTTCCTGACATTGTGCCCGATTGAGGGGGTCTCGGGAACGTCTTGAGCTACAGCCTCAATATTATGGAGGCCTTCCGAGGGATAGTTGATCGGCAAAGATAACAAGGCTAGTCTTGCGTTGCGCAACGTGTAGCTTCATCACTCATGGGGCTCTTTACAGCCTCACACGCACAAGTGGTGCCTATCATTTTCTCTCCATGCACTGAAGTAGTCGGATCAAACGATTCCTCCATGAATACTAGTCGTCCTCGGTGATCCAGGCAGCTCATGAATCATTGTTCCACTGTCTGTATTGTTATATAACGGATTTACGCTTAAGATTTACGGTTTGTTCCCAGGAGCTTCTTCTACATGGCGTTATCGAGGACCTATTTTGGTCGATATCATCAAAGCCGGACATTGCTAGGCCCACGAGAACCACAGACATACGGACAAGGCAACAGACTGACCAGAGTTGCTCACCAGCCGTCCCTTCCCTAAAGTGAGTCTAGGCGCAATTTCTACCAGACTTTCCCAATTTCATCGACCGAGTGAAAGTCATGGTATTCAGCTCAGCGAAGTTGCTAGCTAACCTAGTGATGCTGGGCCCCGAATACCCATCTTATCTACACACGGGGTTCTCAAGTACAACCTTCCCTACTCTTGACAATTTGCTCTGGCCATCCTTCCAAGTTTGGCGTTGCTAGGTGAGGCTATGAAGTATCCCAGGCTTGTCGTAGATCAGATGGACTCTTGATGGATATTCTAACCCTAATACGATGATGGGGCTTCCCAACCAGGACCTTCTTTTAACAGTGTCCCGTCACAAACCTTACACCCTTGTAGTAGTGCTGGCTCAGGTAACAGCCTCAGCATGCACCCCGAGTACTGGAAGAATTATTTTCAGGTGTATGCTGGTGTCATTGGGCCTTCATTTACATATTTGGTTGGTCTAAACCATACCAAGACAAGCATGGCCTGCTTCAGCTGCCTTCTTTACGGGCCCTGCCAATCGCAATGATCACCGTTCAGGACGAAGTCTATCTGCGGCGCCACGCTTCTTTGAGACCATGAGGCCTCGTATGAGGCCTTCGGAAGACCTACATTTAATGTAGTACTGTAATGAACCTTCTATTCCTGCTTCCCAAGTATACCACCTGCCGGCCCCGCTCCGACTCAGACAGCTTAATGGTGAAAGCAGGATATATATACTTGCCTCAAAACTGCACAATAGTGTCATCCCTTTACTTCGCCCTCATCAGATCATCCAAGTCTGTTATGCCTTACACTCAGGAAAGCGGGGGGTCAAAGGCCCCGAGTGTGGGGCTTATTGTTGCAGCCGCGATAGTATTTCTCGGTGTGTTCTAGTCCTGGTCTCGAGGAGGGAAGTTCTCTTATGGCCCTGACATATAGCGTTGTTTATCCTTTTGCTGTTCCGGAACTTCAGGCTTTCTTCAAGAGTCGGGAACCGTAGTCTCCCGATTGCAATTCCTACCGACTCGCAGTGGTCCTCCACTATTGAACGTCTTCCATGGAGACCTTATTTTCTCCGATGGGTCTGCCCTCTTCCCTGGAACGTCGATTCGCATCGCATGCCAACTATCGCTACTGCCATTACACTGCTCCATAACATTGCCTCTCGTCCTGATGTTGCGATGGATCATTCCATGGGGGCTAATGACCCTGAGGGTGGGACGTTGTCAACTGTGGACGTTGCCATACCCCGTACTGGATCTCGTCTGACGTGAATGAGAACCAAATGGTGATGTTTGTTTTCTCTCGCTCATTCGCTAGTATCCTTATACGATCGACGTAGAAATTCATTTGTTCGGAAGGAGCATACGCTATAGAAACCCATATAATGGTTCTTGTTTTGTCTATCCACACCTTTTCACCCTATCGTCAGAATGGTATAGTTGACTGTAGAGACAATGCGGCGAGAAAATAGTGCACAGGAACGTTACATGGTATCGCCACAATTGCCGCGCGCAAAGCAGTTCAGACTGTAAGTCTGGCCTACGGTTGTCTAAACTAGACAATAGTGATACTCAAGCTTGCGGTGGATCGGAAACACGGTATCATCGGTTCCGAGAATTCTAGGTGATTTTGTTTCTCTTATCGGATCTTTTCATCGGTAATTAACTCTTGACACTAGTCCACGCCTGTCGCACAGCGAGAACATGAACCCCCGCTGCGTTTGCATTCGAGATGGAGAAGATCAGGTCACTTGTCAGGATGAAAGATCAAGTCAATACACCGATGCCACGGTCAGGGTTCGTCATCATATCGTCTTCTTCGCACTTACTAGGTTCTATGATACAACAGTGAGAATCATCTTCCTTGGTTACTGAGACCGATGGGACTTGTGAGTCTTTGGGTCTTCTTTTTTTGCGAAGTATGCACGCTAATTTATCAACCCGTTGTTGTCGGTTCCACTACTACCGGACGCAGATGACCTTCTCGTGTACCCATCCGTTCTCAGGGATCTTTTTGCCTTCCCCGTTCTCGCAACGACTGGAAAGTCGTAGACGTTCCTTGACGACGGCCAGCACATAGTTGTCTGGTGTTAACTAATGGCATGGCAATTGACAAGGTTTGCCTTGTCGTGATTGATCGTCGGAGCAAATGTCGACAGCACCGGGACGACAATTAGGAAAATTCTTCGATTTTAGGTTGCGTTGCGCGGGTTCAATCGGTCTCTTCGCACAATTTTGGATTCTTCAGGGTCTGCGGTCCAGAGAATGTACCGCCAGTCATGAACCTGGAATTTCACGTTGCCCTGCCGGTTAGTCCGATATTTCCCTTTAAGCCTTACGCGTGGAGACATCATTTCTAGGACCTCTCCATTGCCTGTTCGAGGTTTGATTCATATTTGCTTCTTTTTCTCTACTTCTTCCCTTGCAATCGCCTCCATCAGATAATAGATGTCATAGGTGCCAGTGTTAGGAATGTCATACTTTAATAACGCTGGTTATTTTACGGCCACGTCCATATAAGGTGTCCTTGGCTCAAGAGCTCCGTGACCCGTATGTACCGTCCATATCAAAGATGTTGCTATTAGACATCCACGTTCCCTCATGGATAGCCGTATGACTTTCGATTGTTGTAATAATTCACTCAGTGAACCTACTAGCACATTCCGCTTGTCAAGAATGTCGTTCGTCTTGATCACGGTGGATAGAGTGAACGCCAGGCCTCACCCAGGCTTCACTTTCCCTCCCGCTTCCTCCAATCCAAGGGACTGCGGACATTCCTGTGTATGGTCTAGAATGAAGCTTGCCCATAGCCTAGTACGCTCGTTTTCAACGTAGAGTCTGCTCTTAACAGATACAACCGGTCTTCGTGCACAGTGGCTATACCGCGGACAGCCTGACTCGGTGGCTATTATGGACACATTATTTTTAGCACATTGTTTTCTCGCTGATGTCCGGAATCACAAGGTTCTTGAGACCGCCTGCCTTGACGCTCTCTAATGTCTTATTTTCAGCCATAATGTGAGCCTCATGTCCGGCACTATTCTGCGTTCATCGCAGGCCTCGCAGACTCTCGCAATGCTTAGATTTCTTCCGTTTCATTGGAGTCCTGTTAAACACTTCATCTCAATTTCTGCGAGGTTACTGGCATCGCAGTCAGGCTCTGTAACAACAAAGAGCATCACAATTATATTCGCCGTTGTATTTACAGCTGTTGGCATACGTACGCATTCTGGGACTTTCTGCCCTCGAGTATGCCACGGATATTGATGTCCAGGAGTAGCCACCCTTACCTTCCTGACCGGCGTAGTCATCTGGTACTTGCATCGCCGTTACCAGATTCGACAAATAGCCTTAAGGCCAAGCACAGAGCATCCCAGTGCCATATTTTCTCCGTGGACACTTCAATTCTTGTTCGCAGCATGGCCACGACGTGACCGACAGATATCTAATCCTCCGAGGCAAATCCCATCCGCGGCAGTACCAGAAAACAACGCAAGCGCAATGGATCACGAGGCTCTCCCCGTTGGGAACAGCGAGCATCAGGAGGGATTAGACAGCGTCCCGATCAGGTCATCCATTGTCTGTCTCGGAGTGCAATTCCGTTCCACCAAATAGGCGCCTCATCCTTTACTTCAGAAGTCTATATACCTTTATGGGTGGTTGTGTACGGGCCATTCATGTATAAGCTCGGCAATTTCTAAGCACAGGCTGATCACCGTAATATTCAAAATCTCCGCGATCTTAGATCTCAGACTTCCATATTGCGAAAAGCCGGTGGGAGCTCGACATACCGCAGCTCGGAGTGACAGCTCTTTATGCATCTAGAGGCTGAATCATCGCGCAGCACCTATGCACATGGAAGACAATAGTTATGTTTAAAGAGAAAATAGTCCCGTAATTCGCTGCCCTTCAATGATACTTTTGCGAGTCATTTTATACCATCATCAAGAGCCTACAATAGCTTCCATGATTAGGACGCCCTCAACATATTCATCTGCCCTACTTCGCATCGGAATAGTATTCGTACCTTGATCCGCCCCATTCCCATGAAGGCACAACTACTTCATGTATGTAGTTGATGGGCACCGTCCTGTCGCAAATGGATACTGGAGATGTGACCGTGCCAGAGCAATTCATCCGCAGAGGTAGAGTCATACATTACAACTTGATAGGAAGACCTTAAATACCATATTTTTGTTTGATTTCCCAGAACGATTTTGGCTTGGTCACTTTGGTGAAATTTGTCGGTGCTCGGCCTGGATGCTATCAGTCCAGAGACGTACCCGATATGGTGCGATTGATGGTGCTTCTGACAAACATTATAGACCAGACAAACAAAGCGGCCTCACGTACTGAACGTAAAGACCGTGTGTCTGATGTGAAGTTTGACGCTCCTCTCCGCCGTCCACTCGAACCGCACCAAATCAAATGTCTCCAATATAGACATACGTGCTGCTATAAAAATGATAAGCCCATACCGGATAGGGAGTCTGCTCTGGCTTACCATCTTTATCAACCGCGAAACTGAGAGTCTTGAAAGGTTCTGAACCGCCATGACCTTGTCTGGGAGGAGCTCCAGGATTGAATAAGCTACTGAAGCTTGAACCGACTTTCCAAACAAGTACGACACATTCCTCTAGAGACATAGTGACAAGGCGTCGGCCATCAGGTGAGAAACTGCATGCGGTGGTTCGTTTCTTGTGTCCCTCGAGGACATAGAGTCGGGTTGCCGTTTTTAAATCATACATGATAACTGCACCTTCGCTGGTCCCTACGGCCAAGCGTTGACTTCCCATGTGGAAATCGACAGTGGGGAAACTAGGAAAGGGTAAGACATAATACCGCTGACCAGATATCAGTGGCCTGAGCTTACCTTCGCACCACATGACCGAGAATTTCAGTTGCAGAATCTAGGACCGCCTCTCGACTTGCGGTGGAATTTGGATCCAGAGACTTGACCACAGCTTCGACAAGGCGTGGAAGATTGCTATAGAGAACAAGCGGTTTCTATTGCCACGTACTAGTGAGTACGCAAACCAGGACGATCCGCACACATGCTCACCTTTCTGATAAGAAATATGACCAGTTCCATGATGGACTTGCGATGTTGAACGTTACGAGGATGCAGGATGTCCATAGACAATGTAGTCATGAACAACGGAGTATTGGTTGATGCTAGCTGCAAAACTGCGGACCGCGCTAGTTGGCCCACATTATGTACCGAAGGTGTTTCTTTCCGAGAGGATGTCGCTAGGGTAAAGAGTGCGCGTAGCATCTGGACGACATCAACGTATTGCTGCCAAATTGCAAACCCACGGGATCCTATGTCGATACCAAGCGCACGGTAAGGCGAAGTCTCATCGTGAAGGTACAGAGCGACTGATTTTGCGATATCCGTAAGGTGACTAGAACAAATGGTGAGCATAAAGGTTGTGGAACGATGGAACGGCTCACCTTGTCGACAGCAAAGCGTATCTGCTCACGGCTACATGACCACAAATGAACAAAGCTATGGCATTACGCAACCTCTGGTTCCGAGGCTCCGGCTGCTGTGAAGGTACTAAACCGGATGTGATCAGCCGGGTTGAAAGAGAAAATTTACTGAATGACAAACTCACAATCCGAATGCCAGCTGTCTATCAATTTGATAACATCTGCATCAGCTAAGCGCGCAATGCCAGCTTCGAACAGAAGATGAGCGGCATAGCGCAAAGCGTTTGCTGAAGCCAGCCATGTGAGGATCCTATTTAGCTTAACTGTCGAACAGGTGAACTCATACCTGGTGTCTCAAGCCATATGCGAGCCAGAAGAGGCAAGCTAGGAGCCTGGTATGATTCGCCAATAAGTTGGCCTAAAGCAACTGTGTAGAAAGCTACGATGGTTTCCAGGTCTGACGGTGCGCCTAAAGACAGTGGAGAATGTAAGATATGAATTATTGCTGATCGGTTGCGGCATACCTTCACATTGTAACAGGGTCTGTAACAAAGCAACAATAGTCGACGCCCGAAAAGCAGAAAGCTCTGGAGAGATGCTCCAAACACTCTTGGGATCGGTATCTGCATAGATTGCAGTGACGTTCCGACTGTTCCGTCGCAATACAATCAGTCCGATGGCAGTATCTGACAGCATACCACACCTACATTGACAAGCCTATGGGAACCGATGTCCTAGGGACGCCGAGTGTCTCGGTGCATAGGCGATCGATGTGACCATCTAGACCAGATGTCAACAGTACCGACAGAATGGTCCGAAGATCGTCCAATTTCGGTGACAAGATGTTGATTGTGCTCGCCCCAGTGGCCTTAGTTCCGGGCGGGACGGAGTTCAGTCCTAGTTCTACAAGGTACATCTCCATATCAAGTAGTAGAGTGGATTCTGTCGAAACGTTAGATGTCGATGTGCAGTAAGGATGATAAAGGTTTACCTCCGTCCGCTGTCCGGCAGGAATTCGGTAACGCCGATATGAACCTTTTCTGTGAAAAAGGTCCATTCAATATAGACCTATTTCATAGGTCAATCTATTGATGTGTAAGAATTAGAATGATTCCATACCACTCGGACCACTCTCCTGCGAGAACCAATTCATCTGCCTTTGGTGCAGTCAAGGATCTCCAGAACTCCCGAGTCTTCGTGTCCCAAAGTCTAGCGCGACCATCCGCATAGTAGAGCAACAGTTCACTTTCGTTCAGGCATACCTTGGTCAGCGGCGAAGTGGAGGGAGGGATGAGATAGAGACTACTTGACAAATTAGTTAATTGAGTCAGATCACTGCACAGCACGTACAATTGATATTCGTCCAGTGCAATCACTGCAATAGTGCCATCTTGTGATATACAAAATACACAGCCTCTCAGCCAACTTGCAGTTTGTAGGACAAGGACTCTCGAGAGCGGATTGATAAATACCGTCCAGCGAGCGAGTAACCGGAGTGATCTGTTTATCGACAAAGTGAGTTAGTATTCAATCTGGCAGGCTTGAAGCATACTCCAGGTCCCAGATAGCAATACCACCATCATCGGCTCCTCCAATGAGAAGTCTTTCTCCAGTTCTCCCATTCACCGCAAGATGTATGCTGAGAACATCTCCGGGTAGGGGCAAGTCAGAGATGTTCTTGGGGTTACCTTCGTCAGCATCGCGTGTTACATCTTGTAAAGACGAACGACGGATGTGTCCATCGCCTGCATACGAACTGTCAATATATGATCAGGAAAGTAGTATGTATATGTTCTCTCACTGTATCCCAGGATGAGATTCTCCAGTTCAAAAGGTAGCGTAGTCGTAATACGGGCAACACCGTCCTTGTTCTTCTTTATATCGCGGGCGCTCCATAACGTGTATGATAATGCGCTTCCAGCTGAATCATCCAGGCTGGTGTACTCCAGCCTACGGCGACCGCGTTTGACTCGCGTTGATAGGACATGCCCGGCGGGCGTGATCGTGTAAGCGTCCGAAGGTAACAGAGTAGAGGAATGCATGAGATAAGGTCTAGAGAGCTGCTCAGTTGAATGTCAACATAAATTTAGCTTCACGAACTGGACGTTGTGCTTCTTAGGGTCTGATGAATCGACAGAGACGAGGTCATTATCTGAATCCACGTTGATGAGCCTGTAGATTTCTGCATGATCCTATAATGGGGGTAGTGAGCAAAGAGTACTACAACATGTCGTCGAACGAACCTTGAGAACTATAGTAAACGTATTGGTGCGGTTCCACTGGATGTCGCGTATATCATTCATAGGCTGAATGAAAAGGTTCTGGAAGTCTTCTCCACTACATTCAAACCCCTAAAGGCATGTTAACTAAGCCTTGACATCTCTTTGGTTTTGAGATCGCACCAGAATCTGCGTGTGAGACCACACGAGCGCACGGTATCCTCGTGCCGTTGTCTGCATGCGAATGCCCTGTACAGAGCCATCCAGCGGGAGACTTGAGATGTCAGTCTCCTCCCCAAAAGATGCCCCTTCGTTGCAATCAAGTGATTGAGCGGCAAGGTTCTCCGTGGACGTTGACATCAAGGATTTGAAGGGATTCGGAACAGGCAAATGAACATTGGAAGATGTCTTCGCCGCCTCGGTGGCATGCGATTGTTGTATTTCCGGCTCAGTGAAATATCGCTTCACTAGGCGATTGCCGGATGAGACATAAATCAGCTCCAGTTGGCCTATTCATCTAGACATCAGTAACGATAGACCGAATCAGATTTCCGTTCTTACCAGCATTAGTTTGGTGTAACATGACTGCCTCCGGTCGTGTGCTAACAGTCAGTTCCGCAGTCTTGTCCAAAAGGACGTCGTCGCAATGTGCCTCATGTGGAACACGGCATTGCAATACAGCTATTCGACACTGATCCTCATCTTCATTGTCCGCAGGTTCTGTAGCTAGTGAGGAAGCTGACGGTTCTAGAGCGGCGGTGGCAACGACAACACATGACTATATAAGAACGGAATCGTCAGCGGCAAATTTGTGCTATCTCACGGCCAAACTCACAGCCTCCGATGAAACTACTACAAGAGACTTCCATATCCACGATGAAGACGTGGTGGTAGAGGACTCTAAATTCGTGACATAGCCTAAATCGATAGAACTTATACACCAGCCGTCTGCTGTTGATAGAACTTCGATCCGCCTAAACGAACGCTATATCTGAGCGTTGATCAACACAAGAACGAGTACCACCTACCCACACTGACGGAGACATATCAAGTACCGACCATCGCCGATCACTTTCATGTCCGAGATACTTTGGCCCACACCGGACTGTGGAGGGAAGACGTGACAGATCAACGCCCAAAAATTATGATTCAGTTCGTCTGGATGATGCAAGGAGGGGAGAAGCACGGGAGAGTCGGGAGAAGACAAAGAGCCAGCGGATGATGCGGGAGACAGAGTAGCTGAAAGCAGGGTCCGATGTTTGATTGACAACTTGCTTCGAGGAGTGGGCGGAGTGGTGTCAGAAGCACCAGCGGTGCTTTCTACGATGGGCGAACGCGATTCCATTGGACTTCTGTCCTTTCGACTCTTGCCCTTCAAGAGATCTTTAAGCTTATCGGGTTCATCGTCATAATCCACATACGTTTTGGGTGCCTCCGCCTGTTCTGTGGTAACACCCGAAACTATACGCGATTTCGAGGGTTGAAGGCGTGAGAATGTGGATTGAGCAGGAGACGGAGAACGAGCGCGTCCAATACCCAAGCCTTGATGATGTGAAGAGCTGGATGCACGGGATGGCTGCAGAAGTTCGGATGAATAAGCTGTGGTGTCCCAGATAGCATCCTGACGCTGGGACCGACGTGTTCGAAAGAGGTACAGCGTTCCATTCTGGCAGTGGAACGCAGCACCATCAGGCATTGGTAAGTTATCACTTTCATGCCCGACTGTAATATGACGTTGGCTCCAGGAGATTAGTCCTGTTACCTTAGACTGGGCAGCGCAAGATTCTATGAGACTACCATCTTGTTGCGGAGACAACGTCACTGAGACAAGAGATGCCATAGCCAATCCTGGTGAACTGCCGTGGACAGATCGCGGTCTGGTAGCTGCACCCCTGAATGTTGGGATTCCTGGTGATAGCTGTATTCGAGTTATGCCGTCTTTCGAAGTGTCAATCAAGAATGGAAAATAGAATGTCGCACTGCTAAGCGATACAAGCGTCGACGGTTGGTTGGCGGAGAGCCGAGATCAAGGCTCCACCGTGACTTCTGTACAAGGTTCTCGAAGCTTGGGCGCTAGTGAGTGCGAGCTTCGATCGCGACTGATGGGAACTTTGCCGAAGTCAGCGACAAGCCTGAGAGATCTGGGATCTGAACGTTTTGAACGTTGACAAGTCATCTGAACTGTGACGGTTAGCAGTAACCATTAAGCACTCCTACCGACTACCTTCTTCATATAGTGAAGTCAATTATGTAGTGTTTCATTAGAATACCATGGTGAGCAGGCTTTGAGTTTCTTGCCCCCGAAGACCTTTGTTGGACGCCCTTTTTTCGAGCAGTTGCTGAACAACGAAAAAGAAGGTTGTGACCGCCAGTGTATATGTCGTATAAACGAGCACGAATCAGGTATTTGGTTGAATTGTAGGTCACTAAGAATCGTGATGCCCTTTGGTGTAATCAGAACTGCAACGTGCCAGGGACCATCAGTTGACTTCTTCGAGACCATTGAAGCTGTGGAGACGTTCTACTTCTCGCGCCAGAAGCTCATAGCTTACCGTGGCTTCTGCACAGACTCACTTGAGATGTTCGCAGTACAACACGGCGGGGAGACATGGTTTCTTCTAGTAGCCGCTTTCCTACGCGGATTGCGAATTCGTCCAGTATTCCAGTGCGTTTCCTATTTCCATTGACGTATATTAGACCTGTAGATCTGGCCACCTTAACCCAAGAGCGACCTATCCCCAGCACCCCACATCCTGCAGCTCGTGCCATGGTATCAAAGATGCCCACAACGTACATCTGCGCCTTTCGTAATTGTGCATGTCGGTCTTATGACCAGACTACCACCTCAAGCGTCACTTCCTCGGAAACGGGTTATTCAGTTACTACCCAAATAGGTCCAGTTCCGACGGGTCTCGTTATTTTGGCTGCTATTCTGCTTGCAGGTATGCGTGAAATTCGTATACACCTGCAATCTGCCTGACATGCACCCATATCTCTATCGCTCGTTCTGTAGTCCTTTTTTTCTCGCTGGTTGCCGGAGCCTATGGTCTAGTCCCATACCTTGGCAGGCTTTGCGACAGACGTTCCGCTCGATATCGTCATCGAAGGTCGGCGCGCCCCCATGTAGAGAATTTCTGGCTCGCCAACATCCCTTCTCCAGCTATCCCCACCACTGTATCCGCAACATCTGACATTCCACCCCCGCCTTACAATAGCAGGCACGGCGATCCTTTGTTCAGCTCCCCTCCATATTTGGAGGAACCCCGTTCTCCTATCAACACCACTTTTCCGACTGGGGCTCTGTAGCTCCTGGCATGACACACAATAACCGACCACTACTAACCAGGAAAGTGAGTATCCAACATACCCTCGCAGCTCTGATCGTGCTTACTGACTTACCTTCGCCATTGAAGTGTATTGCTAAACGCCTTCAGGACTTGTATCAATAGGGACCATCTAACTACAATCAGCATAGCCTTGATTCCCTTTCAATTTCTCCATCCTAAAGTTTAATCACTACCCACTGTCATTCAAATAGTCGCGCAGAAAACATCGACATGTTCTTTAGTGTCCCTCGCCCTCCTATCAATGCTATGCTACATAATGAGTAGATGCCACATATAGTACGATCTGTGCATATTCGGTTGTCCTAAGATATGTTCAGGGTAACGAACTAAAGACGATGCCGCTGTGTAAAAATGCCACTAGGAGGCACACCAATTAAGAACCGATAAACACTACTGCCCTCATCAGAACGTGCCAGAACCCCTCTTCATCATGTTCATACCGACAAGAAATTCAGTAGATAGTGGCCCGTGAATCATCTTAGTATATATTATAGCATTCCACTATCCTCTTAAGGATTATAAGTGAACTTATTTGACTTTTAAACCACCGAACGTCATCCTGAGGACCAGATCGAGGTTTGGCCGATCGTAATCGCTGCCACCAGTCACCGATCGAAGTGCCTGATTCAAGGTCCCACATAATAGAAACCGAGTGAGGATTATCCCTCATTCGTAGGAGCTGAGATGTTCATCCTGATTGACCCAGCGACCTCTGAATTTGACTCACGCCAGACCCCCCGAACTGAATGGAAGTCAATCAAAAGTGGTCCCAGGATTGGCCATTCCATTCAAAAAATCAGCACTAGAAGCATCGCTTAAAGACTAACAGTGCGCCAGCCTACAGACCATAGTCAATGTCGACCGCTTTAACTCCGAACATATAGTCTCAGGTAGGGACACAAACTCACCCCAAGTCGTCCTATACCCGCTTCCGCTGGAGGTCCTTTATGCCAAGTAGGGGTGTCATTGTAGCCTCCTGAGGGACACTGACGGCATGGTAGTGATAACAGCTCGCGCGCCAGAGTCATCCGGAAGTGTCGATCCTTCAACATTGCCCGCCGGCGTTGCAGTGGGTACCAAAGTGGGCATGGTTCTGGGCGTACGTGAGTCACTTCACCCTTGTCTCTGTCAAGACCTTGTTGACTGAACTTTTCACGATGGTTAGTTTGCTTGTTCGCCCTCGTAACTGCCTACCAGTTCATCCCTCGGAGACGGAAGCCGCCTTCCCGAAACCACGCTCTTTTCACACCATCACGTCCTAAGAAACCGACATTCCTTCAGCGCCTTCACACCTACTGCTCCACATTCCTTCAGAAATTCAAAGGGAAACCCAAGCCTAACGCAGGCATCAACCCAACCGAACGACGTGGGCGACTGCGTTCGTTCTACCTCCCAGATGAGCGTCAGCGGAAACGCGAACAAATTAAACAGAAGTTCGCAACTAGTCTCCGCCTTAACCTTCATACACCGCATATCCCTAAAAATCCGTTTCACTCACCGACCTCCAGTCCGCCTTTACGTCCAAGTCGACGTTATGCGGTATACACACAACTATACGATGACGATGAGGGATCTAATCGGCCCGTGAAGCCAGCTTCAGCCCTAATATCGCCTTGGTCGTCGAACGAAGAGGATTTTCCTCCGTTGCATCCTTTTCGGAGTCCATTGCCGATGGATGAAGTGCCAGCAACACCACCTCCATTATTCCCACCTCCTCCAGTGTATGTACCAGAAACGCCTCTTCGAGGCGGTAACGGTATCGTAGACACACCGCCCATACGCTTTAGAGATACCCCGGATGACGTATCGGCACAATCTCTCATAGACGTCGTGACGATCATGATAAAGCAGCAGGATCAATTCCCTGGAGAGGGACAAGAGAACCCATTCATCATCGCGGAGGAAGATGAGTGGGATTCTGATAGCGAAAGCGAGTATAGCAATCGGAGTCACTTGTAATAGTATACCCTTCAAGCAAATCAGTGTATAACAGAAAGTACTCACTGCGTGATTGTGAAAGGCAAGTTGTTTGCCATTGGAGGTGTTGATCGATTGCGACGACGCCCAAAAAGGTTTTTGATACCCATATACGTGCCAATGCTATACTAGTCTTTACAGCTAATTGCGGGCGTTTTCAACTTGAAATACTTGTATTTGGGCAGTGCTACCACGGTCAATCATCCATTAGCAAAGAACTCCAGAAGCTTGCACAGCCCTGCATCCGCTTTACATATAAGTATCGGGCGAAACTTCCAGGTGAAAACGTTATTCTATGCCCATAGCACATTCATTGACACTGGCTGAATCTAATCCTTCCGCTTTTTGTTACAAGTTTGACTCGAGTGGTGGCTCTGACGGGGGGCCACCTGTTGTTGATGGTTCTGCCATTACGACGACCACAGTCGGTAGTGTTCTAGGCTCGTTAGGTTGGTACACTCAATGTGGTTGAGTACATTGTGTGTTCTCAACATCAGCTTGCACAGTCATATTTGCAAGCGTGATCGGCTTATTTTACTACGTGGGGAGACGTGGAACGTTTAGGCGTTTCCGTGGAGAAACAAACAACGCAAACCCATGTATGTTACCCTCCTACGACTTCGGTCATGGCACACTGAGCCTTTGCCCGTGTTGAAGCTGATTGCGTCGTGCCCCCAAGCTGTCTTGCACCCTCGTGGCGGGGAAAACACGCGAAACAGTTATGATTCTGAGGGGTTTCTGCCGCTGTCAGACTTCCGCCATCATGCGCGTCGTCCTGCCGTTACGGCGGCAGGCAGTACTACCACGCTTCCTCTCTATTCTCCACCTGAGCCTCCTCCGCCAACCTACTCGAATAGATGGCGAGCGCGTGCCTAGATCTCGGCGAGTAATCCGCCTTGTTATGAACCCACTCATTTGGCTGAATTGGCCTGTAGGGACTACTCTGCCATCGATGCTGAAAGACTTGTTGGCTTACAATCCGGGCGTTGGAAGTGGAGACGCTGTAAGGTGGAGAAGAGCGTTAGCAAGGATGTGAGGGGACGACGTCGAAGATCCAGAATATACAGATTTCAGCGTCCAAAGTGGCTTTTGAGGGGATTTCCTTGGAAGCAATGTACATGCAGTGTACATAGACCAGTACAGACCTATACAGGGATTGAACGTCCAGACATAGTTGCTACCATGCAGTGCCATGAAAGCCCTTGGAGCCACTGCAATCTCAACCCAATACCCTTAACAGAGAGCATGGCAACACAGCTAGCCACACCGCATCTATTCCATTGTGAATTGAATTGAATAGAGCAAGCGACTCAGACGTAAAAATCATGTTCAATCTACCGTTCATGCATCGCCCCAAGACATTGCCTGGCCCCATTCGCCTGTCTATTATGGCGTCCAATCTTGGACTGCGGCCACAGCTTCTTCCTGAATGATCGACCAAGCTTTATCGATGTGCTCTTTTTTCGTCCTGGTTGCACCGACAGCAAAGCGTATACAGAAGACGCCATTGATCATTGTCTGCGTAAGCATGATATCCGGGCGAGCAGATAGGCGTGAGTAGAATGATCGATTCAACTCGTTAACCAATTCGAGCGTGACAGCTTGGGAGCCTTCGGAATCTCCAGAGGGAAGGACGCGGAATACGCTCAACGCAAAGGAAGGCTCGGTGACAAGTTCGAATGAAGGCGATGCTCTGATTAGAGATGCGAAGTATTGGCTTAGTTCAATGCCTTGGCGGATGTGGTTCCTGAAACCTTCTACGCCGTAACTTCGGAGGACGAACCAGACTTTCAAAGAACGGAAGCGTCGCCCAAGTGCGAGGTGCCAGTTACGGTAATCAATAACAGTGCCTGTAACATCGGGACTTTGTGAATTGGAACTCGAGATATAGTGAATGACAGCTCACCTGCGTCACCGTGCTTGGTCCTGAGGAATTCCGGAGTAATGTCAAGAGCATCTGTCAGGTATTTCCTGTTCTTCACCCATAGCGTAGAGCAGTCGAAGTTGACCAAACCCCACTACAAACAGGACCGCAATTAATATCAGATTGTCACATTATATCGAAGATACTCGCCTTGTGGAAATTCGTGCAGAACGAATCAGCATATCGGTTGATGTTATCCAGCTGAGCTGTTTCGCGGAACTCAGGGCAAGCGAGTGTGACTCCGGCCCAAGCAGCATCAACATGGATCCAAACATCCGGGTGATCCTTGACTAAAGGTCAGTGAGCTTCGCTGCGGCCAGATTGTGAGTGTAATGACACGACTGACCGACTTCCCCTATCTCGCTTAATCGATCGACAGCACCAGAAGACGTTGTGCCCACAGTAGCAACTAAATACAGCCATCCACAACCACGGGAGAAGATATAAGGAAGATTGAGTTAGAGTTTCACTCCCATATGAGGTTAGGGGTGGAAAGGGTTCATACTTATCATGAATGGATGCTTTCCGTGCTTCTTGTCTTCTTCCAATGCACGTTTCAGTATCGAACCACGAAGAGCAAATTGGTCTTCGACTTTGACTTCCAAGGCTCGACATTCCATGCCAAGGACTAAGCCAGCCTTGACACCGAGTGAGTGAGTCTGAGTCGTGGTGTAGAAGACGAGGTCTTCATGCTTGACATCTGGATGCTTTCGAATGTAGAGAGACCGCGCAGCAACGACTGACACCAACGCGGAGTCCGACGCCGTGGTCTGTCATTGAAAACACATTATGAAAAGGCGATGGTTGAACTAGGCTACGTGAGGGTACCGTACCTGAATAACACCGCCTCCGATGCCAGAGCTGTTCAAAAAGTGATCATGCAAACCGAACATTTTGGCTGCCCAGTCCATCATGACCGCTTCGAGTTCAGTGCACGCGGGACTGCTTGCCCACTGCTTAATGTCAGCACGCAACCCGCATCACGATCGAAAAGACGCACGTTGAATCCCGGGTTGCAGGTGCTACTGGCGTACAGATCTGCGATCATTCCTTCAAAGGTACTCGCAGTCGGGAAGAATGCGAAGAAAGAAGGATGTTGCCAGTGGGTAAGCCCTAGTGATCAGACGTTAAATAACACAAAGACACTACTATGGAATCTTTGCAACCCACCTGGGATGATCAGCTTTTGGTAATCGTCTGCGATTGTTTGGAAGTCCTCTCCCTGGTTCGGTGCGCATTCTACCCGACGTCATCTCCATAGCTGTACTAAAACGAAATGAAGTTGAAAGGCATACGTACCTGGAAGGGCCTCACGCAGGTATCCAGGCTGCACCTGAGAAGCGACAGGACGTTTCTCCAAGGAATAATAGTAATCGCAGATTCTGTCGACTGCTTGATATCCGGCCTTGCGAAACCTACAGCCATGTTCCGTTCAGTCTCGGAGCGCCATATAGTATAGAAACGCACGCTTCGATGTCCAACATTGTCAGCCTTTTCGAATGTGCCTGCCAGATGTTCCTCGGATTGGGGTTCTAAATTTTTATATCTGCGTGATATACCAAACGAGAAATGAGTCATGCCGATCAGTACGATAAGCGTATTGTATACAAAGCACGAGGATACTCACCGGTACCCAGAGTGTGAGCTGGGGTACCCTTCTATCCTACGGGATCAGAGGATGTTATCGGGGAGAAAGGGTTTTATATGTACAAGATGTATGTGGCACGCCTTGGTCTTGGTTGCATCGAAAGAGCGGGAGCAAGTGGGCTTATGATCTCCCTGATACGACCACTTTCCCCCGGGCATCGTCGAACCACGCTCATCGTTGTTCATACCCGTAACACGCCGTAAGACATGGCATCGATCTGCTCATAATGGATCGGACGTTGTTGTATACAATACCTGTCTTGGAAGGATGGGGTAAATCTTGGTAATGGGGACTGAAGAGAGGTTCAGAGGATATTGTTTCGCATTTAGCAGATACCAAGGTGATTCATGGCGTGTTATCTCTCAAATCAGGCGTAGACGGGGAAGAGTGGGTAATATAGTCCAATATGATACTTAGCAGGATGAGGCGAGAACCGATGTATGTATCATCGCCATGAATAAGAGATGTCGCAATTGGAGTCGCATATTCAATGAATATTAACGACTTCAGATAGCATAGTTGAACGTTAACGTCGAATGTCGAGTCTGGGTGGAATGAGTATGGTGGGCATGAGAGTTAGGTGCGCATCACAGCGCCGAGTAGACGTCTCCTCTCGCTTGAACCGTTACCACCATATGGCGCTGGCATCTTTATTGACATCTCTCCTCTGTGCCGCTTTCGCACTTGTATTCTATCAAATATACGAAGTTCGCATATCGAGGAATAGCAAACGACTGAAACTTCTCAAGACTCTGGGGTTGGACTCGAGTAACAAGAAGATAGTTGGATTCTTTCACCCATACTGGTGAGTATAGAACCCAAGTCATGTAAAACGTATGCCTTCGCATCTAATCTCACAAAGCATGTAAGCAATGCAGGAGGTGGAGGAGAACGTGTCTTGTGGACGGCGATAGCGCTGCTACAACGGACAGAACCAGATGTCGTGAACGTGGTGTACAGCGGAGACGTGGACGCCTCGAAAGATGAAATCATCAGCAAAGTGAAAGTGCGTAGGATACCTGACGTATATATACTACAGGACATGACTGACGTTGTCTTCAGGCTCGTTTCGACATCGAGCTGGCACCACAAACGCTTCACTTCATATTCCTTCATACAAGATATCTTGTAGAAGATTCAACATGGCCAAGATTTACTCTCCTTGGGCAGAGCATTGGTTCTATGCTACTCGCGTGGGAAGCCATGTCGAAACTGGTGCCGGACCTATACGTCGGTACGTTGGACAGCAACTAGGCATGTAGTCCTGTGTCTAACCTGTATGTGCAGATACGATGGGATATGCCTTCACTTTCCATGTCGCCAAGTTCGTTGCTGGGGTGACAGTAGGTGCATATGTACACTACCCTACCATAAGCACAGACATGCTGGCACGAGTGAAGTCCCGCCAGAAGTGGCACACGAACTCCGATGCCATATCCTCATCACCAATTCTGAGCAAATTGAAACTTCTGTTCGTCGCGTTATGTCTACGTGTCAAGTGGTTTGAAGATTCATTTGTCTTTGCAGGTACTACCGCATCTTCATGTATTACTACGCTTTCTCCCTTTGTCAAGCCTCCTTCCTCATGGTCAATTCATCATGGACAAAGAACCACATTGATGCTATCCTCCAGCCTTCAGATCACCTCCTAGATTTCGTCCATCTTTTTACACCTCTGGTACTTCTGAGGTTGTGGAGTTCTCCATCACCAAGAGGTGCCCAAATCGTTTACCCTCCGTGCGATACAAGAGAAATGGCGCAGTTCCCATTAGAAGGTCGCGAACGAGTGATACTCAGCGTCGCCCAATTCCGGTAAGTCGTTGCTTTTCTTCATCTCAGTCGGGTGCCATAGATTTACACATGTGTAGACCAGAGAAGGACCATGCCGCTCAACTTCATGCATTCCGCAAGCTTATAGAGAAGCATCCCGAATACGCCAACCCTGGCGATCAACATGTTCGTCTAGTGCTTATTGGCGGCAGTCGAAACAAGGACGACGCAGATCGCCTTGAAAGCTTAAAATCGCTTGCCAAAGAACTGGGCATAGCGGTAGGACTCATTTCTTGATATTATTTGGATGCATTCTAACTTTAGATGAATAGGAGCACGTGCAGTTCATTGCAAACGCACCTTACTCGGAAATGTTAAGTTGGCTCTCGAAGGCTAGTGTTGGCTTGAGCACTATGGTCGACGAACATTTCGGCATCAATGTCGTTGAGTTCATGGTATGTCCAGTGATCTGTTACGTTCACAAAACTGATCATAGGACACGCTCTTCATCAGGCGGCGGGTATCATCCCAGTAACACATGCTTCCGGCGGTCCGCTGAACGATATCGTCATCCCATTCAACGGTAAACCCACCGGTACGGATGTCTTTACTCTCGCATGTCGTAACAGCCATGTCTTACGTTCATCTGTCCAGGCTATCACGCCACAAGTCCAGAGACGTTTGCAGACGCCTTCCATGAGGTTTTGACATTGCCACCTGATGAAGAGCTTTCACTCCGCGTGCGTGCGAGGACTTGGGCTGTCCAGAGGTTCTCTGAGGAGGAGTTTGAACGAGGGTGGATGGCGAGTGGGTGGAAGGATGTCTTGTCCTGAGCCCCTTGCTTTGGTTTTGTAGCGTTGGTCTACTCGCGTTATTCCACTCCTTGGGGTTCCCCTTCCTAATCGATCCAAGATTATTATCCTTTCGGTTCACCCGAGTCCTATTATTCTGTGATGGCCTTGATCAGACTAGTGACGAGGTGAGTAACCGGACCCTCCAGCATTCACATTCCGCAACCCTTAGTGTCATCGAGCATGATGGCCGGACTGGACTGAATACATTGCTACGTTATGTAACAACACGACCCAACAATAATAAATCCCTTCCCGCGCACAACGTTACGTATGAAATTCTGGACTACTTGCATAGTAGGACTAATGGTACATTATGGTACAACACTTGCTCTAGACATCCCATATAAAACGAAAACAGTAAACAGAATAAATCCATAGTGGCTGGGTATCCCCTTGCAGCTCAGATCAGTCTAATCTTACGAGAACCTCGTCCGCCTTTCCACGGATCTCCTCGAGGTTCTTATAACCCGAGAGACCAAGCGTAATCTCGAGATCAGCAAGGATACTCTTAATGATCTGTTCCACTCCAGCTTCTCCGCCGACAGCCAACCCATATACATATGGCCGGCCCACTGCCATACCAAAAATACGTTATCGTCTGGTGACAGAAGGAATGTAGTCACACTCACACAGAATGGCTTGGGCACCAATGGCTATAGCCTTCAAGATGTCGCTGCCGTTCCTAATCCCAGAGTCAAAAAGGACGGCCAGCGTGCCGCTTTCCTGAGCCGCTTTGATCTTCGGGTTGGTACATATCTGGCGAAGCGCGTATAGAGATGGTATTGCCCCGTCTATCTGCCTGCCGCCTTATGACATACGAGCTGACATCAGTGCTACCATTCTAATGGCGTTCAAGTGACATCGAGGTGCTCACCGTGGTTCGAGACAACAATTCCATCAATACCATGCTCGATGGCTAACTCGGCATCCTATTCGAACGGATGTCATCATTACTAACGGGTATGATCCCTCCTTATACGTACCTGAACGGCTTGGATACCTTTGAGGACGATAGGGCCGTCCCAATGTTTTCGCAAGAATTTGAGGTCTTCCCACGACCTGAAGTACCCGGAAGTCGTCTCTCCGATCCAGGCTGTTGCAATCTTCGACTTTAGAATCGCATCCTGGTCACCTGCTACTATGGCAGCATCAATTTTCTTATAATCGTATGGGAATTCAGGATGGTCGTCGTGCGAAGCAGGTTGCTGGCCGAAACGCGCCATGAACACGGGATCAGTGAAACCAATCTGACAACCAACCCCATGAGCGAAGGGGAGGTAGGAATAATCGATATCGTGTGGACGCCATCCCAGGATTTGAGTGTCGAGAGTGACGACAAGCGTCGTGAAACCGCTTGCCTTCGCGCGGGATAGAAGGGAAACGGTGACATCGTCCGACCTCGGCCTGTGAGTATAAACGACTGAGTAAAGCCTTCATGCTTTACCACGGAAGCAGAACTTACCAGTATAACTGGTACCAACGATGACCAGACCCGCTGGCCCCAGCTACTGCCTCTATAGAACGGGAGGATGCAGAACTCATGATGAACGGAACTCCAATCTTGGTAGCTGCTCTGGCTGTGCCACACTCGCCATCAGGGTGAACAATGCCTTGCACACCGATAGGTGCAACAAACAATGGTGAATTCAGTTTTTCACCGAATATCGTTGTCTATGGAGTGTTGTAGTCAGTTGTAGCACCGCTTGACTCTGTCACCTACAGCTCACATACCTCCAAGTTGCGCTCCGTGACGTTGCGTAACATCCGAGGGATGATCTTCCATTTCTTGAACTCGGCCAAGTTAGCAGCGTGAGTTGAGTTTGTACCCGCGCCTCCGAATGAATACATGAAGGCATCTATCGATCAGCAGGAATGACGTTTGAGAATCACCAAGGCTGTCAGGAAGTGAACAGTCTCCTCTCACTTGGGTGCTCCTTAAGCTTCTCGCGAGCAGCACGTTCAATCTCCTCAACGCTGACGGATCCCAAAGCAGGAGGTTTACGGCTCACGTAGCTGTCTCGCATGAAGTCGGACCAACTTGAAGGCTGCAACAAGCCATTGCCTTGAGTTGGAATAACAGTAATGTCAGCCATGGATGGGGGTGAAGAACGGGATGAAGGCCTCTTGTGGATGATGGACTTTAAATGGAGGACGTACTGGCAGTTGGCGCGGATGATTAGTTCAGAGCAGTTGCCTCGCCCTGTTGGCTGGGACGAAAGTAGGTCCCAGAACGGAAATAAGCATGGATGGCGCTATCCACATTGCCTCTAAATGTTCCACATTCAGCCTGATAACGATCCCCTGACCTTGGATTAATGGCTCATGAGAACATGCATGTTCTTGTCGTGATGAGTTTGGGCGCAGGTGGCACGGCAACCCAGGCCACTTCCTCCGGATCCCCACGGCCAATCACACGCTGCATTCTGATAATGAATAAAGTTGACTCATCTTGTTGAAGACCGTGCTCAGATTGCCGAATATGTATACATTCTACCAAGATTCTACCGGGGTGCATAATTTATGTTCTTCGGCCTCTTCGGCTTATAGATGAGTGAGCGAACGCTTCTGTAATCCCGCCAAACTACCACGGTGCAGAAGACTTCGCAGAATTCTAGTCGATCGTTGCTGACCGTTCGTTCTTCAAGTTTGTCCTTCCCGGAAGATAGCCGACGTTATAAAGGGTGTGTCAGATGGACCTCGACTGGACAGGTATTAGACTCCGGCCACACCAAGAGTCCTCCTATAGCATCCTACGAATAGATCGACACCAAACTAAATTTCAGCTGTCACATGAAGTCAATACGAAATCACTTGGTCAGTGGAAGCAAGGTCGATATAGAACTTACTGTTTGTAATCGGTCTGCATAGTAAGCAAGTCCCAGTCTCCTGACATGAGATCTAGAATGGGCATTGCACAAACGTGATTAGTACTGGCTGAGACAAGCTACTCAACGAGCCAGAAACTTTCTTCGCCATTTCTGGTAATGTTGCCATCAGTTTGATCGACCGAGCTCCGAGGCTCTCGCCCGGCAAGAACAGCAACTTGAAGTAAGTTGCCTCCTGACCAACGTAATCCAGCCGATTACCGCTACATAAAACACAAGAGAGACTTCGAAGAGGTCTCCCGGCGAGAGGTGCTTATAGGTCTGTGCAGCCAGTAAGTGCATGTTGCCATAGTCAAGTTGAACCGGCCTAATATTTTCACCCGCGGTTAGGGATGTCATCTACCAGTGAGCGACGGGACGCTTTACTAGCTGACTCGACAGCTGGTATAGTGTCGACACATAAACATGCGAAAGATTGTCTTGTATGTCGAATAACAGGCACGGGTGCTCTAGCTGGTGTTGGTATCTATGCTTTGAATCAATCTCGCGCCCATGCCCCTGGGTCGATTGTCGGCAAGCGCATCATGGCAGGAGTCGGGGTTTGTGCGTCTTTCTTTCATATGGACACCTTAAAGGACGGTTTCTGATTTGAGAAATTTACCCTAGGCTTTCTTGCTGCAAGTGCGCTTCGGTGGACAAAGTAACTTGACAAATCCGCTTTTGAGACGTTTACATACATATCATCGCTGGGTGAGATGTCCTACCGCGAGGGTTCTACTATGCCCCACAAGGTTATATCTCTGTATTACCCCCGTGAAACAGCTCTCACAGACTTGCGTTAGTGCGTTCTTTACAGCGGGCATCAAGGTTTAGACCAGTCGAGTCTGCTTACCTAGAATCCCGGCCTGCGGAGGCAGTAGAGCTTGAATACGCGCTAGTCTTTTAGGCTTTCAGGTCTGATGCACACATTCGTGAGCACCCCAATGTGGAACACGAAAACAAATCTTCCGATCCATGCAATATATACAATATGACAATCCTATGCTGATGAGTCCAGAGATCCAAAATGCGTGTGCAAGAGAAGTAACATGATACGAAATGCAAGAGAGTTGTCAGAGACGGAATCAAACAAACATCCAAAAAAGCAAAACATAGACCCCTCAAGGCACATCAGACTGAACGGGAATACCATCCGTACTTTGGGCAGCATGATCTCCGGTTTCAGAATCCGTCCCATCGGCATCTGTATCGACCCAACTATCCATCTCGCTGTTCTCAGATGAAGTGCCTTTGCGAACACACCCCAATCGCATGTCACCAACAGAGAGCTGCTTCTGACTTGATAACCGGCCTCGACCAGACCTAGAGCTGCCAGCCTGTCCCACACTGGATCCGCTAGGTCCATCAAAAGAAGGACCGAACACATCTCCTTCGCCGTTCTGAAGTCCACGCTCTCTTCTTATCGATAGCAAATGGGAATCAGAAGTGAACGAGGGCAGGAACGGCGGTTTGTTTTCTGTATCTCTATCTGCGCGTGGAGTCGTACCAGTGTTAATGTTCATCCTTCTGTGTGCACTAAAGTGTTTGACTTCGTGCAAATGTGCGCTTCGCGCCCATCGTTTTGCAGATTTTGGCACGGGACCTATGACTCCAACGCTTGTACTTGTTGTCAAAACTATAGGGCCCCCTGAGTTTGCGCGTTGCAACACAGGTCGGGACGACGTCGGCGATGGTGGTCGATTGTGGTTGTATGTGTTATGACGGGACATAGGTGTTCGAAGGGAAGGGGTGCGTGGTCGCGAGGTCGAGGTAGTTTTGCAACTGCTCGCTAACTGAGGGCGTCGATTTCGAGCAATCTCAATAACTTGGGCGCTTTCTGAAGGAAATGCCACTTGTCCTGCAAAAGCGTCAACTAGAAAATACGAGAGTGGTTGGACTAAAAGTCTTACCTGGTGTCTTGTCAAGGTTTGCTTGAGCAACAGCGTCGAGATGTGTAGCTTCAGAGGGGCGTTTTGGACTCCTGAACTTAGTCATCCAGTCGCCACTAAAACTCAGCGTCCGCTTCCCCCATTCTCGCATGGATGATGTACGTGCTCGTGGAGCAGCGTGAACGACCTCTCCCCTCGATCCCCGGGTGAGCGTCATGAATACCAGGACAGTTAGAAGTAAACAGAGCTGAGCGATACCAAGACGTTTCTCTAGCGTGACCTGAATGACAATACAATTTTAGCGTCACTTGCATATACTTGCGCGTCCGGATCATGAAAACACACCTCAGCGGTAAGATAATTGACTTTGGAGAGTAACTCATTATGTTCGAGCTCCATACGTCTCCGCTGTCGCTCAAAATCCGACAGGGACCGCTGGTACATCTGAGCCTGCGCCTTACCCTAATATATTGAAGTCATGTCAGCTTGATCCTGAACGCTTCTTCATGAAAAGAAACGTACTATTCCTTCCAACCGTCCCACATCCTCGCCTACCCTTCGGAGTACCTCCCTGACACCAGCAATTTGTTCTTCCACGTATCTCGCATAAAGGGTTGTGTTCGTATCCAGAGCAGATAGACGGTTCATGATGGTACGATAAATACTCTCGCCGCCTGTTGTTATCGGAGGCGCAACTACAGTGAGTGACTGTGGAGTGTTAACCGGGATGGGTGTCGTTATGGAACGGGAACTGTGTATGGATGAAGAATTGGATAAAACAGATGATGGGGCCGATGAAGATGACACGCTACTGCTAGACTCCAGAGTAGTAGCGGAAACGTTAAACGAAGATGAAGACATAGAAGACGAGATCGTGGATGATGTCGTTGCAGAAGACACAGACGATGAAACGGTGTCCTGAGAGACAGGGACCGATACAGTGCGATGTCGCTCTTTCTTAGTTTTTCTGGATTCATTCTTAGATGCGTAGGCTGAGGGTGTGAGAGATACGGACAACGGGGTCTCCGCGGGAGCTTCGCCCACCAGATGCGCAGCTGAGTCAGGTACTGGCGTAGCAATTGTTGAGACGGCGCTTGAGGTAGTAGACACTTTGGTCTTCTTCGAACGACGAGAGGTATACGAAGAGTCAGAGGGTATCATTGAAGCGCTGCCAGCGCTAGATGCAGGTATATGTGGAGTCGATTCCGGGATGGTGGGTGAGGAGGTGAGCGGTGTAGATGCTGTGGTGTCAGCAGGCGTTGAGAATGGTTGTTGAGGTGTTGCTGAAGGTTCTGCTGAGACGATGATGCTCTCTGTCATCTTTCCTGGGATATCTTCCATAGATCCAGTGGCAGACATATGAACGGATTTCGAAGGCTCTTCGACCACCTCCCCGGGAGCAGAAACAGCTTCTTCCACGCGCCTTCGACTCTCATCTTCCCACATGTCCCATTTCCATTGCTCCAGATGCGTGAGACCGTAGACTCGGAGCAGCGATACTGGGCAGTAGTATTCGTTGCCGTAATGCGAGTGAAAATCAATGCGTATAAAGCGATAAAAGTCACCCAGCGACGTCGGAGGATGGAAAGACTGTAAGACAAGGACCTTCGTGAATACAACGAGTAACGTGGTCAAACGTGGACACTAACCTGCACCCCACGGACATTCTTCGCTCGATACGTTCCCGCGGGTACCCAACGCTTAGGGTCAGTCGTGTACGTCTTTGCGACGCTCACAGAAAAATCTTTGAATACACCGCTAAAGAATTCGTAGTTTGCGAGTTGAACAGTGTCTATCCAGATGTCTTCACAGAGTTCCACAACGACGAATTGGTTCGGCTCAGCACATGGACTGAGCATGTATCTGTCTTTCTTGGAAGTCAAGATTGATGACGCAGACTTCGCAGACTTGTGTGCACTGTGTACACGAGCCGAACAGTCCGTAGAGGCGTAGTTGAAACGGTCTGTTATAGGTATCCGGAAGTGAGGTGAAAGCCGGTCTGGAGGTATTTCCGCCAGAGTAACTTCAGGTGGAGATGGTGGACTACGTCCTTCCGACGAGATACTACCGCTGTTTGGTTCAGAGCCATTGTCTGACACGATGCTGCCAACAGGCTTCTGCCCTGGAGTAACAGTCGGCTGCGAACCAGGAGGTAACTCTTTGTTCAGGTCAGCCAACCGCTTGGCTTTCCATTCCTCGAATGTGAGTAGGACTTCCTCCTCGGTAGGTTCCAAAGGAGTCAGTGGTCTTAGACAGCATATCGGCTGTTCAGGTGGTTTAGGTGCATGGATGGCGATATCATGAAACGGGTCGTGGAAAGTCGTTGGCGGTGCCGCTAAGAGTGGAGAAACGAGAAGGAGTGCTACGAGGGATATTGGAAGTAGCCCATAGGAGAACATACTAGTTCAATAAAGAACTTGGTTCGTATGTCTGTCCGGGACTCAGCAGATGAGGCCTGAGGAGTGAGTTGGTGACGTTGAGCGAGTTACAGTATATATGGACTAGAACTATTAACGTAAAATGTATTTAGCCGAATCTAATCTTATCGTATTCGCAATACTCGGCTAAAGGCCGTTTCTCATGCGTTTATACTGACCATGCCCAATGCCATACTCATGTAACCTTCCAGTCAAAACCCGGGACATATTCGAGTCATTTGTCAGTTCGATAGGATGTCTTTTTGGTGAGATTCGTTTCGATGGCATATCTCATGCGGACTGAAGCGAAGCACACTTGTTTCCAAGTTATTCAAAGTAAAGTGTCGGCCGCAGTCGTTCTCCTTAGCTTAGCACGACATTGCCGCATTATCCGCCGTGCATAACCAAACAGACGTCTTTGCTGCATTTGCGCAGTTGTGATAGTGTGGCATGCCTCACATGCCATGTTAAGGCCGCTCAGACGTGGTTCCACCGGCTCAAGGGAGGTTCTTTGATAGTGCCCATAAACGAGTAGGATTCATTCTTGAAGCCACTGCAGCATCTTAAAGCAAAGATAAATTGACCTGACATCTATTGTTGTTGGTCCGTTTTGATTTTGACCGACCGCCTCATATTTCAAGGTGTTAGCAACGACGTCCTTCCTTGGAAAGAGAATGCCCAACACTTACAAACCTCTGCCATATCGAGCTTCTGCCTATGGAACCCAATGGTCCTCCACAAGCTAGCCTGGCCGATTCTTCATCTATTCGCCGATGTTCCGGAGCCCTTAGTCCAAATCCTGGATCGCTGGCTAGAAGAGCCTCCGGTACCAGTTCTCTACGCTCAGCAGCACACGCATTCAACCGTAAATCTTTAGAAGGCGCGGATTCGACCTCCTTCAAAATTTACATCGAGGACATCGACCAAGAAGATAGCAAGCCCTCAGTCCTACTCGTATGCCCGAAGGCGAACTCGCCTAATCTTCTGGATGGCGGATACTCTCCGTCGCTACCATTTCAAGGTGAAGACGTATCGAAAACATTCTACAGTTACCTGCTTGATCGACCGTCGACAACGCCTGCTATCAGCTTGACGATTGGTGGAGACCGCACAATTAGTCCTATATCGTTAACGCCACAACCCTCATACGTGGACCGGGGCACTCCATCAGCCTCCTTGCAAACCGTTCGGACCTCAGACTCGCCCATCCCACTCTTGCCTACTTCAGGATTCCTCGGACGTAGACCTTCCGTACGTTCATTACTCTCTCGTCTATTTTCCCTCCGTAGAGGGCTGCTTCCACAAGACGCACTACACACATCAAATTCACACGTCCCTCGCTCTCCCTCAGGCCCATCTACGTGGTCAAGCAGCAATACCGAGAAATTCTCTTCGCTCATCTCTTCCACGCGATCCAATTTCTCAACAAACACGACTAATACCATCGAATATCCTAGGTTACAGTCTTCCCTCAGTACTTCTGACAAGTTCACGCACAAGTTCACGCACAAGTTCCCCATCCATCGATCTGTGAAGAAACTTTCAACCCTTGGGCGAGGGTCTCAAGGAGGACCAGCTTTCGCCGCTACTTTACTAGGCGAAGGCGAAGGTCTAGGGATAGAAACAGTCGATCGTTGGACAAGTCACAAATGGTGTCTTCTGCTTTCTGTTTGTACGGTCTTCACCTACGGAATGGCAGGTCTCATTTGCGCCGTCCTAACCTGGTTCAAAAGTCAGTAACTCAATAGATTGGCAATCATTGTTCGACTGGCCTGACTGACAAACCATATAACGTCTAGCTTGGGAACACGCGGATATCATGCTTGTAACCGACTACAACATCCTCACCTTGCTTACCATATATTCCGCCATCCTACTTTTGACATCCCTAGTCGGCACCACCGGTACAATCTTGAACTCTCGACCCATCCTCGCAATCTATGCTCTACTCCTCTGGCCAGCCCTGTTTTCTATCCTCGTCATCGGTTATGCCTCATATAAACGCTACGCTTTCTCTCTCGATCGCAAACTCAACTTCGCCTGGAGTCAATGGTACAGCCCACTAGATCGACTGATCATCCAAAACGCTCTTCACTGCTGTGGATTCTACAGCCCCCTACATGAAGTTACTCCCAGTAATCGATGTTACGTTCGTACGTCCCTTCCAGGATGCAAAGCCAAGTTGTATGCTTTCGAAAGGATGACCCTACGGACGATCTGGTTTGCCGCCTTTTCATTGGTTCCTGTACATATTGCCAATATCCTGGTGGCGTTGTTGTGTGCAAACCAGGTTACTAGGACGTTTGGGAAGGGCATTACTCCGAAGCAGTATAGGCTTAGCGGAGAGGACGTCAAGGCAGACGCAGAGAAACTCATGGAAATCTTCAGAGATGCAGGTACATTGGGAAGACCCAGGATCGCTAGGGCTTCATCCAGTTGTATCTTTAGAGAGGATAGGGAGGAAGCCGCATCTCCGGCTGAATATAATGCAGCAAGGAGGCGGGAATGTTCTAAGAACGGTTGAGGTTGAACTTATGTTGTTTTTGCTTTAGTCCAGTCTAATTGAGGCACTCGCGTGGAACTGCTACGGTTTATCTACAAGATTCTATTTGTCTAAAGCGTGCTACATATGAAGTGTACAACAATTAAATGACCAAGTCGGATGGCATGGAATGGTATACGTGCGTGAATAGCCGAAACCAGATGAGAGTTCGCGTTGGATACTTCGATCCCAGCTCTCCCGAAAATCATGCCTCGTCAGCACCCTCCTCCTCTTCCGCAATCAAACGCTCGGCCTCAAGCGCAGCCATACATCCACTCCCCGCACTGGTGATAGCCTGTCTGTAGCGTTTATCCTGCACGTCACCAGCGGCGAAGACACCCTTAACGCTTGTCTGTGTGGTTCCAGGCACTGTCACAATGTATCCATCTGAATCTGTTTGGAGTTGCCCGCGGACGAGGTTGGTGGCAGGTTCATGACCGACGGCGTAGAAGAGACCGTTCACTTGGAGTTCCTTCTCCTCGCCGGACAGAACATTCTTGATGAGCAGCCTATCGAGAAGATCACCGTTCCCTCGACACTCGACAGCGACGGTGTGCCAGAGGATAGTAATCTTCGGGTTGTTTATGAGCCGTTTTTGCATGATCTTCGATGCGCGGAGTTCGCCTCGACGAACGAGAACATATACGTGGGAACCGTACTTTGTCAGATCTGTAGTACAGATTTCAATCACAGAAAGGACTAAAAAGAAAGACAGCCAGACGCACAAGTCGCTTCTTCTGCAGCCGAATCGCCTCCACCGATCACAGCCAAAGGCTTATTCCTAAAAAGTACGATCAACATCATCCTAGCAAAAGCGTTGATAACATTGGGACAAACCTGAAGATGGGGACAGCACCATCACAAACGGCGCAAGCACTGATACCGCTTTGCCAGTATGTCTCCTCACCTTGCAGTCCAAGACGTTTTGCGCTGGCACCGGTAGCGATGATGACCGCATCAGCAGTCTCTGGCTCCTGGTCTTCCTGGAATTCTCGCCAATATCTGAAGGGCCGGGCTGAGAGGTCGAGTTTGGATACGGTCTCAGTAATGATCTTGGTGCCGAATCGCAAGGATTGTGCACGGAATCGATCCATAAGCTCAGGTCCGAGAATTCCGGAGGGAAAACCGGGAAAGTTCTCAACTACAGTGCAGGTCAGTAAGTCCAAGTAAAACGACCGATTTATTCGCATGCGTACTCTCAGTTGTAGTAGTGAGCTGTCCGCCAGCAGCAAACCCATTGGCCATAAATCCCTCGAATAGCACGGGACTCAGGTTGGCACGCGCGAGATAGATGGCAGCAGTATGTCCAGCTGGACCCGAGCCAATGATGACCTATATTGACCATTCATAATCTACATAAGCATCGCAGCCATATTATTCTCGCGAACAATACCTACCACTTTCGAGTGCAACTTGGAACTCTTAGGAACTGCGCCGTTAATAGGTGCCATGATATCCTTCGGGCTGAGAGAGCGTTGCTGTTGGGTAGAGAAATGTGAGGCGGACGCGGCCAGGGGAATAGCTCGAGAAAGAGCCCTGAGGGAAGGTGGAAACCTCAGCTTGGCGAGTGCCAGAGTTTTTATAAGGGCAGCAGAGGCCTGAGAGAAGGTGAAAGGATGAGGAAAGGCGTGACTGTCCTTAGTCAAGCGGCTGTTCGATCATGTCAGGTGATGGAATATTATAATCAGTTTTGCTCTCTTGTCCGCTTCGCTTCTGCCCCGAGGCACGGCCGTACTAACTACTGCTACTACTGGCTGAACAATGGGGTACATACAGCACCCGTGCAGGCGTATGGAATGTAGCAGGCAGGCTGGAGCAGATCATCCAATCGGAACTCAAGCTGCCGTGAAGTCCGCGAAGGTATGTACCTGACGGACCCAGTTGCCGATATCGTGCAGATGGTCAATGCCGAAAAGTGTATATTGACAGAGGTGCAAAAGAGGTATTACATGTACCACAAAGAAGCAGTGATGCATTGAAATGATCGAAAAGACTGAAATTCCGAGAGGGCATGATATGATTAGATACCGAAAAGTATAGCAAAGTCCAATCGCTGCATTGACCCAGGAAAGACGTCTTTCCCTTGCATGAGGGGTCTGCTTCCTTTGACGATAAGGTCTTATGCGCTGCACTGTAAATACACTTGTATGAGCACGGTGAAACCTATAACGTGTAGGACTACCTACAACGCCGACCAAGTTTGAAGCTCTTGAGTTCATGATGAGTGCAACGATGAGGCCTGCACAAAAAATGCTCAGCATGTTGTTATTCAGTCACTCCCTTGAAACACTCACCATAAAGACCCAAGACTTCGGCGAAAATGAGGATCAAAATCTGTAAGCTCCGTGTGAGTAGACCTGAATGCGTAGTATGAAGTTGAGTACACACCATGCCGACGAACAACCTCGGTTGTTGTGCAGTTCCTCGTACACCAGCATCACCGACGATACCAATAGCGAAACCTGCAGCAAGACCAGCGAGACCGACAGAGAGACCGGCACCAAGTTGAATGAAGCCTTGGAACAGCGTCATCTCCATTTGAACTATACAGCGAGAAATCAGCCTCCACGCCTGCAGTTCGAGGGTGAAAACACTCACGGTCACCGGAAATGAGGACGGAAACGACGAGACCGTAGATCTGAAGGTCGTATTGAGAATAAGCATTTTCAAAGAACAGTCAAAGCACGCACAGCGATAATACCAGCCATGATAACGGGCACAACACACTTCATCATCAGGTCAGGTCTAAGCACGGACATGGCAGAAATGCCAACTCCTGACTTGGCAGTACCATAACTATATCACTCATAAGCAACCGCGCATTTTCAAGTTGTGAGATGGATCTACCTGGCTCCGATGCCTACAAACAGATAGTTTTGTCGCATTAGTCTCTATCAAGCGTTCAATGGCCAGGTATACGCACAAGTGAAGACAATGGCACTGGTGCAACCCTGGAGTTCAACATCAGACAGCGTCAGTTACCTCGACCCGTGCGGGAACACGTGTAATCTCACCATAGCACCGAAGAATGGCGCGTATACTGGACACAAATCAGACATCTTGATACACGAATAAGTTGGAGATGGAAAGAAAGGCGGAGGATAAGAGGTTCGGTCGCTGGTCAGTGAGCAACGTCGTCGGCGCGCTAAGTCGTCCATGCCCATTTCGGAAGTTGCCGTTGTCTTCAAGCTCAGTCGTCACTCAGACTCCGCGAGGGCAGTGATTCATCCGTTCCACCTCTGTTGAGCCCACCCAACCTGGAACGGTTACAAAAGAGAAAATCGACTACATATATGATCTTATATACTTGCCATTCTCGTACGGCGACTGGAAGAGAATGCTCGAGTGAACAGCGAAGCCCACTAAGTACGTGTGTATAAAGCTAAGTAGAAGCGGTATACATTCGGGATCGGGTTCGTGCTACATCTTGCACATTGACATACCTCATTCGTCAAAGCAAAGGATATTGCGTTGCTGAAGTCCCGGCAAACATGTAGAGATAATTTCGCGTACGTTGCCATCCGGTTCGCAAGTCTCATATCCTTGCGAATCTACTTGGAAGAACCGCACACTCCGAAGGTTCCTCATTTGAGCACACTTCCGATCCAAGCGTGCCCAATCGCACTCCGGCAATATGACGTTGTGAATGACCATTGATTCATCACTGAGGTCGAGGCCTATCGCAAGAGAGTGGATGGAGGAAGGAATATGGTCGATCGCGGCAGTAAAGAACTGTGGTCGGACAGTGAAATCATCTCGGTCAAGAAGAAGGGTGAACGATTGCAGAGATGTACAACGGTCTATCCCCAGTGGTGCCCAAGCCATATATGGGTCATCTAAAGGGTAAAAGATGACGTTTAGGCGTACAGTCAAATATTGTATCAGTCACAACCCACCAAAGACTGCATCATCTGTATCCTCCACATGCCACAGTTGTAGTCCAATGCGCAAGTCCGTTAAGTTCAGCCCCGCGGAATCAATGAGATTGCCTACAAGAGACAGGTGGTACGGGTACATGACCCAGCCGAAATCCAAACAACGCAAAGAATGAATAGATGGGGTGGAAAGGAGTCCTTGGAGGAACTGTGAAGGGATGAAGCGTAAACAGAGGGTTTCCAATGATATCGACGGGGCCGGAAGCTTGCGTGTGGGCGTAACGACGATTGGTTGAAATACTTCCAACGTCAACTTTGTAACACCTGGAAACCATTCAAAGAAGTTCCACAGATCGGCTTCATCCTGGATACGATTATGTTGGAGCACTATCTCGCGAACATGTGAACATTGATTATGAGAGGCTCCGCTTGATGGCCAGCTAACCCTGATCAACTTAAGGCAACGAAGGTGATCCAACATACTCGTAATAGCGTATAATAAAGGCAGATCCAGCATGACGGAAGAGCCAGGTGCTTCCACCAAAGCTAGAGTGCGGATATAGTCACGACAGCGAGGGGAATTTTGAAGGAAGCTTTGGAAATCCAGCATCCGGCGATTTGGAGGAATCACACCATCTTTTAGATGGACGGTTATGCCTTGAAAGAGGTGTCTTTGACTGGACGGAAGCCAGGTGTTGGCGACGAGGGAGCATGCAGCGAGAGCTGCTCCATCGTCATGTAGATTGTCGATAATCTCGTCGATTAGTTCTTGTGGAAGCGAAAGGAAGGAATGCATGATTGAGTGGTACGAAAGAAGATACACTCCTTAAATATGCCCTTCCCGCTGGCTTAGAAAAAGGACAAGGACGATATAGTCAGTAGGCAAAGCGAGACATTATCCGACAAGAGCAGAACTCACTCTACAGGACGACGATGGCGACTTTATAAAGGTGCAATTGGATGAGAAAATTCATTATGGTGTCAGCAAGCTGAAGCGCCCATCTCAAGCGAGGCATGCAACGTTTCGTGGAGAGTTCACTGTCTTTAGATATTAGAGCTCAGATAACTACTACGCGTTGCAACATGACTATGAGCAAAAAGGGAATAATGAGGAAACCGAATGCAAAAGTAAGGATGTAGATGCAGGCATGACAAGGGTGCGGGGGACAAGAAACACACAAATGGGATTATGTCCGTTCAGATAGAGTCCAGTGTAATGTTCCAGAAACAATGGGGATAAAGACGAGAGCGGTGAAAACGAGAGTGTGGGCTGTAAGGCAGACTATAAAGGAGAAACAGGAGCACCAGATTTAAACGGAGTTGAGAGGGAGCTCAACGGGACATGGCGCGTCGGTGACCTGCGTGGAAGCAAAATGGTGACCAACGAGGCCAGCGATCTTGACGTCAAGAACAAGGCGGAATTGAATAGCTACGAGAACGGAAGGGATAAGTCAGATAGTGATTATGAGAGAACGAAGGACATACGCGGTCGAGTGCCCGTTGCGGAGGCAGCCTTGTTTCGACATGCATTATACCAATTGACCCCTGCCGATGTGAATCTCGTCAGTAACAGCTGAGGCATCAAGAGGTAGACTTACATGTCTGATCGGTATCGTTTGTTGCGATATATGTGAAGTTCATTGGTATCTGGATACGAGGGAATTTCTTTGCTGGAACAGTCATGTGTCCCAAATCACCTTGGGCGACCTGGCGGGCTGTCACGAGGTCAAATATATCGGCATGGATATTGTTGAAAGTGAGCGGAAGGAAATTCGACCCTGTGTCGAGCTGTAAGTCGGCAAAGGAAGGGAAACTGAAATTCGCAGGCGCTCTAGAGAAAATGAATGGTACAGATTTGTTGAAGGGTTCAGTAGCGGTTGTAAGTGGTGTGTCGGAGTTGAACGCGAAAGCTGGCACTCTCGGTATGGTGAATGCCAGGATGATCGCAGTGCTACGCGTAGATCAATATAAAGAACTGTTGATATGAATGAAAATGGCACGAACGCGCAAACGAGAACGAATAAGAACCATGCAGTGAACTTTCTCGTGAAGTACCGACCGCATAGGCCCCGCTCGCCTCTTTTCCACTGTTTCCACTTCTCGGCCCTTTGTTCTCGCTTGGCCTCTTTTCGTCCACTCTTGGTCATATCACGGAGTTCAGATGCTTTCCATTCTGGACCAAGAGCTGGCACAGTGACCATCTCAACCGGACCTGCGTTGCTTGACCCTTCATCGTTCATCTTTAGTGCAGGTGAGGAAACCGGTCGATAACCAGAGTCCTGATGCCCAAGGACGGTCGAATAGCGAGGACCCTGGTTGTTGAAGTCGGCGTAGATGTCGAATGGTTCATCATTCAGACCAGTCGTCTCTTCATCGTAACCACCCTTTACAGGCTCTTGCCTCCCTGCAGGGAAATACGATTTTCGATTGTAACCTGCTGTTGAATAGCCAGGTGATGAGATATCTACGCTTGCTCTCGAAGGTCCATTCGGATTGTAAAATGAAGAAGCAGAGTCATGTCTAGCGCGCTCAGCATGAGGTTGGCCATATTGTACGGCTGATGCGGGGAAGTCGGAATGTAACGCGTCGATAGAGGTTTTGCGACCGCCGTAGAAGGATGAGGTTGCGGACTTTCTGTCGTAATCCATTTTATTACCTCGCGGGAAAGAGAGAACGAGAGAGAAAGAGGGAAAGGCGTGGTCGACGCCCACGGCGACGGTGACGGCGGGTGAGAACCGTCTCTGCAGTAGCAGATTGAAACGCCGACTGTCGCCGATCGGCGGAAAGTCAATCCTGCCTATACTAAGTCTAGTTCTTGCGTCACGACCAATCCTGAACAAATCCAGTTTTCTTTAGTGCTTTGCTTCACTTTGCCTTCACTAATTCGCTTCATCTACAAAGCAGACGAGAGCTCTTCCATCGAGTACCGGTACATCCATTTTGATAGAGTGGCGGCCGTGATCCATTTTGGATGGACATGAACATGGACTCTACTCGGATTCCACAATCTCCTCCTCGTGTATCTGTCCAATGCTATGCGTGGCTTAGTTTTGGGGCTCAAGCAGAAAGATACCATGGGTCGAGGGCTGGGTCTATGTTCGCAGAGTATGTCATTGTCTTCCTAGTTGTTCCGCAAGAGCCGTCACATGGACACCGTTTGACCGAATACAGAGCCTCATTATCTGCTTTGTAAAGCTACTTTCAGTCCGAATTTGATGACAGAAGCTTTCAGACAACTGATGGCCCTGTCCATCCTCTTGCCGTTTCGTCCCCAGGCCAAGAGTGCGATCCGAAGCCTCCTCCAACTTGCGCGCGCAAGCTGCAGTGGCCGAAGGCGGCAAGTCACAAGCGCAGCTTCAAGACGTTTTGACCACCATTTCTGTGTTCTGTTTTGCTTGGCTCTTAACAAAGGCACCTCTTCTATCGGCTTTCCTTACCACCGTGTCCTGTCGCACAATTGCCTCCGTAGACGTGGTCTTGACGCTTTTCGGAGTGATGCTGCAACGTGGGAGCAACTATGAGTATGTCGCAAGATGTCCTCCGCCGGCAATGCATAATAGGATCGGGCTCGGTCACACTTTACTACTTTTATCTTCAAGTGCCTGATGTCTAAGGATTCTCATTTCTTGACCCTTATACAGCAAGCAGATACCGTCCACCTTCTCGGTTGTTCAATGCGCGATCGTCCTGGTCATATTTCCGTCCCAACGGTGCTTATCGCCCATACTTCTGCATTCAGTTAGACTGTCCTTCCGCCATACTCGCCTTACTCATCGGTAGGCCTCACTATTGCGAGTATCATCCTCTTCACGGTTCGCGTGAAAAATGATTCATCGTGGCCCTCTTTGGTTTCCAAGTATTGTCTATTAGACAACGGGTTCCCGGTATGTTATACCACCTGTACCTGCTGCGGTACTTGATCACGTCAAGTTATTGATCCGGTAGCCTCGTGTGGGCATAGAAGTGTCATTGAGTCACTTGGACCTTGGCCTGTAGTATATATAAGAATCACATTGGCTCTATCTCAATCGTATCGACTCGACTCTCCCTTTTCAAGTCTCCCTGTTTTTGCTTCGAAATGGGATACTCAACTATATTCACCGAAGCGTCCGCTGCTTGCTTCGAGCTTTCTTACAGCTCTAAGCCTGTTGCATCATCCTCTTCATCCCCTTTGACACACTTATCTACGATCCCTCTCGCCGTACGCATCGTCGACAACTCACAGGATGGAGGGATGACTTCTGACACGAAGATCGGCATAGTAGTCGCTGCAGGTGCGTCTCGTATGATCGCACTTCCCGTGGTTCTCCTGTTGTGCTACGCTCACGCTGTCCGTAGTCCTTTTTTTCAGTCTCATCCTGGGTTTCTGCCTCGTAGCGCGTAACAAATCTCGTGCTCGTTCCATCCTTCCTACGCGCCAAGCCGTGCAATCCCCTGCTCAGCGCAAGCGTAAATCCCCCTCTGTCTACAGCGTGCAGAGTGGGGTGTATGCGCGGTCTCGTATTGACACCGAGGCCGCAGTGCGTCCAGGGGACAAAGCTACCAAAGCACCGTCCTGGACGGAACGCCATCCTGCTCACTTGACGCCCGGGCGACGTTCGCAGGCTTCTGTATCTACCTTATCTGTGGTGTCCGATACGACCTACGTCGGTTCTACAGAGTATGAAGCTGCGCTTCCCACATTCCCCTCACCATGTCTGCATACTTCTGATACTTTCCGTTCCCCATACCAATTCGACCGTGCACAAGCCCATTCGTAAATATGATTTCGTTCGACCTTATTCCTTTCTATATCATTTATTGTTCACGTCGATACCTACTTTATGATGTAATGAGAGGCAATGACACCTGGATTACAGTAGCATACAAGTTATTCATACCCTACAGACATTTCGATTCATCGTTCAAAGCTGGCGGATATGGTGTAAAAATAATGGTAGAACGCACGGATAATCTGCAAGACGGGATCGAACCAGCGACTTCCCGTCCTAAAAAGGCTTGTGGGGTACACAAAATGTCTTCAGAGAGAGGGAGGCGAAAAGCAGTCCTTCGAGCCGGGATCGAACCAGCGACCTCCGTCCTAAGAAGGTAAGCGGAAAAGTCTTTTAGAGTTAGAGAGGGAGGCGGAAAAAGTCCTTCGAGCCGGGATCGAACCAGCGACCTCAAGATAATGATTACATAAGCCAATTACAGTCTCGCGCTCTTCCAACTGAGCTATCGAAGGATGATAAATTGGTAGATGAAAACAAAATAGCGACATTTTACGAAGATCGATCGAGCACTTTCCATATTTAACTGCCATTATTTTCCACAAATTAGGCCAAACGCTAAAGTGTACTCTAATTTACAGTGCCTCTAAGTTATCTCGCCTTCTCACCACAAGCCACATGCATTCGTCCAGCTCCTCGTTTGGATTTGAAGGGTCCTGTCTCTCACATGTAGCATCAGTGCAGGGAGACGGATCACGGCATTATGTATGGGGATGACGGGAGCGAACAATCTACGTTCGCAGGGACATCAAACCTGTCGGAGTGAAATAAACTCAAGCAGGTCAGCTGGGCACACGATGCCGGTGAGCATCAGGAATGGTGGGAGGGAAGTAAGTTACTGAATTTCCAGGAAACACCAGACGATACAGCCACCTGCGTAATAACCGGCGATTCGTATGCAGAACGAGCCATTCATCACCATGCGGGGTCGCTGTCTTAGCTAGCGCTCGAAGGTTCAGTTCGTATTTAAAGTGATTCCATGGAAGCGATGAGATCCTCGGGTCCTGCTCCACGACGGCCAGCAAGACAACGAGGATAGCAATGTGGACAAAGTGGACGACACTGAGTACGGCGTTCTGCTTGATTCAAGGAGCTCGCGGCCTACCACAGACCGCGACGTCCCCGGCGAGTACGGGCGTACTGTCCATCACAGTTTCAACAGCGGTAGCAAGTCCAACTGTCTCGTTGTCAAACTCGCTACCATCGCAAGTACCTCTGCCACCAAAGCAGGCGTGGTGTCCGAGCGAGATCTTCTGTGCTGGAGAGGTACGAAGAGTGTCCCTCGGCCCCGCGATGCGAGGCTAACGTGCAAACAGCTCCTTCAGACTGTGAACGTTGCAGGGCTGTACCCCGATCCTAAAACATTTGTCGACAAACCTACGGAGAAGCCTTCGCAGCAAGTGCTCTCTAACTTTCGCAATGTCACCAATTCCAGCAGTTTGAACGTGGGTTCTATTGTGAACTTTGTAGACACCGACTTCCGCGGAGAGGGTTTGGAACTGGAGCCAGTCGCTTTGGCAAACTTCAATGCACAGCCGACTTTCCTGAATAATGTGACCGACCCTCTCCTCAAGGGCTGGTCTCAAGTTGTCCATGGTTATTGGACGCAGCTCATTCGTGCGACAAACCGCTCTGCTCTTTGCCCAACCGGATCGAGCGGCGGACCTTGCGAGAGTTCTCTCATACCTCTAAATCATACGTTCGTTGTGCCTGGTGGTCGCTTTAGAGAACAATGCACGTTACTGCAATTCCATGTTTCTCTCATTCGTTCGGAATTGACACTATTTTTGCGTTTATAGACTATTGGGATTCGTACTGGATTGTCCTGGGGTTGCTCAAGTCTGAGCTATTTGGAATCGTGAATGACACGCTCCAAAACTTTATGGATGAGTTGGAACACATTGGTTTCATTCCGAATGGCGGCAGGGTCTATTGTACGTGTTCTGCTTGTCTCGTCGATTCTGGACCTTCACTGACATGGGAAAAGATCTGAATCGTTCACAGCCGCCTCTTTTCATTTCCGTGAGTGCTTCCCCGCTAGTTCAGAAGCGCCTTCATCTAAAGCGAATTACATCAGATGCTTGCCGCATATGTGGAAGCTTCCAACGATACCTCCATTCTTAGTCGGGCTCTTCCTCTTGCTGAGGTGAGTGTATGCGGTTTTGACATCTTCCAAGACGTCAAATTTACTCATTATCTATTCACTTTGAACAGAAAGAGCTCGCTTGGTGGGCAACGAACCGTTCTCTCGCCGTCACCAGCCCTTTCACAAATGCCACTTATACCGTGTATCGTTATGCTGTCAACAATACTGCTCCCCGTCCCGAATCTTATTTGACAGATTACCTAACGGCTAATGATCCAACACTTTCTACCCCTCTCAGCGACTCGGAACGAGCTGATTTGTACGCTGAATTGGCTTCCGGTGCTGAAACAGGTTGGGACTATAGCTCTCGATGGGAAAAGAATCCTTTCGCTGGTGGAAGCAACGATACCAACCCAGGACTGAGAACCCTAAATATTAGAGGAACCCTTCCCGTGGACTTGAACAGTATTCTCTGTACGTCTTCTATCTGATTTGTCCGCTCTCTGCTGCTAATAAATGCTTTGCTGTATCACAGACAAGGCCCACCTTACACTTGCTGGATTCTATAACAATCAATCCCGTTCAGCCGTAGCTGCAAATCACACTAGGGCAGCAATAGCACTTCGCGAGGGTATTCTAGATCTTTTCTGGGACTCCCCAAAACGCGCGTTTTACGATTTCAACTTGACGTCCAACGCAAGAGGAACGATCCTTTCCGCTGCAAACTTTTACCCGTTGTGGAATGGTATTATACCCGACGAGCTCTTGGCGGACGGAAGTGGCGCGACTGCATTTGGTCTCTTCTCGACTCTGAACTTGGTTCTGAACCGCTACAATGGCACATACCCTGTTACCTTCCTAGAAACCGGGCTTCAATGGTACGTTATCACAAAGTCATTGATTCTGCGCGCATATATTGAATATCACTCATAATTAGGGACGCACCAAACACTTGGCCGCCTCACCAATTCATCATCCTTGAAGCTCTTCGTAATCTGCCCTCCAACATCACTTCTACACCTCTTCCCCCAGCTCCTTCAGGCAACTCCACCTATACCTTGATACCCAGTGGCCAACTTGGCATTCCTGAAGACCAGTTACCCGGCCAACTCATCATTGGTAATTCGAACGCGACGAAGACAGGCAGCGCGGCTGATATCAATACTTTGAATGGGACCGTGTTCAACGGTGGTAACGCTACCGAGGGTCAGGGTTGGGCTGCAGTGCTTCAGAGAGAATTGGCGAATAGGTACTTCGCGAGCGCCCTTTGCTCTTGGTAAGTCTATGAGCGGAACACCTATCCGTCTGCTTTCTGTACTGACGTCTCAATGCTCAGGCACGCGACTGGAGGAGAAATTCCCAATTTGCTTCCTAGGCTCTCTCCAGAAGAGCTCAACGTGACCCTAAGTGTAAATAACACCGGAAATGTGCGTGCACCACGCAACTCGGCTTTTTCATATGGTTTATCTGTTCCTTGATGGTGTTCACAGATGTTTGAAAAGTTTTCCATGTCCGATATCGACTCCGCAGGACGTGGAGGGGAGTACACTGTCCAAGCCGGTTTCGGATGGACGAATGGTGTCGTCCTTTGGATCGCCAGTCTATATGGGGACCAGCTCGTCGCCCCTGTTTGCCCGAATCTCACGGCCGAAGTGGTGACTACGTCTTCGTCAACAAACTCCAACGCTGCCGCAACCTTAGGTTTGCCTTCGGTACTCTCGCTCGTTGGTGTTGTTGTCGTCAGCGTTCTTGGGTTGTTTTTGTAGTTGGAGCGATGGGTTTTGATGACGCTGTTTCATGCAAGGACAGCATTTGCACGCATTCCTGACGATGTGATGTTACGCTATGAGATACCTATCTTGATGTACATATACCCAAATCCTGGTCAATACTGTTGCAATGCATTAAGTGCTTACAAGCTGAGGTATCGCCACCATGCTTACTCCAATGCTGAAACTTGCATGCTGATTTTAGTCTCATGAAACGGAATAGCATGATCAAGCGTCGAATAGTCCCCTTTTATCGCAACCCCAGGAAAGTCTTGTAATGATGTATATTGTGTACGCTGTATCCTAATGCCTATACGGTAACCTAATGCCCATCTGGTGCTATCGGCTAAGTGACACATACTTAGCTTCAGCGTTCCAGACTGATGCATGGGTCCCAACATTATGGTGCATGGAGTGAAGACGATATCACTCAAAGTTGAGAACAGCCACTTCAGGATCTGCACCGATCGTGAACTGGGTGGCCCCAATCAGACGTAGGCTTACCTGCGTACTCTCCTTCCAACAGGGTTGACATCGGCACATATATATAGTCAAAGCTGTTAGGATAATCGTTGTTTACTCACCTCAAGATTGCCAGGATTTGCATTGGCGTGATTCAGAATTAACAGGATCGATGACCAATGATCTACACAATCTTCGTAAGAAAGGCCGCGACAAGTACCATTGGACAGCTTCTGTGACTTGATGAAGCATTGAACTCACCGACGTAATTTACTAAGGATTCCCCATCTAATCGGAAACAGTTTGATTCAAAGGCATCTTGCCAGACAATACAACCATCATCAACACAACTTTCCGACGTAGCAGAAGAAGTTTAGCTACTCAACGTAGAAACCACCATCCTTGCGCTTCACATCCGACAAATATGCTGTAGCATACAGCCAACGGCGGAACTAGACCCGCCGAATTTATCGAAAAGTGCAATATCATTCAAGCCGAACCGTTCGGATCGAAGGGTGGACTACTCACGACAAGAAGAAAACTTCATCCAGTACATCCAATACGCCTCTTGTACGGCCATCGCATCAGTATGTCCAGCATGTCACAGAAATAAGGCATCTTGTATAACTTAGTAGAGATAACAGTCGATGCTACGCAAACGTACCACTCCAAGACATAGCAAGAGATTGTCGTCAGTCTACCATCATTCGCTCAGTGTGTAGGCCTTCGCCGTACGCCATACTCTCGAAGATGACTTGGCGCCACACACTGACGGTAAGTTCCAAGGCTTCCTCTTCTAGGACCTAATGTGAATTGAGGGAGCATGAGCACGCGATCTTGTAGTTCTGATATTACATTGAATAAGGATGACGCACCGGCGCAAGCCCCTCTATTAGCTTCTGAGGACCTTTATGATCTTTCAAATGTTCCAGCACGAACATGACGAGATCATCATCCTCGAGTTCGCCAAGAAAGTTGACCATCAGGCGCTTGACCAATGGCTCAAGTTTCCTGTCAATCATGGTCTGTGCAACATAGTACGAATAAGCGAGTGCCACACAACACAAGGGGAAGGCTTACATCTGTCAGACCATCCCATCGAACCTTGGCCTTGAACAAAGTCTCCTTATCGCGAGGCACAGAAGCTTTGATCTTTTCCAGCCTCTCTTTCGCCTTCTCACCACCTTCAGCAAGATCCAGCTTCGGCATCGGGGCTTTCCTCTTCCTGATGCTTTCCTCCTCCTCTTCCTCCTGACCGAAGACGATGGCAGCCTTGTCCTTCTGCGCACCGTCTTGCTTCGGCGCTGCCGGAGCCAACGAGACAGTCAACTTCACAGGCGCACCATCGTCGAGAAGCATGCCAGCTTTGCGTTGCTCCTCTTGCAAGGCTTGCATCTCATCCATTTGACGAGCGAGGAAGGCTTCAGATTCACGGCGCAAATTGTCAGCCTCCCGATCCTCGTAGAGTCTCGACTCTGCATCGGCGCTCTCTTCTGCTGCAAGGCGCCGGGCACGCATTGCACGCCACCGTGCTCTGCAGAACAAAGAATCAGCAATGAAGGAATTCTAGATGGAGGCACGTACCGATCTGTATAGAATAATTCGTCACTTTCATCATCGTCCCATATTTCCAACCGCGACTTCATCTCTATCCGATCACGATCCTCTGCTTCCCTCATAGCTTTCTCCCGGGCAATAGCACGCTCAAGCCCCGCTATCCGGGCCCGTTCCCGTGGTTCGTATCGTCGTTCTCGCTGTGGGATGATCAGCACTGCTTAACCCATTCCGAAAACCCAGTTTTGAACTTACATCGCGGTATGAGTTCTCCTCATCTCGTCTCCTAGCTTCCTTGCGTTCCTGTTCTAACTCCTCATCTGTCTTCATCTTTCCCGCAGGAGTCCTGTCATCAAGAGGTGGACTCGCGCCTCCCTCTTTCACGAACCCGACAGGTTTACTGTATCCTTGTGCTCCCTTGCCGTAGCCCTTAGGCGCAGGCGAAGCCGCGCCCTGTGGTTTTCCCCATTCCCGTTGCTTAGGACCACTGGGTGCAAGAATATTAGGTACTGCTGCCTGTACGTCACGCATCTTCTCCCTCTCTCGTTTCGCTGCTCGTTCTCGAAATTGCGCAATCTCGGTCATCACGAGTCCTCGTTGTGTCTCCGGAAGATCGGCTTCCTGGAGATCATGAAGATGTGGGGGAATGACATATTTCTCCTTATCGAGAAGACCGCTGTTTGCTGCTTCCTGTGACGTTTTGTTGATGTCTGCTAGAAGCTCCGCCACCCTCTTCTGTGCCTGCGCCAGGGCTTCGTCGTCTTTCTGTGAATACATATTACGTTAGCCACAGAATGAATACGAGAGGAAAGGATGCACGTACATCGGTCTTCATTTTCTGTGCCTGATACGCATCAAGAAAGACCTTTGTCTTTTCATCTGCTTTCACCTGCAAATTCGACGTAGGCGGGAAGTGGATACAACGGAAAGCATATCACGCACCAGAAGCTTCTTGTTCACACAGCCATCTTCAAGAGCTGGTAGTTCAACTCCATTAGCCAATTGCATGGCACGCAAAGCACCATCTGGATCCTGGAATGTGGCGAAGCCAAAGCCTTGTGGCTTATTCGCTGGGGTGATGAGCCGTTTGAATGACTCCATGGGCCCGCAAGCCTGAAAAAAAAAGTCACTAAGTCTCATGGGTAGATGAGATGGCTTGAAAGAACGTACCCCGAGTATTTGGTTCAGAAATGAATCGGTTATACCACCCGATATCGAACCAATAAAGAGAGTGATGTTCTTCGGTTGTGGGGGGACAAATTGTCCATGGTGCATCTGTTGCTGCTGTGCGAGAGCCGAAATTGAGGGACCCTGGCCATAGGATGGCATAGGAGGACGTAGACCAAGTCCTAACCGATTAGGCTGCATCTTGGAATATTTCTCTTCTCTTCAAGATACAGCTGTACAGTTTTCTACTTGAATTCTAACTTCACGTTCACAGTAACTTTGAGGCAAACTTGATGAGATCTGAAGGGTAGAGGAAAGGTATAAAGCAAGTCGAGGATTCGAAGGAAATCGGCGTCTACCATCCAACTTCGAAACTCCAAGCTCCGACAGCGGACATTCAATGTTGTCTGAGTGAGAGGAATATTCATTTCCACGCTTCTCATTTTCGACGCCATTAACTTACTGTGCATGGGGAAGTATCTATGGACCGAAACTGCTCACCTCGTCCGTTTCGTGGAAGAACATATACGAAGGAAATAAAGAAATTAGAAAGGGGATCCTCCGTGAGAAAGTGAATGTTTTCAAAACGGTAGGCTGCAAATCCGTCTCGTTACATCACCGGACCGGGAACAATGATGCTGCGTGGTATAATGTTAGCAAGAGCTATGAATCGTTTTCAATGCTTGACATGTGCATCCGTAGTTTTCGGCAGTCGACTTGTAGATCTGGTGAGTCCATGAAGATGCTGCCTCTGTCTTAACCTAAAGAGGTGTCCTTTGAAAGACCCTCGCATGCAACCGACTCTCACTCAAGCACAACTTTCGAAACCTGTAGCTTGAACATCATGGACATCCTGTTGTATCCCCAAGCCCCTCCATTTCCCCTTCCCACATATCTCAACTCCCTCAGAGTTATTAACCAAGGTATTCTTGCACCTAGTCGATGCATGTCGACATGAGGCAAAAGTCATGGGTTACTATGGTCGTCTACCGTACGATTGGCTTCCAGTCACTCATGTTTGTCGTTTTTGGCACGACGCCGCCCTCGGATGCCCTTCATTATGGGCTTTCATCGATATATCATTCCCTGTCGAGCGGATTAAAATGCTGTTAGGGAGGTCTGGAACAGTCCCACTCAGCGTAAAGCCTGCCTCCAGGCTTGCCCTCAGTTTTCGTTCCCGTGACATGATAGATCAGAGCGTTCTGACACTAGTGCTGCAAGAGGTGCCTCAAATCATGAAGCTGGACGTCATGGTCACGGAATCACTTTCAACCAAGCTTGCGACGGTTCAACAGATCTCTGTGCCTCAGAAACGCCGCTATCAATGGTGAAATTGATACTGATCATTTCGCGCTCGATTTTGACGTTCCCCAGCTTCGTTCCCTCAAAACATTCGGCTTCACGTTCTCGAAAGCAAAAACATTGTTTCGACCCTAATAACGGAAGCTTGTCCTCGATGCGACCGAGTACTCTCCTTTACGTGAAGTGTCAGAATGCATACGAGACTACGCCTTTCTTATCCTCACTAGACCTCCGCGCATTCGACACTCGGGACGATAGCGATACTGGCTATCCAGAGAACTACAAGGCTGTCGATTTGAATCACTTGCAATGGTTGCATATTGACGGCAGTCAATATTATAGTTGCTTCCTTCGTAACCTCGAGGTCGCACCAGGAGCATCGGTGTTCCTTGACATGTCGACTAATTATATGTTTGACTTTGGGCACATCAATACGATGATTTACGGTGCTATATGATTCTGCGGACTACCAAGAGGCGATGTGGTGCCGCCCCCGTCACATATGCTGCGATCCGTGGTTCTCGAATACCGCTTTCTGGACATCTGGCCGGCTCAAAAAGCAACAATAGAGATCCAAGGCTGGGATGTTGCCTTTCCTCATGATATATTTTCACGGGCAGTTGAGGGCCCTGAATCACTTCCTCGGCCGTTTATTCATCTCAAACTCACATGTTCCGTCATAAATGACGACGTGGAAGTGTTAGCTCATTTCTGCCGAAACTTCAATTTTGGGGAGCTCCATGCCTTGATTTTACTCTTCGATGGTCAAAGGGATCTTGACAATGATACCATGGGGCAAGGATTAGCACATATATTCGATCGTCCCAGTGTCGAAACACTGGTCATGCCGGGTTGGAATGCGAAATGGTTGGCTGCGCTGATCACGACGGGTGACTGTGACGTTTCCATCCATTCTCCAGATGACCCGTTGCCTTCTCGAATTCCGCCAATAACCTTTCCATGTCTCAAAACTGTGGTCACCTATGATCTGTATTGGGTTGTTGAGGATATCGGTTCACAACCGCCACGACTTGCCACCGCGCTGAAATATCGAGCTAGGAATAACGTTGGTATAGAGACATGCCTCCGTTGTTGTATAACAAACGTCGATAGGGAGGACCTCGAAGCATTGATGGCAGTTGTTCCTAACTTTATGTGGAATGTACAGGAGGCAACAGACGATGACAGCGATGGGTGGTCCGACGTTGTCGATTCTGTGTCATCGTTACTCGGGCAGGTAGAATAGGCCTGCCGTCTCTTCGAATAGCAGGCTTGAATTCAACCTAACGGACGTTCCATGAAACCTGCTGACTTCTTGAATCTCGAAGCTCCCACTGCGCAGCACATGTTGATGTGCAGTTAGGATGGAAAATATGCAAGATGGTGCGCACAATTTACCACCAGTTCCTAGATGGCGCAGCAATTAGCCAGTCGAGAGCGCGCACAATGTATACACTCACTGACCTCAACGGGCAGCGGTCCTGAGGTAATGATTAGAAAGTTGTTAGACGAAACATGCAAGCAAGTCATGCCGGCACTATTGTATTCGAAGTCGCCGACGCCCAAGAGCTGACTCGTAATGCTGTACCACATTCGGACAAGTCTACCAGGGCTGCGCATTACCCTACCGCCGATTGTACAATGTAACAATGTACATCGGATGGACGAGGACCCTAAGCCCTGAACGGCCTGAACCCTGGGCCCTGCGACGCGTAGACTGTTAGACGCGTTAGCTCTGAGCAATTAGTGTGGTTGCGTATGTTTCATGGGAGCGCCTGAAGATAGAATATATACCGTCATATGGTTCACTTCAAATCCCCGGGTCAAAGCAACCAAACAACCTACTCCAGTCTCCCCATCTCATCCAGCTCGATCTAATATGTCCGACAAAGCTTCTGTCTTCTCAACTACCTCCTCTTCTACTACCGCTACACTGGTCAATAAGGGCCAGAAATCGGACTGTAAGCATCGTGCTACAAATGTCACACTCGTCGCTCACTCGGTGATTAGCTTTCTCGACGCCGGCTCAGAAAAAGAATAGAACGCCGTCCCCGAAGATCGGTGACTCGGCATCCACCTTCGCAAGGGAGTCGCAGAAGCAAGGGTGGAGCTCTTTCACCGCTACCAGACCATCCCTCGGATAATGTGAGCTTCCTCTACTTACTACATCTCCCTGCCAATGCTCACGAGTCCTCAGCGTTCACACGTATTTCAAACCCCTGCATGAATGAGCAAAGAATTGATAGGACTGAACGTCCGGGAACTGAGTCAAGAGCAAATGACATAGAACCAAATATCTGTACATTGTATCCGCACCTAGAACGTTTACATGAAATCCTCTTCCAGTTCCCGTACCGATTTCTTCGGCTGTTCGCCCTCTTCTTCCAGGGACTCTCCAGAGAACAAGGAGTCGTAAGACCTTGCAGCCTTCTCAGCTTCTCGGGCTTTAGCTAGCTCTGCATCTGTCTTTTTCTATCGACCCATGATCAGCAAGCGGTGAAATAAAAAGTTGAGCGTAGATCAAGTAAGTACCTTCGCCGCGGCTACGGCTCGACGAGCTGCGTTCTCTTTCTTGATACGCTCGATACGTTCTTCCTCGTGATCCACTTGACGCTCGACCTTAGTCTTGTTCAGTCTGTTAACGATAGGATTTTCGCGCTTGACAACATATACTGATAGTATGATGAGTATTCCAGGACAAAACCGATGAGGTGAGAAAAAAACCTCGTTTGACCTATACAAATTTTGATTACTATGATCAATAACGAGCGAAATAGAAACAACATACCCGCCTATCATTGTGGAACGACACCTGCCCAACAGCCATATCGCCGGTTTTCTGCACGTAGTTAAGTACGAGGTGTTATTGAAAGCGAATTCAAAAGCGTACCTTGAGGTTATCGGCCGGGGTATAGATGATCGTAAGGTTATCTTTCTTGTTTCCTACGACCTAAAACAGTCACCCATCCACGTTTCATATGACATCAAATGCCACATGCATACCTTCAATCGAGTTGGCCTTCACGAGTTGTGCACAGTCGTTGAGGAGAGGTTCTGGGATGTTTTCCCAGGTCATGCCTTCTGGCATTCGAAGGTACACGTGTGCTGAGGAGAGTTTGTCCACATGGAACCAGATATCTTCAGGGAAAGCATATTTTATGAGGTCTTCATCTGGTTATATACACTAACGCATGAGTTCATCAAAGGGTACATGTCGATCGGATAGAGAATACGTACTCTCGACTTTATCCTTTCCCATGTAGAGGGTTACAGGAGGATCCACAGCTTCGCCACGACAGGTCAGATCATTTGCGATCATAATACAGAGCGCAAGCTACCTTTAGACGTGAAAAAGAGTACCATATCGTTGGTAGATACTTGGGAAGTTGACAGAGCAAGGTTCAGGTGGTCGTGAGCGGTGAAGTTGGATCAAAATGATCGAGCTTCCAAAAGCGGACCTTTCCGTTGTCCATTTTTGGCAACACCTTTAGAATCTAATGCGAACAAACAGAGCCACTTAGTCAGTGTCTCGGATTTTCAATTCTGCCAGTCGTCCCTTCCTCGGTAGACTCATCTTAATGGTCCGCGCACGGAAATTAACTCAGATTTGAATTTGCGTAAGCATTCGCAATTAATTGTCTTTAACGGCAATTGTACCCAATGAATCAAATTTCCTTCTGTCTGAGATAGACTGTAACGGTATTTTCTAAACCTGCTCTTTTCTACGCTGTACGGAATGACGATGGGTAGATCAATGTGCATATAAATAGTTATGGTGCGCATCCTTCACGTTCTGCTGCCAGTCCATAAGCTAGATATGCGGTGAATTTCCCTGCATGGACATACCTCATGATTGTCAAGCTACTTCGTACTCTTGGGATCCTTAGATTTCTCTTCAGACCTTCCGGAGCCATTCTTGGATGATTTGGTCTTGTTCTTCTTCGGAATCTTGACAGGTGTCGTGCCAGAAAACCCCATCGTACTAGCTAACATCCCGAAGGATGCTTCATAGTCCTTTGGTGGGGCTCTCGCTACGATTGTGGCAGCGGATGACGACGACGACGACGACGACGACGACGACGTACTGGACAATGTACCAGACGAAGCCGTCGGGGCCATGGGTGTAGAAGTCTGAGGGTATTTCTGCAATTATGACTGCATCGTCAGGCACAGTATGCCTCGTGAATAAATATTAGACCTTGGGTATCAAAGTGGCTGTCGATGCATTTGTCGTAGTCGAGAGCAACGATATGGTCGAAGATGAAGGAGATGGAGAAGGCGCAGGGTTCGACATGGTTTTGAAACGCTGATTCGTATATGGTTGTGTGATATGGAAACCTAGGGGAACCCTAATACGCGTCGGGGCGATGCAAGATTCGCAGGTACGATAATAGCTCATTATAAGTGACAGACGGCCGTCACATGGGTACTAGAGAATTCGGAGATATACTCGGATCGAGTTCTGTCTTTCGGTACCGCAGCATGGCCTTGTTTGGGGGAAAGAGAGTCGAAAGCAAATGGCAAGGGTGACTTACTAACAATGTGCCTGTCGAGGAACTGCAGCCATTGCGTGTGTCTTACCTTCGATGAGCCTGAGACTGCGTAGCCGCAGTCAAATTGTGAGCTCTAGTCTCGGTATGCTCACAACTCATAGAAGGAGTGTCTTACCATCCATGTGCCACCTAGCTACTGCGGACTCCGCAATAATGTAGAGTTTGAAGCTTGAGGTCGTATTGAACGAATGTACTGTACATTTCTCATGGCAGTTCACTCCGATTGTGCCTTGCATTGACAACAGTGTATCATGTGTACTATCAGTAAAGCATAGCACCAGCTTTTTCTCCCATGAGTCATCTCGTGAGTTGATGTGGCGGCTGCCATTGACTCGAGTCCTTTCCGGGAAACTCGGAGTTGTTGGCAATATGAATGATGATCGAGGATGATCGGTCCGCATTCCCTCTTTCCTATCTCATACCTCACCGTATGTTCAGGCTCCAAGTACTGCGTCGGATTATACTTACTAAATCATTTATCTGAAAAAGCATGTCTCTGCTCGTTGAAGCCGCAGGAAATGCAGACACAAACTTTAGCCATATACCCATTATGTGACTATCCGGATTGCTAGCATCTGACTTAACTCGGCGTCTCTAACTGTTCATGAACTCCTTACAGAGACTTGTCAGATATCTCATCATCCGATGCTTCTCGGCGGAGAGCTCTTGCGGATGCCATCCGCGATGCCTGCATAAACGTTGGCTTCTTGTACAGTACGTCTAAGAGCTTATCGTCCGAAGGTGCCTTATCTTAACGCACTTGAAATAACACCTGAAATGACAGTCAAGAACCATGGCATTCCAGAGAGCCTCCTTGAAGACGCCCTGAATGCATCAAAGGACTTCTTCTCCCAACCAGTCGAGAAGAAGATGGAGATAGACATTCGAAACACTCCTAACTTCAAAGGATACACTGCCCTCCTGAGTAGCAACAATGACCCCGAGAACGCTGGTGATATGCACGAAGGATTCGAATTCGGTTGGGAAGAACTAGAAGCTAAGGCCAGTGATGAAAAGAGAGCAAATGACGGTGCTATGGCTGGAGCGAATGTGTGGCCGAAAGACCTTCCCGGGTTCCGAGAGAACGTCTTAGGATACTAGTATGCATTCTAAGCCCTTCGTATTCAGAAACGCTAACGACAAGCACACAGCTATGCCGCTGTTAATCTCGGAAAGAACCTCTTCCCTCTTTTCGCCCTCGCATTAGATTTACCAGAAGATTTCTTCGACGATAAGGTGAATTTTAAGTTCGAATCCTGGGAAAGCTCTTGATTGATATATGAACATGTACAGACCAAGAACTCAGCAGATATAATGCGTGTTCTGCATTACCCTCCTCAAACAGGACCCGTAGATAACCGAGTAATCGGTATCGGTGCTCATACTGAGTATGTACATTCGTCTGGTATAATCTGCTTTCAACAACAGCTAATGCTTGGTATTCAGTTTCGAGGTACAGCTTACCGTTCACACACAAGAGTAGAGCGTGTTCATGAAATATTCATACTCATCTAGTGCTTTACTATCCTATGGCAAGAACCTGGAATCCAAGCTCTCCAAGTCCTCAATACTCAGAAACAATGGATAGACGCACCTCCTATTCCTGGCACCTTAGTCGTAAAGTGTGTATCTCCTTTTTCCTGTTCCTACATTCATTCAGTCATAATTCCCATGTCATCCTGAAAATAGCATAGGTGATCAATTAGCCAGATGGACAAGTAAGCTTCAATTCTAAATTCATGACTCACCGCGTGCAGTTTGAGTATGTACTGACTCCGAGTCATCGACATTCTGCGCAGATGACGTCTTTAAATCCACTGTTCACCGCGCAGTAAACCGAACGGGCGTGCGCCGGTACTCGATTCCTTTATTCTTTGGTACAGACTATGACGTCAGGCTTGAGGTAGGTCTTCGACTCTGATATGGACACCCGCGGTGTTCACGTTCTTGTTCCCCTTAGCCAATTCTCAGTTGTGTGTCCCCTGAACGACCGCCCAAGTACGAAGTCGTCACCGCAGGAGACTACGTGAAGGAGAGGCTCAAAGCTACTTATGGACACTGATTTCTGGAGAAGTCTGCTCGCATAGAGACTACCAAATGTACACACATAACGAAGAGGAAGACTATTGATACACACATAGCGAGATAGCAAACGTCAAACAAAAGCGAGCACAATACGAGAGGTTCTGAGCCAAGAGAGGAGGGAATATGGTATTTGAAAGGCGGATTTCAGGATGAAGCTGATGTCCCTTCTGGCACATAAGGCGTGACGAGGAGGGGGCACTGGCTGCCTTCTTTGTGTTTACCCACCACGTACGGACGAGTCAGAACGCTAGTTCAGAAAGTCAGCAATACGATAAAGAAACCAATGCATCTGCAACGTACACATTGGCCTTGCCAATCTTATCTTCAGTCGGAGCGAACACAAAATTCGAAAGAAGGATGAAAAGGAAACTCTTCATCTCGATAATGGAGAATCGCATTCCGATGCAAGACTGAAAAAGTCGAAGTTTGAGTCTAATATGTCAGGTGAGGGCTGAGTGCACGTACCCTGGGACCAGCTGAGAATGTCATAAGGTTGGAGTAGATACCGGGCAAAGTAGATACAGCATCGGGAAGATTATCCCATCTGTCGGGGCTATGGTGACAATTAGTCGACAAACACAATAGCACCACAAGAGAAAGTGCAGCTTACACAAACGACCAAGCATTGTCCCCCCAAATCTCCTTGTCCATATTGAATGCTTCAACAGCAACGTGCACAAAGCTCCCTTTCGGTACTGTAACCAGCTCCCACACCTCCTTTATACTTCCATCTGGCATCTTTCTCTTCAAAGGGGAACTAGTAGGGATTACGTCGTCCTTAGTTGCAACACGGATGGAAGAATGCAGAGGAGGGATTAAACGGAGACTCTCGCGGGCAATCTTGTCCAGATAAGGGAGATCTGCGACTATAGTGTAGAGGCGTTCGATTTCTTCTTGCGTTAGGTCGGACAGTGGGGTTGAGGGAAGGATGGCGCGACATTCCGAACGGAGTTTGGTTTGGATATCAGGATGCATGGCAAGAAGGACGAGCGTCCATGTAATAGAGAGGGAGGTTGTATCGGAACCTGCAAACATGAACGTGTTTATGTTGTTGAGGATATCTTCGTCGGAAATACGTTGTGACGGGGGAAGATCCACAGCTTGGTTTGATTTAACTATGCATTAAATTGTATGAGTGAACTGAGAACTTGGAAGGAGAAAATCTTACGAAGCAAGGTGAGTAAGTCGCGGCCTTCGTAGGTGCTTCCCTTCTTTTCTGCTTCTGCAATCTTGCGTTTCTTCTCTTGGATGAGCTGACCTGCGACGCGTTCGATGACTTCACGACATCTCTGTATCGTGCGAGTCGCTTGGTCAGGCTAATGGTGAACTTGGCGTTAGGAATGCCAGTTGAAAATGAACAAATGAGTGACCTACGAAGAGGTAATCGTGGTACGGGACGTAAACGATGAATGCTGATCGCCACCCTCCACTTTGCTGGGAAATACCAATTTCGAACATATCCTTGTAAGCGCGTAAAAGCTCATTGTCGCCGTTTTCAATGGCATTAAATTGATAATCAAACCCTGATAGAAAGGTAAGTATCTCGCTAGTATGGCGATGAAACACGGCTGACCTGCGAAGCCAATGACATCGAACGTTGCGCGACTGATCCAATCGCAAACGTCGAGTTTAGCGCCTCGCGATGGGTCTTCTGTCGCGTTAAGAGTTGACAACCATTTCTCTTTCAACGCAATGCCTTTGCTGAACACGAGCGGCTCAAGAGCACGGAGGTTCTGGATGGAAAACGCAGGCGTAGCGACACGTCTTTGACGTCTATGAACTGGACCCTCTGCAGCCAGCATGCCACATCCAATCAGACTCGTGATTAGTGAGCGGGCTTGCCATGGTTTCTCGTAAATGGCATTGTTCTTCATTACGTGGGTAATTGAAACTGGGTCCAGTGTAAGTAAACGGTCATCCCACTATGCCGATGTCAGCGTGAATATACGCGTCATGATGCTTAAACACGTACAGGTAGTGGACCGCGAATATGAACATTACGTCCATACTCCTTCACGAACCGTTCGTGACTCCTCGGGGAATGCACTGGACTTTTAGAATGTCAACTTTTCTGCAATCATCCCTATGAACCTCACGAGAAGAAATCTCACTCAATAGTCATATTCATATGCGTGTTGTCAAACAATTTAGAGCTCGGTGGTCCGGGTAACTTCCTCAGAGGGTTTGAGCGAGGACCGATCCATATCAAGTGTACCAAGAATCCAATGCATAGTAACCAGAAAGCAACGCCTAGACTGAAGAGCACGGGTAAAGCGTCCGACATTGCTGCGACACAAGGCACAATGTCCAGCACGACCAGCCGACTTATATGCAGCAAGAGTAAAGGCGAGAAGGAGACTCAGCGCGTCGAGGTTAAACGTCTTTTGTTCAACATGACAATAAGAAATCCGAGTCCCACGCCCTTGCCGGCGGATATAACGATTTTATTCAAATTTCTTCTGAATCCATTGTACGTTTGATCTGACCTCGGGCACACTAGCCCTAAGAGCAAACATCGACGAGAGACTGGATACACGACTTGGTGGTATGAGGCAAAAAGAAACTCGTCAAAGCCAGCTGGGTCCAACAAAGTCCAATAAGTACTCTGCCGGCCCGGGACATCGAGCGCCTTTTCCTGCCACTATTCCGCTTCACACCGAACGAAAAGGCTTTCGCTCATACTTTCGTCACCGTGCTGTCCCTGAACTCTTTGCTTTTCAAGCTAACTATAATTGCTTTTAAAGGGTGCTGACTTTAATACGAAGCCTGTGCTTGTTGTAAATTCATTCAATCTTCATAACGGTCGAGCAACATCAACCGCGATGGCCGTTTCGTCCAGCACGAAGCGAATGATAGTAGATGGTCCGCTATTCCGTATTAACACATGAACTTACGTTCCTAATATTCTTCTTTTGGAACAGTTGCGTTATTCATTGCTTCACAAGTGCGTTCTTCTCCAAAACCTCTTGCTATGTGAATGATCCTTTACCTTGATTCGCAAGGCAGCCTTGTATTATACCGTTCGAGTGAGTCGAGTTTATTTATCCATCTATATAACGCTTTATATGGTACATTTCAGTGGGTAATGATGCCAGGGGGAGAGAAGAAAGAGGTGAAGACGAAGAGCCTGAAAGCATTGGAGAAGTTAGGCCACAGGAATTTGAAATTGGACGAATATGAGCGTACGCATCGGGCATTATTTCTCTTCGTTGATGCCTGCTGACTGTTACCATTTTCTACACAGGGCAAATTGCCTCTGAAGTCATTCATCCAGATGACATTGAAGTTGGTTTCGAAGGTGCGCCTGACCACCGAATTGCAGAGCCCCTGCCTGACCTTTTCGCTTTAGATATTGGCGGCCTCGAACCCATCATATCCTCTCTACGAGAGTCCGTCATATATCCTCTCCTCTACCCTCACTTGTTCTCCTCATCCGCACTCCTTGGCGCACCTAAGGGTGTCCTCCTGTTTGGCCCACCAGGGTGTGGTAAGACTATGCTTGCAAAGGCGCTAGCCAAAGAGTCTGGCGCGACCTTCATCAACATCGCAGCATCTGTACTTACCAATAAGTGGTACGGCGAGTCGAATAAGCTCGTAGCGGGGCTGTTCAGTTTGGCGAGGAAAGCGCAGCCGAGTATTGTCTTCATTGACGAGATTGATTCATTCCTGAGGGAGAGGACGAAGGGTGATCATGAGGTGACAGGGATGATGAAGGCCGAGTTCATGACGTATGTGGTAAACATTGTCACTTGGACATGTACTCACTTATCTTCGGTCGCAGGCTATGGGACGGTCTCTTATCGAGTTCCGACCGTATATTGGTTCTTGGCGCAACCAACCGACCAAACGACATAGACTCTGCGATCCTGCGCAGAATGCCAAAACGATTCTCTGTCGGGCTACCCGGAGAAGACCAGAGATTGAAGATTCTCAAATTGGTATGATCTCTTGTACTTCAAGCTCTGCTAACCGCGTCTCAAATACTTGTGAATCATACCAGATGCTCAAAGATACGAAGCTAGCATCGGACTTCTCCATGGACGCTCTCGCGCAACGGACAGAAGGGTTATCTGGATCAGACTTGAAAGAACTCTGCCGAAATGCTGCGATGATCCCTATGAGGGAGTTTATGCGAGAGGCTGGGGAGCACCCAGATATTCTGGCTCGAGCTCAAGATAAGGTGCCGTGTTTCAATGTTGTATCTCGTGGTAAATTTTTCACTGACGAGAGTTTGTCGTCAGGGCTTTGAGTTACGACCATTGACTCTGGACGATTTCTTCCAGACAGATGGGACGAGCACATTACCAGCGCCAGATGCAGATGATTTCTTGTTTGCGAGGTTGCGAGCATGATAGGTCTTACGCTTCTGAGATGTATTTTTGGCTCCCATTTTGTGCGACCGTTAACTTGAAGCTTATTCTCCACTCCGTCTTGACCTTTTCCTTCCAAAAGTTTATTGTGTTTGCTTCTTGTGACCAGCCGCGCTAGAACTCTGGCCCCTACAAATACTAAATCTGTCAGTCGACCTTACTGTAAGTATGCTTATCGCTGGGAAACCTAGCTTCTCGTGGTATCTTTCAGAAGATTACTGACGTCTCGTGATACTGGTCACTTATACAATGATGACTTTCATGCAGAACATGAACACGGATGTGTCAACCGGCGCAGATGTCCCCGGTGTTCCCAAGGAGCCACCGTAACTGATCACCATCCAACAGCATCTGACATGCAACGTCGTCTCTTTCAGGTTCTTGTTGCATTTGATATTTATATCAAGGGTGATGCACACAGCTCGCATTATTCTACCCCCAAGACATGGATAGTTCCTCTCAAGAGACTCTTGAATACTTGCCCCGAGTTGCCCTCGTTACCGGTGCAGCCCGCGGCATAGGTCATGCAATTGCCTTACGTCTTGCTCAGGACGGCATCGATGTTGCCGTCAACGACATTGCCCAGCAAGAAGAACTCCTCAATGGGGTCGTCTCCGAGGTTCAAAGCCTCGGAAGGAAGGCCCTCCCAGTCATTGCTGATGTTTCAGATGAAGACCAGGTCAAAGGCATGATTGCTAAGACTGTTGAAGCACTTGGGAGCTTAGACATCGTGCGGGCTATTTCTTCATACATACCCGGGTCGACACTAATGAAGGTGTCTTTAGATGATTGCGAATGCGGGAATTGTGGGCCCAAGCACGCTGTTAGAACGTTCGTAATTCTCAGTGATAGCTCTACACGTGTGTGGGCAATCTATGACGTACTTCCTTGTAGTAAATGTTGCTGATTTCGACCGAGTCCTGGCGGTGAACACGCGCGGCGCGATGTTGTGCTACAAGTATGCTGGACTTCAGATGGTCAAACAAGCCCGTGGAGGTCGGATCATAGGTATGACATCCAAAATCAATCCGACTAACAGTACATCTAACTTTGATGTGCAGCTGCTTCCTCTGTCGCTGGGAAGAAAGGTCAGCCCTAGCTGACAAATACTGTATTCTCTTCTGAGAAGTAAATTTGATCCAGGTTATGCGCGCCTTAGCGCATATTCCACTTCAAAGTTCGCCATCAGGGGATTAACGCAAAGTTTTGGTAGGTTTCTTGCCTCGCTCTGAATACGTGATAGCCCTCCGACATGACGCCTTGCTCATGTTTTCGTAGCGACGGAGCTGATTCCCCACAAGATCACAGTCAACTGTTACTGTCCAGGCCTGATCAAGACGGCTATGAGTGAGTCTTCATTATTCCTGTCGAACGGGCGTGGTTGAATCTAATATCTTCTTGAGCCGCACACCCACAAGATGCCGAACTTGGGGGCCATGGAGCCTTCACCAAGATGGCGATGGGTCACCCAGTTACCTCCCCCGACGCAGAACCTGACGTGGTTGCAAGTCTGGTATCTTACATTTGTAAACCTGAGGCTCACTTCATAACTGGTGAGCTAATGATTTGTCCTCTTGATTGTCGCTGCAGTCCAGGCTGAGATGTCATTTTACTTGGTAGGCCAATCACTTGTGATATCTGGAGGAACAGTGATGGATTAATCTCATTGTTTTGGCATTGTAGTGGATTCTATTCGTCCTACCTCCATTCAGTAGATTTCTATAGCTTCCCGGGTCGTCCCTCAGACTCAAAGAGCCTGTATGCAAGGCGTTTAGAATAACAGCGATAGCTTGACATCAAGCCCTTATTTAGGGTTACAATTTGAAACTTGGTCATCATTCTCTTTGTTTCTTGGCTTTCGAATTCAAACTAAGTATCGCTTCACCACTCAAACGACCCTGCTAAATTGTAATCGAGTTTAAGACCTGAATCCGAAGAGGATTAAGTCACAGGGAAAACATTTTGGTAAGTTCCAATGTTACGTATCTCGACCATCCAAAACAGGAGTTGAAGCGTCGATCGCACAAGGATTTTCCAGAGAACCGTACGCCAACACTCAAAGTCTCCGTTGAGATATGAGTTTGCGACTCTCTGCACGCTACCTGGGGGCCTCTGCTTTGAATGTGGATGGTGAAATCTCATCGGATTCATCAGATTCAGAAGACGAGAGTGATCTCACTTGGGAGGACTGGATCTCGGATTCCGGAGCAAAGCGTCCTTGCAAATCCCTCTTTGATGACACCACATTTACCTCCGTCGCCGAAGCCCTGGAATACGACAAGGATACTCACGGCTTCGACTTCGAACAAACATGTTCCCGTTTATGTATGTGACTATCTGATTGGCTGTCCCGAGGGTTGTTTGACGATATGGATGTCTTGTAGCTTTGGATTCTTATCGGAGGATACGACTCGTTAACTGGATACGAAAAGAGGCATGTTCGAATCGGTCGCTTTGTCTGTGTTCCATTGTACTGAAGTCATGATATAGAAACCTTCACCGGAGCATGCCAATGCTCTGAAAGGCGACGAGGCCTTCCTATCAGCAGACGAGTATCTCAAACCAACTTTGGAAGATGATCCATTACTCGGTAAGCGTGATTTTGTTTGTGTCTTTCGGTTCCTGACGTAGCAATGCAGAGGTTCCTTCAGAAGATTCGTCAGATGAGGAAGAGATTGAGGTTTGGCCACAGTCGCCTCTCGACCTTGCAGCCGCGAAACGTCAAATCAAGAGACTGAAGCAACAACTTCAGAGGACAAAACAAGATATGATAGAATATCGTGCATTCGTTAGTGAACGGTTGAACTTCACCAGTGTGGCCGAATCCCTGAAAGAGCCTGTGCCATCTTCTTCGATCCATGTCGCTGCACCTTTGCGGGACGATGATTCCCACTACTTTCAAAGCTATGGCGAGAACGGTAAACGTTATCAATATCTAGTAACTTGAGGGAATCTGGCTGATTCTCTTCTACAGATATTCATGCTGTCATGATTCAAGATAAAGTCCGCACAGCGACGTACGCGCAGTTTATCATGACCACACCAGAGCTTTTCCGCGATGCGGTTGTCCTGGATGTGGGTTGTGGTACTGGTATTCTTTCCCTCTTTGCAGCTCGCGCAGGTGCGAAACGTGTCTTTGCGGTGGACGCTAGTGACATTGCGGAGAAGGCCATGCAGATCGTGAAGGCCAATGATCTTGAGAATGTTATCACGTATGAACTATTTCAACCTGCAACTTCGTCGTGCTGACTCTTTTCTGATAGCGTCATTCGAGGCAAAATCGAGGAGGTCACGCTTCCTGACGATGTCACTCATGTCGATGTCATTGTATCCGAATGGATGGGTTATGGGCTGTTGTATGAGTCTATGCTCGACTCGGTTCTGCATGCTCGCGATCGCTTCCTTAACCCCGACGGTGGTGTTCTGGCGCCTAGTCAGTGTAAGATGATGTTCGGTCTGTGTGAAGCGGCTGAGATCTTCAAAGAGCGGGTGGGCTTCTGGAGTGATGTTTATGGTATGTATCTTGTTCTACTTTTGTGCCTTATTTTAAATGTTCCTTCAGGGTTTGATCTGGCCGCTATGGCCGCGGATGTGTATAACGAAGCAATCGTGGATGTCGTCGACAGCATGGCAAGCGAACCTGTTGTTGTGAAGGTTTGTTCCTGACGCTTCATCTGGTGATTTTGCCGATGATACTCACGCTTTCTCTATAGGATCTCTACTTAAAGACCATCGCTCCCAAGCAATTGGACTTCTCGAGCTCATTCACTTTGGTCTCTACCACCGAGCGAAAGACCAATATCCACGCTTTCGTACTGTACTTTGATACGTTCTTCACGGCGTCAGGAGAGCCCATACCCGAGGATTCGCAAGTACACTTCGTGAAGGAAGGGGACCCTATCCTGGCCGAAGTATGGCAAGTCGGTGGCAAACCGCACATATCACGACGTATGAGCTCTGGCGGCCCCTTGAAGAAACCCAAGCCGAAGACTACTAGCTTCAGCACGGGTCCATTGTCTGTTCCCACGCATTGGAAACAAACCTTGTTCTTGCTCCGGGATCCTATTATTGTTCACGAAGGTGAGTTGACACATCTTGTCTATTATGTATTCGGCGATCTCATTTTTTTTTTTGCTAGGTACCATCGTCCAAGGAACGTTCATTTGCAAGAAGTCGGATGACAATTCCCGCGAGTTGGATGTTGAGATTCACTACACTGTCAAATATGAAGGCGAAGAGCCAAGCGAAGCCATTGTACAAGTATTTAAGGTACGGTAGCGCGACCACGTGGTGGGGGGAAGGTAGAATGTCTGTCATATGTATCGATAAATCTGTTAACGATATATATCCATAATGTAGCTCTCTGACGTAGAGTATGATATCCTCTGTAAGGCCTTCTTTGATATTTCATGGACTAACGGACGATAGAAGTTTTGTTACCATGAGTATATGTTTTACAACGTGTTATCGCTGAGCGCTGAGTGTCTGAGTGTGAATTTATTCATATCGAGCTCGTTCTTCAAGTTCTCGAACTTCGCACGAATACTCAAGCTTCAAGGCCGGGTTCCCATCCACATCTGGCTCTCGGGGCCCTTGTTCTAAAGTACTCAGACTGTTCGTGGGCATTCAGAGACTTCATATCGAATGATTTCCATTGGGTCGGATGTTGTCCCGACGCCCATGTGGTGGAATCGTTCCCGTCAAGAGAGAACTCTCAGGGAAAGGTTCTCGTGGATGTATTTCGTGCATTTTCTAATGAAGGCCACACGACCGTCGGGGTGCAAGAGGAAATGATGCTACGGTACGTCAAGCTTGCGCTGATGGACTAAGGAGTTACCGTTGTTCGTGAGAGGTTGGTGGGTCACATCACTACCTATGCTGAAACTTACCATTGAGTTTGTCTAATGCCGTTACCCTCACCGTATGTATAAGGTCTGTTCAGTTTCTCCGGCTTCCCATGCTTGATGTGTTCATGCTTGTACTCTGCAGTGGCATGTGCAAGATAAGCGTTTTCCGTTTACATAGATAGCACAAGCGACCGGGCAAGGTCCTAGATGTTATTCTTGGATACACAACTTTGTTCAGGCCCAATCCTATGGTATAAAAGTTGAAGTATCACTTAGGCTATGCTAGGTTGATAGCGGTCCCAACATATCAGTCCTTCGTCTCCTTTGGCTATCGAGATGCGTTCTTGGGGTCTCATCTCCGTTTTGTCTTGGACTATTGCTGTAACCTTTGCCTTGCCTTCCCGTCGATTCAACCATGTCATTCACGAGAGACGCGCGGTTGAACCGGTAGACTGGGTCAGGACTCGTAAGTTGGAGGCGGACAAAGTACTGCCTATGCGCTTCGGCTTGACACAACAGAATCTCCATCGTGTTGAGGAGATGCTTATGGCTGTGTCTCATCCTAACTCGGTCGACTATGGAAAACACTTATCTGCGGTTGATGTGGTCAATGCATTTGCTCCTAGCGTTGAGACTATTGCTGCCGTTACTGAATGGCTTACCGAAGCCGGCCTTCACAAGGACCGCTTGCGTCTCTCGGCTAGCAAAGGATGGATCGAAGTCAATGCTACAACTGAAGAGGTCGAGCAACTTCTCGACACTGAGTATCATGTCTATACTCACTCCTCCGGTGTCGAGCAAATCAGTATGCTGTTCGCTGTCTCCCGCACAGGAGGAACCTCACATCACTTTTAGGCTGCCACTCTTACTCTGTACCGGAACATGTTAAGGCACACGTCGACATCATCAAACCGACGGCTCACTTCAACCATCGCGTCCCTTCCGACCCGTCTCGTAAACGTTCATTCGAGCGAATCGGCATGCCGTCCGCAAACACTGGACCGAAGACAAACGGAAAGAAGGTCGCCATTACGCCGTCACTTGAGAACTGTGATCAAATGATAACTCCCGACTGCCTTCGAGCTCTCTATTCCATTGACGTCACGCCGGTGGCCACTGACCAGAATTCATTCGGAATAGGTGCGACGCCGATAATTGTCGCGATCGTTTTTCTAATAATGCTGCAGTTGAGTTCACACCTCAAGCTTTCCTCGCTGGAGATCTGGATCTGTTCTTTGGGTATATTAGATATACCAATCTCATAAGATCATGAACTCACTTTGCTTCGTAGAAATTTCTCACCGAGTCAGGTCGGGACGAGACCCACATTAGTGTCTATCGATGGAGGTTCGGAGGTTTTAAGTTTTCGGTGGTAGTCATCTTCTGATATTTTTTTCTCAGGTGTCGTACAAACTACCCAGCAAAGTTTCGATTTCAATGGCGAAAGTGACCTAGATCTCGAGTATGCTTTCGCCCTTACAAATCCTCAGCCGATCACTCTCCTGCAGACCGGTGATCTATTCGAAGGTAATCTCCTCATACGACATCGTAAAGAAGAGGGAATTTATGTAAATATATCATAGGTGCCTCGTTTGATAATTGGCTTGACGCCGTTGACGGGTCTTTCTGTACCTTTGAAGGCGGCGACAACCCCGAATTTGTATGTTGTATTATATTTCAAGCTGATTTTTTCACTTCATTTTTGGGCTTAGGACGGCATTTATCCTGACCCTGCTCGCGGTGGATTCCCTGGTAAGTCACTCATTTTTGGGGTTAACTTTGTAATGCATGATCTGACACAACGCAAAGGTCTCCCTTCTTGTGGCATCATTTCGCCTCCGTTCGTTATCTCGGTCTCTTACGGACAAGATGAAGGTTCCTTAACACCAGCGTATGCCCAACGTCAATGCGCCGAGTACGCCAAGCTCGGAATGATGGGTACGACAATTCTATATAGCTCTGGAGACGACGGTGTAGCCGGCAATGGAGGAATCTGCTTGAATGCTCAAGGTACTTTCTCACAGGACCATGTAGATTTATCCTAATGTGATTTATTCTGCAGGTCAACCATCGCGTACTGGCACACGCTTCAGTCCCGACTTCCCCGTCACCTGTGGATTCCTCACGGCCGTCGGTGCAACTCAGGTCAACCCAGGCTCTACGGTCAACGATCCAGAGGGCGCATGCGAGCAAGTCATCTTCAGCGGCGGAGGCTTCAGCAATTTCTTCGAGATGCCGGATTACCAGGCAGACGCTGTTACAGGTTTTCTCACTAATCACCCTCCTCCTTTCACTTCTGCACAGTTCAACAACAGCGGAAATGTGAGTTTCGTGTGCACCTCTGAAACATTTCTAATTGGCTTATATTGCTATAGGCTCGTGGTTTCCCTGATCTTTCCGCCAATGGGTTCGTTGTCCACCTTGAATGGCTGAGATGAAAACTTGCTGATTTTACGTTTTCAGAGCAAACTATGTGATCGGCATGTACTCTTCCCTTGAGATAACCAATGTCCAATAACGAGATATACAGGCATCAATGGCGAGTTTGGCCTCGTCTTCGGCACATCTGCCTCAGCACCCGTTGTTGGATCAATGATCACTCTTATCAACGACGCTCGTCTTGCTGCCGGGAAGGGTCCAGTTGGTGAGTCTGCGACTCATTAAATCTTGTGGGCCAGTTCACTGACCCTGCATCGTAGGATTCATTAATCCTGCAGTAAGCCTCTCATCAAGATGACTGACCTTATGATATTGAATTTCCTTGATAGATTTACTCCGCCGACTTCGCGGACGCATTCAATGATATTACAATGGGCGGAAATCGGGGTTGTGGCACTGCTGGATTCACTTCGTAAGTACATTCAGGTGCTATCCCATGGTCCTTGCTCAAAAATACACTCAGCACCGAAGGCTGGGATCCTGTTACGGGCGTTGGCACACCCAACTTGTCGAAGCTTCTGCCGAAATTCCTAGCTTTACCTTGATTCACTTTGGGCATGTTGACTGGGTTATCTACATGGGTCTTTCATTTTCTTCTCGATAGATCTCGCACGCGGTACTGCAAAGATTTCAATACAAACACACAAGGGCGAAATGGAATTTCTTGCTACGAAATTGGCCGTGCCAATAAACTGTTTCCGATGCTGACACCGCGCGAAACGCTTTCGACGAATACTCCTGAATAAAGCAACCCTTCCGTAGTCCCCTCTTGGATTCCATGATGGACGACATCTCCCCGGTCGGCAGGTCTGTCCGCCGGATTCACGAGCGGAAGCTGAGGAAGATGCCAAGCAAAATCAGACTCGATGGCTAACTGTCCTCTTACCTTCAAAACGCCGAAGTGGAAGTCCCCTTGGTCAGATGCGCCACTAGCAACAGAAAGGTTGGGTACAAGTCGTGTTACTGGTCGAAGAGGTGATGCATCCTTTGAATAGAACACCGCTAGAGTCTTATTCGTCCAATCAACTTGGATTGCGAAGTGATGCCACGAGCCAGATGTGAAAGGAGCCGTGAAGAGGACATTCAAGTCGTGGTCAAGGACTTTGAATGAATGTGCGTTCTTGGCAGGAAGTTTGCCTGTAGGGTTCGTGAACGGAGACCCTGAATCCAGCGTTAAATCAATCATGAGCGATTTTTATGGAGAGTACAGTTTGGCATACCAAGTTGGATCCCAAAGACATGCGTCCCTTCGCTAGGCTCAATGAAGACAATCTGATACTCATGACTATAATTCAAAGGTCTTCTTTCATCTTTCTTGATAGAGAAGTGGAACACTGTAGTCCCACTTTCCAAGACAGGGTTCAAATCGTCATGATCGCCATTCACGGCTGCGATAAACTCTGTACGCCGAAAACCAAGCTGTGGTGGACCAGAACCCGGTATGAACACGGAAGTGTTGTCGATAGATACCGAGATGACTTGCTCTGCGGGTATGAGTAAGACTTTGTTCCAGAGGGGAGTAGGATGCAAGGCATGTCCATGCAGGTTCGAGTACTAGAGATAGGCTGCTGTGAGTTCGTAAAGGCCGCAGAATGATGGAGGATAACTTACATGACTCGCATTTTCTGTGCTCCCCTTTACAACTCTGTTCATCATGAATGATACTGTACCCGAAAGAAGAGGCGTATAGATACTACTCACGTCAGGTACGGACCCGTCGATGAATCTAAGTCCGGGCTAGTCAAGTTGAATGGTGCACGACCGTCCCACAATATGGGCGTTGACGCTCCCAACGAACATAATGCTAGAAAGACATACACAATTAGTAGAATCATGGTGGGGTGGTCTCCCGGACCTGAACATGATGCTAGCTCTCTGGCGTAGATTTATGAGGGGGAAATCAAGGACATTTCTCGGCATATGTATCGAGAGGCTTGCTGTGCGCCTGTAGCAGTCAGATGATCGCGACAGGGCTCACGCAGAACGAGAGGAGGTGCCATCGAACGTAACTAGAGAAAGGGTGTCTCGGAGAATTGTATTGGTGGGATCCGAACGTGTAATGATGCGACCTTCTATACTGGATGCATTCTGTCGTCTGTTGTCTGAATTCAAGATACACTCAGTGACCTCAGTCCACAAGCACGATAGAATCCAAGACAGAGAACCCAGCTGCAACACCACCCTCGTTACTCTCCTTCCCTTTCGTCCTAACCAACCACCCCGCCTCTTTCTCTTTCACAACCTTTCTTTCTCCATCCTTTTCTCCGAACAGAGCCCACCCAAAGATCCCCAACTCACTCACCACCTCCGTCTTCACCGCACCTTCCAGCCCCGTTCCACCGCCTCCCGCTCTCACCAGATAATTCCCCAGACCTTCGGGCGTCTTGATCAATTTCATTGCGATCCATGCTTCTCGTTCAGCCTCAGGTAGGGTATCGAGGAACGCGGGAATAGATTCTTTGTAGACGTTGTTTCCACCGCCCTCACGTTGAGGTTTCAAGACCAATTCTAAAGCCTTGTCTCTTGCCTTTTGGACACCAGAGTCACCGTTTTCATCCAAAGACCACATCTCCATCCACGTCTCGCGGATGGCTGTCAAATCATGGGGCTTGTGCTCGTCCTCAGGCAAGAACGACTCCAAAACACCAGATTTAGTGAGGATCTCTTGGACTTTCTTCCCTCCAGCAAGTTGTAATGGGATAGAAGGGCACTTGATCGCTCGCGAACTTTCAAGGAGGTATCGGATATCATAATGTGCGAGCGTTGGGTAGTCTGTCGGCGTGTAACCTGCGCGAAAGTAGATTGTAGAAATCTCTATTGATGCGGAATTAGAGGTGGAAGAAGAGGGCGAAGAAAAGAGGCTAGGGTCGAGTGTAATTCGCAACGCTTTTGTGGTTGCCTCTATGTGGGCGGATGCGGAGAGTTCGTCGAAGGTCTGTCTGATGACATGAATAGAATGTCTACAGATAAAGTCAATTCAAGCCCAGTCTAAGAAATACGGTGCAGAAGGCGATCAGTGAGCTCACCTCTCAAGTAGTTCATACTCTAACCATCGTTGGTCGAAGACGTTTCGTTCTCCAGGTTGTACTACGAACAGAATGCGAGTGCTGTATATGGGGTGTTAGAGGATCCAAAGGCCGCGCTATATCGAAGGTGTTACACTGACTCTGGGATGTTATACGCTCGATGAGCTTCAGCCAGGCCTTCGACTAGGCCTGAAATTGTAGTATTTGGCGGGAATTTATCTGCCGTTAGGTGTGCTGATGCGCCATAATATCCCGTCGAGGCATGCAAGTACCTAGGGCGTTGCAATTAGTATAAGAAAATCGTGGAAGTCATATATTAACGATCAGACCTATGTAGTTGAGAACTCCGCTCTGAAAGTGGGCCAAAAGAGGATGAAATCGTGTTAAATTCGACTTGCTTCAAATTCGCGGGTTCGTCCTTCCTAGGAACATGAACCATGTAGTCCGATCTGAATAATCCTAGTTGAAGAGACTAAATGGTATCCAGGTTCCACATTCTGATTGGCATAATCACAACCGAATCTCACCTGAACAACCCCACCCTCATCCCTCAACCTTTTCCACCGCTTCCAAAGTTCACCTGTGAACTCGTCTACTTTGCCCACGCCGTTCACGCCCATCACACGATCGAGGAAGACTTCGTCCATCGCGATGCGAGCATAGAGTTTATTGTATAGACTTTGTAAGTTTCGTGCCTGGTTAAAAAGTCGACGAGGTACTGGGGAAGGAAAAAGAGATAAGGGAGCGTGAATCGTTGAGGTGGGGGTTGGAGGTTGTACGGAGGCTACGGGAAGGTAAACGAGCCCATGAGAGAGTGCATAGGTTGTTGCTAAGAGGGTTAAAGAGTGGACTTGAGCTTCAGTGAGTTGAGGAGGCCATTCCGGAAGGCTTTCCTTTGCCATTGGCTTCAGTTGTTACAGTGGTTCGTCAAAGTGCGGAGGAGAGCAAAGCTTGCAACAATCGTCTGCAGATCCTGATTTAATGGAGATGGTCTCTTAAACCTTTGCCAGCAGTTTGCCAGAACAGATTCTCAAGCAAAGTCCTTAGATAAAGCCTACGCATTGAAAATAATGTTATTTGATACCACTGAAGATGTACGTAGCAATGCGAGATCCTTACCGATACTCTTCGTTGGCGATTCACTCAAGAAAATCGAATGGTGGGCTTCGGTAGTGATAAACTTCAAATCAATAATTTACTATCAATGTGCCAAGAGTTCGTGTTTATGGGCGATTATGATGTAATCGACCATGAATGGATAGATCTCCTTCGTTGATTATCTTTCTTTCTCTTCAATTGATCGAGAACGGTACCAAAGAATTTGAGAATTGTATTCAATATTGCCTAAAGTTTCCATGATAATGTGCAAGAAATGATACATAACGATATTATACAACTCCTTCGATTCTTGAAAGTTCATAGATACACCACCGTTAAACCATTCAAATATTCATGGGCCAAAGAACGCCTACAATTGTGCAGCCTACATCTTAGAGCTTGGTTAATAACTCCTGGTGCAACTTCTTGAGCTCATCCATGTTGACCTTCTGTGTCGGCCAACCGATGACAAGACCAACATCATGGGAAGCACGAGGCTTGGGAATAACGTGGAAGTGGACGTGGTCTACCTCCTGATGAGCTATACGACCATTGTTCTAAGTGATTTGAGTCAATGATTATCACATATTTACAGGTGACTGGCTGATTACCTGCAGGATATTGTAGTTCTCGACGCCCAGTGCGAGCGCAATCTTCTTGGCGATTGGAAGAACGTCTGCGAGGTAGTCATCTGAAAGTTCATGCATCTTCGCAACATGGTCTAAAAGATGCGACAAAATCAGGTATGTTCAGAACATGTAAGATCACATTGTGATAGATTTGAAACTGACCTTTGGGAATGACGAGAGCGTGCCCCTTCGACAGGGGTCCGATATCGAGGAACGAGTAAGAGAACTCTGTCTCGATGAGCTTTAAGCTCGGAATGTCTCCTATTAGGAGGTTATGTTATCGTTGAACATCAAATGCCAACATATGGTAGTCGGACGGGACGGATGCGGACCTTTGATGATCTTGCAGAAGATGCAACTCCCAAGGGTTCTGTCAATTTTCGTATTAGCTTAGCAAAGAGAAGGTCCAGTAGAATATAATTGCCTAGCAGCCATGATTTATGTAACCTTGTGTCTACAGCAAAGTAGTTGGAGATCGAGCTTTGGGGATGAGACTTCGCAATACAGTGCGTGCCGGGAGATCGCGATCATACCGATCATTATGCTGACTATATCACGTTTACACACTCGTGTTGTGCCTTCGCCAGCATTCTTCTATGCACGTTTACCTCTTCGTAAGACGACGCACCGGGGATACGGTACTATACTTGAATTGAACAGGATGAATGATCGTCCTGGAACCCAGGAACCTCCAGGTAGCCTCTACGCATTCTCTGACATAACACACCGTCTCTGCAGGGTCTCGTGCATTCGCATTTGCAAGATCAGATTCTGGGTTGCCGCCGCAAAGGGTGATTTGGCATTCTGCGCGGTGTTGAGCTTGGAATTGAGGGAGACTCAATATTTGTACGACATCCAGGTGAGCGGCAGTTGGGCTTGCATACAAGGTTTTAGAAGTTCAGACGCCACGTTGTTCATATATATAAGTCGTATCCCCAGCGACTACAGGTAAGCTAACCTTGCCTGAAACCTTGATCATATCTTGCGTAGTAATACAGAATGTACCAAAGACGCGGCCGAGGATCTGGTAACAGTCGTGGTAGAGGTCGCGGTATCGTTACTGTATCTGATCCCTCCATTGAGCAACCGGTGCCCCGTGACATCGATGAAGGATTGCTTCCTGGTGTATTGCGTACGCTGTCGAGACCAAGAGATGTCTTCAATCGCGAGGTTTCCATCACGAACTTGGAGTATCTTGGGTCATATAATTGGGTCGATGAAGCTCACCCAACCATTATAGTTCCAGGTAAGCAAAGGCCCAGGGGAGCAGTGCCTGGTATATTGAACCGTCTATTCAGGATCGCCACCTATCTGGAAACATAGACCTCTTCCATACCAAGTGCAAGCTGACCGAGGAATCGCTTTCATCGACCAGAACGGATATCGTCTACCATCCTCTTGTCTTTTGCCACTGTTCAAAGCCGTGGACGTGGTGGCAGAAGACAACGCGGATGTTGATATCGATTGGCCATCGGTAGACTTTGTGACCGATCGTAATGGTTTGCGAAAGCTCATGAGGTGGCTCGACGATACAGGAGATGGTGATCGTCCTCGAGAGTTTCGCATCGATCTCCAGCTGGGAGGGAAAGGTACCGTATTGATGAGTAGGTGGCAGGAGAAGACTTGGGAGCCTGCTGGCTTCTCCTTTGGGTTCAGCTTCGAGAAGGCGAGCACCAAGGCTGCTGCACGGTGCGAGAGGAGCACCGGTCATCACCGTATTGTGCAATATGTGAGTATTGCTTCAACAAACAGAACAGTGAATTCACCGGAACGACATGGGACAGGATTTCGACGGACTGAAGATGGTGGTCCGCTTTGAAGTCGACGCATGCATCGAGACCTTGGCTCCTCATCCTTCCTCCCGCACAGGCGACGTCGATGACTTGGCGAGCCAACTATCAGGCTTGTCAGTATCATCGACATCGTCTCGTGCAGCCGCGAACACGTCCTCTACATCGGATGTTGATATTCTGCGTGGGGGAAGGCAAGTCCCGCAGAGCAGTATCATTGAGTTGACCACACGCTCCGAGAGGAATGCGGCAACTTTTGACTGGAAGGAACAATATCCTCAACTCTATTTATCACAAACGATTCACCATTTCCTGGCGATCCATCAGAGAGGGTATTTCACTCGCATCGAGAAGCGCAAGTTAAGCGACAACCAAATGAATGACATCCATGCAAGGGCTGAAGAGAGCTTCAAGAAGCTTCGAGCATTACTAGGCACGATACAGGACCTTGTCATTGGACATGGACAGAGAGGGAGATTGAGCCTTCTGTGTCAGAATGGTGAGCTGCAGGTTCGGGAGAGGGAAAGTCAAGACAGTTTCCTACCTGATGAGGTAATGAAACGATTTGATTTCTGATTCGGATATTGCAAACGAACAAATGATTTGTTTTCTATGGGCTTCCGAAGAGTTTATCTGATGACCGGGAAGGTCACCACGGTACTGTGCATCCTGGTAACAATTGTATCGTACTAAAGTTGCTTGTGTCTCCAAATTTTGATCAAAGCATGGGTGGTGTGTGCTGGCTTCTGTGGCGGCGATTAAACCAAGTGAGGCTAGTCCAGGTGCAGCATATGGCGCTATCTTTGGTGCTGCAATATCCTCTTTTGCATACCTTTGGAACACCTGATCAGCCGTGGGTCACATAAAGCATCAAATACCTGAGTGAGAGGACCTACTCTTGCCCCGTCGATACTCTGCCCACAACGATGGCAGGACGTATTCATGCAGTACCAATAAGCCCAGGGGTAACAGCGCCCTTTGCGCCACGACACATTCTTGAGGGGTTGCGCGAGGGTTCTCTGTTTCCTCTGGGCAAACCATGTGACCTTCCGAAATACGATGGTGAAGTGACGATAAGAGACGTCGTGTACGTCGCATCATACAACTGGGTGGACGCAGCCCATCCGACAATCGTCGTTCCAGGTGAGCAGAACATTCGTTTGATCACTGTCTTACTGCTTGAGACTTGAAGATCTTCAGGATCACCACGTCTGTGGGTGGAGAGACCCCTCCCATTTCTGGTGCAGCCAGACTATTATAGCAGCCAGATCCACGTGGACCAGCATGCATATCGAATGCCTCAAAATCCCATGCTGCCCATGTTTCGAGCTGCAGACATAATGATGGCCTTAGAGCCGGGAAATAGTACGATCGATTGGTCATCTGTAGACATCGTGACCGACCGAAACAGCCTTCGAAAGCTTTTGAGGTGGATAGATTTCGTTGAAACCGGAGCTTACTGGAAGCGTCCTCCTTGGGACTTCCGCATCGACACCCAGCTAGTAGGCCAGAAAACTATAATACTGCAACGATGGCAAGAGTCAGCGTTCCAAACTGTTGACTGGGGGTCGTACGGTGAGACATACGAGACAGCAGCGACAAGGTCGGCGGAGGGATTTAAAGGAAGTTTGGGGCATCATCGCATCATCAAATATGTTAGTACATGATTTGCTGGCTCCGGAAAGCGAAATACTAAAATGTTTAGGACTTCGACGGTCTCATTATGGTCGTTCGATATGAGTGCGATGCGGCGAAAGAAGACAGTCAAAGCGCATGGAACATGGATGATGACGATTTGTCCGGAATATTGTCGGCTCTGTCGGTGTCCGCGCGCACACTTATGAAGTCAGAAGATATCAAAGTACTTCGCGGAGGTGAAGTTATTGCTCAGGACGCAATTGTCGAACTGAAGACCCATAAAGAAGGAGGACGAATAAATTGGAAGAAGACGTATCCACAACTCTTTCTATCCCAAACATCGCATTGCCACGTTGCAACTCATTCAGACGGCTTGTTTCATAACGTCACGAAGCACGAATCTGGAGATGCCTGCATGACTACTTATGCCGGGACGAATGAGGCGAGATTACGGCAACTCAGACGAGTCCTTGAGCATACCAGAGAAATAGTAGTCGAAGAGGATGTAGCGGCGAGGCTTAGCTTGGTTTGCCAGAATGGTTGGTTGGATGTTCGACAAAGGATCAAAGAGGATGACTTGCTTCCGAAGGACGTATTAGCACGATTCGTGGTTTAGTGGCCGGCTTATGAATAGCGCCGGCATGATTGTACGATAGGAGAAAGTGTATATGATTCGACGGTGATGCAAATTTGACACTGACGTTCTTGAAAGCCTGCCAGACGCCGAGAGACTAAACAACTTTGAATGAGAATGAGACCGTTCCGAAAACAAGTGATCTTGCCACATACCTCCCGTTCAGTTTATTCCGTTCAAGGAAGTATGAACAATCGCATTCATATACATCAACAAGCATATCGAATATCTCAAACCCCGCCGCCTATATTTTCATCGCATCACAGCCGTGTGATTATATGTCGATTGGCCAATTGTAGGCACCATGGTGACCAACCGAAGTGGCCTGCGAGGGTTCTTCAGGTGAATAAATGTCATTAGCGGTAGGACTTGTCTGTTCTGAGTCTTGAATGATTGAGTCTACTCATGCAATCTTGCCCAGACCTCAAAATGCCGTCATTTCCTAGGCAATGCATATTAGTGGGGACTAAAAATGTGAGGGATGACGGTGAAAAACTTACAATAGGAACTGTCTGCCTCCAACACTCGATAGCCTCATCACGCGCTCTCCGCACCGCAGGTGCAGCTGCAGCTTGCCAGAACTCCCAGACACGATCCCAAGGATCGAGATCATCCGTCTGTTTCGGGGTCTGCGTACTATCTCTGAGGCCAAGGTCACCTAAGATATCACGCTGTTCGTTTGATTCATAGTGCGCAGAATCTGACTCAAAAGGCAAGGGGTTGTAGTAGCGTTCGGTCGACTTGTGTTTCTGCAGGTGTTCGCCCGAGGACCAGCGCTGTAAACTTGCCACACCATAGGCGAAGTCCCAAAGAACCGGTCGAGGCCAATTGGAGGTGTCAGCGGGTATTCTAAGATATGAACCATGGCAACAACGTTGCGATCTATGAAGCTCGTAAAATGTGGGCAATATCGCGGGGTCCATGAAATGGACTTGTATTCGATCTTGCGTGTGAAATACAGGGAGGATGACATCTGGTGCGTCGGGATCTCGGAGGTCCTCCGAAGTCATGGCAAAGTTGGGTACCTTGGAGAGCAGTTCAGAGGATGAGCAGAAAAACATAGGGAGACATACCTGGAGGAAGGCCAGATCAGGTGTTTTAAGACGCGTGTGCAGAAATTGGACAAGACTGATTATATTACGTGCATCATCGATACTATCCAACCTATCCATTGAGGGTATACCCGCCCAATCGCCCTGGGATTGCCCGAGTCGAATAGTTAGCAGGTTTTGGATGTACTGGCAGATGCTCTTAATCACAGAGTTACTTGAAATGCTAATAGGTTAGCACACGTACCGGATCACCTTTAGAATGTGGGATAAGATGGGCCTGAACGACCTCATCCCCTCCCATGCCTGTTGCAATGCAAAGACCATCGTCACGCAGAGTAACGTCATCCCTGCGCGGACTTCTGTGTCCTGATCCGTAGGAGGTCCTGTCATTCATGCCTTTAGGGCCTATAATTCTGCCCTCGTCTTCTGAAAGTTAAGCACGTAAGAACGTCACAACGAAAAGTGTTACCCCACCGCTTGCGACGTAGTAGTAGTTACCGCTCAGGTTTTCTGTCGCGTCGTAATCTTCCTCAGAGCCATTTGCTGAGGAGGATAGGTGGCCTCTTACTCCAAAAATGCAATACGCAACGAACCGCAGCCACTTGAGTGGTGTTTTGCTGAACCGGGTCAGCTCGTGATGAGGAATGCGGAGGACTTCAAACCACTCTGAGCCAGCCTGAAAGGTCATATGGAGATGAACACTGTCGGAAGAAGGCATAGTGTATACTCAGTGTATGGCCATACGCTGAGTAACGGTGCAGATCTCTAGAGTACGTTGAACGTTGAATGTTATTAAAATCTGGAAGTGACGTCACTGTGGCCGATCTAGCTTCTTATGGAATATCGATGACCGCGTTATACCTGTTAAACTGCAGTACGTGTAGAATATGAGTGCGGAGGCGTTTACAAGTTAGAGGCGAAACACCACAAAGTCTTCGCCGAGACCGTCTACACGTGCATTTCAGAATCAAACCTGTCTAACGAGGCTATGCTGCTCTGGTTCACCGGAGCTCGCGGGTCAGTTTGAGAGACTCGGATTCTTCAAGTTTGTGAACTTGGAAAGATACGACGTGGCTCGGACGATCATTGTTGTGCGTCGGTTTATATGAAGATATGACGCGAGTACGTAGGCTGGATACTAGAAAATATTATATGAGCAATGGACTGAAGATGGCGCGTGTTTCGGGGATGTGTTTCGATGCCTAAGTGAATATTTTACAGATGGAGGAGGATTTCTGAGACAATCATCCATAATAGAGCTATAAGTACAACGGCAGGCAAACGCCGATGGCTCGGTATCAAAAATGTATGTACCTGCGGACTACCTCACTAGCAGGCCCACGGATCTCTAATGACGCCGCGGGGTAGCCATTCGAACAAGGGCTCCAAAAGATCATCGTGCTCAATTTCAAACCTTTCAAGACTCATGTTTGACTTGCGAGCCCTGTCAAAGTCCACGAGACGCCACCGATATTGGCCAGCTTTGCCGGACTCCGCGTTGGGCACCCGTAATATGTTGGCGTACCGAATATCCGGTTGCCAAACTCCAAGGCGTGCTAGCTCTTTAAACATCTCTTTAATCTCCTTGCTAATCAAACAATCAGCGACAGATTCGTTTCAACTGCCGAGAATGATACTCACATGATCTTGTCATCTAGTTTCCGCCCGACAGGTAAGAACTCTTCGCTAACGTATTCCAAAACGAGAACGGTCAAGAAACGGGGGAAGTCAGAATGATCCTCTTCATCGGAGTCATTGGCATCGTTACCCCCCCAAATTTTCTCCATCTTCCAATACCGAAACATAACCCCAGGTTCGAGTGTTGTCTGGAAGAGACCATAGTAACGAGGTATCACTCTCCCTTGTAGCGATTCCATCTCCTCATAGTAGAATGCTTCTCGAGATACCCTGTAGTACGTCGTCGGACGACAGACCTTGACGATGAGGCGTGGTAAACTGGCGGTCGTCAACTTAGGACTAGACGCGTCCTCATCAAGCTCGGCCTCAAATACAATTCCAGCTCGTCCAGATGCAATACGGCGAGTGAGTCTCAAACTTGCGTGTAACTTGCCGGGCGGTGGGAGTTTTGAGGGCAATCGGGCTGGTGGCTCAGGGCCTATGGTCTCTTTGAAGTCGTCCTCATCGGAGTCAGAGTCAATGTAATCCGAGACGATGTCAGGTTCCGATCGAATGTATGGCTTATTGCAAGTGGCAACACCTCGTTTGAGTTCAAGGTCTGCGACTGACTTGCCGCCTGGAACTGGCTCATACACAGCGTCAACGAGAGATATACTCGCGATCGCGTTGGACGGCTATGGGATTCTGGGTTATTCATTGACAACGGTCCCGGATGAGTTACATGCGTACCACAAAATTTGTAACAGTGGTCATTGTCGAGACTTGATGGGATTCCAGGACTTAGGTTGGGGTGGGACGTTGTTTGCGACTCCAACATATATATACCCATTTACGTACATTTAGCGCTGTGATCTTGATTGCGATCGTTCATTGTCTACTCGATAAGTATCTTCGGCAACAGATTTCTTGTGACAGAATATGGCATACTCCTGTCTACAGCTACGACCAAAATGATAAGTCCGCCATCAAATATTATACTCAGGTTGGTACCGTCGGCGTTGCTTCTCTAATGACACGGCGGCATGGCTGAACAGTTCTGCATTCCTCTCAGAAGTCCAGCATAGGCTGCTACATATCTTTTGTGCGTTAGCTGGTACTGAGTGGCAGGGGCCTATCGATTGTATGAGATCTTTTGTCAAGTGCCCAGCCATCGCGATCGCTAAAGAAACTTCTAGATCGGTTGGTGTTGGTAAAATTGTGGCCAGGCTTATGACTAACTGAAATTCAGCCTCTACATACTGGCAGTGAAATGACTATTCGGCACCCTTCGTGGTTCAGCGGAGACTAAACGATGTTCCACAGGTGAACATTGGCTGGGGCTTCGATGGCGTTGAAGTCGCCAACTACTGCCACCGTGGAGTTGGATGCCGCACCTTAGCAACATCAAATGTTTTTCACACCTTTTTGGACTTGCATTAAGTCCACGGTGTTCTTTGCGCTTCTGTCTCAGATGTAACACGCGCTGGCTCCATTGTGCGTTCACCGCCTCATTCATCCACTTGAAGATGTTGTCTCGCACAAATATGTAATGGCTGACGCGTCCACCACAATCTATTGTTCTTTGCAAGTACTCATGGAATACAATGGAAGACTGATAGTTATTTGATGGGAGCGCTACTGATCTCGTGCACGCAGAATGTCACGGACTTTCAGTTGACTCGCTAACGCGTGTCACCGGGTATAAATGCACGTTGGTGGCCATAACTCACTATCGCCCCACATCTTTCGCACCACTACAATTGCCTAGGAGAATCTAGTCCCAATGCCCCCTCGCAGGCCGCAGCCAAGATCTGCACGTCGTCGATTGCTTCTTCCCAATTTATGTCTTGACAACGCCGAGGACGTGATCAAGAATAAAGAGATGTCCCTTCCATTTCCCAGTCAGCCCAACAAACCTGGCCTTACCGACGGACTGACCTTGCCTAAGGAGCTGCGGCTTAGACAGTTGTTTATTTTTCCCATTTCCATTGGGAAGAAGGGAGTCACTAAAACGGCGCAGTACGTATTAAACATGAGAAAGGAAATCCAGCTTTCCACTGTATTTCGATCTCACCATCTTTGGAACAACTGCAAGACATACGCTCACACTACAACGTGGATCGATGCGGGCAAAGATATGGTTCCTCCTCTTCCAAGTGACGCCCAACAGGATAGAGCAGCTCGACGATTGTATTATTGGTATATCGATCACACTCTCAGAGGATCTGGTTTGGTGAACAACGAACTGTCTACTCAAGATGAAGTGCTTATGCAGTTGATCTTGCCAATCAATCTCCTTTTGCAGGTGAGCTACCAATGCCATATCATCAACATCTAATGCTCACACCCTTTACGATAGACTCGCTATGAGAATACAATTGATGAATGTGATCATCCTCCGGAGAAAGGTGACCCCGGAAAAGAAAAATCTTACAGGAATGTTTGGGGTCGGGGTAGTGACTCAACAGGACATCCCCCACCTGAGGATGGCCATACTCCCCACTTCGGTAGACCTGTGTCAGCCTCACATGTCGACGATGATCACAACAAGGCGGGATTTCCCGACTTCCTATCTCAACGCACCCCCCTACGGCTCGACCATGGAGCCCTAGCAGAAATCAAGTCCGCATTGGCTGTCAACGGAACCAGCCTGAGGAGAACATTAAGTTCGTCTACGATTCGTAAGCATGGCACCTTCCCCTGGGAGTCATCGCAATCTAAAGATTATAACTTACTGCGCCAGGTACCGTGCTATTCGTATTATTACCCCTTTTTTATTCATACTAAATTGCATTTCCTTTGATTACGGCAGGTGTGGGGCGAGATGCATGCTTACAAGTCCAATTATGCATTTTTTACCAACGGCGATGAAGTGGTTCTCTTTGTGCGTCTTGGCAGAACATCCCTCTGCGTTTCAGATATCAAGAAGTGGGATTCCCCAGACGTTCTCGAAGCCTTGATCGGATTGACGTTTGCTTCTATTGACTACCCGTCACGTTCATGGGCAGAGACTGCTGAGCCAACCGAGGAAATGCAAGACTCCTATGAGAGGAGTCGCGAATTTGTATTCAGGCATCTCTGTCCGGTCAATGAGCTCGTAATCGATTGGTCATCACCGGGAAGAAGGAAGAGAACAAATGTCGCACTAACAGATATCGAGAAGGCTCTGCTTGAAAAGGATGCTGCGCCTGCTGTGTTGCCCGAACTCGGTCCAAAAACGCCACCTCCAGAAGAAAGCCAGGGTCCAATCCTTATACCTCCGGGGCAAACTCGTGGCGAAGGGAAGCGTCCAGTGAAACCAACGACCCGTCGCAGCTTCGAATTCAACAAGGACAGCGAAGTAACCAAATTTGGACGCTTGAGGATCAGGACAAATGCTCCCGAGGCAGGATCCAACTCGGAAAGAGAAGGTCAATCTAAGGCCACCGGCAGTCGTGACACTTCCAGTCCAGAACCACAGGGTGAGAGATCTTCAGAAGATTATGATCCCGAGGATGAAGATCCTGAGGGTCATCATTCGAGTTCAAGCTCAGACGAATGAAGTTCCACGTTCACTGGTTCTTTGGGGTGTTCAAGGACGCATAAGTATGTAGAGCCATTGACGTAAGGAGCAGGCACGAATCATGGAACCTCTTGTGCCACCGTGTAGTTATTGTTAGTAGAATTTATGTTTTGAAGTTAGTAATGATCTTCAGCAGTGAACCAAGAATGATGTGTGTATCGAAAATCCGTTTCAACGTCTATGTGGAATAGCTTGCAGATGCAGGAAAGATTTTTAACGCAAGTATCCGTAATACAGCTGTAAATACGATGGCATGTAAATGCCGATAGCTCATTATCCGAAAAGTCTGTGTCTACAACCTCAAGGCTCTCTGACGACACCGCGGGGTAGCCATTTGAACAAGGGCTCCAAAGAATTCTCGTGCTCAATTTCAAACCTTCGAAGACTCATATTTGACTTGCGAGCCCTGTCAAAGTCCACGAGACGCCACCGGTATTGGCCAGCATTGCCAGACTCCGCGTTGGGCAGCCGTAATATGTTGGCGTACCGAATATCCGGTTGCCAAACTCCAAGGCGTGCTAGCTCTTTAAACATCTCTTTAATCTCCTTGCTAATCAAACAATCAGCGACGGATTCGTTTCAACTGTCGAGAATGATACTCACATGATCTTGTCATCTAGTTTCCTTCCGACAGGTAAAAACTCCTCACTAACGTATTCCAAAACGAGAACGGTCAAGGAACGGTGAAAGTCAGAGTGATCCTCTTCATCGGAGTCATTGGCATCATTGCCCCCCCAAATTTTCTCCATCTTCCAATACCGAAACATAACCCCAGGTTCGAGTATCGTCTGGAAGAGTCCATAATAACGAGGTATCACTCTCCCTTGTAGCGATTCCATTTCCTCATAGCAGAATGCTTCTCGAGACAGTCTGTAGTACGTCGTTGGATGACAGATCTTGACGACGAGGCGTGATAAAGTGGCGGTCGTCAACTCAGGACTAGACGCATCCTCATTAAGCTCGGCTTCAAACACAGCTCCAGCTCGTCCAGATGCAATACGGCGAGTGAGTCTTAAACTTGCGTGTAAGTTGCCGGGCGGTGGGAGTTTGGAGGGCAATCGGGCTGGTGGCTCAGGGCCTATGGTCTCTTTGAAGTTGTAGAAGTCGTCCTCATCGGAGTCAGAGTCAATGTAATCCGGGTCGATGTCAGGTTCTGGTCGAATATAGGGCTTATTGCAAGTGACAACGCCTCGTTCGAGTTCCAGATCTGCAACCGACTTGCCTCCTGGAACTGGTTCATAAACGGCATCAATAAGAGATATCGTTGCGATCGCATTTGCAGCCTGAAGTTGCGGGTCTCACAGTCAGCACAGTGAATGGCCCATTCGTAGGTATTTGGATGAGACTCACCAACATCTCTCCTGCCGTGCTCCGCCGTATTGGACACTTTATTAGAAAGTGATTTATGTTCGACAAAAAGTTCGCGAGAGCTAGAGCTCGTTCGAGGATTGGGTCAAAATTTCATGTCTCATGTGGCTGTACAAGAAGTGAGTTTCAAGAAAGCGTACATTGTACGTCAATAGCCTCGCGGCCGGATTGCCTTGTCATGTTGACCACAATTGTTCCAGCCCACTCCATAAGTTGTAGAGTGGTTTCTCGCCGTCTCAACTCTGTTAGAGCCTTTATAATGATCTGCACATTGGCTTCACCCGGATACTGGATGATGCTCAGCGACGTGAACATGCCGTGTAACATTGAGTCATATTTCGTACGGAGTTGACCCTTGGTCAAGTTGCAAGTACAAGCCGCGTCAAACCAAACCAGAATTCGATAATACACGCACGCGGTTGCAGGCACTTCCAGGGTAACCGATAAGTCTTGAAGTAGCCAACAGAGACAACGAATCCGTAACCAAAATTCGACAGTCTCGCACACGTGGCCTTCAATGGGCGCCTACGACACGGCATCTTCCTGCACTTTGAAATCGCATCTTCGCTTGACCCTTTGCCTCTGCTACACCTCGTTCAGATTCATAAATCCAGCGATTCTCATTTATACTGGCCCTTCTTAGCGACTGGAGATGAGATAATAATTGCACCATTGATTTATAGCTAACCACAACGTGAAAATAATGACTCACAGTAATGGCAGTACACCTCTCATCGGCTCTGTCTTCGAGAGAAAACCAGGTCTATCCACGTCCTCATCTTTCCAGTCTAAATCCATCGATTCCAAGAAAACTGGATTCCCTTCTGTGAAGCATAGGTCACAGAGTGCTTTTTCACGAGCTAGAGTCATTGAGAAAACCAATGGGCAAGAACGACCAAGGCAACCACCGACTGTCACTTCTCTTTCTCCAAGGCCGTCACCCAGTGAGACATCCACTGATGACTGGCGTCGGCAGGTTGAAGAGGAGAATCTTCGCAAGGTGGAAAGTATGACTGCAGAGGAACGAGAGGAAGAGCGAAGGGAGATCCTCGAGCGTTTCGGTTCTGGCATTGAAGGCATCCTCAAGAAAGCTCGAGTGGTGCGAGAGTCCAGGGAAGTGAAGGAGGACAACCAGATCGAGGTTAAGCCTGAACCTCTCAGAGTGCACACTCCAAGGCCTCTGAAGGCGCCTCGTAAAGGCAAGTTCTAATTGACATTTCTCTACGAATTTACTGACTCCATATTCCCATTAGGTGTATTGATCTCGAGGCCATCAAGTCCGCTTTCTGCTAGTAGTACGCGTCCTCCTAGTCGTGATAAGCACCTACGATTTGCAGATATTTCACCTCAGGATGTGCACGTCTATGAGTCTGCACCTCCCTCACCCAAGAGGAAGCCTCTCGCGTTGGCGGCACCCACCGCTAATGACGGCCCAACCATCTCTCTAGGTGATTTTCAAGACCATTTCAAGCTTCCATCAATGCAACCTGCCACTTTGTCTGCGGAGACGGCTCAACAGACAGAATTCCAGAGAACAGCAGCTGACTTTGCGGCTGAGGAAGGAACTCCAGAAGACATTCGACGTCGGTTCTTCCCCACTGCTGCTGCCAATGTTCCTTCTTTGGCATGGATCACAGGTCCCGATTCTACAATTTCGCAAGCCGGCCCTTCAATCCCTTCACTGCGTTTCGACCTCACAGGGACACCGATACCATCCGCACTCTCTTCAACTCTACCCACGCATTTGGGTTTGCATCATCATGCAGAGGGAACCCATGCAGGCTATACGCTAGATGACCTATTCTTACTCTCGCGATCTACAGTCCCGGCACAGAGAGCATCTATGTTAGACGTTCTCAATAGGATCGCACAGAAGCTTGCGGATGGTCACAAAGATTCTTCGAAAGGCATCCCAGAGCTTGCGGGCCAAGAGAAGGAATTGCGGAAACGAATTCTCGCTGCAGGCGTTGAAGCGATGGGTGAACGTGGAAGTTTAGGAGCACAAGCAATTGCGGCAATGTGGACTTGTCTTGTCGGATGGGACGAGGACCTCATCTCAATCGAAGGCGTTGAGCTGAAGGAGGCCTCTGACGATGATGCAATCTCGTCGTTACCTCTGGAGTATGTTTTGCCACAGATCGCAACAGCTATTCGCGCTGTGGCACTCCCTATGGAGTCCTTGACACAGTTACTCGCAATTGTCCATCGTTTGGTCCAACATTCAAACGAGATTGCTGTGAAAATTGTAGAGACTCCTACTTTGGTCGCCAGCATAGTCCAAACATTCTTACTCACACCTATCCCTCCTCCTGACGAGTCTTCGTACCCCGACCCTTTCGCTATCCAAGTCCTCATAACTTTGGCTCTTGCTTCGCGCTCCAATGCATCCATGCTGACAGGCCCTGCTGATGCTCTACTACGTTTCGTTGTCACGCTGCCAAACTCATCCTCTTACCCCTTATCACTTGCGACCACTCTCCTATCTTCAACACTTCGCCTTTATACCACCCTCGCATCTTATGGTTTCTATGCCCAAATCGCAACGACCGCCTATGAGCATTTCGACAAGCTCGGGCGGTACGTTCGCTCCGAAGAGTGTCGCTCTCTACAACTTAGAGCAGCTTGGCTAGGGCTAGTGGAAGCCTGGACGATCTGCGCTCGGGATCCTCATCGCACTACTCCTACTCACGAGATCTTATGGAGCCAGATCGTTGGATGGGGTTGGAACGAAGACGTGCTTTCCCTCAGACAGAGACTCACTCCCGAGAATGGGTCAGTTTGGGCAGCGATTTGGAGGGCAGAAGCTGCTTGGTTAGAGGGAGCGAGTGTCAACGGTGTGAAGAATGGAGAGTCGGAGAAGTCTGCTCTGATAAATGGTGTAAGTGACGGATTTACCAGTGGACCAGAGCGGGAAGTTGTTGAGAACAGTGTGAAGGAGGCTAGCCGGTTGCTTGAGGAATGGACTAACGTCAAGGACCTCGTACGGCTGCGTGGTATTTCAAAACATGCTAACGTCGTAGCATCCGCGATTCGTCTTTGGCTCTCTTGCCTCCCGTCTGCTTCGCAGACTGGTCTCGAATCTCCTCCCTTTCGTCTTCCGTTCAAAGATATCTCAGCACTATGTGCAGTGGTAGCGACGCACTCGATCTGGGAGGCGGCTTTCGGAAGAGGTGCCCCGCCCTTTTCACATTTGTTCTGCAGGCCACTATCCGGGCTACTGTCTGTTTACCTGGATCTGTCGAGAGTCATGCCTGGAACCTCGGATGACTTATGGATGGCTCAGGCATTTACGATAGTTCTACGATTACTTCCTGGCGACGAAGATAGCGCGATACGTATCATCGAGGGTGCTGTCGGTAATATCCATCGATCATTCATGGAGTCTAGAAATTGGCATGTTCCACCGGCCATATGGGAGAAGAATGGTATGGATCCAATTATGCCTTTCCTCACGTATTCTCTCCGGGTGAAGGATGTTGTCGTTGGTCCTTACTGGATGTCGCCAAAGTCAATATCTACTGCCACGACCCAAAGGTTACCACCGCAATCCAGTATTAACCCGGACACTCGAAAGGAGCTGTCCTTGCCTCTAAACAAAGATTGGGCTTTCGTTCCTTTGGATTATCTGTTACGCTCAGGTCAGACGGATATTTTCAAGACATTGCCTTCAGCTTGGAATTACTCGGAGACGGAAGTTGTCAGGGCAACTTTACTCTTGGTGAGGGTTGAGCGAGAGGTCCTGAAACTGCACGGGTTGCAAACGCCAATTCTCAGCAGGGAAGAGACCGTCTTCGGGTGTATGAAGGTCTTCATGTTGGAACATGAACAGCAGCAGGAGAGCATACAGGAAGAGGTATTTCGGGACTCCATCGTAGGCTCATTCATGGAAGATACCATGGCACCCTTCACCATTGCTGCAAGCTCATCTACGCCTTCCTCTTCTGACTCACGCCCTACACTTGAAGTCGTTGCCAAACGTTTCCTGGGGGACTCCATACCGTTCTACCAGTACTACACTGACTTCGTGGGATTGTACGATTCCGTATCTTTCTCACATCCACTCTTCGCTCGGCTACTCTTACCTCCAACGTCCATGCGATACGCCGTAGACTATCGCAAGTATCTGTGGGCGGACTACAGTCATATAGTCAAAACGATCAAGACTCCAATTGAGGCGGTTATAGCGGACAGCGTCGATGAATACCTGTATCCGGTAGAGACCAGCGCAGAAGTCATAGGAGCGTACCTGAGGACTCTGGTGAAAGGCGGTCTGGAAGGTTTCGTGAGATTGGTTGCCGTCCATCACATCGCGTGCAACATCTGGCCAGACTTACGCAATGGTGTTGGCGATGACGGCAAAGCTGCAAAGTTGTTGCAGGCTGTTGTCACTCAGTGCGGTTTTGATGCCGTTAGGGAGGTGGTTCTCTACCGACAGACTGCTGGATCTGCTGCGGTTCTTCCTCCAGCATGTTTCGAGCAAGCAGGCGAGTGGAAAGTGTCAAGGCGGGAGTTCTTAGGGCATTCTGGGGATTTAGTGAAGGAACGTATAGAGAAATTATTGTAAAACGCAGCTCGTTGTCCTGTAAGTAAATTATGTGTCGATATATTTACAATCATGCTACTTGTACTACAGAACTGGTATATTACAGACGTCGACGAGATATATAGTCGCATTGAACATTTGAGTCGTATTATTTGACAGAAGGACAATTGAATTCCAATATGTCATGAATTGAACGAGTGAGTACGAGTAATCAAGGGGAAAAGTATGAGTGGAGGAAGGGGTATCGTGGTTGAGAACGTGGAGAAGTGCATGACTGGGGATAGTAGTAGTACAGAATAAGTAAGGTAGGGGGTAATACAAGAAATCGGACACAAGACAGATATCGAGACACATGTTGCTAAGCCTAGAAATACTGAAGTGCAATAGATAGACCATGAACAGAACCGAAGGATGAGATTGAAGTGACCAAACATAACGAAATGCCACGAAAAGAACAGATATTAGCACGAAACTAAGATTCGCGTCATCAGCGTCGTAAGATCGTATGGCGTGATGGTACATGGTTGCGAAGATTCGCTAAATATTGCGACCGACGTTCGTTGCAGCGAATGAGGGAATATATTGTAGTCGATGAGAGACCGACTAATGAAGATTAAACACTCTTGTTCTTGCCCTACCGCAAGATCCTTCATGTCTTAAACGCAGGCGAGTACCGTCTATCGAAGATATCGAAGCCGACACTTCGACTTCGTATCGACGACGATTGTATGGCTTTAGGGGTGGCGGTGGACGAATCCTCGCTTCTATCTGGAGGGGGCAAATCCATCCTCCACGGAAATCCAGGAAACGGTGCAGGAGGCATACTGCCTGGCCTGATCTTCACTCGCTCTTCATGATATGGACTGCGAACATCGCGCGCCCTGCTCGAAGTGTCATCGTGAGATAGACTTCTTGGTGACCGCTCTCGACCAAGAGATGATTGGGTAGAATCTGGGCTGAGCCCCCAACGAGCGTCGTGTGCAGCTGAGTATTCTTCCACTGTATCCAATGGTGACGAAGTTATCTGAGAGTCTCGTTTGAAGAATGGATGATTAGATGGAGAGGTCTCGAGATGACGTGGAGACACTTTCCGACCACGGTTCCCCTCCGGATGTAAGGAAGCATCAGTAGGCGTGGGCGGCACGTCTAGCGGACTGGGCGATCGAGACGATGACTGCAAAGTCGCCAGGTGGGAATGAGGACGTAAGGCCCTCCCTCGTTCAAAACGATCTCCTGCGTCATCGTACTCGAAACTATCAGATGAGAAGTGAAGAGCAGACTCAGAAGGTACCGATGAAGATGATGAAGATGAGCAGCTAGATGCGCTTCGAAGTATGGAGTCGTTCAATGCAGAAAAACTCGGCAGCGTAGGATGGTGATGATGTGTATGATAGTGAGGAGTCTGGTAGGGGTGGGCTGCAGAACGTGAAGCGCTGCGACTGGTGCTTCTGACAGCTGATGTTGAGCGACTAGTGGATGGACGCGAGCAGGGCGCTGATGAGGGTTTTTCTGTGTCAATTTGCTCGCGCAAAGGGCGACAAGCTTGTTCAGGAGACGGTACTGCATCGCCATCAGAGCCCCATCCTACACCCCACGCAACTTCGTCTACCATCGCAATTGTCCATCGTTCTGCAACAGAGCGTTCAAGACAGCCTTTCAAGACACGCTCTGCTCCACGCCCGATTCCTTCAGGGACGTCGTACACACCTTTGGAAAGATAAGGATAAGGATGTACGTAAGAATGATTGCCGCGACTGAAAAGTGTACCATCCTGAAGATACGCACCATGTAAAATTTTCATTTGCAAACGCGGCTCAAATGAATCAGCGAATGGTAATCTACCCGTCAAAAGGGTATAAAGCATCACACCCAAAGCCCAGATATCCTGTGCAGGATTCGGACGGGTGTAAGATGTATTCTGAGGTAAGAGCAACTCTGGCGCTGCGTATGGCAATGAGCCAGGCTGGAAAGTCGGATCAGGGAATACATGAGGAATTTCGGATGAAGAGGGTAAGGGACTCGAATTGCGGTGGCGTGGACCACTGTGATGCCGTATGAGCGATAGATGAATTGGCAAGAGAGTACCATGTTTGTTTTGTAATCGTTCTGCACTTGACATAGTAGAATGATGTCGTATACGTGCGTGCATTGGTTCGTTCGTGTTTTCTTGGTCGCACTCGGGCGGCGGAGAAGGCGAATGACTATCATCACTACTGCCTATCTTTCGTGCCATTCCAAAATCACCGATTCTACAAACACCCATTTCGTCTACAAGCACATTTTCGAGCTTCATATCGCCATGCACAATACCCGCTACCTCATGCAGATACCGCAAGCCGCGAACCACCTGTCTGAACATCATCCCCGCATCGTCCTGAGGCAGTGCCGGCCGGCCATCCCGTTTCAGGATGTCAAACAGGCTACCTGCTGGACAATAAAGTGTGACAAAGAAGTCTGCATACGGGGTGTGCAAAGACGAAAACAGGGGTAGGATGTGCTCATGATTCAGCGACGACCATACCTGTCTTTCGTGATCCAAATGTTGCTTCGCCCTCTCAGGGTCCTGCTGCTTATTAATATCCGTTCTGCGGACAATCTTGACAGCAACCGTTCCGCCTTGAGGAGAGGAGGCCCGACGTATAGTAGAGAAAGCTCCGTAGCCAATTATAGGGCCTAAGGTATAACCACAGACAACTTGGCCCTCGTCATCAGGGAGTACATTTTGCTCAGCCCTTGGACTGAAAGAAGACAGAAACATTGCAGCCGGAGACATGGAGAGATCCGCTTCGGATATATTTTCCTGGGAATATGAAAAGAACGGCGACACAGGCGGTTCTGGGAAAGAAGCAGCCTTGACGTGCTGACTTTGTTCAACATCGAGCAATTTCTGGGATATCTGCTGGTCCACGTCGACATCATCGGGCAGGCCAGAAATGGTTATTTCGCCGTTGTTGTCCCCGTCGTGCGAGGTATTAATTGAGGGTAGCTGCGACCGAGAATGTCGACGTCCATCGCTCCAAAACGGTGTCAAAATGGCGCCGCCTTGCTCGTCGTGCGCGAGAGGCTCTGCATACATCCAATAAACAGTGGGTATGACAATTAAAGAGGGTAAAAAAGAGGAGGAGATGGTGGGAAGAGGTAAAGTGCTCGAGGGGCGAAGGGATCCCGTTTTCCGTATATGGCTTACATAATCGCCGGATTACCGAAGTGGGTCCTCGGGCGCCAATGTTACCACCGCAAGTTATTGACTTTGCATTGCAAGTCGGCTACTAACGTCCATTACACTCACTCTTGTACGCGAAGAAATACCAAATTTGACGCGTAACAATGTCGCAACCAGACGGTCTATGTCTGCGCTTTCCAGAGAATCTCGGACTTCACGCAAGTCTCAGCCATGAACAAGCAGCGAGCATGCTACTCCGCGCTATGCAACTTTCGCAAACAACGCCGTACACATGGACCTATATCGACAGGCCACAAGGTCAGCCAATTCTTTACTTGTTTGCTTGGAAGGGAGACTCCAACCTGCACCGTCTAACCTAGTCATGAAACAGACGGCCAACTCTACTTGATTTTCGTACCGCCACAAATGTCACTCCCCATTGACGGCATCCGGTATCAGGACACGGAGCAATCATATCGTATTCCGCTTGGAGCCGGGCGCGTGAGTCTTTATGCTTGTGGCAATGCTTGAAGTATGATTGCTGAAACGTGTCGGTAGGAAATGGAAATTGCAGAGGTCAAGTTCGGTTTCGTGCCACTCCAAGACCAAGTCGCATATCGCGTTCGTCGTCGTTACCGGTTAAACAAAGGTGGACACCCTCAGCTGGTTCTTATTCATTATACACGGGGCCAATCTGTTGGTGAGCACCGCCATTCGTTCATCACAACAACTTCTCTTTGATCATTCACACTCGTGCTTCATTTCACCCACGTAGCCATCGCGCCTTCAATGAACACACCAGTCCGAGCGTATCCTTTACGAACACCAAACGAACCTCACGTCTACGTTATTGGTGACAAGACAGGCCAGAAGGTTTACCCGCAAGGAATGGGTGGTCCACCTGCCGAGCGACAACCTTCAATACCACCGGCTGCAATGGGCCCAATGGGTATGAATTATCCTATGAATGCACAGGCCATGTTGGCTCAACAAAACAGTCGGATGGAGGCTATGGAGCGGAACGCTCGTGAGCGTGAGCGAAGTGGTAGTATGAGCCTGGTAAGTCCGACGATACAGTGGTGTGGGGTTTCAAGTGATCATTGAGTCTCTCTTCTCAGCGACCAGCACCACCGCGAGAAACGGAAGAAGATTTTATCCGTACGCACGCCCTTTATCTTTCCTATGGGAACCTCCCTGATCACCGTTTGAAATAGTGGATGACTCGGATTTGATCACTGGCCGAGCATTAGCCCTGGCTCGCTACCGTCGTAACCACGAGTTCATGAACGAAGTCTTCATGCACGCAGGTTTCGGTATGTTAAATGACAAGGTGTCTTCCACACAACGCTCGCTAAATGCTCCCGAACGCAGGCATGTTGAAAGAAAAGCCGGAGATCAAACCGGCATACTCAATATTCAACAAGGAAGAACTTGAAGCAAAAATAGTATGCTTTCATATCAGCCTTGTCCTTCTCTTCATTGCTGACAAATGCTTTGGATTCATGTGTAGGCGAAGCTTACGACCGAAGTCGAGGATCTCAAAACAAGAGCGGCGGAACGCCAGGCTGCAAAAGATGCCGAGAACCAACTGGCTGATGTGGCAATGGAGCCGCTCAGTCTGAGTAGTGACGGGATCGCTGTGTAGTATTATTATTTTGTGATTTCGTGCGTCGTGTTGCTTGTTCGTTATCATTATTGTTTTTCTGTAATCCTACTTTACTTTCGGAATGTTCGATGCAACGATACCTCTCTGACCCGTGACCTCGTTCCCGACGGTGGAAAACGTCCCGAACCGCTAACCGCCTTGGAAGTAACATTGTTTCTTGTATGCAAGACAACATGGCACAACAAATCTATTTGTCGTCGTACGCCATAGGTGTTCGCGAAGACACAGAACGCTGTACGTTAGGATGATTCGGAGACGTCCTTGGTGTGACAAACTACTACATCGGACACCTCCTCGTTCCAACTGACCTTGTCCCTGAATTCGTATACGGTGATGTCCATCCCATCCATTTCACAAAATCACATCCACTCACTACACAAGTCCATTCCAGATGGCGTTCATGGACTATTTTCTTCTGGCACTTCCACAGGGATTGCCTCCGAAAGTGAACGGACATCTTTACGTTAAGCTCTTGGGTAATTAGCGGACACAGGCAAACCTTAGCGACTAATTCTTTCGAGATTTAGCAGAGGATACACCCAAGGGGTTATCGCTCGATAACGGGACCTGGGCGTTCCTGTGACTTGACATCAGTCCGAAGTGCAGGAGAAAAAGTATCGAAGTGGACATGGATATGTCCATGTCTTTCCAACGGTACGTACTTGAACTCGAGTATCTTCTGCTTGGCAATCATGTGGACTTTCAGAGGACCGAGATGAATGGAGCGGCCGACTTCCAGTCTTTCGGCGGAGGTGCGATAGCGTAAGATCTAATTTACCTTGCACTGTCTCCAGAAAACACGATTGGGCAGGACAAGACCTTACCCACGTCACACAGACTTTCCACTCCTCAATCAGACCTCCCCTATCTGTCTACCAACCTACCATTTCACCACCGCCGTTACCCCTCTACCAGATGGAGAAACCCTACTGAATGGCGATCTCCTCTCTATGTCTATCCGCCTCTGGAAATTCCACGGGAAAGATTTTGTAGTGCGAGACATCGGTAGACAGCATGTATGCGAGATTTCCATAGGGAAGACCGTGTACTGAATAGTATCTGGACCGGATGGCCGTCAATGTTTCAATGGTGAATTGGGGCATGTCGGGCTGGGAATTGGTCTAACGGACGTATCGCGAAACTGTATTGAATATATACATGTAGAGTATCCTCGGAAGTTTCGAATCATACATGAGGTGTATCTTCGCGTCCTCTTATCCAGATATGCTGAATGGTGAATACATCCTGGCCGCTACTTCTCCTTCGACCTCCTGTTTCTCGCGTCCTCGCCGCCTTGTTGCTCTCAGGTACACCCTACGCATCATGTCCACCGCCAATCACCTGAGTATATATCATGAAATGAGATTCGCTCTAGAGCCACGCTGTGGAGGCTCCTGGCGAATGGTATGCCAGGAGAATTATCGCTCTGCGCTGTAGGCTTCACGACAAGGCTCCGGAAAAATCGCGGAGACAGCCAAACGGCTTTCGACAGCTAATTGAAATCTCGTACAGCATAGAAATCCGCCACAACGCCGAGACATGCATGCATGTATGAGCATCCATCCGATGAAAATCTCTAAAGCATTCGCCTTGTTCAGACGTGTGTCGAATTGATGAACTCATGAACAACTGCGCCTGCCGCATTTAGACTGTCACTTTGAAGCATAGACATTGATAAGCGCCAGCCGTTGCAAGTTTCAGATGTCGAGACAATAGTTGCAACTCGGCTGCAACACAAGACACGGCGCAACCATCGTTCGTAACCGATGAATACATCCCAATCAGTAAAAGCGGCAGTAGCAGCTCGACGGTAGAATACATTGCCATGTTTTGGATTCTAGTCGACTGTACGAACTAAGGTAAGGTAGTACCGATCTAAAGACTGGGAGTGGACCGTCGACAAGGGTATCACAAAGGAGTAATAAGCATACCACGTTGTGTATGTATGAAGGTTCCGAAAAAGGCCGATGATGCAGGTTGTAAGGAAATAAAAAAAGAGGAAAGGAACATTTGAGAACGGAAAAGAAAAGAAATGGGAAAAGTGGTAGAAGCAAGGGTCAATGACATGCAGAGACAAAACCAAGAAGGTGATAATGCGTGTAGTCCAAGGTGACGACTATAGGAGAAGCGTCGCAATGCCTACTGTGGCGAGAGAAGTCACCAGCGAAACGATCTCAACCGAACTCCATACACGCTCGCCGGCGTTGGTCGCAATGAGGTTTTGCGCAGTGAGTGACGCTGCAGTGGTGACATTGCGCAGAGGCTGTGTTGGCAGCATGTTAGGAGTTGTAGAAACTTGGAACTGCGGTGGAAGGGGTGCGCCGTCGAATTGGAATAAGTGCAATTTGGGGCCATCGATAAGGTCTTCGAATACCCGCCACTGCACATATAACTCTGTGTTGTTGTAGTCCTCGATAAAGTTGGACTCGGCCGCGCAAGGATCTTGGATCTGCTGAAAGCCATCGCCGAAGGGATGAAGAATCATGGACCCATTATCTACGAGCACGTATTTGCCATGACTCCAGTTCATGACGCCGGTGATGCAATGAGGGTCGGTGCCTGCAGGAGATGAATTGAGCGAGGTAACGGAAAGTGGTAAAGGTCAAGGCCTACCATTGCCCGTAAACCGGTATCGGGCGACTTCGAAGAAACCAGTATCAGTACTGTAAGAGAGGGTCAGTATTGAGACGTTCAAAGACTGGCGTCATCACGGAGAAATATGTCCGGTGTGAAAATACAGCGTTATGGCTAGCCAAGAAACGAGCATATGCGTGCGAATAGCCGCGTTTTGGCCCATTCGGTCAAGGTAACACCATCACTGAGCCTAGTAGAATGTGGGTGACTCTAGTTCTTCAGACGCCGTAGTGGGCTACCCTCACGAAATCCATGTGCTCACAATGCCCATCGACATGGAGAAATGAAAGAAACAGCACTCACAAGGAAAACGACATGCCAGTGGTCTTCGGGTAGGTGAAAGTCCGGTTCTTAGGGTTGGCAAAACCCTGCAAAGTCCAAGAGTATAAGCAACTTGTCGTGAAGCAAGCCTTCCGAGATCACCACGTACTGAACCAGTAACCACATTCCTGCTTCCCGTACTCCAAGTGCCCTCCAAGCCACTAGTGTTGTGTGCAGCAGTAAGATCACCCTGGGCGAGAGCGGGCACGACGGCAGCCAAAAGAGAGATTAACGATAGGAAAAGCATCATTAAAGATCCTCGTGGAGGAACGTGAAGAGTAGCGTCAAGGACAGCGAGGCTGACAAGGAGAGAGCGGAAGGGGCGGTATGGCGAGTGGTGAGCTCGTTGTGAGTGACGGCGGCGGCGGGTGCTGTGGGAGAGGGGACGGGAGGTAAGGAACGTGTTTGTTTTTGTTTGCTCCCTTGGGGCACTCGCTGCTGCCCACTTTGTTTCTTTTTCGGCCTTTTTTCCCAGCACGTGTAAGCCGCGTCCCAAGCAACCGTCGCGATCTTGGACTTTGGAATGCTCTCCAACGTCGCTGAGGGCAAACCGTGATTCAGATAATATGGGACACGTATGCAGGTCTTATTGTACACATAACCTCCCTCGTGGTTGCGAGGCATGCGTCGCCATCCTTGTGTCTATGTATGTAGGAATTTATTTAACGGTCCCGTGAAGCTCACGCTTGGCTCTAACTTTTATGGATTTCAATAGCACATGATGATTCTAAAGGAAACGATAACATTCCCCAAATTCCACGTGAACCACCCACCGGTCATTACCACCTTTGCGAAATAACTCAATACATGTAAACCATCTCGGATGCACTATGTGCTTCTAGAGACAAGTTCTGCCGATGCATATCGTGCCTTGACTCGAACCGTACAGTCGTCACCGGACGCAAGAAACAACCTCAACCTTGTAGCCATCCTTCCTCTTCCTCGGGCTCCCGCTCTCCGCCCAGCGTGTGTTTCTGCCCGATCTCTGCGTGGATGTGATGCTCACGCGCCCCCACCGATCTCGACCACAAGTTTCGACTTACCTGTTCAAGTGATCGTCGTATCTCACCTCGGAGGCTTCTCGCGCTTGTACCGTATGATCTCCCTTCGATACATTCATTGAGGTTTCCCGTCGTGCCAGGCAACCTCGAAACCTTCGAGCGTCACGTCCTTCTTCCTGTCGTCACGAGGATGATCCTTTCGTCCATGAATACGGATTGGCTTCGGGTCGGGCTTCAAGCTCGCAATCTCATTGGTCCACATCCAAGACGCCGCCGCTTCTAGTACTCCGATTGAATGTACGAGGATAAGTACCCGATGGAAGTGAGGCGTATTTCAAACGCCAGCGAAAGAAATGTTTCCTCTATGCTTGTCTAGATAGTAACATTGATAGTGCATCATACCAATACATTACCCCGCGCACGTCGAGCCATGTGGCAGACGAGGGAGGAAAGACCTAATAAGTCGTTACATATCTACGGACAGGAACGACAACAAAGACGAAGAAAATGAGGTCGATGAAGAAGCGCATGGGTAGGCGGCAGGCAGAGAAATGTCCAGTGTCGACGTCCATAGAACCAAGAGGAAAATACATGAATTAATCTTTCTTTAGTTCACGTCGGACAATGAATACCCGATCCCCCTCAGCGTTTGTTGTGAGTTCCTGGGCACCTCGGACAGCCTCCAGTCCTTGCGGGCCCCGACCTTTCGCAAGCACGACATAAATCTCGAGACCATCACCCACCTGTAAGTCGAAATGGCGTCAAGATTAGACAAGAGTCTTGTCAGGACCAAACGCAAGATATGCCTTACCTCGATATGACGCTCGGTTGCACTCGTGAACGAATCAATGACGATGGAGAGGACGTCCGATAGTGACAGATGCAAGGGCCGTGTCTGCCCTGGTGGTAACTGTTGGTTCTTGAAGTAAATCTATTGATAACCGGGGGGAGGCGGGTGTAAGTCGGGTAAGAATCGGATAGGTGGCAAGAAAAAGACAGATGATATAGATACACTGGAGGGGATGACGGCAAGACTACATACCTGATTGTCCAAGAAAGGCTGGACTAGTGATTGAGCGGCACCTGCCGCACGACATGCTTCACGCTCATATGATCCAACTGGATCGAATGAGTAGACGGCACCGCTGCCTGACGAAGACAAGACCATTCAGCATGTGTTAACTCGGGCCGTACGTTGCAAGATAGACCTACCGTCTTCCTCAATGCCTCCGAGGATATTGTAGACGTAGTATGGGAAGAACCGTTGTGCGTAGAGCATGGTTTGGATCAGCCGGGCGATCGCTCGAAGAGGCATGTCTTTCGCGTGCGCATGACGATACCACTGATACTGCAATGAGTAATCCCGAGGAGAAGCATGATAGAAGGATAACTCACTTCCAACCGCTGCTTCACCTTCTTCACAAACATGTTACCGTCTGCTGCAAAACCATTTACAGCCAAGACGGCGCGATCGGTACTGCCAAGCGTGTCAGGTTGTATATAGCGGCTGAAAGAGAACGAGACACGTACAGTCGAAAGACCTTTGGTGCATAGCGAGTTTGGATACTGTAACCCTCGCTCTGCCTGGTGTCACCTGCAATGACGGTGAAATCCGCACCAGCAATGGCAAGGATGGTACCACCGTTCTCGGTGTAGGGGTTGAATTGTCGCTGCTGGGGGTGGGCGTAGGAACCGTCGGGCATGATGAGCAAAGGTTGAATGGTTTAGATAGTCAACGGCGGCGAGGGCGGGAGTCGAGGAAAAGACGTGCGCGTACTTGGAGGAGAGTATATACGCTGATCAGGCCGCGTCAGTTTCATAAACGCCCATTGCATATTCGCGCGTCCTGACGGTCGGAGTTCGAACCACTCAAATGGCAAAAGTCCGAGATTCTTGCTTCCTCCGGTTTCCCGTCTCCTCGTCTTCTTTCACACATCCTTCATCATCATCAGAACCTTTGCTTCAGGTCCCCGAGCATTATCCGTTCATGTCTGCCTTTTTTGTGTTCCAAGGCGACACAAGCGAGGGAGAATACGCCTCTGATAGACACCCGAAATACACCTTTTCGTGCTGCGCGACATACCCTGCCAAAAGGAGCAGAAACGATGCTGGATCCGTATGGTTTCTTGGGGCTCCTGCGCCACTCGACGCTATCTCACTACACGAGGCGGCGTCGCGCGATACACTGCCCGAATGACCATCACTAGTTGCTTGGATTCTCCGGTTGCTGACAGCCCATTCAGTCGACGCCTTTCGTCTCTAGACACTTGCGCTCACCGCGTGAGGTTATTGAACAGCGTGTCTATCGTTCGTTCGAGACCAGATGAGGGTCGCAAATATCTAAGGATCGCATTCACACAGTCTCAGAATGTAGGTGCCGGGTGCACTACGTTTCGCCGAACTTGTGGATAACAGGACCCCGAAGGCTCTGGTGGTATATGTTTTCGGCAGGCCGAACAGGTATCTTCTCTTTCACAAATCACAAGAGGAAACCTTCGTTGTGTCTACCTAACGAAAGGAAATTGGCACAAATCTTAGTTCTCGGAAGTTCCTACGCCAGACTTACACTCATGTCTTAACGTTTGAACCCATGGGTGCGGATGTTCCATAGCCACCTACCAATCTTCACGACTATGCAAACTTCCTTGATTTTCTGCTGCTTTGATTCCCTGGAGGCCCTGCAAAGCCTCTTGTCCTGCACATCGAGTATTACTCTGACTGCCTTTCCTATACCGTGCCTTCCTCCCTGCGAGCGTTCTACGATGCTTGGCCAAGTCCGGCCGGATACCAAGGGATACGCTCACAACGATCTGCCTGGAAGGCGATTTCGGGGTCCTACTACTGCTGGCCGTCCAAAAGAGACAGGCGTTCCAAATACATCTTCGACCGCCGTCCTGAATCCTACTGTTAATGCGGCGTTTCTTACTATGTCGAACCCTGGTTGCCGGTGTACAATGCCTCTACCAACCGTATGGATGACCGCAAGAAGCAAGCGTAATTCTGCTTGGTCAGGACGTGCACTCTATTCGAGTAATATCGGTGTCTGATAACTTTGTCGTTGTCCATTGCAGGCAGGAGCCTCACACGGACGAACGTCGACATTGACTACACCTCTCGGTGTCTTCAAAGACCCTTGCCTGAAATACTCTCCGGTGCCTCTGCACTCTTCTTCAATTGAGTATATCGACACAATTCTCACTCTTAACTCCAGCCTACTGGCCTCGTGCTGTTTCACGCCGCTCCAACAGCCGCGTTTCTCAGGCTAATACTTCTGACAATGCAATGCCGATCTGTCCTACGTCTCCCAGTTTCCCCAGGGCTGAGATACATAGCGCCTTTCTAGGCCTCGCGTTTCTATTTCCTTGCCTCCGCATGGCCGATCTCAGCGAGTCAATCTCGAAACGCGACTTTCCGATATAGACCTGCCACCGGCTTTCTCATGCTCGCTGTACCTTGTGAATCTTTCTATGGGAACAATCTCTACGGCACCCATCTTGCAACTGACAAATCTCTGCGCGGTTTGTCCGAGCGATGTTGGATGTCAACTAGACTCTTGGACGTAGAGCATGGATATTCGACTTCGAGCTGGGAAGGTCTTTGCCCATACAGCTCCCCCTGAATGTCACCGTGACCTCGACCACTCGAGCCAGCTAGCCAGGCGACATTGCATCATATTGTTCTTTAAGAGATGCGCAGATCCCCCTGAAGACGAGACGACAGTGACATATACAAGCTTATTTTCCAAACAGGCATTTCATACACGCATTCGAAGGCGTGTCATATGCCCGCTTATTCGTTTTCACTGCTGCAACCAGCTTTCGGGGTTACTTCCTTTGGTGCTGCGCGATCGAAGATTGAGAAGGCCATCCTATTCTTGGACGATGGAAAAGGACGCCACAATGCCCTTGATAGTGGTGCAAGTGAATGCGTTGCTACCGTAAGTTCCATGTTCCATGTTTCTCTTCTCAGTGACATTTTCTTTCGACGCATCTCTGCATAGGTTCCCACTCGTTGGAGCAATATTGACATACCTATCAGATCACCGAGGGAAAAACGAAGTTGACTTTGTAACGCCTCGTTTGAGCTTGTTGTCTCTGCAAAAGCGACGAAGCACGCCGTTGAGGTATGTCCCGCATAAACGTGCACCACACGTGCTTATGTTCTCGGCTTTGTGACCGAATACCGCTCGTCTGTTTTTCACGATTACCCATATCCTTGGGTTTGGTGTGGATGCCGTTCCTGTTGTCGCAATATGTCGTTGACCTGCCTTGGCTGCGCAGGGCATTATCTCCGGCTAATGAAGGCAACACTATGTCCTCGGGCTCTGTAATGAGAATGCCACCTATCCAGCCTCGGATTTCGTCTCTCCAAAGGTGACGACAACATTGGTTCTGATAACGACCCTCTCAGTTCCACCGTTGGCTCTAGTGGAGATGCAGGAATGTCATTGCGCCAATGGGTATCTTCGAACCACCACTCGATTGCATCGTCCAGGCCAACATGGGAACTCCGGCGAAACCTATAGACATTGTTCTCGCCGCACCATCATCGAGCATCGAAACATTTCTCTGCAACCGCTCGAGGCTGTTCCAGTCATCAACTGTCCTCTTCTCTCCGTTTCGCCGAGACCGAGGCAACCCTCGATGACAAGTCAAATACCTCCTTGTCCTCTCTACGTGCGCCTTCTGTCGACTTCTACGGCTGGGACGTGCGAAAAACATTCCAAGTTTCAGGCAATCAAGCGTATTTTGACACTGGAAGCTGTCTACGCGTTCTTCGGAGGTTCTCTCATCCTATCTTATCTTTCCACGGTCGGAACTTGTGAAGTTGGGTTTGGATACCGGACAGTTGATACGAAGTTCATCTCCGTATGCTATTGTACCGAGCTTCCCCCGGTGACGAAAATAGTAGACTTCGGTATGCCGGTGAAGTTTGCATTGCTCACAGTTTTAAGCGGTCGTGCAAACAAAGAGATTAGAGTAAGTTATTATTCGATTGCGCTTCATGAATATTCCAAAATTTGACTTTCTTCTCTCCTGGTTTTGCAGATTCCTGGTCAGTATTTGGAATATTTTTCTGTCATTCGGTCGCCATTATGTTCTTCTATACCTTTGCTTTATTGACGCATATGAACGAGAACGTCATTGATATTAGATCACGGACAAAAATACAACTATGTCCTCGCAGGGTTGCTCATTGCTGACTTTTTTGACACTATTGTGCCTCACAAATGCATGACGATGTCAAGCAAATGGCATCGGCTTGGTCCATTCGGTATGTTTTCTACACTGCTTTCACGTTCTACTAATGGTATGATCATGTTAGTGCTACAGCACTGCTCCATCCACTCCTGGTCTAACCATGATGGATGTGTTCTCACAAGTGGCGTACTATTATGAAGACATGGAAATCTTGCAAGGGACGGTGATGCCTTGCGGGCTCTTTCAGACGTCGCTCTCCCAGGTATCGAGCTCTTCAGTTTTTGGTCTTTGGAGGAAGCCTCGGGTGGTCCGTTTGATAGAGTCTACGATGTGAAGGCGGACGGCGAGCGTTCCAGTCCAGACTCATCAATGTTGCGATCCCTCCCCTTGTCCTGAAGGCTTCTCCGAACAAATCGTGTAAGAACGCTCGCTAGGCCTTTACTATGTGAAGGTGCCAGAACTGCAAAGTATTGTGATTCCTCGATAAGACGGCGTCTTCCAGGCTGTCATAATACCGTCCGGTCTCAGATTTCGATTTTGGACCGTCCGACGGCGATTCTGATTACGAGGATCACTTTGCTATACGTCGCATCATCACTATTCTTGTGCTTGAGCGAGTAGGTCCTAGTCATTTGCCTCTTGGAAAACCTCTGCGCGAGGATGAACGGTGAGTCATATGATTCTGGAGATTATGGACTTATACTTATATTTTTCGACTTCAACCAGGGAGGGGTTATCTGCCATGCTTAGTGATATTGTGCGACATCGCATCTGCCATGATAATATTCGCTACCCGAACATACTCTCTGCTCCGGCGCGAAGCCCTGAGCACCCGCGTCTGCGTTCGCCCTACACTAGGCGCAAATGTCGTTGGCGTATCATTGACTTCGGTTATGCATATGAGAGCACCAGGGGAAAGAGGCGCTTTGCCAAACACATTGAATATGGTTTAGAAGATCTATGCGAAGAGCTGAGTGAGCGCAGGATAGCGAGTTCCATGAATCTGAGTAGGGACAAGAAAACCTGATGTCCATCACGCACACTGTCTAACTTATTATGCTTCGGAGTCCATACCGCAGTGCGCAATTTTCCACTCACTACAGTATAAATACCTATTCAATTCCGATCCCTCACCAGTTTAGATCTCAGAAACTGAGCACGATTTGAGACTTTGAGGCTCGAGCTTGAAACTTGAGGCTACGAAGGAGTAACCGCCTTCATTCTATAGATTAGTCGATATAGGCTACGTAATTTTAGTCACTCTAAGTGAAAGTTTCAAAGTACTTCGGACCTGGATTTTCTGATTTGGATCTTCTCTCGACTGTCAGGATGATTTCATTCTTGTTCAAGTGCACCAAGTTTCCCTCCGAGATATGTATCTTTTGGTAGCTTCGTTTCGTAAGCTGCGGTGGAAATGTCCGGTGATCTCAGTCTTCAAGTAGTAGTACAAGTACATCCAATGTCGTTTCGAACCTGGGGGCAATCAGTGCATGCCAGTGTCCGTCTGTTTCTTCTACGTGCCCTCTGACCGTTCCAGGCATACATAGTACAGTATTCTTGAAATGATATGGAAGGCAAGGACCTATTGCTGATGGATGTTTGGTTATTGGACATTCGGTTTTTCAACATCGTTTCCGACGCAAAACATTCTCCTGGAATATGAGGGCCCCCTAAGAGCCCCTAAGTTCCTGCCAGTGCGGCCGGCCGGGTCTATCATGGGCTCCGGTTTGCTAGCATGCTGCATGCCGAAGTACGAAGCATTGCTCAATTTAAATCCGCAAATTCACGTCACTGAGCGTTATCCGCTGGCAGGAATTACCAGGGTAAAGATAATGTGGAGATGACTACTAAAGTTTATCGTTTGACAGAGTTGACTCTCTTTGGTCCGCGAGCCTCTAGAACAATAGTGGTCAACATCACGAGGCCACCTCCACGAGGCTATTGACGTATAACTTACAATTTCTTGTAACCCACTTCTTGTACAGCCACGTTCAACGTAACATCCTATCTTCAACGATAACGGCGAGCCGTAAACTCGACGAACTGGCACTAGCTCCTGCGGACTCTTCGTCTAGTATATATTATTTCCTAACAATTCGACTACGTTAAAAAACGAGCCAGGCGAGATGGTGGTGAGTTTCATCCAAGTACCTACGAATGGGTCATTGGTTGTGCTGATTGTGAGACCTGCAACCTCAGGCTGCAAATGCGATCGCAACAATATCTCTCGTTGACGCCGTCTTTGAGCCTGTTCCAGGTGGCAAGTCAATTGCAGACCTTGAACTCGAACGAGGCATTGCCCCTTGCAATAAACCCTACATTCGGCCTGAACGTGTTATTGACAAGAGGTACCTCGACTCCGATGAAGATGAGGAAGACTTCAAAAATACCATAGGCCCTGAGCCACCAGCCCGAGTGCCCTCCAACCTCCCACCGGCCGGTAACTTACATGCAAGTTTACGAATCGCTCGACGTATTGCATCTGGACGATCTGGCATTGTGTTTGAGGCCGAGCTTGATGAGGACGCATCCAGTCCCGAGTTGACAACCGCCACTTTACCACGCCTCGTTATCAAGGTCTGTCACCCGCCGACCTACTATAGAGTCGCCCGAGAGGCCTTCTACTACGAAGAGATGGAGTCTTTGCAGGGGACAGTGATACCTCGTTACTATGGCCTCTTCCAAACAACGCTTGAGCCTGGAGTTATGTTTCGATATTGGAAGATAGAGAAATTCTGGGGCGGCAACGGTGCCAATGACTCCGACCAAGAGGATCATTCTGACTTTCCCCGTTGTTTAACCGTTCTCATTTTGGAATACGTTAGCGAAGAGTTTTTACCTGTCGGACGGAAATTAAATGACAAGGTGATGTGAGTATCATTCTCGATATTTAAGATGAATCCGTCGCTGATTCTTCCCCCAGTATGGAGATTAAAGAGATGTTTAGAGAACTAGCACGCCTTGGAGTCTGGCAACCAGACATTCAGTACTCCAACATATTGCGAGTGCCCAACGCGGAGCTCGAGTTTGGTGCCTCTGGCAAGTACCGATGGCGTCTCGTGGACTTCGACAGGGCACGCAAGTCAAACATGAGTCTGCGAAGGTTTGAAATCGCGAATGAGGATCGTTTGGATCCATTGTTCCGGTAGCTACCTCGTGATGTCATCAGAGAACCTCGTCGAGGTCGTAGGCAAAGGCATTCTGAATAATGAGCCATCGGCATTTACATACCATTGTATTAACAGCTATATTACGGATGGTTGCGTCAAAGATCTTTCCTGGATTTCTAAGTCATTACACGTAAGCATCGAAACACATTCTTGATACACACACTGTCGCTCTCAGTTCACTAGTGCACTGCTCAGCTGTAGTGTCACCAACTTTAGAAGGAACCGCTCAAACCTATTCTCGACGAGGTCCGGTGAATCAGAACAACAGGACCTCGTTGGGCCTAATTCGCTCATGCATCTGTCGCAATATGTCGTTGACCTGCCTTGGCTGCGCAGGGCATTATCTCCGGCTAATGAAGGCAACACTATGTCCTCGGGCTCTGTAATGAGAATGCCACCTATCCAGCCTCGGATTTCGTCTCTCCAAAGGTGACGACAACATTGGTTCTGATAACGACCCTCTCAGTTCCACCGTTGGCTCTAGTGGAGATGCAGGAATGTCATTGCGCCAATGGGTATCTTCGAACCACCACTCGATTGCATCGTCCAGGCCAACATGGGAACTCCGGCGAAACCTATAGACATTGTTCTCGCCGCACCATCATCGAGCATCGAAACATTTCTCTGCAACCGCTCGAGGCTGTTCCAGTCATCAACTGTCCTCTTCTCTCCGTTTCGCCGAGACCGAGGCAACCCTCGGTGACAAGTCAAATACCTCCTTGTCCTCTCTACGTGCGCCTTCTGTCGACTTCTACGGCTGGGACGTGCGAAAAACATTCCAAGTTTCAGGCAATCAAGCGTATTTTGACACTGGAAGCTGTCTACGCGTTCTTCGGAGGTTCTCTCATCCCATCTTATCTTTCCACGGTCGGGACTTGTGAAGTTGTGGTTGGGTTTGGATACCGGACAGTTGATACGAAGTTCATCTCCGTATGCTATTGTACCGAGCTTCCCCCGATGACGAAAATAGCAGGTTTCAGCGGTCGGTGAAGTTTGCATCCTCACAATTTTGAGTGGTGGCGCCAAGGAAGAGATTGGTAAGTTACTGTTCGGTCGTGATGGATGGATATTCCATGATTTATCTTTATTTTCTAATAGTCCTGCAGATTCTTTGAATCAGTGTTTGGAACGTTTTCGTGTCACTTGGTCGTCATTTTGTTCTTACACCTTCACTCTATTAATATGCACATATGGACAAAAGCATCATCTAGTAGTCAACAATCGACAACATTATCGACGTCGGATCAAGGACTCGAGAACACGGTTACGCCCTCGCAAGCTTTCGCAATCCATGGTTTTGCGTAGCTTAATCTTATGCAGGGCTCATTACTGACGTAGTTTTCGAGTCTGTTTGTTCCTCCAGGTGCGTGATGGGGTCAGGGAATTAGCGTCAGCTCACTTCGGTATGCTTTCTATGTGGCTTTCGCACTTTACTCATGATCTAATCATGTCAGTTCCGCGGTGCACCGTGCCTCCCAGTCACGACCAGACCATGAAGTATGTGGCGTAAAAAGGTTGACCAGGATTACGCGCCACAGGCAAGTATCGTCTAAATGAAATATTATTTAGCGAAATGATTGAAGGAGATACGTGTATGGCATGCGCTCCACTTAGATTGAACTGCGTGAGTTCCATGCGGAGCATGTTAGAATGGTATGTGTCCGTCGCTTACTTTGAATCTATGTCTCTGTTATGGAGCACTTATAACGCTTTGATGTTGTTTTGGTTGTACAGCGAGCTCTTCCGTACGGCGGAACGATTGCAGTAGGCCTCATGAGGTAGTTGCCACTACGCACATTGTCGTATAATTTGCGATTTTTCCTTGTCGCTTCCTAAACAGCGGTATCCAAGACTCGTTTTCCAAGGTTTCGATTGAACTTGTTGAATCAGTTTTGCACCTTTTCCCAACATTCGCCAATCCTTACACTTCCTCGATGCCGTCCTTTAGTCATGAACCGAGTGATATGACAGAGCATATCACAGGAAAAGTGCTGGTGTGTCCCTTCACATATCAACGGCCAGTTTCTCGGTGTATTGACTATGCCAATAACGATCCCAGACTGCAAATATTATTACACTTCTACCTCTCATAAGGCGAGGCCGCAACTCATCCTGTTCCTGTCATCGATATATTCAATGATTCCAAAGGCTCCAACCCACCATCCTGACTACCCTCATCTTCCATCCCCTGGGAATTTCAACGCAGGATTTCAGTTTATTTGTAAGATTGGATCTGGAAGACCTGACATCGTGTACGAGGCTGAGCCTCGCTGACCTGATGCAGAGACCTCGTATGTCAACCGTTCTACAGGGTCTAACATGAGGCGTACTACTACGAAGAGAGCTTGCAACACAATCGTCCCAGTACTTAGAACTTTCAACCCCATCGAGGAGTATTCGTAGTTCCATCTCACCAAAACGGCATGGCCTCTCATCGGATATCTATGTATTCGACTAGATGAGATTTGCATATGATTATTAGACCGGACGACTAGCTGTATCCGATCAGAGCAAGTGGCGCCATGGTGCTACTTACTGAATAAATGAGGAGCTCCTATATGACGTCGACTGTCGTCGAGTACGAGAGATTCTCACTTCTAACATGCTCTGGACTACGCTGGGCAAGTTGTACAATATATTTTGTGAGATTATTCAGTGCTGGAAGTAGGTTCAACACAGGGCTGGAAACTGACTCAATTTCCATAACAACAAGCAGGAGTAGTGTACAATTCATACTAAGATTGAGGTGACTTGAAATTTCAGCGACCTCCAATTCTCCGCCTTGTCGCTATATTCCACGAGACTGACCTCCTTGATTTCCTTGACCTCCTCGACTTCGACCTCCCTGACCTCGACCTCCTTGACCTCCTCGACTTCGACCTCCCTGACCTCGACCTCCTCGACCTCGAGCATGCTGGACGCGCTTCTTGGAGTAAGTTATAACAAGATCAGCATTATCAGAGGCGTCATCATCGTATTCTGAGTCACTGTCACCGTCTTTGAATTCCGGTTCAGACAGGTCTTCGTTCTGTTCATGATGCTGTCTTCCGCCAGTTCGAACAGATGGACGCTTGCCAGCCACACGCACATAGTTCAGAACAGGACCTTCGGCGACTTCCCCGCGTTCTGGCGAGGATGGTGGGGTCGGAGGTGCAGTACGACTTGTAATCAAACTTGCCTTAATAGCTGCGGGCAAATCATCTTTGGGTCTTTTCTCTCCTGGCTGTGCCCAATCAAATGCGAGGTCAGCTAAGGGGCAAAGGTAATCATCGATGAAGCCTCGGCTACGTGGATTCTCTATCGCGGGGGATTTGTGGTCGATCGCGGCAAATGAGAGACCGATCAATGCATGAAGGACGTCTGAATCTTCCCAGTTCTTCATGTCTGAGACGCACAATGATGTCGCACCAATCCGTATGAACAACACAATACTGCTGCCATTCGTGAGGAATGCATAGTCTGATTGATATGCATACATTTCACCCCATACCTGTAGAGGCGTGAAACAGTCAATGATGCGACACAATGAGACCAACCTATATATGGACTTACCTGGCGGTATAAATCGTCCGTCTTATCGATCGCATTCCAGTCAAATTCTCCATTTTTGGTTTGCACCGCATCAATACTGAACATCTCCTGCAATGTTTCATTAGTCACCGTCCAATATGGTTTGATCTCAGCGAGTGCGCCATGGTGTAACTTCTCTGGAGTGACATAACAAACAAAATCCGGAAATCCGGCTCTACTACTCCCTGCAGCTGTATCCTGATGAGAGGCGGCTACGGGTCTTCCCCAGTATGGCATGTAGCTCTTCGCAGGAGGGAAGCATAGATGATGCTTGTCATTGCGCCATCCAAAAGGCTGTTTGGTATTTTCTGATTCAGTCTGTGGTTGATGTTCCTGTATTTTGGCCACTTGACTAGTGGTTGCAGTATCTTCGTCGTAAGGCTCGTCTTCATTGTCAGGCTTGTCTTCGTCGTCAGGCTTGTCCTCCCCGTCAGACTTGTCCTCCCCGTCAGACTTGTCTTCTCCGTCGGGCTTGTCTTCTCCGTCGGGCTTGTCTTGCGTGGTGTCGGTTTCCGGTAAGATGACTCCAATGTGGATCCTGTCAGGGTAGCGAGTCTAATGATGGATTGCGTGAGTCTTTATGGTGTGAATTACGGGCCGATTTAGGTCACATACCTGAAGCAGTGCATTCATTGGTACGACTAGCTGGTTGTGGACTTCGTCTTGCACGGCGAGCTCACAATTGACCATGCCCTCACCGCGTTGGGCAAACCAAGTAAACCAAGTATAGATCCGATGTATTCCGTCGCACTGCTGTCTAGGATCGGGAAGACCATCTGTACCATCTTCGTTCCACGTATTTCGGCCATTGGGGTCGGCATCTGCATATTTTTTGCATTTGTTCCACAACATGGAAGATCGAACAATGGTCTTCAAGCGAAATCTTTCTGGCATATCTTTGATATAAGCAGGAGTCTTAGTGGTAAATGAACCCTCCGTCGAAAGCGGGAACCGACGCAGAGGTTTCAGTATCACCTCCTTGGGTAGTTCAGAACCTTCCGGCAATGATGCGTTTGGACGACGTGGAAAAGGTAAAGCTGGACCAAACCACGGGGTCTGCTCTCGCCGAAGGGCATTGGGGCCACCGGCAACAAGGCGGTCAGGAAGAAACAGACAGCACTGACTGGGATTTGCATCCGCCATTTCGATGCGATCCATGATAAGTGATTATATGGAGGTTGAGAGAGGTTGAGAGTTGGAGAAACTTTGTCGATAGCAGCATACCTCACGGTCCAGGGGGTATTTATACTCTTCTGAGGAGGCGTAACAACATACATGAGTCGACAAGAAGAATCCGTTTCTTCGCATGCACCCCATCATAAGGTGAGCGAAACATGTTTGTTCCAAAACGGGTTACGCCACATGAATTAGAATCTGAGCATGTAGAAGATCTTGAATGTGATTCTTCTGCATACGCAGTAAGTAGAAGCGATGAACAACTCCATCTGGTATAAATCTCCAAATAAAGGTTATTGTTTCATTACCAAAAGCTTGCTAATTTCGACTGACTGTACCGGCGAGGAACTGTGCCACGAAACAACATTCTCAGTCTGTAAGATGGGACGAGTTGGGCTAAGTCTATTACCTGTTCTCACTGGTGACATGATGACACGTCACTTCATAGCAACCGTAGCTATGCTACTTATGCACGTTTTCATCAAGGGAAATTTTGGTCGCACCAGCTCATACTCCAAACTGACCAAATATATCCGAAATCCAGCCTGACACGGCAGGATCGGGGTATGTTGACAGGAGGCTGTAATGCGAGAATGTCTGTGTTTGGAAAGTGGAAACATGCAGAAACTGACGACCTGCAGATACTGGTTTTGGTTGTAGGATGAGGAGAAGGTACCATGGCAACGCACACTGTGACTAAATTCGGATTTGGGCAAATGCGCCTCCTCTTCAAGCGCTTAACTCCTCGTTCTGTATATATAAGACATTCCGGTGGCTTGAGTTACTGTCAACTTGAAGTACACTTTATTATTCACTTTACTGATCAATATGTCGGACACAGATGCTACTAGGATGCCATTGGTGAGTGTTGAGTTAATGCTGTTTCTGGGGGACAGGTGTCATCGTCTTTCATAGGGATCAAATGCCATTGCCAAACTCATTGTTAAAGATGCTTGTGCAAATGGCAACGCTTTCACAGACCTAGAGCTCGAACGATCTACCCCATTCCGTAACAGGCCAGAAACCTTGCTCGCCCCACAAGAGGACAACAAGTTTTTTGAAATAGTTACTCCAGAAACGCTCCCTGCAGAATCCATGCATCTTCATCTATCGCTGGGTTCCGAGCTCGCTTTTAGCCCATTTGGTAGAGTCTACGATGTAAAGGTAGATGGCGGGCGTTCCAGTCCAGACCTCATGAATGTTGCCATCCCTCCCCTTATCCTGAAGGTTTCTCCTCCGAACAAAACATATAAGAATGCTCGCGAGGCCTTTTATTATGAGAAGATGCCAGAACTACAAGGCGTTGTGATTCCTCGCTATTACGGCGTTTTCCACGCTACCATACCATCCGGTTTCAGATTTCGATTTTGGACGCCCGAGAAGATCATTGGAGGCCCTTCCGACGGCGATTCTGATTACGAGGATCACTTTGCTATACCTCGCGTCATCACTATCCTTGTGCTCGAGCGAGTAGGTCCTAAGTATCTGCCTCTTGGAAGGTCTCTGCATCAGGATGAACAGTGAGTCGTGATTCTGAAGATTATCGACTTATACTGATATTTGTCACCGTCAATCAGGGAGGAGTTATCTGCCATGCTTAGTGATATCGCGCGACATCGCATCTGCCATGGTGATATACGCTACACGAACATACTCTCTGCTCCGGCGCGAAGCCCTGAGTTCCCGCGCCTTCGTTCGCCCTACACTAAGCGCAAATATCATTGGCGTATTGTTGACTTTGGTGAGGCTTATGAGAGCACCATGTCGAAGGACCGTTTCGCCAAACACATTGAACGCGCCTTGAGAGATCTATTCACGGAGCTTCGTGAGCGCAGGATGATGAGATCTATGAATTTAAGTAGGGGCGAGAAAGCCTGATGTCAATCATAGTGTCTAACCTATCTATGCTTCCGAGTCCATATACCATAGTACTTGTGCAAATCACCCATTCACGATGAATGACCATGTAATTCTTATACTTTCCCAGTTTGGATCAGAAACCAGTGAACACAGCGGCCTGAAGGTTAAGCTTGAGCTTGAAACATGAAACTTTGAGGAAGCAACCGTCTTACTGTCAATCTATGTAAATTGGGCGACCTATCGACTCGACGAAAGAGAGTATGAAGATACAATACAGGGGAAATCCTCCTGCGCCGAAGGGAGGGCATTGCCGTGTCTTACTGCAATCAAAGAAGATGGGACGTGCCTTCAGATGAGAATGATCGGCAGACAGGACGCCTCAGAAAATCGGAAGATTGGGAATTTCTCCTATCGGAAGACAACGAAGCATAGCATCAACATAGCATTGATGAACCCTGAGTATCAATTCAAACGCCAGGTTCATTCTTCAAGCACAGTCGAAATCGACCAAACAACACCTGTAAGTTCATCCCATATACGGGAAAGTTAGTCCCGGAAATCCCGTCTTCAGCCAGCGAAGGATATTGGAATGTCGAACGCCTCATGAAGAACGCTGAAACGAGATAGATCACTATACATGTCAAGCAAATCCTCCCTGTGGTAATCGTGAGCGACGGTGACAAGCCTTATCGAAGTGAGACCTCACCTGGCAATGGCGCGCAACGACCGACCTACGAGGACTGGTCCCCTAACGTGTTCCACAATGAGAAGGGAGATGGAACGGGGAGCGCTGGATCGTCGTCAAACTATTCATTTTCTGTCGACGAATTATATACCTCTTCGCCGTGCCATATTTAAGATCCATGTCAGGTGGTACCTCCAACTGAAAGAAACCGTAATATCGTGGGACGACAACCTCGGAGAGAGGCTCCATCTCCTCATAGCAGGCTGCTTCCCAGTTAAGCCTCTTGCTCTTGAGCGGGAGAGATATTTTGACAACAAGAGGAGGCAGCGAGTCTTTCAACTCAGGACTAGAGTTTCCGTAGTCGATCTCTGCCTCAAATACAGTCCCAACAGCACCTGCATCTATCCTTTGGCCTAGTATTAGTCGCGCAGAAAGACTGCCGGGAGGAGGAAGATTCGATTCGAGGCGCGGAGGAGCATCAGGCCCGATAATAGGAGTGTACTGAAAGCTTTCTTTCTTGATAAACGGTGGAGGTGGCGATGAATTGGTACGACTGAATTGGAGGTCGTGAACTGATCCGTTATATACTCCAGCCACTGCAAGAACAGCGGTGGAGATCGCATTCGCAGCCTATAAAATACGAGGTTACTGCAACTGTTCGGTGAGCAACTCTGTGAGAAGCACAATACGTACGATTTGTTCCAAGTGTGCCATACGGGTCAAGGGCGGGGACCTGTAAAAGAAGAAACATGTTTATTAAATAGCAATCCCGTACTATTCGTAAACCGTGCTGCACACGTATCGCACTTGGGTCATCATGGAAGCAACGAGTTTCTAACAAGCGCCCACGTGCACGTCAGTTGACAAGCGCGCAGACATACTTACTAGCACACTCGGAGCATCACCAACCCCACGTTGTTACTTACGACGCTATGAGGTACTCGATTGTGAACTACTTACGAGATCTACCTCTGCCTCGCGGTGGAACGTCGGCTCCGGTGAGGTCTTGGCAGCGCCTCGTTTACCTTGACTACATAAAGAGTTCCTGAGTCTCTCGTCTGTGAGCAGTATTCAACGGCATGACAACTTATGACAAATCTGAGGCATTGGTATGCTATGTTCTAGCTTTCGTTCACGGCTTGATTGAAACGCGCTGGATTTGTTTAGTCCAGCCGTGACATCACCACAGTAACCATTGCTGGGTGCTTCAACAACTTCCTGGATGGCTCTCAAGCCAACCTTACTCTGCGAAGGGGCACACCCTACCCGAATAAGGAAGACGTGGACGACCCTCTCGACTCTGACGAAACATCTGCAGTACAGATATCTCCTCCGGTCGCTTTGCACTCCCCCGACGACGTACTGGATCGCCCTTCTGTTGGCAAACTTCATGCCCGCTTGTTGCTGGAAGAAAAACTCATTGCGCAGGGCGAATTTGGCATCGTCATGGAGGCCAATATCGACCTCTCATCTTCTAGCCCTGAACTTGCTCGAATGAAGCTCCCGCATCTCGTCGCGACCAAAGAAGTACTACAAGATTCCGAGAGAAGCGTTCTACTACGAGTACATGGAGTCTTTGCAAGGCTCTGTTATTCCTCGCTACCATGGTCTGTTCCAGGTGACCATTCCTGAGGGAGTCAGATTCAGACACTGGCCTGTGGAGAAATCCCGTATAGATAATTTTGAGCTAGAAACCTATGGCGAACACTCAGACGATGAGGATCATATTGCGTATCCACGTGTGCTCACCTTACTGCTTTTGGAATGTCTCGGCAACCCTCCCTCGCGCCAGACTACAATGGATGATCTGGAGAGTCTGAAGCACGTAGTTCTGCCTCACTCACGGCGAGTAACTAATAATTGATACATTCACAGGTCGCAGGCTTACGAAATGTTCTCTGAACTGTCGCATCTCTGCGTAAAGCATGGCGATATTCACTCTCACAACATTGTCAGGGCAGCACCGCGTCTGCCGGACTTCCCGAATTTACTCTTTCCACGTCATCAGAGAGTCTGATTGGCGACTGATTGATTTCAGCCTCACACGTAAGACCGATCTCCCTGAGTCTATGCTGAAGATCGAGAACTGGGGAAGCTTGAATCATTTGTTGCGTGACCTTGAAATGGAGATCAGGGTCTCATCCATAGAGTAGTAGGATTCAAGCCTATGCCTCGTGACCCCTGTATGTTTCGTTCATATCTGAATGGTCTTGTGTATATACATCTGCATCATTTGATGCCTGCACATTACGCAGAAATACAGTGTATCAGTCTATCCTATTCTGAGTCACTGTAAATGTAAACAACTGGAAAAGGATGTAATAAATGCGTCGCCTGCGATGTTGCAACTTACAATGAGGACGAAAGCTAAAGTTAATACGTACTATCCTAGACAGAAGCCCGATTTTTACCATACCGTGCCATGAACGTCCATGCCTCCTCAGTCGGCGTCTAGCTGGGAGATAAACCTAGTCTCCCCCAGGCAGACTTATATACAGGTTTATAGAGGGGAGGACGGACGACCCGTATTAAGTCTTATAACTCGAACAATCCTTCTGTCTACTCATTATCCAAGATGTCAACTCATGATATTTCTGAGATGCTGGTAAGTGATGTCCAGTATCTTACTCCTGTACGTGGTTTGACTCGATGGTCTCGCACACGTCCAGTCTAGTCATGATATCGCCACAGTGACCATTGCTGAGTGCTTCAACAACCTCGTGGATGGTTCTCGACCCGACCTTACTCTGCGAAGGAGCATGCCTTTTCCAAATCAGGAAGACATAATGAAGCCTCAGACATCGCCGGTACCCTTGCAGCCCGTGTCCGATCGTCCTTCTGCTGGCAAACTTCAGGCGCATTTGCTACTCGCTGAAACGCCTATTGCGCAAGGTGAATATGGCATCATCTTGAAAGCGAACATCGAATTCTCGTCTTCTAGTCCTGAGCTTGCTCGAATGAAGTTCCCACCGCTTGCCGTGAAAGTTTGTCGGCCAAGAAAGTACTACAAGATTCCAAGAGAAGCATTTTACTATGAGTATTTGGAGCCGCTGCATGGCTCTGTCATTCCTCGCTACTATGGTCTTTTCCAGGTGACCATCCCTGAGGGGGTCGCATTCAAATATTGGCCTATAGAAAAAATCCGCCGTCCTGATCCTTCCTGCGAAATCTATAATGAGGATTCAGACGATGAAGATCATATTGCCTACCCGCGTGTGCTTACGTTGCTGATTTTGGAACGCCTGGGAGACCCTCCCTCACACCGGACTAAAAGTGATGATCTGAAGGGTCTGAAGTATGTCATTCTGCTTCACTCACATCCAGTGGTTAACGATTTAAATGTCCACAGATCACAGGCATTGGACATGTTGTCTGAGCTGTCCCATTTCCACATTAGGCACGGCGACATTCATTCTCGTAACATCGTTATGGCGGCACCTCGTCTGCCGGACTTCCCAAACTTACCGTCCCCATGTCATCAGAAAGTCTATGATTGGCGATTGATTGATTTTAGCCTCGCATATGAGACCGACGTCGGTGAGGATGCTATGATGGACGAGGCCGCGCGATGTGTGGACAGTGTGTTGGATGACGTCAAGATGGACATCAAGATGGCGTCCAGAACGTAGTAAGAGACCGTTGAATTCATGTTTTCTACACGTCAGCTATTGGCGTCCATGTCTTCTCGTATTCAAGTAGTTTGTGTTTATATGTACATGTACAGTATGTGGTGGCTGCACGGCACGTAGAAATGCAGTGTATCAATGTCTAGCCTTCATTGATCTATTCTGAGTGGAATTTCGATAACTGAGAAGTGTGGAATTAATGCGTCGCTTGCGATGTTCCGAGTTCTCACGTTTCCGGCTTTTTCTGATACGCAGTGGCCAGTATGCAAGAGTCGCCAATTAAGGTAATCCCATTGGAAGCCTTCAGACAACAAGAACAAATATTCTTCGAAAACGGTGAGGTTACACAACACCAACCGTACCCTTGGCATCGTAAAAATGTCGCTCGTTCCCATAGGAGAACATAGGGGCTAGGTATCCAGCTGAAAGAGTTTGGAAACAAATGAAAATCCATATGACACCATCATTCACAACTATACTCTACAATTGTCTAGATTGAATATGAGAATATCCTCCGCCCCAATCTTTACTAAATCATCCATGATATTCGCCATTCTCTTCTTCTCAACCATAACGCTCACCCCGACCCATCCATCATCTTCCAGTGGACTGACTGTAGGCGCACGACGGCCAGGCGTAACGGTAGTAGCAGCAGGAAGTTTGTCTCGCAAGATATTATACTGGCAAACAACGTAATGCCCTGCCGCAACGACACCCGCGATACGACTTGAGATCACGTTGATAAGAGGTTCATGACTGGGGTCTTTTGGTGTACTTGATTTGATTAGGACTGCTTCGGTTTCGAGAACCGTGGCGATGGCGTGCAGGCCAGCTGCGCGCATCGTATCACCAGATTCTATGACAGAGTGAGAAACCTGTTGCTACTATTTTGACTAGCGCATAAACTTACCAACAAGATCAACTTCAAAGAGGAGTTAGCATGAGGTAGTTTAGGCGCGAAAAACAATACGTACCAATTCCATCAGCAAGACCAAGGGCACAAGCGGCTTCTACACTTCCACCGACATACTCGATCTTGGTTGCATGACCACCAGTCAACTGGAACTTTTTGTCTAACTTGCTAAAGTATTTTCCGGAAAGTACTTCGAACGAAGTGACGACTCGCTTCCCTGCAAGGTCGTCTACAGTCTTGATCGGACCTGATTCAGGTACTTGTACTTGTAGGGCACATTTTCCAAAACCTAAACGAAGAACCTCCGTAACGTGTTCTTCCATCTGTGCTTCTAGGATGACATCGTGGCCGGTAATTCCAATATCGACGTTACCCTTGCCGACAAAGGAGGGAATATCTGATGCGGGGAGAAATACACTGTAAGATTGTGAGCCCAATATTCTGATAAATGTATGCAAAACTCATACAGTGCAATCGGGTGGTTCTTAACTAGACATACATCTAGTCTCTGGTGCCTTCGGAACTGAATGTCGGCACCTGAACTTCATGTGTTCAGCACTTGAGGTAAATTAATCAGAAAGAATGTACGTACCTGCTAGAAGCTCTAAACATTTATCATGAAGTCGTCCTGCATCACATAGTCAATCCTCTTGGTCCCAGTTGAGATCTTCGACTTCGATCACCTTTCTTTGGAACGGCAAATAATAGTCTGCCATCAAGGGATTCCGCATCTATATCAGTTAGCCTACATATATTCAAAGTTAACAAATTCCTCACTCATTCTGTGAAAATTACAGGATAGTGAATACAGCCAAGAAAAAGAACGTAACGAAGGAGAAAGGATCGAGTCAGAAGCGGAGGAATTCAATGATCTTGATCTTGGAGGGACTGTGGAATAGATAAGATAACAGACTATCGGCATCTTGCGGAGACATCATCTGTTTTGGTGGCAGTCTCTTCCTTCGTGACCAACCCCGACGTTCTCTTGACACTCTCTTCGACTTCATAAACATAGCACAAACGTAATGGCAGATCCTACAAAAGCAGAGACTGAACAAGTCTTCAAAGTATTGAAATCGCAGAAAGCAAACAAGGCCAGTCGGGACGCTCAAATGTTCCCCAGCTGTATATTTCTAAACACGGATCTTACACAGATGTGTTTCGATTGTCATGCTCGTAATCCGACATGGTCGAGTGTTACTTTCGGTCTTTACATTTGCTTGGATTGCTCCAGCGTGCATCGGAATATGGGCGTACATATCAGTTTTGTTCGGTGAGCATGATTCCAGCATCTTCCATGTGTAGCGACTGACAAGATTGGCTGACGCTCCCTTAGATCCACCAATCTCGACAGTTGGCAGCTGAACCAGCTAAGAACTATGAAGGTCGGAGGGAACGCATCTGCCACTGAATTCTTCACCAAGCACGGTGGGGCCACACTACTTAGCGACTCTGACACGAAGAAGAAATATACCAGTCGTATAGCCGAACTATACAAGGAAGAGCTTGCTCGAAGAGTGAAGGAAGATGCAGCAAAGTATGTCTGTTCTTTCCCTCAGTTTGTACGAGTATTGATGATACTGGTGTCACGTTAGGTATCCTACACGTATATTCGTTGAGGGCGCTTCTGAAGTTACGTCCGCACCTGCAACCACGAACGGAGAGGATGATTTCTTCTCTTCTTGGGACAAACCGTCTCCTAAACCTGCGTCCTCCCCCGCGTCTACCCCCACTACACCTCCTGTCATTGGTCGCTCGGCATCCGTGGCCGCTGCTCCACGAACGATCAGTTCATCGTCCCTTCGATCGGCATCCTCAGTTGGATCTGCATCTCGTCCTGCGTCCAAGCTTGGTGCTTCAAGGTTGAATTCGTCCAGTACCAGCACCGCTACAGGCGCCACGTCAACATCAACCTCCAGTGCTCCAAAGAAGTCAAAACTTGGTGGACTCGGAGCGAAGAAAGCTGCTGCACCTATAGATTTTGCTGAGGCAGAACGGAAAGCTGCTGAGGAAGCTGAGCGAATCAAGCAACTTGGATATGATCGCGAGAAGGAGAAGGTTGAAGAAGAGGAGCGTCTGAGGAAGGAGGCGGAAAGTTTGAAGTCAGCTCCTGCCTTGAAGAGTCCTGCTCTTGCGAAATCTCCTACGAGTCCTGCGATCGCAACGCCGAAAGGTAGCGCGCAAGATATGGAGCGGCTTGGAATGGGCTTCAAGAGACTTGGTTTTGGTGGCGTTCCTGCCGCTGCGGCTTCCACATCCAGCTCGTCTCCTGCAGAGGATGCACCTACTTTCGCTCGCGAGAAGTTCGGCAACCAAAGAGCCATATCGTCTGATATGTACTTTGGCCGAAACTCATATGACCCTGTAGCAGTTACCGAGGCGCAGACTCGTCTTCAATCGTTCCAAGGTGCACAGTCTATCTCATCCAATCAATATTTCGGACGTGATGAGGAGGAGGAACTTGGTGGCGGAATGGGCGGAGGGCACGATGGCGGCGTCTTGGGTGATGGAACACTTGGAGGATTGGAGATGGCTGCAAAGGACGCTATTTCGCGTGTGCTTGCGAATCCAGATGTGCAAAACGTGGGTGAGAGCATTCGTACGGGTGCCCTGAAGGTGAGTGATAGCGTGTACTTGGTCAGGCTTGTGGTGCTGAGAGTCTATTGTAGCTTTCGGATTACTTGGCTCAGATGTCCGAACGATGATGTCCTCCCTCCTTCGTATTTATTTGTATTCAGGATACAGCGGAATTATCAGGTGATTTTCATTTTTAAGTTATGACGACTGAATGGATTGGCCTTGGGGAAACTAAGCAACCTGTGGAGAAGCAAATCAAACTCTCTTGTGGAATTGCTGACTTCTCTATGTCGCATGGCGTTCACATGCTCTCACAACAAACTTCAAGAAGACGGTCAACGCCTGAAGTAAACCATGAGGAAGTGGTTCGGACAGTAAGACTTGCACTCTATCTTTGTATTGACCTCGGGTTCATATAGGATGCCTCGCTGAATGTTCGTGCAAGTCGTTCAGCTCCTCTTATCACAGAAATAAACCCAGGTATGTTTGCAAGCTTTCCTCGACCTCAACGCCCTCTTGTTTGAACAAACCTCGCCGTCATGACAGACACTCTTCAATCCAACATCGCCCCTCCCAGCTCGTTTCGCCATCGATTGTCTGGTCGAAGCCACGTTAGCAACGCCAGTTGGATCTCGTCACTGGCGATAACGTCTCCCCCTCCCATTCCCCCTCCCATTCGCATTACAATGGCTACAGATAACTCTCCGCGTTCGACGGAGAAGTTAACCATAGAAGACGATGATGAGTCTAGCTATGAGAACGTTAAGCACGAGGCAGAAGCCGCGCAATCCCCTACCACACCGACAGCGTCTCGTAGGAGCAAGGCGAAGAGCTTTATGGGCGGTTTCGTCAACGGCTTAAGGAGCATCCCGAGGGCTGTGACTCATAGCCAATTTTACGACCGCGGAATATCGAGCAGATGTTCTTCCCAAGGCATGACTACCGGTTCGGAGATGCAGTACAAGTTCGCGCACCAGCATTACGGCGAGCCCATTTTCCTCTCTCCGTCGAATATGCCATACCCTCCACGCTCAGCACCTCCAGCCACAACAGCATCTGAATATTCTCGAGAATATTACAGATCTGGCGACTCGATCAGTTCCCGAATTGGAGGTTTCCTCAGTGACTTGAGCAGTTTACCATGGATATCGACACGCGTGGCTATTGACTATATTCCTGGAGAAAGTCAGGGTCATGCTGGTCAATACAAGAGCTCGAGTTCTTGGTACAGCGTCGAACCGCCATCCACGCCTTCTGTGGTGTCCGATAAATGGCGCCTCGTGCCAGACCCGTGGTTTCCTCCACAGAATCTTCCTCCGACAGAAGAAGTCCCGGAGCCTACAGAACATGGAGAAGGTGCTGGTGGGAGCAATGCTCAAGTTGAAGAACCAGAAGAAATGAAACAACTACGGGAGGATGTGCAGACGAAGGCGAGGGAAGTGAATGATCTTCAGCAGATCGTTGAGCACCAGAAGAAGCATATCGCTGCATTGGAGGAAGAAGTGGAGAAGTTGAGAGAGGCTCAGGCTGAGGCTGCTTCCTCGGCTGACATTCATAGGCGGAGGAGCAGCACTCGAAAGAGTTTGTATCGGAAACGGGATAGTGTGAGGACTGTCACGTCTTTGCGTGCGTCGAAGTCTGTATCACGCCCTCCGTCGTTCTATGATTAAGTGCGCTATTTTATGTGGCTTTGGGGGACAGTAGCTATATATAGCGTACCTTTCATTGTTTGTATGAAAGCAGAGGCCAATATTGAGATTTATTGACATGCTTCCGGTTTGCCCATGAAAGGGATCGAGCCCAGAGCATAAAGCATAAATAGATCAACAATGTGATTTAAGGGCAACCATTTTGGACACCATCATCCGGCCTCGGCGATGCAAACTCATCTCGAACTTTGAACGCCTTACGAAATCACTATAAAGGCGGGGCGCCGCGGGGACGATGGGGAGGACATCTGTCACTTACTTGAACGACCACGGTCTACACGTACTTGCTTGATATTCGATATGAGCTCCTTCAGGGCTGGCAACTTGTTCGATGTCTCTGGAAAGGTCGTGCTAGTCACGGGTGGTAGCCGGGGAATTGGCAAGATGGTGAGAAGCTTTCAAGAAGTCAACAAACAGAGTTTATGCCAGTTCTGCAGATCGCCACCGGCTTCGTGAGCAATGGAGCAAAGGTATTCTGACGTTTTATTCCTCAAGCTGCGTGTTTCAATTCTCACAGTGCGGTTCGGTTCGTGCAGGTGTACATTTCTTCTAGGTCTGCGAAGGACTGTGAGGCAACGGCCAAAGAACTCAATGAACTAGGGCCCGGCAAATGTATACCCATTCCGGCGGACATGCAGAAGCTATCCGAAGTCGATAGACTGGTGAAGGAACTCTCCACTCACGAGAAAGTCCTTCATATCCTCGTGAACAATGCTGGCGCTGCTTGGGGCGACACTCTTGACGATTATCCAGTATGCTCATGCATGTAGTCGTCATCACATATCTGACACGCTCCAGGATGCTGCTTTCACTAAACTGCTCACATTGAACCTCCAACGAGTGTTTAACCTTACGCAGAATTGTCTTCCCCTTTTACGAGCCGCTGCAGTCGAAGGTGGTCAAGATGGACCAGTATACAGGGATCCAGCTCGCATTATCAATGTCAGCTCACTAAGCATATATGTCATCTTGGATGATTGCTGACATGGTTGCGCAGATTGGTTCCATCGAAGGTCTGAGTGTGCCTGACCATGAAACTTATGCCTACGCAGCTTCCAAAGCTGGGCTTCATCACTTGAGCCGCGTGTTTGCCGGACGTCTAGGCACAGAAGGCATCACAAGCAATACCATCGCATGCGGTAAGTCCCGAATCCTCTCCAACATACTTAAATATGTCATTTTGACTTGGTTTCGTTCAGGTCCATTTGAGAGCAAAAGTACATTTCCCTTATCAGCTTTTCTGCGATTATATTGCTCATCGGTTTCAGTGATGGCACATACCCTCAGAACGACCGGAGAGATCATCAAAGCAGGGATACCCTTACGCAGAATTGGTGCGCCCGAAGATATTGCTGGTGCAGCAATCTTCCTTAGCAGCCGTGCTGGTTCTTATGTAAACGGCGCGACTATTGCTTTGGATGGCGGGGCCATTGTTGCGCTTCCGAGTTTCCAGCCAAAGCTGTAAACAAATGTTGATGTTACCCCGGAATTCAATTGGTATAAGACTTGCCTCTTCGCCGAGATTACTTATCTGGGTGCTTGGGGTGTATTATGTTTTTTCCTGCCACCGAACCTGAACGCCACCGGGCCGACCTCAAAAAAATCATCTTCCAGTGGGCAGTAGACCGGCATATTATCCAGCAGAGGTTCGGTGTTGGCATATTTCGAAGTGACATTTATTTCTTACAGTAAAGAAGGTTAGGTTTGCGACGGCCATGCACAAGCCGCGTTGCCGCAGTCTCAGCGATGCGCATACATCTGGTTTATCTGTCTCTACTGACCGTCATCAGAATGTCCTCTCTGCGTGGTGTGGATAGAGGTCGTAGTCCCAGAGGCGGCCGTGGAGGTGGTCGTGGCGGAGGAGGCATTGGTCGAGGGAACAATTGTGGTGGGAATCGTGGTGGGAATCGTGGTGGGAGCCGTGTTGGACTTGGTCACGTCGACCCTCGCGAGAGTAATGATCACAGTGCATCCAATGCCCCAAGCCATTCTACTCTGTCGAAGAGGAAGAATAAGCGTCTTTTGGCTACGGAGGACCTACTCCCTGGCGATATACACATATTTACACGACCTACCGAATACATCGGCGGGGTCATCGTCTTGGAGAATTTGCAGTACATCGGTTCATATAACTGGGTCAATGAGAACAAACCAGCAATTCTCGTACCAGGTCAGTCGCCTTTCATTTCCTGAATCTCTTGCATGAATTAATGGGAATTGTTTAAGGATCACCACCTGAGTGGAAAGACAACCGCCTACCCATCAAGCTTGCTCCTGACAGAGGCAAAGTCTACGTTGACCAGAACGCCCATCGCTTGCCAGCGATGCCCCTTTTGCCATTGTTCAAGGCGGTGGATGCCGTACAACACAATACAGCTATCAATTGGAAAGCTGTGGCATTTGTCACTGATCGGAATGGTCTTCGCAAGTTGGCGGACTGGGCAGATGGTGGGAGAAAATATGGGGAGTTCCGTATTGACATGCAGCTTACTGGCGATAGGACTGTTCTTCTACAACGATGGGAGCCATCGGCTGTAGTCCAGGCCTCTCGGGGTTCATACGGACATAACTTCGAGAAAATATCGACAACGGCATATCCAGGCTGCGAAGAAAGTAAGAGTCACCATCGCATAGTAAAATACGTATGTCACTTTGGTTCTGCGACCGGACTATAGCAACCTGATGGCATTGCCCTAACTCAACAGGATCTGAGCGGGTTGACCCTGATAGTGCGCTTTGAAGTCGATGCATGCCTCCCTACCGGCCCATCTGAAGGTTCCGGCGTCGCAGATGATTTGGCTAGGCAATTGTCAAGTCTGTCTGTTGCATCGAATGATCCAGTCTCACAGGGCACTTCAGCATCAAGAGGCACAAATAGTAGTGTCATCCGTGTCGTTGGTGGTGGACGCATCGTTTCGCATGCGGACATAGTAGAACTGAAAACTGGGACAAACCCAAACGTTAAAATCGCGAAGTATAGGGACCAACTTCTGATAGGTCAAACACCACACTTATTCCTGGCCATTCATAACAAGGGAAACGTACGCGAGATACGCAAAACCCAGTTGGCGCCTGCGGAAATGAACGGCCTGGCAGGCCTTCAGCGGAAGTTTGGGAAACTCCGAGCTTTGTTACAATCCATTCAGGAGTTCGTCATTACCCAAGGGTCTGGAGCACGGTTGAGTCTGATTTGCAAGGGAGGTAAGTTGGAGGTGCAAAGGCGAAAGAGTCAGCACAGTGCATTGCCAGACGATATTTTGGCAAGGTTTGTTCTGTGAATGGTACGTTAGCAGCGACCACATATATGCTTCTGAACGTACTTATATTCCTAGTCGAGGGATTGAGCTCTGGAAGTTCGCTTACGTGTCTAATCGCCCATTTGAAAGACATTGTATTCTAGCATGTTTATTTCCCATTGACGCGCACTTCATCTATGGAGGTTGTCTATTAGGGGGTCCTTCATTGATTACTTTCCTTGATTCGCGAAACAAAACGCCATCATAGGGCAAGGTATCAACGATATGCAGAACATTGTTACAGGCGTAAGGCCCAGGCTGATTGTGAACCAAGAAGCTTGCCTCAGAACCCTGAGCACAGAAACCTTGAATGAATTACGTAGCCATATGCACACACGGAATCCTTTGACGAGTGAATTATGGCCAGTAAATAGCAATCGATTGATATTGGGTGTAAGAATGCCGAGCAATGTTGACAGGTTCGAAATCAGTTCCACGTCTGCAAGTTACCTATCCATAGGGCATTGGTGACGGAGACGTAGATGAAACAAGTACGTCGAGACAGAAAGTTACACGGACTGTATTATTTTTCGATAGAGGGGTCATCTATGCATCAGCACCGTTTACGAGGAAACATGGACAATAAACAGTCGGCTCGAACCTCAAGGTGTCTCGGAAGTGTATTAATACTTCAGACGTGAATGGATTAATACATTTGTGAATTTCGTCATACCGCGTATCCTTATACCCACTCCCGAGGGGTTCGCAATACTTTCAACAGCTTACCCTCCTCACTTGCTTCATCCGAGCCCAAATCGCTCATGTACTCCCAGCGCGCCGTCTCTGGAAGACTCATTAAGATACTCTCGATCCTGGCTTCAGGGGTTTGAAGCCCAAATTTCGTTCCCCGGTCGTAGATCAAGTTAAACTCGACATATCGACCCCTTCGAATGAGTTGCCACCTCCGTTCGTGATCCGAGTAAGGCGTATTGATCCTACGCTCGAGGATAGGCAGATATGAGGGAACGAAAGCGTTCCCGGCGGCTTTGATAAAGGCGAAGATCTCGTCTGGCGTCCTCGGACGAGGCTGGTCGTCGGGAAGGTGTTTGTGAGGCTCATTGGAGAAATCATCGAAGAAGATGCCACCAATACCACGGGCTTCACTGCGATGAAGGATATAAAAATACTCGTCGCACCATTTCTTGAAAGAGGGGTACAGGGTCTTCCCATGTGGGTCGCAGGCATCCTTCAACGTCTTGTGGAAGTGAACCCCATCTTCTTCGTACAGATAGGACGGCGTTAGATCGCATCCTCCACCAAACCACCACGCAACCACTTTTCCTGCTTTTCCTTCCTTCTCGGCCTCCGTAATCTCGAAATAGCGATAGTTGGCATGCGCAGTCGGAGCATGTGGGTTGCGAGGGTGGATTACAAGGCTTAGGCCTGCGGCAAAGAATGGAAGACTGTTCTGTGAATCGGGATCGTAAGGTACGGAAGTGTGATCGGCTCTCATCTGCTTTATTGCGGCAGGGGGAAGGTTGCCATGGACGACCGAGATATTGACCCCGCCCTTCTCGAGGGCTGAATTTTGAGATTGAGCAGGAGTACTCGAATCAGGAGGGGGTAGAGCAAAGACACAGGACAAGCCCCGTCCCCCTTGGGCACGAATCCACGAATCCCGCTTGAACGCAGGTGCATTCGGGTCTAATTTTTCCAATGCAGAGACAATATTGTCTTGCAACTCGACAATGTACTCTTCGACTTGTTGTCGCATAGGTTTTGTGCTCATTTTGGAAAAATCCTTGGCTGATTCTGAACGGTGGTGGGCCTGAGAACGGAAGAGATAGGGGAGAGTTAACGAACATCTTTCTTATATATACCTGAGACCTTTGTCCAAGTTCTTCACGAAACGCCAGAAACTCAACCTCGCTTTGTCTGGAACAGCTGAAGGCCGTAGTGGTTGTGTTCTCGTCCAAGCCCCTAAGGTCTAGCCGTTGAAAGCATAAAGGAGAAATGATTTACAGAGTGGCGCTGTTACACTGAATACAGTTTGTTTATTTACAGCTCTACTCTATCTAGATAGACTAGTAGAGGGCTGTATGCTACATGCATATCAAAATAAACAAAATACACAATCAACAACTGTCATACATGTTTCGTAACCGAGCGTATTTACTACTACTTCGCAGTAGCACCTTCCCTCTTCACACCACCACAAGCATGCGTTATGATTAGATTCATTCTTGTCCAGGTGAGTCTGTATATGGTCACTCTTGTATTTCGTATGCTATCGTTTGTGAAAGATAGAATCGTCAAGGAAAGACTCGTCTGTCCAAATGGTATGTTCCGTATGATGACGATGAGAAGGTGAGTGGCTGTCTCTAAGGATCGTTGGGCTCGTTGAACTCAGGAATCTCAGGTTCGGTTGCGAGGTGAAGTTCACAGGCTAGTGGCTCCTCGCGACCAGAAATATCAGTCAAACTTTGTGGAAGTATGTACTGTGTTATCTCTAAATACATCCATGGACTAATATTGGTTCCGTTCGTACAAAGTTCCGTAACCACAAGATCGTTTATAGACGATATGCTGGCTTGTTCTTCTGTGTGTGCGTAGATGCTAATGACAACGAGCTGGCGTACCTCGAAGCGATACACCTGTTCGTTGAAGTGCTAGGTACGTAGCTGCTGATATCACTTGCCCCCGTTGCCTCACCCGTTTCCAGACTCCTTCTTCGATAATGTGTGCGAGCTGGACCTGGTGTTCAATTTCTACAAGGTTTGTCGAATTTGTTCCTGGAATGCAGCCACTCAAGCTAGTAAGATCAGGTGTACGCCATATTGGATGAAGTGTTCCTGGCTGGAGAGATAGAGGAGACGAGCAAGGATGTAGTTCTGGCTCGCTTGGAGGAGCTGGAAAAGTTGGAGTGAGCCACCACGACTGCGGGTCTGTTTCTGTTCTGCCTAAATGCTTGAATCGCGTTAACGCCTTGGTTCGTGAATCAAGGTCTCCTTACCCAGCTGGTGTCAGTCATGTTGGTGCTGCTTCTCACTCGGTGGCAATACTTCATGGATTGGGACGCTACCAACTGTTCAACGACCGATCGTGGGAGATGCCACTAGTTGCCGGACCTATTCCGTAACTCACTGTATTCTAATTTCTCACATCGCGCTCTAGGTTCAGAATGTTTATCCCTGCATGGACAAGTATTTGACATTTAGACGTCATCATGGTCTGAAGTCTTGCGGCGTTTCGCAGAGTTCTGCGCTTTGTCAAGTGAGGTGGTCACAGGGTTCGGCGAAATATCTGATCAGTAGGTGCATCGCGCATCACCCTCGGGGGTTTTAAGAAGCAGACTTCTCTCAGGCTTGACGCAACAGGCAAGTGGAAACCTCTTCTGCGACTGGGAGTACACTTCTCGATACCCTCTTCAATGCGAACACGAGGCAGTCAATCCTTCTTCGGACTTCTGCAGCTCTGCGTGGAGAGTCTATTCATTTTTGTAGCCGAGTGCCGGTCCCGAGGGCAACTAACCAGACGGGAACTGTAAGGAACATCTCCGTCGATCAAAACTGCAGCGCCCGTCACAAAGGTACTGTATTCTCTTAATTGTCATGAAGAGATCTCCGACTGCAGTTCACGGGTATCCCCTCGACGACTGGGAAATTTATGACGAAGGAGATCCGTAGAATCGGGCTAAACAAAGCATGTGGATGCCATGTGTTCGAGGCCCTCACAAGCTTTATGTTCAAATTCGTGCTATCAATAACTGGCCCTTACCTACGGAGCAGGCTCACCTTGAAAGCATGGCTAGCGGTCGGTCCCGTCGGTGAAGCTACAACAACTTGCGGCGACCAAGATTCTTGGGTATCTACGCTGCAGTGTTACATTCACTCAATCGAACCGTAACGTACATTCTACGTTGCCGGTGATCCTCCTTGTGATGTCCGAAAAGCCTCCATGTTGTCGGAGCCTGATAGGCTGGAGCGAGGAACCTCGATAAAGCAGCTTTGATGAATATGCAAATAAGTACCCATGCTCAACGCCATTTTTTGCGTACCGTGGGGCCCAGGGCTGGACAACCTATCGACATTCATCCTCTTTCCCCGACGTTCAACCTGAACTCTGTATGAACGAATAGGCTCGAGGTGTGTTGGTTTCGTCAATAGAAGTTTGCTCCGCTACTCAATTGCGCGGTGCAATGACCTTTTTGTATGCAGATTACCCGTTTCACAACCGTTGAGAGGTGGCAGTCGTCTGCAAAGGCGGTTATAGATATCCAAGCCTTCTTGTTTGCTCCCCGGAAGATAGAGGAGTCTCTTCTGGGTCGCACCTTCGTGCCCAACGGGTTCGATTCAGCGGTGAGCAAGGTACAGTACATTACGACAAAGTTTAGATCTTATCTGACCTTCTTCGCGTGGCAGCGTGGGCAGACGTATACTTGTAAGCACATTATCTTAAACCTGATTCTAAGAGCCAACGTTGCGAGATTCCGCTCAGGGCCTGCCTCACGCTCGGCTGCCTTGCTCATCTGGTAGCCTAGGTAGAGATAAGACCAACGTAAGCACGTTCCTTGGCAGGACACGATCTTCATCTGATTTCGGCTCGTCAGCAAGGATCAGTTCCCTTGTATGGAACTTCCTCTCGAGGCCTACATGTCCATCGCCCGACATGTTGGCACTAGAAGAGAACTCGCGTCTCTTTGTCGTGTCTCGAGGGGGTTCCGAAATGCTGCGGAGCGTGTTCTTTACAATACCATCCACATGCATGATTACGTGCAAACGGCGTTGATCTGCAGAGTGCTTGCCAATTCGGTTCATCTAGCCCTCCTCGTCAACGCCATTTCGATACACGTCTCTGGAAGTGGTTCCGACAGCGAAAGCTCCCCAATCCCTCCTCCAGATGACTATTGGGGTCTGCTCGCCCTCGCACTCCAACAGACAAAGAGGCTTCGCTTTCTCAACATTTATATCGACGAAAGCTCAGACATGGGCAACGCATGGGTCCTGGATAGTTGCACGTTTCAGCTGCGGACATTTCATTGCGACTTTTCGTGGGACGAACACCTAGTGGCCTTCCTTAATTCTCAGTCCTCTCTTACCGACCTATACATATTAGATTTCCAAAAGGATACCAATAATCACACCGGTGCTCTTAATCTTCAGGCTCTCCCTAAATTATCAGTACTTGAATGCACTTTCATGGAAGCCGCCAGCACGCTCGCATCCAATCGTCCCCTTTCACGCCTCAAGTCATGTTTTACCTCATCTCACGTTGACGATAAACGAGGGGAAATGGCGACCCTTTTCACGAATATGCGACGTTCTCGAAGACATATTCGTGCCCTCGACATCGCAGACTCTGTGTATAACTCGGAATTTTCACTGCAGTTCCTAACAGAAGTCGCCGCTACATTCTCCAATTCACATCTGCGGTACCTTGGAACGCTGGCCCTTCCCATTGACGGCCGTGAGGTCCGAATAATTCCTTTGCCTCGCGCATTCCTTTGCTTTCCCATTCCTGACCCTAATCCCTCTCCCTCATTAGCGTATACAGTTCTACGGCTTGCTCATGCGCCTGCCTCGCCTCCAATGTGTCGAGCTTGAGGTCTCAGACTGGGAACCTGCTCCAATGACTCCTGCTGCTTTGAGGGCGCTCACGTATGAGTTGCGTCTTTACTGCCCTACAATCACCAGGGTGATCTTTGTTTATGACCTCGATCGAGTTGTGATGAGGATGGCGGACTACAGATGCGTCCTAGAACATGAGGCAAATCCTGAGTTGCTGTGGCGAGAAATTTAGCAGGAGCTGAATGGTGAGCCGCTTATACATTTACCTCTCTTTCTATCCAAATAATGACCATTCAACTAGGACTTCCACTTTCGTTGTTGATACTGTATGCATTCCCTGATATTCATCTGTAGCCATAGTCAACCTCTCTCCGTTTTCATTTATGTTTTCAATCAAAGCTCTTGGCCAGTTCACTGGCTCGATCGTCGGGTGCAGTTCCCGATGGATCTTTGTCCAAACAGCGATCAAGAACAATATAGTTCAGCGATGCATATGACTGCATTTATAATGACTAACGATGACAACCAAACCTTATAACTGTCTTTATTTCTGTACATAGCGTGATTTCTTCTGCTGGCACCCGAAACAGGCCTGGGGATCTTGGAGTTGTCATATCGACTCCACGATACAGTCAAGGACGGCGCATCTCTTCTCTTCCAACACAATCTTTATCGCCTCTTCAATGATGCTTTTCATAGACTCGCGCTCTTCGATCTTACGAGCCCAAGCGCGACCTGCGGCAACAGCTATTTGGCCATAATCCGGCATATCTGGTCCAAAGCCGACAGAGAGCCTGGCTCCAGATGCCTTGCTTCCGTGCCCAGATGGATGAAGGCCTGTCATCGAATTCTTCGGTGACTATCAGAAGATGAAGGAAATAGTTGAGTTTCCTTTATGACACGTTGTTCAACAGTGTGATACTCACAGCCCATCCACCGTTGTTCAGAACAATTGTCAAGAATGGCTAAAAACCGATCAGTATACTTTTTCTCCGACGCATAGAAGAAGATTCTCCCACCGTTTCATACCGCCTGGCGATCCAATACGCCGAACTAGGAACACAAAACATAAACGTTCCGTCTCCAACAACGGCGACCGTCAATTCCGGCACGTTCTCCGCTACCTCTGCTCCTAACTGCGCACCGATCGCCGCACCTAATGCATACCCCAAGCTGGTTCCACCTGAACAAATCATGCTACCAGGCACATCCGGCCTTACATGATCGAAGACGGCAGGATAGTTGCTGATCGCTTCGTTAATCCAGAGCGTCTTTTGGCCTTGGCTAGGGGTTAAGTCGATAGTAGCCTGGCGTAGGGTTGCGAGTATGTTTGCGACACTTGAAATTGGTCCAGCTGCGAGAGACGTCTCCAGCGTTTCTAATCGACTGATATACTCGTCATGCATTCCCTTCAGTTGCACCGCACGCTCAGCAATAGCCGAGAAATCGCGTGTATCCTCCATACTTGGTGCTTGGACCGCCTCATATAGCTGGTTCAGAGCAACTTCTGCATCAGCTCGGCAAATCAACTCTGCGTCGACGTGGGACCAACCCATTCCTTGCTTCAAGGGATCAGGATCGACAACAAACACTCTTGCCCCTTGCTTAGGTGCGTTGTCGTTCGTATCGATCCATGGGACGTCGGTGTCTAGAATCAGAATTACGTCTGCCTTTTCGAGTAGATAATTCTTCCCTGCAAACGAAGTCCCGAGGAAATGTGGGTGCGAGTATGGGAGACAGACGGCTGAAGGACAAGATGTAGTTACTGCTATTCCAAGGGTATGGGATAAGGCGGATAAAAGAGGAATCGTGAGTGGGTTACGACCCGCGTGAGCAGTAATGATCAGTGGGAAATTGGCTTTGACCAGAGCTACGCTAATGGATTGCACCGCTGTATACATCATGTTATCCCGTCGGACAAAACAGCGTCACAATTGAAATACCTATGGGATCCAGAGCTCCGGGTTGCACGAGAGGCCATTTGGTAACGTCTAGGGTTAGAGATGAAGCTGAAGGTCCCAGATCCTCTTCCATAACCTCTCGACGAGCCCACAGATAAGTAGGACCCTGAGGATCACTCGATGCACTATCGAGACAGCATGAGTGATAGATTTTAGTCTTCAATTGTATATATAAATATACGCACAACTGAAGTGCTCGCATCACTAATTTTCCAACAATCCGACCGCTGAGGACTTGAGCGGTATATCGCATGTACTGGCGAACGATGGCAGCTTGATCTGGCACGTCTTTCAAAGAAGACATCAGAATGGCCATGGTTCCTCTGCACGGAGTGCATACCTTGAGGCCACATGGGCCATTCATTCTTGGAACCTTTTAGTTCCCCTTGGCCGGAGAACGGAGCGCCACCAGCAAAGATTAAAACTGGTGTTCGTCCTTTGTCAACGTTATGAACCGCGCCAGCGAGTGCCTAAATGCAAAGACGTGAATTCCATTCAAGGCGACATGGTCCGTAGCAACTTATCATATGTTCTCACCTGCGTTCCGACGTCAACATGCACAATTACAGCGGCGGGCTTGCCTGCCACTTGAGCATACCCTTGAGCAGCGCTGAGAGCGACCATCTCATTTGGACATGTTACGATACGAATATCGCTATTACCATCATTCCCTACTCGTTGTCTCTCGAGTTCTTCAAGAAGAGCTGGATGATCGTTACCCCAATTGACGAAGGCATGTGTGATGCCGGCTTGATACAGAGTACGAAGGAACACAGCTGCAGTCGTTGTCATACTTTCAAGCCCAGTGATGGTTGAACAAAGGCAACAACATCCTGAGGCCTGCGACTTAGGATCTTTCTCAAGTTTGCGGTGTCAATGTTTCATGCGGAAGCCAGAATGGTCATGAGTCTAGCCCATGAGCAGGCTCGTATCTCACCCCTCAAGACGGCGATCGGAAAATCCCGAACCACCCTGGGGACCAGCTTCGAACGTGAGTGCATCCACTAATACGTCGCCTATAACCAACGTCTTCCCAGGCATATTCAACACGACAAGTGAGTAGTTGGAAGTGGGTTATTCATAACGCCTCTATTTCAAGCTGTAGGGTACCGAGGAGCTTATATTGATTCCACTACACATTCAACAACGGCACACCTCTTTTCCTCAAGAACAATTCTGACGGCTTCTTTGAGGATGGATTTCTCAGATCCCGGTAATTCAATCTTAGCAGCCCACGCCCCTCCGGCTGCCGCAGCTATCTGGCCGTAGTCTGGCATATCCGGTCCAAATCCCACAGATAGTCTGTCTCCGGAAGCTCTGCTCCCATGGCCAGCGGGATAGATTCCTTTCATAGAATTAATAGGTGACTGGGACAGCGACGTCAGCTTGCTCGCTATAAGTAGAACAAAAGGCCACTCACAGCCCATCCACCATTGTTCAACACGATTGTTAGATGTGGCTAGCTGCACTCAGTACAAGTCATGGAAGTCGAGTGATAAGAGGTGCACACCGTTTCATATCGTCTGGCCATCCAATATGCCGCGCTCGGAACGCAGAATAAGAAGGTTCCATCTCCTACAACAACAAGTGTAAGCTCAGGTTCTTTCCCGGCAACTTTGGCTCCTAGTTGTGCTCCGACCGCAGCGCCGAGACAGTAGCCTATACTTGTGCCACCGGAACATATCATGCTGTCTGGAATGTCCGGGCGAACATGATCGAAGACGATTGGAAGATTGCTTGAACACTCGTTAATCCAAAGCGTCTTTTGACCTCGGCTTGGTGTTAACTCTATGACAGTCTGGCGTAAGGTCGAGATTATGCTAACAACCGTCGGCGTGGGACCATCAACTGATGTCGTTTCCACGGCTTGCAACCGATGGATCCATTCGTCGTGCCTTTGTTGGAGGTTTTCTTTACGAGACAGAATTTTTTTCGAGTCCGGGGAGATTGGGAGGCCTGGTAAATTGACCGCCTCATGCAGTTGCGAAAGTGCCACCTCCGCATCAGCCCTACAAACCAACTCTGCGTCGACATGAGACCAGCCCATGCCTTGTTTCAAAGGGTCTGGATCTACTACAAAGATTCTCGCGTCTTGCTTTGGCGTATTTTCTTGTGCATCAACCCATGGCACGTCCGTATCAAGAATGAGTATTACATCGGCTTCGTGAAGTATGGGATTCTTGCCGCCAAAGGACATCCCAAGGTAAGTTGGATGCGAATACGGTACACAGACGGCCGAAGGACAAGAGACATATATCGCTATGCCGAGTTGATTGGAAAGTGCAGTCAGAAGAGGGACTGTACATGGGTTGCGTCCGGAGTGTCCAGTGATAATCAACGGGAAGTGGGCTGTAAGAAGGGCTGCACTAATTCTTTGTACCGCTAAACTCCTGAATGGTTATTTCACAGAGTGCCAGGCTGTTTCTGTAGGTACGTACCCTCGGAATTCAAAGCGGTTGGTTGGATGGACGGCCACTTCATGATGTTGATGTTCGTAGATGTAGTCGATGGTCCGGATTCTTCTTCCAAAACCTCTCTTCTGGCCCACAAGTAAGTTGGACCTCGAGGATCGCTCGTAGCACTGTTCAACTCAAACCTAGTTAGATGGTTCTCCGTAAGGCGAATACTATCGACACACAATTGAAGCGCTCGCATGACTACCTTTGGTACATTCTTTACACTCAATATTTGAGCCGTATATCGCATGTATTGTCGGACAATTGCAGGTTGGTCCGGAACGTCTGCACGAATAGACTTTGGTTGTGAGTAGTCAAAATTGAACGAAGGAACGTACCTTGGGGCCACATGGGCCATTCGTTTTTAGAGCCCTTGAGTTCTCCTTGACCAGAGAACGGAGCGGCCCCTGCAAAAATTAGGACAGGCGTTCGAGCCCTATCAACGTTATGAACGGCACCAGCGAGAGCCTATCGTACGCAAGCGTAAATTGGACCTAACAACGATCAGATACAACAGTTAAACCATAACCCACCTGCGTTCCCACATCGACATGTACGATTACCGCAGCCGGTTTACGCGTAACTTGAGCATAACCCTGAGCTGCACTGAGTGCAACCATCTCGTTTGGGCATGTCACGATCTGGACATCGGTGTTACCGTCATTCCCGACACGTTGTCTCTCGAGTTCTTCTAAGAAAGCGGGATGATCGTTACCCCAATTTACGAATGCATGAGTTATGCCTGCACGAGACAGAGTTTGGAGAAATACTGCAGCAGTAGTCGTCATGGTTCAATAGCGGTTGAGCAAGGACAGAGGGACAAAGCCAAATTTCGACTTCACGCTTCAGGCCTCAGATCTGGTCTGCTGCCTTAAATGAGACTTCGGCGTTACAGGTATCCTATAGAAGCCGGTGGTCATGAGTACTTAAAGATGTGAAAGATAGGATATCACTTACCTCGAACCTAATCAAGGTATCTTGCGTCTTTGAGTATTGTTCGCCGAGAAATTCCGGTCTGTCTGACTGAGCAAACCTTGTATGATTGTTCCGCTGTCCCGTTCGGGTGCATCTTGCTTTTTTCTGCACTTACACTGCTCCGTGTTGCCCTCAACATGCCCCGTCGTCTTGGCACAAATAGGGCTGCAAGATCCGAGCGGGAGCATATGGATACATGCCCGGAGACTCTCAGATAAGTACTATCTTTGTAGATCCGCTCATATGACGTTTGTTATCCTGTCAAAAATACTAACATCGGTCGTAGTTCAAGAAGTAACGTCCACGCTGAAATTCTCGATGAGGAGACTAGCTGAGCCCACAAACGGTTCCGTTCCAGTTTGGATGGCTTGTAAGAACTGAAGGAATATGTCAGGACAAGAATATTGATACACGGAAGAAATTCAAACCTGAGTGGAAGCAACGCCCTGTTCAGCAATCAAATACTCTGAAGAGTTGTTAGTTGACATACTTAAGTCACAGAAAAATAATTCAAGGCGAAACGTACTGAAGAACTCATTGAGGTCGACGTCGAAGTCCCTAACTTCCCCGTTTGCGCTGACGAACGAGAGAACTTGCCAATTGGCGTTAGGACCCTTCCAGAGGTTCCAAGAATGTCCGGCAATCTGGAGGTTGCTCAGGATCTGGGAGCCAACTGGTTGTATCCTGATAATGAACATATTGAGTTGAGTCTAACCGGCGATCTCAGGAGCGCCTTGGACGTACCCGCCAAGACCAGATAGCCAGATCATACTACAAGCATAAAACATGTGAGTGACACTTTTGCGGCGGATCCAATCGATCAGTACATACATCTCGAAAGAGGATGCACTTGTGGCCGGATCACCAGACTGCGGGACACCAGTCCAAATGTCGTAACTATATCGAACAAATCAGCTCAACAAAGCCAGGGAAATTTAATCGTTGATGGTCAGCTTACGAAACGTCGGCTCGGATACCCTCGGACTCTGAGAGATAAGTCCAAACCCAGTTTGTCAGTGCGGACTGAATGTTGCCCAACTGCAGTATGAATGCAAATGGGTAGCAAAAATCGATATCGCCTGTTGAAGCCTACCTGTACACCTTTGGCCGTGTTGTGAATGACATTGGCATCTATGCACTGTGGTATCACAAGCAAGAATTTCTATTCTATAGAATGCACGTACAACTCTTGACGTTGTTGGGACCGTTGGCCCAAGTCCAATTCGTCGCCCAGGAGACGTCATTTCCACTTGAGCTCAACAAGGTTGAGTTCTGCGATCCCACGCCGGCGACTAGACGAAACAATATGGGTAATTAGACCGGCGGAACAAGTGTGGATATGCTTACAAGCGCCCCACTGGTTCTGACACAAGGTATATGCGCCAGCAGCTGTACAATCGAACGCCCCCGTCAGTGTCTTTTGCGCCGAAGCAACGGCAACAAAAACGGAGAGCAGAGCAAGGCTAATGAAGTGCATGTTGTCCTTAAAACTACGAATTTCTGCGGAAAGTGGAAGCCCTGTGTGACCTCTTTATATTGCCCATGGCGAGAAACCATATTAAAAAAAGTAGTCCAGATGACCAGAACAAGATGCGAGAATTTGCCCCCGGCTCAGGGCCATGAAATTGAGACTGTTGGTTTGAGATGATCACGCAAATCAAAGGACATTCGTCGCGAGTGATCTGCTCGTATTGTCATCCATTCGTCCGAGAAGATTCTCCCGATGAACAGGTGCAGAGACATTATTGGACGCATTTCCTCCGCGTAAATCCGATAAACAACCGAGATATAGTTCAGAAAGTTGAAGCAGAATAAGTAGAAAGCATCGAGACTTCATAAATACCTATGCAGGAGAAGCATGACGTTCGTCATACGGATATGACCGTGGTGGCCATTCTATAGGAAACTCTATTAGTATCAAATTGACGTTACTTCAGCGCTACATTCATTGTTTTGAGTGTATATGCTCACCTTGGGTTGGGGAGCCTATCCCTGGGTTTTCCAACATACCAACGGTTAAACCGTTGGAGGTAAGGACTGAAGAGGCGCCCGAGTATGACCCATTTAGAACCCATTTAGAATTAGCGCCGAATCTTCCTTAGCCATATTCGTGTATCTGCCAGTGTTGCCTACTTGCCTCATTGCTTTCGTACGTCCATTGCATTGCTATCTGTATATTGCTGTACAATGGATGCCAGACTTCGTCGTGTAAACAAGGAGATTCTTGGTGAGTCGTTTGCAAGCTCACCTAAATTTGTCAGCTGAACACAACGTCTCGCGATAGACTGTAAGAATGACAGAGCGTCGAACATTCAGGTGGACCTCATCGATAACTCGCCTTTCCACTTGAAGGGATCATTTAACGGTCCAGAGGGTACACCATACGAGGGTGGTCATTTCGAAGTGGTACGTCTGCCTTCGATTGCATGAATTTACATACGGTCTCTGAACGCCCTTTAGGATATCGTGATCCCAGATTCATATCCATTTCAGCCAGTGAAGATGAAATTCATCACCAAAGTTTACCACCCCAATATCAGCAGTGCATCAGGAGCGATCTGTCTGGATATCCTGAAGGACGCTTGGTCACCTGTACTCACCCTCAAATCTACCCTCATATCGCTCCAATCACTATTATGCTCACCAGAACCAAATGATCCTCAAGATGCTGAGGTGGCGAAACACTACATGACGAGTCGAAGCAGTTTTGAGGAGACTGCACGATATTGGACGATGATATATGCTGGCGGACCAGGGAAGGAGGGTTTGAAGTCTGGTGCGAAGTCTGGGTCGAAAGACGAAGTTGCAATGGCAGGGCTAGAAAAAGCACATGTAGACCAGTTTGAGGCTCTTGGCTTCGATCGAAGTAAAGTGGTATGTCAGTTATTTTGAATCTTTCGGGAAACACTCACCTCATGAGACAAATTCCTCTCGTTCAGATCGACGTGTTGAGAAGAATGAATTATCGTGGCGCGAATGTAGCCAAGATCAACGACGATCGAGTCGTCGAAGAACTACTCAAATGATTGTATCTATACTCAGCTCTTGCCTGTTTATACACCCACTTTTACCCTGCCCGTGTGAGAAGGCCTTTATTCCGGTGCGACCGGTCTCTTCGAACAGAGCTCACTCCTTCCGATGTTATCCAAGGGCATGTGACTTCCAGCGACCCTTTATTTGCCCCGTGTAGGCCGGAACTAGGGAACTGTCGCAGCGCGCGTGCCTAGTGCATTTGCTTTTCTATGGGGCTCTTTGGACAGGTCTTGGGGCTTTTGACTCTGGAATAATTAACACCACAGCTGGAATCCAGGGTTGCGGTTTGGTAAGCTGGGATGCAACCTAAAGGCCTACTGATCAAATTGGCTTTGGGATATTCGTATCCCTTTACATGTCGTATTCGTCCTGTCGAAATTGACCTACTGTAACACAACTCGTAAATATTCCTATCCAATGTCCTGCCATTTTCTCGGAAGTCGATGAAAGCATTGGTCTAAGCGCCTTGAGCGTCTCTGCGGTATCTGCGAACTAAGTGTTAGACTTGCAGTGAAGCTTGACAAATTAACATCGTGTTGATACTGTGCCACCAGGCTGCAGAATCATCGCAACACTTCAGTCTCGTTATTTTTGCAATGTCTGCATCAGCGCGTACTGCTGTAAGGCGGGACGCCCCTCAAGCAGGGTCCGTGAGTCATATTTAACTCGATCTCTTATTCTTCTCTTCCCTTTCTCACCTTACCACGATGACCAGTTTTTCTCCAGATTCGTTCAAGCCATTACTCCACAAACTGGTCAGGACACCAGAGTACTTCAGTCCAGATGACATCCGTCTCGCCTTGGAGCATATCTTCACGCCAGACGCTGTCCTTCCTGAACAGATTGGTGCTTTCCTGACCGCTTTGCACGTCAATCGAGTGGAAAGGCGGCCAGATTCTCTCGCAGCAGCTGCGGACGTTCTCAGAGAACGAGCTCTGAAAGCTGCCGTACAAGATATCGATACCGACTTCGTGGTAGACATCGTTGGTACGGGAGGAGACGGTCATGATACATTCAACGTGAGCACAACAGCTGCTATTGTCGCTGCAGGTGCAGGTGCAAGAGTAATCAAGGTATGTTATCAAAGTTTTCCAGCTTTGTGTGCTTTTTTCACTTAGATCCATGATGATCGGTAATAGCATGGTAGTCGAGCCTCTACCTCGTCTTCCGGTTCAGCGGATCTTCTCCAATCCCTTGGTTGCCTCTTCACACCCCCAACCCCTGGAACACCCATGCCCATTGCCCGAGTCCCATTTACGTTCATTCTCGCACCGCATTACCACCCTGCAATGGCTTTCATCGCTCCGTATCGGAAAGCCTTACCTTTCCGAACGATGTTCAACGTTCTAGGACCACTCATTAACCCTGCCCGGCCAAGAGGTATGGTCGTGGGTGTCGCAGAACCAGAACTTGGCAGAACATTTGCGCAGAGTTTGAAGAATGGCGGAGTTGAGAGGGCGTTGGTTGTTTGTGGGGCTGAGAAGCTGGACGAGATCAGTTGTGCGGGGGAGACTCATGCCTGGGAACTCAAGGATGGTGAAATCACGGAGAAGACGTTGCACCCTGAACAGTTCGGTCTCAAGACACATCCATTATCTGCTGTTTCTGGCGGAACTCCGGCTGAAAACGCGGAGACTTTCAAGTTGCTTCTAAGGTCTGGCGAGAACATTCCCGAGAGGCTTGCGCCGATCCTGGATTTCGTTCTGTTGAACACCGCAGCTTTGTTAGTCGTTGCTGGCATCGCGGAAGACTTCACCGAGGGCGTCGAGTTGGGAAGGAGAAGTATTGCTTCGGGTAAAGCTTGGGAAGCACTGGATTTATTCCGTCAAGCTGGGGAGGAGGCTGCTGCGAAGCTGTCGTCATAAACATGTAGTCGTTCTAGAAGTGAATGTATACCAGTACTAACTTATTCATACTTGGGAACTAGACAACCACCTCAGGTGAAGTGAACATTGACCTAAATTCAAGTAGAAACCAATGGATGCCGCATGGACAACTAGATATGCAACCAAAGGTCCAGAGTCCATCATCGCAAGAAGGAATAGTGAATACAATATCCTAGATGTAAGCCAAGACCCAAAGCCGCTGAGTACCCTAAAGACAACGAGATATACGCAAACAGTCCATTCCGTGGATGATGCGGCTGACTCGCTGGCTACCAGTCGGCACTGATTGCGCCAGGCCTGTCCAGTCTGAACTCAACTTGAAGACCTTGAACGTGCAATTCTGATTGAGATGGTCCCGCGATGCCCACGACTCAAGAAGAGCCTTCCAAGGACTTCACGGGCACCACAATTCTATTTCTGTCTGTATCCAAGGCGTAGGTAATGCTAAGCCTTTTGAATGGCGTCAAGTAGTGCCTCCGGAGAAGGTTTCGAGGCAACAGCGTCAACCCGTAACTTCAAAGTATCAGTCAAGAATGTCGACGTCGTAGGTCCGATTGCTGCAATCCTGACATTACCGGCACCTTGATCCGCGGAGTCGATTGAGGGCAGCGTAAAGTGCTCGCGAATCATAGGTGTGACAAAGTTCGCGGAGGAAGGCGCGAAGTGGACTATCCACCATTGGTTTGACGCTATAATTCATGAATCTGAGTGCATACAACAACTGCGAACTCATGAAAGACAAACCTAGCGGGAGACCTTCAAGTGTCGTTCGCAAATCGTGTGCAAACGTGGAAGACCCTCTTGTTTCATATACTTGAAGAGGCTTCAGGTCTACTCCACCAGCATTGAGGATACTTGGCAAGGTATCACGGTTTTTGTCACCAGTCAAATACAGGAAGGTAGGCCTAGGGCCTTCCAATGGGTGATGATGTAGTATATGATGTGCCAGTTTCTCGCTGGTGCCTGACTGTGCACCTCCGCATATGTTTCGGGGAGCATATGGCGAGCCGGGAAATGCATCACTGACATCAAGAAGGGTTGTTGCTGTTGCTTCACCGACAACGTAGAACGGTGTTCGTGACCAGTCTAATAGAGTCTGAACATCTGAAGAACGTGTTCGAGATACAAACTTACCTGCATCTCCGGGATCTTCTCCGTCCCTCACAAGGTCTTCGATGACATCCTTCCAGACCTCAACAGCTCTCGCACTCGTGAGAATAACACCACTCAATCTTTCACTAACAGGACCCCGCGAGATTATTCGTCGAAGTTCAGACGTGTTCACAGGACAAGTCTCCAAGACAGGTATTGAGACAGGGTGGTATCCCTGTGCTCGGAACGCTGCTTCATACTTGTCCGGAGCATCCTGCGAAGCAGCTCGAAGTAGGAGAACGTTCGCCATAACCTGTTGATAGATTTAATGTGAATGTGCAAGACGAGAGCGACGAGACAAAGGGGTATTTAGGAGCTGCCGAGCCTGAGACATAACGGTTGAGAGTCAAGCACGGTCCGGGAATTGTAGACCAAGAGAACTCGTTTTGAATTTCAGTCTGAATTTGCTCTTTCGGTCTTTCGGACGTCCATAACCCTCATCGACTTTCAAAATGTCGAAGAAAGAAAACCCCGTTCACTCACTTATTGCTGGAGCTACAGCAGGGGCTATAGAGGCGTAAGTTCAAATGCAAGCCTATCATTTCAGACCGAGATGCTTCTCATCCATATTTCAATTGCAGTCTTGCGACATACCCCGCCGAGTTTGCCAAAACACGGTCGCAATTTGGTGGCAAGGTGTGCTCTGTATCGGCTACTTTGTGGTGACAGCATGTCCTCATGATTCTAAATACTAGAGAGAACCACCACTAGATGTCATTAGAAATACGCTCAAGACGCACGGTGTACGCGGTCTGTATTCAGGATGTACCGCGTTGATGTACGGTATGCAGGCAATCTTCTCATCCTCATCACGATGCATAGCTAACTTAATTTCTTTGACTAGGTAATGCACTGAAAGCGGCAGTCCGATTCGTATCATACGACCACTTCAAACATCTTTTGGCTGACAAGGAGGTGAGTATCCTCTTCAACCCACGTTTACTCTCTGCGTGGCGTACTTACCGATTTTCCATTTTTCTTGTTGATGAGGGTAAAGTGAGCCCGGCGAGAAGTCTAGTTGCAGGTCTAGGTGCGGGTGTGATGGAAGCTCTATTCGCAGTCACGCCTTCAGAAACAATCAAGTACGTCCGTATTTCAACTTTACTGCCTCTTTCTCAATTGCGAGTTATTAACGTCATCCTAGAACAAAATTAATCGATGATGCTAAGAGTCCGAATCCCAAGTACCGAGGTCTTCTACACGGCACAGTATCTATTGTCAAGGAAGAGGGTATACGAGGAGTTTACAGAGGATTATTCCCTGTGGTAGGACCGACTTATTCGTGTCTGATCATCCTGCTGAAAACGGCCTTGTACTAGATGATGCGTCAAGGAGCTAACTCGGCTGTCCGCTTTACCACATACACGACCCTCAAACAATTTGTGCAATCAACAGCACGACCAGGACAACAACTACCGACAAGCATCACCTTCGGGATTGGTGCGATCGCGGGTTTGGTTACTGTGTATACCACTATGCCCCTGGAGTGCGTGCATTGTTACTTCCTCACTTTCTTTCACTTGTGAATGAGCGCCGTCTGACGCATATACCTGTCAGTGTGATCAAAACTCGAATGCAGTCCTTGTCAGCCCAATCGCAATATCGGAACTCCTTCCATTGTGCGTACCGAATCTTCACCGAAGAGGGTTTGTTGAGGTTCTGGGCGGGAACAACGCCACGGTTGGTTCGACTGATGGTAAGCACCTCTCCAATTTGCCGAACGTAATTCTTGGGTGTTGATCGCTTTACAGCTGAGTGGAGGAATCGTGTTTACTATCTATGAGAAGATCATGCTTGCACTGAAGGTGGTGTAATTGACGTCTGGTTGGAGAATGAAGTTCCAATGGTCAACTCCTCAAATCATTTTTGATCGATTCGATTCGTTGCCAGTGTGATGGTCACGGCGTACGACCTAACAACATTGTGCCGAAACTACTTTCGCAGTTGCGACGAGCTATTAGACAAACTGCGACATTGCCCAGATAACGTATACCGTCCCTAAGAGACCTTTGATTCTCACTCGGAATGGGCAATCCCGCAATTCATATATCGACTTCGTGAATGAGGCATAGAAAATTTGAATCCGACTGTCTCTTACTCCTTTGTGGATGCAATCCTGATGTCCATCTCGACGTCATCCAACCAACTGTCCAAACATTCTCTGGCCTCGATCAGCATAACATATTCAGGGATGTCGGTCTTACGTGCGAGGCTGAAATCAATCAGTCGCCAATCGTACGTCCTCTGATGACGTGGGGACGGTAAGTTTGGAAAGTCCGGCAGACGAGGTGCTGCCATAACGATATTATGAGCATGGATGTTACCGTGCTTAATGCGGAAATGGGATAGTTCAGAGAACATGTCGAATGCTTGCGATCTGTAAATATTCGGATCGTTAAGCATTAACTGTGAGTGATGCGGAACGACATACTTCAGACTCTCCAGAGCGTCCATTGTAGTTCGGTGCGAGGGAGGGTCCCCGAGGAGTTCCAAGAGCAGTAGCGTCAGCAGACGTGGATATGCAATATGATCCTCATCGTCCGAATCTTCGCAATAGGTTTCCAGCTCAAAACTATCTATGCGGGATTTCTCCACAGGCCAGTATTTGAAGGCGACTCCCTCAGGAATGGTCACCTGGAATAGACCATAGTAGCGAGGGATGACAGAGCCTTGCAAAGACTCCAAGTACTCATAGTAGAACGCTTCTCTCGGGATCTTGTAGTATTTCCTTGGCCGGCAGACCTTCGCGACGAGAGGCGGGAACTTCATTCGAGCAAGCTCAGGACTAGAAGATGAGAAGTCTATGTTGGCCTCCAAGATGATGCCAAATTCGCCTTGTGCGATAGGTGTTTCTCCGAGCAACAAGTGGGCATGAAGCTTGTCGCCGGAAGGACGATCCAAGTCATTGACCGTGGGGCGCAAGGCTACCGGCGATATCTTCAATATTTCAAATCTTTCGGTGGGTCTCTCTACGTCTTCTTTATTGGGAAAAGGAGTGCCCCTTCGCAGAGTAAGGTTGGGTTGAGAGCCATCCAGGAAGTTGTTGAAACATCCAGCAATAGTTACTGTGGCGATGTCATGGCTAGACTGAATAAGTCAAGAGTCTCAGTCAAACGGGCTGTAGGAAAAGCCGGAAACATAGCATACCAGTGCCTTAGATTTATTGTAAGTTGTCATGCCGTTGAATGGTGTAAACGGATGGGAGACTCATCAGAAGATGAACGAGACGCCGCTACTAAGCTAAAGCCCCCTAGCATGAGGCAGTTATGAGATAGATTTCGTAAGTGGTTCGGGATTGCATCGTGGCAGTAAGTGGTTATTTTCCTCGTCAGTATAAGAACATGCAAAAATGACAGTTTGCTGCCACTTGTGATTGAATCACACGGGTCCGACTCGTCCTTCTCTCCCTCAATAGACCCGTCATTAGTATGCGTACCGGAGACTAGATGACTCAGGCGGTAGGCAACTTGAAGATTCAGTTCATAGATCACATAGGCTTGATAGTACTAGTACAATACAAAACACAAGGATAACATCATTCTCTCTACACAAACCGTTACGGAAAAAGCCATCCATCTCACTCTGAATCTGACGAGCTAAAAAGCTCCCGATTCTGTTCAGCTCTGATCTTATATTCCTTGAAGGCCTCGGGTTGCTTGGAGAGCCGAGTTAAACCTCCTGCACGCCGTCGCTGGGGATCTGGGGGTGTTTGAGAACCACTGCCATCAACAGCATGACGTACACGAGACTGTGAACGACTCGCAGCAGGAGTGCTACCTTGGGAACCATGTGGGAAATGCTGAGCAACAGCAGGAGCGGCAGAAGAATCTTGTGAAGCACCGAGGTGAGGTTCTAATCCGGCATCTGATGCACTGGATGACGGAGCAGGTGTTGATGAAATGCGGTCCTGTTGAAGCAGAGCTAGAATTTCCGAGGGAACAGGCGTTCGAGGACAAGCGGCTCCGGGCTTTGACCAGTCAAGCACAAGGTCAGCCTCAGGACAAAGCTTAGCTGCGATGAAATAGCGACTTTCCACGTTTTCTGAATTTGTGGCAGGGGATTTATAGTCAATGGAAATGAACGAAAGCCCAATCAACGCGTGGATAACATCTGGGTCATCCCAGCGTTTGATTTCAGAAACGCACAGAGAGGTTTGGCCTACTCGAATGAACAGTATCACTTTGCTGCCATTGGTGAAGAATGCGTAGTCGGAGCGGAAGGCATACATCTCTCCCCAGACCTATAAATGTTGAAAATGTTGCATTAATTGTCGCCTTCGTTGGATGACCTGAAATATTACACACCTGGCGAATCAGAGACTCTTCCGCACTCACTCCGTCCCAATCAAACACACCGTGATCTGTAATTGTTGGGGTACTGAACACGCCTTCCAAGAAAGGGTCAGAATATGTCCAAAATGTCTTTATCTCCGCAAATGCACCATGGTGAAGATGTTGCGGGCCACAGAGTAAGATAAAATCAGGAAATCCGGCTTTGGAACGGCCTGCCTTCCGGTCGCCATGCAATGCAGAAATGGCACGTGTCCAATGGGGCATACATACATCCCCAGGGGCCGAGATTGGATTGCAATCGTCATCGAGCCACCCAGTAGGTGGAACTTTGGGATCCTTCTTTGGCTGTTCTCCCTCGGCATCTGACTCTTGGTCTGAATCGTTTGGCCTCTCAGGTACATCCTCCTCGGTCTCGTCAAATGGTGGTTCAAAGACGCTGTTGTCATATCGAGTCTAAAGTTATTTTAAAGTAAGATTCTATACCCATTGAATGAACCATTGAGATCCGTACCTCCAGAAGCATATTCAAAGGGTCAAGCAGTTGTTTCACAACTTCATCTTGAATTGCTGCTTCGCAATTCACGGATATAGTATGGCCTTGGCTGTGAGTAATGAACCAAGAATTTAAACGATGAACCGCACGAGTCTGCTGGTCGCGAGAGGGTAGATCATGCGCTTGCTCATCTCGAGTGCTCCACGTAGTTAGACCTTGATCCAAGTGGTCGGCATATGCTTTGCAATTATCCCAGAGAGAGTAAGATCGCAACACTCTCCGTAGCCGATACGCCTCAGGTAGATTGCGCACATACTGCGCTGTTTGGGTGAAAGAATTAGTACCAGTAGCGCGAGGGGCTCGAACAAGGCAGTGTAGTCTCAGCTCAGAAGGTAGGATATGTCCGGGCGGCATAACGGAGAGATAGCTTCCAGTCGGAGAAGGGGGAGGATGATCATCGGCAGACTCATTGTCTGAGTTGGAGTCCTCATTGTTAGTCCTGAATGCATCCAGGACTGAATGGGCATCAGCAGAGTGGAGGCGGTTAGGAAGGAACAGGATGCTCTGAGCAGTTGTCGGGGTCTCGGAAGACATGGCGTAGATTTGAACTGTATGGGATATGGGATGTAAGTTGAAGAGACGATATGTGTAGTTGTTGGGGTGTTCTTGTGTCCTCTTGACCGTCATGCTTTTATATTGTCCAAGTTATCATGTAGGCTGTTCTCCTAAAATCATTGCACCGATCAGAGAAGGATTACCCAGCTTGACTACGTTATGTCAGTCACATCCTGCAACATACTTCTTTCAATACCTTAGAGGCGTTGTCATGGAAACGCAAACTCGAATAGCCAGACTAGGAAAACTGCACCTTCCTGTGCAGAGCATAGTAGGACTCCAAATTGGGTCATTAGTAGGCAGCCTGGCGTATGTGCGATTGCAATCGAGTTCCGGTTCGAGACTGACGCACATTGCAGGATGGATGATGACTGTTACTTATACCAGGATTGCTATGGAAACACTGATTTTGAAGTAGCCTATACTGAATAAGTCATTATCTGCACAAGTCGGGAGGTATGTAACGTAATGACAGACCACCTTTCAACGACACCTAGCATACAAGTTTCAATCTCTGACGACCGACTGTACTGACCTAAGCTGGTCACAAACAGATTTTGAAGGCTTCGTGAAGCAGGAGTGCTTGCACCGCCTCAGCGCCTCGATCCTAAGTGATTGTTACCTTAGCCGAGAGCAGATCTCGAAAGGCTTTATGCTATTTTCGTTAGAGTGTCCTATCGCTCCGTAAATAGTCGTTGTACACGTATGCCAATCTGCAATACTTCAACTTATGCTTCTTCAGAAACAGCATACAATAAGATTTCGTACAGACGAAATCCATCACCATGCAGGCTACTCGGATACGCTGTGATTGAGTACCGCTCTCGGCAGAAAAAGAAACGCCGATAGATGGGAAGACCAGTGAGTGCATGTCATGTAAGCAATGACGCGTACATGCTAGGATAGATTACTGTGCAGTTGAAGGATACATTGTCAATCGGAGGCAGGGAGACGAATTGGGAAGCTCCTACGTGGTCGTCATGGAAACAGCGGTTTTTGCTCAATTAGGAATCTAGGATCAGTTTTGACCACCACGGGCGCTTGAAGGTTCCTATTTATACGAAGTTCTACGTGACTGTCCTAGGCTTATACAGAAGGATATTTCTTAGTTTTCTCAACTAGTTCCTTTCATTTGCTTTCTGAAATGGCACACTTGGAGCCCATAGTGCGTATCATGTTCCTTACCAAACCGGCTCACGCTAATTTTGTGCAGCCTGCGAATGCAATAGCCACCGCTGTCCTTGCTGTAGCTGGAATTTGCGACGGATCAATTCAGGACCTCCAATTCAGTCGCGTCAATCCATTGCCACCGCCACCCTTTATTAAAAAAGAAAGCTTTCAATACACTCCTATCATCGGGCCTGAGGCTCCTCCACGCCTTGAATCAAATCTTCCTCCTCCCGGCAGTCTTTCTGCGCGATTAGTACTAGGCGAAAGAATCGGTGCAGGTGCTGTTGGAACTGTATTCGAGGCAGAGATCGACTATGAGAACTCTAATCCTGAGTTGAGAGATTCGTTGCCTCCTCTTGTTGTCAAAATCTCTCTCCCGCTCAAGAGTAAGAGGCTCAACTGGGAAGCAGCCTGCTATGAGGACATGGAGCCTCTTTACGGGGTTGTTGTCCCACGATATTATGGTTTCTTTCAGCTGGAGATACCAGCTAACCTGGATTTCAAGTACTGGCATGGCGAAGAGGTTTATAATTCATCGACAGAAGACGAAGAGTTTGACGATGATCCAACGCTCCCTCGTACAGTCTCACTTCTCATTTTGGAACGCGTTAGAGGACCACTCCCCGTAGGTCGGCCGTTGCGCGACGTTGTTAGGTGAGGTCTCACCTCGATAAGGCTTCTTAATTTTGCTCATAGTTTACCACAGGGAGGATTTGCTTGACATGTACAGTGATCTATCCCGTTTGAGCATTCTTCATAAGGACGTTCGATATCCCAACATCCTTCGCGCCCCCAAGACGGGATTTCCGGGACTGCCTTCCCCGTATACGGGACGAACTTACAGGTATCGTTTGGTCGATTTCGACTGTGCTCGGAGAACGAATCTGGCGTTTGAACCGATACTCAGAGCCCATCAAAGCTATGTTGATCATATGCTTCGTTGTCTCCCGATGGGAGATATCCCCAATTTTCCGGTCTTCTGAGCGGTCCCGTCTACTGGTCATTCTCATCTGAAGGCATGTCCCGTCTTCTTTGATTGCAGTAAGACACGACCCCTTCTTTTCGGTGTAGGAGGAGTTCCTGTGTATCATATCTTCATATTATCTTTTGTTCGAAAGACATGACTATCATTGCTTCAGACAGGTCTGATGACGAACCCAAATTGCTCATGCACCAATATCGACTTGTACTGTAAATTTCATAGTCTTGGACTGTCCGAGTCCGATGTTCCAAGATTACTCCATGTTCTCACAATGTCCATTGTAGTCCCGGACCCCGGTCGGCTTCACATTCTCACCAAACTGTCCTTCGTATCCTCAGGCGGAGCGATTGTGTTCCCTCTATGACTTGATTTCTTCGGTTTCAGTAATAATAGGTATGATTAGCTGTTTGCCTTGCGGTGTTTTCTTCACGTTCACTTTCATCAGGTACAATTGATATTCACACGCTCTTCGACGCAGTTGAAGTCTTCACGTTTGAGGACGCATCATGGATGTTCTTGTGAATTTTCAGGTGCGTACATTCGACACATTTCTGCTGTCTGCCCGGTCTGCTGCTCGCTTACTCGTGAAGACGGTCTCACGTCTGTTCTCGTCCTGTAACTTTGATAGTGATTTCTATTAGACGTTGTTGTATGTCGTCGATAGTCATGGCTCCATATGATGTCTTTACATTACCGTTACTGTGCATTCTGAATCTCTTGAGACTAGTACCTGTCCGATTATTACAAGCCATCGCCTGCAAAAGCCTACGCCCGGTCACGGACGTTAATTATTGGCTGTGTATGGTAGTGAGGACCACCAAGTTATGTTGAAGAAAGAACACCTTTCGTGGGTGACTAGCCTGTAAGAACTGGACACTTCGCCTACACCTGAGGAGCGCCTGTCACATTACGGATCAACGCGTCCGCCGGAGGCACGCTGTCATGCGCTAGTCCCTGTTCTTGTGCACGTTGACGGTCATTTCACTAGAGTTCGAGGAGAGTAGGTCTGAACGATTCATTCAAAGGGGGTTGGAGACACAATGCCACTGGAGCGATCGTTGTTGTGTATCCGGATTATATCGAGATATGATGCGGTGGTACATAGGCTCCACCAAAAACAATAAGTGTGCCCCCGAGCCTGCCGCCAACCGATGCCCCAGGCTACAACGAGGACAGAAGGTAATTTTCCAACGCGGAATACTTATAACAAAATGAGCACAATCCATGGTATACATGCCAATCGCTCGTTATCCGTTCTGCACCTGCCAACCACCTCAACGCAGCCATTTGAACATTGCACGCAAATGCCGGTTATTCTCAATTTCAAACCTACGAAGACTCATGTTTGACTTGCGAGCCCTGTCAAAATCCACGAGACGCCACCGGTACCGGCCAGCAGACTCCGCATTGGGCACCCACAGTATGTCATCTTGCTGGATATCTGGTTGCCAGACCCCAAGGCGTGCTAGTTCTCTGAACATTTCCTTGATCTCCTCACTGGTAGAACGAAAATCAGCGATGACTTTATCTCAAACTTATCGAGAATGGTGCTTACGTATCATTGTCCTTTAGTCTGCGTCTGACAGGTAAAAACTCTTCACTGATGTATTCCAGAACGAGAACAGTCAAGCAACGAGGAAATTCAGAGTGATCTTCTTCGTCGGAGTCGTTAGACCCTTTGCCTCCATAAAGTTTTTCCATGAACCAATATCGAAACATCACACCAGGCTCAAGCGTTACTTGGAAAAGACCATAATAACGGGGTATCACGGTCCCTTGCAGCGATTCCATCTCCTCATATTGGAACGCTTCTCGAGAAATCCTGTAGTACGTCGTCGGATGACAGATCTTGACGACAAGACGTGGCAAAGTCGCGGCCGTCAGCTCAGGACTGGACGCGTCCTCATCAAGCTCGACCACATATACAGTTCCAGCTCGTCCAGACGCAATCTGTCGACCAAGTCTTAAACTTGCATGTAAGTCCCCTGGCGGCGGGAGGTTGGAGGGTAATCGGGCTGGTGGCTCAGGACCAATGGTATCTTTGATGGCGTCCTGATCCTGGCCGGGTTCGAGGTACTCTTTTGCGACAACATATTCTGGCCGAATGAAGGGCCTATTGCAAGAGGGAACACTTCGTTCGAGTTCAAGGTCTGCAATCGACTTGCCTCCTGGAACTGGCTCATACACCGCGTCAAACAGAGATATTGTTGCGATCGCGTTTGCAGCCTGAGGTTGCGGGTTTCATAGTCAGCACAACGTGGCCAATGTCCATTCATAAGTATTTGGATGGGACTCACCAACATTTTTTCTACGCTGTACTCTACCGTATTTGACACCTTGTTATAAGGCAAATATACTAGACGGGGGTTCCGCGAGAACTAGACCTAGTTCGTTGAGTTTGCGCCTCGCTGTCATAGGTCAAGACAGGATTGAGTCAAATTTCATGTCTCATGTGGCTGTACAATAAGTCAACTACAAGAAATCGTAAAATGTACGTCAATACTTGACCTCGTGATATTGGCCACAATTGTTTCAGCTCACAGACGAAAGAGAAATCACTGCGCAAACCAGCTCAACTCTGTTAGAGTCTGTTTATGATTATCTCCACATTATCTCTGCCCGGTTACTGGATAAGGACGTGAACGTGTCGTCTAACGTCGAGTACTTTCGTACGGAGTTGATTGTTGGTCATCTTGCACATGCAAGCTCTCTCGAAATTAGCCGCACCCGATAACACACGCATGCGGCACAGGAAATGGGAGCCTCATAATCTAGCATAATATGTCGCAGAGATAACGTTGAAGAACTGAAGGTCCTAACATCCAGAAGCAACAGGTCCTTAAGTTTCAGGGCGTAGAGGAAATTAGAGGACATACCACGTTGACCACTGCAGATCATCGCCACCAGGTTCGAAACAATATTGGGTATACTTGAACGTACATGGAACCTTTTTCGAGGAACATACTAAGGGTTCGATGCCCATCTGGAGCTATGTCCTAGCCAGTCATATCGTAGTTAGTCGTCCTTTCCTCTTTGATTAGGACGATGGTCAAATGCCGCGATGCCGAACGCCCACTTTGAAAGAAAGGTATTTGCAGCAGGCTGTTCTGCAGGATTCCCATCGATACTGACCGACAAGAGTCTTACGCGCCACACATCACCTTCTTGCAAGCCTCAGATTAATGTACAGTACCAGTTAACCCTGGCCTTGTGCGGTACAAGGCCAGGATTTACTGGTGCATTCGGTTCACTTACCTCTCATCCTCTTCCTGATCTCCCCACTCCGGAGTCCTTGGAGTCCGTCGTCTGCCTGACAGGGAGGTCATGTTGCAAATAAATGTCCGTCCCATTGACTCGAAACACGCTGGATGCACGCTCATCCGCTGTAGCAGCTTTTCTCTTTCATTCTCGGATTCTATTCCGGGCGTCGCAGTATTGACAAGAAGTGAAAAATGAGCGTACTGCACAAATCAACAATTTGCCCCGAGTAAAAGGGTAGATTCAGAAAAGTAAGAAAGGGCACTTTACTAGGATGAACGCGGATATAAGATAGTCAATGTAAGCTGCAGGGGATGTATAGACGGATATCTTGATGCAGATGAAGGGAACGTATTATATCAATGAATTGGAATGAAAGAAGATGCGGTCGAAGGAGTAGATTAAAAGGTCTCCTCTTCATCCGCAGCTTCTTGTTCGGGAACCTCGAAGCCCTCCTACTCAGAAAGGCAGGAGAGATGAGAAAGATTGGCCAGACGTGGAAACAAAAAAGGACCGACCTCAGTAGAGTAGAGGATTTTCTGGATATCTTGGAGAACGGGTGAAGTCTCCAAGTTCTCTGCTTCGTTGACTTCTAGTTGTCCTTGTACGAGGATCTCGATGTCACGGAGCTACGTCCGCCATTAGAATAAATAAAGGAAATGACACACACTATTGTGGCGTACCTTCGCAAAATAGAAATCCCGCTCCTTCTCTAAACTCTCTAAATGTGTAGACATCTCAGCCAGTTGGGTTCGCAACTGAATAAGCTCGCTAGGCTGCGTCGAAGGTGCACGGTGTCCGGAGATGGGAGTCTTGCCGCCAGACCGCGACGATGAAACTCCAAGTCCTTTGGACGGTGCGAGCGGTGCAATCGTGGCAGGTGTGTCGGTCGGTGCACCTCGTCTACGGGCTACAGGGTCATATCCCTGTCCGCCATAGTTGGTATCCCAAAATCGCTTTATCCATTGACAAAACTCAAGGTTGTCCCTGGTTCGATGATGTCACATGAGCCATATTTCGATGTCGAGCAGGTCGGAGGACGTACTGCATCTTGCATTTCACTAACTTCTCAACGGGGATCGGCTACAGGAAAGACAAGGGGTCAATTACGCGTGAAATAAAACAACTCTGCAAAAAAAAACACGCTTTATCGATCTTGTGTGCTCTGAATGCGTTTTGGAGGATCTTGAAGTTCGCAATGAACTCGTACTCGTGCTTTGCATTCATCTTAACTCTTGTCATGGGTACATCGCCTATGAAGAGGTCGTCAACTACGTCTGACATCCAAGAGGCCTATAAACACGGTGCTCACCAAAGATCGAGTCTACAATCTGGCAGTACGCTCCGCCCGTCCCACACTGCTCGATCTTAGTGTAATTGACCTGGAGAAGGTCGTTGATCCATGCGATCAGCTCTGTCCTTGATTCACCCATCCCTGTACGCGTGTAAACGAATGTTTCTGTGCTGTTTCGCAAAGGTTCGATTGTGAACGATGACTGTTGAAAGGCAAATCGCCGACACACATGGCCAAATTCCCCTTCCCATATCCGGAAGCCCATTTTAGACGCTTAGCCACAATAGTGTCGCCTTTGTTTCTTAAGTTCTTGATACAGTGGCATTTACTTACCTCTTACTAGCTTGCATTCAAGACTTCCGTACATTCAAGTAGGAGTTCAGAACCACGAGTAACGACGACATCTCTAATATCGACAAAACTTCATTAGCTGACGTCGTTAACCTACTGTAAAGTGCACCATTAAACTTTTATTGTTGCAAGCACTGAACTTTTGGAACAGGCAAGACATGACTGTACCTACATTGCCTCTCGAGCTTTATGCTAGGATATTTCAATATGCACGGCAGTCAGAGCTACTCGCTCTTTGTCTCGTCAATAAAGAAATCAACCGCGTCGCTGAACGGAAGCTCTACTCCGATGTAATCCTACGCGACGCCCAGGCAGCTTTGCGCTTCTGCCATTCTATCGTTGCCAGAGACGGTTACCGCGGTGCCTATGTTCGCAGGTTCTGGTTTTGGCATGAGCCAAAACGCGGCGGGCGTATGCCACTGCTGCCTGAGCAATTCTGGTCTGCTATACAGACGGCGCTTTCAATCATGACCGAGCTCGAAGATTTGACGATCGTGGACACCACCCTCAGAAACACGTGGATCTTGGACCCAAAGTATACCAAGTTTCAGCTCCTCACTGCTAGACTCCATCTGGCCTGGGACTCCAATCTGGTCTCGTTTATAGACACCCAGACGCGACTACGCAGTCTGCAGGCTGCGGCACCTTTAGATGATGACGAACCTCCATGCCCTATTGCTTCCACCAGCCTACGGACCTTGCAAGTCTTCGAAGGTCCGCTTTTGGTAGCTGCGGAACTCCTAAGCTGCCCTTTGACCCACTTACGTCTGTTCGCGGGGGATGATACCCTGAGTATCCTTCCCATATTCATTGATAACCTCATTGAGGACAACAAAACTCTCCGCAGTCTCAGCGTGATCCATGTACATCCGCGAATGGTGCTTCCTCTCTTCGAAGGTCTTACTGCCCACTCCGACTTTGCTTCTCGGCTTCGGTACCTAGGAGTCATCTGTCTACCTTCGGAACATGTGAGTGAACCCTCGCTAAATATACGAGTGCTCGGTCTGACGACATCTCGGATCTCTTAGCGGGATAAGCTGCACAAGTATCTTATGAAGCTGAACCAACTACAGGTCCTCGAGGTCGAAGCGTCACATTGGGATCCACAGCCTAGCCACGCAGCCGCCCAACGCGTCCTAGCCAGTGAATTACGCATCTTTTGCCCGTCTCTCCGTCTAGTCGTGTTTTGGATTGGACATCGCCATACCCCCTGGGCCTATGTTGGGGATGAATGGACTCGTGAGGAATCTAAATCCACATCTGCTCAAGAAGACACGCTATGGCGGCTTGTTTGAAGGCATGCGGTTGGCATACCTTCTGCACGAATCGGTAGACGGAGATAAAGAAGTCAAGGAATACGGACCATAAAGGCCCATTCGAGTGTAGTAGGTCAAGATAATCACCGGGTATGCTTGGTTCCTCTCAATGCCGGGCGTTTTCGGTTGATGAGTGTCTCTTTTGACTCCTAGATAGGACTCGATATCGGCGAGTCAAATTGATAGATACGCAGCATCGGTAGATTATAATGCAAGCTCGCAATGCAGAGTCATAATCTATTGAACATCGGCTTTCATCAGACGTTTGAGCGATTATCGCGACAACATCGGGACTCAGATTCCCAGCAGATGGTGGCGTTGGTTGTGTGCGCTTCCGAGCCGGTGTAGGAAGAGAAGCAGCAACGTTGCGGGGCCGCAGGGCTACAGATTCGGTTTTGCAGCATGCTCGGCATTCTGTGCATCCCAACAACAATGGAACGCCAGCCCTCACTTCTACCCACCGCCTTGATACCTTGTGACCTTTTCTAGTCGGCATCCTCCGTCTCAGGTCCTATTCTCCTATTTAGGAGTACATCCATCGAACCCTTACACGCGCGGAAACATCAGCCACGCGTCGAACGACCGAGGCTCGGTTGGACAGGTTGCTTTTCATAAAACTCGTGAAAGAGATACCACGGCGGTGCATGGCGTCTTTTCATTTTCCCTCTCGTCAACTCAGCGCTGTCTCGTTGTGTATTAGTTTAACTTGAGCCCCCCGCATCTCTGCAGATACCCCACACCTCCCATGTCCCATTCCGTTTACACCACCACCTCCCAGTCATCCACTTCTTCCGCTGACACTAATCGTTCCTCTAACATGTCGAGTACTCCTAGTTCACCTACTCCCTCTATTGCCGCATTGCCGAGTTTCACCCATTCGCTGTCTTCTTTCCCCACCATGACCAGTGTGGCGCATGATATGGTCCACTATGGGAACCTCGGCAGGACGAAGAATGTCAGCGAAGCCAAGGTAGGACTATACTTAGCTATCAACAATATGACTATGCCTATTCCGAGTGCCCCTTCTAGCTGAATACAGTCCTTTCGACGACGAGACAGAAACGAGACGCAGCGTCGTCTCCGAATAGCGTAAGTGCCATATGCACCTTGGACATCTAACGTCTGTCCACTAACGCTATTTACAGCCTTCACAGTCACCTGTTTCGCCCGGGAGCGCTATCTCTCTGCCTGAGGATGACGAACAACCTCTTATCATTACCAGAAGGAAACATAAGCTTCCAGTAGGTTGTCAGTTCTGTGGAGTGGCGCTATGATACTTATCATTCTACAGACGCAACGAGCTGTCTAGTCCATCATCAGGTCTAGCCTGGCCTATATGGAATGGGCCACAAATCATATCCGCTGTATTTTATTGGTTGTCCTTGCTGGTTGTCGAGGAACAAACATATGACATTCGAGGGGACTTTGCTGTAGCTTCAACAAGGGATTCGATGTATCATTGGTGTATTTTGTCGGTCCATATTCGTGTCACAGCGTAGAATACGTAATGAAATAATGAAACAATGGGTATCTACACACAGCAAACAACGAGAATAAATGTCGATTAAATACCACAGCAATTCCGAGACAAACAAGGGGAAACTTTGAACTTGAAGTTTGAGGTTGACCTTGACGAGCGCCGCCTACTCACCGGCAAAGAGTCGAACAACCATGTAGGTTGTCGAGCCGATAAACCGAATGACTGTGAAAGGGAGGATGCGACGTCAAGCAAGAACGAGGAGGACATGCTGCAAGAGTACGTACGAGCCAGGCCAGCAACCGAGAATAGAATGAAAGCCATGTAACCGTTGACGGTGCTCTGCGCACCCTTGTCCGATGCCTTGCCTGTGGCGGTACTATGATGAAATAACGCTGAGTGTCACGCCACTGCACAGACGGAGATGAACGTACACAATGAGAGCCGCCAATAAAGCCTGCGGGGTCAGATCGTTGAGTTTCACCATAGCCAACCATCAGGATGATCACTCACATTTGACAGTGTCCAAGCCAACAAGACCTGCGAACGCGGGGAAAGTAAGTCAACCCCATCCTGATGCTTTCGAAATGAATGATGTATGCTCAGCACTTACACTGCGGAATGAAGTAGTCAATACATCGGAGTCGGAAATTTCCAGATGTGATGCAACACTCACTTGGTTCGGAAATTCCTGTAATAATCTTCCTGTTCTGTTTGGGGATCCGGCTTGGGGTCAGATTTCGGCGGTTTGGTGGATAGAACAGCGATCGCATCCTCATAGGCAGCGTTGATGTCCGTCTCCGCCGTGGGAACCGCGACTTCTACTTCATTTTTATTCGCCCCAGTGGTAGCAACTACTCCGAGATCGGTGGATACCTTGTTGTCACCTTTCGTACCCCACGACACGTCGCTGAACGAAGCTAGGTCAATTCATCGAACAGCCCCATTAGGCGATGTACTTACTGGACATTAGCGAACTACGCATTTGACATCAGTAAGGTAAAAGTTGATGTAACAGTTGGGAGACTCACAGCATAAACGTTCAACACGGAGATGTATGACGGCGCCATGAGCAAGTATTGAACGAACGATGTGATCATATGCCAGGGTTCGAACTGCAGGGAAACAGCCAATCAGCTAATTTGTCAGATTGACCCTGAGGAAGTGAAAGACGCTCACGAAGACAAGAGACGCAAGAATATAGAGACCGAGAGTGGCCAATAACGAAATAACGATATTGCGGAAGATAGCGTTAGTGAACAATGAGGATGGCGTCAAGGGTCCATCGGCATTGATAATATTCTGAACACCTTTGAAAGCAAGGAAGAAAGCGGCAACCTGCGTGATCCTTGTTAACCCACATCTATCTACACAATAAGGAGATGACTTACAGTCATGTAGACGGTGATGAGAGCAAAACCAATAAAAGCGAGCGTGTATCCCCACTTGGATCCTTGTGGACGGTTTCCCAAGGAAAGTAAGAAACACATGATAAGCAGACCGACGTAGAAGTACTGAAGAACAATGTTAAGGATATGAATGCCCTTTCCAAGATGGAACGATGGGTCTTCCATCGAATCACTCAGAATGGTGAAGGATATGTAGTAATTGCCCTGAACAACCGACTCAACCTCAACCACGGCCACTGAGAAGCGGTAAATGAAACGCACCAATGCGAACCAAGAGAAAAGCAGGTTGAAGACTTGGTACAGAAGTTCAACGTGGATCCAGAACTTGCGTAGGAAGCTGTGTGACGATCTATAGATGTAATGGAACTTCACGGTACTGTGTATAGCAGCGAAGAATGATCCATTCAACCATCGACGACGTTGAGAAATCAACTCAGGGACCTAAGAGGCTAGTCAGAGACATGAAATACAATTCCACGCCGGACCAACCTGATCAGGAACGTCAGTGACAGCATAAGCTGACTTGACGTAGTGCAAGATCCATGAACCGCCCCGCTTGGAGACTAATTCCCAGCAGAGAATCTATCGATGGGAGCTTAGAGTGACATCCTTGCTAATAAACACATATGCCAGCTTACTCGATCTTCGGCAAGGTACATGTTCGCTGTGAAGATGTCTGCACCTGCCCCGTGCTGGATCACAGTTAGGAAGTCTAAGCCAGGACTAGCCAACGTAGTATAACACACCAATGTCTCGCCCAAAAAGTACTTATGAAGAGGCCCTTCTCCTGTAGCGTCGTTTTGAAGCGCAATGTAACGATACGCACTGAAGGCACCCGGTAGTACGGTGATATATCCGAACACCGACTCGCTGCAAACGATACAGTTAGCGGAAGAAATTCTGGAGCGTCGCTGAACGTACAGTGGCTTATCCAAAATGTTGGACATTTTGTACTCGAAGTTCTGCGCGGCCACTGGGGAACCATTGTGAGACCAATAGCAAGGGAGCAACTACCATGGAAGTAAAACATACCAAGCGGATTGAGTAGATTCAGCCCATACTTGCCCTTTAACGCGACAATTTCTCCACAAGCACCACCAACATTCGAGTTGATGTCGAACGCTTTCCACAAGTGGTAGATCGAAGTAGGGCCGGGCATTGTACCGACGTCGAGTAAGACGCAGACGTTCGGTTGCAGGATGGGACCCAAGGCGTTGAAGAACCATCTATGCGAGTTGATCTTCTTTTGGTTCTTCTCCTTGAGACAAAAGATGATCTGCACCGGCACGATGCCGCGCTCTGCGCCTTCAATTTTCATGGAAGGGGACACCGAAACTGAAGGAGATGAGTATAACGAGCATCGAAATCTTGAGTGAAGGGCTTACTTTGGGCGGTGTATTCGTAGATATGTGCTGTAACGGGTTTGCCATTTACAATGTTCTGTTCGTGCGTGAAGGAGTGTGATTGCAAAAGTCCATGACCAACATACCTTGGCAACACCCTCTTGATAAGCACCCATCGCAGCAATAACACTCAATGTCCTCGAATTAATCTTCTGCCGACCATCCGAGACGATACAAACCACGACCTTCTTCCACCCTTCCTTGCCCCAAGTCTTACTTCTGTCTCGCTTGCATAAATGCGCAATGTTCTTCATAACGCCATGCATAGTTCGACAGAACAGCTCCTCATCTTCATTGTACATCGTCATCACAATGAACAACTCCGTACGTCTCGGAGGATCGTAGTGGACTTGACGGAGTGTGAAGCCATCATCCTTGAAGTCATTTGGGTCGCAGGTCGCTGCGGAGTATCGCATGTGTGTGAACTCGCGTTCGTTTCGCTGAGCGCACATGTTAAGCAACTTGGTTGGCACCGCAGAATCGAGCACGAAGTTCCCGTGGAACAACCTTGGTAAACCTCGTAAGTAAACTCACAATCGTCACGACGCGCCATCTACTCACTCGACTTTCTTGATCGTCTTATATCGACGTGGAACACGTTGTGGAATCCGACCATACCGAATATTGCTCTCAGAGCGGTCGTCCGCCGTCGCCTGATCGTATTCGCCTGGCATCGGTGGCATGGGCATCGGAGGTGAGTTATTTGAAGGATGGCGTTGCAATAGTGGTATATCGCCAGTGTCAAAGTCCTGGTCATCATCATGAAGTTCGAATCCGGGAGCATGTTGGCTATATGGCGAATGGCCAGTATCGCCGCCTTGTTGAGGTAACGGCGTCGCTACATGCAGAGCGGGAGATCCGGCATGCAGATTGTTTGAAAAGGACGAGGGCATGTAGTCACCAGGACCGGGCGGAGGCGAACCAGGGTGTATAAAGGGTCCAGGAGGAGGTGAGGCTGGGTTCACAAATGGACCAGGTGGAGGAGAGGCGGGGTGAATGAATCCTGAGGGTGGTGGTGGTACATTCTGATATGGATTTGATAGAGGAGGAAAACCAAATGGATCGGGGTGGATTGGTTGGAAAGGTTGATGTTCTTGTTCGTACGGATTAGGAGACGGCGAGGGGCGAACGTTGTACGAGTTCGAGTAAGGGTCGTAATTATCGTTATACTGGCCTTGCTGGCCGTTGTTCTACACCACCATCAGTATACATCGAATACACAGAACATCATGCAGACTTACGTGCGGGAAGTAAGACATTGGGTTTGTGTACAACCGCAGTACAGTACACGGTATTAGACAACTCAGGAGATGAGGCGGTGAACAATCTGAGATTGCTGCGTGTCAGTGCCTGTCTGCACACGCTTTGTGAAATTATCGTGAAGCTCGGCGTTGACCAAGATAAGGGACAGCCTTCGCGTTCGTCGTGGCCGTCGTCAAAGAGGTTGTTGTCGTCGGCGAAGTAGTCGAGGAGAAGGTTACACAAGGAGTAACATGAAGGTTTCGGTTTCGGCGCTTTGAATGTATGTACTGTATCGCACCGCGCCACTACGATCCACTTGTTCTCAGCTTCTACCCTCATCATCAGGTACGATGACAAGGGTGTTTCGTTCATTTTGCCAAGGTGAACTGTTAGGCAGATTCAGGCAGGTATAACATCGAGGGCGCGACCTCGAACATTTGGTGTACAGTATTAAACATGAACGGCTCGAATGATCGAGGTTAGCATGTTCGGCACCCTGTTTATATTCTGACATCATTCTTCGGTTTAGGATCATTACTGGAGGGGTTTCATATCGAACCCACAACCGTTGAACAAACCATTGCACTCCGCCATGCCGTTCTTTGGCCACATAAACCTGAGTCGCACGTCCGTCTACCGGAAGATGACTCTGGATATCACTTCGGAGCGTTCGTCTCCTCTTGTGACGCGCCTATAGCTGTGATCTCAGTATTCAAAGAGCCACTGCCTCCGGTCATTGATTCGGAACAGGATGAAGCATCGATCTCAGAAGCCAAGCCGCCATTTGAGGCTGGGCGGTTTCGCAAGTTTGCTTGTGATTCTGTATATCAAGGACATGGAGTGGGAACGGCCTTGCTGCGCCATGTGTTCTCTGCTGCGCGAGACCAGTTAGGTTGCTGCGTACTCTGGTGCGATGCCCGCCTATCTACCTCTAATTGGTACGAACGGCGCGGCATGCAGATATTCGGTCCCGTATTCACGAAGAGCGGCGTCGGATATATACGCATGAAAGCTACTCTATAGGAATTAGATTACAACTCGGAGAGTCCATCTGCAACAATAGATACTATTCAGAGTACTAGAAGCCACCTCAGGAAACTTCTTTCTTCCTCTTCAACATGCTCTGGTACATCACCCCGTGAGAAGGTCATATCTTCAAGCTTGATCATCTTAGTCTGATGGATGAGCTTGTACCCAAATGTAAGGAGTAAGAAGAATGGCTATGTGAATTGAATCAGCATGTAACCTGATGGAATGAAATATAGTACCTACAATGGGTATATATGATGAGAGAAACAGAGAAACAGGGTCATCTTCTCTTGTGTTGGGATCAACTTCAATATCATCCCCTGGAGTTTCAGCTAACATAGGAAATAGTATGAGCTATGCTTCTGACATTTGTAATATCACATACCAATCTTCCATCCACCATGTACAAAGACAGACCTGTGATATTTTGTTAGAAACTAATGGTAGCTAAAGAAAAGTGATAGACTTACCATCCATTGGTAAGGAGAACAGTCATGCATATGCCAAAAGCATACCAGGCAAGCTAGGGGTATCACTTTCAGCTTCCAAATCTTTGATGAGACTGAAGAGGACTCACATATGGCTGGCCAATGTGTCTTTGCTTCTTGATCTGTTCTATATCTGCAATGACCTTGGCAGAGTCCTCATTATGCAGAGCAGTGACTTTATGCTTTTTCTCAGCATATACTGTGCCCTGGTGCCACCTAGAGATAAGAATACATATATGAGGAGATATACATAACAACAGCCAGATCTGAAACTGACCTGATGTAGGTAAACAGAAGACCTGCCCATGATTGAAGTGAAGCAACACTGGCAACAGCTACAAGCCAGTTGAAAGCCTGCTCAAAGTTCAATCAACTTACACTCAAGATAGAACATCATTTGAGTACTTACCACCTGGGGGCCAGCAGATTTGGAAGATCCAGTTGAACCCAGAAAACTTAGAAGACCAACAGAAGCTGAGACTAGAACAGCAGCTAAAGGAAGCACAAGGTAGGGTTCTCTTTGTCTCTGAGAAGGTTCACCAGGTATCTCCTGAGAAGATGCCTCAGTCATCTCTATCTGCACACTTTGATCATGTCTTGTATCCTTGTCATCCTCAGACTGATCCTCACTGATAGAAGCAGGGATAGTCTGAATCAGCAATGATTCATGAATACTCTGTCTCCTGATGTCAATGACTGGAGGCTCATCATCCTCACTATCCTCATCAGAAGTATCCTCCTTCTCCTCTGGTGTTTCATGCCAGGGATATCTGATGAGTGATGCAAGGAATTGAGGTGCATGATGACATCTGGCAAGGAAAAAGAGAAACCTAGAGCCAATATACACATCTGAGGCAGCTGCTGACCATGCTGAAAGCAGGATTGCCCCATTAATGAAGTGAGGAAGCTATGATCTGTGAGTATAATGATTACTTGGTAACAATATGAGAAAACTTACAATTTTGACATGTGCACGATTGAGTGCAATGACAAAGGGTGAGGAGCTTGCTGTTCTAGTATCACTACCCAGATTTGAATCATTTGCTGGAACTAGCAGTCCTGCAACAAAGATTCCTCCAATGTAGAACAGAGTGCTGTAGAATATAAGCTCAAGTTGTGGATAACCCAGAAGAGCAACTTACATTCTGATCCAGACTCTGCGAAGAGCTCTAGGGACATTCTGAGAAGCGGTACTTCAGCGCGACTTTCGACACATTATGTAAAGGATCACTGACTCTGGAAGCATCGATGACTTCACCCGCAGCCTGATATGCAAATTCTTTAGTCGCACCTTTTTGAATGAAACAGTGAACAGACTTACAATACCAGGCACCTCTGATCCGAAAAATGAGAAAGAAGCTTGCATAAGAACAGCCCAGAACCCAAGAAACTGGCCCAATGATCCATTGATACCGAGATAGCTATGAGCAAAGGGTTGCGACCAGTTCTTGAACCCGATGAACCTGAAAGTCGGTTAGTCAGGTAATTAGGCGGAAACTTACAGATATGAAATACCCTTCTGCCCCAGCGCCGAGGTCCAGAATAAGACAGACAATGACTAAGAATGCAGTGAGCACGGCGCATGAACGAAACGTGTCTAAACTTACTAATAAGAATGATAGTGACCACTTTGATAGTCGAAAACCAAAACTCAAATTCGCCGTAGATGCGAGACGAGAAGCAGTTTACCGCCACCGCGAGGAAGAGCTTGGGCGGGGTCAGTCCACTATCACTAGACATACCACAAAGACCTACAAAGATCGCGGACAAGCCCGCCGTGCTAAAAAGACTGTTTAGCAGCCGCAGGAATGTCTGAAGGCTTGAGGAACGTACGAAACTCTATTCTCCGTATCCCAAAACCTGACAACGACCGCGGCTGCCGTGATCTCGGCGGCTGAGGAAAAGAGATGCTACCAGTCATGGCGGAGAATAGATTGTAGACAACGCACGCAGAGTCACGCTCCAATTGTACTGGGGAATGCGTTAACGACAGTAAAGGTAATGTGCACGGCATGTATGCTCACCCAAGCCGCCCAACCGAGCGAGAAACCCAAAGCGGGGTCAACGTAGAGATCAGCAAGGCCGACGACACCTCCTACATTCGGTCTGGGAGAAACGTCAAAGGGTGGATCACATGCGCAGAATAAAACATACAAAAAAGCGATCATTTCTCCGACGGAAACGCATAGACAGTATACGACTGTGCCAATCACGAAGTATCCCAGTAACGCGCCGATCGGTCCCCCATGTTTTAGGGCATTCTGCGTTGCTTCACTTGAGCGTCGGTATACAAAAGAACACCCGCGCCGCTGACTTACGCCTGAACCCAGAAAAAGGCCCGTCCCAATGACTCCTCCGATCGAAATCATGCCAACTACAGCGCGAGAAAGTAAACAAGCGGCGCAGTCAATAAAAGTGAATAATCCCTCACTGTGCCGACGAGAAAGCTGCGGAGGGAGGTCTTGCTTGATATTCTTCCATCGTCTCTGGAATTGTTCTATGCGAAGGCGCTGCGCGAATATCCTTGACGGTTTCGCAGTTGGAGGTGCTGGTGCATAGTGGACCCTGGCGGAAGCAGAACGAGCGGCAGTAAGGCGAACGCGAACGGTATTACCCCCAACGGCGGACGACATGACATTTAGAGGGAAGTCGGTAGGAAGTCAGAGTCAAAGCTATAGCCGCAATAAGGGCTTGATCAAGAACATATCGAGATATCATTCAGAGGAATGCAGTGGAGCAGAACTAAACGAATGGCTGTGATGCAGTAAGCTCCGTGAACAATGTTGTTGCTTGACAGAACTCAATCTGACATCGGTGTTGCGGGGCATTGGAAATGCTCTACTCCGGCCCAGAATAAAACTTCGTAAGCAAACTAGTCAGGGTAAACATCGACCAGAGCGAAGGGTCCAAAGATGCGTGGAATAAAACAAGACCTGTTGTGCATTAATACGGTCAAATTCAAGAGAACGAAAGAACTGTCGAACAAGGCACGCGACCATTGATATTATGATCGGTATATTCTGATAGAGGCGCTCACAGATAAACTTAGTTTTCTCCCCTCCAACATTCAATCACCGGTGTATTTCACCCCTGGAAGGACACGTAGGTAGGAGATGAACTGAGGAGTCCGTTAACGTCTCTACATGCTGTGCGGTGTATCCCCTGTATCTTAGACAATACTGCCATGACTAGGCTTATCAAACAGGTACCAGAGCCGAACTACTAGCAATTAGCTGCAGTCAGGTTGCGGCCATGAAGCTGTTCATTTAGATCATTTGATTTCCCTCACGAACCCGTCGGGACATGCTGTCCTGCGTATATACGTATTTGCAACCTGATCGAGGGGTTTATCTTGACCCTCGTCAAGGCCGTTACGCATTACTCTCCTCTGTCCCTCCCTCATCTCCTCATGTCTGTTGATGTCTCCAATGAGCAAAATCCTCGCTACTCACCTGGCTAACCAGACTGTCACCGTCCTGCCGGACGACGTACTTACCTGTATTGCGATAGAAGGCAACCCCGACTTGGCCGGAATTGGCGTACGCGTAGCGTTCTATATACAAAGCGCCATCAATAGTACGTGTCGTTTGTTTCGTTATTAACTCGTTAATGCGACTCTAATTGAGCGAATCTGTAGCATTACTTGTTATCGTTTCTCCTCGAGATTCTGTACCTAGTGCATGGGCGGGAACACTGCTTACCACTTCCCTTGTCATTGCTGCTATCGTGCAGAAGGTCAATCACACACTGACTTTGCACCATGCGACCCTTATCATGAAGTGAGTGGATGACTCCCACGTACGTCGCTTTTCTGATACGTTCCAGTTTTGCCACCCTGTCGTGTATTAGTTCCTTCGCCGTCGCCCCCATGTTACCCATTTGGAGATTGCGACCGAGCGAATATTACGCCCAAGAACTCGCTCGAAATGCCGTTCACGATGCTGGAGGCGACGACCAAAGTAATATCATCGAAAGCCCATTTTACATCAACAGGCAGAAGAAACATATCAAGGCAGCTCAGAACCGCGAGCGCGTCATACTTGCACTCGCGCTTCTCACACAGGTACATTCAAACTGTCGCATAAATTTCCCTTACTCACTCTATATCTACAGGTCGTCTTACAGTGGACATGGGGGATCATTCTCTTTGTTTCCCCAACCTACAGTCAGAAGGAATGCAGTGGTGATACGGTACTGTTATTCTTCCTCTATCCATTCCGAGTGAGAGATGTCAAAGGCGGCAAATTCGTTGTCTGGCCATTTTGGCTAATCTTTACACTCGGAATCACACTCGCGCTCACCATCAATTTGGCGCTTTCGAGTCCCAACCGGGCACACGATTCGCTGTCGCGGAGGTCAACGATCTCCATGAGCGCGGGTAACTCGTCGAGTACTCCTGTGTGGAGACAACTTGCTCGACTTACTGTTGATGTGATCCCCTCTTGGCAGGATCGACCAAAGCAAGTGATTTTCTGGGGAAATACTGTCTCGTTCATCCTCTGGTGTCTATATCTCATATGTGAGTCGGCAAATGTATCATGAAGGTTGTTAGCTGATTTTGAAGGTCGTGCAGCTTCTGAGTGGCAGCGGTCATTGAATCACATTTCTGAGGGAGAAGATGACTTTGGCGGCTTCGGTCAGGTACCTCGCATTCTTCTGCATGCCTGTTGACTCTAACTGACCTGAACTGTAGGTAACGGCCATCTTCCTCTCACTCGCACCACTATGGAGTCTTTCAGTCGCATTGTACAAGTATCCTTCTCTCCGGCGTCGACAAGAACGTCATCGACAGCGAGTAGCCGCGGGAGGAGGGGAACGAGAATATATACCAACACAACACTCGGACGAGAGTCGATCCTTACTTGCCCCTCTTGATCACTCTCCGCAGCCTTCTGGAACTGCTGAATCTTTTCAACTGAGTGACCTTGGGCCCACGCCATTGTCCCAATCTGGCTCGTCGCATCGACGCGCTGCCGATTCCTCGAGAGGCAATATTTATGTTGTAACCGTGCCTAGTCCAGAAATGGGCCTTATGGACTGGGAGTACCATCCTGATAGTCCTGTGCATTAATTATATGTATCTTGTAATAATCTACCGTAATATAATGTGTATCTGCAGACTTCCTACTTCTCTCGCATATGTGCAGCTAGGCGAGTAATCATGAACCCGTTGAGTAAGGCGACCAGTGAAGCACCTCATTGATTGCTCACATGATCAAGGAGCATCTATTATTTTTCTAGGGGCCGTATAGTGTATCCCCTTTGTTATGTACAGGTTTCGAGGCTTGCAAAATAATGCCCCAGCTTGTGTCAAACCATTGGTGCGGGCATTTCGTCTCTTGTCCAGGCCATTGCCTTTTCAGGAACCAGGACCTAGAGGAACCAATGAACAACTCACAAATGAACGGTACTCCTTCACAATGTCAACTGATAGGTGGTCTTGCTCCGCCCTTTCGCCATGACTCAACACGTATAAATTGTCGGGCGGGCGTTGGGAAGGCTCGTGGGTTCCGCAAGGGAAGGAGCGGGCCCTATACTGAGACAACCAGTAAACGTGTCGCATTCGCGTTTTTTGAGTGGATTTGGCTGCTACACGCGTTGTTTGGTTAGAGTTGGCTACTACATGATGCGACGCCTTGAAAAGCTTGAACATTGAGATATTGAAATGTTGATTGTTGGTCGACATGTCTGTAACGGCGAGGTTATCTAGACACAAGGCTGAGAAGCTTAGACCAGAGGTTTGAGCAGAAGAGCAGGGGCGAGATTACTGGCGTTGGAAAGACGGGAAAAAATACAGTGAGGCGCGACGAGAGTATATAAGCTAGCGGGGCATTCCTATGACGGAAGACAAGAGAGACGGAAGTAAACGACGAAGCTAAGGAGTTACCTAAAAGGGAAATGCACGAACGTAGATAAGATACAGCGTTTCCATAAAACCTTGTCCGGCGCCGATTTGAAGCCTTTTTTTGGAGTGCACATTTTTTTTTTTTGAGAGGCGCCGGGGCTTGGATTTGTTGGAAAATCAAGCCGCCGGGCCTCGTTCTACTCAACGCCCGATCGTTCAGTTTGTTTATTACCTTTTCCATGCATGTTGCACTTCTTCCCTTTTACCCGCGCTCTCAACCAATGCTGTAGACTCTGCATTTAGTTCCATTTAATTCCATTCTCTTCCATTGCCAAGTATTCCATACATACTTAACCAACCATCTTTTGTGGAGACACCCCAATTGTTAGCTATGACGCTGATTGGGGTGTGTACCTATTTCACCTTCTATGCCGTTTCACTCGTACTGATGTATACCCTGTAGAATCTATCTTGTTACTCTTTCTATAGGTATCTAGCTAGTTCTACTGTTACTAAAATCGTTAGCTATGACACTGATTGGGAATCTATCTTGTTACTCTTTCTATAGGTTATGGGCCCCGAGCTACCTTAAACCTTGCGTCGAAGTGAATAGGTGTCCGAAATACCTGTAGCTGCTCTGCTGTTCTTGATCTTCCCCTCACGTCACTCTTGCTCTCATCATCATGTCTACTGTCAAGCTAGAAGAGTACTTGCGAGTTCCGAAACTTAAAGTTAATAGAGCAAACTGGCTTATCTACAAGGATCACATGCTATAGGCTACTGATGCCTGTGGTTATCGTGGTCACCTTGTTGGTACTACGGTGGTCCCAGCTACTCCACCAGCTACTGCAGACCCCACTGCTCCCACTCCTGCTGAGGTTGCTGCTGCTACTGCCTATGAGACTCAACTTGTTACCTGTTGTAGTAGAAGCGCTGAGCGAGCAATTGCACGCTTAGTAAGAAACTGACTCGATGTAAGAAAATTGTAAGTAAAATTTTTGTTCTATATTTTAGTATATAAAGCTGCTATGTAGTACATATACACTATGTGTTTGTCCACTTCTAGTAGTTCTATACTACCATCTCTGTCTGGGAACAAATGCAATCAAACTAAAATAACGACATTACCTGAACAAGAGGAGAGGCTGTCATGAAACAGCTTGTTGCTAGCATGATTCCGGATTCTCTCTTCATGAAGATCCATATGAAACCCACTGCCCAGGAGATTTGGATCACATTGACTAATGACTTTGAGAACAAGTCTTGTATGGTCTCTGTTGACCTTCGTCGCCATCTACAAGACAAGCGAGTGGCCAAGAAGAATGACCTTCACAACCACTTCACTGAACTCCATATGATGAGGGAGAATCTTGCCTCTCTTGGTCAACCTCCTATCGATGAGGACTTCTATGCCATCATTCTTAGATCACTGCCTACATCTTACGACCCCTACATATCTGCTGTCATAGCTACCTCTAGTGTGTTAGGGAAGACCCTTACTGCCGATGATCTTATGCAGACATTAACTGAGAAGTACAAGCGCCATGCATTGAAGATGAAATGCACCACTGACTTCAAGGATGCTGCATTTTGGGCAAATGACCAAAGTGGGAGGAAGTCAAAGATGAACAAGAAGTGCCACAACTGTGGCAAGGCCGGTCACTTTAAGTGTGACTGTTGGATGTCGGGAGGTGGGAAGGAAGGTCAAGGACCAAAAGGAAGAGAAAAGGGGAAGGGAAGAAGTGAACTGAAAGATAAGACATCAGTTGCAAAGGAGGATGATAAGTCAGAGGATGCCACGTGGATGGCCATAGTAGAAGACAATGTCCTCGACTATACAGAGACAGCAGATGGTACCCATGTCTCAACTGCAACCAATGATGAAGATTCCTGGTTCTCCGATGATGTCAATTCCCTTTTTGACTAAACCCCCTATAGCGACTCTGTAACTGATGTTGATGATGATGAGACCTCCATGCCAGATCTCCAAACAGTTTCAGATTCATCTGAAGAGCCTAATGACCTGATTACAAGGGACGAGTTACCAGAACCCAAAGGAGAACCTACCGAGGAAGACATTAGCATGTTTCAAGAGAAAGAAGCATACACTCTTACCTTTGACTATGTCTTTATGGCGAAGACTGCTAGCAATCTGAAGAGTGTTCACGTCAAACTTTACAACTCTGGTGTGAGTTGACATATGTCCCCATATCGTGATTGATTTATCAACTTCATTGATATCAAGTCTCACCCCATAGGGTCTGCTGACAATCGTACCTTCCAGGCTGTCAGTAAAGGTGACATGTACATCGACATGTCTCATGAAACAAGCACTTGTTGTATCTTATTAAAGGATGTTCTGCATGCACCAGACATGCGTGTCATGCTGATATCGGTCAGCCGCATTACTGCAGCTGGGTATGGTGTTGTTTTTCACAATAACTCCTGTCACATTTATAACACTACGAAGGAGGTAATTGGTGAAGTCAAGGCCTCTGGTGGCCTTTATCGAGTATACCACCCAACAGATTATGCCGCGAAGGTAGCAGAGGTGCTAGCTTTGGGCGAGTTGCACTGCCATTTGGGTCATATCAGTTTTGATGCAGCATGAGACCTTGTGCGAAAAGGCTTGGTCTTAGGTGTGGAGCTAGATGACTCTGAGCCCCCAGAAGTCTGCAAGTCATGCGAACATGCAAAGATAACTCAAAAACCTATCCAACGTGAATATGCAGGTGACCGAGTGAAGAACATTGGTAATGAAGTCCACTCTGATGTTTGGGATCCAGCACCTGTCGAAATAATTGGAGGGTGTTAGTATTATGTCAGTTTTATAGATGACCACAGCTATTACACCTTCACATACCTCCTTCATACCAAGGACCAGGTGGAGGCAGCATATCGCACACTGGCTGCATGACTCAATATGCAAAAAGGCATAAAGATCAAAATTCTACACACAGACTGCAGGGGAGAGTATCTAAGCAGAAGCTTCAATCATTTTCTATGGGAGAACAGTACTGTGCGATGACTTATCACACATGACACACCTGAATACAATGACATAGTGGAACGTCTGAACTGCATGCTCATAATGAAGGTTCATGCTATGTTACATGACAGTCAGCTTCCAAAGTTTCTTTGGAAAGAGGCTGTTTTGCACGCAACTTATCTAAAAAATTGCACGCTGATATGTGTGATTGGCGATACAATGCCATACAAAGTGTTCGAAGGGACAAAGCTGAACCTGTCAGCATTGGTCCCTTGGGGTTGCAAAGCCTATATCCACAGTACCGGTGTGACAAAACTTGACAGCTGCACAGTTATTGGTTACTGGGTAGGCTTTGATAAGAAAAGCTGTGTGCACTGCATCTACTGGCTGGAATGTCGAAATGTGACAGTTGAGCATAGCATATACTTCAACATCAAATACCCAAATGTAATCACTGAAGTGCCACTCGAGGGGGAGCATGCACTGGATGTAGGCGAGCAGTCTACTTCATCATCAGAAGTGGAAACTATGAAAGAAGGGGATGAAGACTCACCAAAGGCAACCCAAGGTGAAGTTGATGCACCAGTTACTGTTGCACTGACCTCCACTCATAAATGCAATCTATTAGGCCCAGATTTTGAAGTCAGTCACTCAGAAGGCAAGCGACTTCGAAAACTGTCTGCCTACATCAAATGTCTATGCAGTGGTGAAGGCCACATCAGCATGAGACAGAGTGACCCCATTGTTCCAAGGAGGTTTAGGCTGGAAGCTCCAAGTTGGAGCCTGTTGAGGAGGCATCGGCAAATGTCATCATGGAGTGGAAAGGCATTGAGGTTGAGGAGATGGCCATGGCAGCAGCAATGAGCAATGCTGAAGATCTTGAACCATCTTTTGAAGAAGCACGGAGACACTCAGATTGGCCTAAATGGAATGAAGCGATGAAAGCGAAGTTAAAGAGTCTTGAAGTGAACAAGACTTTCTCTCTCATTGAACATCCATTGGAAGTCAACATCATAGGATCGAAATGGGTCCTTCACATTAAGAAGAATGCGGCAGGTAAAATCAACAAGTACAAGGCTCGATTAGTGATGCAGGGCTATATGCAAATCCATGGCATCGACTATTATGAGACATTTGCTCCTGTGGCCAAACTAGCCTCTTTTTGACTTATTCTAGCCATCGCTGCATGAAATAGCTGGGCTGTTGATTCATTCAACTTCAACTCAGCCTACCTGAACTCTGTCCTTGATGATGATGAAGTTGTTTATCTAGAGCAACTACCTCGCTATGCAACAGAAGACCTGAAACTCTATATCTGGAAGCTTCACAAGGCTCTGTATGGTCTCAAGCAGGGTGGACATAAATGGTATGAATACCTCTGCCATGCACTTGCTGCTTTGGGTTTCAAATGAGCAGAAGCCAATTAGGGAGTGTTCTTCACATACGTTGAAGAAAATATTGTTGTCCTCATTGTCCA